GCGTCAGAGAAGCTACAGTTCGATTCGGTAGAGAGCTTCTAGATTCTCTCGGCACGATCTATGTTAACATCCCCATTGGAGACGTGACGTTTCACGTCGTTAATACCCAGACTCCCTTCCTCCTCTGCCTAAAAGACTTTGACAAGCTTGGCGTAATGTTTGACAATATTGCCAATAGGATGATCCGATTGCAAGATGGCAAGTCCATCCCAATCACTCGCAAATAGGGCCACCCCTGGTTCTTCCCCTTAGCAATGACAACCGCATTAACCGGTGTTTTCCTGCAAGAAGCTGAATTACGACGCGTTCATACCCGATTTGGACACCCTTCTGTTGGCAAGCTTTACAAGCTCTTGGAGAAATCTGGCAACGAAGCTGATCGAGATGCCATTGCAATGATCAACAAGTTTTGCCATCACTGCCAGGTCAAAGGCCCGTCACCACAGCGGTTCAAGTTCTCCATCAAGAAGGATATTGATTTCAACTACGAAGTCATCGTCGATGTCATGTACCTGGAGAGCAAGCCCGTTCTTCATTGCGTTGACGCCGCTACAGCCTTCCAAGCAGCCCAATTCCTTCTCAACCTGTCTGCCAAGGAGACCTGGGAAGCATTGAAACGATGTTGGATTGACACTTATCTTGGCCCTCCAGATGTCCTGACGCACGATGCCGGTACCAACTTTGCAGCCACAGAATTTCGCGCTGAAGCCCGATTGCTTGGAATCACCTGTCATCAGATTCCCGTCGAAGCTCATTGGTCGATTGGCAAGGTTGAACAGTATCATACCCCCATTCGACGCTCTTACGAGATCATCCGAGCCGAATCATCCGGGATCTCTCGAGAAGCTGCCCTGCAGATGGCAGTAAAAGCCGTGAACGATACCGCCGGTCCTGATGGTCTTGTACCAACACTCTTGGTCTTTGGAGCCTATCCATGCGTTACGATGGATTCGCCCCTGACACTATCACAGCTTCAACGTGCCCAGGCCCAGGCCAAAGCAATGGCCGAACTACGTAAGCTCCGAGCCAAGCGAAACGTTCAAAATGCTCTGAATATAAGGAACGGCCCTGATACAACCCCAACACTGCCTCTCTCTCTTCTCATCGGCAGTGAAGTCCTTATTTATCGTGAAAAAGACAAATATCAAGGCCCGTACAAGGTTCTATCGGTGACAGACTGAGAAGTGACCGTTGAGATGGTCAACGGACCGACCCTATTCAGCCGCACGCACGTCAAGCCGTACAACCGTCACTCTGACATGACCTTCAATACTGAGAAGCTTAACAACCACAATGCCCCTGTTCCGTTCGAATATCCAGAACCGACACTCCCCCGCCGTCGCGGCCGCCCTTCAAAGCTCTCTACACCCGTCTAAAGCACAAAGCGACTGCGAGACCGGCCCAGAAAAATATACGTGGTACACATGGCCACTACGACTATAAGCGAAGAGGAGAACTTTGCTGGCTCCTTTGTCCAGCAAGATGAATATGGCATTTTCCTCTTGCACAAGGAGCGTGCTGACCACGCTCTCGCCCTGAAACTGTGCACTGAAGGCAAGATCACAGCCCCTGGAGCACCCTTTGAGCAATCTGATGTCCTTGAGATTGAGTCTCTATTCGCCGATAAAATGCTTGTCCCCATTCTGTTCGACAACAAGATTCACGGCGACCCCCGACTGTTTAATTCTCGTCTTGTCCGCATTGTTAAAAGCGTCAATGACTGCCTTTACGAGAAGAGCAGACTCATCGTACAAGGATATAACGATCATGAAAAGCACGATATCATGACCCAAGCTCCGATGATCATGCGATGCAGCCAACGACTGGCAATGGCCCTGACACCGTCTTTACGACAGCAAGGATGCCTTGCTGCCTTTCGAGACATCACTATGGCCTATACGCAGTCACGACACCTAATGAATCGCCTTGTCATATACAAGCTGCCCATTAAACTAAAGAAAAAGTATCCAGAAAGTACAATTCTTCGTGTCGACAAACCTCTATACAGAATCGCAGAAACTGGGAATCATTGGTATGACACATACTCCGCCCACCACAAGGAAAGACTAGAGATGGAGACATCCGCCTATGACCCTTGTTTATTCATTACGGAGAAAGGCAACGACTTTGCTATCGCAGCCCTTCAAACTGACGACACCTTTGTCATTGGCACTACCGGCTTCCTAAAGAAGGAAAAAGACAAAATGAGGAAAGCAGGCTACAAAACGAAGCCACGAACCCAGTTTAATACTGGTTCTTCTGGCGACTTCAACGGATGCCACCTAGAATTTCAGACTGAGACCATAACAGCAACTCAAAAAGGACAAGCTGACAAGCTCGTCCTGATTGACATGAGTGACAAAGATTACAAGCAGAGATTCGTTGAGCAACGAGCGAGAGGCGCCTACATTGCCTCTATCTGTCAATCAGAAGCCACATTTAATTATTCTGTCGCAGCCCAAGCCCAAGAACCCTCCGACAAAGATATCGAGATATTAAACAAACATATTCAGTGGCAACTGAACAATAAATCACATGGACTTTGATTCGTAACGATTGATCTGTCTATTGCTAAACTCTTTGTGTTTATTGATGGATTATTTGTTAACAACAAGGACCTATCATTACAGATCAGATTTGTTATTATCCTCGGGAATGAATCATCTGGCAATGGCGAGATATTTACATTTGATCTGACCGGAAACATTGTTTATTGGTCCTTTACTAAATGCAAGAGAGTCATACAGAGCGTTCTAGCTTCTGAAGTATATGGCATGGTTGCTGGCTATGATTACGGATACGTGATCCACCGTACACTGGCAACTATCTACCAACGCCTTGAAGTACCTACAATCCCCTTGATTCTCTGCACAGACTCATACTCGTTGTACCAGTGCCTTGTCAAGCTCGGCACTACCAATGAGAAGCATCTGATGATTGACGTCATGGCGCTCCGGCAGTCATACGAGAATCATGAGATCACAGAAATCCGATGGATCTATAGTGAGGATAACCCTGCTGACTTGATGACCAAGTCGTCTCCAAATAAAGCCCTTTATGGTCTTGTTTCTGATAACAAGACAATGGTTTGAGTTGAAGGCTGGGTTCAACATTGAGATCACCTGGATGGATGGTTTGGTAGAATCGTAATCATAAAAGAAAGAGTATCCTGTGTTGGATCTATGCAATTCCAGCCTGCAAACCATCTATACCAAGACCCACATGTATAATTAGATAAGAGATAGATACCGGATTGCGAGGTTATTTAGCCAGATCTTCAGGTCCAGCTAGACCTCTCAATCCAACCATCAGCAACATCATGACCTTGACCCCATACTCGAGTATTATGATGGATTGTTCAAGCCTGTTCTAACAAATAACGTATTTTTAATACGTTTTAATATTTCATATATTAACCGAAATTTCTTATTTGTTAATTTTATTAAAAATAACAAGTAAAAAAATATTGATAATAAAATTTACTAAATTTTTCAAAAATTTAAATTATATCTGTTATGGCAAACATTAAAAGTAAATGTATTAATCGTATAATGAAGAGATATAAAAAGATTCAAGTTAATAAGATATATGACGATATTAAAGAATAAATTATTAAATTATATAAGTTGCAAAAATTATATTAATGCGTCTTTATGGTATAGGTTATGAATATTCAAAATAAACTGATAAGTAAATAATGTGAGTTTATAGTAACGATTCAACGTTAAAATTAAAAGAAAGATCGTTGTCAGTATAAAACGGCATATTACATAGATCAGGCGATTATTATCGGCATTAGCGTCGGCGCTAGCGCTATCAAGCAAAATATTTCGCCCTAGATTGATTTAATTGATAGTCGACTAATAACCGTTATAAACCCCGTAATTGTCAGATTTGAGCCAATCGTGAGGTTGAAGTGTGTGTGTGTATCCTGTGTGTCTGGAGTGTCCTTGTGCAACCGTGGCAGTTTTGTGCCAGAGGGGGCTGGATCGGGACGGAACAACTAGGTTCCGGTGTCTACCTATCAAGGTGCCCTCTGTGCTCACCTTTAATCCAACAGTAATACATTTATTAAAAATATAAAACAAATATATAATAAGGCAGTTTTAAGCCATGCTTAAAGCATTTTAAATAGCATGAATAAGGTTTATATAGTTAAAAACGTTATATTTCAATACTTTTGATAAATTATTATTATGTAAAAAATCTACTACCAGAGTGCTACAGCATACAAAAAGGCCTAGATGCCCCGCTGGTGCACTGCCACCTCTTAAAAGCCACTGTGGCTTGCATGCCATACAATATAAGACGGGGACTTGATTCTTCGCGTTGATGCCTGCTAACTTGGCTATTGCGATATTGGAAGGCGAGTGGATCTAAATGTTGAAGGGGATGTTGCAGTATCGGAGCAGGATGTGTGGGAAAAGGGAGCTTGAACCGGGGATAAGGTGGAGAGTTACTGTTGGACTTGCCATATTGGATTTTCGGCCAGGACAAAATCCCGTATCTAAAGAAGGCTTCGTGTAGATGTTGCTGTCTTACCGCATGTCAGAGATTTTATATTTTATGGTGTACTTCTGATTCGGAAGGCTGAAGCGTGAGTCCTCGAGAAGTTGCGCCCGGAGCCTTCCGACAGTGTCGCGGAATCCATGTGTGCGGACAGTCCAATCTGACCCGTGCTTTCGCTCATTAATTCAAGCCAGCCCCGCAGGGTCTTCAACACTTCAACTTGAATTTGAGTACGACTGTCGAATCATGAGCTGCTCGATTGAGTTTGGGCTTATAGCATAAGTTCCGTACGAAGTAACACAAGTCTTCGCACTACCGACCTTCTAACCCTAAGAGATGAGGTTGAGATGATACATCTTCAAAGATTGGGAACGGATTGCCGTTGTATCTATGTAAGTCCATCTACTCCTGAGTGGACTACTAAGTATAGTATTCCCATCCGTCCCCACGAGCGGTCCACGGTCATAGGAACCTCAACCGATGCATACGACTCAAACACCAGCCTTCTTGCACTCGACGACACCGCACATAGTCCCCTCCTTCATGTGGACCTTGACGACCTCCAGTCCCGCCCGCGCCGCAAGGTCCGCAAACTGCTTCTCCGACCGCTCCATGGACGCTATGGTCAGCATCAGCAAGTCGTAGGCGGCTACGAAGGGCGTTGGGTCCTCGGTGTTGATCTGGTCGTTGATGAGGACGCGTGCGCGCGGTTCGTCCGCCGGCAGCGCGTTGGCCAGGATCGTGAGGACCTTGACGCTGTCCTCGTCTGTGTAGTCGTGGATGCAGCGGCGGATGAGGTACACGAGAGCGCCTGTGTTACGCGGTTAGGTCAGTAGCTGGCTGGGATATGACACAGACAGGCATATCGGATTTTGTTCTTGGTGTACATACCCTTGACCGGCTGTTCCTTGTGGAAGTTGACCACCAACTTCTGCACGTCCTTCATGACGGGGTCGTTGGCGGACGACTCCTTCACGGGCCCGATGACTTCGGGTCGGTCTTGGAGGTAGCACCTGTTCCGCGGGATGGCAGGCGTCTCCTCCAGTACCGCGCGTATCATCTGGCCCTGCCCGCCTCCAATGTCCAGCAGCAGCGGCCTCTCAGAATTCGTCTGCGCGTACTCCGCGATCCAGCTAAAGTCGTAGATTCCAGTGTACGGCCACGCGTGGGTCTGGAGCCCCTGCATGGCGCGCCCAAACCGATCGACGTTGCCCTCCCCACGCTTCGCGATCAGCTCCCAGTACGTCAACTTGCCGTCGACGCCGTCGGGGAAGCAGAACGGGACCTTGGTCTCGCCCTCGGGCACCTGGGCGCCGTATTTCTCGAAGAAGCCCGGGAAGGCCTGGTACGCGGGCTGGAACTCGTCCGTCATCATGGTGAAGTGGCAGCCGTCGAACGTGTCCGTCTTGAAGGTCGGCGCGAGCCGCGAGAGCGCCACGTGGTCCGGCTGCGGCCGCTTCAGCATCCCCGTCGCCACGAGCATCTGGCCCATGCGGCGCACGAGCGACTCGCTGGCGTTGATGGACGATGCGAGCTCGGCGTACGACACGGAACCCTCGGCGGGGATCTTGTCGAAGAACCCCCAGGCTATGTACATCCGGATACAGGCCATCTCGGCTAGCTGTGAGGTTGTTCAGAAGCTAGCTTTGAAACTCTCTCTGCTTTATGACACGGGAACGTACCACAATCGACTGCTGCTCGATCATCTCTTCCGGGTCGCTGATCTCCGTTATGATCCGCCTTGCGGCTGCGGTGGCTCGTCTTCTCGCGGCCTCGGAACCGCCGCGCAGCGCTTTAACTTGCTCTGAGAGCTCATTGCACAGAGCTTCTACGTCCGCCATATTTTCTGTACGTAGGCAGGGAACACATTCGAGGGCCGCTTGGTTTGTTGATATTGTGAGTTGACGAGTTGAGAGCCGGTCAGCGTCACTGTCGAAGCTGAGTTACAACCCGAAACTTAGTATGCGATACCCTTACACAGGTGAGCACTGAGTAGGAAACACACGCTTAAACACCTCGACATCTGGAAACGTCTGCCGCTGCCGTGCCGTTGCCGCTCGCCTGCCTCCGGTCAAGATTGCCGATCTTACCTCGTTTCCATGTCACCCCTCATCAGTCACGCGTCTGGAGCAACGTGATGCAACATACGGCAAGGGACCAGAGATTCAGGTGCGTGCCTGAAGCAGGTACTGTGTGGACTAGTATGATGAAATACTGTAGTCGGTGCCAGAAGAGGACAAGCAGAGGGTCAAGTTCTTGGATCCCCGCGAACCCCCCTTCGGCCTGTATCGGTTCCAGCGCCGCTCAGACGTCAATATTCTCCGGGAGGTTGTACAATATCGATAAATATCGTCTTCGTCCCATCATGTGTGACTATCTCTGAGCGGGCAAGATGACCATTGGCAGGATAAAGCATGCACCTGCTGGACGCTTAGACCCCTCTGCCTGCTTGTCATGGACCGGGGGCTTGGGGTTACTTGGGTCCAGTTTGCCGAGCCATGCATGATGTTGCATAAAGGTATGCACATGAAAAGCCCCGGGGGCCGGGGGAGAGACGCTGACCGTTATCGACGGCTGAAGGAAAGCAGAATGGTTGGTAACACCACCAGTCACTGATGATGACGATGTTGCGTCTCGGTTGCCGAGTGTGAGCCTCTCGGTGTCGCGTCTGATAGCTTCAGCCGCCAAACCGCATGGTCAATGTTGAGCCTGAGCTCCATGAAGCGATATGCTCTTCAGACGCAAAAGCAGCAAGTGCGATCTCACAGCTTCCTCAGTCCTGCCATTAGTCCCTATGACTTTCTATATGTGAAGTATACCCCTTTCCATACCTCCAGCAGCTATAAGGTAGTATCCGGCAGAAATTCTGCAGGTCACCTGCGCAAATTGCCCGTGGTTCCATTGGACCATGGATATTGCTGAATGCGCTGTGTGGTGGTTGGGGCAGCGTATTACTGATCCTGTACGGAAGTCCAGTCAGGAGTTCCGCTTCGATATTGGATTCCCGCTGCCAACACATTAAGGCAATACAGAAGAGATGTGTATGGGTTGGTTAGGCTTGAGCTCTACCGTCTCCTTGTACCATGACAAAGTTCATTATTACTTTTCTACAGGCCGTGTTCCCCCTAGATGAATACACCCATAGGCCCTAAAGAAACAAGAACGCCAGCGGCCTATTTGATACACAACGCAACCTCCCTCGTGACCATGATCCCCATTTCCTTCCTGTTGCCATCGGTGCTGCTGTCGTCCCCATCGGCCACCGCGTTGATATGATCCTGACTTTCGCCCGGAGCGGGCATGCGCCCAACGTTCGACATCATGTACGCGGACCCGCGCTTGCGGCTACTGCTCGACGCGAGCGCCTTGAAGTTCTCCATATTATCGCCCACCTGGCTTTTGTTGTGCGCCGAGCCGCCGAGGTTCGACCAGTTACCGTACGCCGTCCTGCGCCAGCCGCCGCTGCTCAGCTCGCTCAGCTTGTGCCTCGCGTCGCCGACGAGGGGCTTGATGGCCGGCGCGTTGACCACGACAGACGCGACGAGGATCTCGCGCGAGGCCTAGCCGAGCGCCACACTGAGGTTCTGGATGTTGCTTAGGGAGTAGTAGGCTCGGATGATGGCGCACACCATGACGAAGAGGCCCGAGGAGAAGAGCATGACCAGGGTGTTCTGGCACATCTTCTCCTGTTTTCCAACCCACAAGACGTGGCAGATCAAGCCGTTTCCCAGTGGTAAGGGACACTGGCTCGCCTCTCTCAGCCCTCTGCTCACCGTTATACAGATACCTGTACAGTTCGAAAGGGAAACTACATCATTATCACGATCCTGGACGTTGTGTGAGTCAAGCCAGCAACTCCCATCCGATGTCCGTATTCGCCCGACTACATCTAACACGCCTTCCCTGCAGGACCGATATTGTTGCCGAGGAGGCCTTGTCTTGATATCAGCACGCTGCCATCGGAACCAATGTTGAACTCCCCAAAACGAGCTCGACTGAACGCTTTGAAGCCAAACATACCACAGGTATAGAGGAAGGTAGCTTCCAGGATCCAAAACACCTATCCAAACAGAGTCAGTTCGTTGACGTCGATGGATTGCTCCTTGCGGTCAACACCTACAACTGCGCAACCGGCGATTGCGTCGTCCAGGCCAAAGCCACCAAAGCCGGCCGACTTCCAACGTGCGTAGAACCTGACCGCGAAAATGATCATACCGACAGCAAGCTCGGTAAAGAGCTCGGTGGGTAGGTCGTACGCCATAACGGCGGGGATCTAGATGTGGGACAGCCCCCCATGTGGGACAGTTTCCACACCAAAAGGCCACACTTGCACCCACGGATAACTCTGTCCGAATTAAAGCTATATATAATGCGAGTGCATCATTAAAACCGCCTTTTCTTGAAATTTTTAGCAATACTAATCGTTCTCGCGGTATCGTGCGGGCTGGCGGATTGCACGGCGCAAAGAACGCACCATAATCGGCTCGTCATCTTCATCATCCGGGCTACTACCCTCTTTATCCATAGCAACACCCTCATCCTCAGAGGGAGGGCTCCAATTCCTCTAATTCTTCTGATTCTGACTCCTCAGAGTCCTGTCACGGCGAGCATACTGAGGAGCTGGGACATGGCCTGCAGCAAGCAGCTATTAATCTATTGACGAGAATATCAAGACTAGAGAGGAAAGGAAGAGAGAGAGAGATAGGTACAGTGGGAGGTTGCCCCTTTCAGGGGATCCTCTGGTCAGATCCTTCCCTTATTGTGAAGTATCGGCTTGTCATGTGGGAAGGTCTGTGCAGGCCGTCATACTTGACATCTACATTATATTATAATAAGTTTTGAAAGTCTTTTATTTTATTTTGCTACTTTTAGCTATAAAACTATATTAGCCTTATAATATTATATTAAGTTAAAAACTATTTTAACTTGCTATAATAGCTGAATATAACCATTTTAACCTCTTAATAATTAATAATTACCGATAAAGACTCATAGTTTAGCTTTGTTATTGTATCTTCTAAACCTAATAGCTACTTCAAATCTAAAGAAAGTCCGTTTTTACTCGCGATGATATTAGAGCCCTAACATCGTGCGAACATCATTGTAACACTGTGTCTTAAACCTCCCCTCGCCCGGATAGGTAGAAATATGCGGCGCTCTAATATTCCTCATGTTGGATCTTACGGTTTCGCTACAGTGGTCAGCAGCGGCTTTCAAAGTGACCAATCAACAACCGTCAGCTACCTAATTCCAGAAACCCTCATCCCCTTTCGCATCAGCTCTCTTGGCTCAAAATTCCGTACCATCACAACCCCATAAGGCCTTTCACTATCCCAAACCACCAGACAAAATGGCCCCGAACAGCACCATCGCAATCCCCCGCCACCCCCCAAAGCCCACTACACGTCAGAGCGCCGCGATGCCGTCCGCAAATGACAACGACGACGCGCGCTGGCAGCTCGTCCTAGCGCACGCCCCCACATCCTCCTTCCTCTACGCCGTGCTCTCAACCCACATCTTCTGCCTCCCCAGCTGCCCGTCGCGCCGCCCCCGGCGCGCCAACGTGCGGTACTTCGACAGCGCCGCCGCTGCCAAGGCCGCTGGGTTCCGCGCCTGCCGTCGCTGCAGGCCGTACAGCGCGGGTGTGGGCGCGGGAGGGTTCCCGTCGCAGGACCAGACCGCGCGGGGGGCGGTCGCGGCCGCGTGTGCGTATATGCCTGAGCGCGCAGGGGATGGGGATGGGAGGGCGGTGGTGCGGCTTTTGGATGTGGCGGGGCATGTTGGGCTTTCGGGGCGGTACTTCCGCGGATTGTTCAAGCGGGTGATGGGGATAACGCCGGGGTTTGTGCATGCAGTGCAGGATCCTGGTAGGCATTGTGGAGGGGCTGCTGAGTCTGGTTCTGGGGGTGATGCTTTCGTTGCGGGCGTTGCTGTGGATGATGGGTTCGATGCACAGATGAATGCTTTGGGGGATTTCAACTTGGGCGATTCCATGATGATGACGATGATGGATGGTTTCAGTTTCGACGCCTGCGGGTTACAGCTGGAGTCATTCGAGCTTGGTGGTGCTGACCCCTTTCTTTGGAGTGGCGAGTTCGACTTGAGCGGGATGGGACTCCCGGGGCCGGCTATGCATTCGACTATGGACGTGGGATGGAGTCAGGGGCCTGATGAATCTCTTGACCCGGCACTATTGACTTTACGAGCCATCTGAAGCCACCTACCTCCCAGTATGTACCCAACAAAAGTGAGAACTCAGTTGCATAATCCCCATGAAAAGCATCATTCTTGAGCACAGTACGGCTCCTGTGATGCTCATCCGCCCAGATCCGGACGCGGCGGTGGAAGTTTAGGAGACGTCAACATCCGTATGAGGTACCTACTTCCACAATATAAACAAGTCATATTCGCAACGTTCTGCCCCCTCTCTTCTTGAATGCGCCAAGAGGTACATGACCTTCGTCCCCTTCACGGATCTTCAAGCAGGCATAACATGAGTGCAGATGTTGCGGAGGAGTAATCTATTTCCTACTTCGCCGAGAGCCGCAGTAAAAGATAATATGGCAATGCGTATCATTGGCTACATCGAAGACTGTCTGGATGACATGGAGCTCAATAGACCACATGATAAGTATGTCACTTCAGCCAGGACTTACACGTACTTGGCCAATTGTCCGAGCAACGTACCCCTAACTGGTCACGTCAGCAGCAGGGACAGGAACAGCGCGATTGACAGACGGTCGCGAGCATGTGTATAGATAATGCGGCATGCTGAAGCATTTCTTGACTTGACACACGCTCTATTATCATCACATCTTCAGTTAACCCAATATAGCTTTCACCCTGACTACTGCACATTATGACTTCCACACCGAGCATATCCAGCCTCTCCGAGAGCGCCACCGACGTAAGTAACCCAACGGCCCGGTACATATGTATCATGCCGCAGGGACGAAGACACCCGTGGACCACAGCTAACGCCACACCGCAGAAGGGCACCGCCCATCAGCAAGTTGAAGCAACCCCTCGGACCCTCCTCCGCTGGCGCCCCCTCCCGGCCCCCGTCACCGAGGCCGCGTCCGCAGCCGCACTCCTCGAGACCCACGACAGCCCCGTCCCCTGCCGACGCTGCCAACACGACAGCCGCGCCGGCGACGCTATGCTCCTGCTGTCCTACGACCCATTCCTCGGCTCCAGCCCCTACCGGGGCGCGTCGCCTATCTACCTGCACCCGCGCTGCCAGTCGGTGGGTGCGGAAGACGTGGGCCAGCTGCTGCTCGACCGGCAGCGCGCGAGGCTGTTGTCGGTGCGCGCCTTCGACGGCCGCCATATGATGGTCGACGCGGACGTGGTGGACGGGGGCGTGCTGCTCGAGACGTGCGGGCGCATGCTGGCCTTGGGGAAGCCGGCCGAGTACTGTTATGTGCATAAGACTATGCATGGTTGCTTTGCTGTGCGGGTTGAGAGGGGAGGTCGGGCGGACTGAGTGGCTTGTCTGTTTGGTCGAGGTCCATGGTTGAGCCTAGACGTGTAGTATATAGTACATGGTTAAATACCCCCAAATGGCGTTTAAAATAACCCTAAGCCCCATGTATAGAAATCCTCGAGGAGAGTTGCCGAACAGACCGGCGATGAAGTCTTCTTATCGCGACGCGCTGCGTATAACGGTATAAGGTGGATGTCACGTTCCGAGGCATGGAAAGCTCCGTGGGGCCCAAACCAATACCTACCTGCTTAAAGACACTAAGCCACGGTGCACTGGACACTTTAAGAGGGTTATTGTAATGCATTAAACTAGCTTAACCTTTAAGTACAAGTCTTTTGGTAGAAAGAAGCCGTGCTCCTAGGCCGACGGGAACAACAGCCTGTGGTTACTGTACGCCGGCTCCGAGCTCTACTGTAGGCGAAGGACACGGACGGCGTGCCGCCCGGCCGCATCTAGAACGACTGGCTGCGGTTGCCGATGACCCTGAGCTGTTCGGGTCTCTCGAGGTCTTTCTAGGCCAGGTTCTTTTCGTCGATACCGCCGTCTGTCCAGAAGGATTTGCGATCTGTTCTCAAGTTAGCAACTAAATTATGCGCCGTTTAGGCCGTCGATAAATTTTATTTGATAAAACTCGTATCTTATCCATCCCCAGCCGCTTCAGCTTCAGCCTCAAGACGGGACGACGGCTAGGACGGCAGGACGGATGCGGCCCCCACCCAGGATCCTGGCCCCCATCGTCCCGGCAGCCCGGGTACCGGTACACCTAAGCAAGGCAGGCCCCTCTTCTCCACTCCCTCCTCTTCACTCCCCATCTTGAAGATCTCCCGACGTCTGAACAAGGTTCACTATCTGCCATCCTGCTCCAGTTGCGGCTGAACGGCTGAATGGCCGGGGAAGTGGGTAGGTGGGTGGGGGAGTGGTGCGAGATCCGTCCAGATCTCGCATCTGAGATCTCGAGACGCAGGGGATTGTGTCACCTCACATACGCACACACGCATGCCCAGACACAAATACACGTATATATATACCTACAGCCACAGACACTACAAGAAGCAGTCCTCCGCCAACCCATCCCCAACCGAGGCTGAGTTCCGGGATCCCGAGCAGACACACCTCAGGTCCCGTCCCGCCTGAGTACCGTAGCAGCAACCAACCCACCAGTTACCACCTGGCGTTCGGGTATTCGGCAGGTTGGCGGCTCAGGTCCCCGGTCCCGGTCCCTTCCATCCTCGATTGGTTCAATTGGCTCCCCCGTATTGATCTACCGGTGATCAATCTGGGGAACCCAGCAGGAAGAAGAGTCTGCCGAGATAGCTGGGACGGCGGCAGGGCGGCACGGCCAACTTGCCAAGTACCCGAAAAGTCGACGTGAGTGCCGGAGCCGCGCTTTATCACGACGGCGGCAACAAACTGGCATATATATATATATATATATATAGGTATATATTATATACGAAACAACCAAACGTCCAAGTATGTCGTTACCAGCACCTTCAAACTACCGCTCCCAAACAGACAGTCCCATAACCCCCGGCCGTGCTACCATCATCCATCCATCCATCCATCCATTCCAGACCAAGCACAATCAACTACCCAACTACGCGTCATCCGCCGTACTCCCCGAAAGGACCGGAGCAGCGAATGGCATAAACCCGAAGAAGCCCGTGTCTCGTATCATATAGGTATCATGTATCGTGTAACAAGTGTCGCGAATCTATGTCCGTGTACCACCAGCTGGCCAACGTCCGGTAGCACCAGATACGATGCGTCAGTCATGCAGTCAGTCACGCAGTCAAACAACCGACGCGAAACCCCCCCCTCTACCCCGTACGTGCAGTTGGCCGGCCGGCCGTGCCATATTTTTCTTGCGTACCTGGGTACACAACTCACGATCTAGGAACTACGATCTACAGACGGAAAACCTGCTTCGTCATGTGGTCGGCCGAATACTTATGCCGTGTTTGTGCTCGTGCTTATGTTTGAGTGATGTGTGTTACTCAACGACCATCGATCGGAAGCAGTAAGTACCGAGCAGCTGGATTAGGTAGAGCGAGTAAGGGTCTTATCATCGAACATGTCAGAGGTTGAAAGGATAATTTACATGTTTGACTGCCTGGATGGTGTTACATGGATTTTACCACCATGGCAATCCCAGTTGGAAATGTAGAACCCTAGTATTTACGCAAGAATCGAATCGTACCGAGAATTCGTTGATTGGTGTGGAGAATTCTTTTGGTGTTCAACCTGGGTTCCCGTGACCCTGTAGAATGCAAAATATGCGTCCTATCTGAAACGTATGCTGCTTTTGGGCAGCCAGTAGTGGTATTCCTTTTCTGCAACGTGCAACGCGGGCCTCAACGCCAGATATTTTGCTCTCCTCAACGCCAGGTGTCTTGCTTCTCCCCAACGCCAAATCTCCTTCATCTCCTCAACGCCGAAATGAAACTAAAACCATTCCACGCCAAATTATCAGAAGGATGTTCTGTTCTTAACCGTGGTGCCTGTCCCACTGTGTACTCAAAAGGAAATCTGCCGTAGAGGCTGCCGAAAATGCAAATAGGAGCCCTGTCAAGGCATAGCATTCTTGCATTAAATGGTATACTCCGGTATCTGATATTCCGAACCCTGGGCGGTGGTAGTCGCGCTCGAAACGAATGCAGTACGCCGACCAAATATTATACAATTTGGGGCAAATTCATACAAGAATAAGAGTCGTGTCGTGAGAGTTGAAGGCGAAGAAGCGCCATAGATGGCCTACACAGCTGATTGTATGGTATGTCTAACCAGGGGTGCTGGTGTTATTATCAAGGTTGGGGTTGGGGTAATCTGAGCGCACGCGTTAGCATAACCTATTTGCAGGCGAATATGTAGAACAAGACTTACACCACGCGCACACAGCAATGATCAAGTACAGACATATCAGCTGTGCACCTTCAAGCCAATGACTCTTGCCATCTCCTATCAGATAGTTGACCAGCAAGACGGCGACGAAGAGAACGATGATTTGGAAGGTGTCGAAAGCCAGCGTCATATCCGTGTTGCCCATGCCCCAGGCGATGATGACCAGCAGAGGGATGAGGAAGAGCGCGACTTGCATAGACGAGCCAATGGCGACACCAATGGCGAGGTCCATCTTGTCCTTGACGGCAACCGTAACCGCAGTGGCATGCTCGCATGCGTTACCGACAATCGGGATCAGGATCAGACCCACGAACTCCTCACTGACACCTTCGGCCGTGATGGCATCGATACCGGTAACCATACCCTCGGCGCATAATGCAATGATTACCGTCGCGATGAGTAGAGTACCCAAGGCGACGAAGAAATGCAATTCGGGTTCCTCGGGTTCCTCATCCTCCTCTGACTGCGGCTTCTTGGTTGAGGGGTTCATCATCATCGAAGTCAGTTGACCGTTGCGTCCGTTCATTCCTGCGCTAGCGGTCATAGTTTGTGCCACACCGGATGTCACACCGGAGGCAACAGCATTCTCTTCCGGGACGGGGGTCTTCGATTTGAAGATATTCTGGGTGTCAACCTTTTCGCCCGATTCGGCAAACATGCTGCTATGTGTCCTCAGTTGGAAGAAGAGGTAGAAGGCGTACACCAACAACAGGATGACGGCGACGCCGTGAGACAGGTCCGGGACATCGGTGGGCTTTAGAGCGTTGATATCCTCGAATTCCGGCGTGTGCGAGAAGATGGTGGGCACGATGAGACTCCCGACCGCGAGAGCGAGCAGGCTGGCGGCTGTCTGGGCGACGGTCGTGTTGAAGAACTGCTCGGGTCGGTTTATACCTCCACAGAAGAAGCAGCATCCCATGACAAGGAGCAGATTGGAGAGAATACTGCCGATCAGCGATGTTTGTACGACAGTTACTTGGTTCTGGGTCAGCGCGATGATGGCCACGATGAGCTCGACAGCATTGCTAGTGACAATGTCAGCGAGGTCCCATCGTCGGTTTTGAGGTGGTCCGTCCAGAAGCTCCTTACCCGAAAGTAGCATTGATTAATCCGCCCAGAACATCACCAGTCCGCAAGGCAATCTGCTCGGTAGCGTAGCTCAGCATAGCAGCGAGAGGGACAATGGCGATGAAGTTGATAGCAAACGCAATACGGCCGTCGAGACCAGCGGCCCAGACAGCAATGCCGGCAGGGGCAGCCACCAACAGGACGTTGATCCACGAGTTCAAGAGGGTGCGCTGAATCTGGTTCTTCAACGTGAAATGCGGTTTGGGCTTTTCGTCCTCGTCTAGGCCGGTCCGTCCCTTCTCTCGTTCACCTCGACTGCCGGGCGTAATGGTTGTATCCTTCCCATTTGTACTGCGTTGTCGAAGTCCATTCGGACTGTCGGGGATGGTGGTCGCCTGGGAGTCGAAGTTCTCGTCATGCTGTCCACTACCAGATCCGCCACGTTCGGCCTCCTTGCTGCTTTGGGATATCTTGTCGGCTGGGGCTTGATAATGCTCTGGCATAGTACTCGCAGGTCTGAGCTGTGGCGTGTCGTAGTTGTCGCCAGCCCGTCCCTGCTCGGCATCGTTCAGGGTTGAAGCTCGTTTGTGCCCACCGTTCTTGGGTTGATCATGGTTGAAGCGCCTGAAGGGGTTCCATACGCCGCTTCCATTAGAATCGCTTCGACCTAGGCGGCCGGCCTGGTTTTTGGTCTTGTAGAGGTTGACTGATTGGTCGGTCATCATGTAAGTAATTATTCGGCAACGTTGCGCAAACTTTCCATTCGCCACTCGATGGTGACAGACAGAGGATGACGATGCAAGTCCGAGGATGAGGGGAGGGAGACTGCAGGCCACAGATGCCAGTAGAGCACCGGCTTATTATGCGCCCCTGCGTTTGTGTCGTTCTTTGTCCGTGTTGGGTATCATGAACGGTGTTGGGAGTACGAATATGTGAAGCGGAAGAGTTGGGAGTTGGTCAGGGAGCGACAGGACCGGATCCGGAGCCCAACATGGCACGAATGGAAAGCGTTGGTGAATAAAACCTATGACGAAGCAAACAATAGAGAAGAGAATCAATCGGTGGTGACGGGAAGGGGAAGAATGGCCAGAAGAGGGATGGGAGGATGAGCGAAAGGGAAAATACAGGATTGCGAGAGGTAGTCTAGGTACCTCGGCGCGGTACGGTAGCGCGCAGCTAACAGCGGTATCGTGCTAGCTGTCGGGCCATCGTGCTATCGTGCTGGCTGCAGGGCATGCATGGCAGGGCATTGCAGGGCAGGTGGTGGAGTGTAGATGCGCTGAATTGAAAGCAGACTTGGCGAATTGGACGGTCTCTCTGCCGGTGTTTGTGGGGAAAAACGGAGAGGGGAGCGAGATGAGTAAGGGAAGGTAATGTGCGAGTAATGGACGGCAATTCCAGAGCGCCGACAGCCTACAACGGTACCTCGAAGTGAGTTGGCCGAGCAGCTGCTAGCGAGGTACTTTGGAGGAGTCCCTGCGAATGGCCGCTTGGCACGTGTGCTCACATGGTGACATGGATTGTCCCGTGAAACATCCCTCCGTCATGACACGATGACACCAGGCGGGAGGAAGCAAAGAAAATAGACTCACGGTGATGATGCTTGTTGTAGCAGTCTTCCTCCTTGGGAAAAGACATCGTCGGCAATCGATAGTCGCAGATCTATGTCGGTAAGGTATGTAGGGTACTTTGCGCGTGTTTGACAGCTCTGACGGGGTATTGTCGGTTGGGATTGGGGTTGGGGGCCGTTCAAGGTTGGTTCGGGTTGCGATAAATATGCGCGTGCCCGCCCTGCTTCTTTCTGCTCGAAGGTGCAAAACAAAAAGGTGAAGACGTCCACGTTGCAGTCGGTCGAATGCGGGATGTTGAAATGTTCTGGTGATTTCAGCCGCCTGCGTAGTCTCGTAGATACCTCTGCTTCTTCCTGTTAACGGTCCAATCGATCCCTTATTATATATATCGGGGCCTGGACCTCGATGCGAGTGATGGATTGAGGGAGTCGGTTACTCACTGTCGATCACGTCCGGATCCGCCCCTACTCTGGAATCAAAGAGCCCTAGCTATGGCGATGCTGAGGGCGAAGTCAACGTCGGCCTTGCGCTACATGTAGGAGCTGTGAGCCTCCCGGTGTCCTGAAGGGTCGGGGCCGAGGTGGGCACTGGGCGGTGGGCGGTGGGCAGTATCAGAGGGCGGTGCCAGGCCCAAGTGGCAATACCTTAGGGAATAGGGAATAGGGGATAGGGAATAGGCAGATGCGAACTGCAGGTGGGTATGAAGAACTGTGTAGGCGGAAGAGAGAGAAAAGGTTGCATGCTCCAGGAGAGAAAGCAAGGGCACCTTGGCGTTTGTATTGGAAAATGCAAAACGCCAATGCCCATACACTCAGGGGACAGCAACTATGACCCGTCATTTACATTTACCATCTAAGGTACGACCAGTGACCTGCAGGGACGTCGCGAATCTGCAAATCAAGATTATCAGACAATCAGACAATCAGACAATCAGACAATCAGAATTATTTCGCATCGAATCAGAGTGCGCTGGAACTTCTGCTCCTGTCGCCCGTTTCCAGACGATAATCGTGGGACGGACAGAGCAAGGGTCTGGACTCTGGCACGTGTCTGGTACATGTATGGGAGGCCTCCGTTCGCCTTGGCATCGCGACGTCTGCGCCTGGTCTACTGCACCACCTACGTAGGTAGCTGTAGCCTGAAAGGACGAACGTGGCGTTTACAGGTATTCAGGGGCTATGATAATAAGAAGTTGGAAACCCGAATAGCTCTGCCCAACGACACGTCTGCACGTATTTGATGGGATCGGATCGGATCGCCGACAGTTGTTCGGCAGGTACGGTACCGACTTGTTTTGAGATTGGGGTCATGTCCCAAATGCCGAGGGCGTGTCACTCCCATGCACATCGCACACCTTGGGAAATGCACGCGAGAACGACGGGAGATGTCGAGGTCGAAAAGCCAAGATGCACAATGACGCCAGGTAGAGCGCCAACTGGAGCGGATTCAAGCTTTGGCCAAGTTTTGTGAGAATCAGAACACACGCCGGGAGGCGGGAGCTTGTTTATCGTCCAGTCGTGCTTGGCCACTTGGCTGCTTGACCACTTGGCTGCTTGGCTGCTTGGCGGCATACGTTGGGCCTTGGCCATCTCTTCAGTGGAATTATAAAGCTTGGCGAATTTAGAATAAGACTGACTGAACATTGGACATTGCGCCGCGCGTCAGCCAGTCGCATCCAATCTCCTCTACATAGTAATATATCTTAGTAGTGATATATCATATATCTTTAGCAACCATCACGGCGCCTAGCTATTCCGAATGCGATTCCGCCGGAAAGGATACTACTGTGCTATTGTTGGCAACATCCTATCCGCATGGCATCTGCATGGAATGCCCCCCGGATATGGTATACCGGTTACCGAAGGCTATCTGCATCCCGCCAAGCTCCAACACGGGGGCCGGCCGGCAGTGGGGCTTTTTTCCACTTTGCCGCTCCATGTCGGCCCCTCATCAACATTGAACCGTCGGCTCTGCTGTTGGGTAACTCCCTCGCACAATCCGCCATCGATTGTTCCAACGGTTAGCCGCAACACTGCTTACGAAGGAGGTCGAGGTACCTTACTTGCAGGACGCGGGATATGAGAATCGCGACGCGCCGTGGCTGTGCCCGTCATGAGCTTATTGTCATTTGATCCATCTCGTTTTCGCTCTCGGCGAGCTGGCTTATGTCAGCACCGTCGGCCAGGGTTTCGCACTGCATGTTGCGTCTCCCAGTAGTTGGGAGGTAGGCATGGGCAAACCTCACGCAAGGTGATCAACCATCATGGCCTTTGGCGGCTTGGAAACGGCGTCGAGATCGTATCGTTCGCAGCTGGGGACGTCTTCACCGATCATCGAGCGAGCCCGCCCTCCGGGAGCCCAGCTCCATCTGTGACCGTCTCCTGGGATTGGAAGTCCCCGAGGTATGTCACCGAGGCCTTACAACTCACACGGAGCGGAGGCGGACAAGGTACTCTCCTACTCTGCCTTTCATCAACATAAAAGGAGCGTATCCTTCTCTCGGATGCCGAAGCAGACCTGACCAACATCACCTGCTAGCACGCATCATCGGTTCTATCACGAACCAGACTTTGTACCAGAGACAAGCCAGTCGTCAAACACCTCAAGGGGGACGGTGATGTGGAGGACTGACGGTCTTCTGGACGTAGAGGTGAAAGCACTTGTCTCGTGTCGAAGGTAAGGTATGGGAGCTGTTTCCAGGAGATTAGAATTCTTCTATGTCCCGCGACACAGAGCCAGAGAAGCTTTTAGTTGTCAAATACATGATATTACCTGATTCCATGACCAACTTCTGTCGACGAAGACTGCCTATCCAACGACGACGCCCAGGTATCCCATTTCCATGCAGCGAGTTTTAATCGGGAAGAAGCCCAAAGGAATGACTCAAAGTCAACACCGAAGTATTTCGTCGACACATTGCTTCGCGCCCAGAAGGCCGCTTCTGATTAACAATCCCAGCCATCGAATCCAATCCAGCAAAGCGAGCCCCTAACCAAGCAGACATAGTCCATCCACATCCCTACCTCCATACCCCCCTATCCATCCTAATCCCCACCCCCATCCCTAAACCCAGCAAAATACCTTCCCAACCCCGACCACCTCCCCTCCCGATCCAGCAGCAGCGCCGCCGACCCAACAAACCCGTCCCTCATCTCCCTCGCCGCCACAAAGAACCCAAACTCCCTGACCCACCCCTGCCGATCCATCCACTCCACCATTCCCCTCGTAAACCTCTTCACCTCCACCGGATCCCGACTAGTGCTCGCGATCTCGCTCACGACTACCTTCATCCGCCCCCCGAACTCGTCGTACTTCTTGCGGATGTAGTTCTTGGCGCAGTCCACCTCGTGCTCTGATAGTGAGTTCGGGTCCGGGGAGGTGTAGAAGTGCACGCCTATGTAGTTAGGGAGCTCGTCCGGCAGCAGCGCGGCCATGAAGGTGGCATGCCAGGCGTCGCCGGCGGCGTAGCTGGCGCAGGCCGGGCCGACGAGCTCGACGCCGTGGGTGCGGCGGAGGGGCAGCATGTGGCTGCGCCACGCGGCGAGCGCCTCTGTCGGCGTGACGCCTGCGAGTTCCGGCTCGTTGTAGAAGTGCACGATGGGCTTGTCTTTGTCGATGTCGGGCCCGGGCGGGGGCTGCGTGGCGAGCGAGGCCAGGAGGGCGGACCAGGGCTCGGCGGCGAGGCTGCTTGGAAGACGCACCATCGGCCGGTGGATGATGGAGGCGGGCAGCTCGGGCGGCCGCCACGTCTCCCAGTTCATGGCTGTCCTGATGTAGGGCGAGGCAGGGAGCGAGGCGGCGGATTCCTGGATCCCGGGGTAGTCTTTGAAGTCGTGGGTTAGGGTGTACTCCCATAGGATCATGCGTTTGGCGACGCCCGGCGTGTTGACGATGCTGAAGGTGTCATTGTCAATGGTATCAGTGACGATCGTGTTGGTTACTCGAATCTCTGGTGACGATTGCGCTGCCGGCCCTGTCATCGGCGCCGGACGGGCGTGTACTGGTGAACTGGCGAGGACGAGTAGACTGGCGGCCTTCCGCATGTTCACGGAAAGGGATGGTTTCATGTTGACGAATCGCTCAAGACTGATATTATAGCGGCCTGACGTTGAGATTGCTGAATTGGGCAGTGAACATGATACTTAGTCGAAACTTTCGTATAACAAGGGCGCCGGTGATGCTCCAGTATAGTCAATGAGAAACAGCGATTCGCTGGGAGTAGGCCGTGAGAAAAACCATGCACAAAACACGCAAGGGAAGATCGAGGGCTAAGCATAAATGAAGCATTCGCCAATCTCCAACTTAACTCCAGGTAGGTTTTGGTAACGGTGCTCCCCAATTGATAGAAGACCATGGTCATGGCGAAGGTTGCTTGCTCGGTAACGCATATGCTACCCCGTATAGCAAATACCGTTGGGCTGGTAACACTGAGTATCATTGTTATGAACTCCCAGGCATAGCGCGGGCCTTGGAGTCTAGATCCAAGGCTACCTTGGTCGTAAAGTATAGTCTCGCAGCCTTGGACACTATGTCGACGGGGCAGGGTGCTGTTATGGCCTCTAACTTCCGCTTCGGTGTCAGGTAGTGAAGTGTTCAGTCAATATGTGGCGCAAACCCAAACCTTTAGGGAGAAAGGATGTAAGAAACCTCACATCAGAGTATGTCAAGTCTCAAGCCATGAGCCAAAGCGGACAGCGGCTCGTGTGATGCCCTGCGCACATATTCCTCTCAGTACATTGAACATACCTAGTAGCGCATGAAATATACCATGCTCAGTCGGAGTGGCACCGACTGTGATATGTAAATTAATCATATCATTCCTCATAAAAACTCATACAAAGGGGTGATTGCCTCGAGTCTCAACGCCTACTCGTGCTTTCTTCATGAGATACCCCAGTCTTCACCTGCTTCATAATCCATGTCACCATGGTCCATGGTATCGCGCGCCTCGCCCTCTTCTAGTCCTGCGGTGGCACTACTACCAGCAATACTAGCCTTGCGGGCTGCTTGTTCGTCCTCTAGACCACTAGCCATGAGGAAGTCGCCATCAGCAGTTGTAGTTGTCTCGGAGTCCGGCGCACTCGTGGGCCACGCGGGTTCAACCTTCTCTCCAACTCCAGGAATTGAATCATGCGCGGATATTCCAAACATGAACTTTTCAGCCGTCTTGCGGTCCTTGAATGAGACATGAGTCGTCGTAGGATCAGCATGTATATCTTTGAACTCTCCGATACCCTAAGATATTTGTTGTTAGTCTTGAATGTCGACAGAGGTCCATATCACTTACGAAAAGATACTGCCGCAGCGCTTCATCGTTCTCCGGAACAGTGAAATCCACTCCGGACAGCGCAACAATCTTCGGTCGGTTGTCCAAGGAATACGCTGCATAAGCCGAATGCCGAGCTTGAACACCACCGCCTCTGCCACGGTATCCATAGCCACCACGTGCGGCTCTAGGAGGGAAGGAACCACTTCCACGAGGACCTCTCCCTCTGCCTCGACCTCTCGGTGCCCACGATGAATATTCATCTCGAGCAGCATCCGGATCGATCCCTAGCTGGTTTGCCTCATCCTGAAGCGCTGCCAGCTGGGCGCGCAGAGCCTCGGTCTGTGAACTTGGTTTCTTGTTGGTGCTGTCCGGCAATATCTCGGCAGGTGGCGAAGATCCATTTCTTGACCCGTTCGCCGCAAGCTTCGCCTGGAGTTTGCGTTTCGCCTCTATCTGACGAGCACGGAGTTCCTTTTCACGATCCTCAAGCTCTTGACGTTGGCGCTCAATCTCTTGTCGCTTCTGCATTTTCTCCTGGTGGGTTTTTTGCGCTTCTTCCTGCTTCCGGTTGAACTCTTCCATATCGAACTCCGGCTCGGCAGAAGCGGTATCGCTAGTCGCAGCATGGCCATTTGCGGAACCATTCTTCAGGGCGCCAGCAGGCTTCCCACTAGGCGCAGTTCCAGCTTCAGCCTTGTCTTTGTACCAGAACACCTTGACGAACCGGTTGTCAAAGATGACCTTTGGCGAACTCCAAGCAGCGTTTGCCTCTTCCCACGTGTCAAACTTGATGGTAGCAAGACGATTGTACTCCTGCATCGAGATATTCGCAATGGTGCCGAACTGAGAGAAGTATGCACGGATCTGATCCTCGCTGTAGTTCTCCGCAGGGATGTTCTGAACCGCGATGACTGTCTTGGAACGGTCGTGCATAGGACCGTTCATGGCGAACGGCGCTCGACCTTTCATACGTCTCGGCTTCTTAGGCTCGCGACGAGTAGCGGGAGGAATAGCCTCGAAAGCCGACTTGTCCAAGGGCGGTAATTCTGGCGCAGCCGGCAAATTGCTGAAACTGGGCATCGGTGGCAAAGACGCGCTGGCCGGGTCATATTCTACTTCTTCATCAGCATATCATCCATCGTAGACCACCCCTTCGGGTAATGTAGGCTTACCATCACCAGCCGGAGGTCTAAAGGGAGGGATGTGAAGTGACTCGGTTCCATGCTGGAATATGCAGTTGTTACCCCTCTGGCAAAACCCCTTGGTGTCATAGTCTCTGCAACGCTGTTTTCTCCTGCGAGGAGACGGAGCGATGGTTGACCCCGAATAGACTGGTTTAGGAAGCTCAGGTAATTGCGGAATCTGAGGTATCGGGATGCCTAGCTGCTGGAGTCGCTGAATGTTCTCCATAAGGCTATTGGCGTCGAGGGGGGGCAGGCTCGAACCATGGGGGGATGGCGAGTAAGACTGAGGTGGCGCATATCCGGCTGGACCGTGAGGTGCTCCGTATGGATTGTGGCCTCCTCGTAAGTTCTTTGCGTCGTACGGGTCGTCGAACCTGTCAAATATGGCCCCACGCTGGGAAAAGCCACCTCCTCTACGAGGCTGCTTGAACGGCTGCGGGCCTCCATACGGGCTCTGACTCGTCAAGATGATATCCACGTCTTTATCGTCGCGATCATTGTACGAGCGTTTTCGGGAGCCGCCGGGTCCAAGAGCAGGGCCTGTGGGTGGCTGAGCATACGTGGGAAACGGTGGTTGGACGTCGAGTCGAGGGACGTTCTGTGCCGGCGCTACAGGCGGCAGTGCACTCAGTTGTTGTCGGGAAATCGGTGGAGGAGGAGGGGCTCCTGGCAGATAGGATCGGTACTGTACAGCCTGGAACACATCATCTGTGAAAGCAGCGGCATCTATCGTATGTCAGCGTGTAGTCCAGCGCAGCGCAGGCCCTCTTGATAACCATACCCTCTCTGAGGAAATCGGGGATTTCTTCTTCGAAAAGCTGGCGAATGACCTCGAGCTCGCCATCATGTCGCAGCAGGGCTAGGACATAGTCTGCGAGTACATCGGCGTCTGCGTCGGACCTGGAGACAATCAATGGTCAGTGTGAAACCGTTGCGCGCAAACAAAGCAATGACGAGACATACGTGTTAGCCAGACGCTTGACGATCCAAGCTTTGAGGAGAGGCGTATCAGCCTCGGCGAAGAGCATGATCCGTGACGAGGGGGGACAGGTTTCGGTAGACAGCTGGTATTGCAGTTCAATGCCTAGACACCGAGACGCGTCAAGTTCGCGATGGTGGAGAGAAATGGGAAGCCTGTCATTGCCCTCCTCCCTTGGGGCAACAGACTGCTGCTGTGAATGAACGCGACGTGTGACAGGCGTGCGCGTGCTGGTGGTGAAAGGTGCCGGCGCCTTAGCTGCAAGGCTGAGTGACAACGGGTCAGAAGCTTGAATGAAGCCTCTTAGAATTGGAAAAAAATCGGGTGCTTCCAATGGAATGCTACGCGCTTGGGGGGTTGCGTCACACTGGGTGAAGTGGGGATAGGTTTTGTCCGTGCGCCGCCTAGCAGTCAAGTATGCAGCCCCCCCCCCTGTGGGCTGCCTTAGGTAGCTCCTCCCGCCTACCTAGGTACCTTACAGCAGATATCATCATGGTGGGGGCGGGGAAGCCTTGATCAACACCATCCCCACGGTACGGTGATCAATAAATTCTTTCTCAATTCGCAAGCAATCAATAGGACAGGAACATTGAATGCGACTGTCACCTCATAGAGAGCAAAGCAAGGCATTTGGTTTGTGAAGTATCACAAGAAGCATACCTCGCGCATTGCATGCCTTGGACATTCACTCATCTTGGCGGAATCATTGCTCTTACCTACATTGACCATCCTGATGGCTTGAAGTGAATCCCTTTCCAAGTCATAAGAAAAGATGGGATCATACAGTATCAGATCAGATCTGGAGGCGGTGAGACTCATGCACGCAGGGATCCCGACATGAGAGTTTATTCCCGTCCCGGGCTGACGGATCGGTGAATTTCAGGCTGACCTAATCGACAACCAGAATCCACTTCTTTGACAAGCCGTCTCATGAAGCTTGATCTGATGAAGATAACTTTATTGTCATGATAGACTCACTGTAAGGTATCGGAGATAATAAGCCGTCATTAGAGTTTACTCGGTTGAGTGAAAGACTTACCTCTTTATATATCTTCTCAAGTTCTTATCACATCTATCTACTCCATACATACATACAAACGCATATATACTGCATGCATATCAACCAACAAACACCATGGCTTTCACGATGCACTCCCACTCGGGGCAGTTCTGCCCCGGCCACGCAAAGGACGATCTTGAGGCCGTCATCCAGCACGCCATCAGCCTAGGCTACACGACCATGGGGCTGACCGAGCACATGCCACGAACACAGCGGGAAGACCTATACCCAGAAGAGGTCAGTGAGCTTCCCCTTTCCACTCACAATACCCCCCTATCCCCTCTTTCGAAGCAAGCCAAACCACCAAAACCCGCTAAACAACCCCCAGCTCGACGACCCCGAAGCCTCCCTCGCCGTCCTCTTCCCCCGGCACGAGGCCTACCTCGCCGAAGCCCAACGTCTGCAGGCCAAATACGCTTCGCAGATCGCCCTCCTAATCGGCTTCGAAGGCGAGTGGCTACGGCCCGCATACGCACCACTAATCACCCAGCTCGCCGCGCACCCAAGCATCGACTACTTCATCGGCAGTCTGCACCACGTCAACGCGATCCCGATCGACTACGACGCGGCGTACTACGCGCGGGCGCTTGCCTCAGTCGTTCCCCCTTCCCCCCAAAGTAGTGACGGTAACGGTGAGGAGCGCATGTACGAGCGCTACTACGACGAGCAGTACTCGATGCTGCAGTCCCTCAACCCGCGCGTGGTCGGCCACTTCGACCTGATCCGCCTGCTAAGCACTAATCCAAACCACAACATCCGCGCCTGGCCGGGCGTGTGGGAGCGCGTGCGCCGCAACCTGCACTACGTGGCCTCGTACGGCGGCTGGCTCGAGTGCAACAGCAGCGCGCTGCGCAAGGGGCTGGCCGAGCCGTATCCGTGTCGGGTCATTGCCGAGGAGTGGCTGCGCATGGGCGGCAAGTTCACCCTCTCCGACGACAGCCACGGCATCGCGCAGCTGGGCACCAACTACGCCCGCGCGCTGGACTTCCTGTCCGGCCTCGGGGTGACATCGGTGTGGACGCTGCAGCGGGATGCAAATCCCCACCCCCATCCCCAGTCCCATCAATATTCCCAGCCCGGAGAGGTGAAAAAGGCCACGCTGACGGAGAGGGAGGTCCCGATCGAAGACGTACGGGCAGTGGTTGGCAAGTGGTGACGTTTCTACTTCAGGTCTAGACGGTGGTGGGGAAGGTCGTGTATCAAGACACGAGGAAAAGGAAGAAGAGGGGCTGGGAGGTCGTATACTCAGTACAGTGCAATACAAATAGACGGGTGGCTTTGGATCTCGTTACACACTTGGCAATGAGGAGGTGTTCGTGCGCAAATGGTAGACCCTTTCCGCTTCGATTCCCTGCGAATTCTTTGCGAGATCATTTATCCAGCCATGACAGATAGATGACACCCACGACAGATACAGAGCATTCACATCACAGATACATAAGCGGGATGAGTGGCAAGTTATTTACTCGGAATTTGGAATTGTATTTATGCACTGTTCAGGGTTCATCGACCAATACGCTGGATATGCCTCCCTCCTGCTTAATAGCCGCCTTCAACTGTCCATGTCGAAACGCCAAGGTGTTGCTGGTGAAAAACAACAAATGCAGCATCTATACCATTCCTTCTATCCTTCCACGCAGACAGACAGACATGACATTTCGGATATTCCATCGACAATATCGCAGTGCTGTCAAGGAAATGTGTAAATTGCAACCAGAAAGGTGCACAAAAATGCAATGCTCCAGGGGTATCTTGAACGGATGAAACACATCTCTCTCTGCCTCTTTATGAGGACAAACTGTGGTGGTGGTACATAATTCAAACGCAACGGCATTGCCGCACTGCCGATTAAGGCAAGGAAACCGAAAATAGCAAAAGTGGTGTAGCCAGCTAATCGGCGTCGCACTGTCAGCCTGCTTGCCATGTGGACTGCGACTTCCAGAGTGACCTCTAGAGTCTTTGGTGTTTATACATCGCCGAGTTCGACGTTTTCGAGCCATGCTCGGACTGCTCCTCGTAGTGCGCTTTCCTTTTCCCGTGTTGCTTTGCTGGTGACAGGTCTAGTCGCGCCCTGACCCTCTTTCTCGCGCTGATCTGCCACATCTTGCACGATGCCGCCCAAGGCGTTCAAGACAACCGTCTTGCACTCGGCACGTGGCACTTCGAGAAAGTCATGCTGACTGTCTGGTGCCAAACAATGCTCCAGTTCCGAAACTTCACTATTGCTTCGTTCTCTTCGCTTGCTGACAGATCGGGATGACGTGGCAGAACTTTCCTTGCTCATGTCACTAGCATGAGCAATGACTCTCTCTACCGCGTCGATGAGAGCATCGTCCAACGTTACGAGTACTTCTTCTTCAATCTTATCCTTGATGGGCTGTTCGTATGGTGAAAGCGCCGGTGTCATGAGTGAAGAGCCATAAGGAGTCAGGTAGTGGCCACTACTTCGATCAGGTGGAGCCTTGTACTTCACAAGGCGGCTATAGCGAAGTCGTTTGATGGTGAAGTTGGTCGTGTCCGCCACAATCGCAGTACTGACATCAACCCAGTGTTCCGTAGACCAGTCCGCTGAAAGAGAGGGGTGGTGCCCAGTTGGTGTTGGCTCCGCCTTGAGGGATTCCCGGACTTGGTCGAGTAGGTCTTTCTGCGGTGGAATCGCCTGCAATACAAAATCCGGATGAAACCCCTGCAGCCATCCGGCAACATTCAAGGGGGCATCGCCGTCAATGGCCAGGCGTGAGAACTGCTCAAAGGCATCTAGCCCACCGCCGAGCCCAGGGGTTGAAAGATAGCCGCTACTAGATGGCGAACTGACGGCAGTCTCAAGCGATGTCAAGTAGTCCGGAAACTGAACGTCGACATCAATGACTCCATCATCGTTATTGATCGACGTCTTGACAGGTGATTCGTATGCACCTAAAGGATCTGGCGTCCTAGACGGAGGCTCGAATTGTCTCGTCCGAGGCGTATCCGGTTCGGTGCGGTTCGGATTACCCTGACCGAAATGGCCAGGCTCAGCTGCGTCTATGACCTGTGCTTCTTCTACCATTTGCGACAGTTTATCTTTCTTGGCAGCGGCAGCCGTGACCTGAGTGGGTGACGCGAGTGGAGCAACGCGCTGCCTAGGAATGTCCAGAGTCTGCGACGTGGTAGCTGTCGAATCTCGTCGCCTTGCGGGCCAAAGCCCACTGATGACACTGCCCCATCTGGAGCTCTGGCTACGGGAATCCGTGCTGCCATGGCTCGCATGACCACTACTATCGCCCCTATTGAGTGACCGCTTTAGGTCATCAGCAGCTATGCTGCTGCTACTGCCAGGTCGGAGGCTGCGGTTCATGCTGCTCCTATGCATCGTAGAGAAGTGAGGAATAGCCGCATCAGGCACCACGGTGTTCGTTGTTGCGGTACTGCTCTTCCGTGTGTTGAGGTCATTCCCAGCGATTGGAAGGTGAGCCGGTGTGTACAACTCGGACAACCGTCGCCCATGATGCTGCTGGTCCATGCTAAGATGCGCCAGCTGCGCAGGTATTCCTGTTGCAGACCTCGTTGTAGCCTGCGACTGGATACTGAAGCTTCTTGTATGCGATGACCCTCGTGGGCCTTGTCGTCGATTGATCTTCCGACGCAAAGACTCTTCCTTGTTGATCGGCACGACATATGACGGTGGAGACTGCCCAAATGCGGCAAAGGATGCCGAAGTGGCCGGTCGCTGTGCGCGCACTGTTGGCAGCTGCTGATTCGCGGGCAAAAATGCCGAAAGTAGGAAAATCAGTCGCCTCGCAGCCATCTTGTCCTTTGCGACAATGATCGTCCTCGAAGGGAGCGAAGTGTCCTCCTCGCTTTTTGCCTTCTGCTGCTGGTAGTGTCGTCTTCGATACCAGACGGGACTCAACGCTTGAAGCCAGTCCGTGTGTGTCGCAAGGAATCCTGTAAGGAGGTTGAAGAAGAAGAATCCTTGTTCTTTACCACCAGCCCATTTCGCGACCCATCTCGCCTCTTCCCTCCATGGTCCCCATCGGCCTTGCCCTGTCACCACTCTCGTGGCACGCAGGCCTGTAACAATCCGTAGCTTCGCATCCTCGATCTCCTCGCTGATTCGCCGATCTTGCATCAGCGAGTTTGGAGGCAGTGCGACTAGCTTCGCGTACTGCTTTGGCTGCTTCATCTGGGAAACGTCCGATCCACGACGACTATGCATAGATCCTGTTCTGGCAATCTGCACGGGGACATTGGCCGGGTGTGGGTCTGGGGCAGATATATCTGCTTGCTTGAGCATCGGGAACAGAGCGCTAGCCACGACGGACTGGAGGTGTGTGAGGGTTCTCATGATGATATCCCAATGTTGGGTTATCACATCCATGCGGTCTTCGACATCGTTGCTGTATGTTGACTCAAATGACTCGGAACCGTACCCAGGGTTGACCATAGTCCATCCGGATCGGCGAGTAGATCCATATGAAGAGGGAAAGTGGTCCGGCTCCGTATAAGAGCTCGATGCTCGATAGGCCGACTTGGGTGCTGCTCCACCTGCATTTGTACTAGGCGAGCCAGAGGGGAGCTGAAGAACCAATGCAACAGCGTACATCGGGGTTCTCTTGGGTACCGGTTTCGGTTTCTTCTTCTGTGGTTTCGAATCGTCTGGTGAATATGGAAATGGGAATCCTCCGCCATCATCGGACGCGCGGCCATGTGGCGTCTCCGAGTCGTCGCTTGGGAGGTTAACTGGGAATAGGCGAGTAACCAGAATCTTGTTACCATCTGTCTGCTTCGCCGTGAAAGAGTTCGTACCCTGTGGGTTCGCAGCTTCGGACGTAGAGGATTGGGCCAGTCTGCTTGACCGCATGCTGGACCTTCCCATGGAGCTTCGACCATCACCTACATAAGAGCTTGGCACACCAGACGACCGTGAATCGCTCGGAATGATGTGGACCTTGGTGGATGTCCCTTTGTAGGCCATGACTTCAGTGTTGGCAAAGATGCAACTGGAGAAGCTGCCCAGCTCCTCACGATACTCCCTTGCAGACCGTTGTGACTCAGTCTCGGCGGTGGTATAGGCGCGCGCCTGTATAGATCCTCTTCTATCAAACACACCCTGCCGAGGCGGAGGGCTACCTGGTTGGATCACCAATGGCCTCGAGGGCTGGCCAAGGCTTCCCTTCCTCTGTGTCGTAGGGACGCGTCGAAGGTCCTGCACAAGGGTCTGGGAAGAGGTGGTATTCGATGGCGGCGATGATCGCTCTACTGGTGGACACGGCTGGCTGTCAAACAGCAGAGAAGGATTGACTGATCCCAAAGTGTCCTGCATGATAATCACGCGAACGTCGCGGACGTCGATATCGATATCCCCATCGTAGTCAAAGGTGTTCGTCTGGGCGCTCGTCTGCTGTGCAGATGCCATCGGTAGGGAATACACCTGATCTTGGCGAGAGAAGAGCGCCTGGGTATCGGGGAATAGCAGACTGCGCATATGGATCTCTTCCTGCACCGACTCGGGGGACATCCTGGTCGAAGATGGGCCTTGGTCAGAAGACTCGCCTCCGGCCGTGGCCGTGTTCAGGTTGAAAAGCTTGCCCAGCATGTCGATGGACAGCAACACTTGACACTCGGAGCTGTTCAGGAATGGGAGGTTCCAGCGTCGCCAAGTTCAGGCCGTACTCAACATGCCTCCGTCTCACAGGCAAAGTCCTCCACTTGATTCATAGTCACGTCAAGCGACATTGATGTGATTTGGGGGTCGAGATGGTGACGATAACGGCGGCGCGTTCAGGCAAAAATGAGAATTTGATGTGTCGGTCTGTGGTACAGTTTATTATTCCACATCAGTCTCGGGTAGACAGGAAGCTTTGCACGATCAGCGCCGGTGCTGATATTGTGACAAACTCTAAGTTATTGGCGCATGAACTGCAAGGCTCAACCGTTCAGATACGAGGTGCGCGTGTCTATGGATCGTAAAGAGGCGTGACTGGTGCGCAATCGGAGAGGCGTATGCGACGGTAGATGGAACAGGCGATTTCGATTGGAGTCCACTTTCTTGAATGTTTTGCTTGGCGCAGGAATTTAACAAGAACCTCGGGCAGATTGTATGTTGTATGGGACAGAATGTGCACTTGAGGGTAGGATCTTGGTGGACGGTGGACGGTGGACAAAGGGGACCAGCCGGTATATCTGTCGCCTGTCGTCACAGGAGTCCGATAGGCAAGATGACGGACCTCGAAATAGCTTATTGCGTGAAATGAGTGTAATCACAAGCGTGGGCGGTGACACTGGGAGCCAGACTTGCCAGGGTCCAAGACCAGATGACGTCCTCACCGGTGTAGACAATCCAATGGTCAATCAATACCACACGGCAGGGTGATGTGCTGTGATGTGCAAGAAATCTCCGGCACGGATCTGTCGGTCCTGTTGATGGTGACGGCGGGCTTGGTAATAATTAGACCGCAGACCGCAACACTGACAAACCAGCCAGTGAGTGATATGAAACAAGACCTGAAGGACTGATGTGGTGTTTTTCGCAGGCAGCGCGTGCGTCGTGTGTGTCGGTCACTCCTCACAGTATCACAGCTCAGTGCTCAGTGCTCAGTGCTCAGTGCTCAGTGCTCAGTGCTCAGTGCTCAGTGCTCAGTGCTCAGTGCATTTGATGCTCATAGCTAGCGATGCTGATGAAACTGCGGCGCATGTTCGGGACTGATGAGGATGGAATCGATTGTCTCCAAGGTTCGCGACCCGAGGAGCTGGCGCTGGTATCTGTTTGAGGTCAACTTGGCGACTTGGGGTGGTGATCTGGGTGTGATCTTCGTGATGTGGGAGTTTGACCTTGAAGGTGCAGTTCCGTAGTCGGTCGCCAAGTCCCCAAGCAGATCCATTGCAGCTCCAAGGCGATCTAGCGGTGAACGCGAAGATGGCAGTGTCTCCTCAGCTTTCTGGCTGGCCTCCATGGGGCTGCAGGGAGCACTAGGATACCCCAGACACGCCTCAGCAGGGGATGCCTGCAGTGGGCTTAGTGGACTTATTAGGTTGGCGCCAGCGACTTGGGCGGACGCCGGGCGGTCTAGGTGGGGGAGAAGAGCTCAATGGCGTTGACAGAGACATTTGCACTAGACAGCTAACGCTACTCCGAGAATAAACAAAACACCTAGTTTAAGGTAATCACAACATTGAAGTAACAGAGTTGCTTGGTGGTGGAATTTGTGTTTGACAACGTCGCCTGCTGTTTTGTGTTTTGTGTTTTGTCGTGGTGAGGGTGGCCGTAGAGCATCAATGACACTTGAGACGACGGCAGATCCCTGAATAATCTTTATTAGGCTTTAACGGTCGAGGTCGGCAGCTTTGCCGTCATTGTCACGAGTTTATCTCTCTAAAAGACAGACTGCTCGGCCGCTTCGCACAAGCCATCTCATCTTCCACCCTTTTGATTCCACTGGTGCTAGGCAATGGGTTTTGACTTTCTTCCTCCGTTCACCTTGTTCCCAGCACCTGACAATGCAAGCTCTCGCGGAAACTGGGGACATGCATTGCCCCTTGCTCGCTGATATCATTCCCAGGGTTACCAAGTTGAAGGATTGCCGGCCTTGCCCGTTTCCCTATCAACTCTCATCTGAATTTAGTACAGTATTGGCAGGCATTGCCACATACAATAGCGCACCCCTTGAGATGAAACTTGGAGGATGAGGACAATGTCATTCATGTCATGTTGAGCCAAGGTGAGAAAGCCCGAACTTCCAACAATATATCTGACCCCTTTCCCCTAATCAGCACTCAGCTGACGCGGCAGTAACACGTGTGTAACAATACCGGTGAGCCGTCTCCTGCCTGCTAGAAGACCGAGATGAGGCTCTCGGCACAGCAACAATCTCGATGCCCTGTGCCAGTCTGCACGCGACTCTAGTCATTGGCCCATTCAATAAGATTCAATAACGTAACGGTCGCGCTGACAGGCGGGCTAGGCCTGCGCTGATTCTATTAGTAGCTTCAGTCGTCTGCATTTGATGTCGCGTGAGGTGCCTCTTTCACATGCAACGCAAGTGCGCCACCGTGTCCAAACCGGAGGGATTTGTCCCCAAAAGAACCAGCGGGGAAGGGAAAGATCTCGTTCGACTCTGGTCAATAATGTCTTATTACATCACAGCAGCAGCAGCCGGAGAAGGGCATGTGCTCCTTGGCTGCAAATGCCGCTGGCACTTGTCATCACTGTCCAGACTGCCATCGGCTTCCAGTCCGGCAACAAGACTTTAGCTTTCTCCCACCACCCGAACACCCGCCGACAAATGTGTCTCGGCTCTTTTGACGCGAGTCTGGTCACATAACCGATCCTCGTTGCCGTGACAATTCGGTGTTTTTTTTCGTCGGTCCGTTACTCCCATCTTGCAGCAACGGCCGCGACGGCTCTCCTGTCCAGGTGGTCTCGTCCCACACGGGGCCACCGCGGCAGCTATGCCAGGGCCGTGATAGGGCCGGCCGGGAGTTTATCAGATAGATCAGATGCGCTTCCGCCCGACATCGACGGGCTGGAAATTTCCCGTTGACCTTGCCGAACCTCATCCAAGGCGAAGAGCGTCAGTTGATCTCGAATCATGTAGGTATCCGGTAGAGATTCATGGGGCTCTGCTAGCGTCACCTTCAACTGCCAGCTTGATGTTGGCAAACACGGTGTCACACATCATTTCCATTACACAACTTACGGAGTCCCCAATGTGAGCTTTCACATTCCAGGGCATGGATTTGCCATGCAAGGGCTCATCTACGTGGGAACTTCTTCAACACCTCGGCACTTTTACCTTACGTTATGGCCTGGCAAAGACGCCCTGACTCGATGACAAACCGCCCCGCGTGCTCCTCGTATTGGTTGGAGAATATTGCGGAAGTCTCCTGAATGCCAAAAGCGTAACATGATCGCGAGTGTCGTTGGTTAGAAGTCTAGATGCGTTGGGTGAAGTGGTGATGGTGATGATGTTGGTTGGAGAGCTCGCGTGGCGTACATGTTGGCGTTTCAACGGAGTGTGTCTGTACTCCGTCGGCCGTGCTGGGCCCTCGGCCAGCAACACCATCTGGCCCTTCGACCTTGATGAGGTATCGACCTTCCTTCCGGGCGGCACGTCGGCGTCGGCGCAGCTCACGCTCAACGATCTGTACACGGATTGCCCCAAGTCTGCCGACGCGTCGGCCGTCCTGACCTCGACGATGACTCCCTATGTTGCGCCGTCTTGGTTACCAGGATCACCAAGAAATTTTCGATACATGTGCACGAGCAGGGTAGGCGGCATTCACGAAATGGGTCTGATTTGCTTGATTTAAGTACATGTGCTGCGTTGTGTCCTGCTCCGCGTCGGACTACATCTCGCAGTCGTCTCCGTTCCCTCTATCTGACCTCTACGATTCTCAAATCACGGGGGGAGAGACGAATGTCATGACTTGGTACCGAGTTATGATGTGTTGGGGGGCAGCGATGAAAGGACTGGAGGAGTAGCGGATTGCGAAAGAGATTTAGCAGCATGCGAGTTGCGCTTGCTCTTCTTGCTCTTCTTTGGCAAATGAACGCAAACTGATTTAATGAAATCCCAACCTTAAAAAAAAATTTCAACACGTAAGGAAGTAACCATACAAAAATCATACATGATGGTTGTGCTTGATCTAGCAGGTTGGTGCGTAATGAGATTGGGATGATCTTAGGGGGTATTTTCAAGCTTCATCTCTGATGGCCAGTACCACGGTCATCTGTAGGCTGCGGTATGATGGTCAAGTTCTCTCATCCGGTCACGTTCACGTTATCACATCATCCAGTATACAACGTACCAAGGTCAATTCATACATGAATCAATTCAGTATCTTCGCCGGTTATCATTCGCCGCAAGTGGCTAATTTGCTCTCTCGCAGTGTATATCCCAGATGCTTATGTGCCTCGTGAGTCTACCCCGAAAAGGGTCAGTTCTGTGTGCAGCGCAGCTCGAAGAGAAACGCAGCTTGCTGCTCACTCCGCCCTCTTAGCAGTCTTTCAGGTGAAACCCATTCGGTCCATCGCACACTGTACTGCGTAGCTCTTGGGTGCGTAGCACCCTAGGTGCTTCACCAACGCAACCACAGCCTCGTCCTTCCTCAGTGTAAACACATAATCGATTGCGCTGTGTCCATGAGCATCCAGCAATGGTGTGCTGGCTGTGTCTCCCAGGTTACTCAGCAGCAAGTCCACCACTTCAACCCGACAGGACGGCGACAGGACCGCAGCGTGCAGCAGGGAACCGTGGGGGTCTTCGCGAACTGGAGCGAACGGACGGGTTATGTAAGAGCATGTGAAACTCGACGGTATACAGCCCAGCCGTTTGGAACACATAACGAGTGCCTCGATAGTACCCAGCGCCACGTCTTGGTGCTTGAGGGCTCTGAAAATAGCATAACAAAATAGGTGTTTGTCAGCGGCCGTCGCATTCTCGAGGAGCAGGTTGTTGATTCGTAGCATAGAGTCGTTTCGGACGGTGTGATCGAGCAGGTGCAATCCGTCATGGTCGAACGGGAGGACACACGACGCTCCGGCCCCCATGAGGATGTTGCAGTAATGGGAATAGCCGCGCTCTGCCGCCCAATGCAGAGCTGTCACGCCACAGCTGTGTCTGGCGTCTACGTTGGCGCCTCGGTTCCAGTAGCAGCTGTATGACCTCTTCGTTGCCTCTGAATACCACTGCTTTTTGAAGAAGCGAAGGAAGAGTGTAGCATTCTCTCCAGGTGCCTTGCAGGTCGGGGGTAATTGGGCTCATGCCAGCATCTAGAAAGGCGGCAACGACTGAGGCCATCCGGTCCAAGCAGCAATATGTACTTGCGTGTTCTGTGACGGGTTGTCGATGTTGAGGGTGAATGCGTGCTGGACAAGCCAAAGTGCGGTTTCGGTCTGCCCGGTAACGAGGGCAATGGTAAGTGCATCGCATTCGACGGAATAGGGAATGCAATCCTCTACTTCTTTCGCCATGCGCGGTTTAAGCCAGTCGACAAGCTCAAAGGACTCTCCCCAGATTCTGCTCATCGTGGAACTTCCTGATTGAATGAGTGCTTGCACTAGAGAGAGGTGGCCCCATGCCGCAACTATATCGATCGGCGTTGCTCCGTTGCGGTCTTTGACTATGAACTGATCCGGTCAATGTTCCAAGGCAAGATTGATGCATTGATATGCGGTGTCGTGACAGCCCATGTCTATGGACCAGTGTAGCAAGGGTTGGCGTCCGGGCGAAGCAGGCCAGGCCAGACTTTGATAGATTCTCAGTTCGTCAGGGTCCGTGATTCCAAACGGATCGGCCCAATCGCAACCATCGCGCGAGAGGGAGGGGTGGTTCGTTGCCACTCATGACTTCGTGTGGTAGATGTCGGCAATGAGGATCTCGGTCTTGAGGTACTCGTACAGGCTTCGGGATGACTTGGTGAGATTGAGGACGTCCAGAGGGTTGCGGAGGAAATGCTTGGCGGTATACCAGAGCACGTCGTCGCTTAGGCTCTGGTCAGCTTGGGATGCCATTGTGAAGAGCGAGATGAGGGAGTGAGCAGAAGTAATGGAGTGTGAGATAGGTGCAGATTGTCGCGGAAAGAGCAGATCTCCCAGGTGTGCTCTCCGATGGTCGATCAGTGATTTATGCACGGAGGTCAGAGGACCTTGATATAGAAAATTGGAAAAGCATTGACCCAGATGGTGTGTCCCGCAGCTGCCAGATAACAATGGCTAGGGAGTCTACGTGTGGCTGGGAAGTGAATGTATCCATTGTCGAGAACAATGGCTTGAATCGTCGATTCGTTGCGAACAATGTTGCCACCCCATTGATCACGCCCGAGAAGGGAGGTGCCATTGCCTTATCCACACAATGTCTGCACACCGTTATTGTCCTCATAGTCGGTCAAGGAGACCGCAAGTGTGCCCTCGCCTGGAAGTTCGGCCAGGCCTACGTTTTGTCCGGCAATGGCGGCCCTTCTCAGCTCTCGAAGACGCAGAACATCGACCAAGTACCTATGAACAACTACCCCAAGATCGTCGCACTATCTCAGGAGTTGCATATTGGGCTAGTAGTCGCCGAACCGCATGACGCCGTCGTCGATGGCATTGAGGGCTACTTCAGAAGCAGTAGAAACGCTACACAGATTGAAGAGGCATCAGAACTGGCCTTGCTAATATCTTACTAGGCGACATTCCCTGCTTCACGCCCACGAAAGAAGCTGTCAATATCAGAGGATTCAAGGTCTGCGCGAAGGGTTCATGGCCAGGCACGGTATCCCCACTTCCGCCTTTTGCACCTTTGACGCATACGAAGCCGCAAGACAGTATTGGCCTCGGTCTCGCACCAGTTCGTGCTCAAGATGTCGGGCAACGGCGTGGTAATACCGTCCTCCAAGGCATCATGATCGAGCAAAAGTTCGGGGACGCACAAGTCTGCCCTCCCGTTGTCAGCAACCTCGTCCACGCACCAGGACGGGTATCAGGTGGTCTGTGCCGCTGGTAACTCCCACAAGTGTGCACTGCTGATATTGACACCCCTGCCCAAGCTCAAGAAAGGATCTCGTCACTGGGATTGGAGTACACGAGCCGGTTGTGAAGAGAGCAGGCACGCCGATTGGGCGACGGTGGACTGATTCGCTCTCTTGAGTCTCAAACGACAGGTACAAGCGAAGGTCACGATCGTAACCGCTGTCAAGAACCGCCCGGCAAAGGAAGAGCACGAAATCACCTGCCATCTAGAGATGTGGCAAGCCGCCATCTTGCAGCAAGACCACCGACAATATGTTATTCTACAACACCAAGCTTCTTGACGATTTTCGCTGCCTTGGAGCTTTCGGCGGTCTTGTTGGGATCTTCATTCTTGGGCCGGGTGATAGGGTAACATTAGCTGTCACTTATGAGCTAGAATTCGACGTCTACAATCTCTGATATTCTATTTGCTTGCTGGTTGAGAGCTGTATATCGTGTGATGCTCATGAGCTGGCATTTACGTTCCTCTGGCCCGTGTCGAACATATGTTGGCGGGACCGGTCCTGGCGCTTGCGTCGAAGCGCTATTGCCGCATACTTCGGGCAATGTTTGCGAGCTCTCTGAAGCAGGGACCGAGGGGCCCGACCCAAAGGGACACCAAGCTTGGCATCCAATCTCGAGGTACAATGGTGCCTACGTCTTGTCTTTACTAGGCGAAGTTTCCAGAGAGAGAGAGAAGTTCGCCGCATCCTCTTTGTTTGGTTGGAACGAATGACGATGAAGGAATGTCATCCGGCCTTTGTGAGTTTCGATCCCTTCCGCGGGGCAACAATAGCGGTTCTTTCACGAGAGCATTGACGTATCCTCGAGGTGGCAAGATGCTTTAGGCTAGGTGAGGCTAGGGACAATGGATTCACTATTCTTTATTCTACAACCCCTGTATACATCCAGTTGCGTGCCATAGGTCGGGATAAATCCTCAATCTACCAAACTCACAACTACCTTTCAACAACCCATCTGACAAACAAGCCAAATAACACAAGAACAGTCCAAAAGCAAGTAAGTCAAGCAACTCGCAGCGAGTACCATATCCAGAAGCTTCAAGCCCAGCCTACACAGACCCATACCATGTCCTGCTCCTGCATGGAAATCCAGGCGGTCGAGTGCTGCCCCAACCCAGCCTGCGATGAGACCTTCGAATACGGAGACGACGACAGGTGCCCCGTGGCGGTCGAAAAGGGGAAGCTCTGCCGGTCAACATACCCGCGATTCACCGTCGCGACCGCGGTCACATGCCCTGGTTACAAAATCGAGTGCGCGCCGTTCGAGAGGACGGCCCGCACGGCCTCCGATAATATAATAAGTGCCTAGAGTATAATTAGTTGGTGTGGCAGTATAGCTACGCCCTTCCCAGATTTGCCGGTCCGATAATGGAGGGCTGTGCCTTTTACTGCTGAGCAGACCTATACCAGTAATATTTCCCAAAGGAATAGGTTGGGAGGGACTCGAGATAAGCCCCTTGCTTTGGAGCGGTGCGCCTTCGTCTAAGATATCCTCGTGCAGTGCTCTTACAGGGCACGCCTTAATATAGACCATCCGCCCGCAATTTGAGGAATTACAGCCCAGTATGTCTTTAGTCAAATGATATTGTGCTCGGCTCATGGTGAGTGTGACGTCTGGTGGAAAGGAATGTGGAAATTAAGTAGAGCAGTAGCAACCTGTAGATGGCCGTATGTTGAGTCCAGAGCTCTCTCTCGAACAGGGCAGAGCCTATGGAATATTACGATGGAAGAGAAGACATATGGAGATCAAGGGATAGGGGATAGTCAGCCGAAAAGATTTCTGCATGCTGAAAATCATACTTTGATTTAGCCTTAAAGCCCAATAGCGCTCCTCCCAATTCACAATTCAAAGACTTTCAATGTAATAGTGTTCTTAACATCGCCTCTCTTTATTTGCCACCCTCCTTGAAACGACACCTTAGTGCCCATGCGGAACGAGTACCCGAATCCCAGCTTTTCCGTGGTATTGCTCTCATGCATGAATTCATCAGAACAACATACCGGAGGACGTCAAGGGCTAGCTATATCCCGCAAACTCGAGGCTCTGCAACGATTGAAAAGCTCGTGCAGCAATACAACCTCCAGGGGAACAGACCCAACTGTTCAATGTATCAATCAATCGTGATCAAGCCGTTCTTGCCGTATATTGTGGGGGAGTGGGTGACGCCAAGAAGCCAGCTTCTATACATAGTTCAGATCACTTGATGGGACTTCGAGGTCCTATGTATGTCACTCTTCCCGCATGCCTGCATGCCTATAAGACAGAAATGGCTACGCGGTGGCGTCTTCTAACTCGCTCCAGAAAATACACTGGAACGCTGTCAGCCAGTGAACAGGTATCCACGATGGTAGTTCCACATGTATCTGCAATGGTAATAGGTAGAACTTTACGCGATGGGAACTTTATACGAAAAAGTTCTGGTCACGTATGTATTAGCATGGCAATTACAGGCATCATATTGGATCCAGACTTATACCCTGGAACCGCTGACCATTACCATCCTTGTTACCTGTACCCTTAAGTTACTTAGCTGTAAACAAGCGCCGAGCTGATGGTAACGCCTTATACCCACCCCTATTTGAACGTGCTTGGCAGTCATCCAAATACCAACGTTAGCAGAGAACTTGCTATCCGAGGGCAGGCTCTCCCTCCACATAACATCTCCGAATCTCAGTAGTCCTAAGATGAAGTCGAGATCTGCTCAATGGGTGGCGGTCCTGTTCTCATATCTTGAAGCTGGCTGTGTCGGCCTCAGTCCTCCCCGGAGAGATATCCCACAGGACGAATTGCAAAATAAAGTGTGCAAGACTCAGCACCCTGACATCACGCCAATTGATAAACCAACTTTCTCCTGGGGCAAGACCAGTGACAAGCATCCGAGGTACTACCTGGAGAAGACCGAAAAGCCTTACGGCAAGAAGGTTGCAAAGTGGCAGAAGGAGTTCTTCGAACCCGATGCCGATTACAGTGATTCCGACCTCGAGTGGCTGTCTGGATCCGATATGGAGATTGAGCCCAAGGAGAAGGATGCCCCGACTATCATCACACTGTTCTACCCGCAACCGGGTGAGGCAAACGTCAGGAAGCCGAGCTGGCTGTATCTCAAGTTCTTCCAGGACATGGCAAACTCGAAAGAACAGATCATCGTCTACTGCCCATCGGACATTGGGAAGGCGATCCGAGAAACGATTCGTGATGACAAGCACCTGGTCATTGTCGACAAGTACCCGACTGTGTGGGATATTCCGACCAACGACTACCAGAGGGGCAATTTCCAACATGTACAGCCCAAGCTGTTTGAACAGCTCGACATATCTCAGGACAAGTTTGCGAAGGGCTTCAATGACCCGCACTTGAGTGCTGCTTACAACGCCAAGGCATTCGTGACTTATGATGCTGTCATGCGCAAGTAAGTGATCCCTGCCTCAGCCGGAGTGTTGCCTTTGCTCCGATGAGCATTAGCTAACATGAAATCCTTCAGCCCTTTCGGCACCGACAAGTGGATATTCATCGACTTTGGACTCGTGCGCAATGCACCAATGAACAAAGACGGCAAGCCCGACTGGAGCGAGTTCATGAACCCCTTCCTGGACAAGAACAAGTTCGCGCGCTCGATCGAGATGTCGCGGAATAGCGGCGTCGTCATCGGCAGCCAGAAGGACAAGAAGCTCCGGCCCATAACCGACGAGTGCTGGACCAACAACAAGTTGATCATGGGCTGCACGTCCTTCTTCGGCAGCGCGTGGGCGGGCAACGCGCTGGGCATGCTGGAGTTCGCCGTTAAGTACATGAAGACGGTAGACGACATGGACGCCAACGGCGGTCTATACACGGGCCGCGAGGAGGCCGTTCTCCCGTTCGTCCTGTTCCGGTACCCCAACACCCTCTTCTCGATGCCGTACCACGACGCGTCGCCGGGGGTCAAGTTCCCGCTGTGGCCGAGGGACCCGAACGAGAAGCCCACGGTTTTCCGTCAGGGCCTGCCGATGCGGACGGCCTACTCAGGCTTCGGCGGCGACGACAAGGTCCCTCCGATCAACGATCCACTGGCGACGAATTTCTGTCCCGTCAGCTATAAGCCGAGGAGAGGCAACATGCTCGGGGATAAGGACCAGATGAAGGACGACCCGAACAAGGCTTGGGATGAGGATCCATGGAATGGTGTGCTTCATGGGCTTACCCAGTGATGCAGCTAATCTGTCATTGACCACTGGAGTAAGGCGGTGTTCACTTCTAATCGGTGCGTCTCTGTGGATTTGGTCAGCGTCAGTTGTGCTAATAGAGCAACAGAGGCTCTTCAGAGATGGGAGTATTTCAGCTTAGTTTGCCCTTGTCACCATCTTCGTTTCCCGGCACAGATCGCGGCCCCGCGATGGCCTGGGTTGCCTAAGGCCTTTCTCTCTGCTTCTTTCCCTTGGTCACTATTGATTCGGGATTAGGAACTTGGCGAATGATATGGATCCTGAACGCACAGCAGTTGGCAACATCGTTGGGCCCCAGCTGTTCCTCTCAACTCAACCGCCGAAGTATACCCTTGGCATTGGGCGCGATGATGCTCGCCCAACCCTTATGGCGGCCTCGGGCATCCTCTATGGCATCGTGCGTATCGTGGAGAGCAAGCAGCGTGATAGAAAGTACGGTCCTCCTCGCCACGTGCTGAAGGCTGGGGTTGCCTCCGAGAATGCGGACACGACAGATAGGGAGAATGAGGAGTTGAGATACACTTTCTAGACTTGCAGCGTCCCGGTATCGGCAATCAAACGGACTTCTGAAGGAGTGAGATCGTGATAACGCGAGAAACGTGGCGTAAGGCTTTGGGACTTGTCCCTGTGAACGTGCTGAAATTTGTTTGATGACTCGCGCAGTTTTCAGGTGTTCTAGATACCAAAGCTATCAGATACAGTGCGATTCTTGGAAAGAAGCACGGTCAGTTTGGCCGTCCGCCCCTTGTCAGCTCGCCAATATGACTTCATAGTCTTAGCGCTGACAGAGACTCATGGCCTCAAGCTCCAACGGGCTGGGCTTGGTCGTCCGGCTCGTTTGGCTAATATTTTATTCAGAACGTATGTTTGGCAATCTCCCGACGGACGGTACGTGAGGTATAGTAACGGTGCAACAGAACGCACGTTGGGCGACGAAATCAGGAATTGCTCGTGCTTCACCCCAAGTGGTCAACGTGTCACAGGCCTGGATCGCAAGACATAGCGCCTACTCTGGGACGAAACTCAACACCAAGGACGTTGCGAATGAAGGGTTCATCATCCGAACGTGTCACAGCCGTGACAAGAAGTGTGGTTACACAGCGCTATGTGTAGGGTCACATTGTAGCGTTCGGTTCCCGGGTCGCCGACGGGAATTCTTTCAGCTTCGGGTCGTTTCCCGAGTGGGCAGGTGAATTCCTCACCGGTGTGGAGATCTTGTCTGCCAGGCCCGACGGTCCCCAAGGTGTGCCCTCCATGTAAGCGCCTGGCCAGCCTGCGGCTAGGGGAAAAGGGGCTGAAACCCTAGTTCGTCGCTGGCAAGAAGTTAGAGTGTCAGCTTCGTGATGTGATGGTCTTTTCGGCAGAGTAACCTAACTTGCAGTAGTATTTACCTGAGGTGGTATGCTAGACAAGGCAGACTTGGTCCAGCTCACTCGAGGGCGTGGAGTCAGCCATAGCAGCAGCATTGGATCAAGCCCACTGGTCTCTCAGTGTCCGCAGGTTCGATAGTGATCATCACGATTACTATTAGTCGCCCGCTGAATACTTCCGTAAGAGTCTGCACCTGGTGGTCAACTAACAAGCAGTGAACAAGAAGCGCGGAGCTCCCGCATCCGCCTTGTTATGGTGACTCAATGAAAGCATCTACCCAATTCGATACTAGAGTAAGTCCCCTGAGCAGGTACTTTAGGTTCTAAGTCCGAGCTCTACACCCCCAAGTACTCATATAGCCTTCCCATGATAGGACCAAAGAAGCTCTTTTTGCACGTTCCAGCGGATGCACACCAGACGCATATCGGAATTGCGAAAACCGCTCCTAACAATCCATTTCTCCAGTCTGAGCTCACACAGACCAAGGCCGACAGAAGGCGCCGTGTTAGAACCAGGACCCTTGGCAGCAGCCTCAGGTTTGTCTCTCCGGACGATATCAGGACCCATGCATCACCGGGACCACTGGTCGAAGCCTGAGCATCTCAATGGATACGACAATGTTCATAAGGCAAGGCGGGTGGCCCTGCGGGTCCCTGATGGGTTGCGGGTGCCAATGATCAGCATTGATGCTCTAGACGGGCAGAACGAGGGAGGGCCGACGAGATCCTGGAGGGACGCGCTGTCGGTTCTCACACAACGGGTCTTCCTTGCTTTCTTTGTCGGCGCCAAGAACGGTGGCTGATAGGAAACGTGCAGACGGGACGGCTCCGCGCTGCTCTCGCACAATATGACCCATGCTGAATGTGATATGTTACAGGTCACAGGCAGGTCAGAAACCTACATAACCCCCACGAAAGAACCGATTGAGAAAAGGGCCAGCTTAAGGGAACGTGCAGGATTCTAATGTCCTTCTGGAACGCGGCGGATGCCCACGCGCGTAGCCGGGCGCCCCTCACGAGTGATAGATGGCACCTTGTGGGTGTCCAGGCATGGTACGTACGTGGGATGGGATAGGGGGTCAGCTGTGAGTATATACCGGCTCGCGCCGTTATGTCGGGAAAGGCTTCAGGAGCCGTCTATCTGTATCTCTATGAACATTTCCAGCGGGCGACATGCAGTCCAGTACTATGGGCGCATTTATAGGTACGAGAGGCAGCAGCATATTTGGGTGTGTGCGTGTCATACTGCCAGCAGGAGATCGGTATTTATCGGGCATGAAATCCTTGGCCCGGAGAGGGCACGTTCATTAATCATCATTGTCATTAAAGCTCCTGATATGCTGCCACTCGTATCCTGGGCAAAACAGAGGCCCTAACTCTCCTGCTAAGTCGTAGTTATTCGAAAAGCGAAATTGCCGCCAAACATTGGAAAGTAGCATGCACTTAGAAAGCGAGATTTCCAAAAGCGCTGACAATCAGAGCCGCATGCCACCGGTGTTGCAGCAAGTCAGGCTCTCGCACAGGTTCCCGCAAACCATCTGGCACGCGGACCCGTCGGCGCGTCGTCTTCTAATCGACGCGCCTGACGATACGGTTCCACTGGCAGTTGTGTTTGCCGGAACGCCGTTGCTCTCATGGCTGCTCTCGATGTTAACGGGGACCGTGGCCGGGCTTGCGAGTTCCGGCTGCAGAGTGGCCGAGTGGATGCCATAGGCATGTAGGCACTCGCTAACGGTCTTGGCGCGGCCCATGAAGTCGGTCATCTCATTGTTCGAGACGACAACGTGCGCGGATGCGATGGACTTCTTCTGGTCAAGTCGCCAGATGTGGAGCTCATGGACGGATTCGATGCCGGGAATCTAGGATGCTCGTCAGTCATCAACCGCTTTACTCCCTGTGTAGAGGCCTGGCAAGTTTTTCATTTACCTTCTCGAGGTCATGCTTGACATCGTCCAGATCCACGCCGCGGGGGGCACTCTGCATGAGAATCTTGCCGCTGTTTCTAACTAGCGGCAGTGACGACAGCAGGATCATGATGGCGATGCCCATAGAGACGCCGGGGTCGGCATAGAACCTGCCCTCGTAGCTTGTGAGCCAGATCACCAGTGCCGCGATGATGACTCCAAGGTTGTTCAGCGCATCGCCGACAACGTGGACAAAGACACCCATTATGCCAAGATCACGACCAGGGTTCTGTAACTTCGCGATGGTATGACGATGTTCGGCATGGGCACTGATGGGCTGTATACGCGGCGTTATTCATGAGCTAGCAGAAATGCATGAGGCTGACTTACGGTCAAGGGAACGTCCTCACTGCTTTGATATGAGCTGTCGGTTGTGGGAATGGCGGCCTCGATGTTAACGCGGCTGTGGTCATGCCCGTGACCGTCGTGAGAGTGCGAATGTCCATGGCTGTGATCCCCATGATCATGGCCGTGATGCTCGTGTAGCAAGGTGGCGCTGATGATGTTTAGTGCCAGACCGACAGACCCAACGATCAGCACTAGCTTTGGGTTCTCGACACCTATAGCAGTTGTAAGTGTCCATAGCCTTTTACTGACGTTAGGAGTAAGCGGGCACTCACGCTGAATGGAGATGAATCTCTCAATCGACTGGAGAAAGATGGATATGCCAAGTGCCAAGAGGAAGACGCCGTTGAAGAATGCGCCGAGCAGTTGGGCGCGTGCCCAGCCGAAGGAGAAGTTCTGAGGGGAGTTCGCACGCTCTGAGATCTAGTAATTGAGTTAACATGCCAGGTAGCCTGCGAGGGCCGACTTGTGTGTACTGACGATGATGGCGACGAGAGCGACGATGAAACCAATGAGATCGTTCATCTATTCAAGCGTTACTTTAGAGGGAGCCGAAGGCAGGTAGCTTCTAATATGCATACGTAGTGGAATGCATCTGCCAACAAGGCCAGAGACCCCGTGTAGAAAGCAACTGTGCGTATTGGTCAGCTACAATTGAAGTGGGTTACTAAAAGATGATGAAATGTACCAGATATCTCAGCGACAAAGAAGCAGAATGAGATGCCTATTGTGGCGATGAGCTTGTGCTTGGAGCTGAGCCTGAACTTGGCCATAATGGGCAACGACGAGTGTAGATGGTGCCGGATGCGGATCGGAGGAGGGCCGAGTCCTGGTTCGGGTTCGGACTTGGGTTCCGGGATCGGGGGTAAGGAGTGTTCGGAGGGACCTTGAAGATTAGACAAAGCTACGGTGCCCGAGGCCGAAAGAGATGTGGACGTTGTATTTGTAATAAGTCGTAATGTCTAGGTTGTCATTAGACTGATGAAACGAGGAGTCACTCTCGAATGCTCTATGCTATTAGTCTACCGATCTCCAGCCTGAGACCGACCTCTCGATAGCCAAGGACCTTTCTCTGATACAGGGTAGGTGTGTTCGTCGCTGTGAGGGCTCTATGCCAAGGCCGGATGCAGACTGAACCTCGGCGAGAGAGACCATGTGGTGAGAGTAACCGTTATTAAGTAGCAAAGATGCGTGAGAAACGAAAAGTTGGTAGAACTGTCTCTTGTCAAAGAATATGGTCAGAAGGGAAATAGGTAGCCAGATTGCCTGGGGTATGCCGAAGCCTGAAGGCGGGTATCCGCTCAAACCGACTATTGCAAGTCGCTGTTGCGCGTTTGAGTCAACATTGAACCCAACCGGGTGGTCGAAACACGAGGTGCTGCAAGTGCGGTCAAGGCGAGTGAAATGTTCGGTTCGTTCAGACGACGACGGATCCAAGTGCAGGATCTGTGCGCATTGACGAGGTTGGATGATATGACTCCCCTGAGAATGTGATGCGAATCAGAAACGTACCTAGATCAACAACCAAAGACCGCTGATTTGGTCAGCTCGCGCAACAAGACCTACAATGTATCTACCTGTTGGCGGAAAGCGGTGGTGGCAGGTATTGATGAGTGTTGGACACGCAGAACATAAAGTGACCATGGAAGTGACGCCGCCTCGGGTGTCATGACATTCACCTACTATAGAATCCTCTGGATGACCGTGCACCTGGGCAGATGCACACGTAAATGGCTTCTGACACGTCTCGAATTGACCAATCACAAGCCAGGGTTACAGAAGGTGAGCTCTGTGACCGTGTCCGTTGGATCTCACAGATATTGACGAAAACTGAAGATTCCGGAGGCTACGTCGGCGTTAGGCCGGAAAGGTCACTGGCTGTCGTGTACCGGCCGATACGGACGGATGTGGACGGTGATCTTGTGCGAGCTGCCAGATGGAGCGCTTGGTTGCAATTGCAGATGCATCCTCCCATCCAGATCTGTGATGAGTGCAACCTTTTAATAAGTAATAACCGGTGGCTGTGGACGCGTCGTGGTATCGTGGACGGGTGCCGGTTGGACCGATTGGGTCGAATCACCGAATCTGCCGTGTTCCTTCTGTTATCCGACTTCATCTAGAAGCTTTAAACGAGATGGCATATGTCGTGTTCCATGTTTGCAATCCGCATTGCAGCAGCGGCATTGAAATTTGAAAGAGCCCGATTTCCCGGGTTCTGGAGCAAGTAACTAGTAGAAGTACCATGCCTCGCGACCTGGTCCGTGCTTCATGATCACGGCCCGGGCTGACAGATCGCATGTCTGACATCAACCCCATCGTACAAATCGTCGAAAAGACATCTCGCCCATTTCTCGAAACAGTCATGGGAAGTGGCAGTCCACTAGTTTGAACTTTGAATACCATCTGAGATCCCGTGGTAGGGCTGGATCTACGCGGGGGTCTTGGTCCGAATGGATGCGGGTCAGGTCAGTCGATGGGGGAGCTGGGGGAGGGGGGCGGGGGGGGGGAGGCCTGAATCAGGGCGTCATAGGGGTCTGCCAAACAGCCTCACAATTGCATGGACGATATCACCAGTCCTCAGAATGGTGATTAATGATGATTAATGATGGCCGGACATGAGGTTATAATGAGGACAATTATCTGCAGAAGCGCTGAAGAATATATTTCCCATTGATACCTACTTAACCCAGTAGAAACGCTGTAACGAAATGCTGGTGCCCTCCTCCTCGCGCAAACGTATTGGTGACATCATCTGCCGTGCTTCTTCCAGACATTCCAAACCTTTGATCAGGTCCAGCCGCTGCTCTCTATCTTTATCCCAAAACGCCTCATCGAACACAAGGCACTTCTCGACTACTCTTCCCAGACTGCAGCAGTCATTCCCCTCAGAAGCAATGGACGCGATCAAGGTTCGTACGCCCATTGCCTACCACACCGTCACCCGTCCCCTCCAGATACTACTCCATTTACATTGACAAACTCTCCGTCACGCGATTAACACTTCTCCCTCAGAACGCCATCGGCGAGAACTTTGGTGGCAAGGCCCAGGAGCTTTCGACCCACCAGTTCAGTCTCGACGATGTCCCCGACCTTAGCGGAAAGGTCGCCGTCATAACGGGCGGCAGCGAAGGCATCGGATACGGGTGCACGCACACGCTTCTCAAAAACAACATCGCCAAGGTCTACATCCTGTCCGTGTCCGAGGATGTCGTCAAGGGCGCGAAAGGAGTGATAGCCAAGGAAATGGGTGAAGATGTTGCCAACAAAACCAAATGGTTTAATTGCGACTTATCCGACTGGAAGAAGACCAAGGAAGTTGCCGAGCAGATCAAGAAGGACACCGACCGACTAGACATCTTGATTAACAACGCGGGAAGAGGTATCATGTACGTTGCCCGACCCGGTTTCTATCTTGCCTCGCTTTGAACTAACGTCTCGACAGGGTAAGCAGTTCTGTAATAAGCTGCCGTCAATAGCAACTAACCAACAACCCCCTCATATTTTAGACCTACCAGCTGACCGACTACGGAGTCGATCGCCACATGGCCCTGAATCACATGGGCCATGTGATTCTGACGTCTCACCTACTTCCCTTGATGAAGGAGACAGCCGAGAAAGGTAACGTAGTGCGAATCTCCAACCAGGCCAGCAACGCACATCAAGCCGCACCGAGCGACACCAAGTTCGAGAGCCTCGAAGAGCTGAACCAGGATCTGGGACCCAATGGACAGTACGGTCGAAGCAAGCTTGCCGGCATCCTGTACGCTCGGTACTTCGCCAGAAAGGTGACCAACGCCGGCCACCCCAACGTGTTGATGAACGCGACACACCCCGGCTTCGTGAGCACCAAGATGAGCAAGGAGGACATCCACGAGCCCTACCCGCTTGCGGGATACGGCATGTCCGTTGCCATGGAGCCGTTCAAGAAGGACCAGTTCCAAGGTGCTGTGCCGACCATGTACGCGACGACGGTCACGAAGGAGTCGGGCAAGTATTACTGTCCGCCGGCAGTTCCGGAACCCGGCAGCAAGCTGGCCCAAGATGATGAGCTCGCAGACAGGCTGATGGAGCTCACCCGGAAGGTGGTGATGGAGAAGACGAAACGTGATTCGGCTGATCAGGGATGCCCCTTTGATGACTTGGTCCTCCACTAGATGTATGTAGACCTGATAACGTTCATGATATCTACTGCGTCGTTTCGATGCATCTCAGCTGTTCTTTTGATCGTGACATAACTGCATGTTTTCAATAGACCTGTCGTTTGAAGAAGGTCAAACAAACCACATAACGGAATGAGCAGCTTGCACATGTTGCCGTTGTCTAACGGATGTATACCCGCCTGAGGCGAAAATCGGGTAATCGACAGAAACCGGGTGAAATAAATAGCCTTTCCATCCCATCATTGTGGAGGTCCGAGGAATGGGTGCGAATGGAAGCGGCTCACAGCCAATACTGCCATTTCAAAGCCCAGTGTCCAGCCCTATACACTTTTGCGCAAACATACACACAACTTTTAAAAACCGTATTTTAATAAAACAAGCTATAACTTTATCACTTTTTTTTAAAAAAGTGCATATATATATATAAAGTATAAATTTTAATAAAAAAATCTTTTAAATCTTTTAAATAAATTTTATAAGTTCATATTACTTAGTTATCTAACAATTAAAAGTTATTATATGCTTAATTTAAAAATATTTTTATTATTTCATGGTTTATATGATTAAACTTCAAACGCGGTCTTAAGTTATATTTTATTTCTTTTATACGGTTTAATATCGTTTAGTTATAAATTATCTTGCAAATAATTCATAAATACATTATATTATAATTCCTTATATAATTAAACGGCTACGACGATGAAAACACGTTGTATAACTATTACGTTTTATAAACATATGTCAAATATTAATCTAAGTATATATCAATAAATACGGCTTAAAGCTATTAATACATAAATATATTAATATATGTAACGTTTTAATAATAATAATAACTTTTAAAAACGTACTTATATTGTCGCTAGTAGTTACGCAATCATGCGACAACGTTTTTAAATAGCCGTTATATATATTATTTCGCGTATATTAAAAACACGCGGAATAATATATATAACTGTTGGAACAGGCTTGAACGATCAGTCATAATACTCGAGTATTGGGTCAAGGTTATGATGTTGCTGATGGTTGGATTGTGAAGTCTAGCTGGACCTGAAGGTCTGGCTAAGTGACCTCACAATCTGGTATCTAATCTCTTATCTAATTTGGCTGTGGAATCACATGGATCCGACAATAACAGTATTTAAAAAACGTTATCGTTAAAAAACGTACTTTTAAGTCGTCGCGTGGCAGCTTAACTTTATGTATGTGTGTACAGAAAATTAATGTAAGGCTAGACGCTAGGCTTCAAAATGGCAGTATGGCGGGGCGGTCTGGGCAGTCTGGGCGGTGAAGCCTTGTAGTGCTCCAGTACCTGAATTCTGCCGTTTCTAGAGCTCCATTCCACCATGACTCCCAAAGGTCCAGTCTCCCAATAGAAGCAGTGGGGATAGGCAGCTTTGGTCATCAACCTTACCAGACAGCAACGGCACCAGCAATTGGCTAACGCCATGTTTCTTTGTCCATTCGAAATGGGATGATTGAGATCCGATGCCTCGTAATGCTGCTCTTTCGCCCTCAGCGGCGCGCCGTGCTGCCCAATGGACTTCGCACTTGCGACAGTTCAGCAAGTCGGGCTCCGACAGAGGCTTGACCGATGCACCGCAGTCGTCCGATACCGTCTCTCTAGCCAGTAACTCGACAGTCAGGGAATCCATGGCGCCGAAGAGAATCCCCGAGCGAACGTGTACCGTGACCATTAACGAGTCGGTCATCCGCGACGAGGTGCTCTTGAATCTGGACCTGGTTGGAAGCGGCGCCATTCAGCCTGGCACGCTGATGTCCATCAGCGCAGTCAAATCAGACACCGACCGGTCACAGGGCACCTTCTCTGGATCCTCGAGACAAACAACATATCAGCGAAACTCATCCGCCGCCGAAGACCCCTCCAAGACGGATGGAGATGCTGGCCAAAGATACATCTTTGTAGCCAGGGACATGTCCAGGGAAATAAAGGCTAGGAATCCCAATGTGGAGGTTTACGTCGCAAAACACATCGGGGACGCCTTCAACATGAGGAAGGGCACCCAGGTTGTACTTGCGCCCGTCGACCATCTGTCGCCCGCCATCGAAGCGTCCCACGTCGAGCTATCCTTCAAAGACATGTATCTGTCCCGAGCCGACATGTGGAGGCTCGCGGTCGCCGATCTCTCTGACAGAACCGTGTACAAGGGCCAAGTGGTATACTTCCTCGGGACCATCAAAGCCACCGTCAGCACCGTCTTCGTCGAAGGCCGCAAGGTCCAGTCTGCCTTCTTTGGTCGTAATACCCGCCCCATCTTCCGAAGCGAGTCCGCTAGATATGTGCTCTTCATTCAGATGGCTCGCGAGATGTGGGAATTTGATTCTGACGGTTCGGGGGAAATCATGTTCTACAAGGTCGTGAACGGGTTTCTGCCGGCTCTGTTCAAGAAATGGGCCATGCTCAAAGTCAAACACCTCGTCAGCATCGTCCTCTTCGCAAGGGTTGAATATGACACCGGGTTGAACACCGATCTGGCAAACACAACCCTTCACAATGACTACTATACTGGTTTCCAAACTTCTGGTGAAAAGCGCCCGTACAAGGACTTCTATCGGGTCGTCGTAAGTGAGATGTCTAGCGGCGAGTGGACGAGTATTCTACATCTGCTGAAGCTAGAGTTCAACGACTTTCGGCGTGATATCAGTCTTCACCACCGAGATGCGATGAGCAATGCCATGGAAATTCCAGAAGACGCCACAGCAAAGGGCTCTTCTACCAGTAAGACCAAAGCAGAATCATCGTTGGCCATGCATGGGAACTTTCTCGAGGCGATCAACCTCGCGTCTTCCATTTATGCCCATGATTATATCGACCGGGACCTGTTGCGTACCGGCATTTCCTTGGTGGTGATCAGTCCCGGGTCGGGTGTTTTCGAGGTCGAGTATGAGTCCCTCCGACGGACCACCGAGGCTCTCGTGGGCAATGGGATTGGCATTGACCTGATATGCATCCCGAACCTGCCTCTACATTCCGTCCCCTTGTTTAGATACCGCAATCCACACTATTTGGGCGCAAATCAGAGATCCCAGGCCCGACCATTACGCAGTCGAGATAGTACACCGAAACAGCCTACGCCCTTGGTTGGTAGCTATACCACGCTCTCCGAGTCGCTGTCACCTTCCAAGGGGATTGAGCCAAGTAGCCGTGGAGAGTCGGCCAATTCAAGGATGTACGCTGATGAGTGGGCTTTCGCACTGCCGCAGTGGCTGCATGTCTCCTACTGGACTGGCAAACCCGAAGAAGCCTTGTCTTTTCAAGGCATCACGCTGGCTGCGATGAGCCAGCTGGGAGATGAATCCCAGGAGGAGTTCACCATCCGATGCAGGCTTTACGACCTTCAGATGAGGAGCGTGTTGGAAACCAATGAGATCGAGACCTCTCCTCTCTACGCAGATTCATCTTATGCCAGCCTCGCTCGCAAGCAGGGAGGCGGGTACTTTTTTTCAAGTGCCGAAAACCGTGCGTCGACACTCGCGCGGAATCGGAAGGCACCGGACGCTCTTTTCGAACCAGTCTATGGACTCCAGAAGTTCACACCTGAAAAGTTAACGAAGCCTGGGGAAACGTCGTTATGGAAACAACTGCAGGCTTTTGACGAGTCTAGGGCTCGTCTTCCGTCACATCGGCAGCAAACGATTCCCAATGGTCCCAATTATCGAGACCTTGACGAGGGCACCAAGAAGCATTCAGTCGAAGATACTGCGCTGTTCGGCACTTCCGTTGGGGACAAGAGGGTTCCTCCCCAGCCGTTGGCATCACTTTCTTCCAGTGTTGCATCCTCAAGCAGGGCTGAGTCCGAAGGCTCCGAATCAAACGCAGTTTCTCGTAGGGATTCGAATGCGTCGATTTCTCAGACGAGATTCCCTCCTGCCAGAGCACCAAAGCTCATGCGGCAAATCAGTCTCGGTCAGCGTGGCTTTGGCATTGCAGCTCCCAAGGCCGCAACGGCCGAGTTGCGGACGGAGCACGTCAGCGCGATGCAGAATGCAGGACTTGTCAAGACGCCCTCATCATCGAGACTAGCTCCAATGACGCCAGCCAAGCCTACCGCTGCCGCTGCTGGGTCATTATCTCAGACCTTTGAGCAAGCAAGGCTCGATCTGTCTGAACACATCCTGGACATGGCACCAAACACGCCAAGTCGGCCTATACAAATAAAGGGTCCATCCCCATCTGCGGATCCGATTCGCACATTGAAGTCTGGCGCTGTGCTACCGACGCCTGTCGCCAAAAGTGTGCGCCGCGATGACCCGGACCTGAAATATTCAAACGTCCTCAGAGATGAAGACCAGAAGAGACTATTCAATTCGAAGCTGCGAGCAGGAGGTGTGCCGGAACTACCCTCGACGCTTTCGCCAACGACAGCATTGGCACCGTGGCTGGTTGTCTTGAATCCATCTAATCCTAATGCGAGTAGAGTGGACGATTCAGTTCTGTTCAGTCGCTGGCAACATGTCTTTCCACGGCCGTCCGAGATGAGAGTCATGAAGTGGAAATCCCTGTCATGCCCGGCTGCTGTTCCCCTTACCACCGAGTACTTCCCAACCCAGGCCCAGTTCAATGCAGAATATCAGAGGCAGCCATACAACATAGCCCGAGAAATCGATGACGACGACCTCTCGGAAGAACCGAAGTCCCGCGTGGAGTTCCTTAGAGAGCTCGTCAGCGCTCGTTTTGCCCACGGGTTCCAAGTCGTGATTGGTCCATCAGTAGCGAAGGCGTTTGACCAGAAGGCCGTTCGAATTGCCGATATCTTCTCGGTCGATAACACCGTGGACGATGGGACGAGCATTTTCATGAGCGTCGGCAACACGATCCATCAGCTATCGTGTGTTAACAGCACCGAAGTTGAGGTGAATATCTACGTGCGGAAACCGACCGAGTCGTTGGCGCAAACAGAGAATACATCATACCAGTACAGGCCAGCCATCCGTACTTTCCGCGAAGAAACCTACCAAAATGCTAACATAGATATCATGACGCCTAAGCCCGAGCGCAACTGGAACTACATAGACTCGTATCTCGCTGGACACACAGATGAGATGACGGAAAACTTGAGGTTCTGGCGGACGCGTTTCGTGCTTATACCGATGTACGCCCGGACCAGTTCAGCCGTGCCCGCACCACACAACGAGGACGATGAAGAGGAGGTGCGTCTCGAGGGCATCAAGAGACTTGCTCAGAATTGGCAGCGTCATCGATACATGTCGCCATCAGAGCGCCACTTTCAGAGTGCAGGTGCAAGAAAGCGAGACCCTAACCCGCTCGACATCATCTATAAGACCGAAGATTCTTCTGTGGTTATCGCTGCTGAGATGGAGACACTTCCTCTCTTTGAAAATGTCGAAGCCACCCATCGCAAAGGGTTGGTCTCGGACAAGGAACGCTTCTCGAAATCCAATTTCAATGTGGCAGCCTTGGCGGAAGCAATCCAACAACCAGTTGAGGCAGGCGGCATCCGAATGCAGACTCGGCGTTGGCATTTCCGTCTGCACTACCACTGCTTCATTGGGTCTGATATGACAACATGGCTTCTCGACAACTTTGAAGATCTCGGCAGTCGGGAAGAAGCTGTCGAATTGGGCAACACTTTGATGGTATACGACGATAACAAGTCCAAAGAAAAGGACACTAGCAAAGACTCGAAGAAGGCTCGAGATCGCGGCATATTCGTCCACGTCGAAAAGCGCCACAACTTCCGTGATGGTCAGTACTTCTATCAGATTGCTAGTGAGCATGCCAAACTTCACCCGCCGGGATGGTTCAACAGGAAAAGGGACTTCTCTGTCCCCTCGACACCAATATCCGAGCATATGCCCCGGAGCTCCCCACGACACGGCCAACCCAGTATTCCAAGGCCAACTTCAAATCATGACGAGAATCCATCGGTATCCGGAAGTTCTACGCCAACAGTAACGACGACCGGGGGCAAACGTCCGAAAGTCGTTCTCAGCAAGATGATGAGGTATGATGTCGACCACCGCAGGAAATCCTACCGCCCAGAGAGGATCAACCTTCACTATGAGCGACTACACAACCCTGATAATTGCTATCATATTCGCATTGAATGGATGAGTGTGACAGCGAAGCTGATCGAGGATGCCATAAAAAGTTGGGCGGCACTGGCAGCTCACCATGGCCTCCGCCTCGTTGAAGTACCCATCGCGGAGGCCTGTATGATCAACGAGATAAACGCCTTCAGGAGGCCATACTGCATCAAACTCGCAGTACCGCCACCAGCCCAGCGACCTGTCACCTACTACGATCCCGGCTCTTTCGGTCCACAAGCACCACCGGGTAAGCACTTTTATCAGAAGGCTCTGCTCAAGAAAATGGAGTACGTGCTCGATCATGAGGCCGCATCCAATTTCCCAAACAACGTGGACGTCAGTTACTCGTGGGGCAAGCCGGATTTCAAATACACCCAATACATCCACCGCTCAGGTGTCTTACTCGTAGAGATCACCGACGAAGGCGATTTCATCGCCGTGGTCAACAGGCTCTACAGCAACCGGGCTGTTGCGACCCAACCCACTCAAGTGCGTACCGAGACGGTGCCCAATGAGCGCGTCTCTCGTCTCATGGCCAGCAGCGCATACACCAACTACGGCTTGGTCGAACCTACTCCTATCTCGTCGCCTCTGTCTAGGCCCATACTCTTTCCCCAATCGAAATCTAGGGGAGCCTTCGAACCATCGGCCGGCCGCGGCGGAAACGGGTCCAAAGCCGGTCCGGCGACCGACCAAGGAATCCCGAATCCCATGGCACTCATGGACGCCCTCGAGGCTTTCTGTCACGACACACAGACACTAGAGGCTTTCTACAGGGAGACGCTCGAGAAGGGCATAGGTACACCGGCGGCGGCTGCTGCGGCGCTGGCCGCCAATGCGGTGCCCGACGCGGGTATACCGGTGCTCGGGCTCCCGCCCGGCGTGCTCAGTGGGGGGGATCTGGGTGGCGGTGGCGGTGGCTTTGCGGGCAGTCCTGTGCCCACGCCCAGGGTCGGGACGCCTAGTAGCCTGGCGGGCGCCCTGCTCTTTAGACGAGGCAGTGTGCAGCATTAGGTAGGGACTGTTCATGAAAGGGAGTTGGGTGTACTGTAAAAATGGACGGATCAGGTTGGGGTGATGCTAGGGCATTTCGACAATGGATATCGTTGATGTAAGCATCGCGGTCGGGGGGCTGTCTCCCGATCGAACGACTCGACGCCGCTGCTACTGTACTGGGCTATGTAGGGAGTACGGTGTTCACGTCTGGTAGGCGTTTGGCTTGAGGGCTTGCGGGCTGTAGTCTAGATATACATCCCTAGAGGGACGTATGTGGCTGTGACAGTGCTTCGACTGGACAGCCTTTCCATCGTGGACGGAGTTGCTGGAGCTCAGAGATATGTTACATGGTGGTGAATGAACTCTGTAAAAAGTCGTCTTGGTCATCGTGGCTCGCTTTTGTTTTTACGTGGTGAGGTATGATGAGGAGGAGAGAAGGTCTGCGCGGAGGCGCAGGGGGCGGCGACGGTCGCAGTCACGAAGAGACGCATGGTGATCGTTTGTGTCTCTTGTGAACTGTTTGGAGGCGTGCTGTTTGGGATGATGGAGGTGATCGATACTCGTGCTGGCTTTACGAGAGCAGAGTCCAATCACCCACTCGAAAAGGCATTGGGCTGACGGGAGAGGGAATGCTCGCAGGGATTGTTTGTTGAGTACCGGGTGCCGGTGTAGGTCTAGAGGGTATGATGAATGCTCAACTCGGGCTGTATGTATCACTGAAATGAGATGACCTTATTTGTTCGTCATTGAGGGCTGATGCGCGTAGCATCACTCGCTTCACTGCGGTGATGTCTCTTCTAGTATTACCCCCGGTTTACCGCTTAGGAACCTGGCAAAGGTATACATGTAATTTGTACTGGTGTCTCCCGTCACTCAGCGTAAGGAAAGTCCTTTTGCAACTGGCATGGCGGGCTGGGTACGCGAATCCATCAACATTTGAGGTTTGTGATAAACATTTTCTTGCCTAATTCGCAAGGACTTTAAGACCTCGGGTCACATGCTGCGGCTTTCTAGTCGCCGATGCCAATCAAGTTCATCCCTTAAGTTACGTGGTCAATCTGCCAGACGATATTCAGATTGATCTTACGTGGACGATGCGCCGTAGATCCCCAAGGGTGATCTCGGGACGGGCGGAGTATATGCGGCTAAAGGGCCCCGGGTGTCCAAACGCCTAGGCGTAATGCCGGAGAGTAGAGGGAGGGGAATCGGATATGGAGACACCGTTGCTGTCTTGACTTCAATGGCGGGAAGGAAAGGGTTTGAATAAATAATTGCTTTGGATCCTTTGCCGTTGAGTATGAATGGCGACGTATCGTGCAGTTAATGTGTAGTTTCGGCATGCCATGCAGGAAGCATCGCGGACAGAGAAAACATATGCATGAATTGGAGACTGCCCGGTGCCTGTAAGGAAGGGAGAACACAGGCAGGCCGTTGGCCACTGCGCAATGTAGCTCCCCCTGATGATGGGGGTATACTTGATGCCTATCAGAAGAACACATGTCATCGAGTCCGAAAATTCCGAGACCCCTTCAACGACCTTGAAACCAAGCCGGATGATCCAAACAGCGTCTCCTCCTCTATCCCAAAGCTAAGGAGCGGGAGCTAAGGAGCGGGAGGAACTCTCTACCTTTCGCCTCAGCCAAGTCACAAACCCACCCACCATGTCACCACCAGGGAGCCATCACCAATCATCATGATGTCCTAGGAAACGCGAAATCCTGGTCATGCCGCCACCACCCGCGATCATACCTCCAGAGACTCAACCCAGTCACCTCGCCATCACATCCCCCGAACTCCCGCCTCACATCCTCCAAGCACCTCTTCACCGCCTCCTCGTCGTTGACCAGATTCATCAGCGTGTAATGGCCCCTGAACTTGCCCCTGTCCTGCTGGCTCAGGACATCGTACCACTTCGTTTGAAGCTGGCGGAACAGCTCATCCGCTGGCTCGAGACCCGTGACTGAGAGGCCGACACCACGGCCCATGCGGAACGGCTTGCTGGCGCTTATGGCGAATGGGGTTGTTCCCGAGGCGGCGGATGCTATGTCTGACTTTATGGTGGATAGAATTGAGTCGGGCAGGGCGCGGAAGAGAGATATGTGTGCATCGACTTTAAGCATTTTGGCTGGGAAGTATCTCTTCCGCCACTCTGACATGGTGGCTTGGTGGGCGCTGTCGGTTTGCAAAGTGAGGACGTAGTGGTCTTCCTCTGGACCACTGGTCCGTGGTTTATGGTCGTCACGTCGCTGATACGCTCTTGGGGCGTGAGACTCGGAGTGTGAGGTTGTTGTGTCTCTGGCCGAGCCTGAGGCTGCGGCGTGGGAGATGATCGTGACGGTCATCCTGAGTGTCTTGGACAGGTACCTAGGTGGAAGTTGCAGTCGAGGTGACATGTAGTATAACAGGCAAGGTTTTCGGACATGGGATGGAAGATGATGCAGGTATCACAGCTGGCTTTGATGTAAAGACCTACTAGCTGCTCTTTAGTTGCGCTTGTTCTCATGACGTCAATGACTCGATGCGGCATTCTCATGGCGTAACAGCCATCTTTCTTGAACCTGAAGCGCGGCGCTTGCCCAGGAAATGATGTGTTCATGCTCATAATCAACGGGTGCGTATGCCCCTTGACCGTCTCGTCGTCGGGGTTGATGGTAAGACGGGTATAGCATCAGTGGTAAGGGGAACCATCAGCAGTAAACATCTCCCTCTATTGTTCTCCATCACTGGAAACTCTGTCGATGCAGGGCTATTTTGATGGTAGTGGTACACTTCGTCCTTGAGCCGCAACCATATTAAGCGTCTCGAAACATCGTATTCTCATGGGCTGCTGATGAATCGGGCGTGCTCCCTACTCAGGTACGTTTCCAGCAAGCGAGATCCAGGATCCCCAGATTGGCATCAAATGAGTCGGCCATACAGTAAGAGAGATAGCGAATGCTCCGATTTCGCTCTTGCAAGCTGGTAAATTTGGCGTTGCGATATAATGTCACGACACGTAAGTGTGAGCCAAGTCTGCAAGGCCGGCCGCGTCGCGAGGGCCCGTATTGGCATCGTTCCAGCTACAGCATTATCTTGCTCGTGAACTCAGCCACGATACCGAGTAGAGAATCATGTAGATGCCTGGTGCGAAAACGAAGTATCGTGATCGGATGAGAGACGCGACGCTGTTCTATCATGAAAAGGAGTGATCGTCGTCACCCTCGGCGAAAGTGACACCTGCACATCCACCACCCATATCCAAGGGAACATCAAATATCTTTCTGCCCCGGTGGATGAGCGGTCATCTCAGCTGTTAATCAGGGGCTTCAGGCTCTCAGTATATAGGAGCCAGACCTGCCAGGGGTGCCGTTGTAAGTAGGTGGAGTAACAATTGAGGCCAGTGGCTCCACGGAATGCTGCATTGAAGACCGAGGCCGAATGACGGACTTCTTTTGATCAGCTGCCCTTAGGATCTTGGGGTTCCGAGCCTCGGGAGATTTATGAAGGCCTCATCCAAACGAAGCAAGTTCGAAGCACTGCGCGCACGGAAGTTGTGGTTCGTGGGCGAGCAAGGGAGATTCCTTGAGCTGATCGGCTTGTCGAAGCTTGCGCCCGATGCGATCGTGATCGGGAAGAACCTCCGCTCGCGGCCGATCGCTGCCCGATCCCAACCCCAACTCCTTCGGCCACTTGACAGCGGCACCGGCTAGGTCATATTTTGCCGGAGTTCTACTTGATTCGAGGTAAACCTCCCATAGCCGTCTTCCACCACTGTTTGGGTTATTGTCATTGAGCATAATAGCGAGGCTTGTTTTGCTACCGCGCTGCCTGACCAAATTTCGACTAAGCACTCCCGCCCGCGAACTGACAGCACCACCTTTGGTACTCGACCCGTTGGACTCCAATTCTACATGGTACCTGTCTATTGACCCAAGGGTCTCTGAACCGAAGCACAGGAGCAACAGTCCCATGTCAGTGAGATTGGGGACAACACAGTTCTGGTGAAATCACCAAGGTCCAAGGCAAGATGGCGAGCACTACAGACTCGAACAAGGTCGTCGACCTCCTAAAGTCTCTCATAAATATCGAGAGCACGAGTGAGAAGGAGCTCGACATCGGCATCTACCTGGAGAAACACATGAAGAGCCTCGGCTACACCGTCGAGCGCATCCCCATCTCAGAGGGCTCCACACGACACAACGTGTACGCGTACCTCGGACAGCAACGGAAGACTAGGCTGCTGCTCACTGCCCACATGGACACGGTGCCGCCGCATATCCCGTTCAGCATAGAGGGAGACGTCATTCGCGGAAGGGGAGCTTGCGATGACCTGGGTCCCATGGTCGGACAGATCTTCGCTGTCGAAGAGTTGCGCGCCGAGGGCAAGCTCAAGGAAGGGGATGTCAGTTTCCTCTTTGTCGTGGGTGAGGAGAAGGGCGGCCCGGGCATGCTCGCGGCCAACGACATGGGGCTTACCTGGGACGCTGGCATCTTTGCCGAGCCTACCGAGGGGAAGTTGGGAAAGGGGCACAAGGGTAACCTCGTTTTCGAAGTCATAGCACACGGCAAAGCATGGTGAGTAGTCGCGTGCCGAACGGATGACTGATGGCAAGGTGCACTGACCGCGGGAACCAAAGTCATTCCGGATATCCTCACCTGGGGAAGAGCGCCACGCTACTGTTGATCAACGCCCTGACGGACCTCTCAGCAGTGGGATGGCCCGCATCCGACCTTCTGGGCCCCTCAACCCTGAACATCGGCAAGCTCGAGGGCGGCGAGGGCTACAACATCGTGGCGCCCTATGCCAAGGCCCTCTGCAGCATCCGCATCGCGACGGAGCTCCCTAAGATCAAGAAGACGGTGTCCGATGTCCTGGCCAAGCACACAGACATCGAGGTCAACTTTATGTTTGAGTATCCCGAAACGCTCCTGAGCTGGGATTTTGACGGTTTCGAGGCTGCTCCCATGGCATATGGAACGGATGTTCCGAGGTTGCGTGGTGATCATAACAAGGTGCTGTATGGGCCTGGGAGTATCCTCGTGGCCCATGGCAAGGATGAGCAGATCCGGGTTGGCGAGCTTATGGAGAGTATTGCGGGCTACAAGAAACTCACGCTGGAGCTGCTGAAGTAGTTGCACACTTCATGGTCGGCCTGTATCAGCTCTAGGAACGGAGTCGTGGTTTGACGGGCCCAATGTCCAGGCTTGACAGTCGAGCTGGCCAACACGCTAGGGAGTGGCTTTGCGAGAAGGAATATTGTATACAGACTCATACGATGCTCTGAGAAACACCGATGAAAGCCACACAGTCTTCGTTCTCCATGGAATCTCTGTAGTCCGAAAGCCGAGGTTTTTCTCCATGGTTCTGACCAGGCACAAACAGGCATGATGGGTAACAATGCAGGATCGCTTGTATGCATATTCTCAACAAAGGGGTCGTAATAGGCATCATCATGAGTGCTTCCCGAAAGGGGAAATACGTGAGGCTTACTTGACGCCTGGTTGGCTGAGCCGAGAGGCTACCTAGCAGACGGAAGACATCAGGGGCGATATTGTGCTGGGCTACAGGCTCTTCTTGCGCAGTGGATTCATCAACGTGTCTCGCCTTGCTACATAAAAAAAGACATACTACACCGAGGTCCTCAAAGATGTTGGATTTGGGTTGCCTCTGTGAATTGGAACTTCCAATGCTCTGAGAAACCCCTGACCACAAAAGGGGCTGCTGTTTGCATGTAACCCCGCTGACATCACTGCCGATAGTACCCTGTCGATGCCCGCCGCAGGGCAGCGACGTCCCGGAATATGGGGCTGTCCCCGTGGAAAGGCGCCCAATAGATAAAACTGGAATGCAAACAAGCCGCTGCGTTGCGCTATCGGGCCAAGTGGGGGTCAGAGTCAATTGGCCTTGCTCGCCCGCTCCCAACACTCAATTCCTTTTTCCAACCTGAAGGCTGACATTTGACGCCTAAGCTCTTTCTCAGGCGTTGTCGTGCTGGTGTTTGTTGCTCCTATACCCTTTCTCTATCTTCGTAGACTTTCTTGTAAGTATCTAGACTGTCTCTAACGCAAATTTTGCTTCTCAACTTCTCCCGTAGACTTCCCGAGATACCCCACTCTCTTCGACATCCGATATCCACCACCATACAACCTCAGACCCCGCCACAACCGCAACATGTCACCGAGCGCTACTAATGGCGGCAAGATGAGCTGCGGTCAGTTGTCTGCCCGTCTTTGAGAACTCAGCTGTCGGCCTGATGACGCGGGCTAACCTGGATACATCTACAGATCCCGCCGTGGTGGAAACACCCGCCATCTCGGAACCCTGGGCCGTCGAGAAGGTGCTGGCCACGATCCAACCGGAGCCGCCTGCCGAAAACACCAGCTCCCCCGTCCCCTTCTTCCACGTGCTCGAGCGACTGAAGACGAACAAGCGGGAGGGATGGCGCCGTTTCGGCATCGATAGGTACGGTCTTCTTCACATCACGTTCAAGCGCAACAGTCGTCAGCTAATTGGAACATGCGCAGGGGCGAATCAATCTCCGACCACATGTACCGCATGTCCATGATGTCTCTTATGTGTCCTCCCTTGCTTGCGCCCAAGCTCGACCTCCACAAGTGCATGAAGATGTGCCTCATACACGACATGGCCGAGGCGCTGGTCGGAGACATCACGCCGGTGGACGGTGTCGCGAAACCGGAGAAGAGCCGGCGCGAGGCCGAGACGATGGACTTCATCTCGAAGAACCTCCTGGGCAAGGTACACGGAGGCGTGGCGGGCAAGGACATGCGGGCCATCTGGCAAGAGTACGAGGACTCGGAGACGCTGGACAGCCACTTCGTGCACGACCTCGACAAGGTGGAGCTGCTGACGCAGATGATCGAGTACGAGAAGCGGGCCAAGAAGACGCTCGACCTGGGCGAGTTCGCGTACGTCTCGACGAGGATAGTGCTGCCCGAGATCCAGGAGTGGGCCAAGGAGATACTCAAGGACCGCGAGGACTTCTGGGGTGCGAATGACCATGTTCATGGCGAGGCTGGCGTCGACGGCGGAGTTGGCGAAGAGAAGTTTGAGCAGCAGGATGCCTACTACAGCAAGGAGGGTGACAAGGCGACTTGAGACGGTGGCAGCAGCATGGTTTGACTGAGATCTGTCGATACCATCTTCGGTGTAATGTGCTTTATGTGGCAAAGAGAGTGCGCCCAGTGTTTTATCTCAGGGCATGGGGAACGAATAAACCATTGATACCCTTCAGCTGAAGGACGATGAATGAGATATCGTGACTTACCCAAGCTTGAATAGTGACCTCGACGAATACGTACCGCCTACTTTTGGGAAGATGAGAATCTTGGCGCCCCGCGCAAAGCAACCTTATTTTCAACGTGTGCTGCTGGCACCAGCTGGATGTAGCTGGCGATGTAGCTGGCGACTGGCCGGCGTTTTTGCGACCGTTGCCGACCGGCAAAATGTCAATGCGCAAGTACTACTAAACAGATTTTGCTTGATACTATAGTAGCAGAGCCTCACTGGTACTTAACCAAAGTAGGGATGGCGGGAGGCCGCTAGAGAGGAAAACTGGTTAGGCTGGGGCGCCAAGATTCTCATCTTCCCAAAAGTAGGCGGTACATCGATGCAACAATCAGCCGACCATCACCGTGGTTATCTGTTGAGCTTGAGCAGCTCTTGGAAAGGGGTGGACTGCAACCTCCAACCTCCAACCTGCCCCGCGATGCTAGTGATTGATTACATGCCCCGCAGTGTACCCCTGACACCGCCAAATGCACTTTTGACTTCCAATGACCCAGCAACGCCCCCCATAACAACTTCAATGTCCGGTGCGAATCGAGAAAAATAGGAGGTGTCCTCCCCTTGATGAACACCTTGCGCCTCGATCTCTGATCTTCAGGGTGCAGGTACTCTTTCCAAGGATCCCCCATCTCCCCTCGATATTCATCATCGCCATTTCGACGGTGCGCTGTGTGAAACACTGAAACACGCGCTTGTTTGCTTTTCCGAGTGCGTTTGTCGCATCGCATTGACGCAGCTACGTCACAGAGTGCTACCTATCCATTGATTCCAAGACGGGATCGACGAGACTACAGGCAGAAATATCGTCATTGCTCGCAAACGAGGGGCTCAATCTTTCGTTCCAAGGCGGTGGTCTCGTTGACGCATACCTCGAGCAAGAGCAGGCAGACGGTGGTCAGTACAAGTCGATTAATCCAAAAACGGGCGCATTATTGCGAGAGTGTGTACTACCCACCACCTGCTCAGTGCTGTCTTACACAGTACTGCCGCACCGGCTTATCTCTACCGATCACGCGCCGCCAACGCCAACACGCCAACACGCCATCTGCCTCGCCTCTAAACCTTCTCTCACCTCTCCGCCGACTGTCACATCCACCTCATCTGTCGCTCGCGAAACGCCGACGACAGCCACCACACGGTATCGGGTTCTTCATCCGACAAACGACGTGGACGAGTCACTCATAGAGACCACCGAGATAAACACACGCGCCGGCCGAGGCTGATTGAAAGTGGTGGATGCAGCTTAAATCATCCAAGTCTGTTGCTCGCACCGCTCTGGTCGCTACGTGTACTGCAATAAACTCTATACCGCGCTTTGAACGCTATGTCCTTTGGACCTCAGGTTGTCATGCCTGCCGCCTTTCACCTCGGAACCTCCAACGCCACATCATCTCACTCCGGTGTCCACGCAGGAATCTTCCGCCCTCCAATGTCGCCGTCCGTTTCTAGCTCGGTGTATATGGGGAGGTCGACGGGTAGTCTACGCTCCGACGCCTCGACAACCACGCCGAACGTCAAGAGGAAACGGACAACAGCTTGGGATTCGACACCACGGAGCGATCGGAGCATGAGGAACGATGGCCACTCCAATATGGAAAGCGAATTTGACGATCCGTCCGAACGCGGTCGCAGGATGGACGGGGAAGAAAGGCGATACACGCTGGCGGGCCAGATCGAAACACCAAGCGGCGAAGTGCAGAGGGAAATTGGGAACATGGAGGACAGCGTATACTCTGATGTCGACTACAGACGTGCGCTTGGATCGAAACGACCACACGGCGAACTCGACTCCCCACAGTCTAGACTCTCCACGACTGGAAACTCGGCATCACAAATACCGCGAAACACTGCATGGGGTTCGCTGGCCATAAATACGTTGGGTGGTGTCGTCGGAAAGGTCTGGCAGTTCTGCAGGGATGGAGCCTTTCGCGGCTTCTATGCTGGTGGAGGAAAGGGCTGTGAAATGCAAGGCAGAACGGGATCAGCCACGACATCGAATAGTCAGGTCTGGTGCAACGAGCACGACGTCCCAACGCTCCCGGACAACAAGTTTGGCTCCTTCCCCCAATCGGACTACTCCCCTTTCTACTATGAGCACGAAACACCAGAGTCGACACCACCACCCGCAGCGAAACGACGCCAGATTAATGATGGAACTCCTAGGGATGAGCTCCGCAGAAACTGGGTCATGGTCAAGGAGCCGGAAGACAACAGGTCGCAATCAAGCTTTGCACCTCGGCCATCGTCGAGTCAACAACTGCAACGGCCTACAGCACCTCCTCTTACTCGCCGCATCAGCAAGCCTGTCAGCCGTTTGAACGTACCCACTCTCAACCGACATCATTCTGGTAGAATCAGCCATGCCGGGTCTGCGTCTCTTTCAAGCCGCACGTCTGCCAGTTTTGCGTCTCCGCGATCGCCAGTGACGGCGACCAGCCCCAGCCGACTGCCAATCCCCAGCCGGCCGCAGTCGCCTAGCACCTTTTCACCCACCCGCCTCTCACAACAACCCTCCCGTATCCCGAGTCCGAGTCTATACTCTAAAGGCCATAGAAGAGCACACAGTGCCGCAACCGCTCCATTGGTCGCGCCTGTGAAGATGAGGAAACGAGAGTCCATGCAAGAGATGCATGACAGCAGCCCACGGTTAGACGCCGAGGCGAGGAAGTTGGCCGCAAAGCGGTTGCAAGAAGAGATGGACGCGGACCTGCGGATAAATGACTTCAACAGCCGCTTGAAAGACATGATCCGACAGGGCAAGGAGGCGTTGGGCACAACGATCGAAGTCGAGCTTGACGGCGAAGGCGAGAGAGGGTTTGACCCCTGGGAGGACGACTGATGTCCGAGTGCGGCGATTGCAACCCGAGTCGAAAATCTGGTGTTGAGTTGTGATTTATACCCGGCGTGGGTCATGATCTCTTTGTTTGTTTCAGGAGTAGGGGTTGAACAGGACACTACTTGCTACGATGTCTAACTGGGCTGGCTATCTGTACACTTTTGTAATGATACACTGGATACATTCTTCGATGATTCCACTCGCCATCCTTGGAAGGATAAAAACATCCACTCACGTCATCTTTAACTCAAGCCAAGCCAACTCTTGACGTTGCCCCACGTGGAACCCTCGTCCATTTCTGGTACACATCTACCATGGTGGGTGTCCTCCGCCTTGTAGCACACTTTCCCGCACATCGCCAAGTTGCATTCGTAGCTGACGCCTACCAAAGAGCACTTAACGTCCGCGCACTGTTCCAGCGGTTCAATATCTTTGTCGTCAGCCCACTTCCTGGCGTCCTCCTCGGCGTACGGCACTAGGCCCGTGGCCTCCGGACCCATGCTCCCCGCCGCGCAGCGGCCCCAGGCCGGGTTCGCCACAGTCTCCTTCGGGTGCCAGATGCACCCCTGTGGATTGCAGCCGGCGTTCTTGCAGCCGAGATCGAAATTCTCAGGGGGGTTTTTGTTTTTCAGCCGGCAGGGGACGTCCTCGCATTTCTGCGGCAGGTTCTTCTTGAGGATGGCGAGTATGCGATCGTAGTTGGGGGTCTGGTCTCGGCCTCCCAACCGAGCCTTGGCCGTGCCCGACGTGGACGCCAACTTGGACGTACCGCTCCCGTTCTTTCCTGGTAACACGGCGCATCTACCGTGGTTGGGGTTTTTCGCGTCGGGATCTACATAGCACACTTTTCCGCACATCACCGAGTCACAATCAGAGCTGGCGCCCAGCTTCGTACACGCCTGCGCGGCGCATTGTTCCAGCGGCTCTAAGTCGACGTCGTTCGCCCACTTTGAGGCGTCCGACTCGGTCATCTTTACCAAGTCCTCCTGGGCGGCCTTGTCGTCGTTGTCGTTTTCCTGCGCGCACCGGCCCGAGCCCAGCTTAGACTCCGCCGGGTGCGGGACGCAGGCCCGTCCGCCGCAGCCGGCGTCGTAGCAGGCGTTGCTGGAGGAGTGGGAGTCGAGCGGGCAGGGGACGTCCTCGCATTTCGCCGGCAGGTAGGACTTTAGGGCGCGGACTATGTCGTCTTTATCGTATTCATTGGGGCTCTGGTCTCGGGGCTGCTGCTGGCCATGTGATGTCCGTTTGTGCACCTTAGCCTTGTCCAACGCGCCGTTCTTTACAGCCACACCGCATATACCCTTGTGGAGGCCCTCCAGCTTGGGATCACGATAGCACACATTCCCGCATCCCTCCCTGGCGCAATCTTCGCTGGGGCCCACCCCGGTACACTTGATCTTCGCGCATTGTTCTAGCGGTTTATCGAAGCCGGCGCCGCCGTTCTCCTGGGGCTGTAACCACACTCTGGCGTCCTCGTCGGCTTGCTCCGCTAGGTTCGTGGCGAGCGTCTCGTCGCCCTTCTTTGCGCACCCGCCCCAGTTCAGGCTCCATTTCTCCGCCGGGTGATGGAGGCAGCCCCCGTCGCCGCACCCGGCGCTCTTGCAGGTGGCGTCCCCGCCGGCTCCCGCGAGGCAGGGGAGGTCCTCGCATTTGGCTGGCAGGTGGGACTTTAGGATGGCGGCAAGGTTGGAGGGGTTGAGGCTTTGGTCCTCGGGCTGTTTGGTTACGTGGTGTTAGTAGGTGTGTGTGTTGGGCGGTTGGTTGTGGGATGGAAGGGGGTTGAGGGTGGGGAGGTTTCGATTGCTCACCTCATTTCCTTTCCCGCCTCGACCGGCCACGGCCCCCAGGGCTGGAACGGCGGCGAATGCAAGGAGGATTGTAGCTGGGTTTCTCATGATGGGTTGGTTTCGGGTGTGTATTGGTTTCTGGGTGGTAACACCGTGCTGCTACACCGTGATGCTACTGGACCTTGTTGTTCGTTTGGTCGGAAAAGTTGCTGTAAGGCAGCGATTTTGCATAGGACGCTGCCATCGTGCAGCTCTTAAAAGCATTCCCGCCTCGCCACCTCAAACCGTGCCGTCTGAGGCAGAGTCGCGTACGTCCGTGACGATGATGCTGTTGTCTACATAACTCATATGATTGCATTCAGTGACCGAATGCGGCGCGAAAACGGTGCAGTCGGTCAACATTCTGCACCAGCAGGGGGCAAGATGTAGAGCGACATCTATCTATTTGTATGCTCGAACGCAAGGAAGAGTTTCCTAATGCAAGGGATTGTTACAAAACTTTTAAGTTCCGATGCCTACGATCCTAGGCATACCGACTTCTGAAGGCTGAATCTACCTGGTCGACAGGTAGTTTTGGTATTTATAACTTCGCCTTCATCCTTTGGTGGGCCCCTGTATGCGGCCCGGGTTTGGGGAAGGGGCTCAATTGGCGACCGAGTATACTTGTCCTTTACTTTCGATTTTTCAACTCGGTCTACTGTGGATCTGCTATGCTTGCGACAATCGAGAGGGATACGCTAAACGAGATCTATACGAACAAGACCAAAATAGTATACGCCCTAGGATGATGTCAGATTACAGAATGGTCCAGTCTGTACCTATTGGACGAGGAATAAGGTAGCTGAAGGGGTACCTTCCCACCTAGATAGGCAGGAAAGGTACCTCTCACAGCTAAGATGCAACCCTGCAGGATGACCAATAATACTGTTCATAGTAGCCCATGACAAGCGGTGAGCACGTATTGTGACAGGTGAAGACAGGGTAAGCCCTCTTGGTGGTTGATTGAAGAAGTTACCTTGCCAATGATCAACTTCAAGCGTGCAAACAAAGCTTCCACCTAGAGGGACGAATATCGTCATGGATTCCTCGGCAGCATATCAACATCGAGAGGATCGTTCTGCCTGTGATAATGTGTTCTCAACGCCACATCACCCTCGTCTCTGCTGATCAGAGACTACCCCAGCATTTCACATGGCCGTACGGCACCTCCGGCTTGACAGGGCACGGCCAGGCCAGGCCTGGTATGGCCAGATCGCGTCTGGAACCCTTGCGTTCGAGGGCGTCGATGACGAACACACGTCGTTCTTGCTAGGAGAGTCGTGGAACTTATTAGTACGTAGTACCAGGTAAAGGAGATGGGCTCCTGCTGCAGTAAGACTGCCGGCGACGGCGGCGACGGACGTGGCCAGGCGCATGGTGGGTATCATGGTGGCTGTCATACCGCCGGTTTGCATCGTAGTAGTTGTAGCAGGCTGGCACCGCTATGCCGAGTATTTGGTCATTCCCGGTTGGTTTTGGGGGGTTTGTGAGTGCGATAGGGATAGACAGAGGGATGTTATTAGACCAGGCGAATATGGTGTGAGGTAGTTCAGGGACTCATAACTGGGTAGATACAATGGACTTTGTGATTTCGATGGAGCGTGTTGTTCTCATGTTGTTTCTATGCCTAATGACAGCTGAAAGAGACGAATGCAAGAACATAGAGACGGACGTTCTATGAGAGTTTGAAACAATACTTGCTTATTTGTGTGATTTAGGAGTAGTGCCGTGATCGTGAATGTATTGACAACTGAGTAATGGAAATAGACTTATTACACATGTTGAACTACCGCGATCATGACTCCCACGATGATATTTTCGACGCCTGCTGACAAGTACCCCGGGACCTATAAAAGTATCGTCGTTGAACTTTTACTATATCCCAATCCTGCTTTACCTCCCCAACGTACCAAGACCTTAGCTACGATACCTGGCTGAAGTCCTCGGAAGAGCCTACGGACACAACGTTGATGAAGTTTTAAGGAGTGTTTCGAGCGGACAGTAAGAATGGTACGTGTAGCTTTTGAAGTAACCGGCGGAAATCGGCGGCGACGACCACGCTAACCACAACCGCAGTCAGAACGACCACAGTCAGAATCACCACGACCACGGCGGCGAAGACGAGTGCCGAGATACAGGTACTATTTTATGGGACCACCACCACCACCCTGGTGGTTGCCTCCAGAACCACCACCACGACGAAGAAGGAGACGCCCGCCACAGGGACCACCACCACCACCCTGGCTTCGTTGGGGACCACCACCACCACCACCCTGGTTTGGTCGGGGACCACCACCACCACCATTCTGGTGGTTTCCTTAGGGGCCACCTCCACCACCATCACCATCATCATCATCATCATCATCGTCGGGATAAGACCAAGGAAGCGATTGATCTCTCCGAATCTTGACGAATAGAGGACTCCCGTGCCGATGTCGAGTTCGTAGGAAATAACATACTCGAAGCTGCCTCAGTGTTCTACTAGATGCACGATACACTCAGCCCTTATAAGTCTCCGTGCGCCCATGTTAGCGATATTCCGGATTACCGGGAGGAAATTTTAAAATATTGGAATAACTGTATAAGAAGAAGCAGCTTCAGTTTAATACATTTATTTTAATGCTTATTTCAGTGTGCTGATTCTGATTCGATATATGTACCGTTATCTGCTGAGACGGGTGTTGTACGCAGACTTATGAGGGTTCGGTGTAACCATTCAGCCGCGGCTCAAGATGCTCGTTTTGTAATAAACTTTGAGTGACAACGCACAAACGTGTCGGAAGCACCTGGGTCGTCTGGTGTGGACTGGGACCATCGTACGAACCGATAAAATCTGGCACAGTTTTCAGGACATCAAGCAAGTTGTCAAGTGCAGTTGGATATGGGGGAAAATGAGCTTAATTCGTCGCCAAGCGCTAGGAAGGAGAAAGAAACGCATTCAGAGGCATAATAGTGCTGTACATCCACTGAGAAGCACTAGAACCATCGCACCGGCTATCTTATCAAGGCCTCATCACCTTGATGCCTACTCTTTGATCTGCTGCTTGTGAAACAATCCTGCTGTACGCGTCAGCGCAAAACCCAGCAAGTGAGGTCAACATGGGAGACTGACCCTGTATCTCTGGCATCCACGGATCTCTCAACTTGCAGAAGAACTCGCCCTTGGGTTCGACCTGGCCTCGTGCGTGGTCCTCGAGGGTGCCGTAGAAGATGTAGATGAAGTCTCCAGCGTTTGCCTGGATGCCTGTCAGTGGTGATGTCCAGACGGGCGATTTCTCCCACTACTACCACCATAGAATTGTACCCTCACCACCCCTAGGAGGATTAATCACATAACGGCGGGGGCATGAAGTTGGGACAGCCCCCAAGTTGGGACAGCTTACACACCAAAAGGCCACACTTGCACCCACCCACATCACCATCAAGAATGAAGCTGTAAATACTGTAAATAATGCATTCGAATCGTCTTTTCTTGGTGTTTCTTCCAGTGTAGAATTCATTAGGTACACTGCTGCGGGATGGGCCGTGGTGGGGATCGGAAGTTAGCACTCCCGGGCCTAGAACTGAGGGGTCCCGGCTCCTGTGCCCCTATCCCCTCCAATCCAGCAGAAGTTCGGCGTTTTTTTTTTCTTTTTTCTTTTTTCTTTTTTCTTTTTTCATTTTTTTTGTAGGCATCATAGGCTTCAGTGCGTTGAAATGCCTCTTCTGTACACTCCTAAAGACCTCACCAAGGCAAACGCCGCTGTGAACGATAACGAATTGTCTCTTCGCAAGGCCTCCCAACGCTATGGAGTGCCGAAATCAACTCTCTCTCGCAAGGTCGAAGGCACCACGATGACCCAAACGCAGTCATATCGTAAGGGCGTTCATACTAAGCAGAAATTGAGCCCTGACTAAGAAACCAAGGTAGTTTCATGGATCCTTTATCAAGAGAAGGCAGGCCATGCGCCAACTCACGGTAATGTGAAGTACATTATCTAGAGGATCCTAAAATCCTAGGGAAAATCAGATCACTTAGAGGGCTATTACATACGAAACTTTATCCAGAGACACCAAGAGATCAAGACCAAGATGGAAAGGAAACTTGACTACAAGCGTATCAATGCTGCCACTCCCGATAATATCAATGGCTTCCATGACTGCTATAAAGATTTCGCCTTTATCAAACCTGAAAACCGGGCAAATATTAAAAAGTACAGCATTATACAGGGTCAGTAGTACGTGAATTATCCAATATAAGTAGTCTTTGGACGGCTGACCGGGAGATTATAGGTCTGATGGTCTTGTAATAGGTAGTTCTGGCTCAAAAGGAGCCAATGTCAAGTCCAATAACGACCGCACGTGGACTATAGTGGTAGAATCGATCACCGCCACTGGGAAGAAGCTCCGGCCGTTGGTTATCTTCAAGGCGACGTCGATCCAGATGCAGTGGTTCAAGGAGCAGCTTATAATCGAGCATCCTGCGGTGACAGACTGGATAGTAACGTACTCCATCAACGGCTGGTCCTCGAACAAGATCGCGCTGCACTGGCTTGAAAAGGTGATTTCTTTTCTTATTTATTATCGTTAACTACATGCTGATTGAGCCCTAGATCTATCTACCTGACACTGCCCCTGAAGATGAGGATGAATTTCGCCTATTGGTGCTCGACGGCCATGGCAGCCACTGCTCGGATGAATTCATATATCTGTGCTATATAAACAACGTTTATCTGAGCTTTTTTCCTGTCTATACGGTAAATTATATGCTAGTTAGTAGTTATTTCACTAACAGTGTCACGGCGAGCGTACTGTAGAGCTGGGACATGGCCGGCAGCAAGCAGCTATTACTCTATTGACAAGAATATCAAGGCTAGAGAGGAAAGGAAGAGAGAGAGAGATAGGTACAGCGGGAGGTTGCCCCTTTAAAGGGATCCTCTGGTCAGATCCTTCCCTTATTGGGAAGCATCGGCTTGTCATGTGGGAAGGTCCGTGCAGGCCGTCACAATATTAGTTATACCGTGAAAATATTTAAAGCTATTTATAATAAACGAAAATATCGAGAATACTTTTCGCATTAATATATTAAAAGATTAAATAATCTAATAATCTCTTATTTTTCAGCTTATTGAGCTTTATATTTATCTTTAATTATAACATTAACTTACATATTACTTACATATTTATTAATATACCACGCGAAAGAAATAAGCTTCATTTTCTATTATTTCATAATAAGCTCACCGTTAATTGTTTCTTAGATCTCGACATCACGATATTTAATATCTTAAAACTGCTAACCTAATTCTTTTACCGTCGCGATTAATTTAAACTTTTTAAACCACTTATTTTAAACCAAACTTGGTAATATAAAAAACTAAAACGCTATCATAACATAGTATTTTTTAATTACATTTCTAATAATCTTTATTAAGCTTTTGTCATCTTATTTTAATATTAACCTTAAGGTAAACATTATTAAAGAATCATTGATAAGAACTTTTCAATATTTATGCTTCTTTAAAATTGAAATAATTTTTTAATAACCTTTTAAATATTGCCGTACGAATCAATTTATTTCTTCCGCTTACGCTATAACGTAGCTGACAAGCGAGTTGACATTACAAGCGAGTTGGCACTCGTCATGAACTTTCCAACCAATACGATTCAAACCATCATATCTCCACCAACAACAATGGCACCGCATTATAACGAATCAGACTTGCAGCTAGCTGTTCAAGCTAAACGACGTGACCCTCATATTCCTATATTTCAGCTTGCGAAACTCTTTAACGTCCCTCGTTCCACTTTGAGCAATAGAGTCAAAGGAATGCCATCACGACGCGACAGCATGTCCAATAATTTGAAACTTATGGTTTCCGAAGAGAATGCCATTTGTTCCTTTATTCTCGACCTGGATGCGCGAGCATTTCCGCCCCGGTACAGTTATGTTGAAGATATGGCGAATCAATTGTTGGCGGCGCGTGGGGCTGGACGCGTTGGAAAGAACTGGACGCGGAACTTCATCAAACGTACACCAGGCCTCCGGACGCGTTTTTATCGGAAGATAGACTACCAGAGGGTCTTGAACGAGGATCCAGACGCGTATCGCGCGTGGTTTTGCCAAGTTGCAGCGGCAGTCGCAAAACATGGTATCCAAGACGCGGATATTTATAACTTCGACGAGACTGGGTTTATGATGGGCATTATTGGGTCCGGCATGGTCGTTACAAGCGCCGAAAGACGTGGCAGGCCTAGACAAGCTCAGCAAGGCAACAGGGAATGGTCTACAGCAATCTCTGCTGTTAATGCTGATGGTTGGGTGGTCCCGCCGTTCATTGTTCTACAGGGCAAAACCCACCTCGCGTCATGATATCGCGACACAATATTACCACGCGATTGGAAAGTGGCCGTGTCCGATAACGGGTAGACCACGAATGAGATTGGTTTGGAATGGATTCAGCATTTCGACAAGTATACCAGACCGCGTATGACTGCCAGTAAATGCCTCCTCATCCTAGATGGTCACGAAAGCCACCATTCCCAGGTCTTTGAGGATTATTGTCAGAACAACGGCATTATCACCCTTTATATGCCTGCCCACTCGTCACACAGGCTCCAGCCTCTAGATGTCGGCTGTTTTAGCCCGCTCAAACGAGCTTACGGTCGCATGATTGAGGATCTCATCCGGCGTCATATAACCCACGTTTCAAAGGAGGATTTCCTTACAGCGTTTTGTGAAGCACACAACGCTGCTATGACGCCAGGAAACATTCGAGCAGGTTTTAGTGACACTGGGCTTGTTCCTTTTGACCCAGAAAGTGTTATTTCAAAGCTGGATGCTGTCGCTGTCATACGAACACCGTCGCCAGACCCCAATCTGCCACCTACTACTTGGACTTCGAAGACGCCTACCACCATTAACGAAGCGGTAAACCAATCAGTTTATATCCGAAACTGAGTCAGAAACCACCAGAGAAGCTCACCTACATCAATAGTTGATGCATTGAGCTCGTTTTCGAAGGCTACATACAGTCTTATGCATAAGGTCGCTTTGGTTGATTCCCGGGTCCGTGAACTAGAAGAGGCCAATCACTTACTAAGTAAACGCTGGAGAACAAAAAACAAACGTCTAATAAAAGGAGGAATACTTTCTGTTGAAGATACAGTAGATCTTCAGGCTGCAAAGGATGGTACTGAACTGGCAAAACAGGAAATAGGTAAAGGTAGTCGTCGTCCGAGGCGGGCGGCAGTGCGTGGGCGACGGTGTGGCGTTTGCGGCAATACTGGCCATAATGCGCGAACTTGTACAATAGAGATAGAAACCTCTGAGGAAGAGGAATCCGATTGATTGAATTGAACTGAATGCATTGTGGTGAAGTTATTTGACATGGCAGTTGGAGAGTTCATGACGAGTGCCAACTCGCTTGTAATGTCAACTCGCTTGTCAGCTACGTTATACTATTATTTTGAAACATTTTTATAACCTTTTTTAATTATATGAAATAACTATAATAATTTTAAAAACAAATCAATCGTACTTGGCAAAAAAAAAATCTGAAATTTTTTTTTATATTAACCTTACTGATCCGTTTAAATCGATTTTAATCTTCTCACTCGGTTTAAAGCTATATAATTATACGAAAAGGTATAAACAAAAAGTTAACAAATAAAAATTATATTGTTACGAACCAACGAACAGTCCGGCCTGATAGCAGGCCCAGAGGGGACGATTGGAAACAGGTTTATCAAGAGAGTGGGGTGCTGATCAGTGGAGAGAACGGAGCAACGGAGCAACGGTACACAGATCACGCGACCAGCAGAGCCTGGGTTACGTGACTAAGAATTTGGACCACTGGATCAACATGGTGATCCAGTGAGCAGGATCACCTTGGATCACCGGTGATCCAGGGTGAGCCACCTAATCAGTAAGGGAGAGATTGGATATATAAGGACAGACATTTCCAAACCAGATAGATAGAAAGTCTCTACCTCAGTGATCAATCTAAGCATCTTAGGCAACCCTAAGGTGAGAGAAATCTCCTGACGACTCGACTACACAGTGAACCCAGTTCAGACCAAGCCCCAGCATCTGAGTGTCTTCTAGTTGATAGAAGCCTTTATCGTCCTTTGTGTTGACTTACCTCAGAACATAAACCCTATAGAACCCTTTAGCCTTATAATTTAAACGGCTCGTCACATATATATAGTTAAAAAAGCTATTTAATTTCGTTATTAAAAATATTAAAAACGCTTTTACTGGAATATTTATAAAATTAATCATATTAATCATTTGAATGTTGAAAAAATCGTATATAAGTAATTAGAGCATGAAGTTTTAATGATAAAGTTATGTACCTTGTTTAAAAAACTTAACGTATAATATAAAATTAATTCTTATTTTAATAATGACTGTAAATCTTTCGATATTAATACTGAATGAAAAGCATTTAATAACAATATTTAATTAGTAACTAATATACTAACTACGGTATTTACAGCTACAAAATTACAAATTTTCTTTATTATCTTTATTACTATATTTATATTAATGGCGTTATTAAGTATTATATAACTGATCTTATAAATAATAATAAATATCTTGGAAATGTTTATAATTTAATGAAAAATATTTTGACTTTTATAATAAATAAAAACTTTAAAAATACCCCAAAGAATCTTACCATATTTACTTTTTTTTATCTTTTTAAAAACCGGGATCTTATATAATAAACGGTATATATACAAGCGTTACTTATTTAAAAAACATATATCTTCTAAATATATCTTTAAACAGTTTAACAAAATTTTCTTTATAAAGATTAGAGCTGTATACAATTCGTTTTTATACTTTATAACTTAGAAAATAAACTGCTTAATTTTAACGCATAGATTTAGATATTCGAACATAAGTTGAGTTTTAAGCTTTGTAATGATAATAAAAAAAGAATTCTTAATGACTTATTTATTAAAAAGGTAACAAAATTTATCTTTATTAAGTCTTTTAAATATATTAATGTTAATAATTTCGTTATAAAAATATATAATATTAACTTGAAGCTTGTATTTAATATTAATAAATATTGATTACTTATTTTTTTAATATCTTTTAAACTTTAGTTATGATAATCTTGTTAATAAGTATTAAAATACCCTTATTCTTAGAACAACATTCCCTTACGTTTTTATAATCGCTATTTTTAAATTTCATGACGTTCAAATAATCATAGAAAAATAAAACTCTTATACTTATCAAGTATTAAATTCTCTTCAAACGTTATAACTATATTTTGAAAATTAAAAATTAAGCCTTTGTTTCTATTAAATATAAACATGACTATAAAACTTTCCTTAAAAAAGATTTCGTTTATTAAGAAAATAACATAGCGCAAAGAAACTATGCTGTATCTAGCGTTAATTTTTTTAAAAATCGCAACAAATCGCAAAAAAACAAAGTATCAAAAATCTCAAAGTGATGAATATCGCGCTTTTAAATATATTAAATATATTTAATGTTGTATTATAATTTTGTATCATAATTAAAAAAATTAAGTAAGGATAAAAAATATTAAAAAGCATATTTAAGCAGTAAAAATAATCAAAATGCTATGATTATAATAAGATATTGTTTCTTAACATATATTAAATACATTTACCGATAATTAACAATTATTTTTCACGTGTTTTTCGCCTTTTTATGTAGTTGAATAATCTTGGTTGGAAAATACTGTAAAATAATATTTCAAAAATTGACAGCTTTTAAATGCTACTAATATAATTTGAAAAATCTATTCCATCTTACAATTAATAACTATAATTGGAAATAAACACATAATGATAATAAATACCATTCTTCAATATCCTAACTACGATAATATAATAATTACTACGAAAGTATATTTACAGCCGCTTAATTAAATAAAAAGCCGAAAATTATACTTTAAACAAAGGTTCAATTCTTTTTTATAATATTCATTTTTTAAAACATTTAAACATTTTAACTTTATCTTAAACTATATATATGCCCCACCCTGTATCTTTTCGACTAATTATAAGCCTCTCTTAATATATATTATTTTTATTAATCTAAGATAATTTATTATACTAGGTTTAGGATTCAAGTAGGTAACTTAAAATTGGAATGTATATATATATTAATATATACATTAAATATTCTACTAATCTACGGCCTTATAATTTATTTGAACCCTAAACACCGGTAAAAGTCGTTATCGTGACCAGGTGTGGCTTTGGGTTAATCAAGAGAACGTGAATGGTGTCTGCAACTGTCAGATTTGAGCCAATTGTCAGAGTGAAGTGTGCGTTTGTATCCCCTCTGTCTAGAGTGTCCTTATGCGACCGTGGCCGTTTTGTGCCAGAGGGGGCTGGATCGGGACGGAACAACTAGGTTCCGTTGTCTACCTGTCAAGGTGCCTTCTAGGCGTACCTTTAATCCAACAGCAACCTTGGTTGAACTTATTTGGAAGAGCCATATGGCTTACAGGATGCAGCGATGTGTGGTGTTTGTACCTATCAATATGACGGCTGTTCGACGTCGTGTGTACTCACACTGAACGCCTGAGCGCCGTAATGCCCACTGCTTTGGGGCATCATCAACGGCTCGGGCCGCTCTTGCTGGCATGTTCCTTTAGTCCGTTAGTATAATATACAGGTATGTTCAATGTGCAACCTGCGGGCCACCGTTTGGATGCACGTATTTCATATTATTGGGCGAGGGTTAGGACATGAATGCATTGGCTTGCTGGTGAGACTACGCGGGTAACCCGACATCAAGGGTTCATGCGTCCGCATCTAAGGTAACACAACATACTCTGAGTCTACAAGCGGCAGACCATGTGCTCGTCGTCTTCCGGCATCGATGTTTTGAGATGGTGTGGGTTAGGGTTAGGGTTAGGGTGATCGGGGGTTCGGCAAGCGACCTTACACAGTGCCACCATTTGGGAGTCTCTTAGATACCCTGACATGTATTAGGCGATGAAAGAGTCGCAAATCTCACCAAGAAGGTTAACTGTTTCTGCAGAAAGTCGTAGTATCTGGCCGAAAAAAATGCAGCATCTTCTCGAACGAGCTGTCTGGATGACTTCTCAAAGCAGCACCCCACGTTGGGAGTGCGACTACAGACAGAGCAACGTACTAATGCCAACATTGCAAAACGTCGCTGCCGCGAAAGAACATGTCAGCGTTGTGATATTCTATATGTTGATCTCGAGGAATTAGGCACAGCAACGCAGAGGTAAATTTGACTGGGCGATGCTACATGTAACGCGCGTATCCCACACGTCGCGACTAACACTCAGTAACCACGATAACTGTGAATTATTACCATAACCAGCTTGCCTATCTTATACTCTTGCCCGCCAACCTACCTTAAGCCTTTACGTCGAATTTTGGCCGAGTAATCTGCCCCATTGCCCAACCTCACACAAGCTGGGTGCAAGCCAGGATATAGCTTCATGTCATGTTCTCCCATCGAGCCAGACGACAGTGAGGCCTAAACTTCCTGTCAACAGCACTCCTGTTTCTAGGTCATTTCCTCACATTTGCCAAGTTGTCTATGCCATCCGACATCCCAGACCAACCATGCAAAATCTTTATCTTCTTGCCCAAACCGCGAGCTACTTTGGCGGCTGGGCCGGCAGCACCAAACTGCTCGTATGTAGGCGCCGAAGCAAGTCCGCAACCTTGTTTTTAGCTGCATCAAAACCGGTACCGTGCTGCTGGTGAGAACCCGCTAAAGAGATGACGAAAGAATACAAAGCCCGCAGTTGGAAAGCCACCAGCTCTCGAAGCACGACGCTGCGCTCGGCGTCCGACTTGACCTCGTACTCGCCTACCATTATGGTTATCGCCGGCTCGTGCGTCGCCGCAGGAATTCGGCAGGAGGTGTGGTTAGTAGCATTTTGGTAGGCCGACACCATGTCGCCACAAAGCACCACCAGGCGGTTGGCCAGGAGCAGAAGAAGCATTCTTGTCTCGGTTCGATGGGAGCACTGGTGGCACTGTCTCATCGAGTCTCCGTAGAGCAGTGCCTCCTTGAGAAGACCCATGGCTGACTCGAGACCTCGCTTGGTGTGCTGAGACCCGCGTCCCAACTCGTTGCCGTTGTCATCATCGTCATCGTCCACGTTGGTCAAGTCTGTCTCCAGCTCGTTGATGAGAAAGAAGATGCGCTGTAAACAGCTGCATGCCTTCTGTTCCAGATAGGGTATTTGCCCCTGCCCTGTTGATACTGTACCAAGCTGAGGATCTGCCTGGGTTCGTGTCTCGATCTCAGGCTCGTGTACGGGCTCTGCTGGCGTGTTTGTCTGTCCGTGTGAACCGACAGCGGTAGAACCTGTACTTGTACCCCCTGGTGTGGACCTGTTCTGGTATGTCATTGTGCTGCTCATGGTTTCGGTTGTTGAGACTGGTGGGTGATCACCCCAGAAGGACATATCGACATCATGACTTGTGCCCGAGGCGGATGGAAACATGAATGCGTCCGTGATCGAGGCAGCCAGCTTGGGGTCCGAGTCAAATGCCGAGAACAGGGACCATTGTTCTATATCTTCTGTGAAGGTGCTGGGTGCGCCCCCGGGCTCGACAATATCGGCGAAAGTCACGTCAGAGATGGACATGGCATCCGGGAGTGGACGCTGTGATTCAATAGCCATGCCACTGGTTTCAGTCTGTTCTGTGGGCTGGGGCGGACGATTCATCGGTTCGTCATCTTTCTTAGTACCCTCGTTAAGAGAATTGTGTCGCTTTTTGCCTGTTCCGGTCGTGTAGGTGCATTCTATGTCTAAAGTCTCGCATCTCTGGCAACCAGACAGCTGACCGGTGCATTTGACCTGTGATTAGACCGGAAGAGGTGATCAGCCCATGTTATTCCACGGGATGTAACGCCCCCAGGTCGGGATGGAGTGCCAGATATCTGATTACGGAACTCCACATACCTTCTTGGTCCGACAATTTTTGCAGGCCTTACGGATGCTGAGGCTGTTCCTGAAGGTTGGCGGACTCCCGTTGGAGTTGACGCGCCAGCTTCCAAACATACTTGGCTGGTTCGAGCGAAAGCGTACCGTCGTTTTAGCGCCAGACACGTTCTACCTTTGTCTTGCCAGTACCCGTCATGCCCTGATCCGGAGTTTTCCTTCTTATGTATCCATTATGCTCCGTTGTATCTCAGAGCCTGCGTTGTATCTCAGAGCATGCATTGGGGAGGGGAGGTGTAAGCTTACGCACATGTTCGTGTTTGATATTGGTTGGCACTTAAGCTCACATATGTAACTTAGTAGGTACTGTACCTAAAGTGGTACGATAGCAGTTGCTCGCGTACCTCAGTATTTACAGCCAGACAACACGCAACGCCTGGCGAATTTCCAGAACTGGCTTCCTGAACCGACCGACTTCTAAGGACGAATGTCAGATTTATGCCTACTGAAGAAACATCGTGCATAGGCGTTTCCTGGAGGAGATGATGTACTCTACCTTCGTAAATAGTGGATATGCATGCCTTACCAACAGCCTTCGCAAAGTCTGGCCTTGGACCTTGGTCAATACTACTCGCTTGGCGTGCTTGCATTGTGTTTCACCGCCCACGGTAGCTGGTCAGCGTGAGGAGTAAGCCGAATTTGCGCATTCCGCAGCTTGATATCGTCGCACTTTAATATCAGGAGCGTTGGATAGGGACAGAGCGTGCGTAACACCACACACCTGGCCCGCGGTTTGGTGGTTTGTGCCTATTCAAGAGTCGCCATCTCTCAGGAGCAACTCTTCATGGAAAGGAGACCATCTCCAACCATTGGACAATGCCGAAGCCTTTTCCTCCCACTCTCGCGGCTCAAGGGCCCGAGCTTATCTACGAATCGGTCTTGGCAGACCTGGACGATGGGTTCTTGGGTGGCCAGCGCCTTGGCCGCGAAAGCGGCGGTGAGGTTTTTCTTGCATGCATGCACGGTCGGGTTGCGCTTGGAATCGATGCAGCCTGTCTTGTAAGCACCCCCAAAAATGTCGTACAACTCCCCCATGATGAGTTGCTCAACCCCTGGAGTCGGGTAGCCGTAGATGGCCTTCCAGGATGACGTGGAGGCAAAGGAAAGTTCGTTAGGTGTGACGCGGAAGCCGGGGCCTGTTTGGAATCAGACCCTTCCTTCTTTCCATATCCTTCAATCTTCTCCTGGATTATATATGTCTTTTTGTCGCTAATACGCACCATATTGCCGGTGCGTTTCTTGGAATACGCGATGTGATCGTCCGCGCATGGTATGCCAAAACCGCCACAGCTATTTCGACCTGTTAGCGGATATGCGCCGCGCTCAAAATCAAATCCACCCAATGTGCTCACAAGCGATGAGCGTGCCCAAAATGGCCCAGCGAACTTTGCCAGAGGGTGGAAGTAAAGGTTGTATATGATATGCAGCACAGCCGCAGTAAGAGCGAAGGCGAGAGCCTCGCGCCAACCAATCCGTGCGGCCATGTGGTTGAGACTCTTCATATCGACCGCTTGTTCCAGCCCATCGACATTTGACGGTGCTTTGAATTTGCCTGAGGGTCTCCCAGGGGTCCCGAACGAGACCCAGGGGAGTTAATCGGGCCATGTTAACTCTTTACAGGTATAGTTTTCGATGAAAGAACCCGGAGTAAGCTATGGGCTAAGAACTGCTCGAAGCATCCCAAGCCTGCCAGACGGAAACGGCAAAGAGCAGCACAGTTGGTATGGGAGATGTATCCCATGTGTATACCCATTATCAATCAAGGGGTTAGTGGTTATGCAACGCTCAAGCTCAAACACACTATGCTGTGCTTCCGGCGAATCCTGATTTGGGCGCCATTGGGTTAGAGAGCACGCATTCGGCACCAACAAATTATGGCTCCCATCAACAGCTGCTCACCGGTGAACACCCTATTGGGAAATACGCCCAATGTTCATAGGACTGATATTCGTGTATTCAGTGCTCATCCTGATGGTTATGTTGTTCTAAAGTCTCTGGTAGTGCTAAGTGGTCCCAAGGACCCAAAATGCCCTATCACCCCTTATTCGGTGCACTTCCACCTCCCTGACGCCCCGGTGGCTTGCGTGTCATTCAACAGATGTTGCATCACCTACGGTATGTGAGGACTGCAAAGTTTTCTCAAATTTAGGACTTGCATGCTCGGTGGCCAGCCAGTTCAGCGGCACCTACTTTGGAGCGAGGGTTGCCCGTAAGCAGTGCCGAATTTCGGCCTGGCCCTCGTCTACTCGGCCGTTGCCATGTAGGACAGGCGTGTGCAGATGTACGGCACGGAGAAGGACGGTGAGGCCTTGGTCCGTTCCGGCAGTTACCCGTTTCGGACATTGCCATACTCTTGTCATGTACCCGACTGTGGTAGCGAGACTACCTAATTGCCCTCTTACTCGATTTAGTCAGTGGCTAGATATCGAAGGCTGGGTACGGGGATCACCAAGTTGGACATGAATCCTTCCTTTTCGCAGAATTTCCCATTCCATAGTGCCGGTGACAGTAAGTTTACCATAGCCATTGCTCCGTATAGAAGATAAAATAAACTTGATAAGATATGTCCTAAGTCAGAAGGTGAGACGGTTCGCCACTGGCATTCTTGTCGTGACCAGATCCAACGTTCCACACCCCTCGTAGCCTTTACTCCAACGCCTGGTCACCATGTCTGTACAGATCGAGACACGCATGACCCCGGCTCTGAACGGCCAAGCGTCTAATGGGCACGCAGTGAAGGAGAGGAAGGATATGTGGGAGATCCCATCATCACTCTGGAAGCCCATGATCCACCCTCGAGCCAAGGTGGTTGGCGAGGAGGTCAACAACTACTTCCTCCAGCACTGGAACTTTCCCGATGACCTTGCGAAATCAACCTTCCTCAAAACGGGCTTTTCCCGCGTGACCTGCCTCAATTACCCTCTAGCCAAGGACGACAGGATTCACTTTGCCTGCCGATTACTTACCGCCCTTTTCTTGATCGACGGTTTGTCATGTACCCGAACACTGTTGTTCTGGGGCACACTAACTCTTGAATACAGACATGCTTGAGGATGTGTCGTTCGTCGATGGTGAGAAGCTCAACAACAGACTGATCGAGCTGTCTAGGGGACCGCAGTATGCCACGCCTGACAGTAAGTAGCAGCAAGCACAGGCTCGAACAGAAAACCAGCAAGCTAAGCCAGCAACAAACAAACAGGGTCTATACCTGCCGAATTTGTCCTTTTCGATCTGTGGGAGAGCATGCGCGCGTTTGACCTCGAGCTCGCCAACGAAGTGCTCGAACCAACCTTTCTCTTCATGCGATCCCAGACGGACAAGGGCCGGGCCAGCATCACGGAACTCGGCGAGTACCTGAGATACCGAGAGAAGGACGTAGGCAAAGCGTTTGTACACCTCCCTACTTGTTGTTCGCGTTCTGACCGAAACAGACTGCTGTCGGCGCTGATGCGCTACTTGATGGAGCTCCGGCCGACGCCGCAAGAAATGATAGCACTCAAACCGCTCGAGGAGAACTGCTCCAAACACGTTTCGATTGTCAACGACATCTACAGCTACGACAAGGAGCTTCTGGCCTCCAAGATGGGCCATCAGGAGGGCTCCTCCCTCTGTTCCGCCGTCAAGGTGGTGGCAGCTGAAACGGGCCTGAGCGTGGCAGCCACCAAGCGCGTGCTGTGGCATATGGTGCGCGAGTGGGAGCTGACCCATAACGACATGTGCGCGCGCCTGGGTCCCAGCAGCCAAGCTGTAAGAGATTACATCCGCGGGCTGCAGTACCAGATGAGCGGGAACGAGGTCTGGAGCGCGACAACTCCTCGCTACCCGCAGACCGTACAGCACGTGTGAAGCTGAAATGTGTATCACCAAGTGCCTTGTAGGGAGGGCTAATGTCACCCTGGGTTGGTGGACTCTGTAGCAGCGATAGGCGATTTAACATACCATTCTTGTCGAGTCTTCCTGTTCAAGCTTTTGACTCAATGCGCTGCTCTACGAGTGCTGTCCTGAGCGCTGTCCCACGCTAGACAAGAAAAGAGGCACTGCAAAAGAATGCAAAGCATGGCGTATCTCGTATCCAACCCCCCTCCCTCAGTCTGGAATGTATATGTGGATTTGACAGGTTGGTATTCTGTGGACGTACACTCAGCCCACACAAGTCTCCGTACACGTCATGTTAACGAGATTCGACACCACCCGTGGAAACTTCGAGATACTGGAATAAGCATACATGAATAAGCAGCTCTAGTCTGATATGTTATTTTCAATGCTTATTCAAGTGTGCTTATTCCAATTCGATAGATACCGTAGTTTTCTGGACGGGTGGTGTACGGAGACTTGAGGGTTCAGTTTAGCTCACCAGATTTCAATAGTGAGGTTGCTGGCGCTTGGTGTCTCGACGGAGTACCCAGGGGTAATCCGGCCCGGGTTTTCTGGCAATACTCTGCACGACGCAGCGAAAAGATGGGTCTTTGCGTTTCTGGTCTAAGCTCAAGAAGAGAGGCATAATACATCCTCGGCGGAATGGCAAGATGGCAGCCCAGCAGCGTGGCCAAGGCATCGACCACTGGCGCCAGGCTTGGGTCTCTGTCGTCTTTCGCATAAAGGTGAACCGACGTTTCCACAGGGTTTGAGCATTGTGCGGATTACTGGAACGGTCGTACTCAAATTGGTCATAATCTATAGGAAGAAAAGAAAAAGAAAACCTTGCTTCACCGGTCCCAACTCACCAACGCCTTTTCAAGCGCACTCTCATGTCGCGATCCGGTGGGATTGCCATTGCACCAGCACAGCTAAACTGGGTGGACAAAAGTCTCCGCCCGACCCACCACAATCTCCTTATCAAAACAACGCGTCAATCACCCTTTGACTTCACCACTCTCTTAACACCGCAATTAATAATAGATTTACGATCTTTTGGGGACGAATTGAGCAGTAATCGCGTCGCTAACGGCGAATTTATTTCAGAAGCTCGCTTAGTAATCGTGGCGGCGCAAATCGACGGCAGAACGCACAGGGATGTTATAACCACGTTCAAAATGAAGCGCCTGAGAACCATCTCCGATATCACCACTAACTTGAGGCCACCTCCACACCGAAATCTGCCCCAAGGAGCGGTCGCCCACCCGTTTTGAGCACTCGCGAACGCGCTCATGTGATCGAAAAGGCAAGAGAGCTCCCCCAAGGCGACTTGGCAGAAAATCCGAAATGAAGCCCGCGTTTCGTGCTCTCCCAAGGCTATCAAGAGGATATGTCACGCACACGGCCTCCAGAAGTGGCGCGTAGCGAAGCGAATCAAGCTCACGGATAAGGACGCTCTGAAGAGGCTCGCTTTCGCCAATTATTACAGCATATCAGAGCGCCTAGAGGAGTTCTTGCGAGCCATATTCTTAGACGAATATAAACAAGGAAAGAGAGAAGAGAGTGAAAAGAAAGTTGATTGCAAGGGGCGGAGAAATTTATCGTCCTCGGGGAACGTGTTTAGAGACGATGGCCTCTCAACGTCGGGGCCGGTTGACCGGGGCGACGTTGAGGCAGTAATTAACTGACTTGGCCTTCCAAAGTCTTGTCGTGGTGAGGTACGGGCGAAGAAATAAAAAAGAGGGGACGGTTGAAACAAAGCAGATGGGAGAGAATGAAGATATTTTTAGTCCCACCGAAAACAGCGTCGCCGCCAACAATTTGCGATTTATGATGTCTTGGGCCGCAAGTTTTGAACCAGGCAAGCTTAGTGAGGCGCTTTTGTAGCCCTTCAGACATGAAACTGGCGACAAAGGTATCGAACTCTCAGTGAGAGAACCACTCCTAGGTAACAGGTTAGGACAGCCAAAACGACACAAAAAACGTACTCACGAATAAGCAATGCATGCACGCATGAATAGAAACAGGTAATCTCAGTCGAAGGCTGTTAAGTGGTATCGGTTGGTAGCTAGAGAGGAGAAGAGAGAGAGGAAGAAAGTGAAGACTTTGGGTTTTATGTAGGAATGAGAAAACAGCACTCCGCTTCCAACGTGGATTCACGCAGCAGTTTCGTTTGGCCTACTACCTATGTAACCAAAGAGAGAGCTATGATTGTAAGCAGAATCCAGCTTTCTATGTAAGCTGTAGTTATGTGTTGTGCAGCAAGTGTGTCGGGCATAAAAGCACCCCCTAGCCTTGGGGGTGTTTAATGCATACCGCTGCCATCACGGTGCGGACATCGCCCTTGATCATATACTAGTTATATAGGCGGAGTGGGCTGGGAATATGGGCGGCGTCGGCACATATAATTGTGGTGGGTTTTTCGGTGTCACACAAAGTCACGTCTAAATTTCACGTCAAGAGCACATGGAGGAAAACCTTACGGCAGAAGAGTGTCAATTGAGAAAATCTACGCGTGATATGATGGGAAACCCCGAGGTTGTGAGACCGCGAACCTAAACTAGTAGGCTGGGGTATGTCGTCCATGAGACGAGTTTCTGCAAGGCGTGAAAGGTCAGGGACCCAGAACACGTAGCTATGCGGTTCGCAGTGATGTGCGCGATATCTGATATGGTTGTACAAATCCTCCCATTCCACTATGTCAGCCGTGACGACAAGGTCAGTCGTCCCCTTAGCCATAGACTGCAAAGTGCCAGAGTCAGTACCTCCATTCCAGCATGCCAGCTGGGACCACAATGTCATCTCCATCCCATTAGCCAGAGACTGCGGAGTGCCAGAGTAGAGAAGTGTTGATTGACGTTCCCGAGGTTGGGATAGTTGTCATCGCAGGAAATTCTTCTTGGAATCCCCCACATGTTGACATTCTCCGATGTACCAGACACCAATGGCTGGGACAGTCCTGGTTGAAGGCTGGCGTCTAGAAGATGCAACAGTCAAAATCCGCCGGCGGCGTAGTGCAGTTGCATGGATGTCCAACCACCACTGAAGCGTCCGTCGGGAAGGCTCTGCTTGACGACTGCTCTGGCCCGACGCAAGTCCAGGTTGACGAGTTCGGGATTTTCGTGCATCAATTGTAGCAACAGGGTGTCCGGCGTTCGCCCAAGATCAGGACAGTGGCGTCAGTCGTGGGCCACCCAGGGATTGCCCAATCCCTCTTCGGTGTGCCTCTCGAGGTCTCCGAGTAGATCCCTGTAATCTGACCATAGCTGGTGGGTCAGGCCATCATCTTGCAGCACACTAGCAACGACGCCATCGTGCTTGCGCGGCACCGTGTTGTAGCTATCGTGCGTGATGCCTGCAGCCCTGTCCACTCGCGAAGCAACCTTTTGGGCGACGAAAACGAAGAGCCAGAGGTCTCTGAACCAGCGTGTCATTTGACCGGCGGCAGTGAGCGCCCTCGATCGCACCTTGCTCCGCAAGCCTCTCAGAACTGACTCGATACCGATCGGGTTGAAGGTTCCGAACAGAAGCTCCTCGGGGTAGAACCACAGAAGGATATCGCGGAGGCTGGCTACGTCATTCGGGGGTAGCGTCTTCGTGAATGCCGACTGGAGTATCGGGATTGCCATCAGGATATTCTTAGCCTTAGAGTCGATTAATCACCTCTCTCGAAGAAGCGCCAAAGAAGCCGACGTCGACCAGGCGTAGCCCTTCGGACCCTTGCTTGATAACGGTGTGGAGTGTGGTCCCGTCCGGGGCGACCTCGCAAAGCCCCAGGCGGGGACTTCGAGGTTTGCATCCATTCGCGTAGAGCGTGAGAGCATCTGCGATGGTCTGGTCAAAGCCGTCAAGGGCGAGTGTCGGTCCCTCTGGCTCAGGTATATAAGCCTTGACGTTGTAAGTATGTTCCAGCGCCATCTCTGCATATGCTAGCTCGTCAGCAGCCAGGCCCAGGGTCAGAACACTGGGTGTCTTGGGGGGCGCCACTGTTCGGACCAACGGCTCGTACATGACGTTCGCAGTCATCGTGGTTTCAACCCGCTCTGGGTGGGAGGGAGGAACCGTCAACAGGTAAGCCACCCTCATGTGCTCGAAAGGGGGGGGCACAGTGGTTCGGGTTCCGATGTGTCTGTCTGTTGAGGAAGAATGCATGCTGCTGGGTATTCTCGCGCTTATTCCAGCTGGTCCAGCCAACTGTGGCCTCTATGAGCTGTAGGCCGGACCCGGGGTTTTTGAAACGCCACTCGTGAATCCCCCGTATGGATGGCATGGAGAATGGTGTCTTGCGAAGTCTTTTGTTAGCAGGGTCGTCAAGTTGTGGCCACGCAGGTCTCTTGATGCCCGGTTTCATGCTGACGGTAGGTGCTGCTACAGTCTCGACTGCAGGGCGGTTGGGCATTCCATTTGGGTTCGAGGGGCCTGGTCGGTGTGTCATGTCGTAACCTCGAAGGTCAAAGTGTGATGTCGAATTGTGATGTTGAAGTGTGAGGACAAGGTCTGATGTGGAAGTGCCGAGGTCGAGGAGTAAGGTCAAGGTGCTCGGCCAAGGCTTGAGGTCAAGGTGTGATGTTTAGTACCAATCAAGAAGTGAGAGACGATCAAGAGAGAAAATGTATTTCAGTGACGGAAAAGAAGACTTTATAGAAAATAGGAGGCCGTGCGCGATCAATTGGTGGGTCGCAATTCCTCCCAATTGTCTTAAGCTTGTGGCAGAATTCTCCTCACCCTTACCGCCCGGAATGCCCCAGGCTCTCCACATTCTAGAGCCGATAGACTATATAATCAGCTGCCTTCTTCCATGCTTTTCCAGAATCGGTATATTCTCCCCATAAAGATTCTAGGCCAAAACTTAGCACTTGGGCCATTTCAATCATACATCTTGACGTTCAACCGTGGCCGCGCCTACCACCTTACATGGAAAGGCTGGGGAAGATCATGCAAGGGATAACAGCATCAAACTTTTACCTGATACGCATAAACACATTTATAAGGTATGATCCACCTTCAAACAACATTCCGGCCAGCTCACCATGAAATATAAGCATATCACTTGCTTGAGAGCTTCTACGTGTTTCCCACAATTTATAGCCCTTCACACGTGAATATTCCCAACTTAAAGTCCTTTCCAGAAACCATACCCCAGGCATTCGGACCTGAAGGCTGCTGCGACGTTCAACCCGACAAGTTACAGTTTGAATTCCCAACTACCGGACCTCCATTACACCTCTGGGTGCTTGCAACCCCCGGGTTCCGTATTTTACCATCAACCCTATTGCCTACTCTATCGACCAAACCCAACGTAGGTGGTTTTCGAACGTTACCTCAAGCCGTTAATTTCAAAGAAGCGAGAAATCACTCCGTAACCAGTGCGCCTGAAATCAGCCTCATAAAGACCACGTTCAACCCATCTAGACTCATGCCCACGGGGTATGACACGGTCTTGGGTGGGAGTGCAACTGCTTGACCGATAGGCGTGCACCATTGCCGACTAGTCGGCCTTTGACAACCACAACCATAGCCACGAGCTCTCGTTTGGGGAGAGAGAGGGGTGGGGCCTGGGGACGCCAGCCATCGCGGGACTGTCGATGAACTCATGCAGCAAACCCTAGCCTTTCGTATTGGAGTAAAAGCGTGAAAGCAGAATTGACGTGCGTTACTGGGCTTCAAAAATTCGGTCATCCTCATACGATGTTAGTGTGATTTTGGAAAGGCTATGGACTGAAAGGGGAGCTTACCTGCAGACGGCTCATGTCACTGTCGAATGTATGTGGAGAGTCCCGACGTGCTCGTGCTCCTGGTATGTTGGTATCGCCTAAAGAACACTGCGTGTTAGTGGTGATAGATTCGTCTTTAGTCACCTCAAGGTTCCAAAACGTTGACGTTGCGGGTAACGGGCGATGTCGGGGTGGGACGGATTCATGTGGAACAGATAAAATGAAGGGGTGGATGAAATCTGGCAAGTCTGAAATATGAATATATACCAGTATGTCTCAATTCATGCCGACTTTAGTTCCTGGCCTGATGCCTGGGGTTAAAATTGTTGGCTGCGGAAATCATTGTCAATGGTTTGCCTATGCCGGAAGATTGGGCATGTGACAGCGAGGGTGGCAAGTTTTCTCTCAAGTGAGAAGAATATAAGGCTGAGATTGATGTGTCATAGAGTGAGGGTATGATCGGACTCTATGCGTACCTTGTGGTGTGGATGGGTAACGGGTTTGTAGATGACTGGAAGAAGCCTGTTCGAATCGATGCCGCGTCAGGTGCTTCTAAAGGAAGAATTCAAGAGATATGAAAACGGTTCGCAGAGAAAGAACCAGACTTCATATAAATTATTTGGGTCCGTGCGCGACTACTGATTGCGTTGCTATGGTCTTGGGATCGTGGCAGAATTCTCATCGCCTTGACCGCCTAATGGTGCCTTAGGCTCTCAGCACTTTGACGACTATGTAACCCACTGTTTCCACCTTCTTTCCAATTAATTCAATTCTCTTGCCAGTTAAGATCGGAACCTTAGCAACATAACCACTCTGTTGATGCGATTTTGGACATTTAAACTTAACCGGCGTCGGCTACTACGACATTCGCCCAGGAAAGCTACAGTTTCGAGTCCCTATCATCGACCCTTCATTACGCCTTTTGGTACTCTCAAACCCGGCTATCATACCTTACTATGAGCCTCTTCGCAATCTAGTCTATTTTTCAGATCCAACGTAGGTGGTTACCGAGCCTGACCTCAAGGTCGCTACCCTCACGCCTCTAGGCCAATTCCACCCGCCTCTACGTTCAACTGCCGTCAGGCGCGGCCAACTTCTCGCGAGGTAGACATTCACCCCGACCTCCAGTCACGATGTCCACAATCAAAATGCTGGAACTACGGGCTCCCCAGGACCTTTACGCAAGCGCCGTGCCAGTGGGACAGAAAGAAAAATTACGAGTACAAGCAGCTTATCGCTCATTATGTCAGGTCCGAAGAACAATTAGCAGTTGAGTTCCACGATCTGGAGATAGTGGCGTTGAGGTTGAGGGAGAAGACGAACAGAGTTCAGCCATGAGCCACCAAATTTTTATTTTTTTATTTGCTCAAGGTTGTGGCAGAGCCTGAATTGATTCCACAACATCGATATCATCTCAATCTGCTGGGTTGGGAACACGAAGTCAACGATCTGGAGAAGAACTAGCGTCGTTACGCACTGGAAAGCTGGACAGTCATAGGACATGGAGCTTAGCTGAAGGGTCTCCACGACCTCGTCCAACACTTGGAACGCCATCGCATCATCGAATATGGCATCTGTCTAGCGTGGCATTGAGTTCGACGGTATATGTATAGTACTCACCACCATCTACTTCTGTTTCTATACAACCCCAAGTTCAGCTTCGTCTCCTCCCCAATGCGAGGCGACCCCGCTATCACATTAAACGTCAGCCCGAATCGTCTGTGCTCAGCCGGAAGCGCGACCGGAACATCGCTTGTGCCACGCCCGGCTTCTTCATTCAACCATTGACATCACAGACTCACTGTGACTATCTCGGAGATCGTCAAAATGGGTTTCCAGGCACAGCGCAGTTCATTGCGCAATGCTATCAAAGCATCTGTAAGCCAGAGGCCAGACTACAATTCAACAGATAGTATGCAGACCCAGGCGATCGACGCTGGTAACTTTCTGGCCAACGCAGCGAAGGGTCGGAAGCGAACCAGTGCGAATGGACAACCACCAGCAAAGAAGCAGAGGATTGCACGGCCATCAAGAGCTAAGACGCCAGCACCGGAGGTAAGCACCGCAGCAGACGTAGCTGAGCAGCCTTCTCTGGACCATGAGCGAGTTGTACCAGAGAAACCAGAGGCCGTCGCAGGAGGAACTGGCGGGCATGGGCCCGTAGACATTCAAATGTCTCCGCATGACAGCATTGCCAGCAGTCGCACGCTTGTTGCAGACAAGCTGGCTCCGGAGGCGAAAGACGATGACGGAGCTGCTATGGACGGCAGCGAGCCTAGTTCGGAGCTGGATGAGGACGAGTTGCTCGACGCGGAATTAGCCTCTGAGGCGGACCAACAGCAGGCCTCACGACTTACCTCGGCAGCAGAGCCAAAGCGAAGCGAGCAGACCACGTCGAATGAGAGCAATGCAACAGGGGCGGACCAAGCGGCCGATGACACCGCCATAGGCATCCCGCAAGACGAAGAGCACTTGTTCAAGGATGTGCAGTCACAGCAGGCGTCAGACGCTGCTGAGGAGAGCAAACCAGAGAGGCTTTGCCCAGCAGCAAACCTGCAGGAGAGCAAACAAGTCTCGCTTGATGAGCATGTTGCATCGATCGCGAACGGGGCAGTTGGAGACACCGTCCCAACCGTGCCACAAGATGGAGAGGGGAGTACGGAAAGCCAAGCACAAACGGCTGAGCTATCACCCGTCGCTGCGGCCTACCCATCACCTCCGGGTACTCAGGATAGTGACAACGGGTCTTCAGTGGTAACAGATATGAATCCGGAGCTGTTGAAACTATCCCGAGCACTCACCTACCGCAAGCCACTTGCAGAGAAGGACGCACCGCAAGGCCAGCCAAGGGTCTGGGCCGACAGCCGTCAAGCCTTGTGCGAGACGGTACCATACTTTAAGAAGCCACAGGGTGGCTGCCATTCCAAAGATGGTCATGCGTATGCCTTTTTGTTCGACGGTGTCGGTCACTGCCGCGAGTACATGGACTCGGACGTGATCATCGCCCGCGCCGGAGGTGGCATGGAGTCAGACAGCAGCATAGGTTCAATGCTGCAAGTGAAGGACCAGAAGCTCGATGAATCGCAAGTACTAGCTGTGATCAACGACATCGTGCTCCAAAATCCATTGATTGTTATCTGTGGTAACAAGAACACGGGCGCGTTGTCCAAGATGCCGCATAAGTATTGCGTGCTAGGATGGTTCAAGCCTGTCGCAGTCTGGGCCGAGAAGACTGCCGGAAAGGGCAAAAAGAACTGGACAACCATCAAGTACCGGTTTGAGAGGCTCGGCAGCGACGAGGTGCCAGCCTGGCACGCACCCAAGTCGATCGATATGCCAAACACAGCAGGACTCGAGGCCCTCTTCGAAAAGACTTGCACTGCATGTGACCAGCGGCACCCACAGGTCTATCTCGAGTCATGGATGTGTTTGAACCCCACCTGCCATCATTTCTGGCAGCTGGACGACGGCAAAGAAGCACCATGCGGCAAGCTCGAGTACAACCCTGCGTATCTCCTTACACGAACAAGGTGGGACGTCGAGATCGAGCCATTCGATGTTAGGCCTCGGCTTCCGACCATTGGCAAGACTGTTGGCGACAACCTCACGTACATCAACACCCGCGGAGTCTGCTGTCCAGAGTGTGGGAGATGTAATCAGCGCTATAAGTTCACGGGTTGGCAGTGCGAAAATCCGGATTGTAATTGGGCGCTACATGTGCAACATCAGCCGGTCATGCCGGCAAACCTCCACAACCCATGGGAGTCTCTTGGCGACGGCCCAGCGCTGGGCTGCAACAAGCACAAGGCTGGTGTGAACGTGCAGATCCGATACACGCATCACTATAAGGTTTACAGGTACACCTTTACTGGGGTCGAAGGCTGCTTCGTCCACGCGGTGGCCAACAAGATCATCAACCAAGAGCAACCTGACGGGCCTGACGCTATGTTGGCCGAGATTCAGATTGTCGACATGGGCCTCGAGCGGCGCAGGTTTGTTGGCGGAAAGGTGTCTGGAAGTATGGAAGGAGAGGTGACACGGGCGTCTCAGCGCAAGGGCACTGGGAAGGTAAAGCTCCTGACGCCACCAGCAGAGCAGATGTCCACGCTCAACAACGGTGATGTGGAGGAGGTAGACCAAGCCACGGGCAAGAAGCTAGAGGTGGAAGACGGCGACTTCATGACAGCTTTCTCTATGAACTATGGCATGCCATATAAGTTCGTGGCCAGCGGCGCCAGCAAGTCTTTCGAGGACGCACCGTTGGCCGTGAGAGCATGCCGCTCGCGCCTGAATTGGGCTGCGAAGGAATTCCTGGCCGATCAATCAACTGAGACTGACTTCAACGAGGAGCTGGTCTTCGCTTACATGGAGGGCCAGAAGATCGAATACCACGATGACGGCGAGGAAGGTCTTGGTCCACGCATCGCCACTCTCTCGCTGGGTGGCAAAGCCAAGATGCACATGCGCATGAAGAAGAAGCACTTCGTCGGCTGCTCCAAGACAGGCGTTCTGACCGCCGACGAGCCTCTGCTGGGCAGTATGGAGTACGAGAAACGGCACCGGGCGTGGACTGAGCTCCAGCCTTTAAAGGAGTCCGACAGGGCTGCTTACCGGCGTCGGCAGAAGGAGATCCCAAAGGAGATTGGCATATACGACAAGCGCAATAAGAACCCCGACGATCTTGTGACCGTGACCCTTGGCCACGGCGACATCGTCTTGATGGATGGGTATGACATCCAGAAGTATTTAGAGCACAAGGTCGTGCCGGAGGGTTACTTGCGGTTCGCGCTTACTTGCCGCACGGTCCTGGAGCACCATCTCAAGGAGCACGAGCGGCCTAGGTATGAGGTGAAGCCGGATGATTACGGCTACGATGGGTCGAAGTTGCTCTAGGTGTAGAGGGTATTTCAGGGTTACTGACGCCAGCAGCTGCCGAGATTATGTGGCTTGAGTGTGGCTTGGATGTGGCTAGGTGTGGCTAGACGGAGCATGACGGAGAACGGGCCGCTCTCCGCTTATTTCGGCCCGCGGAGCAGACGTGCCAGCACGCTCCGTGAACAGATCGGGCAAGTCGCCCCATTTAGCCAAGAACCCCGGTCGCCCTCCCACGACTTCTCTTCCCTTTCCATGATGTTGGTCCGTTCCTGCTGAACGACCGGACGGATCAGGCTAAGGTGTTGCTGGCCACGAGGCGCCATGCATGGGAGTGCTCCGCGCATGCTTCGCCTAGATTGGCCAAGCCGACATGGATGATGGAAAAGACGCGTTGTTGGGCCGTGGGATCACCTCCGTGTTCTAGGCCGTTCCTGCAGATGGTCCTTGCAATCACAGATGCGTCCAGCTCCCTGGTTTTCGCGGCTGCCGTCCGCCTTGGATCTGGTACACACCCTCTGTGATCAATTAATTCCTATATGTGATGCACACTCTCGGCTGATACCGAGCAGCTCTTCCGCTTGCTACCATGTTCAGCCGGCGAGAGTATTTCCTCCATTCGGAGAGCACATGTAGGAAGTACCCACAGCGTCACAACCAGGCATGCCTCAGTGGTCACATACATGCTGGTTGTTGGCTCTGGGTTGCCGTGCTTCACTAGATCTATTTAAGCCATGGCCGGTGCATATACCTCTGCTTGACCTGGCAGCCTCTCTGATTTCCGTCACCGATATAACGTTGCCAGCACGCTACCGGCATCATGGGTCGTCTCAATCCCTTCACCGCACTGCTTCTGGCAGCTGGTTTATGTGCGCCGCCTCTCCGATGTATTCGTTAGTATTTACTAATGAGACGCAGACGTGCCGCAATGCCTTGGCCAATCGAGCACACCTACCGTCTACACGGATAGCGGGACGGGCATCGTGTTCGACACTTGGACTGTACCCGATACAGCAGCAGGTGGTACTGGAGTTTCGACCTGGGGAGGCCTGACATTCGGTGTGGCACTACCAGCGGATGCTCTCACGACCGACGCAGACGAGTTCATCGGAATTCTAGTCAGACCACCCGACGACTGTGCTTCATGACTGCTTGCTGACCGTCGCGACAGCAATGTGGCTCCAACAGTACTACCGCGACAGGGTGGTGCGGTGTATCCTTGGGTGGCCCAATGACAAACAGTCTGCTTCTGATGGCCTGGCCGTATGAAGATCAGATCTTGACTTCTTTCCGATTTGCCACTGGATATGTCCTCCCCGAAGTGTACACGGGCAATGCGTCGTTGACTCAAATCTCGGCTACCGTAACCGACACGGATTACACCTTGATCTTCCGATGCCAAAACTGTCTCTCGTGGAATCAAGATGGAGCTTCGGGCTCTGCATCGACTAGTGGCGGTTCCTTGGTGCTGGGCTGGTGCAATGCTTTCCCTTCCCCAGGAAACCCGAGTTGTCCTGACGACGTTGACATCGTCCAGCACGACAATGGACAGGGCATCTGGGGGGCAGCCCTCGAAACCGGCGTAGCCAACCCATCCTACACGGAGTGGGCAGCCTTGGCCACTGCTACCGTGACCGGAAGCTGTGCCAGCACACCACCTACGACCACTGCTACTACTACTTCTGCTACCCCTACTGCTACCGCTACGGGAATTCCGGTACCGACTGGGTCCTATGACTATATCGTGGTTGGTGGCGGCGCCGGCGGAATCCCCATCGCTGACAAGTTGAGCGAGGCAGGCCACAGCGTCCTGCTGATTGAGAAGGGCCCGCCAAGTTCAGGGCGATGGGGTGGTACTCTGGGCCCAGATTGGCTCGATGGTACGAACCTGACCCGGTTCGATGTACCAGGATTGTGTAATCAGATCTGGCATGACTCGGCTGGTATCGCCTGCGCGGATACTGACCAGATGGCCGGTTGTGTGCTTGGCGGAGGTACTGCTATCAACGCAGGATTGTGGTGGAAGGTATGTACTCCGTGATGGCGCCAGCTCGGATGCGTGCTGATAATCTGATAAGCCCTACGGGTTGGACTGGGATTACAACTTCCCTGCCGGGTGGCAGGCTGACGACATGACTGCTGCGACTGAGCGTGTGTTCTCGCGGATCCCGGGTACTGACACGCCTTCGCTAGACGGTAAACGGTATCTCCAGCAAGGCTTCGAAGTCCTCGCAGGCGGACTTGCAGCTGGCGGATGGACCAACGTCACGGCTAACGACGTTCCCAATGAGAAGAATAAGACGTTCTCTCACACCCCCTACATGTTTTCCCATGGCGAAAGAGGAGGACCTATGGCTACTTACCTCGTCTCTGCTAACGCACGAACCAATTTCGACCTATGGATGAACACCGCGGTCAAACGCGTGATTCGGACTGGCGGCCACATCACAGGTGTCGAAGTCGAGGCATACATGGATGGTGGTTACGCGGGTCTGGTCAACGTCACAGCGACATCTGGTCGTGTGATCCTCTCTGCTGGAACATTTGGCTCAGCTAAAATCCTGATGCGAAGTGAGTGCTCCTCCTGTGCGATACTGAACATAATCTGACACCATCAGGTGGAATTGGTCCTACAGACCAACTCGAGGTTGTTCAGACCTCGACCGATGGACCAACTATGATTTCCAACAGCTCTTGGATCGATCTTCCAGTGGGCTACAACTTGGAGGACCACACTAACGTTTGTGTCACTTGCTTCCGGTACCTCTTCTGACGCTGATGTTCTGCACTAGACTGATACTGTCATCGAACATCCTGATGTTGTCTTCTATGACTTCTACGAAGCTTACACCGATCCAAACGTCACCGACGAGAACCTATACCTGGGTAAACCCAGATCCTTCTTGGCTCTTCGATGGGATTGTCAGGCTGACTTTGATCTTAGATTCGCGATTTGGCATTCTTACTCAGGCGGCACCAAACATTGGCCCAATGTGAGTCGATCGACTTTCCATCCCATCCCAGTGCTATCTGACATGGTGCAGGTTCTGGGACGAGATTACTGGCGCCGATGGTATTGTCCGACAGCTGCAGTGGACGGCCAGAGTCGAAGGCAGTGACGGAACACCCGATGGAAGTAAGTTTATCTTTCTTCTAGGTGGTTCTCCTACTGACTGGTGCAGCCGCCATGACTATGAGCCAATATTTGGGGCGAGGTGCCACGTCCAGAGGTCGCATGACCATCACAGCGGCTCTGACAACGGTGGTTTCGACGCTACCGTATCTGCATGACGAGAATGACGTTCAGGCTGTTATCCAAGGAATCAAGAACCTTCAGGCAGCCCTCGCCAATGTCGAAGGGCTCACTTGGACATACCCCCCAGCCAACACGACTGTAGAAGACTTTGTCAACAATGTGAGTCGTGATCCCCACTTCTTTGGAGAGTAACAATTGATCATCCACAGATGCTGGTCTCATACACCAACCGACGTTCGAACCACTGGATTGGTAAGTAGCCTCACCGGTGAGCGAGTCGAAAGCAGAATTGACCAGAGCAGGAACAAATAAACTGGGAACTGATGATGGCCGAGTGAACTCCGGTTCAGCTGTGGTCGACTTGGATACCAGGGTCTACGGCACTGACAACCTGTTTGTCGTCGATGCGAGTATCTTCCCTGGCCAAGTCAGCACCAACCCCTCGGCCTACATCGTCATTGCTGCTGAGCATGCCTCTGAACGTATTCTTGCCTTGACCCCTGCGACAGCTCAAGCGCAGTACTCCCAGTGCGGTGGGTTGGGGTACACTGGCAGCTTCCAGTGTGCGTCTGGCACTACTTGCACGTACCAGAACGATTACTATCATCAGGTAAGCGTGCTTCCTATGGCATGTTGGATTTCGGTCGCTAACCCATGGCTAGTGCGTGTGATTAACCTGCCACTTTCACTTCGCTTCTTGTATATAGTACTATTACGTATATATATCTCAATACGAGAAACCATCTTGAGAAACCGTACCGATTCACTTTACGATTGCTGTGACCATGAGCCTCCTAGGCCGAGTGAACTGCACTCCGGACTTGGGTGGCGCCTCGATGCCCTCTCCCGCGCCCTTGGTAGGACAGACATGCTGTTCGTTACACCAACGCAGGCTTCTCCGCATATCAAAACGGGAATTCCGATATTGCTGCGGTATCACGTCGTCAGGATGAGAGGCCGTGATTGTTTGCCTTGGGGAGGCATATACTCGTACAAGGCGGCCATCGAGGGGGTGCTTCGACAGCCCCGAATCTCCCCGTGCGGGCCACAGGTTCTGACTTGAACTTCTCGCATCATGACTCCAGTCTGACTATAGTATCGGCTTCTATCATCTTGATATGTTCATGGAGTACCCCTATTTCGTTGGATCAGCTAGAAACGGTGACGATTAGTGTTTTCAAATATTTCGCCAGGCCGTATGGCGCAATGGTCAAATGCGCCTGGTTGTGTTCTCGTTTGTGCGGTGGGCGACGAGAACAAGTGGGTTCGAATCCTGTTATGGCCCCCTTCTGACCCGGCTTGTGCGAGTCGATAACCAGCACACGACAATGGAGAGGCCCCTTATCGCAGAGCCCGATAGCCAAACAGCTTGTCTCCATAACACCCACTCCTGCGAGGTTTTTCCCCTTATGGTTTCCCTTGCCAGCAGATAACAAACACCTATTTTACCCACCAATGCGACATATATCGAACGGCTACTGGAACGATGTGTACACCAGAGGACTGAGGTTCACTGGGTCGCTTAGTCACTAGATAGGAGGTTTTTCTGACGGAATCGTGTTTAGGTATTGACTAAAACCATCTGGTCACTCCAGGTTGGTACCGCTATAGCGAGGTTAGGCTCGTGCGCGGATCTGAATGTATCTAGAATGACACCTCTACAACCTTGCGATGCAATGGCTCTGGGAGGCGTGGTTTGCCCTATGGAGGGACTGCATCCACGATAAATACAATCAATCAAAACAATCAATCAATCAAATATTTCGCCATCCAAGTCCGAGTCCAGCCCGTCCAGACTGAGACTTAAGGCCACGTCCAGATCCAAGACAGAGCCAAGTCAGAGCCGAGTTGAAATCGAAGTCCAAGCCGAAGCCCAAGACCACTGCATACTCATTTCTAAGCACGCCATGGACAGCAAACCACCCGACGGCTGTTGTGGATGTGTGCGAGTCTTGTTCAGCAGATGATGCCACTCAGCCTTGTAGAGATGATTCTTGACACCTTGCCAGTTCTTTGGCTCTGGTGGCAATGATCATTGATGTATCTTCCCTACTTTTGTAGGTATTGAGGCTGGGCCGTGATGATCTCCTTGGTGTGATGGTCTCTCACCAGGGCGAGAGCCATAGGTTCTGTACTTGTTGTACTTGGCTTTGCTCACCGGCCTGCCATCTATCAAACCAACAGGATTGGCAATGCGTCCAGCATTGAACGCTGCTTCCCAATTCCCGTGGCGATTTCGTATGGCCTGGCGTCCCCAGTTGAAGGTAACGAGCGGGCATCTAACCCTTCTTCTGCTCGCCGGGAGCACGACTGGCCCTCCACAGGCTCTCTGATAGTAGCAGCCAGCAGTGCTGCCGCAGGCGGAGGAGTGCGTTCTGGGGTCAGGTATGGCTCAAACACGGCGGATGTATAGGGGTGATCAGTCCTTTTGCTACCATTTGTGTTGGCTTTGTCCTGGGTATCTTCTGTACCATTACCACTCAGGTCCATCTTATCTCTGTCTGGGTGCTCCTGTATTAATCTGCTAAGATCTTCATCTTCCTGGTACACTGGAATGTCCTCTAAGATTTTGGATGGCACCTTGTGTCTATTTAGAAATCGTGTTAGTTGTTCCTTGTTGACATGCAGAAGATCGTCCTTAAGGTCGCTCAAGTCTCCTAAAAACATCTGGTCCTCGTCTGCTATCACATCACGCATAGCGTGGACCTTGCTAGTTAATGGGTTCCAGACCAAATAGATATTGGTTGAGTTATATCCCACAAGATAGCCAACCCAGGCTTTTGGGTTCAGCTTCTTGAGGCGGTCCTTCTTCTCCTGTGCAGTGGCAGTCATTGCAAACATTTTGCAGCCATATGCTCGTAGGTATGTATATATTGGTCTGCAATCAGGGGTAACTAGGCCGTCTCGGAATGACAGATATTGGAAGAGCATCTCATATGGGGTCTTCCAGTTGTGGTGCCAGGATAGTGTTCGGTTGTGGAGATACACTGCTACAGTATAGATGTGATGCCAGAGATATATTAGAAGCTTGGCTCCGCTGCGTATTGCAAGAGCTTTTGCTTTAATTATACCTCCCGAGCGTTCAGCGCCTCCATTTTGGTCTTGGGTATGAGGTGCAGAGGGCTCGATTCGGATGTAATTGTCTTTAATAAAGTCCTTAATGTCCTTTGACTTGGTGAACTTGTTATCTGCTTCTATGGCCTTAATATTGATCTAGAACTGTATTTTTAGTATACTGATAATGCTTTAGAGGGCGCTAATTATGTGTCCTGCAGTTCTCTTTTTCAGGAAGTATGCCCACATGTATCCAGAGTATCTGTAAGTGACAAACATAATACTCCAGTAGCCATCGGAGTCCTTCTCAAGGTCAAGGAAATCAATACACAGGATGCTACCTGGCTTGATTGACGGTCGCCTAGGTGTTCTGCGTGTCTGTTTCTGGATTTGGCCTTGCCACACCCATCACACTGAGCAGTAGAGGGACCCTTGATTCTCACTCCTCTAGCATGCTTTGTAATCTGGGCGATTACTTCAGGGCCAGGATGCCCTAGTTGCCAGTGCCAGAGGTTCTCGTCACCCTTGTTTGGAGCTCTTTCTGTTCTGGAATTGATCATCCTCCTCCGTAGGGCAAAGGACGCTTTGGTTTCGCCAAGGGGTATGTCCTCCACAACCCATTGCCCAAACTTATTCATGAGTTTGAACACCACTGAATCATCCTTTTGTCTGACACAGTTGTTAAGAGGTTTGTTATCCTAGTAGTATCCAAGCTTTTTGAGTTGTCGTAAAGATACAAGGTTTGTCGCAAATCCTTCACAGAAGGCGACATTCTGTAGTGTCAAGATGAATGGTCCCAGTGAGTCATGAGCAGTGATGTCTACTTCTCCGTATGCTAGGATTGGTATAAAGGTGTCTCCTATATATACTCCATCACCTATTGGGGCTCTGTGAAAGTTGTTGAAGCGAGTGATAACGTTGAAGATATGTAAGGTTGTGCCAGAGTCGAGGATTGATAATTTGAGTAAGGGGTAAGGGGCGGTTGCGTAAGAGGACTTTGTGTTATTTGCTAGGTAAGATGCTGCTGTCTTCTTTGTGTGTGTTGGCATATGTTGTACTCTCTCACCCCTTTCTACAAGTCAATCACGCGGTGTCTGTCTCTTGGAAATTCGTGCCACTTCCTTAGATAGATTGTTATCCCTTTTAAGCAGTATCTTGACCATTCGTTCCACACTGTGGTGGACTTTCTATTCATTTGGTCGCTTGTTTGGGAAGAGGTAAAAGCATTCTATGAAGTGGTGCCCTTTCCAATAGCATCCTTTGCATGCTTGAGTGATTGAGGGAGCTTCTTTATCGTCTCGGCCCCATTTGCTAGAAGCTCCCTGACTTCCTTCTCTGAAACCCCCTCTTGATCCACCTCTTTAGCCCCCTTGCTGTCTCTGGTTGTTGTTTCCTTTATCGCGGCCTCTGCCTCTTGTGTCTGATTGTTCTTAAGGATACTCCTTTTCTCTCTTGTCTCTAATTGAGTCTCCTGTTAAGTCTCCTATATCGTCAGGCTGTTCTCTATGAAGGGCTGGGAAACCGGTTTTCTATCCCTTCAAAGGATTAATAATGGCGCGTGTTGTTATCCAGTCGTCGTAGAGGTAAGAGGCTATCTGGGAGTATGAAATACTGCCTTCAAGCATTCCTTCCTTCTTGTTTGCCCTGGCTTGGGAAGACCAATTGGAGTTCATCAAGGTGACAGCAACTATGAAGTCATTAAACCAGGTTGCTGGAGATAGAGCTTCAGGGACCCTGGCTTTCATAGCTCTGACTATAACCAACTCCCACTCTTTAATCCAGCTGACAAAATCCTTCTTTTTCTTTTTTTGTACCCTTTTGTTGACCGTTGATATAATGGCACGGTAATTGACTTGGGCCTGGTGCATGATATTCTCACTGTAGATGGCTCCTTCAGTTGCGAGCTCTTGGTACCATTGGCAGAGGTTTCGTTCAGGGAGTAGTTTGGTCTCCTGTATAGTAAGATCGACGGTTTCGAGAGTCCACTTGATAAGTTCGGATATGGAGGTCTTGGTTCGCTGATAGATCTTGTCTTTGTGCTCAAATAGGGCGACATTTATCTTGAAGTCAGCTGCTCCCTCTGTTGTAAGGTGTGAAGCGAGGACTTGTCCCTCCTCCACTGCTGTTTGAGCAGTTCTGATAGACTTCTTTGAATACTCTTCTGATGGGATATCCGGAGGCATTGGTACTGTTGGCCATAGAGTAGTTACCCCTGGCTCGATATGTTGCCAGATGCCAAGTGCTTCAGCCCTTTTCTGGAATTGGAGTCCCCAGCTGACAAAGTCCTTTCGAGACCGATAGTACGCAGTTGCGTTCTGGGTGGGAACTGTGATATTCATCTTGAAATAGTTGTATGATATGTGTATTCGAAATATGGATGCTGGTTGCGTAGATTCAATGAGACTCTTAATTGTGGAATACACGGATGTTAATTGATGCTATTGATTGTTTTGCTCTGTGTGCAGAGATTGATTATCTGTCTTCTTGGTGGGTCAGATCTCCTGTGCGTCTCTGCCTCACTGAAGATCTTCCGGTGTCTATCTCCGGCTTCCATTCAACAATATATCACGCACACGGCCTCTAGAAGTGGCGCGCAATAAAGCGAATCAAGCTTACAGATAAGGACGCTCAGAAAAGGCTCGCTTTTGCCAATTATTACAGCATATTAGAGCGCCTAAAGGAATTATTGCAAGTCATGTTCTTAGACGAATATACGGTCCAAAACTCATCCGATAATCCAGGCAATTAGGCCATCCAATTCTCTTCAGAGCGGTATTGTTATGATCTCGTGAATGAGACGGATCACGGCAAATCTCGTATTTCGATAATAGTGTGGTCTATGATCTGGCTACGCGGCAGAGAAAAAGGACTAGATAAGTTGGTCTTCTAATCCACTTAATCCGGATGCTCCGCGCGGAGGAGTGTCCACAGAGTCATATAAATAGGTTCTTGAGAAAGGCCTGTTTCCATTCTATAAAACTAGAGATCCTTTTATTCAAGATAATGCAAAAATTCAACTTACTAACGGTATTCCGGAATGGATAGAGGAGCACGGCATCCACTGTATTGTCTGGCCTTCTCACAGCCTTGATATGAACTCAATCAAGCATATTTGGCGACTTCTAAAGAAAAAGATACATGAAATTGAGCCTGAATTTTCTGAATTAAAGGACAATATCCCTCATTATCGCTACGCACACGAGTTAATTGAGCAGGCGTGGTCAGAGATCGATCCGGAGCAAGTTCGGGTCTTGATGGAGTTACTGGAGGACCGAATGGCTGCAGTGAGGCGCGCCGGTGGTTGGTATACACACTATTGACTTAGCTATTAAATATAATTTATTTGAGAATTTTATCACCAGAATTGGGTGTATTGTGGTTCAATTGAATTGGAGGGCGCAGTAGATGGAAGGGGTAAAAATGGGGATCGGGCGGAGACTTTTGTCCACGGATTGTAGCAGGTACTAGGCGATATAGCAACACGCAATATACCCCAAAAACCACCCGCGAACAGGCATAAACACATGCCACCGAAATCGTGAATTGTCTTCGTGTAATCTGAATATCTAACCCAAGCCCAACTCTAGGATGAACCGTAAACGCCATGAATGCCATGTCCACGCTCTATGCCGGTCCAAACAAAGGAAATCGCTCGTCAAGTTAGACACATGTCATCAATATCCAAAAAGGGCCGCGGATCAAGCCGTAATCCTCTCCTTCCGCCGGCCCAACTCCACAGGCTTAACAGCAGCAGCGGGCTTCACCCCCGCCGCCGCCTTCTCGCTCGCCTCCTCCATCTCGGCCTCCCGATTCAAGAAGCTCAGGTATGTCTGCCAGCCCACAGCCACGACCCCGGCGAAGATACTCCGGTACTCGATCGGCACGAACGCAAAGCTGAACGCCGTGACGGCGGGCCACAGCTTGCAGGAGTTGACAAAACTGACGGGGACAGTCTTCATGATGCGCTCCCAAGTGTCCGCCAACGAATCCCCCGAGAGAAGCGCCTGCGCGCCGAAGAAATAGGAGTTGAAGATCGGCGTGAAGCACAGCTGGTTGATGGCGACCTTGACGCCGATGGAGAGGAGGCGCGAGGGGTAGTTGAAGGACCGGGAGAGGAACATGAACCTGTGTCAAGACACCTGTTAGTATGATGTCCTCTCCATAGGCTCCTCATCTCTGCCGCGAGTGGGGAGCACCGCACGACACCGCGCACGACATCACCCCCGGATCCCATCCCCAAGGCACCCGACGGAACCTCAAGCGCATCCCACAATTCCCAGGCGCCAGACAACAAGACAAGACAACGAAACAAGACCAAACAACGAGTCAAGCCAGCACTCACCAAGTATACCCCGGAATAGCCGCCACGCCCCCAATAACAAGCGACCGCCCCGTGCGCTGCAGATCATGCTCCCCGTCCCCGCCCCCAACCTTACCCATCCGCTGCGCGCTGATGTCCGCGCACAGGTATATAAACAACGAGCTAGCCAGCTGCGTAGCCCACGGCCTTGCGCGCTGCGCCCGGGCGTACGCCTGTCCGGCGTGCGTCAGCGGGCCCAGACGCTGCCAGAAGGGCAGCGGGGCGACGGTGTTGGGGACGGGGATGGGGTCTTCGGTTTTTGCTGTCGCTTTCGGGGGCGGGTTCGGTCGGTTGGGATTGGGATTGGAGGACGAGGTCTGGTTTCTTCGGCTTTGTTGGGCGCGCGGTGAGCGGAAGCGGACGCGGAGGGTCTCGATGTGTCGCCGGACGAGCGGCCGGAGGAGGGGCGTGGGCATCGTCGCTGCGGTCTCGGACGGTCTCTCGCTGTGCGGTGTGTAGTGTTTAAAGACCCTGAATCTCACGCGCGGCCGATCGATGGACGGTCGACGGCGTTTTCTATCGGGATATCATGGTGAAGAAGTAAGGCTACAAGTCGGAGGCCCAGGTGACCAGGCAAGCGTGATCACCGGAAGTTATCACCAAGGAAACCGAAAATATGGATCATGCAGCTAGCTGCCGCTGTCGGCAATCTGGCAATATCTCCAGCTGTTTCGGGTGAGCCGCTTTCGGTACGTCATTTTTCGTAGGTCCGACGACGGATTCAGAGGATTCAGAGTTGGTCCTACGACTAGGGCTAGAAGCCGAGATGAGCCGAGGTGAGCCGGAGAACTCCGTGATCATGACCCCTGAACCCCCAAACCGCGAACCCCTGAATTACACCACAGGTAATAACTCCCGAATGCCCTCGGGCTCGCATTACTATCACAGGACATGAACATTAAAGACTGAACATTGTAAGTGCTATGGCTAGACCGGCATACTTCGCTAAGCCCAACCACCCGTGTGACCAAGCAATACCAAATCAAACCAACAGCGCTGAAATCGCATCAGTGAACCCATCTCCAGGTGTTCCTCACATACACCATTCCGTGGCCAGACATTCAACCTCCCACAGACACGAAGCATCATAGCATCATAACATCATTTCGCGCTATCCTCCCGCCTGCTGCAACCTCCAAGCCCAGAACCAACTCAGGCAAGTCCTCAATCAGGGCCCAACTCCCCACTAACAAACCCAATCTGCCTCCGCGCCCCCGGCCCAGCCGCCCCAAGGTTCGCCGCGAGCGCGCCCTGGCTATCGACCAGCTTCTTCTGCTCCTTCAGGCGATTCTGAAACCGCGCATCAGCCGCCTTCTCCAAGCGTTCAAGGTCCTCGCGCTCACGCAGCCGAATACTACTAAGCTGATTGGCGTTGCCGACGCGCTCGCTGCCCAGGTCGCGCTCCCACTCCAGCAAGCGCGCCTGCTTCGAGCCCTCGACGGCGAGCTCGGCGTCGGCGATGGCCCGGGCGCGCGTCACGCCGGCACTGGTGAGGGCCTCCTGGTGCTGGATGTCGGCCGTCTGCCTCGCGCGCTGCTGGCGCATGGCGTTGTTGAAGAGCTCCTCTTCGAAGCGGGCGCGCTCCTGCATCGAGGTCAGGTCGGCGTTGTGGGTGCGCTTCTTGCGCGCGTCTTCGAGCTCGGCTTGGTTCGCCCAGATCTGGGCCTGCACGGCTGCTAGCTCCCTGCTGCGCTGTATGGCGAGGATGTGGTCTTCCGTGTCTTTTTGTATTCGGGCCAGCCGCGCTTTTCTTTCCTGTTCCTCTAGCTGGACGTGCTGTGGCATGCCCACGACACCCTCTGGCTGCGGACCCGAGTTGGCGTAGTACACATCTGTGCCGCGGTTTGCCCGCAGCAGTTTCAAGAGCTCCGGCTTGTGGTCCGAGTCTGGTAGTACGCGTTGCGCGTACATGGTTGGTGAATATGTGAACTTTCCATCGGTATATTGGTTGAAAGGTTTGTTGATGAACTTCCACATGTCAGCTCGTAGGAGAACTCTGGACGTGGCCACTGGGTCGACTGAATCCAAAGCCAGGATCAAGATGGATTTCCCTTCAGATTGAAGTGAAATATCGGTCGCGCTCTGGAGAAGAAAGGTGATGGCTTTCTCCATGGCTTTCTCTTTGACAGTGGTGATATCACCTGAGTCAGCCGCGTGTAAGCAGAGCTCACCCAGTGCACTGCGGCCACCGTGTATTGGACTGGGAAAGTCGGGCTCGTGCTTGTATTCGGCCAGAACTCGCATAGCTTCCAGGTTGAGCTCGCGGGCTGCGTTGTGCAGCGAGCCATCGTTCCTAGGTGCCCCTGCCGGGAGTAGATAGGACATCATACCAACGGCTAGATCACCGCCAATCGCAGATGCCATCGATAGCGGTGAATTTCCCAGGGCATCCGTGATGTCGGCCTCTGCACCAGCTATGAGAAGGGATCTGACAATATCTGGACGGTGAGACTGTATGGCCAGCATCAGAGGCGTTACGCGAGAGACGCGGGTCTCAAAGTTGACCTTGGCTGCATACTGGTTAGTATCAAGGCTTCAATGGATACACATCCGTCTAACTCACCACCGCTATGAATCAGCAGATCGATGACGCCGCTGCTGATTTTCTTTTGTGGTTGTAATAGTGCCCACATAAGAAGAGTGACTTCTTCATCTTCTTCGATACCGTCCATGACGTGGCATCTGGTCATCAGTTCATGGTAGAAGCCAATGTCCAAAAGTGCCTGGAGCATGACGGTCGATCTTGGAAACTGTGATAACGCTCTGATGACGATTGGCTGTGATCCTTGGTGTACGAACATGACATCCATCTGCCTCTGTCCATCCCGGTATTCCGTGAATAGGTTGATAAGCTCTCGGATGTCATCTTCAGAGGCTGTGGCATCATCAAAGATTCGAGGGAATGCTAGAGTAAGAGATTCGGAACTGGGCTTCACAATCAATAGTCTTTTGAGCAAGTCTGGTTGGCCTTGCGCGGCTGCGGTCTGCAAAGCCTCACCGTGATTGTGGTCGATATCCGCACCATGCTTCAAGAAGAGGTCGACAAAACCCTCCGCCACGTGGTTCGCGGATTTGGTGTAGAGATGTAGGACAGCGGCGAGGGCAGACCCAACTCCCTCTCCTGCGGCTCCGTTCTCCAGCAGGCACCTTGCAATCTCAAGTCCACGTTCGGATAGCCACGTGTCAGTGTCATCTGGCATGAATGCCTTCCCGAATGCTAAGGATGCATCCTCGCTAGTGACTCTGGACTGGAGGAGTTTGGCAAATGCTGAAGGTGACAGTTTCCTTGTCGCATCGATCAGAGTCTGACAGCCATTTGCCACCGGAGACGCTCTGTGACCAACAAGAAGCTGTATCAGTCTTTCTTCTGGCTCTTCCTCGTTGATAGCTCGATTGAGAGCAGAATTGACCGCGCTGGACACAGGTCTGCCTGCTCGGAGTATCCAGTCGATGATGGTAAATCTTGTGTCTCTGCTGAGATCCCAGCAAGCATCCAATCCCCGCACCAGGGTGTGAGATGATGGTTTCTTCTGCTACCTCGTTAGCACGGATCACCGCCATGTCATGGCTTGCAAACGCACCTGACGTCCGCCGACATCTTTGATGCCTAGAAGCATCTCTAGGTTGGCCAAGCCGGCGCTCCTTGCTGCCTTTATGACGGCATCTCCATCATTGAAATCAGGGTTCGCTCCGTATAGCAGGAGGAGGTTCACAAGTTCACGTCCGTCATCGCCATACCGTACAGCAGAAACGAGTTGAACGTCAACCACTTCACCGGTGACTCCCATCTGTAACAGCAACTTGAATATCTCAGCTCGCCTCCTGATATAACCCACTTGTGTGGCTGCCTGAAATCCCCTCTGGAGAGTCTGCTGGGTGGCTTTGGTTTGACCAGCGAGAAGCATGCCCAAGACTTCAGCGGCTCCTGACTTGCATGCTTCCACAATAGCCTGGCCGTTCTTGTGTTCAATACTGCCGCCATTCTGGACCAGGATCGTGCCAAAGTCCAGATCGCCATCGGAAGCTGCAGCAAGCAGTGCATCCGAGACGACTTCTCCCGTTGCACCAGCCTTCAATAAGCTGTTGCAAGACATGCTCCTCGTCCTCTTGTTCTTGCCTCTCGTCGCTTGTGCAAACCCTGAGTTGAGGATGTCTACTGCAAAGCTTTTTTTATCAAGGATCAGCTCTAGGATATCTGAATTCTCGTTCTTAATTGCTTCAATTAAGGCCAGGCCATCCTCAGTATCGGCACGAGCAAGAAGAAGATTGATCAGCGGGATATCGTCCGGGTATGTGTTGACAGCAAACACAAGAGCCCTGTTCACCTCACTAGGAGGGATGCCACCTTCCATTACCTTTTGTGCGAATGTAAACCTACCCATCAAGTCTCGAATGCGAAGTGCATGAGGCATTGCATGTGCTAGGGACATCGGAGCTGGAGAGGCGGTGAACAGAATCTCAACGAGCTGCATGTTTGCTTCAGCAACTGCTAGACATAGGGGCATGGCGTTATGTGCGTTAATATCCGCTCCATGAGCTAGCAGCATCTTGAGGCACGCGAAGTTCCGTTCTTGTGGCGAAGCTTTGAGAAGTGTTCGCACTTCGTCGGTGAGGGTGTCGGTGATCGTCTCCTTCGACTGCGTCCGGCGTAGTATAGCATTGAGTTTGTCGGCTTTGACTGCAGATGATGGTAGCTTCACTACACTCCTCAAACCGTGATCTAGGCTTTTGCTATCAGGCTGGCCCAGGCCTAGAACAACTTCTAGGACTTCCGCATCGGAGTGCTGCACTGCATGCTCAACCGCGATACCGTCATTGATGTTCACATCCGCATTACCCTGCTGTAAGAGCGTCTTCAGCAATCGTTTATCAATGGGAGTGATAGCCAACGCAGCATCTACCGCAGCCGACACTTCTGCACCGCCTTGCGAGGCTCCTGCACCCAGTAGCATAGTAATCATCTGTAGGCGGGTCGAGCCATCGCCCACTTCCATTGCTCTGGGGATTGCCTTGGCCGCTACCTGTAGCGTCGGTTTGCTTTGGAGCAGTCTCTCAAGAAGCCGGATGTCTTTCTGCGTAACAGCTGCAATGATGCTGTGTCCCTCATTGAAATTCACGTCAGCGTTGTAGCGAAGGAAAAGGGCGATTAGCTTCTCGTCGCGATGAGGGGGCCGTTCATCGATGGCATTCTCAAGGGCTGAGTGGACGCAAGCGCCCGAAAGTCCCGCTCTAAAGAACAGCTCGGTGATCTGATACCGTTCCAAAGGAGGCAGCGTTCTCGTACTGGGAAATATTTGAGCCAGGGCGACAGGTGTCGGCGGTTTGCCCGTAAGGATGTGGTTGGCAATATCGACGTCCCCTTTCTTAACCGCGATCGATAACGCCAGAGCGCCCTTGTGGTCTGTGGACGCCGTCTCGTGTCGCTCGAAGACCATGCTCCGTGGTCCTCTCTTAATGTTCAGATTTCCGACAATCTTCCCACCTGAAAAGAGAGGCGTAAGAAGCAGCCTTGCCGCCTCGACATCACCAGCTTCCGATGCGTCTACTAAGGCTTCGTCCAAAGGTGTTCCCGATGCACCCTTCTTGAGCAGTAGGTTCAGAAAAGAGTGTCGGTCCTCAAACCTCATCTTCTTTGGTAGTAACTCAACACATTCGGAGGCGTAGGCGGCACTCAACGGGGACTTTCCGTTCAACATAACCTCTACGAGGTCGGTTTTGCCCCTTGACACAGCTTTTCGAAGGGCAATCGCATCCTGATATTCGATTGATGCCCCATACGAAATTAGTAAGTGTACCATCTCGAGGAAGTCTGTAGCACTCGCCTGGCCCAGAGCTTGCGACACCAGATCACCTTCGGCGCCGGCACAGAGTAAGATTTCGGCCATTGCCATCTTCTCGTTCGGATTGATGTTCTGGTGGCCCATAAGCTGTCCAAATGCCTCGTTCAAACCGGGTTGCTGTGGCGGCTTATTACCCAGCACGAGAGCCAGGGCAATATCTCTCCGACCCAGCCCAACGGCGGCTTTCAGCGCTGCGGCTCCATCGTGATTCCCGTCTGCCGTCGACTGGCTGAGATGTAGCACTGTATCCAGACACCCGGCCCTCGAGGCTTCGACCATGGATTGCGAGATCCATGGCGCCGGTGGCCGTCCTTCCGAGCCAAGCAAAATTGCAATCAGACCAGGCCGCCCGCCAACCGCACAGGTTTGCCGAAACGCTTCCTGCCCATCGGTGGTTTGGACATTGGCGCCATACCGGATGAGCAGTTCGGCAACCGCTTCATTCCGGTTTCGAATTGCTTTTGGCAGCGCCGTATCCAGACTCAAGGCGTCGGCATAGGGCAGTAAAACATGGACCATCTCCAGATGTCCATTCTTAACAGCAAGTTGAAGGATGTGGCTCCTCTCACCCAAGTCAAGGCTCTTCCTTCTACTCAGCAAGCTGGTCCGACTCTTCTGTGCGAGGTTGAGGTTGCCCCCAGCCAAGTTTAGCTTCGTGATGAGAGCCTCGGCAACGCCTGGCGACCCCTGATTTGCGATATGATCCACAAGGGCACTGTATATCTCTTTGTACTCCCAGGTCTTCTTTTTGGTCGTAAAGGCGCGTGACAGGCCGCCCTTGGCCTGCTTCAGTGACTCGGCATGGCGCTGTCTCTTGAGGGCCTCTTCGGCGATAAACTCGTCATTATCTGTCAGGTAGGACGGTGCTTGCTCTGGCTTGGGCAGTGGCGACGGTGGAGGCTGGCCGATAACACCACATTCCTCAGCGAGTTGACCAAGGCGAGTCTGCCGGGCACTTCGAACAGGAAACTGGTCCATCTTGTTGTCTATGCGCCAAACGTGTGACATGGGCGTATACGGTTTGCCCAGTGGCGACGGGCTATCACCAAGGGATTGGTGGCTTACAGACCCGACATAACTTCTGGGTACTGTGTGTATGAGTTCAGGCATGTAGATCATGAAGACGTGGTTGAAGTTGAGGTAGGCCACCGCATGTCACAGCCTCGCCGTCTTGGCGTTGAGCCGCAGTCGGGGCGTATGTAGGACAATTGGCGGCTTGCCACTGACGATACGACATGCACATTGGCGAGCTGCGTTTGCTCGTTACGATGAAACGAGTGGCAAATCGTCAGATAGATACCTAGGTAGGTAGATATTCGCAGTGAGAAAACTCGCAGAGGGTTCAGGTCTGATGAACAAAGTTGACAGTCAAGCAAAAGGCAGGACCATCAGTTGAGACGAAGATTTGCCAAACGATGTTGCATGGCCAGAGGCGAGGTTTGAGACACATCAGGAGCTCTGAGGCTCTGAGGTCGAAGGGCTGCTCTCCAGCCACTTGACAGGGGCAGTAAGTTAGGGGTCAGCCGTACCGTACGCCAGCACAGTATGCCGCACTGAAATTCCCGTAGCTTTATTACCTACTAAACTTGGCCTTCATTTCTTCCAGTTACCATCACTGTAGGTAGTACCCAGCGTTCCAGTCAGCTTCAAATTGCTTGCTAGCTGCCTTTAGGAAGAGGGGAACTGCAAATGCCCATTAAGGTGTGAGACCGAGGGTGGCGCAGCAGCTGGCACTCGCTGAATGCGGCGACGATTGACCTCCTGCACTGCCGCACCGCCTCCCCTTCGCCTCACCCTGCGGTGATGGTAACGCAGTGTTATTACCAAGAAATAAGCACTGCCAAAAGACGGGAACCTTTCAGCTGCCCAGCCAAGTGCCGCGTGTTTGGCCGCGCACTCCATGCGTTCATCAGTTTGGACAGACTAGAGATCCCACTTGCTGCGCAGGGGAACCTTAAACATACTTCCCTCTTCCATCTCTACTCCCGAGATCACCCACTTTTCGACACTGAGGAGTCGCGCGCATACAAGGATGGGCTTGTGGATGTGTGCACCATCAAGGTTGAGACAGAGGGGCTGGACAGGGGTGGGATACGTAGGTGTACTCCGACATATTGGTGATTGGAGCTGCGAGGAACGGCATGCAGCGTTGGAACGAGCTTCCTCTGCAACATGACAAAGAACCAAGCCCGAGCAGGTGAAGGCTGCACCCGGTGTACAACAGATTCTGAATATTTGGTTGTTCTATACTTCTTGTGATTAGACTGTTGGGCTTCTCCAACCAAATCGAGCACATAAACCTCACACAACCAAAGGTCTCTATATAATCACGAAGTCTTGGCCTTGACGGCGTCGAGAAGCTCTGCTGGCGGCTCTTGTCGGTAACCCTTGGGGTTGTTTGACACCCACCGCCAGAGATCTTCACATGCCTTCTCCATGGTGAGCTCTGTCTTCCAGTTGAGCTCCTTGTTCGCCCTCGTCGGGTTGGCTGTCAGGTCCAGCACATCACCCTGTCTTCGGGGCTCGACGTCGTAGGGCAGGTCTTTTCCGACAACCTTGCTGAAAGCCTTGATTATCTCAAACACTGTACTTCCTCGGCCGGAGCCCAGGTTCCACGCCTTGACACCGGGCTTGTGCTCGCGGAGGTAGTTTAGGGCCACCAGATGGCCTCTGGCGAGATCGACGACGTGAATGTAGTCACGGATGGCGGTACCATCACGCGAGGAATAGTCTGCATCCGCCCGGACGTATCAGTACCGCCAAGCGAAGAAAATCAGGTTTGGGGGTTCTGCTTACCGTCACCAAAGACCTTGAGCTTCGGCCTGTCGCCAGTTGCGACTTTGCCGAGCAACGGCAACAGGTTGTAGGGTACGCCCTGGGGATCCTCTCCCATAAGGCCGCTGGGGTGGGCGCCACACGGGTTGAAGTACCGTAGGTTTGCGCCGTTCCACTGCTCAAACGGCTTGCCAGCCTTCTTCAGGTTCTGGCGTTGCGCGGTGATGAAGTCCTCGATGATTCTCTCAACCATGGCCTTTGTCTGTCCATAGGGGTTTGTGGGGCCAATCGGGCAGTGTTCGGGAATCGGGATCATGTTCTCGAAGCGCGTGGCATCGCCGTAGACGGTAGCCGACGAAGAGAAGACGATGTTGCTGACATCGTTCTTCTTCATGGAGCTCAGCAGAGAGACGGTACCGCCGACGTTCACGCGGTAATATTCGAGGGGAATCTCAGAGGATTCACCAACAGCCTGCAGTCATTGCCAGTTAGCCCCGTCGTCTGGTATTGTCCGGTGAAGCACGTGCCTTGAGAGCGGCGAAATGGATGACGCTGTCAATGGTGGGATGGGCAGCGAAGATCTTGTCGAGCTCGGCCTCGTTGGTGAGGTCGGCCTTGTGGAAGGTTGGTCGCTTGCCGCAGATGAGCTCGATGCGGTCGAGAGCGACCTCGGAAGAGTTGTAAAGGCTGTCGACAATGACGACCTCGTAGCCATTTTGGAGGAGGGCCAGCGAGGTGAACGAGCCGATGTAGCCCGTGCCACTGCAACAACCATGTCAGAACGCGCGGGTTTGGTCAGGCATGCCTATCCTTCGTGGCTGTTCCAATGTTTCAATTCCAATGTTCCATGGACAATATTCCATACATCCATTGAAGCTTGTTTGTGCATGCTCAGGGGCATCGTGTGCCCATACATGCAGATGCCCCTCCTCCAGCAAAAGGCAGCCGCGGGGAGAACGTACCCAGTGATCAAGACAGTTCCCACGGCCATGGTTACAGAGTTGTGTGTGTTCAGTTGAGGTAGGATCACAGCGATGCGGACGTCGCGTTATGGAGAAACAGATGGTGAGTGAATAATAATAATAACAATAAGGTGTATGAAGTGTGTGCGACGACAACTGGCAACAGCGACACGGGATGCACGCAGCGATGGGCGGTCAACGGCAATGACCCTCGTTTCCTTTGCTTGAGCGAATTGAGATTTGAGGGGCTCCAAGCGTTGCGCCGTTGCCCCTCTACCCCTCTGCCCCTGCCCCTCTGCCCCTCCATCAGGGACCTTCGTTGCACCAAGCCTTCCCTACAGTGGGTGCCCCTGATCCCGCGTGTCCCATAGCGCATATATTAAGGTTACCGCATATTTTCTCGCTCCCGATTTTTTAGTAAGAAAAAACCCCAGATAACGCATTACCGCATAACGCATAGTTTTTTCCAAGCCCCAGGGTAGTGTGGCTCAACCCATTTTCCAGCCACAATGACGGATGGGTCACCGACCAGGATACAAGGTACCTTGGAGCCCAACGGGTACCCGTTTGTACCTGATTTGTACCCAACTGGGATGATAACTACTTCTGGGATGGGGACACCACCCATCCCTTCTTTCAATCAAGCAACTTCCAGAATACAGACCAATAGCCACCTATCGTAACCCTGGTCCTTATTCTGGATACCGCTACCACAAGGCACAGTAGTGTGCCTTTTGGTAGCTTTCCAAGATGCTGACAAATCACAAGTCTTGTTGTAATCTATCAGTGGTCTGGGTGGTGCTTGATTAAAAGGTCGGATGGAAAGGATCCATCCGAGATGTATCTAAATACCTAAATTACAGTGGTGAGGTACCTGAGGCAACAAAGGGTTGCCAGGCAGCCTTCATCAGGTAACCTCCAACATATCTCGTGGGGTTACCAGAATACTCCATATGGGTCCATGCACTGGATCCACAGTAGCACGGACCGTTTTCGACTCCTTATAGCGCATATATAGTCCCATATATTACCCAATCCGGCTGCCTAGCCAGCTGCCAGGCCTGGACCACCACTGATAGCCACCTAGCCCAGCCCTGCCAGGGCCTGCCAGGGCCCTAGCACGAACCACCGCCGTTCCAGATCCCGCATAAGTCCGGGTTATGCATATGTTTCTGTGTGACGAATCACATGCGGGATCAGGGGATCCCACTGTACATGGGGGGAACCTTGAGGGTGATCCATTGGATACCTACTACCGGGGTATGATTGACCACTGGCGTACACTTGTGATATTTACAGACGGGCGGACGGGATGGACGATGTTATCGAGATGCCAGCTCACATCCTAGAATTAAGGTCACTGGTAGGAATGCCTACCTTACTATGGAAGGCATCCTACCGTGAGAGTATCGTGGCTGACAAGTAACTAACACGCTTTCTTGATTCTGGCTTACCTAGGTGATAACTTGATTTCGACCCTAATAAGCCTCCACTCACCGTTTAGTTCGTCATTTCGAACGTACCAGGTTGGTGATCTGCCCATGTGATCTGTAACTTCTGACCCATACCATAGACTCAGGGTTCATCATATAATAAAGTTCGTCGTCGTGGTTCGACGCCTGGCTTAGAAGCAATTAGATGATCCGTTCGGCGTAAAAATACAACCATTTTATCCAGGCGATGCCTTGGCCACGTCTCCAAAGTGTCCGTCGAGTAATATGTAGCGATTCAAGGTTGAAGGTATGAGTTGCAAATTACAGTAGAAGCGGCTGCTGCAGTCTCTGAATCTCGTTTTCGACTACACGTGGAATCGCAAGTAGGCCACCCTCCTCTACTGGTACTCACCAAGAGGAGGTGACATTAGGAGGTAAATATAAATATGTGGCTGTGCTCCTCCTTCAAGCTCCCGTCGGTAGTTGTGGCTGAGAGCTGCAGTTGTGGCGGTGTCGTCTTCTGGAGTTGGATGTCAATTGCGGCTGGGTCCACTGAACGAGACATACCGCGACGACGACGACGCGACCGGCCGTGGGTATCTGCATTCCGCATTCCGCATTCCCCAGCGGCCCAGCGACCACGATACAGAACGACCAAGTATCAATTGATGCCCGGGCACACGTACATTCCACGAGCTTCCTTATACGGCGTCGACCCTGCATTTCCAGGGACGCAGACAAAGCACGGTGGTACCTCTCGTTTACTTGCGCCACCCGCCGTGCCCCATGTCCCAAACCGTGTCCGGAAAGTACCCATCAAGTCGCGTCTCTCGTCAACGTCGCCCGGCTGCATCTTTGTGTATGCCTCGCCGGACCCGGTGACGAGCCTATCCACCTCACAAAGCGCAGCGCCCTCTGAGTGCAGCTGCTTGCAGCATCTCAAGGTTTGCGCCTCAGCCTGCGCGGCTAAGGCACCCAAAACCATTCATCTACTTCGCGCCCGCATGTCCATCGGGTCCGTCCGCTTACGAGACTCATCGACCCTTTCCTGAACTCCCTCTTTTTGGTCAGCCACGCTCTGTCTGATCCTCAGGCTGAATCGCTCATTGGAACGGGGAGTTCCTTGAGATTTTGGGCAGGCCTCACCGTCTGGTACGTACATGAGACTGAGACTGGATTCTCCGATGAATGTCATTTCACTCCTCCACGTCATCCCCCTCACTTACACCTCACAACCACTACATCGTCTGAGGTTGGTTCAGGGGCACTGTAGGGTTTTACCATTGTTGCCTCAGTTACTATCCCAGACGTCTACTTTTCGTTCCCAGAGCATCGTGGTCATTCGTCTTTCATCTTATGTCATGACATTCCGTTCAGCTGATTCATCATCTGAAGACCTACATATTGACCTGCCCATCTAGACATCGGTGATTCGTGTATGCTCAACTCGGTGGCATAAATCGAACAACATCAACAATGCCGCCTAAACGTGCCCCGCAGAAACCCCGCACAGGGGACATGCGCATATATGCTCCAGCAGGCCAGACTGATGCGGCTGATCTGCCTGGTTTATTCCCTGCCCACGATGGGTCCTTTGGCATCAACACCCTGATCGGTGTCGATTCTGTCAAAAAGAAGGGAAAGAAAACAAAATCTGGGTTTGCCGATGAAGAGAAGGAGGACAAGAGGTTCGAGAAACGAATCAAAGGCAAGGATGGCAAGCGATTCGGCATGTCGGCCGACGTCCAGACTGCGGAAGATGACCCTGACCCTGAAGACGAAACGCGGGACGAAGAGGAGCAAGAGGACGAAGTGGAACCACAGGACGAAGTGGAACAACAGGACGAAGTAGAGCAACAGGACGGAGGGAAACAACAAAAACGACCGACGCCACCACCGCCGGGTTCATGCAATGGATCCAAGGATGGTGATCCTCCGGACAGATTCCCATCGCCATGGCCTGCACGTATTCCAGAATGGATCAGCGGCTTTTTTAGTGATCCCCCCGAAAATGGTCGGGTGCCTCCGTACAAGCGAGCGGAGTTGGCTTTTGCTAATCCGGACGCGCTCATCGGCAACAGCCAACATCCATCATCACAAGCCTCGGAGTACATACCCTTCTATGGAATGCCCAAGTATAGCGGATCTGAACAACCGATATCCCCCAGAAGCTACTACTATGAAAGTAGTTTATACTCCAAGGCGAACATCCAGAATTCCCCAGACAGAACCACCAGGACCGGCATTGTACCATCCAGTTCCCAAACTCAGAAGCCGTTTTCAGCAGTCCACCCCGATCATCTACGTCACCTGAACGCAAGAAACCAAGCCCTTGGTGCCAATGCCAAAAATACTGCAACAGCTGCAAACTCCGAAAACACCAACGGACAGTCAAATGTTATTCACCCAGGCTTGCCCACACCACCACAGTCGAATCCGGGCCAGTCAAATCCGGGCCAGGCGAACACCGGCCAGGCGAACACCGGCCAGGCGCAACAGGTTGCCCAACCCGCCGCGCAGCCCGCCGCTCAGCCCGCCGCTCAACAGGGTGCGCAGCCCGCCGTTCCGCCAGTCGTTCAGCAGGGCGCCCAACAGGCCGCGCAGCCTGGCAACACGTGGGGACGGTTCCTGTCTAAATACTGGCTCGCGGAAGCATTCAAGACGACATCGGTATTTTTGGTACTTGTCGTTTTAGCTATGCTTGGCTTACACATCCTATGGTTCCTGGCGAACGCTGGCTCAAATAGCGGCCTCTCCGGTGGTGGCTTCACTCTTCCCAACATCTCCTCAATTTTCCCGAACTGGGCCTTGCCGAGATTGAACAAGATTACGGGTAGCACTGGAAAGACTACCCCAACTGGGGGCAGCGGACCGGCACCACCCAAAATCACTAGTGATGTCGATATCGAAACCATTACCAAAGAAGTCGTTACGAAGCTGCCTCCCAAGGTCTGGGTCGATAAGGATAAGAATGGCAAAGAGACGATCACGGAGGATTTCTGGCATGCGCTCAAGGAGTTGATCAAGAAAGATGATGAGATTCTCTCTTTGGTACCCACCGACAGCAAGGGTCCGGCGATATCAGACGACCAATGGCACGCAGTAGTATCTCGCATCAAAGAGAGTGGTGTACTATCGACGGGCAATGGCGGGACAGCGTCCTCGCAGTCATGGGACAACTGGATTGCACTTAATGAGCACGCGTTAAGGAAGTTCGTCGGTGGTGTCGCGATCACGAAGAACCAGTTTGCAGAGTTGTTCAAGCAAGAAGCTGAGTCTTTTAAGCGTGAGATCAGGAAAGAATTGACGGCAACGGACGCGCGGGTTGAGAGCCTCATACGAGAAGTGGCCGATTTGCATAAGGCCAACGAGAACGTCATGACCAAGCAACAGATAGAGGCGTTGGTCGAAGCTGTGTCGGCCAAAGCACTGAGCAAAGCGCAACTCGATGCTGTCGCGGGCGGCCGAATCCAAGGGCATGTGACAGACATGGTAGCCAACCAGGTCAATCTCTTTGGGATCGGTTCTGGCGCAGTCATTGATGGCACATCCAGCTCGTCGCCGTGGACTGTGCCCAAGTTTCACATTTTGACGAAGAAGTGGCTTGACAGGGATGGATACAAGGCCCAGCCTCGATCTCAGGCACTCTCACCTTGGTCGCAGGAAGGGGAGTGCTTCTGCGCGGGGCCTGATCTCAAGGGGTACGGCGTAGGCACAAACAACCTAACTGTGCTCCTCGGTCGCGACATCATTCCGCAACATCTTGTCGTTGAACATATCCTGCCGGGCTCGACCCTCGATCCTGGTGCTATGCCGAGGGAAATCGAGATATGGGCTCAATATGACGAGATGAACCTGCGAAGGGAGGTCCAAGTCTTCTCGGAGAAGTACTTCCCGCGCACGCCCAAAGAGGTTGTGCTCCACGCGGGTTGGGTCAAGATCGGCCACGGAACCTACGAGAAGAAGGACTCCGGCGACGGCATCCAGGTCATCAAGCTGCTCGACGACCTGAAGCTGATGAGGGCTGCCACGGGCGTGGTCCATGTCCGGGCCATCAACAACTATGGCGCTGATCATACCTGCTTCTACCAACTGCGGATGTACGGCAAGATCGTGGAGAGGCCCGAGGACTCGGAACAACAGTCTGATCCTTGGCTGAGGCATCAGTTCAAGCTCAGCTGAGCTGAGCGATGAGGTGAGTGTGCCTCGAAGGCGAGCCTCAAACGGCAGACATCGCCAATGTGTCTGGCGCTTTTTAGAAGTGCAAGACGAAGAGGCGCTTTAGGATCTAATGTAGGTTCCGGCGCACAGGGGTTACCTAGTGTGTAATTCACCCAAACAAAGCAGCCGGTGCACCTACGGATAAGGGGTGCATCTACTACACAACACTGGAAACAAGCTGGACGCACGGAAAACACAGGCTATAGGGTAGCTTGGCGTTCAGAGGATTCCTGCTGCTCTCTCCTGCGAGAGAGAAAGCAGACAGGCAGGCAGGCAGGCAACGGAGTCTAGGGATGATACCAAATTTTCGTGTGTAGCTTATTCAGTTTTGCAATCCTTTTCGGCATGCTCTGCTCTTCGTGCTATTCTTCCACCTGCCGCGCCTCTAACTGTTAACTTCCCCTGCCATCTTCGAACGAGTTTCTTGTGGGAGATGAGTTTTGGTATACTCAAGTGTAAAAAATGTCAGGAAATATCTACCCCTCTATATGTTTACTTGCTTGCTTGTGTAGTAGTAGAAGATCAACATCTTCCCCTCCTCTGAACCGGTGTCCCACCGTTCGCCATACACGTTCTATCCGACTTGACCGTCTAGACGCACGAACTCAGGTCTACCCGCCCATCCGCCAAGTAGCAAGAATTCCCGGCCGCATGATCATGCCCAATTCACCAAGTCATGATAGTGATCCTTCCTCTCTGCCTGTGCCACTGGTACTGGATAAGCCGGTCCGCTACCGGGAAGCAACGAGATTGGGGGTCGGCTGCTCGTTGGTTAGTCGTGGGCCACCGAAATGCAGCACTCCCTGACTCTGTCAAGGCGGAGACATCCACGGTGTAGATCCTCATACCCAGCAGGCAGCGTCTCCAAACCCCTCTTCCTCTTTGCCTCCCCATCATCCCCCTCCCCAAAAGAAGAAAAGTTCCCAGCAACCCAGACCGCTATCGATCCCGACCCAGCCGCTCCTCCTCGTCCTCCATCAGCTCGTACGCAGGCCTAAACGCCTGATTCCCGGCCCCCTCGATATTACCGTTCTGTGCGCCCGCCTCCTTCTTCAGGGCCGGGTTCGGGTGCGTGTCGTCCGTGCCGCCGAGGGAGGTGTAGCCCATGTCGTAGAGGGGACAGTACGGGATTTCGAGGGCGCGGATGAACTGTTTCGTTACCAATGGTCAGTACATACTCTCTCCCTTCTGCCAAGGGCGTTTTATTGCGCCACAGTCCTTGCTCGCTCGGTAATGGTCCAAGAAACGGGCACAACAGCAGAAGGGGCAACAGAGAACAAACTCACCCCCCAAACCTCCCGGTAATGCCAGTCAATAACAGGATGCACGCGCATGAAGCGCGGCCAATCCGCATCCGTCTGGTCGAAGCTCGTCAGCAGCGCCCCGTGCGGGTCCGTCCGCCGCGTGCCGACGAAGACGGCCCGCACGGCCGGGCGCTCGGCCAGGTACGCCGTCAGCGCCGTCTTCATGTGTGGGTTTTGCGATGTTGTCAGGTCGAGGCCGTAGTGCGCCGAGGAGGTCGCCACGAAGTCGTCGACTTCGGGGAAGGGGAGCGACGGGCGGATGTAGAGCGCTTGTATCGAGGTCGGGAGGGGCGGTTGGGGTGTTGTTTCTGTAGAGGACGAGGAGGACGAGGAGGATGGGAAGACGGTCGGGAGAGAGGCGAGGAGCAGGATTAGGAGGACTAGGCAGTCCTTGCCGCCGTTGTAGGATAGGGAGAGCTCTTCGGGCCTAGAGATGCGGACACAATGCTATTGTCAGCCTCAAGTTTGTGGTAGGATATTGTAAAGTGCGAACTGGAGCTGGTGGAATGGGAGCATGATGTGAGCTTGCTGGCTTGCTGCTTGCTGACGCACCTATACCGCCGCAGCGCTTCCTCGATGACGTCCCTCGCGACCCTCACCTGGTCCTGCAACGACTTCAGGACTTCGTCGTCGTCGGTCGGCTTGGCCAGCAGGGCGTCGACTTTGCCCTTCAGTTCGCGACACAGGGTCTCCATCTTGGTGGGTGTCGACTTTGGCCCCGCGCCGTTGGTTGTGGTGGTGGTGCGCGGGGCGGAGACATCTTGGGGCGACATGTCTTGGATCTAACGCAAGTCCTTTTCGTTGTGTCTTGGATATGTCACTGGTCTATTGTTTCGTTTGCTTTCGTTTCGTTTCAATTTCGTATGGAGGGAATGTAACGTGTCGTCGCTCGTGTCAGCTTATACGTCGTTGCTTTCATAAGATGTCGCTGGCCATGCTAGATGATCTAGGCGCAGATGGTGGCGGGAGGTGAGTGCGACATGGATGCCGAGGCATATATCTCAACTTGTCGCCGTAGGGAAGTAAGACAATGGGTGTTCCTGGTCGGGTATAATAGGTAATAGGTTCAAGAAAGGAGGAGGCTCGTCACTTCGGAACTTCCATGGGTCAATCAATGACTTTCTTACTAAGCTATCCCTGCCATGAGGGGTGGGAGGGAGAGGCAGAAAGGGTCCATTTATTACCATTGGCGCAAGCCTCCATGTGATAGTGATACATCCATTAAGTCAGCTTCCAGGTCTCTCATCTAGACGTCCCTAAGAGTGAATGCGGGAAGAACCCCTTTTCGGGACTTGCGGGAACCGCATAGCGTCCGCCCAGACTCTCCCGCAGAACTGAAGGTTTGGTTCATGGTAGCGCGGGCTGTCCAGCGACGCGGTCATTTATAGATGAGCATGGATACCTTTAGCTTCCGCCGAACCTCGAACACATGTCATGCTGCCTCTCCATCCGAGTATGAACAATTCCTTCATATTGTATGATACAGTCTGCATCTTCCAAGGCACCGGAACGATGGTATCACGTCTTGTTAAACTCATATGGACCTATCAGTCTTCCAGTAGACCTGCTGCCAACGCCTCGTAATCCTCCAGGGTATCAGGTTGTTCCGTGACTTCAATCACCTTCGTCTTGCTCTTCTTGCCCTTCGCCTTCTTCGTCTCGTCATCCGATTCGTCCTGGAACCATTTCTTCGCCTTCTTCTTCGGGGGTTCATCTGACTCCTTCACTTCGCTCTCACTCTTCTCACCGCCCGTCGGCAAGGATGCCAAGAAGGCAAGGGGGTCTTCTCCGTCGTCCGGTGCCGCGAGTCTCGGCATATCACCCACAGCCGCGTCGTTCTCCATCGCTTCCCGAGCCTTCCGCTTCTCCTTCTTCTCGCGCCGTCGTTCCTTGGCAAATTGTTTGTCGCTGATGTCGGCCTCCTTAACCCTGGTGGCTTCGTCCTCGACGAACTTCTGTCGTTGAGCCTGTGCATCTCCCTCTTTCTTGAAGTCGTCTTCACCCTTGATCTGGTACGGATGGTGAGCGACGCCTTCATCATCGAATATGATCCTTTCACCCCTGCCCTTGAATTTGAGCATCTAAAAAAGAGTTAGTCGTGTCTGCAGCGAGGAGATTTGCAACCGGGCCTTGGTACCTGTTTCTTTGACTTCAGCATCTTCTCTCTCCTGTGCGAGTCCACTATGAACGGCTCATCGCCGCCGAGGCCATGTATAACCTTGGCTCCGGGCGGTGCAGATGTCGCGTTGCCTTCTCCGTCCAAGTCGTCGGCCTGGATCACCCGCTTGACAGCTAGGAAATCATCCTCTTCGTCCTCGTCAACGCCATCAGCATTCCCGCCCTCTCCGATCATTTTGGCGTAATGATCCGTGAGAACGTCCTGATTCGTACGCTCAAACATCTTGTCGATCTTTGTCCGAACCTTCCGTTTCTTCTTGTCCGCATCGAATTCCGAGTCGGAATCACTTAAGATTGCGGCCCTTGGCGCATTCTTGAGCTTTTTGATGTCATCACCCTTTTGAAACTTGATTTGAGGTGCTCCAGGTAGCTATGATCAGCTAGGTTAGCATCACTCCTGCTGTACATACTTGCCCATCATGACTTACACCAAGACTGGCAGCATAGGCATCTAGGTCCAGCTTTTTGAGGTCAAAGATTTCCTTACTACAAGAAACAGTCAGCAGGAGTCTAGAGCAATGGCGAATGGGAGAATCTCCAACATACTCTTTCTGGAGGTGGATGGACCGTGTGTAAGCGATGAACGCTTTTTGGGCCAAGAATTTCAAATCGCTCTGTTTGAACACCATATTCTGAATCGCTTGTTGGGTATCCTGCTTTTTCCGTTCTCGCACGTTGACCTTGTTGATTGGCACTTTGCGATGTTCTAGCCGCTTGATCATTCCCGGCTCCTCGCTGGGGTCGAGGAATAGCACAGCCTTGCCGGCGCGATTGTATCTCGCAGTCCGCCCCACCCTAAGGTACAAATATGTCAGTCATAGACGCAGAAGAGGAATGGAGATCGGTGGGATCATATGCATCGTGTCGTTGGAGCTGAATCGTCAAACACGACCTTGTGCTGCTCTCAAATAGAGTGAAACGGCACTGCGTAATACCGAATCCTGGCTGATTCTGACTGACCTGTGAATATAGGTGTCGACATCTTCTGGACAGTCCATCTGAACAACCCAGTCAACCGCGGGAAAGTCTACACCCCTGGCAACGATATCGGTCGCGAACAGACAGGCATATTTTGCCGCAGTGAATCTCCTCGTAATCTCCATTCTTGCAACCTGCTTCTGGCGGGAGTAAAGATGTAGTAATGATATACCCGGTTGAAGATGTCGCAAACTTTCATACGCGAATCGAACTTGCTTGCCCGATGACAAGAATACCACGATTTTGCTCTTCAGGTTGGTTTTTATAAACCCATACAGTGTGCTCATCTTCTCGGGTAATGGCGTGACAATATAGTGCTGCTGTAATGTTGTAGGTGTAGCCGCCGAAGCTGCCTCGTGTATCGCGATGTATTCGGGTTCTCTGAGACTTAGTCGGGCGAGATCAGAAACCTTCTTGGTCTGGGTAGCGGAGAATAGCATGGTATTCCTAGTCTTTGGGAGATGTTCGACCAGCGCATCCACGGCTTGTTGGAAGCCCATGTCCATGATGCGATCAGCCTCGTCCAACACCAGCATCAACAGATTGTTCACGTCCAAGCCACAAGTCTGGTCCATAATTGCAAGTCAGTCGCGATCCTCCTGGGGTCCGCAGGGATAATATAGGCAGGCCAAGGGGGTTTGACTACTGACCTGATCGAGGTGTTGTAGCATCCGACCTGGGGTGGCCACCAGGATGTTCATCCGTCCTAATCGCTCGCTCTCATCCTGTAGATTTTTTCCTCCAATGACTAAGCCTGCCGAGAAGTGATGGTAGCGGCCGATCTTGCGGAGGGTTTCGAAAATCTGCACGGCGCTGCAATTGGGAGATTAGCGGAAGGTCCGAAGTGAGCAACCATGTCCTCCACCCGAAACGCACGAAGCCGAAGATGTAGACTCACAGTTCGCGAGTTGGCGCGAGAATCAGTGCGCTCAACCCATCGTACTCGGTTATTCGTGAGCGGTATAGCTTTTCCAGAACTGGAACGAGGAAGGCCAGCGTTTTCCCTGAGCCTGTCTTTGCCGCACAGAGAATGTCGCGATCTTTGAGCGCAATGGGAATTGCCTGGGCTTGGACTTCGGTCAAAGTCTCGAAATGCGAGGCTGAAAGGCCAGAGGCGGTCGGTTGCGAAAGAGGCAGTGTCGAGAACTTGGTCGTGTCCGCGGCTTTCGGATCGAACTGATCGACAGCAACTTGCAGCTTCTGCATATCTTCTTCCTCGCGCTTTCTCTTCAGCGACTTGGGCTCTGCTGGGCCCTTTTGTTTCTTTTGCGGCGTTCGGCCGCCTGTACGGGCTGGCATCGTAAAGTCGGTCGATTGTTGTGTAGAGACGTGGTCGCGGAATCGCAGGCTCGGCTTACAGAATCAGGATTCTGCCAGTGCGCCGGAGGAAAAAAAGTTGGCTCCGCGAAAATTCTGCCGGAATGTGGCTAGTGGTGGGCTGACCGCCCTTGGATGTCTTTCACCGCCCTCAAGCCGCACTTAGCTTTCCACCCAAAGTGAGCCTCCCATGTTGGAACACCACCTAAAGCCAGGTCTTCGCAACGGATCACATCAGCTTCTTCATATTAAAACCGCTTCCAATATATCCAGATATCATTTTCATATCCTGGACAGGTGACTCTCTCACCCAACATAACTAATTATTCGGCCGGCTAATTTGAACAACCAAGTTTGATACAAAAGCACGGACTAGTAGCCCTGATATACTGTATGGGAATAATATCCAACTTGCGCTTTGAAACCAATATACAGATGTGGACTTGAGATCATGGAGAGTCCAGAAGTCGATGGGGCTTAAGATCTAGCACCTCACAGCCTGGCCCTCTCTCTCGTCGCCTCGGAATCCTGCACGATCAACTCAGCCGCCCTCTCAGCAACACCCAGCACAGTCACCATGGGGTTAATGGTAGGAATGGTCGGGAAGATTCCCGCATCGACAATTCGCAGGTTCTTCAAGCCCCTAACCTTCAGCTTCTCGTCGACCACTGCCAACTCGTCCGTCGTCGTGTCGCCCATCCTGGTGGTGCCGGCGGGGTGGTAGACCGTGTGTGCCACCTTGCGTGCGTAGTGGCTCAGGTCCTCGTCCGACTGCACGTCTGGTCCCGGCGCGATCTCCTTCTTGATCCAGTCCTTGAAAGGCGCCTGTTCCGCAACCTTGCGTGCCGCGCGCATGCCGTACACGAGGGTGGCGGCGTCGTAACCCTCTGGGTCCGTGAAGTATCGGAAGTCGAGGGCCGGCTTGACCTTTGGGTCGGCTGAGATGAGGTACAAGCGGCCTCGAGAACGCGGCCGCGGGATGTTTGGTGTCATGCAGAAAGCGTATCCATCCCTGATCTCCGGGTATCCCAGCCGAATAGTGTTCAGCGTGAAGGGAATCTGGTAACAGTGCATCATGACATCGGCGATATCTCCATCGTTGACGCCGAATGGGTTGGCGGCCGACTTCTTGGCGCCGGCTCCAGGCGTCTCGCGACGCAGGAAAATGCCCGCGTCGGAATCCATAGTTGTCTGGTTTTGCGGGACCGGCTTGTTCAATTCCCACATGATGATACTCTCGGGGTGGTCCTGTAAGTTCTCGCCAACACCCGGGATGTCGCGCACCACGGGAATGCCGAGTGATGATAGCTGCTCCTTGGGTCCCAATCCTGACAACAACATCAAGCGAGGAGTGTCCACAGCTCCGGCGCAGAGAATCGTCTCGCTTCTAGCCTTGACCTCGCGAGCGGATCCGTCCTGAAGAGTCAGGCTCAAGCTGCTGACCTCGTCACCACTAACGTTGATCTTGGCCACCCAAGCATTGGTCAGGATGGTCAAGTTTGGTCGCTGGTTTTCGCCCCTCAATATTGGATGGATGTAGGCAACCGAGGCACTAGACCGTCTGCCATCGTCTGGGTTGTAGCTGACCGAGAAGAAGCCCACTCCGGTTTTGAGGGATCCGGTCTCTGTGATGTGCTTGTTGAAATCGGAGATGACGGGAATGTCCAGCGCACTGCTGCACGAGTTGACCCAGTCCTTGCACAGTTGGTTTCGATGCCTTGCGTGAACCGGCTGGATAGTGTTCTTCAGCTTGTTGAGCGCCTTCATGAACGTGGGAAACGTCCAGCCCCGTGCTCCCAGGGACTGCCAGATGTCCAGATCATACTCGAATGGCCTGAACGAGATCAGGGTGTTGTGTGACGAACAACCTCCGAGCACCTTCGCTCGCGAGTGTCTGATGAACGAGTTACCTGCACACTATCATCAGAATGGCGCGCTCCCTCAATGCACGATAGCAACGCCTGCTTACCCATGGGCTGCTCGGTAGTGTGGTAGTCATAGTCAAGCTCACCACCGAGCAGGTTTAGCCATTGTCTCAAATCCAGCACGCGGTCATCCATATAATCGCTAGGTCCCGCCTCGATCAGAAGAATCCTCTTCTGCGGCAGGTATTCGGCCAGCCGTGCCGCGACGACACACCCCGCCGTGCCCCCGCCGACGATAACATAGTCGTACTTATCGGTGTCCGACTGTGGGATGTGGTTGGTCGTCATTTTCACGCTGCGAAACTGGTTCGAAAAGAGGGTTACAATCACCAAAGTACACGGATATCAGTATGTTGAGCCAAAAAGCATATGTTTCTCCGTGCGGCAGTCAAGTGACAGACAGAAATCTAAATGATAAACTTGACAAAAAAGCTTTCGGGGTCCCATAGACCCAACGAGCGGTCTATCGCCAAGCTCAGCGATAAAACGGTCTAGCTCATCTAGCATGACATCGTCCATTGGCCGAGCATCTGCATCTGTCAGTTCGAACAAGGAGGGATCTGGAGTCTGACTGGGATCTGGCTCTCGGTGCCGTCGGTGCCAGGCGGTCAGGCCATCAGAAGAGGGCTTGACTCGCACCCAACAAGCTAACACGCCCTGTAGGCTAGGACCCTGCAGGGTCCGATTATTCGGACGACAGGAGTATGCAAGCGGTATGTCGCGCCCAAGTGGGCAGCGACAGCCGACCTGTGCCCAGAAGGTTTCACGGCATGGCGGCTGGGGCTGACGCCGTCACGCCATCTGGTCCTTATCGCACAAAAAGTCTGCAAACTTGTCGACTGTCTCTGAATAATCATACACCAACAGACCCACGAGACCCAGCTCGTGCACCTGATACGCTCAAGAGTCAAGAGGCAAGACGTAACCTGCAAGCCACCGCATGATACCAGACGCACCTGCCCGACAAACGGTTTTCACCCCAGGACGCAGGCTGGTTGTAGACGACATCTGCAAAGAGCCGCGTGGCCCGCCATGCCCGCTCTGCCCGCATCTCGGTGTGACCGCTTGACGGGGCAGCCGGGGTTGATAGCCGCCACCGTTTCCACTCTCTCACTACCATGGTCCACACGTTGTTTTAATCAGTAATACCGCCGCCTGTGACACTGTGAAACAACCTACCCAACGGCCGGCTCGGCAGGGTGGCACAGTACTGATTGGAACCGCTTTGGTGCGACTTTATTCCATCCAATCACCAATTGCGCCATGTCCATATTCACGCACCGATAACGGGACGGGGCGGGGGAATTGTGCCTCTCATATACAGTCAGTATTATTTTTATGCCTTTGTAAGTCACATCACACACTTGGTAAACACGGTCTGTTCTTCGTCCTAAAAGGTCAGAAGAGCAGGGCAAAGAGGAAGACCACCAAGTATCCCGGAGCGACCATGTAGCATAGTCTAGCTCGGGTCATACACCTAACTATGCCCACTTACTCCTCAACTCATCTTTCATACAACTCGAAAAAATATATGAACTAAACTCGCAGTCTGACTTCGTATTGAACTACGTGACGTCGTACCTACTGACAGCCACTACAGAACACGAAGAGCGTGATCTCTACGGAGGGATGGTCTACCATAAGGACAAACAGCTAGTCTGTGAGAAATTCGATTGCTATCTAAGATAATACTAATGAAGAAGTATACTGAAAGTAGTGTCCCAAGTCAGCAAGCCTGCGAAAACAAGTCGCAAGAAGTCGACAGATATAGCCCCTGTTTGGTCTCAATACCGGTATACAGAGCCTTTCCACATTAAGGTACAATGGTGTCATGGTTCACCCTCAGTTGCTGGCGGTAATCGAGGTTGACCTGAGTCAGAACAGCTTCAACCTGTGCAGTCCACTTCAATGAATACTGGTTGAACCATGCTTGGATAGTAGCCATTCGGATTTGGGCCCCTTGGTGTCGATGGAGATATCGAGACAGATACTGGGTGGCATCCGAAAGGTCGTAAGAACGAGGACCGTGTATACCGCCACCAGAAAGTCTGTCAATCTTGCAGCAGAACGCATAATTCCAGGGGGCAGCCAAAACTGTCAGCCCAGGCTTCTGGAATATGATCTCGCGCTGAGCAAGGCCTCGTCCGTGAGCGCGGCACACTGATCACGCGGCATGAAAAGAATGGTCCGGTTGTTGAACCAGTCTTCCTCCAAAGATTTGTGCTTCTTGACTGCCTCCCTCGCGCCATTCAAAGGAGTTTCGAAGTCTTTGGCAGTGAGGTGGTTGTTGTAGAAGTCAACATCGTGTGTGACACTGCGCGACTGAAGGTGGATGGTGTTAACTGCTCCACCGACAGCAACAACCGTCACGTCGCCGCCTTTCTTCTTGATGTAGCTTGCCACGTTGTTCAATGCCGTAAGTAGGATATCGCGATCGAGATCTGGAAGGGGGTCTTCGTGGCCGGGGGTCTTGTGTGGCGCGAGTTCTTGGAGGGTTTTGGCACCGCGGCGTTGCTGCCATCGGGACCAGCTCTGTCCCATGATAGAGAATTGAGGAAGGCAGGACGGGAATAGGCAGCTCAGACAGCGAGATTGGGTTTGCTTCAAGGAAAGCTGATATGTGCTTGGAACTGGCTTAGGGACATCACCTCGGGAATACAAGCACCTTTCCTGCTCTTATACAACGGCCATGCCGACTACTTCTCTATTCCGAGGCCAGCCTCAGAGCAAGACGGGTTCGATGCTGGAGTCTGGCATTCGGCCGACCTCACGTGACGTGCGTAACAGGCCAATGAGACACAACGAAGTCTGGTATGTGGTCAAAAGCAGGTCACTTGTGGTCCACCCAGATTTCTTGCGTGTTTCGGAAGACGCTGAGCCAGACGGATTGATTGGGGAGGGGAGGTAGCTACGCTGTATCCGCTGCTACCCATGCACGGCGATCGCGGCTATGCTTCAGCAATATTATATCTCATCAGCAGTTGTTCGGGGCGAAGACCATCGAACGTCACGGAGAAGGGGCAAGGACTCCTTATCACTATCGCTGACAGGGGGTGCTTATCAGCCGCCTGGCCACCTGCTTTCCGAGAACAAACACCAACCTCCGCAACCACTTTGCCCTGCTCCAGAGGTCGCAACCAGAAGTCGCAGCACAATCGAACGAAACACGGAACGGTTGCAAGAACAATACGCACTATGACTTCACTACTTCGACGACTACTCGCGTTTTTCAAGTCAAATTCAAGCGCCACTCCTCCCGATGGCCCACCCACCGTGACTTGGCTCCTCCAGAACCGGGCCAATCGGAAGCTACCGGCACTGACCAAAGGCCGCACGCCAACGGCTTCCATCTATCGCATGTACGAGTACCTGGTAACCGACTACATCGTCGGCTTGAGGACCGAGATCGAATTCTTTTTCAATCAGCCATCATGGGCCGTTGCTGCCATTCCGGATCCAGAGGACACAGACCCGGAAAGATACACCATCTAGTCTGTATTGCCATACTACCTGACGAAGGCCTTCAACCGACTCATTGAGCGTGGCCTCCCCCGGGGAAGCCCAGCAATTATCGCAGGGGACGAGGTTGAAGACGAGTTGCGGGCTCGGTCAGTGGTTCTCGAAGAAGAGCCAGCTTGGGCTGCTAAAGTACCACCACTGAAGGAGACATTGACGATTCCCACATCCTCTGGCGATCCACCAGCGGAGGAAGGTCGAAGTGAGCGCTTCTGGCCATGAACATTGTTGTGGAGGAACCTCATGTCTTGTTCGTATGAGAAGGTCTTTGGTTTAAAGCGGCGGTGTCTGGTGCAGAGTTCACTGGTTTGACGATCTGGCACGGTCGGGTCAGCGAGCGAGTTGTATGTATCTTAAGGTGGCGATGTCCGAGAAGGCTTTCTACGCCCTAGATGTAAACTTTGATAGGCTTTTGCCTTTCATCATCACGCAAACCACCCACCAGCGAAGCATTCACAAGCTGACATGTTGCCCCGACTGGCGAGCCGATGAGAGAATTCGTGAAAGCTCCCAGTACGTTGGAAATGTTCCAAAACCCCCCTCCAGCCAATATTGTCTGCTCGCAGGCAGCCTGGAGCGCATCGAATTGGATCCTCTCGTGACCATAGCCCCCATGTATATGACCGAAAATGTGAAGTGAAGGGTGAACCCGCCACAGCTCGCGGAGTAGATGTTGACAGCCAAATGCCGAGAGATCCAAATGAGCGCATGGGGGGCCATGAGTAATAAGTATGTCGGTATTATCCGGCACCGTGTCCTTCCAGACATCATCCTGCCGCCTATACTGAAAAGCCCAGTTGCCATGTCGTGGGGTCTTCGGGCTTCCATAGATATGGAGCCGACGCCCGTTCTGGTAGACGACGGTTGTCGCGCTGTCTTGCAGGTAGATAATATCATCCCAGTCGATCTGCTCGCGCGCCAGATGAGCCTTCCCATCTAGATCGTCTCGGCTGGCATCGAGCAACAGGTCATGGTTACCAGCAACCACGATCTTGACACGGTGCGGCTGCTTTCGCAACCATGATATTGTGGCCTGTAGCTCTTCGAGCGAACCGGATTGAGTCAGATCGCCTGCATGGACTAGTATGTCGCCGTCAGGGAAGTCGCACTGGCTGTTGTGGGTGTCTGAAATGCAGACGATAGAGATGGCATTTCTGGGGAGTTGAGAGGACGTGGTGACGCGACGCCATGAGTAGAGCTTGCGGGCGAGGAACACACAGGGGTTCTGTAGAAACAGCTGCCAAGCAGTAGGAGGGGGTCGTGAAGCAGCGACTCGAGTCCTGAGGCGCTTTTCCCGAACATTGTGATGAAGATAATCGAGAACTAAAGTGATTGAAGCCGTCGAGTTCACGTGTTGGAATTTGGGTGGTGAAAGAAGACAGATTCGGTCAGCATTCAATATCGATCACAGAATATCATATTAGGAGAATATGCGATAAGGCGGTATGAGCCGCACAAGGCGCAACCATCCAAGTGAGCAACGTGTTCGCGTACCATTCAGCGCATAACTCCATGCGCCATTTAAGTTGGCTACTTTTGTGATTTAAGATATAATGGCACGAGGTACCCTCTCGTAAGCTATTGTTGGTCTCGGACTCCAGAAGCCGAATCCGTGCAAGACCTCGACCGTCACTAGGTATTGTTCTACGCCTTTGGCTTCTTTTCCAGGACTGGAGAGTCGGGCGCTTCCGAATCAGGTGCCTGCCTCTTCTTAGACACTCTCTCGGGATATGCTTCGGCGTATGAAGGCCGTCGCCATGGGAACTTATATCGCTTCCGTTCTGCCTCTTCGGCTTTCGCATCGTCTTCCTCTTCCTCTTCGTCGTACAACTCTAGCTCGGGCCATGCCAAGGTCTCACTCTCCTCGATCCGTCCCGATCCAGGAAATTTCTTGATGGTAGCCTGCGAGCCAGTTTTGCGAGTCTCCTTCCGCCGCTTGACCCAGTCGTCCAGATGTTTTCGAAGTTGCGAAGCTTCACAATCGAGCTTTCTGTTGGTCGGCCAGGGCTTATCCTTGAGTACTGCAGTATCATAGGAGCGCAGTGTTGGGAAAAGCTCCAAGTCAAGGGTGATGATGGCATATAGAGCGAAGTAGGTCAAGTCCATGTCTTCCTGTATGCAATATTCGGAGGCACTACTGACCATACCGAAGTCAATGAGCTGGAGGTTGTCGGTTTCGGGATCGAAGAGGAGGTTCTTCGGCTGTATGTCTCCATGCGCAACACCAACCTCGAGATGGAGGTAGTCCAGCACGTCGGTGAGCTGTTGGAGCCACTTGACCTTGAAAAGGCGCGTTTTGTTCTTGGCGAAATCTCCCCCTTTCACGAATCTCGTGGTAAACCCAAGTATTCGGGCCTCAACATCGGCCAATACGATATGATCGAGGGGCACGATGTTGGGATGAGAAGGCAAGAGCTGTAGAATATGAATCTCATTCCAGAGGAATCGGGGACGACATGGATTATACTTGAAGATGACTTGTCTGTCAGTGCTGTCGGAATGAACCATTAGATCGACGAATGGTTCAAGCCTGTCGACTTCCACGAGCTTCGAATATTGAACTTTGGGACAGTTCTGGAGTCCAGGTGAAGAATCCAATAGGGGTAAGCGGGCATCAGAGATTGATTCTAACCAGCACTCTTCCGGTCTATCGTTCGAAATCGACTCCAACAGGCAGTTTTTGTCGATTTTGATTGTTTGGATATCGGGGGAAAGGTACTGCCAAATTCGCTGAAGTACCGTGCATCCAATTAACTCGTCCTCGTCTTCCAACTCAGCCGGCAGGATAATAAAGTAGGGACGACGCTGATCCGCGTCAGTGTAACAAGTCGTCTGTACTTCTTTCCCAAACTCATCCATGCGAGAAGACCCACTAGTCCATTGGAACCGCACCACGGGGTCTATCATGTTGAACAGGTGCTCATGTGAAGACAGTGGTAGTATTTCTACAAGCCTTCGAGGTCCTTAGGGGAAGGAGGGCGAAGTACGAGATTTATTAGTAAGGTGAGAAGTCAAGAACGACGAAACGCCAGGGCACAGGCTTAATGCAAGGCGGGGGACTGATGAAAATGACCAGTCCATACCTCTTTCAGGGCCCGTCTCAGCCATTGTATCACACATTGTGAGATTTCATCCGTTCTGGTATTGAAAGGAAAAGAGAAGAAGATCTCAGGGAGAGAAGACCCCATATATATGTACAGGTGTGCCATCAGAGTGACCAGATCATCATACGATAATGGTGCCAGAATCCTGGTGGCCTGAGGGTCGGCTGACTGCCCTCAAACCAAACCCATTAGCGCATGTTACGGTATTACGTAATACCTCCACATATCTTTGTACATATATATCCTATCTTTCCCTTTCTTTTTCTTACCTTGTCTCTTCTTCCTTAGATATCGTTGAATCTAGATATTTCATCCCATCAGCCCTGACCAGCGCAGCTGCAGGCCTGATTGTCACAGCGCATTCAGCCCCGAAGGCCTCGTCTGGACCTGCTATGATATCCAACACAAATAGTTTAGATCTTACGAAGACTCCTTTGTCCTTTAGATGCTACCAAGACTTCTTTGTCTCACTAGCCTGAACCTACTGCCGGATGTGCGATCTAGATGATTTGTTTTATTTTTAAGCTCTTCGACCGAAGGGAGGAGCCAAACCCAAAGACCCCAAAAGATAACAAAAGCAGAGCCCCCGTGCTGTACGCTAAGTCTATCAAAATAAAACGCCACAATCATCTCAATCCACCAAAACCTTAACCACGGATGGCGTCCACAGGCTCCCAACGGATACTCTTAGGAGCTCGGCTCGTAACGAACCATACAAGGTAAATTACCTCTCTGGGCCGAACAGCGCAGGCTGAATGGGCCTTAGTGTCACATAGCGTGTAGAAGAAACGATATGTGATTGTTCAAAAGATGCAACCTACAGAGTGGGGACTCTAGGTACCAAGGATGTTCAAGAAAGCCCTGGTACATTAAGACGCCCCCGTGCCCGGACAACCCATCATTTGAGCAATATAGCTTTTCGAGCACTCCAACAATCCAATCTCCAACGTCACATCACTATCGACCCTCGCTTGAGTACATGTCATGCCTCAAATCATTCGCCCCTCCGCCATGCAGTCGCACTTGGAGAAGATAACGAAGGGGGACTCTACAAACGGAAGCGGCACATACCTCTGCGGATATTACTACTTCTACTCAGCCGCGTGTGGTCACTTTTACGACAAGAAGGGATACAAATGTGGCAAATCGGAAACTGGATTGCGGAATCCAAAGGTCTGCCAGGCTCCCAGCTCCATAATTCATCTGGACGACGTGAAGATCAGTGTGCGTTGCAAAACATGCAGAAGAAAAGCCTCGACCACGGAAGACAAAGCCGGAGAATCTGCATCGATAGCACAGGATACAGGCAAAGCAGGGGATTTGGCCGCAATCCAAGAGAACCCGGACGAGGATAGTGACTTTAAGTAACGAAAGGCCGCTCTGTCGTCGTTAAATCCTCAAGTTCTTTCTTCAAGGAAAAGTGTCCGTTCAGCGGGCAGACTTCAAGCCCCCACGGGTTAGCAACCAGCATGCAGTTGCATTTAGAGATTTTACAGCTCATACTCTCTATCCAAGAAATAGATTACACGTGTCCCGCGCAGTGCGTAATTAATATTAAAAGGGAGTGCCACTATCTTGCAGTCCGGCACGACCTTAAACTACATTTAAGACTTAATATTTGCAAGATAGATCTCTTATTTAACAAATTGATAACCGACTATTAGTAACCCTGTCCGCTTTATATTTTCTTCCGAACTAGTTACCTTACGTCGCTTCTTATCCGACTTTAATTACGCCTTTTAAATCTTTTAAATAAGCTTTTTAATCTAGCCCATTATAAAACGCAATCTTTCATTAGCTTTAAACTTTTTAATCACTAAGTTACTTTATTATTTAAATAATTCGTTTCAATAGTTATTAACATAAAGTCGAAGTATTATACCTTTAAAAACGATGATAACTTATACTTTAATTAATAATATAATTAGCTGTCGGAACAGGCTTGAACGATCAATCATAATACTCGAGTATAGGGTCAAGGTCATGATGTTGCTGATGGGTGGATTGGGAAGTCTAGCTGGACCTGCAGGTCTGGCTAAGTGACCTCACAATCTGGTATCTAATCTCTTATCTAATCATACATGTGGGTTCTGTATGGATGGTTTGACTGTGGAATCACATGGATCCAACAATTATTATTATTATTATTATTATTATTATTATTATTATTATTATTATTATTATTATTATTATTATTATTATTATTATTATTATTATTATTATTATTATTATTATTATTATTATTATTATTATTATTATTATTATTATTATTATTATTATTATTATTATTATTATTATTATTATTATTATTATTATTATTATTATTATTATTATTATTATTATTATTATTATTATTATTATTATTATAACAAAATAATTTAAAAACAAACCTTTAATAAGTTAAGCTTTTATGAAAGATTCAATTTTCTTTTCTATCTTTTGGAAAAAAGAAATAAACTTTCAAAAACCTTTGAAAAGATAACGACCTATCTTTAATCTATAACGTATAACGTAATGTAATATTTAACGCGCTTTAATAATATTACATTAAATCGGATTCTTTTTTATAAACAAGGTCTAGCTTTATAAATAAGGGTTTATGCGCATACCGTTTAACATATAACGTATCGGCTTAAGCTTATAAATGTGACGGCCTGCATGAACCTTCCCACATGACAAGCGGATACTTCCCAATAGGGGAAGGATCTGACCAGGGGATCCCCTTAAAGGGGCAACCTCCCACTGTACCTATCTTTCTCTCTCTCTTCCTTTCCTCTCTAGTCTTATTCTCATCAATAGAGTAATAGCTGCTTGCTGCCGGCCATGTCCCAGCTCCTCAGTACGCTCGCCGTGACAATAAACGATATTTATAGGTAAAGTTTTAATAAATGAAGATAATGTATAACGTTTTATTTCAATAAACTCAGCGTATAATATAAAAGCTTTACTTTTTATTATCTTTTAAAGTATTTAAGTTTAGATCCTCACTTCCGGTCGAAAAGCTTGAAAAAAAAAATCGTGCCACTATCTCGATACAAGACCCGGTATCAGAATCGCAATTTTCCAACGCTAATAGGGGCAAAAATCAACGGATGGAAATAATCCTCTGTCCCAAGAACTCAGCACGAGCTCAGCACCTTGAAGCGAGTTGCCTCGGCTATCTTGGACCACCATACTTAGCTACGTCCAATCCGCACCGCGAAAGAACGGGCGTTGCGTCACTTCCAAGGGAGGGGTCGCATTTGAGTTCGCGTCGTTGCGGGGAACCCCTGACCAAACCAATGAGCTGAGGTCAGTCAGACCCAAGATATCTTCAACGTCGACGGTGATCATTGATAGGGGCCAACAAACCTGACGGTTTTCCCATACGCCTTTCCTGGTTGTTCCCGTCAGCCTTTATGTCTCTTCGAAGTCTGCCCACCACGGTTGCGATATCTCACGCACAGAAGCACGGCTTGACCAGCGCACGTCCGCCATGTTGGCGCAAATCACGATGACCAATATCGCCATTATCTCCGCCCTAGTGGCAGCGGGCCTTTCGGCGTTTTACATGCTTCAGCGGATGAGACATGAACTCAGAGTTCGGAAGATAGGTGGCGTCCGCGCGCCTCAGCTGGCAACCAACCCATTTAGCGGTGAGTTATCGGCCTCTTTGTTGATCCAGCCTGGCTGTTTGTCCTGACTCCCCCATCAACAGGCATGTTCTGGTTCATCCGAGCCGCCAAGGCCCAGATGAGGAACGAGCTTCTGAATCATTATAACAGCTTCTACGACCACGCCACACCCGAATGCCCAAACTGTGTGGAGATTCAGATCAAGGCTAGCGAAAGATACATCCTTACCAGAGACCCCGAGCATATCAAAGCTGTGCTCACGACCAAGTTCAGCGACTTCGGGAAAGGGGCCACCTTTCATTCTCTATGGCGACCTTTTCTTGGAGACAGCATATTCACTACGGATAGGAGCCTATGGCACGACAGCCGCAGTCTTATCAGGCCAATGTTTATCAAGGATAGGGTCAGCGACCTGGCGACGTTTGAAAAAGGGGTCTCGGTACTTATCGCAGAGCTTCCGCCGTCCGGGCACACGGTCGACATCATGGATCTCTTCTATCGTATGACCCTCGACGTAACAAACGATTTTCTGCTGGGCGCAAGTGTTGACAGCCTGAACAAGTAAGTCATGGAAGATGAGCCTGTATCTGCTATTCATACTAATGATCGGCAGTCCTCAGAGCGAGTTCGCCAGTGCGTTCAGCGACGTCCAACGGATCCAAATGATGATATCCATGACTGGGTAAGCTAGATCATGAGATGGCTCACCACTCTGGCCACTATATTAACCAGTCTACATAGGCCATTCCAAGCCTTGATACCCCGTGGTGCCTATAACCGCGGGATAGGGGTAATCAACCGCTTTGTGATGCCGTACATCGAACAAGCCTTGGCCTTGCCGCAGGAGGAGCTCGAGAAGCTGTCCAACTCCGATAAGGACTTCACCTTCTTGCATAGCATCGCAAGGTATACCCGTGATCCTCAGGTCCTCCGGGACCAAATCGTTGCTGTGCTACTGGCCGGTCGCGATACCACCGCTGCGACGCTATCCTGGACATTCTACGAGCTATCGAACTACCCGGAGAAGTTCAAGAAGCTTCACGACGAGGTCATCGCTTCAGTTGATCGGACACGAATGCCTACATATGACGATCTCAAGAGTATGAACTACCTACGTCACATCTTGAACGAAACATTGCGCCTGTACCCTGCCGTGCCATATAACCTCCGCACTGCACTCGAAGACACCACAATCCCAGGCATCCCCGGCCAGCCCCCTATCTCCGTGGTCGAGGGCGACGTCGTAGTCTACAGTACACTCGCGATGCAACGGCAGCGGGACCTATATCCACCAACGTCCGAGAAGTTCGAGGATCCTGCCGTCTTCTCGCCAGAGAGATGGGAGACCTGGAGCCCCAAGCCTTGGCAATATGTCCCCTTCAACGGAGGACCTCGGATTTGCGTGGGACAGAATTTCGCCATGACGGAGATGGCGTATTGCAGTAAGCTCTCCATTGGTGCCAGTCGCAGATGAGTGCTGGTTGCTGACAAGAATATTCATAGTGGTAAGAATACTCCAGAAGTATGACGGACTCGAGTATCGAGGCGATTGGCACGCGCAGAAGCACGAGGCGGAGGTGGTTGGCAAGCCTAGTCAGGGGGTGAATGTTGCTCTGCACGCGAAAGAGGGCCCCCATGAGTAGTGTCACAGCGGGATAGAGCAGCTGCCCGTGCATTGGCAAACTCCCCGAACAATATCAGTGGAAGTCTAGTCAGGGAGATGAGGATAATGAAATCACCTCAGCCGACATTCGCCTCAGCATTTCGCCATGTCTGAAGACGGGGAATGGGGGCTAGCGGTCAGATCGACGCTTGACGACCTCACAACGAGAGGCCTCGGTTCGCCCCTTATCAATGAAGACGAGGGCAGCAGTTCTCTTGATGCATGTTGGGGTATCTTTTTGTTTGTTCTGCCTGAGAATCATAATCTACCCAGTCATATCTAGCACGCCCCGACGCTCAGCCCGCACCGAAGTTCGAGTGTCGATGTAAGGTAGGTATAAGGACCTAAGCCATCGCAAGGCCGTTTGGCGTATTCACCGATTGGCACATTCCTCTAGATCACCTTCACTGTGTCTGCCCGAGCTGGTCCACCGCCGTGCCCCTCTTTCCCCTATATCCATATCCCGCAGACAGGCGCCCTCAATTGCCTTCCGCATCGCAGAAGGGGACATTGGAATGTTCTAGTAGTTTGCACTGGCAGGCCTTTTTTGCCCTATTCCAGGCCCATGGGTTCAGGAAGATCTTGATCCCTTCCTCTTTCATCATGCATCCCTTGCACCGGAATCCACGCTTTTGGATATTGCCAGTCGCCCGTACTTCTTCTGACGGTGTTGGTATAGCTGCTGCGCTGGCGACTGATACGGCTAGCAGGATGGTAATGAGGAGCCTCATGGGTCATTAAGTCTCTCGACCGGTCTGTACGTAGGTCGCTTTGGTTTGTTCGTCGTGGTTCCGCCTTGTATGGAGCTAGTGTGCCGTTTGAGTCGAAGAGCTGTTGCTGAAGAGGATGAACAGGCAGAGCGGGCAAGGGCCAGCTTAGGGTAGTTGTACGTTAGGGATGACATGTGGCGTCGTTCAAGATGACCCTACGGCCAGGATGGTTAACACGATGACCGTCACAGGCCGTGGCTATCCGCTCCCCGCCAGACTCAATAGCTTCAGATGTAGGATCATGGCACGGGCAGGAGGATTAGCTTGGTCGTCGTCACAGGTGTTGGTATCCGCTCCCACAAATCCTGTAGGAACAGGAAGGGCAAGAGTTCCAGCTATAGGATTACAGGTGCCACAATGGTGATGGTTAGTGGTTCCACGAGTATCTGCAATGGTAAGGCAAAACTTTACGCGATGGGAACTTTCTCAAGGAATTGTCTCATAGGAACTTTTATAGGAACTTTCTCATAGGAACGTCCTTGTTAGGTATGTAATAATATGGCAGCTACACGTGGAACTGCTAACCATTGCCATCTTGGACACCTGAAGGTCTGTACTTTGCCTGTTAAAAACACGCCAAGATGTACATTAGTAACTATTCCGATTCACAATTATCTTCAATGGTAAATATAACTTTATTGAATTTTACGCGATATTGACGTCTTTTTATGTATCAGCATAATAATTACCACCATATATGGACCCATACCTCTCACCATATCGAACCGATAATCATTACGATCCGAGACACCTATGGACTGGTGCCTCCCGAATACCGAGCACGCCAGCATGGTCACCGCCAATGCTGGGCTCCGTATTCTGCAAGTATGAGTGAGTAGCATAGTTCATGGTTTCCGGCATCTAGCTATGGCTATTTCACTCCGAACTGAAGAGCTCAACTAGTTGTGAGAAGAAACAAGGCAGAAGAGAAACCTCTGTGAGACCATTGCCGATACATCTGTGAGCTGTAGCAATACACTTTGCCAAGCGATCCATGTAAACCACCAAATAAAATCAGCATGCCCGATTATCTCTTCCAATAGTCTGTCTGTGATACAATGTTCCCAGCCTTCCAAGGTCCTCCACGAGCCAAGGGCTCATCACGTATATCCCAAGGTCCTCCGCGCCCCTATCCTGAATTTACCGAACCTCACTGACCTCGGTGGTAGCGGGTAGTTCATGCTGATGCTGCTCCTTATACCCGTTGAACACAGTCGGACCTTGCGAAGACAGTGGTGAAGGGAACTGCGAAGGGTACTGCTGGGACATGTGCTGGGACGTGTAAGCCTCTGAGAACCGCTCGGACATTGGTTGGTCCTGGTGTGGCGCCACGGTTGGGTTGTTCTCTGCCATCATCCGTCGGGCCTTGCGATTAATGACCACAGCCGCACCCAAGGCCAGCAGCCCGGCAAAGCCTAGCACGCCGCCAACGGCAGCCCCCGCGATAGAGCCCTTGCTGATGGAAGCGGGGGCATGAGCTGTCTCCGCGTCACAGGTGGCTGATGCGGATGCTGTTGCCGTGTTCGCTGTCGGGCCGGACGTGATCGAAGCAGTGGGATTGCTGGCACCGAAATTGTAGCCTCGTACTGGGTAGCCATATACAAGATACGGGTCGATGACGGAGTTCGAAGTGGGGTAGGTGTAGCTGAGTGCCACCCAGTCCGGATAACCTTGTTGGTAACCGTCCGTGTAAGGGGCATCGTAGGTTATTTCCTGGCCCTTCGTGGCGAGGGAAACGCATGACTTGGAGCTCGCGGTGAAAAGAACTGCCGTCATATTAGGAATCTATCCACGGGACCGAACGCGGGCTTGTCGGGGCCGGGGGCTTGCTACCTTGGACAGCATAGAATTGATGTACTTGTATCTATCACAGTGGAGTCGGCTGTGTGGTAAACACTCGGGCAAACCACGGGCCCAAGAATCAGTGTCGTCGAATAACCATCGTTGACAAGCCACTGCCAATTGCTAATAGTTGTTACCTCTCTAGGGAGGCATCGGTCGGTCACGAATTCGTTGGTCGCTTTCGGGCGATAAAGTGTTGGTGCGACATATTGCGAGTCGAGGTCAAACGTCGCTGTCAGGGATACATCGCAGCCGCCAAATGGGCCGGGATGTACTGTGGTCAAGGGGATCCAACTTGTTGTTACCCCGTCCGTTCCTATCTCTGGCGAGTGCGTGGTTGACATCGCAAGTAATGGGCTGTGACCGTAGAGACAGCAATGACAGCAAACAAGAAGGAGACACACGAACAGGAATAGAAAAGGGCATGCGAGGACCCTCATCCTTTTACCGTGCTCAGCAGCGTCCCCGTATCTCCTTTCTGGAGCAAGTGGCCTGTGATAGAGTGCATGTTGGTTACGGACACGACTTCTGGTTGGATATCACGCTCAGCCTGTTTGTCGCTACCTTCCATGTCCATCCGGACCCCAACAGGAGTGCGCTTCCCACGCCACCCGCCGCATTATCCTGCCGAGGTAATCTTAGTGTTGGTCTTTGATACATCACATGGGCCGTGGTTGGAGTGTGACGACAGGAAATGGCGCGATTCTTCCATGTTACCAATTGACTCCCGCTCTTGGTGGTGTATACATACTAACGTTACTTGTCAGTTGGGACTCGCACTATTTTTACAAGACCACCTAGACTGCTACCCCCCGAATGTCTTACCGCTATGTTAAATTGAGACCAGAGGCTCTGCTGCTAGTCATGATCACCCAGGTCGTTACATGAGCCCAGCCAACCAGAATGTCACCCACCCCTGCATCATGCTGTAGTATCACAGACACGGTATGATAACTCAACCACTCAGCGCCCATGTGTTGGTGTCAGCCCTCTCCTTTCCGCAGGCCTGTGAGTTGTTGATCTATTCAGCTGCGTACCTAGGCAGCCATCTCGCTTGCAGTTCGAGGTTGGATTTCTCGGGCCGCATCCCAAATACGGCTACTAGAGGATCCGCGTGGCGGTGCGGGACCCTCTGAACACCTTCAGCGAAGAGGGTACCACCACGCCACGTGAATCCTCTAGCATCGGCCCGAAGTCGAGATTATGAGGCTCCCGAGACTCTGTATCGTAGTGGCTAGCTCCATTGCAGAAGCGAGTACGTCGGTGAAGCAAGACTGGGTGACTGGCAATGATGAGAAGCGGGTCGAGGTAATTGAAACCCTTCAACTTGTGAGACTGGATGTCTCTCAATGCACGAAGAGGCGCAATGTGGATGATGAACGAAACCTGAAGGGTATATCGTCTGGGTGAACGGTGCACCGTGAGAAAGCTGTTCAACTGTCAAGTCCCTAGGTATCCGACTTAATGCCCTCGTCGAAGGGGCCCCAGGGACTTTGAGGCGGCAGAAGCTGATCTTGTGGGTATCTGTGATCCTCCGCGGTTACTTGGCGTTCATGAAAAGTTCCGCGACGATTTTATCCCGTGTGAATTGAGCAATACCTACTTTCTTCAGACGAGTAGAAAAGCCTTCAAACTACAACAGTCTCCAACGCCGTGACGTGATGCTGACTATGGGTCTTGATGCGAGGTCCACTCATCCGATATTTTTGGCTACATTGTGAAAGGGACATGTGCTAAGAAGTTGCCAGGATCAACCAGTGCGAAAGCAAAGTCTGAAACAACTTGACGGATATCTATAATGAATTGGTATCAGCGATTAGCTTGTGGATCCCAGCCACTGAATCCAGCCACCAGTACCTTATCGGATCTCCTGTCATCCAGGGCATTCTACGATAAGGTTACCTGGGATGGCTGCCCCAGGTGACAGGAACCAACCCACTGTAATTTAGGTATTTAGATACTTCTCGGATGGGATCCCTTCCCATCCGAACGTAACCAAGCACCAACCAGAATACAGATCATCACAACCAACACTTGTGATAGATCTCCGTTCTGGTTCCGCTACCACGAAGGCACAAGCTGACGAGCTGACCGTTATCTGCTAACGACTACTACTCTCGTTCATTATTAAAAAAAACCGGAATTGCCGATATTAATAAGTAATAATGCCATAGCTGACGGTTTTTTATGCGCTAATATTAAAAATAGTTATTAAGATTGTGTGAGATTCTAGAAGGGTCACAAGCCTTTGGGGTGTGAGCGGTCGCTGCAAATGTTGTTGTCATTCTGTTGGATATCATACCAGGCTGAGGCTTTCGCGGCTGAATGCGCTAATGGGTTTAGCTTCAGGGCAGTCAGCCCACCCTCATGCCACCAGGATCCTGGCGCCATTATCGTATGATTATCTGGTCACCCTGATGGCACACCTGTACATATGGGGGCTTCTCCCCCAGAGATCTTCTTCTCTTTCCTTTCAATACAGAACGGTTTGAATTCTCACATATTCTCAAGTATGCTCGGCAGGGCTAATCTATAGCTAAATACCATACTGCACCATGCCAGGGTAGATCCACTGTTCCCTTGACAGCCCCCTAGTGGGTACTGCACCTAAGGGCACCATATCTGGGATCCAACATCTGACACACGCATATTAATTAAGCGACGACGAGGTTGTGAATAGTGTTAATCAATTTTATAAAGGGGTCCTGTTGACGTGGATTGAGTTGGTCGGGACCTTGTGCGAAGGGGTGGTTGATGTGATGCCACATGGAGCCACGGACAAGAAGCGACCGAGCATCAGTATTCATTATGTGCAATGCCCCCTACTCGCCTGTGATAACACTTTTCAATGCCTTTGTGGCATACAGTACGATCTGCTATGTTGCACATGGCTCAACCTCGGGCCCGCCTACACCATCATAGCCTTCGACCCATATTTCCTATCCTTCGACATCCATTCTCGGAGCATACATACCCACACCGGGCTCGCCGGTGCCGATCGGTCAAGAGATTATATAATTGCTGCGATACTAGAGGATTCACGTGGCGTGGTCGAACCCTCTGAACGCAAGCGTTCAGGTCCCACAGCATCCACCAGGACCAAATAAGCCGATGCCCGTCAGCTCCATTATAACCAGATGCCTCATGGAAACCTCCCGTCATGCCACATCGTCAGGTCTTAAAGCGTCCAGGATCGGGATCCATTCTTTGCAACTAATGTGGCGTTTTGACTACACGGGGTTGCATCTGTATATAGCACTTGCCACTTCGGCGTCAGGATGCCATCCTTTCGTCGGATACAATTTTCTATTTGTACATTGTGTATATTAAGGCTGCTAGCCAACCTCTACTGACTCATGCAAGACCACTCTTTCACCAGTGAACAGTCTACAGCTTGAGAAGCTATTCAACCTCAACTAATCCTCTTTTACAACAAGTACTTACTCTTTCCCCAACACACGACTTTTGAACATCCTCGTAAACCGCTCGAAACGCAAACATGTGGGCAACGATCCTGAAGGCCGCCGTCCTCGGCAGCTTGTTTGCCAATGTCTTGGGAATGAAGATATACTTCGACGATGATGACCACTTTTTCGAGCTCGAAAAGGACGACACGGCGTATGATATCTCGGCAGCCGCAAAGGACAAGTCGACGTTCAGGATCGAAGACATGGATGGCCGCACGCTCGTTCAGTTCCTGAACAAGAAAGACGCCAACAGCTGGATTCAGTGGAAGAAGAAGTATGATGGGACGGATGAAGCATTCGAGACGAATTCAGACGAGGAAGGTGAAGATCTCGAAGAAGCAACGGACATTCAGAAAGAGGCCATTACGCCCAAGGCTAATGGTAGAGCTCGCGTTCACACTTGGAATGAGCAGTACAATTTTGTTGTCATGGCGGAGGTGGAGTTGGACTGATATGCTGTTTGTTGTTTGTTTGTTTTGTATTTAACGTGGGGGGTAGCTCCTCAGTAGTGCAGACCACGCCTCCCAGAGCCTCTGCATCGCAGGGTTGTGGAGGTCTCAAGAAAATAAGTACAGTCAGTCCCGCTCACGGGCCCATCCCCGTTGTTGCGGCGGTATGACCTTGGGGTCATCCATCTGGTCCTTCAAGAACAGCTATCTATCAGAGACAGATTGTTGAAAAGAACTTGCTCTTCTCCACGAATTTTGCCCATTCTGTGCTCCTCTCCCCTAAGTATTGTAAACAGGCTGTCCTAGGCAAGTACCTAGGCAACAACCGATTTTTTTATAGCCTCTTACAAAAGAAAATATGTTGTGGTATTTTCTTTTCACCATAGCTGCAGTGGTTGTTCGAGTCTGTATGCCCAAAGCGTTCGTAGTATCTGGCAAAGTCGCCATGTCCAGATCTGGCCGCTAGAAGTCTGTGTAGAGTGCTCCTCTTAAAGGATATAAGGCCTCTTTTAGTTACTGTATGTGAGTATACTTCTTGATATCTAGGTTCTGATTGGTCTTTTTACCATTGGTTGAACTCTTTCTTGCCCTTTCTCTTGAGATCTCTCTTGACCCAAGAGATTGTAGGAAGGTTTGTCGTGTCTGTTTCTAGCATAGCACCCTCTTTTGCTAATATATCGGCAGCTTCGTTACCATCAATATCTCTGTGTCCAGGAATCCACTTGACGGTCACTCCAGGAGTGTGTGCTGTGGCGAGTTCTTGGAATCGCAGAAAAATTTTCTGTGATGTCTCGGGGACTGATATGCTGAGAGAAAGCATTTGCTCGTGCGCTTAGAAGAGCAGTGGCGCACCCTGTAACATAGTTTTCTCACAGGAAGAACCCCCCAATGACCGACCTACCTATTTACCGACCCAAGCCAGTAACCAATATTCTATGCCGTGATCTCGCGACTCGAATCGACAACTGCCAGCTGTTAGGAGTCCCTGCAGCAAATGATGATGTAGTCAATTCTCATTGAGACCAGCCTAGACATCTCCATCGCGATACTGAGTTCCATTGTGCCCTCAGGTGATGATCTTCCTTGCATCTTAGACCCGAATACGGCCGTCTCAAAGACTCCCGACCAAATGGCCAAAATGCCTGAAGGGGCTGTGTTTCACGCGGAGGGAGAGACCTCACCAAGCCGCCGGCACATTCGCATGTTCAAGTATCTGACTTTGCACATTCTGTGGAGAGTTTCTTCTCAAAAGACACATTTCCTCGAAGGACAAATACCTGTTCTCTCCTCGCAAACCGCAATCGGCATGTCAATGAGAAATGATTCGGCAGAGGAGTTCACGTCCAAGCTAGTATGAACCCGGGAATCTTTCACCAGGTCTGACCTCCGCCGGGTCGATGTCCGCAGCCGGCGACCTTACAGGCTCCGATCGGGAGTCCGCGCCGCGAACATTAAAAACACGCGCCCCAAGCCGCCGCCGGAGCGCGCGCCCCAACATGAGGTAGATATCATACGTAGCCCGCCTGCACTCTATTCCTGCATCGGGTCCAAGCCGATACAGCTCGGCACGGCGCAAATAGGGGCGGTCTTATAAGTTCAACCTTAAACGCCAAACTCTGATGCAGACAGGGTCGGTACGGGAACAAGTCACCTTTCCGTGCGACTATGACGGGAAGCCCAACCCTTAGGGGTGGTTCCGTGAGTTACGTGAGCCGCACCCTGACGCATTATCTACGCAGCACCTGTCATGATGCGATCTGCAGAGTCTCACGCCCAATGCGGACGGCCATGCAAGATGGCGCTCACCGTCTGTCCGACCTATGTATCGTGAGCGCGTGGTTCCTGCATGAGCATACTTGGATACATGAGCCTAGGCGCATGCAGGCATGGTAGAGCAATCATGACGTACGGACCATTAAGTACGTCCGCTACATGAGATGTCGACTCTTCCTCGTTTTGATTTATCGTGGTGAACTCAAACGTCATCCCTTTCCACGCCTTATTACCTGGCTATCATCATTCAACGAAGCCTTTAAACTGTATCGATCCGAGCCGCACAGTTGACGTCGATACGACACGCCAGGCACTGTTTCGCATGCTCTGGCTAGAGAAGCCTGACAGTCAGTTCTTCCGTAATCGTTCTTATTACATACACCATGTCTCTCAGTCCGCGGATGTCGCGGGCCTTTCTGGCTAGCAGTCGGCGTGTGGGCGCGTCTCCCCTGACGTGCGCGATGTCGAGTATTGTCAATCCATCAATTGCCCATAGGTCGTTGCACGCCGCCGCACCAAGATGCGCCGTGCCCGCGACCAAGCCCACCAACCCGGATCCCAGGGAAAATCCCGCCCATGAGCTCGCTCCCGCGAAGGATGAGAATGTCGGCCGGAAGCGCTTTGCGGACTTTGAGCTGAAAGGCAAGTGTTCATCGTGACGGGTGCCGCGCAGGGCCTGGGGCTCGCACTTTGCGGAGGCCTTGTAGAGGCGGGAAGCAAAGGTGATGCTCGGGACGACCTTACGCAGAGCGTCGATGTTGTTGCTAATATATGAAGTAGTGTACTGTCTCGATCGGGCGAAGGAACCAAGCGGGTATTGGGCAGAGGCTGAGAGGCGCGTCGTCCCGGAATGTGGAGGCTGCCTGCGCTACCGGCAACAGGACGTGCAGGACGTGGCTCATCTTGACCAGGTCATCACCGAGATCGCGGATGAGAACCAGCGCCTGGATGGTGTGGTGGCCGCGGCGGGCATCCAGCAGGTCACGCCGGCCGTTGTGTACAACGAGGCGGACGCGACGAGAATGCTGTCGGTCAACTACGTCGGTGTATTAATGGCAGCTACGGCAGCGTCCCGGCAGATGATGAAGTACAAGTGCCACGGCAGCATCTGCCTGATCGCGATGGATGGTGGCCATATGTCATGGTAGACCATATATTATCGGTTTAACACAAAGGAGTCGCCGATGGATTACCTACCCATGTACCAGGAGACCGATTTGCTGCTGGATATCGTGAGCAGTGAGCGGGGAGAATTCTGTTACTTGGAAATTCGACTCGGTTTACGCATTTTGGCTTCAGTGGCGACATTCAATATACTCCCTCAACATCTCCCTCCCAATGATCACACTATGTCACTGTCTATAACCACCCTCCATCCAGGATTAACTTGTGCCACAGCCATGAAGCCGTACAGCATAGTTCCTGACCATCACGATGTTGCCCCTTTTTCAATGACGACGGGAGTCTGGACTTTCCTGGTGGTTGTAGCCCTCATATGATCCGTGGCATAGCCTGAACTATTGTCAGAAGTCGGAGCCCGACAATGCCATCGAAAGCCCTTTTTGAGGTGTTCGGTATGTACTCCGACGCCAGGGAGCACGGAGAAGACGGGCAGACAACACCGATCGGCATACATATTTTACCAAGATTAGGAGACCGATCGTGTCAGCCGCTCGAGATACCTGCGTTGGTATTTTAGTTGCTGGGCTGTCGGCTTGTTATCTGAAACCTGTGTGGATCCCACTCAGCATGCCTGAGCCGCATTCTGAAGTTCGCCGAATGAATGGAAATTACTTACCACGGAGCGCAAACTGGCCTTTGCCGGTATACACAGTGACGTATTTCAGGCAACTTCTAATCGGAACTTCGGACGTTTCTACGATCACTGGCATGCTGGCTTGACGCCGATCAGGCCATGGTCTCAACTTGAGGAGACACCACGGATCACTGCAATGTCAGCATCCCGAGGATCACAAGGGTAGGAATTGAATTCATTAGGTTCGATTAGACTTTGCTGGAGATTGTATAGCAGAGCTCCGAATATATAAACTGGCCGCTCGCCCTCCGTCTGGTTTGTTTCTTTCTACCTGCTCCATCAACATTCACCATCTGATCAAACAGTCATACTCCATCCAGCCTATACTTGTCTCACGAACTCATTCTTGTCAAGAATTCAACATGAAAGCCTCAATCATCTTCTTCGTATCCGCCCTCCGCTCCCTGGCTGCCGCAGTCCCGATCGACGACGTTGCCACAACGCTCTATTACGGGGTATGTTTCGATGCGCAACTAACTATTCGTCGCGGATACTAACTCTCCCCAAAGAAGTGCAAAGCTCTAGACGGACCGGGTGAATGCGTCTTCACAAACAATGGAGAATCCGTGACGAAACCGTGTGGTGTCAATTACAAGGTTGGTCACGGCTCTGACAACACATACACACGGTATACGGCTAGCTAATGGTGCTGAACAGTGCAAATTCACAGGGGAGAACTGCCATTACAACCCTACCGGAGGTCACGCCCATTGCAACTTGTAGCTGATATCCTGGGGGCTGTGACACTTACGGGTTGATTTTGGTGCTGGTTTGATGTTACGGAATGGTCTATGTAGCTTGTCTGGTTCTCGCTTCACTCCTTTGTGGTTCCTGGCATACCTCGGGCACGCGTGGAGGCGAAAGTGCTACTAGTGTAGTGTCACTGGGAATTTCCATTTACCAACAATATGGTGCTGCATAAGTACATACCCTCTTTGCCAGTACTGAGTCATGAATGCTACCATGAAGCATTAATATTCCAAACTGCTAATGTTTACCTAAAGTAAACAGCTCCTGGTGAATGTGTCATCGTGCTGAGGGTCCTAGAGTAAAGCCGACGAGCTAGACTATGACTTATTTTCGGCCCCTCTTTGTATGGGCCAGGTTCCTAGGTTAGGAATGCTTTGCGGTTGACATGACAATATATAAGGAAGTAGCAACGCTCGTGTGAGGTTGGTGGTTCGCGACCACCTACAGTGAGCATCGTTATTATATGATCCCTAGCACTCGTGTATATTGATGGGTGCGAGTTTGCAGCAGATGTACGTCTTCTTTCAAGCTTCAGAATGGCTAGAACAGCTTTCTTGATAGTCCCGGTGAGCAGCATACATCAAGACAGCAAAGCTCTGCGCCTCAGGCGACTCGGTCCCCGGTTGCCTGTCTCCCCACTCCAACGGGTTAATAACAGGCGACAACAGCCCTTCATCATCGATCCTTTCAATGATCTCAGCCCTCTTCTCATCCGCCCAGGCCACATAACCGGCTTCCTCCCCGCCAAACTCCTCGGGCTCCAGAAGCGCCATCCGATACGCTGTAGCCGTCAACAGCGTCGTACCGGACAGCTCGCCAAACCAACTCGTGTCATTGAGGTAGTTCCGCAGCAGTGGCTCCTCAGGCTCCGCTCTGTCAAGGGCAATGGCAGCGTCCAGTATACCCCCGATAATACCCTTCAGCCCACCCAGCCCCTTCACCGTCTCAGCAAACGGCGCCTTCTTCGCCGTCGCCAGCACGCGGCTCATGCCTGCCGCCGCCCACGCATTGCCCGTGCTCCAGACCCCCAGGTCCTGCGTCTCGGGACCGATAATATGGTGCCACAACCCGGACGCGTTCCCCGACCCCTCCGGCACACCCAGCACGTCGCGGTACAGGCCGCACTGCCGCAAGACCTCGTCGAGGAGGCCAGCGTCGTCCCGCTGCACGGCCCAGTAGGCCAGCGCCGGCGGTCCCATGTAGAGGAAGTCGGCCCAGAGCTCGGCGACGGCCTCGCGGTGGCTGATGGCGCCGTTAGGCCAGCGCGGCACTGCCGTTAGGAGGTGCGTCATCTGCCGGTCTGCAGCGGCTTCGTACGCCGGCTGTGTCTGGCCGATCAGGATGGCGGAGACGCCGAGGGAGGCCGGGTCGCCAGCGGCGCCTGTTGGGCGTCAGCCATCCTTGATACTCTCATCCAGTTCCCAGTCCAGCCCCCAAAGACGCCGAGAAATACGCACCATCGCCGTCAATCAGCGTCGTCATGTTCGTCCAGATATGCGGCTTGGCATACTCCAGCGACCTGACCTGGTCAACCTGCAATACGGGAATCCTGCCGGCCGGGAACGTCTCGTTGCCGAAGACGGAGTAGCTCGGGTCGTACCACTCCAGCAGTGCCTCGGAGAAGGTGCCGTACTCCCAGCTGTGCGTGGCCAGGCGGTCGCCCTGCGCGATGATCTTGCTGATGAGGTCGGACGTCATACTGTAGGCAGTGCTTGATACCACAGCAGTGGGAGGTCTTCAACCCATCTATCCGTGCTTTCTGTAGCGGGCTGCAGCGAATAAAGTACTTGCTGAGCCCCAACCTTGGTAGGCTCGAAGGCGGTGCGGCTAAAGATTGGGCTCGCAAGATGTTGCCCATTCCATGGAAAGTGCACAATCGGGCGGCGATGGTCGATGTAACACACCATATTGCTCACCGGTTGCGGGGTTGGCCAGGGATGGGTGGTGGTGGCTTCGTGCACTTTCAGGATGGGGAAATCTAATAGGCCTTCACATGTCACACCTATGAACGAATCTGCACATTTTGAGAAGATGTTCAAGCCGGATGTCACCATCTGCTCGAGCCTCTTATGACGCCAGCCGGTTGGGTCTTCACGGGATGCTTCCTCTCGGGTCAAAGCTAGTCAGCGTTTGTGCTGGGACGAAACCATGGTCACAGTTCAGGATGGTTGCAGATAAATAGTCTTCGTCCTTGTGGTCCTTTCAAGTAACCGGAATAAGCCCCAGGATTCATTCACAAAGCCCTCATCAAGACAGGATTACTAGATAGATGCCGCTAATCATTCGCACTGAGCCCACCGCTGACCTCAAGACCATTGATGAAACCCCTTCACCTCGCATGCCACGGTCCAGTCCTGCCCCCCTGCTCCGGTGCTTCAACATACCAACCCGGGTGACCACCATCCAGCTCCGAAGCCTCCCGGTTTCCCGCTAGCTCGTTCACTGGGATCCCAGTGACCTCATAATGGGTGTGAGGCGACTGTTGATGCCCCAGTGGACTCTGGTGCTTGTCTTCGCCCGGGGGCTCGGGGTGGTACGTCGGTGCCGCTGCCGAAGCGGCTATGCGACGGCGCCTGCTGAACCACCAGCATTGCCCGCCAGCGATAGCCACGAGAGCGACACCGCCCACTACTCCTCCGACAATGGCTCCGACGTTAGTCTTGCTAGGTATGTGGAAATAATTATCTGTAACTCCATCGGCCCCAGACTTAGGGGAATAAGGAGCGGTGTTGTTCGTCGTCCCTGTGAACAGGTTGGCGACGAGCGTACTCGTCCATCCCCCGTCCGGCAACAACTTCGTGGCGCCGCCATCCGGTCCGCCCCCTATGACTGCAGAGATGCCTTCGTATACCTGATATGGGGTTTTGTTGCTGTCGAAGATGCTGCCCCACTCCATGGTACTAAGGTCTAGAATGGCTACACCCATCCATTCCCAGTCGCAGCCAGATCCTGTCAGGTTGGTGCTGTTGATGCCTCCGACCGTGATCATCTGGCGGTTCCCGACGAGGTGGCAGGTATGAGCGAAGCGTGGAAGTGTACCTTCGTAGACCTATGATGGGTATGCATTAAGCATGGCTCTTGAGGTATGCAGAGAGGGGAGGGGGGTCTACCTTGGTCCAGGTAAAGGACGGGATGCTTAGAACCCAGATGTCGTCAAAGTACTTGGTCTGCGTAGGGTCCCAGCCTACATATCGCGTCAGGCTTTCGAGTTCCATGGTAGCTTCTTATAGAAACACAATGCTTACCCCCATACAAGTAAATGTTGAAGCTGGAGTTATCAGGGGCAGAGACCACCACAAGGCAAAAGTCCACGCGGGGTGAAGGCACCTCCCCCGTGATCATCTGCGTGTACCAGCCGTCATTGGGAGTTGTCGACTCTGTTTGCCTGGATGACTCGACGTAGAAGATGTTGACCTGACTCAGGCTGACTGCGCACTTTGATCAGCGCTGTTGACACTCAACCTGACCCTGAGCGAGCAAGGTACCTGGTCTGAGGGACGCATCCATCCCTGTTGCTCCGCCCAAAGATACGAGTACTCCCATATTCCCGATCTGGGGTATATAGACCATGCCTCCTCGAACCCTCGGGTTGCCGTCGTCGACGGAATCGGTTGAGGTATTCGTAGCCTGCCGACCAATATCAGCGATATCCAGTTCCCAGTGGTGTCAGTGGCGGCATCCATACTTCGTGGTTTACAAGATCAAGGACCACCATGCCCCCCAGGTTGTCCGGCAGCGCGTTTCCCTGCTTGTCAGCTGCCGATGACAAATTGGTGACCTGACCATTGAGATAGAAAGCCAGGCCTTGTTCCGGTGCTTCGGCCGAGGCGCCCCAGCTCGGCCGCTCGGGAGCCCCCAGCACAACATCGTATTGAGTCCACTCATGCGATTTCGTATTGAAACCCCATCTGTATGATTCCCGTCAGAATAGACAACGAGTACGAAGAACAAAAGCCGTACAATGTGTATTGGTTCGTCGTCGGGGCTTGCCAATCCGCGAAAGAGGTATTCACGTCGGGTGTGACGCCACCGTAAAGATAGACCTGGTCATCGTCGGGTGTGCCGTGGAATAGGGCCCCGGACTGTACTTTCGGTATGGAATTTGATGTCCCCAGGGCGACGGTCTTGTTTATTAGGACTTCGCTGATGTTCGTCTTCCAGTTCCATGACTTGCTCAAGTCCACCGCGATGACATAGTTGTCTCCTATCGTCAGCAAGGACAAATAACGCGAAGACAAATCCCCAGGACTCACTCTGGCCCAATATCACCAGCCCCGAGTAGTTTAGTCGGTCATCGTGTGCTGCGGGCTTTAGAGTTGAAGTCAGCAGTGGGCGCCATGCCTCATTGGCAATGTTCAACGGCCTGGCTCACATTATCGAAGGGTTCTCGATCGGAGAAGGTCTGGATACCACCATCAATGTACAAGACACCGTTCTTGACCTGGCTCTGGTGATACCATCGACTGCAAAGGTTCCCAATCGGGTCCAGACCCGTCGCTTCAGCTAGAGAAATGCAAAGAGCCAGCCCAGGGAAGAAACACGATGGCAAGAGCATGGCTTCTTGGTCCTCTGGGGCAGTCTGCGTCTCGAAGCATTTTGAATGAAGAGATCGTGGGGACCCCTACCGGCAAGGCCATGCCGATCTTATACGACGCCACAGATGCATATTTGACAGGTGAGCATGCCAGCTCACGAATGAGGGTGTGATCAGAGTGGGTGTGTTACACTACACCAATCAGTCAACGGTGCTGACAGTGTTTCCAGCGAATAGCTCAGGCATCCAAAAGCAGCGATACCCTGAGGGCGCTCGTGTGCCCGCCAATCTCGCCTGCAGAAAGGCTGTCGCCTGTGATCGTATCACGGATCAACAAGGCTCATATCATATTTGACCATTGAGCGAACGGTGTAAGTCTTCGTGGCTGACTCATGCATGTCTGCAGACTGCATGGTCGCATGCATGTGGTTCATGCCTCCTGCTGCCCAATCATTCGTAGGGTTCTAGAGTAAGAAATCAAGGCTACGCCGACGGCCAGCACCCAGGAGGGGGAAGATTAGTTCCGCCGTAAGCCGCAGCCTAGAACTTCTAAGGTTAGAGACGGGGGAGTTACCTGGTGTTGAACTCAATCCAGACGTAGTGTTCAGGAGTTTCTGACATATGTCCTCCGTTGGGATTCTTCCAAGAAAATTTCACCATAACCTCCACCAGCTAGGCGACGCTGGAAATCCGGTGTAGACATGTGGCTGATCTGATGACGTCGCTTGATGTCAGGTGTCTATCACCAGTATTAGATACCAATGGCATACAAATGCATGAAACCATCGCGGTAGGGAACCGAACACAGACGTCGGGGCGTGCTCAGCACCATGTAGGCCGACTTTTTCTCAACCAGTAGGGGCAGCAAAGCCCTCTCCTAAAAAACGGTGACCAGGAAAAGGTGAGCATTATCATCAAGTTCTCGAAACTGAGGGTTTCCGAGGAAGGTCGTCCCGCCGTCGTGTCCAGGAATCCACCTCTGGCCTCATGGCTACTGGGGAGGTCTGAGATTCACTCAAGTGTTGACAGACAGTAGCAACGAGCCAGGCGAGAAATACCAAGTTCGCGTTCTGTCTGATTTTATGATGCGAATCGTGACCGGCTTACCAGTCTCCAGAAGCACGTTGAGCAGCCAGACCCGTAGCGGGAAAACCATAAGCATCTTCATACCTAATCGCGGGAGCGGAAGTTCCCAGCGTGGACGGAAGACAGGAGAGAATCAGAGGAGCTCCATGATTCAGTCAAGCCTCGTCACGTTCGAGGACTTCATACTTTGGGCCAGTTAATAAAACCGGAGTGCCACGGCTGCCATCACACGAGGTCTCAGCACCATATGTAGATGGGGAAAAAGCCTGCAGCTCCAATGTCTCACACGCAGAACCTTCAACCAGCAGGTACAGAAGCACAGCCCGTAACACTGCGAGGGTAGATTCGGCTGGTCTTCAGAACTCCGCCATCTAGAAGACTCGAAGTGTACCAAAGGGAATACTCCCATCGCCTCGGACAAAGTCCCGTCTCGTACCTATCTAGTTGAGCTGTCGTACGAACGTTGTTCGAGGTAAGATTGGGCTAGCGACCGTTGTTGAGGTGGCACACACCGCTGCTGTCACTCAGGCTCGACAGACATAACCCAACGTGTGCCGCATGCCCGCCTGATTTCCGATTCGCTCGCTGGGCAGTACAGTACCGTGATTCATCAGCCCGGCCGGCTGCGGCCTCCCGGCTCGATGCTGCAGACGTCAAAACCGATGCGGTTTGGCGCAGTCACACATCTGCCATCCTCATCCAGATCCTCAGCCGTCTGCTTGCTTGCGATGTCCATGAAACGAGGGCGGCCCGGCAAGCAAACCGCGAGTACGGCGTCGGTGAAGAAGAACTGGAGCCCAGCCAGCGGGCTCAGACAGTTCGAGAACTGCGGTTCTCGGGGTCGGGTGTCAGGACTGGTTCTCGGACACTCTGTCCGGGTAGCGGCCATCACTGTCCTGCCAACCGTTCGGACGTTCCAGCGGTAGAACTAGCGCAAACGCAGCGGGCCTCTTCCATCGTAAATTTGACGTCTTGGCCAGTGGGGATGGCTGGAAGCTCGGTGATTCGGGTCGTGAGTGTCTCACGACGAGCCGTCGCTGTCCCACCAGGGCAGCAGGGTCCGAGTGGTCTGAGTGGACAGTTAATCGAATGGCAGGTTTGGGCTGTGGGTGCGAGCCAGGGGACCGATCGTATTTATAGGCAGATGCCCCTTGGGCTGCTTGTTGGTTGTCTCTAGCACGTAATAGCACGCCATCATTCAACGACTCGATAGGAGATCTCAGTTGCCGCCTCTGAATAGTCGACCGCCATGACCCGCTATATCGATACGGTCCCGACCCCTGCTCATGTCAAGCCGAAGAAGCTGATCGTTCTGAGCGCGCCCAGGTAAGCGTTGCTGGCCAGCATCGGGCTGTTCATTCAGAAACGCGAAGGAAGTGTGAGGTAACCAGCTGATATAGGACCGGCACCCATGGCCTCTATCTGGCCCTGCAGGAGCTTGGCTTCAAGCCGTATCATATGGTAGAGGCCATCATGGATGGGCCCTCGGCAATTCGGATCATGGAGGAGGGTATGGATGCCGAATTCTTCCACAGAGGAAAACGATGTAAGTGGGTGAGGCAACATCGAACTCATAGTAACATTTGCTGGTCATAAGGAGTCTCGGGGTGGATCAACTGCTGACGCGAACGCCAAGATGGGAGAGAAGAATTCGACAAGTGGTTTGCGGACTATGATGTGAGTCTCCAGCCTCATATCGTCCTTCTCACACAGCGGCTGACTCTCCACTACAAGATCATCATCGAGATGCCCTTCTTCATGCTGCACTCGGTGGTAAGGGCGTATCCAGAAGCCAAGTTTCTCCTCACGGAAAGAGACCCGGAAAAGTGGGCGAAATCTTTCGAGAATACAATCGGCCACTCGTGCCAAAGGATGGAGCAGCTTCCCATGTCCGTGTTCAAATACTTTGATAGCTTCGTCTCCAACATGTCTTCGTTCGGCAGGAAACAGTTGGGCTATTGCACAAACGGCTTCGGGTTGACCGAGGAGGGGCATCGACATCTTGTCGAGAACTACGAAGACTAGTACGTTGAAACACCTTCCGCGAAGTGCAAGGAGCTAATCATTGCAAATAGCATTGCCGAAGTAAAGCGAATCGTACCACCAGAGCAGTTGAAGGTCTGCAAGCTCGAGAACGGGTTCGGATGGAAGGATATCTGCCCGTATCTCGGTGTGACTACACCCGAGACAGATTGGCCTTCCTTGAACAAGCCGGAGGAATTCCACACCATCGCAGCCCCGAAGTTTAGGAATGCCTTCAACAAGGGATTGACTGGCATGATCTCCATCATGGTGCCTATTGTCGCCGCAGGAGTTTTGTACGCGAGAAGGGAAAGGTTGTCACTATTATCATGAATGCCGGGAGTGGGCACTGTTTGTTAGATGTCACTACATGAACGCACCACTGCGAGTTCAAGAGATATACTTTTCCGTCTTTTCGATATCAGGGTGGTACGCGGTGACTATACGTTGAGAGTCCTCAGAGGGTCAAACGAATATCAGGAGAGAGCGGTCGCACCTACTGTAGCATGGGACACAGTTGCTATAGTATTTCGAGTGGTCGACAACAGGTTGCCCCAGATGGCAACTCGAACGTTTCACGAACAAACATGATGTCGGACAGAAGCAATTCCGCTTGCCATGTGTGAAGCTTGGCATGGTAGTCTTCTCCCTCAAGAGTCTTTCACTCAAGCGGGCAGCATCTGTGGGATTCAATCTGTGGGACTCGTGCTGCCATATCGTCTATCTGCTGATGAGTGTGACTATGAGACGTATCTTTCGGTAAATGAGATCAATCTACCGCGCTTGCTTGAGTCTGATGGTCGATTGCAACTTGCATACACCGGAATCGCAGAGCCTGTACAGTGTGAGTGGGAGAGTAAGAATAAGACCGGAGAACACAAACCTGGGTAGCTGTAGGCCTGCTGCTGCTATCGTATCTCACCAAAGCGGCGATGAGTTCACGAAAGTCACTGTTGACATCTGGTAGTAGCTCTTCCCACTTTTGGCCCTCGAAGCTCTGGTACATGTCAAACGGCGGCGTCTTGAAGTTTGCCGCCTGTGGCCATGACTCTTTGGTTGGACTTCCAACGGTCTTGAAGATGCTCAAAATCAAACCAAGCTGATTGCCGTCCTCATGAGCTTGCCGAGACTCGAAGAGCGGTCGAGGATTCGTACGGCAGCATTCGGCAAGCATCGAGCCGGCTCCCCACATGTCGACGGCCGATCCGTAAGACTTGTCGCCGAATAGCACTTCAGGGGCACGATAGGAGCCGGTGCCTATGTCGAGAATTTTCCGATCTGTAGGCTCCGCCGAGGCCGACAACTCGGGATGCCAGGCTGTGCCAAAATCGGAGAGGTAGGCTGGCCCATCCGCTGACTCGAGCAGAACGGCGGATGGTTTCACGTCTCTGTGGATGATGCCTTCCTGATGTATAAATTGTAAGGCTTTGAACAGGTCGGTGAAGTGCCTCCGAACACGACCCTGGGGAATTGCTCCATGCTCCATCAGGCTCTCGAGGCTCATGGGCATGAACGGGAAGGCCAAAGTAAAGCGCTGCTCCTGGTCCCTGAAAGTTTCCAACAAAGGAACGCAAGGTTTCTTAAGAAATCCAAGTATCACAGCTTCTCGAGCGGGATTGTGCGGTTCCATGTTGCGAGTTTCTACAATGACCTTGAGCGCTGTTGTCTTGCACCGGTATACCTCGGCCGTGACTCCGCTGGCGACGTAGTGGCAGTTTCGATATGGCCCTATGGTGACGCCTGGTGACTCTGGTTCCTCGTCTACTGTCGGCTCTGGTTGCTGTACCTGAGGGGAGCCGTTTTGGTCCTGTGAGCGCGAGACGCGGCATGCTGCATTATATTGGTCCTACCACAAACAATGTCAACGCACATAGCCAGATCGATTCAGCGACACAGCCGGCGATCAGTTTCATCAGATTGAGTGACCTTCCAGTAGTACGATGAGAGCAGAAGGGCCGTTCAGTGTTGCAGACCAAGGGGTAAAGTGAGGAAAAAGGCTTACACGACAGGAGGAGGTTTTGTAAGCCTCATTCTCAATTGAGAAGGCATCTCTCTGGGTCAATGAACTTGTGACATGGAACTGCTCGAGTGCTGTCTTTCTACGGGACAACGTAAGCATGGTCCAATATGTCTTGTAGACGAAAGCTGTGTCTCTCGGCGAGAGACTGACATGGCTTGGATGTTGTCATAACGGTCCGACGATGTGAGCGAGGCTCTCCAATCGGCTGCCGAGGCCATGGCTGCAGTCTACTTTCACCACCACCAGCTGGAAACGAATGCCTTCCTCGGAGAATAAACGTGATCTCTAGAGCTGAAGTGACTGGGGGTGCTGACTTGGAAGGAAAACAGTAGGTAATTTCTGCAGGTTCATGCAAACGTCTGTGACAAAAGGTTGATGCTTGTAAGCTGGGGACAGATGGAACAGCCCGCCAACTGAGGCTTGAGCCACAACAGGAAACATTGCACCAGCTGGCCCCGCCAAGCCTGGCAGCTCACAGGGCGCTAATACAGGAGAGGCACAGCGCCGACAGGGCCGCCCGGGAAGAGGCTGGGCTGCCAGGTCCACGGCACTGGCAGCTGTCGGGTTTCGGCTGGAGCTGGCTGGAGCTGGCTGGAGATGGCTGGAGCTGGGACAAGACTGCAGGTGGAGACTGGAGCTGGGGAACTGGCAGACTGGGATGCGATTCTGAATGGATCCAATGGCTGGCTGGCTGGATTGGATGGATGGATGTGACCTGATCTCAACATCCACCCGACCAGCCGACCCAACCGCAAGAATAACATCACCATTTCTTAACCTACTTCCCATTTTCCCATCCTTCGCAGCTTCAGTATCTCGTGCATCTGTTATCGCAGCATCAAGCGCATGCGTTCAGCTCCGATGTACGAATAGCCGGCCTCGCGCATTCACCTGTCCTTCTTTCCTTATGCTCGTAGTTTTATGTCTCCATATCGCCCCTCCTCTGCAACTTCGCATTTTTGTTTATATGGTTGCGCTCATAACTAAGTCGCAATGGATGATCTGTCGAGGGCCGAATACCCGGCTATGCTGGTAAGCCAACCCAATACCTAGGTTACAGGTAGTCCAGTTGCTAATCCCAGCGCTTCCGGCAGGCAAACCTCCAACCAAACCAAGCCGTCAACGCCCTCAACGACCGTGTCAAGCGCATATCCAAAGTCAACAACGAGATCGCCGACTGGTTGCAGGTATGATGCGCAGACACGTCTCTTGCCATCTGGTCTTGTGTGTGGCCACGTAGAGCTGACCCGACGCCAGGAACGCCGCCGCGTCGAGGAACAATATGTCCAAGGGTTGAAGAGGTTGACCCAATTCCGGGTCCCTAACTCGCACACCGAGCTTGGGTGAGCTTGTTGACTCCCACAGACGGCTTCACCACAAGCTGACAGGTTGCTATCCAGCTCGTTTCAGCCGCAATGGGACAAGATTCTCCAGTCCGCCGACTCCGTCGCCATGTCGCACCACATCTTTGCCTCCAAGATCGAGAAGGACGTCGAGGCCCCCCTACGAACCTTTGGCCAAAGGAAAGAGATGCAGAACATGCAGACCATCCAAGCGAACCTCTCGAACATGGCCAAGGAGTTGGAGGACTCTCGGGAAAGGTCTGATAAACTCAGCAGAAAAGGTGGCAAGGCTAGCGCCCAGAAGGTCGACATGGCGGCTGAGAAGCTCGAGTCTGCCACGAGCCAGTGGGAGTCGCAAGCACCTTTTGTCTTCGAAACCCTCCAGGCGCTAGATGAGAGTCGGATGAACCAACTGCGTGATTGCTTGACGCAATATGGCACCTATGAAGGCGAACAGGCGCAACAACACCAAACCGATGCCGAGAGCGTGCTGAACAGTCTACTCGACTACAACACTTCGAACGAGGTTCAACATTTCGTCACAAGGACAACGGCCGGCCGACCAAAGGTTGAGAGGCGGGCAACTCCCGCGCGACAATCGTCAAGCATTGGAGGCACCAGCTCGTCTCTGGCACCGCCAAGCATCAACGTGCCCCCTTCCGAGGACGACCGTAGTGACCATTCGGGACCCAGAGACGGCCCGCCAGAGAACAAATTGCGCAGTCGCATTGGTACTATGCTTGGACGACGACGTCAGAGCATACACGGTGGCTTTGGCCAGCTTTCTCCCGCAAAGGGACCGTTCGGCAGAAGCACTAAGAGTAGCCATGGTCTATCACCCAGGGCGTCTTCGAGCAACCTCGGCGATTCGACAAATCGGCTAGGAGCCCTTACAGAAACCCCGGACATAGCTGAGGAGCCCTCTCGCATGTCGGAAGCTAACGAAAAGATGAGCCACGACGGCCCCAATGGTTTTGGCAGTGTTGGTGGTGATGGAGCCGCTGAGTTACTGCCTCCCAATACAGCGAATATGGCGACGTCGACCACGTCCCATCTCAATGGGACATCTGGCGACGTTGATATAGCAGATGTGCCACCCCCACCGGGGCCACCTCCATCTCAGAGAGAGCCCGAGAAGGATGCCGAAGGCTTCAGTGTGCCCGACTACTCTCACGATCCTATATCACAAGCTCAGCAGGAGGCTGCGGCGCAGGAGGCCGAACGCGCATTCAAGCTCAGCATTCAGAATGAGCCTGTAGCCGAAGAGGACCCAGAAGCGAAGCAAGCCGCCTTTTCGAATGTTGCCAAAAATCTTTCAGCTATGGGAACGCCAGCCCGAAGAGCAGGGACCGTCAGAGGCCGTAGAGATGTGCGGAACACTATTTATGTACCCAGTCCGGTCTCTGAAAACTCCATAAGCGAGAACCCCTATCACCCTGGCGCTCTGGCAACAATATACTCTAAACCCGCCGGTTTGCCAACTTTTGCTTCGGAATCCAGTGTTGCAGGAACTTCGGACACGCAATCTATACGGTCTGCCAACTCCCTCAATAGCATCGTGCAGCACGCGAAACATCCCGATATGCATGACCCAGGCCTCAATTCGTCCGTGATGGAGACCGTGTCAGCGACATTTGAGAACGGAGGAGTGACGAGCCTGAAAGTCAACGGCGAGGTTGCCTTTTCTTATAATCCTGACTCCACGAGTTCACCTTGTAAGTTCACTGCGCGCATACGCCAATAGCGCCAGATCCGAAAACTAACGTCTTGAACAGCACAAGTGCCCATCCGTATCAACAATTTTTCGGCCCTCGAATCCATTGGTCCTAACCGTATCTTTGTAACTCAGGACCCTGACCACACCGATCAGTTCACGTTGGATACGTCACATCTGCAAAAGACAAGCATTGGATTCTCATACAAGGTCCATGTCGATTCGGATACACCGCCAGTCGAACATGTCCCAATACTCATTACCTCTGCATGGAAGCCTCAAGGTGACAAACTGGGCTTAGTGCTCCAGTACAAGTTGAATCCAGCTTTCAAATTTGCGACGGCGGGGTTAACCCTTCAGTTCCACAACTTCGTCCTCTTCGTGACGTACGAAGGCAAAGCATCAGGCGCGCAAACCAAGCCCTCGGGCACGCATCTGAAGGACAAGCACCTCGTCTACTGGCGGCTGGGCGACATCACGCTATCTTCCGATGCGAACTGGCAGAAGATAGTGTGCCGGATAGTCGGCGAGCAAGGATCAGAACCCAAGGCTGGAACCGTCGAGGCACGATGGGAGTTCAGTCCGCCCTCCAACGCCGAGACCGCCGCCGGCGCGATCTCGGTCTTTAGGCTCGAGGAGAGTAAGGGCAAGGGGGCGGAACTCAGCGACGACGATCCTTTCGCCGATTCGGACGAGACTGTGGCGGAGGGGAGGTGGCTCGAGGTGCCCGTTGTGCGGAAGCTGATCAGTGGTAAATATGACGCCAAATAGCGAGAATGAATTAAGTCAACGATAGAGTGAAAGAGAAGGAAGGAAGTAAGGTACGCGTATCTAAGATAGTGGCGGCCGGAGGCGGTGACACGACAAGAGATGTGTATGTGCATTCATTGTTGTCAGATTAGCGAGTTCCTGAAAAGTCTAGCACCTTGAAGACATATCGTAAATAGTTCATTCATACCAGGTTTATATCCCCCGCATCCCCATAGCTCAGACTGTTACAGAAGAAGCCTATCATGTCACATTATATCAACTCAATGCAAGGGTCTTCATGTGAGAACATTGTCAGTAGCTTCCAGTAGCTTGAGAATCTACTTAGTCTGTCGTCCTAATGGTGTACAGTACAACCGAAATGCAAGTGAAAATTGCAAGAGCCATCCGGAACAATCCCATAGGGGCGGAATTCGACAGCCAGAACGCCCAACTGCTAAGGTATCATCATCATCATCGCATAGATGCAAGCAATGTCATACATCGTGTGTACACGAATGGCCCTCCATCTGTGTGTGTACAATCCACACGTACGCTATGCTACAGCAGCCATCCATCCACCATTACATCACATACAACATCGAACCATCCATCCGCAAATATCACCGGCTAGCACGCGTATGCTCCTCGTAGAACTCCAGCGTCAGCGCGGCCAGGAACCCGGGTATGCATCCCTTGTCGCGGACCCAGAACTGGATCTGGTCGGCGATGCGGCGGGCAAAGGGACTCTGGGGCCCGCCGCTGACCTTCATGGTGCCGCGCTCGCCGTCGAACACGATGCTGTTCTCGTGCTCGTCGTCGCTTGAACTAGGACAGAAGACGCTCTCGACGCGCATCTTGCCGTTCGGGATGAAGGTCACGGTCCAGCCCAGCGTGCTGAAGACGGCCTCCTTGAACTCGCGCGACTTGGACGCCCAGACCTGCTTGAGGCGCGTCGCGGACTTCTGCGCCGACGCCGTTTCCTTCTGCGCCTCCTCGATCTCGCGCCGCGCGGCTGCGAGCTGCGAGGCCGGTATCACGGCTATTTTTGGGTTACGGCGGGCTTCTTTCTGCAGCTGGACAAGGAGTTCTTGGTTTTCGACTTTCAGGGCTTGTAGGGTGGCCGTCTTGACTGCTTCAAAGTCTGACGTTGGGTTTGAGCGGAGCGATAGAACGCGTGTTTTGGACGCTGATTCGGCGGCCGCGAGGCGAGACTGGGCGACTTCGTGTTCCTTCTGCAATACTTGATGCGCCGTGTGTAGTTTTGAGAGTTCGTCAGCCAGCTTGCGTCGCTTTCGGTTGAGCTCGCCAAGTTGTTCGTTCTCCGACTCATCCGTGCGGGCTCGTTTCGAGCCTACTACTGGTTCTGCGGTTCCAATGGTAGACTCGCCGGCAGAGAGCTCCTTGTGCAGGCTCTGGACCTCCTCCTTATACTTGTCAACAAGCTGCTCGAGCTCGGAGATACGCTCGACCTTGTTCTTGTCGAATCGCTCCATGTCGAACGTCTCGTCCTCGACATCGAATGTCTTCAGTTGAGCGCGCAGGTACTCGACTTCCTTGATTGCCAATGCACGTTGCCTCTCTATCCGAGCTTGGGCTTTACTTGCCGAGATTGGAGCAGCAGTGGTCTTTTGTTTCTCCATCTGCGCAGCCATGCTTTTCTTCTCCGTCTCCAGAGACCTGATGATTTCGTCCCTTTCAGCGATCTGCGGCTGTACCTCGCCAAGCTGCTCCACGAGGGACGCCGAATGGTAGCGCTCTTGCACGAGCGCTCGTGCAACGGCCTCGGGGGTGTCAAGCTCCATGATGCCATCGTTTGCGCTGGCATCCTGCAAGTAGGCAGTCCATGCTAACCGCTCGTCCTCCAACCGCTGTCTTTGTAACCGAGCCTCGGCGAGTTTTGCCTCTAGACCTCGGGCAGCGTCCACCCTCCGCTGTAGGGATCGCTTCTCCTCCTCGACAACTTCGACGGCTCTGTGGATCTGGCGGAGGTGACTCAATTCGGCGTGTTGTTTCGAATTCCTAGACTCCAGCGACCTGATATGCTGTACCTGATCGGTCAGTTCGCGACGGATCACGGCGATGGTCTCAGCATCGCCTGTCTGAGCCTTTAGTCGCAGGACCTCGGCTTCCAGGTCACCAATGACCTTGTCTTTGTCGGACATCTGCTGCTGCGCTGTATGCAGCGACGATTCGCGGGATTGAGCGTCGTGTTCAAGCTCCTGAACGGTCTGTCGCAGATTCGAAAGCTGAACGTCCATATCATTGAACTTTTTCTGGTTCATGCGGTCGCCTTCTTCTTTCGCAGCGGACAGGTCCTCTAACTGTTCCTTGAGCAGTCGCGCCTCATCATCGGAGTCACGCGCTTTCTTTTCCAGGTCAAGCTTCTCCCTGGCAGCCGAGCCTTTCAGCTCGTGCAACTCGTTCTGGATGGCTTCATTCTGCCTCTGCGCCTTGCTCTTCTCGCCTTCGGCAGCCTGTTTTTGTTTGAAGTCGTCTTCGGCTTTCCGGCGCACGTCGCGGAGTTCGTTGTCGTGTTGAAGAGCCTGGAGTTCTTTTTCTTGCTCATAATTCTCGATCTTGTATCGCATGGTCGCAAGCTCGGCCTTGAGCTCCTCTATTCGTTTCCGCTGGGTCTCGTACTCCTCTGCGTCCGGCGGCGCGAAATTCTCCTTAGAACTCTCGCGCGACGCCGCACGCAGGGATTCGCCGCCGGCATGACTCTGCCGAGATAAGGGTCTGCCACGATGGGCGGTCGACGCATTTTCGCCGCCCGTGAGAAAATCGTAGCTCGGTTGGGTGGTGTGTGAGTGGGAGGCGCGAAACGAGGACACCTGCGACGTTGGGCGCATTAGCAAGTTCAGGTCCACGGGCAAAGGAGCGCCTATTCATTCACGTACCCGCGACTCCCTCAACGAGGTATGGGGACGCTGAAGCGCACTGCTCCCCGTGCTCTGCCGAAAATGACCAGACATGTATGCAGAGTGTCGCCTAGCCGTCCGTTACAGAAGGCTAAGTCCATGCGCCGGCGGAGGGAAGTTCCAGATAGCAGGCCGAGATGCGCCGGCAGACTGGACGACTGAATTGTTTAATTGTTTTTGTTGTTTGCGGTAGGCCTGGCGATCTGAGACCCGTGCCGTCCATCTGATTGGCACATTGGACCAAAGGTGGGGACAAAGAGCCAGCATCACGTGCCTCAAGCTCAAGCCGCCAGATACGGCCCTGGAGGTGCCTGGGAGCTTCCGTGCAGGTGTCTTTCATCACCAGTCATTGAGCAAAAAGCGATCTTTCATTTTATGACTTGACACTTCTGGCTCTCCGTACATGGAGGTAAGGTAAGAAATGGACGAAATCCCAGCGTCGACCTCGACGGGCTTATGGCGTCATCGTAGCAAAGTAAATAACCTTGAATCCCACTGTGTCAACACACGTGGACCGGAGTTCGTTGACATGGTTTCGCCGTTTCGGGCCGCTACCGTTAAACCCCTGCTGCCCGAACCATCTCACGTCAGTGCCTGCGTAGCCTGCCGCCGTTGACCCAAGCTCTCCATCCTAGCAACGTCTTTCCCCAGCAGCCCAGTTGCCCAGCTGCGTCAAGCTTCTACAAACCTCCCCACCAAGGAACTTCTTCGCGGCTTGTTCTTTGACTCAAACGCCTGATTTGTCGCACGAGGTGCTTCATTAGACCACATGGATTACTTTATACGGTAACAGCATTGCGGCTCCAACGGCCATCTATTTACACCTCTTCCAAGCAACGTATACCGCATTCCAGCCCATACGACGAGAGCTTCCCCGATCTGTCCCGACGCCTTCACGATGGTTCTCCGACCGACCTCCGCGACAATCCGCAGCTGTTCGGCTGTGAGGACGCATGCTATAGCCCCGCGGTTCTATAGCATAGCTTCCTTGCAAGGCGCAAGGCCGGGCTATGTGTGTTCGGCTCATCTACAAAGTCTCTCACCGCGAAGTCTGAATGCTTTCGGAATCTCGCCAACTGCCAGATCGCAAGCTCGAACATTCGCATCCGAACCCTCCAGAGATTCGAAATCCGAAGATCCGAAGACAGCTCATAATCAAGAGTCGGAGACCGATTCTGCTGCGACGGCCGCCTCTTCGAACGAGACCCGTTCGCAAAGACCCGGTGATTCGTCCTCGTCGACATCGACAGAACGCTCCGAATTCGACTGGGAGGAGGAGCCGAACTTCGATATCGAAAAGTTCACGGAGCTTCCTTACGCCAATTTTGGTGTGAATCAACACATGATCATCGATAGGGAGTTTAAAGAGGTCCTTCGCCAGCTGTTATGGAAGTTCAGGGCTCCTATCCGGTATGCCTTTGCCTACGGCTCTGGTGTCTTCCCACAATCGACCGGCGGTGGCATGGCCTCGGAAGCCGAGATCAAGGCTGTCCACTCCAAGGCCCCTGTGGCAGTACAGAAGGCCCAGGATGGGGCTCCCAAGATGATCGATTTCATCTTTGGTGTTTCACATACCCAGCATTGGCACTCGTTGAACCTGACACAGCATCGCGACCACTATTCCGCGCTTGGGTCGCTGGGATCAGGTGCTGTATCCCACGTACAAGACAAATGGGGGGCAGGGGTATACTTCAATCCCTATGTCACCGTCGAGGGTATCTTGATCAAATATGGCGTTGTGAATCTCGACACGTTGTGCCGCGATCTCAGCCAGTGGGATACACTATACCTGGCTGGACGATTGCAGAAGCCGGTCAAAATTTTGCGAGATGATCCAAAGGTTCGCCTCTCCAATCAGATCAACCTGTTGTCTGCACTGCGAACGGCCCTCCTACTGCTACCTCCAACTTTCTCCGAGCAGGAGCTTTATGCGACGATCGCTGGTATAAGCTACTTGGGCGACCCGCGCATGGCCTTCCCAACGGAGAACCCCAAGAAGGTCACAAACATCGTGAATCACAACATGCTGAACTTCCGCCGGCTTTATGCGCCATTGGTCGAGTCACTCCCCAATGTTGATTTCAAGGACCCGGCCTGCAAGAATCCCGACTGGATAACGAACACGGACTCGGTATTGAAGATTCAGCAGGACATGGACCCTATCAAACGGGGCAACATGGTGCGCCGTCTACCGAAAGCCTTCCGCTCAAAACTGTACTTTGAGTATCAGAAGAAGTTCCAGATTCCTCAGCTCGAGTTCAACAAGATGATGGATGAGAGCAAGAATGAAGACACCGGATCATTCAAGCGACAGCAAGGTGGTGGTTTCGAGCAGCGCATTGCACAGCAGCCGGCAGACGACCTCCGAAAGACTGTGCGCGATGTCATCAAGAATACCGTCAACTGGCCCAGCACAAGCCAAAGCCTCAAGAGCTTTGTTACCGCTGGCTTCAGTCGTGGCTTCCGTTACCTTGGCGAGAAGCTATCTAAGTATCGGCAGGGAAGCGACATCAAGAACAAGGAGAAGGGTTCATGAATTTGACATCCCTAATCAGCGTTCTCCTCTTGTGGGTGGCTTCGGCTGCATCTGCTCGACGTAGCCAAGAGCATGTACATATACGCATTGGCAAGATCACGGGCTACAAGCTCCACCAAAAGGCATCTGCCTCGCGCTCGCCACAATCTGTCGAGTTTCCTTATGTCAAGTTCTTACAGATGGAAAAGCATGGTGCATGGGTTGAGACAGCTTCGGGTTGGCTAGAGATATCATACTTCTTGCGTAGTGGCAGACGCAATCTGCCTCCTTCTGCTGTGTGCGCTCTGCTATTGGAGGCTCTCGTCTTGGGGCGTTGGATGACTCTTGAATAGAACATGCCACATGGGGCATTGGCGAAACGCCTTGTAGATATGAGCAATGCGAAATACGTCTTAGAGTTCTGCTGATAATGCAGTCCTCAAGTCGCTTAACAGCGATGATGTCTGAATTACAAGACATCATCAGAATTCTAACGTCTAATCCACATCTGATGAAACATCGTCGACTTCATCAAGGGACTTCGGTTTTCGCAGCCGTTGCCACTTCTCCTTTCCCTTGCCCATCTCCCTCGCCATCTTCTTCTCGGCATTATCCCGCAGCCACCTCTCCCGCACACCCCATCCACCCCTCCGCAAGGGCTGGCCAGCAACCAACGCATCCTCAACCGCAGCCGGCTGCAGCATCCGGCAATCGCCCACGCGATGATATGTCGAGCTGCACGGCATAGACGCTCTCACGCGCGCAAACAACCCTATAGGTCGTCACCTCCCAGTCGGTCCGGCAGCGAGCGCAGCTGCCGGCCTCCCACTCCGGGGTCATGGCGTAGACCCGCATCCGCGGGGCCCTGCCCACCGGCGTTCGCTTGTCGCTGAAGCTGACGATGTGGCGGGTGGGCAGGTCGGTGTGGTGGCACACGCGCGGCAGCTGCGCTTGGACTTTGTCGTGGCCCTCGTCATCGTATTCACCGTCCTTTTGGCGCACTTTTAGGTTTTGCACGCTGCGCACGTAGAGCTCGTTGTCGAGGACGCGCGCGGTCCAGGACTCGGTGCGTGGCTGGGCGGCGCTGTCGGGGGCGGGATACCAGTTGGTTTTGCGGTTGAGTGTACTTAGGCGCAAGCCGAACGCATTCCCGTTCCCCGTCCCGTCCTCGTGCTCGTGCGTTGAGTTCATGCGGCGCGCGAGCAGCACTGCGCGCGCGGCGTGCAGACTTATACTGTACGTCGGCGCGACGGCGATGCGCAGCGGCGTCTTCAACCCTGCGCCGCTGCCACCATCACTACCACACTGCGCACCGCCATTCGTGAGCCGTGCCAGCGGATGCAGACCCCGGCTGTAGAAGCAGAAGTACCGCCGCTCCGGGTCACCGCGCTCCAGCAGGTCGATCCAGTCGAGCGTCTGGGCGGCGGACAGGCGGAGCCAGGACCGCGGCAGGGCGGCGTGGAGGGCGCGGTTTGTTAGTGCTAGCGCGAGGCGCGAGGGCGGCGGGAGGTGGTCTGCGATGCTGAGGATGAGGTCGGTGGGGAGGGCTGTTAGGGGGAAGGGGGGCGGCTGGTGGGTTTGGGCGGCGCGGAGGCGCGGGATGTTGAGGGTGAAGGGGGGGAGGGCGAGTCGGGGATGGTGAGGCTGGGGGGTTGGGGTTGGTAATGGTGATGCGGGCATCTTGGTAAGTGGTTTAGTACGTCGAGTGATGTGATGATGTTATCTTCATTGTCGTTATGTGTCGTTGACGACAACACGGAGTCGTAATGAAGGATACATTGGATGATAGAGTGACTGTTGAAGTGCTAGGTAAACGGAGAAAGGGCAAACGGCCAAGGGAGGCGGGCCGGGTTGCGGCGCAACTGGTGACTTTTAGAGGTTAGAATTAATACTGCATTGCGCTTTTAAACGCAACGCTTAGCAAGGCAACAATGACATAGAAGAACACCCCATGAGCAGAACATATATGAGAACTTAACGAAGTATCTTCAATTAAACATCACGACCATTATATTTTACTAAATAATCTAGCAGCACCACTGGGTGTTGCCCCGTCTCCTTTTCAAGGGCTTGGCAACAAGCAAAGCATCCTTGAAAGAATCGAGACTGTGGCAGACTTGTCGGAAGAGGAGAAGTTAGTTATCCAGAATGGTAAATTGTAGCGGCTCCATCTACTGGGGGTTCTGGGGTCCGTACTTTCCATGCTACAAATGCGAGGATTGGTAAACTTTCGATAGGTATCCAGGATGGTAATGGTTAGCGGTTCCTATTAATATACATACCTAACGAGAAAGTTCCTATCGTGTAAAGTTTTACCTATCACCATTGCGGATAGTTGTAGATCGGAACTTTGCGTGTTTTCAACTGGCCCAAAAGGTCCCCGTCACGTGGAACTGCTAACCATTACCATCCTGGATACCTGCAGAAACCCCCAGCATATGGAGACGCTACGATTTATCATGCAGCTATCTATGCTTGCCATGCTAGGCATCGGCTCCCTCGCTTTCGCGGCCGGAGCAAAAGCGAAAGTCGATCGTGTCAGCATGTTGGTTGGTCCATGTTAGTGCTTACATGTAAGGGGCTGATAACGCTCGAGAGGTAATGCTTTAAAAGCATTCCATGTCCCCTTAATCGGCCTGAAAAGAAGACGTGCCCTCAAGTTTCTCCCGTGACCAACACTTCAAGAGAAAAAAGCACAATGAGAAGCACATACGGTGACTTTGAGCCTCCGACAGGCTGCATCACAGTTGACGTATCTAAGCTTGATCTTCGACCAGATGAGGACATCGTCAAAGAGCTCACGGGGAAGCCACACCCCGTGACTTCCGAGAAGAACTTATGTATGTCTGGAAGTGCTTCGAACGGCACTCTACACCTGAGTCTTGACCAATCTGCTGACACTAGCAGGGACACTGGCTTCGGCGACATGCCAGCTTACAATCAACGCAACCTAATCAACTGGTACCGTCGCTATGGTAAATCCGGCTGGCAAGTACGGCTTGTTGATGCAATCCCGGGCTCACCAAATAACGCCCGCAACTTCGTCACAGACGAAAACCTGCCAGCAGCATATCTCGAAAACACCCTTGACGGCGACTGGAAGCCCCAGTGGCAATCGGACCTCGTGCGCTTCCCTCTCCTGCTCCGTTACGGAGGCATATACGTGGACCCCTCGACGATCCTACTGCATAGTCTGGGCCAGGTATGGGACCTCGTCGCATCGCCACAGACACCATACGAGTTCTTCTGCATGCGCAACGGCGGCGACGACAGCGCCCAACTCACCAACTTCTTCTTCGGTTGTCGTGCTAATAACGCTCTGGTGCAACTCGCGCACAAGCTGTACCTACACCTCTGGGAGGGCGCAACCAATTCCGCAGGCATGCACAAGCACCCCCTCATCGCTTTCGCCGGTCTAATCAAGGTGTCGACGGGCATGCGCTTCCACGGGGTAAAGATGCCGCTCGACATGGACGAAGTCACCGACTACCTCACGCAGGGGATTGTCATTACCGCAATCTTGCACACCAAGGACGAGGAGGCGGGCTGGGATGGTCCCGAGTATTTCAGGGAGAAGTGCTTCACCCTGGATATGCTATCGGACGCCATGATTGTCGATCAATATACCGGATTTGATGGCGAGCGAGGCGCCAGGATGCTGGCGTTGCCTGTAGACGCGTCGGTCATCACTAATGAGGAAGAAATGGAGCTGCACAAGGAGACGGCGACACTCGTAACGGACATCGTTACGCGTGGCTTTTGCCTGAAACTCCCAACTGGCGCGATCAATAAGTATGTCGCTGGCGGCGCGTTGGCGCACTATTGGAAGCTGAGCAATGCCGCGGGCGATCATGTTGACGCAAAGCCGGGCACGTGGGCGGCGTACTTGAGGCATGCGAGCGTGTATTGGGATTAGGTTGCTGAGCTGAAGAGGTTGAAGACGCCGGAGGAGGTTACGGCATTGAAACATGGTTCGGTGTTGGAGTACTCGCCGGCAAAGTAGGATCGGGTCGCGCAACAGCTGGGTGTAGCTGGTACTTTGATGATCTGGATCTGACCTCGTATTCAGCTAATCAACAAGATGGCCGTGCCTCTCTTGTGGCAGTTCGTGTGCAAAGCTCGTGCTCTTGATGTCAAAAGTCCTGCTCTGTGCACATTAAACGACTATACCGACCTAAGTAGGTTCCGCCGAGGGTGCGGATAGGGGCTCGTGGAATTAGTGTGCCAAACACCTGTCTTGGAGTTGGAGAGAGAGACGAGGGAGGCCACGGCTCGTGTCAACTTGTACATCTGCGTTATATATCATGATTTTAATTATTACCAAGGCAGAAGTCTTTGAGTGCAAGGCCATATTGCGCGTTGCGGAGAATGCTCAGGGGCTTAGATTGAATATTCGAAAGTCCGGATTCCGCAACATATCTCGCTCCGCCACATCAAGGATTTTCGGCATTCACCTTTCACGAGACCATCTTTGGATCCATAGTCATTTCATGGGAGAATGTGACAGTGATGTGATTACCAAGTACCTATGGAGTGAAATTCAGCTGGCGGTATTGGGTTTCTAGACGTGTGCAGACCACGCTAAGCCTCTACGCCCAGCTTGGTATTCACCCTATTAGATTCGCCTTATGCGATGCGGCCCTCTAAACCACCTGGAAGGGCTCGTTATGAAGGGAACGTTCGGCGCAGCTTGGCTAACATAGTAAGCAAGGAGAGGCGCAAGCCACGAAGGACGAAGCGGCGATTCTCGCCCGATACCAGCGACTGTGAGCATCGTGTACAATAGCCCAGCGACCTTGGTGGTATATAACCGATGCTCGACGGCCCTGAGCCATGCCTTCTTGCATTCAGCATCATCTTTCTATTCGAATCCGTTTTCCGAGAACTCCATTTACCAGCCAACTAACACACGCACCAACAACTCCGACCCCCTTAGCCAGGTATTCACGACTGTCTGGACACACACCGTTCAGAAGCTCAAGCAATACATGATCTCCCAATATGTCCGGAGCACTAGAGATCCGAGAGGGAGAATCCGGCTTCGTGTTCTACCGTTACCATCCCTCCCTCGCAGCCGCTGCAGTTTTCGTTGCTCTGTTCGCCATCAATACTCTAGTCCATGCCTTCCAGCTGGCACGATACAGAACTTGGTATTTCATCCCGTTCGTCATTGGGGGGATCGTCGAAGCCATCGGCTATGGTGGACGGATCATGTCGAGCAATGAGACGCCGGACTGGTCTGGTGGGACTTACAGTGAGTGACTCCCTAATAGACGACATGATTTAATGTTTTTCGAGCTTTTCGACCGTAAGGGGGGGGACTTGTTACCCTCGTATCATGTCTCCGCCGATTCTCACTTCATCAGAAGCCACTCTGTATTTTCAGATATTATTCATCACACCTTATACGGAAACAGTTGCTGACTGAACTGTTGCAGTCCTCCAAACCGTCTTCATTCTTATCGGACCAGCTCTGATGGCAGCATCCATCTACATGATCCTTGGCCGACTGATCCGACTGGTGGGCGGCGAGCACCTTTCCTTCATCCCCGTAAATTGGATGTCGAAGATTTTCGTCACGATCGATGTCATCTCAATCCTGATGCAGATAGCCGGCGGAGCCATGCTCGCCACGGCAGACACGGAGTCTATGTACAACGCAGGAGAAGACATCATCATCAGCGCGCTTTTCATGCAGCTTGCTGCCTTCGGAGTCTTCGTCGCCGTCGCGGGGTTGTTCTATCGCCGCATCATCCAGCAGCCCACAGCCGCCTCACGGAGCGCCGAGTTCCCCTGGCAGCGCTACTTGTGGCTGCTCTTTGCCGGATCCGCGTTGATCCTGGTGCGGTCTATCTTTCGAGTTGCCGAGTACCTGTCGGGAAGTAGTGGCCTCCTCATGGCCAACGAAGTTTTCCTATATGTTTTCGACGCTCAGTTGATGGTGGCCGTGACTGTCCTATTCAATGTCTACCATCCCAGCCGAATCATATACACGCCCAGACGTAAAGTTCTCCAGGATGAATCAGAAGTCTCGTCGCATGTGGAGGTGCAACCGGTCTGACAGGGTGGTAGGGTGTTATAGAACGACAGATGGCACGTTCAGGTTGGCGGCCATCGAAGGGGCGGAGGAAGGGGATATGGTCAAGTTGAAATGAACTGGGGAAAGCACAGTCTGAAACTTGCGAGACCTGATGATGGCGACAGGCTTCGAAGGTTAGATGAGCTTAATCAATGGATGTCGTCCACTTTCAGCGAGTTTTGCCAGACGTCATGAGTGTGACACAATGAAAGGCACGAGAAGCATGTTCTAGCAATGAGATCGAGCAGCGCACTACCCTCGTCTCAGTCCGTCCCTCACGTGGTAAGCTGCAGAGTTCGAGTATGATAGAGTAGAATCCAGAAAGGACTGGGGAATGATCATGACGGCAGTGTTCTCTCAACTGATGTACAATCCTAAACGATCATGCCGAGTTCACATACAGAGCGCTTGCCTCCACCTCTCTGAGCCACAGCGGCCATGGCATAGCTCTTCCAGTCTCTTCTGCGCTCAGATAAGTCACGCTCTCACCGCCGGGAGCTTGCTGGGCTGGGCCAAAGTGGGCTTGAGATATGACATCCCGAGATGAAGTCGCGGTACGTCTGCTTCAGCAAACATCGTCTAGCGACATTGGGGGTGGCGGAACTCGCCAAAACGTGGTGAGGTCGGACTTTTACAAAAGGTGACAGACACCAGGACAAGCAACGGAACAGCTGTGCCGAATACTCAATGGCTACCCTGCTCAAAGCTTTGGTCGATATATAAGATGTGAGTGAATGTCGGAGAGGTGAGGTAGAAGACATGCACCAGCATTCGGCCGAGCCAGGAGATCAGACGGGACCAGCCGCGCAGTGCTCAAGCTCATGTGGGCGCGTACGTCACCAACCTCCTCTTCAAAACACCCACTGCAGCTCCACCAGCTATATTTATGGCATACCCGAGTCAATGCCGACCATCACAAAGCACGATGCACCAATCATGGCCGAGTCTGGCGTCACGCCCATCTATATGTCGCACATACTCCCCACTGCTGCGTCTCGGTCTCCTGCAGCCCCGAGACCTGGCACGGGACACAGTATGATCGACTCCTATAAGTACCTTCTCTCTTTCCCACTCTAGCATGCTAGCAGCACAACTTTGGAGCTCATCCTGTAACTTGATTCCATCCCAGGTTTCCGGAGCTGTTCATCGTAGGCAAGATGTCGTCAATCAAAGACTACGGCGTCTGGAAAGGCACGCCAACGAGCTACACCGCACAAACCCTCCAGCAAGACAAGACTCCTCACGTCACCCTCAAGTTCTCTGACGGCTCTGGCACAACAAGAGAAGCAGAGATCAACGTTGCCTCCACCAGCGACGACAAGGATCTCGTGTACTGGTTGCACCGTACATGGAACCATCCGATCACCAAGAGCCTGACCGCACTTCCAGAGGGCTTTCACCAGGTCACCAAGACCGATGGCGCGGGGACGAACCTCTCTCTTGACTACATTCGCACGAAGCCGGCATTGTTAGATTTGAGCCAAGGAAGGGTGCTGCCGAACAATGAAGCTGGGGCAAACAACGATATATTGGACCAGCTGAAGCCGATCCTCGATGATGCTATCGCGGCCAAGGCGGTAGTGTATTGCTTTGGGTCGAGCTATGAGACGGGAATCCATGATATACACATGAACCAGGGAAACGACGCCAGCTTCGGCAATGCGGTGGGCTCGGATGGTGAGTTGAGAAGCCCGTCAGACGTTTCGAAGTCTTGGGAGTGTTCGCGGCTGACATTGTTGCGTAACTGCAGGTGCCGTGATCTTTCACTACTCCGGCGATGCGACGACCGCTGCTCACTTCGAGGCGGTGTTCTTGGCATTTGCAGATCAGAAAGTGCCGACGAACGACCAGACTGGAGCGCCGGACAGCGGAGCGCAGCCGTTGGCGCAGGTTGCTAAGGGCACGGCTTCGACGACTACGAGCAGCTAGAGGCTGATCAGGACAGTCAACTTTACAGATGAAGTATTCTCAATTAGACATTAAGACTGTTGGAACAGGCTTGAACGATCAATTGTAATACTCGAGTATTGGGTCAAGGTCATGATGTTGCTGATCAGTTGGTTTGGGAGGTCTAGCTGGACTCGCAGGTCTGGCTAAGTGACCTCACAATCTGGTATCTAATCTCTTATCTAATTTGACTATGGAATCACATGGATCCAACAAATACCATTATATCTCACTTAGCAATCTAGCAGCACTTCAGACCGTCTACCACTGCTTCTTCGCATAGCTGGCCGCGCCGTCAATCAGCTTGTCAGTAAAGTCCTCTCCCTGGCCATTGCCGGACCCGCTCTCCTTGCCGCCACCCAGCATAGAGCCTATCATGCCACTGGCGCCGCCGCTGCCACCCTTGCTGGACTCCTCGCGACCACTAGACCCGTTCTCGTTGTCGTAGGAGGACGAGTTGGAGTTGGAGTTGCTGTCACCATACGAAGAGCGATCGTTGTCGTTGCTGTCGCTGTTGCTGTTGCCGAACGAGGAGGATCCTTCGTTGCTGTTTCCGTAAGACGAGCTCTCGTTGTCATTGCCGCTGCCGCTGCCGTAAGAGCCCTCGTTACTGCGATCCCTGGAGGAAGAGTCGTCGTTGCGGCTCCCGTACGAGTCGTCGTTCCCGCCTCGGCTGCTGCCGTAGCTGTCTTATCCCTCGTTGGACGAGCTGTTGTTTCCGTAGCTGTCTGTGACATTTGTTCAGTATGATGATTTTTTGCTTTTATGGGGTTGATTTAAGCTGCCGGCTTACCGTTGCCGCTAGACATGTTGGAGGAGTCGTTGTTGTCGTAGGAGCTCATCTTGAAGGGTTGAAGTGAAATTGGAGTTGTATGAGACAGTGTGCTTGGAGACGAGTGAGCGAAGCTGGGACTTCTTGAGTTACTGGAGGTGGGAGGCTTGGAGTTGGTGCTGGTGCTGGTGTTGATGAGCAGAGAAGATGGTATCGTGATTTAGGGGTTCAGCTCCCCCTTTGTAGACGTTACTCGGCCTTAAGGAACCCGGTGACGATGAAAGAGTTCATCCTGCTGGCGTACAGACACTTGTTGTTGTGGTCGACAATGCCGCGACAATGCCTTGAAACTACCGAAGACAGGGCTTGCTGCGAGGTGCCACCCCAAACGGGTGCGCGCGCATATCCACGAGGGACCTCCCACGCTGCCCCCTGCCCGCTGTACCAAAGCAGGTCTTAGGTCGGTTCCTGAAGCCATTCACACATGCACGGTGATTCCATGGCGCACAGAAGCTGTACCGATTCTTGGAAGCGGCCAAGGAAGTTGCTCCACGTTGCAACAAGACCTGGATTCGGGGTTACATCCAGCAAATCGCTGGGACGGCATGACGCAGGTGAGGTTGCATCAGTGGCTTGACAGGGGTCTATTGGGACACCAAGGCTCAAGCAGGCAATTTCGGTACTCTCACTCTTGGACACGCCAAGATGAGTGAACAGCGTCTCTGGAGATCCATGCAAATATCAAATGGCGACAATCCCAGGGCTGGAGAAGCCAGTAATCCATGCGACTTCCAGAAGAGTCCATCTGGTTCCACTCCAGGGTCTGCTGCAGCCGTGTCCGCGAACTCGTACCTCGTGCTTTAGGATCCGAGCGGTACATCCATCATCGGTCCTGGCATTAGACCGAAGGTCGGGCTGACGTCCAGAGCCGGAGTGATATGTTGCCCATCAGTGAGGATAGTCCAACTGGTAGAACAGTGGCTGACGCTTTGCTCTCTCTCCACTACCCTCGCTTGGGTTGTTGAGGATATTGAGTGTCGGTTCACGACGGGTTTTTCATGAAGCAAAATGTCCCCCACACTGGATTTTTTACAGTATCATATGCTTCCAATGGCGTTCGTTTTGGGCTTCCAATCAGTCGGTGCTGGGCTCTGACACCTCCTGCTTGCAAGAACGTTGCTTTCGGATATGACAAGCCATGGGAAGGCATGAGCCCATATTTTTTTTCGTCACGCCAAAACACGGTTGTCTAGCATGTCACGTGCAATCGGAACATGCTGATTCAGGGCGTTGAGAGTGGACAGTGGTCCAGGTAGACGCCAAGAGCGGTCTCACCCCCTACCTACGTAGCCTACACGAGACCGATAGGAATATCCAGGATGCCATCAGGTATGAAGAGTAGAATGACGGCGCAGACGGGGAAGCACCAACTACGGTCTCAGCTTTCTGGGGAGGACATGTCAATCTCTATGAGAAAGCCCAGCAGAAACGCATGAGGGACGGGGCATGCAAGATTGCCGTTCGCATGGCCAAAAGCAGACCAGCGAGAACGGCATCGACGCCTTGTTCTGCGACCGGCCCAATATCGATGAACAATACGTCGCTGAGGCTGGCTATCCGGTCAACTGGAGTTCTGTCGACCTAAACAATTATGATGGCATGCACATGGGTCTTTCACTTCAGCAGACTGCCTAGGGAGCATCACAGTTCCTAGGTTGGGCCAGTGTCATTTGAAGTCAGTGGAATGAGGAAGATGGAAGGAGGCCGGCGCGGACATTCAGAAATCTTGAGGCCAAGAATACCAGACGAGAAAGTAAGGGGTTAGTAGAGAGACAACTCACAGCCGCAATCCCGCTTGCATTTACCGGTAGGCAGATCCATATTGATGCACACCCGACCATGGTTCGAGGACGTCCTGCCCTTTCGAGATCCCTTCCGATCTGCATCACGCGATTCCATCTTCATTGCAACCTCATCTTGATCGTCGATGCGGGGGAAGCTCGGGAGTTGATCCTCGGGAGTTGATCATAACCGGGGTCACGTATAGGCAAGTGTATACATAATAAGGGGAACCGTAACGTTATACCCCTAATCCGCTGAAGTTCATCTGGTTTACATTCTGCATCCTGTACCTGCACATGATCTGTCCGTTTTCGAGCATGCGTTCCCTTGCGATCTTTGTCATTGCTTTTCTGCAGCTGGTGCTGGCAGACCCAGCACCGCCTGGACTGGCATATCTTTACACCGTCAATGTCACTCTCGGAGACGCCATCGATGTCGGTCTCGGTCCGAAGGGAACGCGGATCGTAATCCCGATCACAGGCGGAACGTTCTCGGGCCCGAAGCTGTCTGGTCAGTAACATGACATTCCACCCATTCCGGAATGAGCGAATCTAACCCGGCTCACAGGCAACGTTCTCAACGTGGGCGCCGACTGGGGCCTAGCAGATCGAAATGGGACCTTCAGCCCAGACTCGCGCTATCAGCTGCAGACGGACGACGGCGCGAATATCTTCATCCAGACCAATGGTCCCCTGCAGCCGGACAATACTACTCATCTACGCGTCACCTTTGAGACCGGAAATGCGGATTATTACTGGGTCAATAACGTGCTCGCCGTTGGGATATTGAGGAGCGGGACGGGCTATGTTGTGATTGATACGTGGCAGGTGAGTCAACACGAGTTCTTGGCAGTGATGGAATGATTGGGTACTGACGAAGGTAACATATAGCTCACTACCACTGCGTGAATTGCGGTAGGTGGATGAGGCTCGGCTTCGTGGGTTATGTCTCAATAAAAGGGGCAGCTGACTAGAAACAACGCATCTCATCGTGTCATGTACCGTACACCCTATCTGTGACCGGCTCAGTGGTGTTCCAAACCTGTTGCGACAATGAAGCGACTATTTCCTACACGTGGAGCACTAGACACGATGACAATCATCAAATATAACTTATATAAGCCACGTGATTGCTCATCTTTATCGTTTCACCTTGGCCGCGTGGCCGAGTATGGACATAGACTAGACACCAATCTCGGTACTCCATCTCTTTTTGGTCGTAGATCGTTTCATTTCTCATGTGAATCGTCAGTCACGTCCTAATTCGTGGAAACAGGCATCAGCTCTGAAGCCCCGCCCGGACCGCCCCCCAATTTTACAACCCAAACGCCATGCCCAAGTATCTCCAACTGTCAACGCCCACACGCTAATCAATTTACTCCAAGGGCATCTGTTAGCTTCTAGAGACTGGTCTTTGACTGATCAATGAGCACATCTAAAAAGCGTCACGATAGTTATTCAACACGTCAGCGACTTATCGTCAACCCAAGTCCTTCAAGGCGGGAAAGCCAAGTCATCGTCCCGAGGGTTTCAATGCGGCAGCCGGATGAAACATGATAAGTTCAGTTCCAAGCGCTTCGGGGTTTAGTCTTTTGCAATGCCTAGTCGAAGTTCCAACACGTCCTGTAGGTAAGCCATTGAACAGGCTAAGTGTTGGAGCCAGAATCTGGAACTTGATTTTCTGAATAAGGAGTGTGTCGTCTAAAACCAAGTCTAAAGCGTAACGAATGTGTAATACAAATACAAAGTGCTGATACAAACAAGCCACAAGGCACACCATGCTTGGCGCAGCTTGGGCTTCCATTCGACAGTGGCGGGTCATGCCTCGGGGAACAAGTTCCAGGCACTATACCATGTCCACCTCCCATGCCTCTCTAGTAGCAATGCCCAGCAACCATATAGGTCTTTCCATCTGCTGGATTCTTCCACGTATACGCGCCCTGGCAGTTCGTGCTGCCGGTTCCAACGCACTCCCAGTCAAATGTGCAACGATAAGTGTGCTCTGGGCACGATCGGGCCGCGAAGATGCTCCCCGCAGCCCTCTTGTCCCCGGCCTCTGTATTGGCCTGCAACTGCTCCTCGAACCATCCCTGCACCTTTTCCTTGTCGTCCGTGTTCAGACCCGAGACCTTGACCTTGTTGCCGACCTCCTTGAACTGCTCGTCCACGGGTAAGACCTTCTTGCCGCCGTCGACGACCTCGATGGCGTAGTAGTCCTCCACGCCATCTTTGGCCCAGTCGTGGACTGCGTCGTCGAGGCTGGAGCTAAGCTTGAGGGACGTTAGAGGCCACTCGCCACATGGTTGTTGCCCGGAGTAGGGAGTGGCATGTAAGGTAGTAATGCCTTACCTTGGTCATAGTTCCAGCTTCGTCTCGCTGTGGCATCCCAAGAGCGAATCCGGAGTTGAGGGCGGCGAGGCACGCGGCGAAGATAAAGGACTTCATCTTGACGAGGTAGAGTATGTGAGTTGTTTGGAGTAGACAATGTTGCTTTAGGTATGTGTGTGACTGTGAAGAGTAAGGCACTTTATATTGCTGAATGCCCGATAGATAGTTTTTCTTGAAGGACCAGATGGATGACCCCAAGGTCATACCGCCGCAACAACGGGGATGGGCCCGTGAGCGGGACTGACTGTACTTATCGTCTTGAGACCTCCACAACCCTGCAATACAGAGGCTCTGGGAGGCGTGGTTTGCACTACTGAGGAGCTACCCCCCACGTTAAATACAAAACAAACAAACATATGGACCCATACTCCAGCATGAGGAACCGCTAACAATTACCATCCTGGACACCTGTACATACCGGGGAGGCCTGTACCCCGGAACTCGGGAGAGGCTGCAGCACGAAAGAGCTGTGACGTCTTGAGGAGTCAGGACGTCAGTAGTAGTACATGTACGTACCACCATTGAATGTCAAACTGCCACGCTTGATATTCGGACATCCTTTCGGAAGGTGGGCTGGTCGGCAGGGTGGTCAATTGGCAAGCTGTCACAATATCGAGCATACCACATGGGTCAGGGTCCGAATGCTGGTTGAAGTGGCGTACTTTCTACACGTCGCATGTATATGCTGTCTTTCGAAAGGTGCCACTACTGGCTGGGGCACGCAAGTACCGTGGACATATTTACTGAGCGGCGGCTGCGGTCGTTGTCCAGGTTCGTGGGCGAACTTTCTACGTGCCAGGGGGTTGTGATGGTCTTAGGACGTCAGTACATGTACCATGGCCCACCCACTACTCGGCCACCCCCACCACTCGGACCGCAGCCATCACCAGAATCACTACATATGCACCTTTACGTCTACGTGTGGCTTTAGCTTGGTAAGATTTAGAAAATTTTCATATATCAAACAATGGTAGAGCTTTCTAACCGTCCTATCTGATCAATAATCCGAATATTGTGACATAGTTGTGTAATGTTGAACATGGCGGTTCATGGAGGCCTGATTTCCCATACAAAATGAACGAGCGCCAAGTGTTGAATACACGGTTGTTGATTGATTCTATTGATTGTGTTCTTGTTCTGCGTGCAGAGATTGATCATCTGTCTTCTTGGTGGGTCAGATGCCCTGTGCGTCTCTGCCCCACTGGAGATCTTCCGGTGTCTATCTCCGGCTCCCATTCAACACATTTGTGCTAGTATCTAACACCAAGATGAAATAACTTGGTTCAAGTGAGTCAGAAAATTACGTCAAAATATACGTTCGATTCGTCTCGTCGCGTTTCATATCATCACGTCTATGTGCCGATATCACGATATATAATCCTTATTAAAAATATACATAACGGTTTTCATATAGTAAGGCGCTATCGATTTGTATGGTACACGTACACTACTGACACGATATTTTTTATATAAAGGGATATCATATTAACTAAAAATTTAAAATTTAAAATCTCAAAAGTTTATAATAAAGTTTATATTCTTATAAATACATCAATCTTCAGTTATTTTAGAGCCAGTTATTATACCCTTTTTCTTATGATTGAAGTTAGGTGTAAATCTTGGATTTAGCGGTCCGAGTATTGGTGGTGGCCGAGTGGTGGGTGGGCCATGGTGTGACGGCCTGCACAGACCTTCCCACATGACAAGTGGATACTTCCCGATAGGGGAAGGATCTGACCAGAGGATCCCCTTAAAGGGGCAACCTCCCACTGTACCTATCTCTCTCTCTCTCTTCCTTTCCTCTCTAGTCTTGATATTCTTGTCAATAGAGTAATAGCTGCTTGCTGCCGGCCATGTCCCAGCTCCTCAGTACGCTCGCCATGATACATGGTACCACCATTAAATGTCAAGCTGTTACACTTGATATTTGCACATCTGTTTAGAAGGTTAGCCGGTTGGCACGGTAATTAATCGGTAAGTTATCACAAGAGCCCGTATACTAGGACTTCTCGATAATCACTACTTACTCTAAGCTAAGGATTGACTCTTTTTACCGGTGTTGAAGGTGGCAATGGTTAGCGGCTTTATATAACGAGGACCTTTTAAGTTTATACGGTGTTTATTGAAAGATATTGGTTTATAAGTTATAGAAAGAACTTTTCAAACTTTTTAAAACTTTATAAGATAGTTATTTTAAGTCCTTTACCTTTTAATATATCTTATTAACTATGACCATTTTAAATACGTATTTTTTGATTGCTAGTTTATACTAGCTTATTCAAAATTTATAGCGTAAAAAACCAGGTATATTAACATCTTTAAAAGGAAATAAAAGCTTAAAAAGGCTTATAAATTGATCTTTTTATATATATACAAATAAAACTACTAGTTATTATAACTAGCTTTTGATGTTTATAGCTAAGGCTTTTTACAGCTAATATATTATATAATAAACCTCCTTTTTTACCGTAAAAAAAGTTGAAAATTAAAAATTTATCTATTTATGAGAATCAGGGAGTAGTAGTATTGTGTGTATGCAGCTTGCTTGCGTTGTTATTTCATATTTACCTCGTATAACAGTTTTAAAGCTAAATACTGGTGCAGCGCGTTTATCTGGGGTAGTGACAGAGCTGTGGGGCAACTACCTCACCCACAGCGCACAGACCACCTTAGAACACTCTGAGCCACTACCACATCCAACATTATTCAAATATTAAAAATGACTATCTTTTTAATCGAAAAAGAATATTTAAATAAACGTTTATAAAATCTTTTTATAACTTTTTAAAAGATTTGCAGAAGCTTTTAATAGTTATTACGTAGCGTATATATATAATAAAAGCTTTTTATAACTACTTACCTTTTTATAAAAGCCTTGAAAGCTTTTTATAACTACTTACCTTTTTATAAAAGCCTTGAAAGCTTATTGGGTTATTATATATATATATAACGGTTTTATTAAAAGCTAGTCTTAAAGTGTTATTAGTTTATAAAAGCTAGCGCGGCTTCTTTATTCACCGATCGTTAAAAAGCTAGTTTTATATGTATATAAAGATCTAATAACAAAGGCTTTACTAGGCTTTATATTCAATATTATTATCGAAATTAACATAGCTTAATTTATTATATTACTAAGCAGGTTTTATATGTACGTAGATATTTTTCTATGCGATTTATTCGTGAAATTATAAAAGAAGAAGGTTTATTGAATTTTAATCTTTAATGCTTTTATTCAATAAAAATGACATTTATTAAACGTTTATTGTCTTTTAATTACGATTATTACTATACTAAAATCTTTATTTTAACGCTTTTTAACTTATATAATCATTAGAAATATTATAAGCCGTTAATGTATAGAGGTTTTTAACTCGTTTAGTATGAAGGTTAACGTACTTTTTACGAAGTTTTATACGTTTTATATGTTTTTGAAATTACATTTACGGCCAAGATTACTTTAATAGCGTAGCGCTTTGAATGTATTAAATTTCTCGCGTTATTATTATTATAATTATGAGAGTTTATATATGAAAGTATTGGTGGTTTGTTTGTTCGTGGTTTTGTAACTACCTATCACAGACAGATTTACACATAAGTACAGTTACAACGCGTCCAGCTAGCGTAGCGCTGATGTTAAATGAGAGCCGGAGATAGACAACGGAAGATCTCCAGTGGGGCAGAGACGCACAGGGCATCTGACCCACCAAGAAGACAGATAATCAATCTTTGCACACAGAGCAGAACAATCAATAGCATCAATCAACATCCGTATATTCAACAATTAAGAGTCTCATTAAATCCACACAACCAGCATCCATATTTTGAATACACATATCATGCAACCATTTCAAGATGAATATCACAGTTCCCACCCAGAACGCAACTGCATACTATCGGTCTCAAAAGGACTTTGTCAGCTGGGGACTCTAATTCCAGAAAAGGGCTGAAGCACTTGGCATCTGGCAACATATCGAGCCAGGGGTAACTACTCTATGGCCAACAGTACCAATGCCTCCGGATATCCCATCAGAAGAGTATTCAAAAAAGTCTACCAGAACTGCTCAAACAGCAGCAGAGGAGGGACGAGTCCTCGCTTCACACCTTACAACAGAGGGAGCAGCTGACTTCATGAATGTTGCCCTATTCAAGCACAAAGACAAGATCTATCAGCGAACCAAGACCTCCATATCCAAACTTACCAAGTAGACTCTCGAAACTGTTGATCCTACTATACAGGAGACCAAACTACTCCCTGAACGAAACCTCTGCCAGTGGTACCAAGAGCTCACAACTGAAGGAGCCATCTACAATAAGAATATCATGCACCAGGCCCAAGTCGATTACCGTGCCATTATATCAATAGTTAACAAGGGGGTACAGAAAAAGAAGAAAAAGGATTTTGTCAGCTGGATTAAAGAGTGGGAGTTGATTATGGCCAGGGCTATAAAAGCCAGGGTCCTTGAAGCTCTATCTCCAGCAACCTGGTTTAATGACTTCATAGTCGCTGTCGCCTTAATGAACTCCAATTAGTCTTCTCAAGCCAGGGCAAACAAGAAAGAAGGAGTGCTTAAAGGCAGTATTTTGTACTCTCAGATAGCCTCTGACCTCTACGTTAACTGGATAACAATGTGCGCCATTAACAATCCTTTGAAGGATGGAAAGCGGGTTTCCCAGCTCTTTATGGAAAACAGCCTAACAATATAGGAGACTCAACAGGAGACTCTATTAGAGACAAGAGAGAAAAGGAGCACCCTTAAGAATAATCAGACGCAAGAGGCAGAGGCCGCGGTGGAGGAAACAACAACCAGAGACAGCAAAAGGGCTCAAGAGGTGGATCAAGAGGAGGTTTCATAGGAGGAAGTCAGGGAGTTTCTGGCAAAAAGGGTCGAGATGATGAAGAAGCTTCCTCAACCACTCAAGCATATAAAGGATGCCATTGTAAAGGGCACCACTTCACAGAGTGCTTTTACCTCTTCTCAAACATATGCCCAATTCTTTGAAACTTATGTGACGGCCTGCACAGACCTTCCCACATGACAAGTGGATACTTCCTAATAGGGGAAGGATCTGACCAGAGGATCCCCTTTAAGGGGCAACCTCCCACTGTACCTATCTCTCTCTCTCTTCCTTTCCTCTCTAGTCTTGATATTCTCGTCAATAGAGTAATAGCTGCTTGCTGCCGGCCATGTCCCAGCTCCTCAGTACGCTCGCCGTGACAACTTATGGTTTCCAAAGAGAATGTCATTCTTTCCTTTATTTTTGACCTGGATGCGTGAGCATTTCTATCCCAGCACATTTATGTAGAAGATATGGCGAATCAATTGTTGGCGGCACGTGGTGCTGTACGCGTTGGAATGAACTGGACGCAGAACTTCATTAAACGCACATCAGGCCTCAGGACGCGTTTTTATTGGAGGATGGATTACCAAAGGGTCTTAAACAAAGATCCAGACACATATCATGCGTGATTTTGCCAAGTTGCAGCGGCAATCACGAAACATGGTATCCAAGACGCGGACATTTACAACTTTGACGAGAGTGGGTTTATGATGGGTATTATTGGGTCTGGTATAGCCGTTACAAGCACCAAAAGAAGTGATAGAGCTAAACAAGCTCAGCAAGGTAACAGAGAATTGTCAAATATAAGCACTGACTTGATGTCAGTGTCAATCCTTTTTGCCTAGCGGCTGCATCTGACAGTTAAGAGTCTCACTTGTTTCTAAGCATTTAGCATACATACATCACGAATACGGAGTCATCTAACAACCCCTTGTTCTAATCATAAATATCACGGTCCCTGTACAAAACGCCACGGCGTATTACTGCTCTCGTAAGGACTTCATCACCTGGGTCTTCAGTTCAGAAAAAGAGCTGAAGTTCAGGGTATTTGGATATACATAGACCCGAAATCGACTAAACCCTGGCCTGAAGCTCCTAGTCCCCCTGATATCAAATCCAAGGACTATGCAAAGAGGGTTACTCGGAGCGCCACTCAAGGATAACCTATCCAACGATACAACGCCTCTCAACTCACTAGTGACAGAGCCAACCTTTTCAAAGCAGATATCACACAGTTCGAATACGAAGACAAGGTCTATCAGCGCTTCAAGAGCTCGGCGGAAAAGCTCACCCAATGGGTGCTCGAGACCGTAGATCAGACCACCCAATAAACAAAGCTTCCCCATGAGGCAAACCTCCGCGATTGGTACAAGGCCTTCTCTAATGAGGGCGCTATATATAGCAAGCATATTATGCACGAGGCTCAAGGAGAGTACTGAGCTATTATCTCCATAATTGATAACAAGTTACAGAAAAAGAAAGAAAAGGACTTCATATCATGGATCAATGACTGGGAGAAGGTAATAGTTAAAACGATCAGAGCCGAGGTCCCTGAAGCCATATCTCCAGCTACCTAGTGTAATGATTTTATCAGGGCTGCCTCCTCACTTAATGCCAACTGGTCCTCTCAAGCCAGAGTTACCAAGAAGACGGGTATGCTAGGAGGCACCATCAGTTATTCAGAGATCGCTTCAGACCTCCAGAAAGACTGGCTCACCACACACAGCGATGTAAACCCGACAAAGGGCTGAAAAGCAAGGTCGCCCTCAAATCCTTCAACGGGGCCAAGGTACAGGGCAGAGAGCTCTCTGATTCCGAGTCGGAATCGAGTCAGCCGCGTGCAAACGAAATCCACAAGATCGACTTCGAGGTGACGGTCTCGTCGGGTGCCGCGTCTCCCAGTAAGCATGGCAGGCATCAGAGCACGACCGGTTTCGAGAGACTTGACGATGAGATCACGTTGACCCAGCATGCAGGTCACCCTCTCCCGACAGATTAGTACTGATTCGGAGGAGTATCACTGGATGGGCATCGGGTTTACCTCTGCTCAGATCTACCGGAGTACAGCACGGTACACATAGTCAGGTATACCCTATATAATTGTAACAAAGGTCTAGCGCTTCGAATTTTGAATGACATAGGCCTTCCTATACCATAATCACACTTTGTATGCGTCAAACCATTGAATCATATATCCGCCACTTCGCTATTGGGTCCAATCCTTCTTACAGTTCGCCGCCATTGGCTGTATCTTCGCAGCGTCGTCCAAAACGAGGCCCTTCACTCGTCTTGACATGCAAATTCCCTTCTGTAGTCCCTTATCGACGGGCTCGCTTCGTTCATTCCAAAAGGGAATTGCCGGAACCGCGTACCCGTGCAACATGCTCAAGAGAACCCCCACCGCGGCTTAACAGCTATGTCTTCGACATCTTCCAGCGAGGCACAGATTGCAGAGTCCAGAGTTTCTGCGGACAGGGGTCCGCAACAAGTACTAGAGACAGCAAGGCGGCGTCTGCTCAGAATATTTGGGAAATCCTTTCGTATGTCTGCTGTTCGGGCTCGATTTCTTTCATTATTAAGCTCTTCGACCGCAGGGGAAAACGCGAAACGTAGATGTCCTAGATTAGCATACAAAAAAAAAGAGCGAAGCTTCCATGCTGTACGCAAAGTCGAATATAATACAACGCCACATATTATCTTCATCTAAGCCTCCTCGAGACACCTTGTTCTCTCCTTCATCCTCCCCCATAAACCCAACTCAACGAAATATCGCCAAAACCCGCCGAATGTTGTACCACACCGTGTCCCACACCACGGCCCAGGAGCAGGACAAGTACGTTGTCATCCTCCAGAAGGTTCTCGAAACTCCAGAAGGGGGGTCATCCTGTAGTGGTGGATCGCCGGAGTGTGAATGCGTGTACGCTTCCTTTATTCCGTCGAGCTCCTCATGATCAGCTTCGCCTTTCAGGTCTGCTTTGATCCATTCGGCAAAACGACGAAGCTTTGGGCTCACAACCTCTACGAGACCGTCAGGTCCATCGGTGCAGCTTTGGGAGCGCAGTAGCTCTGACAGCTGGGCTAAATGTTGACCCCATACCGGTGTGTTGAAGTCGGCGTGCTGCAAAAGAACATGCATCTCGGAGCCCACAAGACTGGAGAAGCTTGGTATCAAGCAGATCTGAAGACTGTCGATCTTGTCGGTATTGAATGTCTGGAGTGTTGACAAAGAGCTGTAGGTCAGCTCGTCCCAATTCTTGGGGCAGGGAGGAGTATCATATCCTTCGCCCTGGAGATGGGGTGGCGGAAGAGGTGGCATATTGAGGGTCTCGGCGGAATACAGAATGATGAAAGGGAGCAGTGCATCATCGATAGGGTCGCCGGTTGGGGGGATTTCATAGATTGGCACAGAGAGTCGCGTTCTGCGTCGGTCGCCAAAGCGAAATAATGGGGCGAGTTTTCGCCAGTCTTGGAACTCTGTAGGGCGCGCTAGGTTGTCGTCTTCCGGCACAGATGGCAGTAAAGCCTGCGATGTGAGAAGATGGAATGCTCGTTCTTGATCGCCTCCATTGATAATGAGCTCGATATCCTGGCACATGCTGGTAAGTAGCTAGCCGGTAAAGATGACGTCGAGAAGTGCATACCAAAGGGCAGAGTCCTCCGCCATAATGCTTTGCTGCACTGACTCCCCACATGGCCGAAGGGATTCCCGCTTGGCCCAGCGACTTCATGACATTAGCAACATCCTCCGGGTTGGCATCTCGAATCGAAGCAACTTCACTCTGGGCTTGCTCCATGGTAGCGGCTCACAGCTTCAGAGGGAAGAAGCTTCGCAGCTCCAAGGTCAAACAAACCCGGCCTGGTCGTGACCTGGATGTGTCGGCGATCGGCGATCGGCGTGGGGCACCGGATTCCAGCCTCCAGGTGCAGCCAGCACTGCGCCCATAAAACGCGGAACTCACACGCGCAGTTCACAGCCTGTTGGTGAACGTGTACAGTCTGACAGTATGCCGCCGGGTAGGCTCTCACAGCCTCAGGAGCCAGGAGCCGGGGTCAAGGTTTCAGCTACCGCAGCTAGACAGCAGGCCAAGGCTTTTCGCTTTTCGCTTTTCGGCCAGGTCGGTTGATCCAGACGCGCGGCAATCTGACCAATGGTGAGCCGTCGCAAGGCCTGTACGTTTCCACCAATCAATGTTGTCAATGCAACTCTAGTCTCTAGGGCAGCATTTTCTACCTTTCACTGTTCAGCTTTCGAGAATGGCCAGGATCGTACCCATCTTCTCTTCCTAGCTCTCTCATCATGCATGGCGTCGAATTATCCTGGCCTCATTCAGATGTAGGCTTGTGGCTCCTCAACCCATTTTCCAGCCACAATGACGGATGGGTCACGGGCCAGGGTACAAGGTACCTTGGAGCCCAACTGGTACCCGTTTGTACCAGATTCGTACCCAACTGGGATGATAGCTACTTCTGGGATGGGGACACCACCCATCCCTTCTTTCAATCAAGCAACTTCCAGAATACAGACCAATAGCCACCATTCGTGACCCTGGTCCTTATTCTGGATACCGCTACCACAAGGCACAGGATGTCGATGTATGGGCCCATATGCAGGTATCGCGACGCCGGCGGGGGGCAGGGCTTGGCAGGGTCCGGTATGCATGTAGGCAGTGCTGGCGATAACAGCCGGGTGCCAAGTATTACGAGATGGCGGCCTGCAGATGGCGGCACGTCACATTACTTACGTGGGGTCACTCCCTTCGCATGTTGCGTATCATACATTTAAGAAGGCAAGAGCCGTCATCGTTGAGGCTCGGCTCAAGGTTTCAGACACCATCGTCGATAGACATCCAGTATCCCCCCGTCGAATTCTCTATTATTCCTAAAAGGCAGTCCATTTTACTGTATTGACCAGCAGTCTCCACGGTTATGCAGAGAACATCTCAAAGCAGTCTCGAGATTGAGCATATGATCTTCCTTGGGAGTGAGATTTCAAGACATTAACAGTGTCACAGCGAGGACCAGGGAAGGGTTCAAGGGGCTGACTTCTTGGCTCAGTGCGAAAACAACTGCTGGGCTGACAGGTAAGCCGGGCTTCAAGTCCCTGATCGGTACTTGATTACTCACCACCTGGCCCCCTACAGCCGTACTCCCCTCACCCTCTCAGAGAGACTTGTACTACTGTGCCATGTACCTACATACACAACTCAAGGCTCGCAAGGTCGACTACTACTTCTGTGGTGGATTCGCGTGCATCAATGTCGGCATGACGGCTCGCACCACGTCTGGCATCGACATTGCTGTGCCAAATGGCTCGCACGGGTACGGAACCCTACTCGATATATTCTCACGGCCCCCCTTCATCCAAGACAAGACCGGTGTCCTGCCGCCGGATTCGTACTACTTCTACGTCGAGTCGAGCGGGAACTTTGTCGAAGTCGACGGTGTCATTGCCGGATTCATGGCCTTCCCGGAGTTCGACCCCTCGAAGGTCATACAAGTGGGCAAGCAGATGCAACTCAACTTCCTCGAGCCGGCAGGCCTTCTCAGGTTGAAGTTAAGCAGCTGGGCAAACGAGACACGCCGCAACGGACCCAAGCGAGGGGGTGATATGTCCGATATCACGTCGATCCGCGATCTGCTGGCTAGTAACGGCATGGCGATGGATCTAGTGGGCTTACGCAGTGACATGGCTAAGGGCCTTCGGGAATGGGTCCACGAGTTCAAGGACTTAAAGAACTGGCAGAGACTGGATAGGCATTACAAGGGCTAGATATAGCGCCTGGATTTCGTTGAGGTCATGTTCTAGTCACGTTGTAGTCATGTTCTGTGCATAATGATATTTGGGGTTGATTTTGGTTGGTGAACACGTATTTTGAGATGGACGGTGGTATATTCTCTTGTCAATCACACTATACCTCGCCATTGTTCTTGTCTACTTCTATTCATCCAGTATGTAGCTTCATCGTTTTACCGACCGGGCCTTTCCCAGATCAAATTGCAAATATGGTCTTGCGCTGTGTTGCAACAGGTCGTGGTGTACATGTATTCGGTCATTGGTTGGTTGGAAGCTTACCTATTTACCTTTTCTGGTTAGTGGGCATTTAGCCCGATAATGGCCCACTTTTAGCCGTCCTGCTTTCATCTGTCTTGTCTTCACTTCAGGCAACCTTACTTCTTACTCTCAATTCTCATCCGAACGCATCGTATCATGGCATTCTTCTCTCGCCTTCGCACACAATTTCTTTCATGGTCGCAAGAGACACCTCTGCCTACTATTCTGGTTGATGCGACACCAGTTTTTCAATCATGGCGCGAATTCGATTCATCCAATAATGCGTGGAAGAGTGTCAACACGACGTCTACCCGCCAAACAGAATCGCATCAGGTGCCACCAAAATCAGAGCTTCACATTGTGACGTGGAATGTCGATGCCACTCCACCTCTACCCGAATCGCGCATGTCGGCAGTCGTATCTCATATCGACAGCCTCACACCGGCAGTTGGTATTGTTTTCCTACAGGAAGTCTCACGAGCCGCCCTAGATTTTCTGTTGAATGATACTCGGATACGAGAAGCATGGTTCGTGAGCGATTCGGACAAGACAAACTGGGAAGGACAGTCATTCGCGAGCATGACGCTGCTATCAAAGTCGAGATTCGGGTGTAACAACTCCGATAAATTTCAACTTGGCGGTGTGTGGAGAGTCAAGTACCTAAGCCGCTTTGGAAGAGATGCCCTTTGTTGCGACGTCTTTGTTCCTTTACCAGAGTCCGCCAGCGGAGCCAGTCAGGCTCGCGTCAGGCTCATCAACGTACACCTGGATTCCCTTCCGATACAGCCCACCCGACGACCGCGTCAAATTGCCATTGTCGCCTCTCTGCTCCGAAGTGCAGGCCATGGCGTGGTCGCAGGCGACTTCAACCCTGTACTCCCGGGAGACGACAGTTTGATCCGGGATAATGACCTTGTGGATGTATGGGCTGAACTGCGAGGCAACGAGCCAGGTTTCACTTGGGGTATTGACGGCAACGAACCTTTCCCGCCGAATCGCATGGATAAGGTTGCTATGCTTGGACTCCGTGCACTGGAAATAGAGGTCATGCACCCGGAGATGGTTAAGCCTCCTCAGGACGTGGGGGAGGGCGTGCCCTGGAGCGATCACTCGGGTCTGAGATGTTCATTTGCACTGGTCGGTCACTGATTCATTGTATTCAGATTCCCCATTGGAAAACCCTTACGACTCTTTCTTTTGCGTCTTAGTTGTGATGTGATTGTTCCTCCCTTTCGAAGTCACGACAATGCGTTGTCCAACGCTGGTAGAAGAGATGTCACAAAGGGTTTATCCGTCAATAACACAACACAAGCATCTCAAAGCCCTTTTGTCGACGCGGGGGATCAAAGGCATTGCAATATATTAATCCCTCCAGGACTGGCCTGGCCCAAACAGATTCAGTTCACAGCATCTCACACCAAATCAAACTGTAGTCAAGTTCTGTTCGACTGTTCGTGTACGAAAGCACTGTTCCGATTAGCATCGGGCAGACTGACCAACAGCAGCCCTCGTGAATACCTAGGTAAAGTCCCTCATTTCGTGCTGAAGGCTGACCTTTACACGAGGATTACCAAACATCAGTAAAGGATCATGGCACCCCAGAGAGACACCCAGCACAGGGCCCTCGCTCTGAGAACCAGCCCTACCATCAGCTCAGGCATCACCAAGCCCAAGGCGCACGCAATCCCGAAGCCATCCCGGGGCGCGGTGGCCCTCTACGCGCTCCTTGACGCCGTCATGGGCGCGTCCGACCTTCCGAGCAGCGGGAAGGACATCAAGCGCAAGAGCGGCGCCGACGACGACGTCATCCGTGGTGCCAAGGTAGGTCCCACCACAGCTGACAGTCCCAAGCGCAGACGCGCCTCAGACGACGACGAGCCCAAGGTCAAGCACAAACACCTCCCACCCCGCCACCGCCACGACTCCCGCCCCTACCCATCCCACATGTACGCCCCCGCGCCCCTCCCCGCCGTCCCCGCGGCCCTCCTCGCCCAGCCCTTCGGCCACGTCGTGGACGCTTACCCGCAGCTCGCGTGCACCATCGACCGGCACCAGCGCAGCGTGCGGGCGGACATCTTCGGGTTCTGGCCTTACCAATCTCGACGCACTTCCTCTTCCTCCAAATCGCCCCCAAGCCCAAGCCCAATCCAATCCGAAGAAGTCCCAGCTCTCCACCCACGCGTGCGCGCCCAGACCTTCGATCAGGCACTACAGCGCGCACCGCTGCTCAGCCGCCTGATCGAGCGGTACCAGACCGATCTTGGGAGGGAGTACTTCGGGTTCTGGGCCACGGACCCGCGGGACGCCGACCCGACGATCGGGAAGCGGGAGGTGGAGTGCATGGCGCCGCCGTTTAAGCCGGCTGCCCCTGAGCATGTCGAGTGGGCACGGAGCCGGACGGGGAAGCCTTACTCGCGGCCTCTTTCGACGCGCACCAGGGCTTCGAGGTGGTAAGTTGGTAAGGGGGCAAGGTGTTCTGGCTACTGGGATACTTGAGCGAGGTCTAGGTAAGTTCGTCATTGTCTTCTATGATTTGAGAATTGATACATCTGAGGGTGTTGGAACGGGTAGGTAGGCCAGATGTGCTCGCTGCTGAGCAATTCTTTGTTTCTGCGTTTCTTGTTAGAATCAGTAAGTCATATGACACAGGAGCAAATACTCAGTTACACTGCCATACTAAAGAAAATTCATGCGTGACTTCGCTTCTCGTTGTGCCGGTGGTCGTGATCTTTCAGGTAATAACTAGCACGAATGAGAAAAGGAAATTTTGGCGAGGCCACACGGCACACCAGTTCGTGGCATCCGCACCAATTGATAGAGGGCCTCAAATCGTGAATCGGTATGTCCATTTTCTACGCAGTTTCCTGAATATGTACGATGGTTCAGCAAGACCATATCAACCCCTAGAACTACCACTCGGTCTAAAACCCTAAGCACCCCTTCTGGCTTGCGTATCTGCACCAAGATAGTCTATCGGGTTTCGACAGAGCGGACAAGTATTCTGACTGCTGCTCTGGAACCACTTGTACAGGCAGGTACGATGGAAGAGGTTCTTGCACGTCTGGCAGCGCTTGTCTGGCATCTTCTTGTCGCTGCTGATGATGCTGTAGCAAATAGCACATTCCGACTGGCCCTTCATGGCGCCGACCACATTTCGTCGGAACGCTGTCAGACCGTCGATGATGCTTCCACCCTATATCCATATCTGTCAGTATTCAATTCCGGTGGTTAGGTAGACGGGAAGCTTACGGAGAATGTGATGACGCCCTGGGTGGACATGATCCAGCTCTGCCATTTCTTCTCGTTCACCGCGACACGGTTGACGCCAACAACAGTAACACCCTGAAGCGGGTATTCTTGCGGTATACGGATTGCGATCGACGCGTGCAGCTCGTCCACTTCGTAGCCGGCAGTAACCTCTCTTGCCGCACGACTGACCTTGACGATAAGCTCTTTCTCGTCATCCGCAGGTGCCTCTTGGTTGTCGGTCCACTTCACAACATCATCCAGAGCCTCTGATATTATGATCGGGGAGAAGTACTTGGCCATCCATCCCTCCACGGCGATCTTGGTTTGCTTCGATCGACACTCGATGTACCACGATTTGAAAAGACCCGGCAAGTACTTGAGAACAAGGTAGAACAGGTGAATGAGGATCCACTGCATGTTTCTTTCTTCGGTCTCCGCTTCGGCGAGTTTCAAGTCGTATGCACGAATGTTCTCTGATGTAAAGCCGGCTCTCTCCAGATTCAGTCCACGAGCTGCCGAATGACCCAGTACGTCAAAGGTGAAATCCATGAGGGGGGCAATGTAGTTGGCACTCTTGAGATTTTCGGCATAATCGCCGCGCACCTTGAAAGAAGCAAAGCTAAAAGAGTCAAAGACCAGATGCCACGACAAGAGGTAAGACCGGATAGGAGTTGGGAACCGGGCTAATACATCATCGGGATAGGCATCCAGGGTTGGCGCGTCAAGGAGTAGAGACAGGAGTTCATCGGGCAGTCGCGCGGTGTTCTTCTCCAGCAGCACGTCGACTGAGAGCTGCTCTTGTGCAGCTGGGAGTGCCTTGTGGAGTACTGTGAAAGCCGCTGTCTGAATTGTCCGATACTCACTCGCAGCAACCGCGTACAGCTCGGAAGGATCCTTGACATGATGCAGTGGTAGCTTGTCAATCTGCCGACGTATGAATGAGTCGACAATCTCAAGAGGCTGTGTGTCTCTTTCTCTGGGGAGTTTCAGTAACTCGATCAATGCAGCTGATCTCCTTTCTGCCGAAGATTGCAATACATCCACCAGGTCATCATTGGGATCCTCCAAGGACTGAAGAATGGACAATATTCGCAGAGATGCATGTATCTCTGGTAGTCGGCAATCCAGTGACTGGGCCATCTGCTTCGTCCAGAGGTAGATGCAGAAGTCCACAGTCCGTTCCCAGTAAGACCCGTACACGTCTTTCACACATGGTAGGAGACGTTGCAAGCTGCGACAGGCCTCCGCCGCGAAACGATAATCGAGCTCTTCAGGTGACTCAAGCCATGATGTAATCTGCTTCACCGCAAACACTAGTCGATTGTTGGCAACCGGTAGCTCGCCGATGTCATATATCTGCGTGCATGCATTGAGAAGCACGAGAATGACGAGCGTCTTCTCCTGACCCGGAGATGCACCCGCAATGTCGCTGACCAAACGATTGCAGAAATTGCTGACCGCCCTGGATGCAGATACCGTTTCGCCTAGACCAGTCAGGATCGCCACCCCAGGAAGTACGGTCGAAGGGGCGGATTTTAAGACCCCCAGGTCCGTCAACCATTGCTCCCCACTCGATGGAAAACCATGCTTCTCTGTCAAGCCTTGGAGAATCTCATTCAAGACGCGAGCGCAGTACAAGCCCTTGGGTGTGACGGATTTTGCCTCTTCGATCAAGGTCCGAATAATGTCATTCATCAAACGTGACGTGTTGGGTCCGGAGCCGTCGCGCCAGTCGGGAGCATCCTCTGTCAGGCGCATAACTGCTTTCCGTGCGGTTGATATCAAGTTCTCGGCTTCTGATATTAAGACTTCCGATCCCAGTGAGCTCCATATCTGGTTCTCACTCATAACCGTCAGCTGGTCAGTAGCCAGCTCAGCGGTCAAACTCAGGCTAATGACGATCTCAACTTGAGTGGACAATGCCAAATGAGCCAAGTCGAACCCGGCAGATAGTAGCTTGGCAGTATACATGGCCATGCGACCAGGGATCGAAAAGCCACTCCGATCTCGTGGTGAGTTAGTGTTGGTTCTGGTTGATGCCGTGACTGGCAGGAAGTAGGCACCACCCAGGCTGCTGGTGAGCGCTAGAGATGGATTGGGGGTCTCTTGTAGAAGAAAAGAAAGCTCGTGTCTCCATTTCTCGGCATCTGGTAATAGTGCCAGCAACTCGCTTCTCCGGTCTGATTCAATGGCTGATGTGTCAATTGACTCTTGGGCCTGCATAGCTTGCTGGACAAGGGTGTCGACCCTATTGGACGGTTAGGTACAGTTATAGGATGCTAAAAGGGCTTAAGAACAACTTACGAGAGTGATCCCGCATTGGCGTTGTTAATGTTCTCCTGGAGAAGCCCAAGGAGGCGTGAGCGGCCGCTGGGAGGAATTTCCATCAAGGAACGCAAGGCCATGATTTCGGGGCCGACACCCGGTCGTTCTGACAGACTCAGTAGGTTGGTCATCAATGTCATGTGGATCTCTTCGTCGTGAGAGAGTAGCTCTGGCTTCTTTTGCGCTATATATTGCAGGCCCCTGATCACACCCTGGTTGGGCTGGCCCGTGGAGTTCATGACACGACCTGCAAACTCCTTCAGTAGTCGATTCGCGGCAGACTCTGTCAACGTATCGTAAGTGACGATGGCGTCGAAGAGCTCCCAACTAGACCCGGAGTTTCCAACAGCACACATCAAGCATCTCCTGATCAATTCCGTCTGTAGTATTGGCATCTGTTGCGCGATAGGGGTAGCACATTTGCTGGAGATTAGCTTAGTCAGTGCCGGCACAGCGCCTGGGCTTTCTATACACTCGACAAGAGTTGCAGTGTTCGCTTCCCAGATCTTCTCAAAGTCTTGTTTCCTCTCGGGAATCTGGCCTAAGAGAATGATACTCGAAAACAAGTAAGGGGCGGCCGACGAGGTCAAGAATTCTTCCTTACTTTCGGGTAGTGAAGTTTCTAGGCACTCTAATACATCGCTGATCCCACCCGAAGAGGACTTGAATAGCGAGGGCGCGTGATTGAAAGCCGACTCGACAGTGGCAGCAGGACCGAATGGCTTCCAATTCCTAGTCTCAAGCAGCTTAACGCATTCTCCAAGTAGTTCCAGAGAAGGCCGTTTTGGGATATCGGGTATTGGACGATCTGTAGAGACCGTCCTCTCGTGGGCGTCCAACAGTGTCCCCGTCAGGATGAACCATCTCTTGCCCTCGTCGGCAACAGACTTTTGTGACTTTTGGTGCTCTTTAGAGGCTTCGGGCAACGAATTGCGGATGTTATCCTTCATGATTTCTTTCAACCTGTCCCACTCCACCCGCGTGGCTTCAACCATATCCTCAAAAGCCGACGTTGCCGTTGATGTGAAAACCTTGATCAAAATTGGTATCTGGCTACCAGAAGCCCACATCGATGTCTCTGGCGTTGGGTGAAGGTAGTGTGCGGTAAGCGGGAAGATGTTTTCCTCCACAAGCTGTTGTCGAGCATCGCTGGACTGAACAGTCTTCATGAAATGCCGCGTCATGGCAAGATACGTTGACCACGCGTCTACGGCGTTGGCTCGGGGTTCATCACGGCTTGTAAGACCTGATCTCAGGGACTTTAAGAATTCTGCAATACCAACAGGGTCCTTCGGAAGCACATCGTCCGGTAAGATGCTGAGCAACTGAGTGAGAGAGCTCCAAAACCTTGCTGTGCCTCCTTGAGATCCCCTTTCGAGTAAGACCTTCAGCCGTGAGATTGGTGACTTCTTCCCTCGATACTCTGAGGTCCATACACTGGGGTGCTTTTCCGTCAAGTTTGTCAAGGCAACGACGTAATCAGTCGCAGAGCCGCTCTGGGGACTTTTCAGACCCTCGGCAACGAAGACCTTGCTGAGGCGAGCCAGATCAGCCTCTATCCGGCCTGGCCGTTTAGATAGGCAGGTGGACAGAAGTTGACAGGAGAGTCGCCTGACAACAGGGTCGTTGATCGTAGCGCTTGCCCACACCTTGTTCTCCTCAAAAAACTGATCGTAACTATCCAAACATTTATCGGTGTCGGCGGGCTCCAACTTTTGCAAGAGATTGAGGACCAGCGCAAGACTCCCCGCCAGGACTCTGTGGTACTTGGTCTCGGCATCATCGGTGTTCGTAGACCGCTGATCGCTAAGAGTGTCGGTTGTTTCCTTGATCGCATCAGACGCGTAGTCGAGAATCTGCTGCTGGCACCGTTTCCAGAACTGGGTAACCTTCTCAGGCGTAGTGAGGAAGGACGAGAGACCCTCGGTGGCTACTCTGGATACGGCCCTGTCCCGGTCGAATGTTCCAACAAGCCAGGAGCCGACGATCTTGGGTATGTGTTTCTCCATGCGCTTGCGGGCGGACGTCATCAACTCGAATTGCAGGGCGTGGGAGAGCTCGCGAACACGTCGGGAATTGTCTATTGATATGCGAGGGTACAATTGGACCTATAGTACAAATTATTAACTGGGCACGATGTTTACTGCGCAGATTGCACCCACCCATGCTTCCAGTATGGGCTCTTCCGTGCCTCCATCCTGATCGTACGGGTGGGACTGGACATAGGCCACCAATTCCTCGAGGGCCTTGGCCTTGGTTGTAGCATCTTTCTTTTGTAGGTTCTTGAGCGAGACGACGACGTTGGCGTCGGATATCGAGGTGAAATCAGGCGGCTCGGCGAGGTAGGAGAGGTTGGCACCACTAGAGGAGGTCGAAAACCCACCACCAAAGGCACTATTGGTACCGAAACTTGTGAAGGCTTTGCTGCTGGCAGCCCGCGACTTGCCTGGTTTTCGGCTCATTGTGGTCGTGGAGGAAGTTGACACGGATCCAGGGGGAGGCAGGTTGATCGGGATTGAAACTATGCGCAGTTGTCAGATGTTTGGGTAAGACCTCCAGTAGTTCCTTAGCTAAGCAGGAGCTTGGAATATTTTGACCCCACCGTGGGGTTTTCTGTGACGTCGGCGACGCAACAACCTGGAACCTAAGCAAGAAGGGCCGGGAACGGGAGCAGCAATCAACAATCAAGCAGTTGCGAATTGTCAGAAAGAGTTGGTATATTTCAATTATACGTGTAAGCATACTAAGTCTGCCGAAGCGGTCCCTCACACGAAGAACATGTTTAACACACCCTAAAGTCTCCCTCTCGTTGTGACTCAGCCGGTGTCATTCGCGACGTATGCCGACATTGAAACCTCAGATACCTTACCGTATCCTCTATTCCGTATGACAAACCACAGAAGCCTGGTGACTGGAAACATACGGGCGCATGAACCTCGACATGCTTCCTTGCTAAAATGTCGCAGCTTTTGACAGGATTGCATGAGCACTGAGCAGAATTCCAGCGGTCCTTTCCGCCTGAATCCGAATGGAGAGCTGGACAGGATCCATGAGTCCATACGCTCTCCTTATTAGAAGGTAGCGATAAGGCAGCTTGACAGTATGGAAAAAGAGAGGTGCCCAGATAAGCTTCCCCGCAAACGCCCGAGCTCCATGTATCCACAAGGCCACAGGCGCCCGCTGCGGCTTCCCCACAGCAAGCGCCGAGGCGGAATGCCCCAGCTCCAGCTGCCAGCCTGCCAGCTTCCTAAGCTTGCCAGCATACCCCTCACCCTTCCTGCCAGCTCTAGGCTGATGACTGCAGCCGCGGATGTGCATTTAAAGGTTGGGTTAATGACTGGACTGCGGGTGGCACGGGTTGGACGCCTTCCTGTTGTGTAGCTGAAGGAACCTTCCATACTTCATGTTCCTCCTACCTTACCTTTAATAACCACTTCGTCGCAATCTACCAGTTCCAAACCTTCCCATTTCCGACCCCCTCGGCCGCCCTTCTGTGAATCAAAGCAACTCATGAATCGTTATTGTTGGTGACCGAGGAGTGATATACATAAGGCTCCAGCACTTGTGACGTCGCTGTTACATGTGTAGCCGTCGTCCACAAATCTTGGAAGCCTGCTGGGATCACCACCACAAGTACTTCAACTTGTGTCTTGCATTCCTGTGGACACTACTGACAACTTTATAGGTGTAACATCTGGCCTAGGATGCTCCGATGAACATGTTGGCTTGCCGATCCACCCTGCGGCCGAGGTCTATCCCGACCAAGGCTACGGCCTACAGTGGCTTGGGTCCCAGCAGCACCACTTCGCTGAGGAACCGACATCGCCATCAAACCCGTGCCTTTCGCTTTGGAATGTGGTCTTCCTATCTCGATCCTCAGTTCCAGAAGGAAGTTCGACGCCGACATCGATCGCTGAAGTACAAGTACGTCGATTCAGTCAACAGGAGGCTATCGTGGGACCAGCATCCTCTTACCGCGGACCCCAAAACCATCCTGAAGCACACTGTGCCTCGATATTGGTGTCCATCCGCAGCAAGATATACCCCGCGGCGATATGGCACACATGATGGGTCGGACACTCGGGAGAAGCCTGTTCGGGGGGACCCATATGTCAGAGGTTCACGCACAAATGGGGCATCAACCCCTGATTCCTGGACCAACTATGGATCCTGGAAATCGCATATCGACCATGTGGTCAACCATTGGTCTAAAGTAGCCTCCGAAGGCGTTGAGCGAGCAAGTGCAAATATGGGATCAGGAGGTACGCGAGCAAGCGCTGCTGCGGAATCGGACACGCGCGAGAGAAGCAAGCCGGCGGCGTCGGTGTCTTCTGTTAAGGAGGACTATGTGATCGACCCCATCACCAATCGCAGAGTCCAGAAAACAGGACATGGATATTCGGGGCATGAAGACGATCACCCGTCCAAGTCTTTCAAGTCGTACAGATCGCAGTTCACCAACTTCGCTCCCCCAGAAGCCGAAGAGGGTCGAACTCCTGTTTATTCCGACGGCGGACCATCCGCTTCCGAGCACAGCAAGTACCAGCAGCAAAAGTTCGATGAGTGGTCGCCAGAAGAAAGCGGTTTCACAGAGCGAAGCATGGCATCAACCACCAGTTCTGGAGCTGACTCTCAAGCACATGGCAAGGCACCTTGTTCACAAAGCGAGGAGTACTCCTTGAATCACCTCCCGCCAGAGGAGCTAGATGAGAATTATGATGATCTCGAGCAGTACAGACCTTCCAAATTCGACGAGATAGCCGACAATACCCATTCTACGACCAAGGCGCCCAGGGACTTGCATGAATATAAGCCGTATTTGTACGACGAGAACATTTCGAAGCAAGACGCCTCGGAGCCACAAAGGGAGTTAGATAAGTATGGACCATACATGCACGACGAAGACGTGAACAACGAGAAACCAAGCAAGGTTTTGGAAGATCTTGAAAAGTACAGGGCCTACAGCGATGAAGAGACCGAAGATGCGAAGGATCTGGTGCCCAAGTATGACGATCTAGCCAAGTATAAGTCATTCAGCTTCCAAGACCTTGATGGAAAGGCTGCCCTCGAGAGAGACGTCGTCGCAGAAAGCCTCAAACACTTCGAAGCCAAAGAGCAAAAGGGCAGCCCAGCCGACACACTCGGGTATTCAGACATCGGTCTCTCGGGGATACTGCCAAGAATGGACCTCCCCGTTGGGCATGTCTTTTCCAGTTCATATTCGAGCGCCTTGCCGCCTAAAGATGCCAGTGCTGTTAGCTCCACGTCGGCCACTCGACAGGACTTAGACAAGTTCTTGAACACTCACAATGAAGCATCGGATGCAGTGGATAGGGAGATCAGTGCAGAACTGCATAATGCTGGCCTGAGAGCCGAGGACGAGTGGCCCGAACGAAACCAACAAACACTTACAGGAAACTACGTTCGGGATTTCCCCGAGGACTTCGCTTCGTCTTGGGATGTTCACAAGCCACTGCTGAACCGTGTTGACCCGGCGTATGAGCAAATCGAGGCAAAGGTCCAAGCTGATGAGAAAATGTACTCAGAGGGTCTGGTGAGTACTGCGAATTCCTCTAAGCTGGAACCTGCTCTGGGTCGTCACAACGGTAAACCCAACATGGGGAGATTGGAACCTGCACTGGGCCGACTTGGACGTCGGGTCACAGGTCATCCTTCGGCGCGACAGTCGGACAGGGACACTGGCTCCGATCCATACTCGAAAGAACCACAAGGTTTGGAGACGTCGTACGCCGAGGAATGCGGTGGAAGGCAAACGTCGCCCGTGTATACGAAGTCTTATGGGACCGAGCTAGGCCAGGTACCCTCCAAATCTCAGGCAACTGAGCAGAAGATACAACCACGCATGGAGGCTTCATCAGAGCCACCCTACTTCAGGGACCCCGAAGTCGATGGCTTCCCATCTGCTTCCGCACTCGAACCAGCTGCACGACCTGAACCAGTCCCAACTGACGAGCCAACGGTCTACAAGATACTTGCATATGATCCGATCATGCAGAATGTTACCATCGCCGAAACAACTTCTGTCGTGCCCGACCAGGCATCTCCATTGACCCCAGCGGAAGTGCTGCTCCGGTTGTCGAATCCCATGAAGTTCTTCCCGCACTTTGTGCCACTGCAAGCGGAAGGATTTGAGATTGTTGCAGGTGGTGGAGATGTCCTGGTTTTCCGTCAAGTTCGGCACAGCAAAGCCCAAACCATGAACACGCCACCGGTGAATCCCATTGATATGATGGGCAAACCAACAGCGCTTCCCAACGCCGCAGCATTCGCGTCGCCAACAGGGTTCGTGAACTACGACATGCCGCGGGTTGAGGAAGAGGCACAGACACAGCAGTTCCGCTCCAATATCGACGTCAGGCGAGAGGAACCCGTCTTCAGTGGCTCCAAGACCTCTGCCAGGTATGAATCGTCCAAGGAAAAGAAGCGAAATATCGGCAAGAGAGTACTCTTGGGCGGCGCCTGGGTCGCTGGTCTTTCATATGCCCTCGGTGTCGTGAGCGAATATTTTGTTACAGGGGGAGTTGATGGCAAGGGGCCGACTGGGTTCTGAACTGCCAATTGAGCAATCGTCGGTTTCATGATTGGTGGCGAGACTGGGGGTTTTTTTTTTTGGAATTTGTTATTTATCCTTGAGTTCCCGCGGGAAAAGCGATATCAAGGGTAGGAGCCCGGAGTGTCCCTGGGTTCATTGAGAAGGTAACGAACAGCGCTTGGAGTGGCAATATCCATTTTTTTTGCTTTGGGTTTGCAATGATATTTTCGTTGTCATTGGGGTTATTCCTTCCTGGCTGTACAGTACTTTTGGTTGGCGTGTTATCAATCTCCTCTACTGCGTGTGGGTTTTGACGCCTCTCAATACACAATGCTTTCAGACCCACCATGTCTTGCGCATCCCTCCCACTTCGAGGTTTGCATGCCGGGGAAGAACCCCCGTTGCGGATGAAGGGTTGTTCTATTCACGATAGACCCATTCGCCCTACTCTTTTTCGACAAGCCCATTGGACCTTCTCTTCAGTCCAGGGGCGCGAAATAAGCCTTTGAAAGACACCATAACGCCAGGGTCTCCTCTCCGTCAGAGATCAAGCCGTTGCCGACGTGGCTTCAGTGGGCATCTCAGTAAAACAAGGTTCGAGGAAAACGACGTCGGCCAGACGTGTGTCAGACAGGCGCCTCGGCAATCCTGTACTTTAATTACTGCCTGCTTTTCACACCAAAGCCCAATGAGTACAATAGACCACCCACCGCCTTGGCCCCCAAGGAGAGTGCTGAAGTAAAGGCAACAATCTGTTCGTTCTGCAGCGTCATCCTCTCCATCCTCATGTAGGTAGTAGCTAGGTGATGAAGGTGATAAACACCATGGGCTGTGACGCAACCCCTTCACTTGCATCGACTGCAGCAGCAAAGCCATGCAAGTTCCACGTGTAATACGGGGGTGGCCACACACGACCCAAGCACATCAGCAGCACGCTGGCTCGCTCGCTTGTTCATCCAGCAATGCAATTTGTCCAGCCTCTTTTCCAGTCTGCAACGCTCAGTCATCCACGTACCCAGCAAGTATTAGACGCTCCCACCACCAAGCACACCTTCCCCTCCATCGTCAATGACCCAAATCTCATGCCCAGTCGAAGAGAAAAAAATCAACTACTACCATTTGCGCCCTCCGTAAACCCCGGACCGGAAGGCACCTCGCCCATCACGCCGCTCATCTGCAGTGCGCGCTTCTGGTCCTCCTTGGCGTAGCTCTGCTTGCGGCCGCCGAGGCTGGGCTTCCAGCTGTCGGTGCTGCTCATGGCGCGCGCGGCGTCCTTCTCGAGCTGCGGGGACGTCGGGCCCGGCTGCGCTGTGTGGAGGGCTGGGTGGGAGGAGGTGTCGATTTTGGTCGGGGGTTGTTGCTCGGTCGACATGGTTGGTGGTGTTGATTATTCTTGTTGTTGGTGTGGGATTGTTGCTTAGGGGTTATGTTTACGTCGGGTGGATTTGCATCCGTGGTCGTGGTCTGGACGGGGTGGCAATGTAGCGTAGGCGTGCTAGGATACGTGAATTGGTCTTATGCTGGAGGTCGAAGTCAGTTTGGGGTTGCTGAACACTCGGGGTAAACACAGAGCTATTGGAGACTCCATACCTCGGGGAGTTTGTGCCAGTGGTATGTATACTTAAGATGAGAGTGACTCAAGGGTATCCAAAGACGATGAACAATGCTCGACGAAGAATTAGGATGAGAGGATCGAAGTCAAGTCAAGACACAATAAAAGGAGTCTGGGATTTTCAGGGTTCCTTTTAACCTGCGGTTGATCGCCAGAGAAAAGGTGAAGCCAGTCTAGACCTTGAGATGCCGCTGCAAGCGTTGAAGTGCAGTGTCGATCCTGGCCAGGTTGAGGTCGTCCATCGCACCTGCCAAGGGATAGCGGGCCCCACCCGCCCGGATAGCTTGAAGCGGGTGCGGGGTAGCTCTTTGCCGATAAGGAGCTCAAAAACTTATCGGCACAGCATATTGGTGGCAACGTCATTGCTGCCGCAAGAAAACCAGTGAGGTCGGTAGGCTTTTCTTCACAACATCAAGCACAAAACAACAAAGACGCGTTGAGCAAAGCTTATCCACCGCGTCACTATTGTCAACATTGCGCCGGCTACTCTGAAGCGACACTTCTATTCCCATTTTGCTCTTCTCTTTGACAAGCTATACTTTCTTGTACAGTCTCCGCCCTAATCCGACAATGTTAACAAACGTCAACGACACAGGTGATGGTAGGTAATGCGACAAGGCTGGGCAGTGCCAAACAAGACCCCAATAGCCAGCCTGGAAAACCCAGGGTCAACAATGAAACCGGCCAGAAACGCCAGAAGCTATGCTTGTGCCATGAGCGCAACAACGGGACTACAATGATGTCCATGCGGGAAGCAGCCAACCAGTCATTGAGGAAGGGGGTATTGTCCGCACAAAAAACCGAAAAACACCTCCGTGTCCAGCTCAAGGCAGAGCCAAGAAGACCATCGGATCCAACCACCACACCAATTTTCCCCTCCTCTCCGGCCCAAGGAATCGTTCAAGGAGTCTTTGGCCGCTTCCAATAATATTGCTAGTTGTGGTCAATATCTCAGGATCACTAACGGTGAGTTGTGGACGAGTAAGTACCTTGTGCTGTTTCCTACAAGCTCTGAGGCTTGGCTTCCGCAAGCCATCTGTTACAGCGATGCGTCTCGAGTCGTCGGTGTCGAGCTCGGGTGTGTAGTAATACTCACTCTCCAACGGCTTACCGGCCGCGTCCTTTCCCTGCCGGGTAATGGTACCAATACAGGTCGTCGATTCGATGATGCGCCGCAGCTCAGGTTTCGTCAAGTCTTTCTTCTCTTCGGCAGGGAGGTTGTTCATGATAGCAGACAGAGGCGTTGACGATAATCGGGAAAATGCAAGTTGGTTGACCAGGTGGTTGGTCACTGCAGCTACGTCGATGCTGGGGTTAAGTGACTCCTCCGACTCTTCTGAGTCCATGGCTGTCATATCGCCAGACGGTACACGGGACGGCCGCGTAGGCGACTCCGCCGTGAAGGCCGCCAGACGGTTGGAGAGGTTCGCGCCAAACGGTCCGAAGGAATGGACAATGGGATCATTCTCCTCGTCAGGATCGTTGTCGTCATCCGGTTCACTGAGGTCACTTGAGAAGCTGTTGTTGATCTCGGTCTGGGCGAATGAGGCATCCACGTCTGGGGCTAACTGTGGAAGCTCTTGCTCGTCCGCACTCGGGTCCTCGTAAATGGGGACCGACTCGGTAGTGTCGTTGGGTGACAGCAGGTCGTCCAGACTGGATGAAGACGTTTTCTTGGCAGGCGTGGGCGATTCTGGCGACTTGATACGCGTCTGCCGTCGAAGTGGACTGAACTGCAAAAGGTCTGACGCGGCGGCACGAGGTCTCGACCGCGGCGACTCGTCCCAAGACGAGTCTGACAGGTTGGCGACAGACTCTTGACGGTCCCTCTTGGGCCAATGGACCATGACTCTCGCGTCCAACACGTCCAGCATGATCTCGGCGTTCTCGGTTTCCGAAGTGAAGGTATCCCCCTTTGCCAGCTCCCATGTTCTTCCCTGGCAATGCAACTTCAATCCGTTCCAGCCATTGCAGATGATCTCTACTTTGTTCGGTTCGAGGAGGGAGGAGGCGGGGATGTATTGGGCCTTGACGTGGATACGTGATACCAGACGATTGTTGGTCAATTGGAAGTGGGAGGAGTTACTCGAGCGGCCCATGAGGAGCATTTCGCCGTTCTCGTTGAGGTCGACAGAAGGAACGGCCGACAGCGGTGCTCTCTCTGACACGGAGGATATTGTACGTGCCAGGCCCGGTCTCGATGATTGGACGAGTGGGGGAGACGACGAGAGGATGCCGGTGCTAGAAGTCGGGATGGGAGTGGGATATTTGAGGTAAGCACTTGACCCGATGGACCCATCTCGAGCCTGCCGCTTCAGAGGCCGCGGGAGGCCCGGCGAAGAGGAGAGTTCGAATGCTGGCAGCAAAGAGGCAGCAGGACGCTTTACTCCAAGTACACTTGAGGTCGAGGTAGAGACAGGTGGCAGCGTGGGCTCGGCTGCAGCTGCTGAGGCCTCGATGCCTTTGGCGGGAGAGGAAGTCATGATGTCGAAGGACCAAGAGGCATAGCAAGAGAGGGATGTGCCAATTGGACTGGAGGAGAAGAGGATTGAAGAATTGGAAGGTTTGAGAGAGGTGCGTGTGTGCGGTTGAGAAAATTGGTGGTCAGGGTCAGGCAGGTATCACGTACGCCCTGTGTGGGCTGTGGGTTGTCTCTGCGCGCGTCTTAGTCGGGATTCGCGGTGCGCGTTCGATGCACGTCTCCAGCTGGCGCCACTCCACTTGCAAGTTACAACTCGGCTCCGGCGCCGAAATTAGTGAAGTTTGCTCCCTTTGTTCTGCAGAGAATTGCAGCGTCAACTCTGAAAGGGAACTCGAATCTGACAAGTAGAGATGAAAATGACTGCCGTAATCAAGGTCTGCAAAACTGGTCGGGTCGAATGGTCTGGCAGAAGGAGGCCCAGGTAGGAGGAGAGTTGCGGGTGGTGGTCAGACCCGGCGATTATAAGGATTTCGGCTAGAGTGGGCGGGCTCCGTCTCAACGCGAAACTCCCTACCAAAAGTCGCGACTATCAGATTACTACTACTCGCTAACGTTACCACCACCCGCCTCCCTACAACGCGTTTTTAGCCCCCACTGGCTCCCGCAATTGTAAGGTATCCTGCGCGTGCAAGCAATCCAGTTACAGCGTCTTCAGTGGGTATTCTCCACCGCCTCCAGCACTCCATCACACCGCCTGACACCCGTAAATTCGAGAGGTAGCTGCAGCTGCGATGACGTTGACTCCACCGGGCACTTACACACGCTCACCTCCAACCTATTGTTCAACGCTTTCGAGTTTGTCTGGATGCGTTTCCAAGCTTGTCTCGCGCGAGGCTGCATATGCGTCTGAACAATTGCATTGGAGTGTTTCCGTCTTTGTCTTTGTCTTTGTCCTTGTTCTTTAGGCGCTTTCGTCTGATTATCACGGGATTGGAGGATGGATGCGGCTGCTGTTCGCGTCGACACGCCTGGGTCGGTTTTCGCGATACTCCTCAACCCCGCTGTGGATGACTCCATAGAGGTATCGTGGGGTCTGCACCGCTCAGCTACGCGGTGGGCTACGAGTTGTCACGGATCTCTACAAATAAAGTACGAACAGCCAAAGTCCCCATCGAAGTCTGGACTGGCAATCGAGTTGTTCCCCCTCGTCGCGGACTTGATGCTTGAGGCAATATGATGCCTGTCTTCAGGTACCTTACGGAGACAGGCAGCCATCCAATACCAGTAGTGTATCAGCAGCATCGATATTGATATCGACCTATGTGAAGAACTATAGACTAAGGTAGGTAGGTATACAAAAGAAGGAACGTGTTTGCTCGCTTGGTATCATTTGAAGACAAGGCTTGAAAACCTATCCGCCAACACCAACACCGCCCAAGAACGCCGGCATGCAGAAATAGTAGTCGAGATCTGCGGCTCGCTTGTTCCAATAGTCAGTCAGGTACATAAGGTTTTGTCCGTCCAACCTCCTCCTAAATCCCCCCCCTCCCCCCTCTCTCTCTCTGCCTCGTGAGGTAGGTACTCAATTGCAAGTCCGAGGCGCGTCTCCACCCCCACCTCCACTATCGCGCTTCCAGAGTCGCTCGATTTATCGATTCAGCCGAACCGAGGTCGACGGGGAAGGGATAATGTAGTCCGGTATGTTCGTCAAATGCGCAGGGTATCTCTTCGCTCTTCGAATTCGCCAAACGGATGATATGTGTGATGGTCTTGTGAAAGGAATAAGTGAGAAGCAAAAGTCTACGTCGAGGACTTGGGAGAGTGGTGAGAGGATATGCACATCCTCGAGACAAAGGGCCATGCTTCTCGGTCTGCACCGCGGCGCCAACCGCGTCGACGCTCATATAGCGGCTTACACCCTGCCCGATCACCAAGCACCTGCAGTAACCTTGCTGATACGCCTCATGTTCGACTGGTTCTTCTGCTCTTTCTTGTTCGACTGGTCCTTCTTCAGCAGTTCGGTATACTCTGTCCTCTTGCGGATGAGGAACGCCAGCGCGAGCATGAAGTCGGTCTCGTACTTCTCCGACGAGATGTGCATGAGGGGCTTGAGCACGACGCCGGCCAGCCGCTCCGCCGTCATGTCGTTCTTGTCGGCCGCCTCGGCGATGTCGGCCCAGAGGTTGAGCAGCAGCTTCAGCAAACTACGGCTGGCGCCCTTCAGGCCGCCCAGCGCCTCCTCCCAGAAGTCGATGCACTGGTCGAGCCGGTTGCCGTGCGAGCCCGATACCATGGCCTGCCGCGACAGCGAGATCCACCGCTTGGCGATCGCCTCGGTGATCAGCGGCCGCGGCAGCTGCGAGAGGAAGAGCAGGATCAGGTCGGCCGCGTCGTACACGCCGAAGGCGTTCCAGTCGACGTCCTCGCCGTACTTGGGGCCGCGGCCGAACAGCTCTTTTAGTTTCGACACCCGGTAGGGGTCGCCGCGCTCGGCGAAGATGTCCGGCGCCTCGACGCCCTCGTGCTTGAGGAAGAAGCAGCACTTTTGCATGCACAGGGGGAACTCGCGTCTCGACGACCCGCCGTTGCCGCTGTGGTGCGTCTTCGACGAGCCCTTGGCGATCTGGATGCTCCTCTGCAGCGAGACGCCGAACACGGCGTTCGTGTCCGGCCCTTCCATTTCCTCCAGCAGCTCCGCGTTCCACATCGGCAGCTTCTTGAACGACACGGAGAGCCGGTGGCTGCCCCTGCGGACCAGGCTTGCCTGGATGACTGGCGTCGACGGCCGGACGTCGGACGATACGGATCCCTTGGTTGAGTTTGTCATTGTCGATCGTGTCTGGGGCCTGTTTTCCGATATTGTTTTCTTGAGGGGGTTAGAAAAGAACCGCCCGAACCCTCTGCTCTTGTGGACCGAGGGCGGCGGGCCGTTCATTCGAGCTCCAGAGCTGATCTGGGTAACCACTCCGTACCGGTTGGTCGGCGGCGACGACGATAGGTCATCAAAAGGCGAGACCATGTTGTTGCGGGCAGCCTCCAATCTCTTCTGGTCCTTTGGCGGCGGTGTCGGCGCGCGGCTGGGGATGTTGTCCATCCCGTTGTTTATCACTTCATCCATGTTGGGGACTCCCTCGTCCGAACTCCTGGCCAGGGCGTCTTTCAAAGTCTTGGAGACGAGCTCGATATCGATGTCGATCGCGCTGTCGGGGGTGTCGCCGACGTAGGCCCCAAACAGTTCGTTCTCGCCCACAAACGCACCCAGCTCGGATTCCCCCCTGCTTTGCTCCCTCCTTATCTCGGCCACGTGTTCGTCCTCCTTCTTGCTGACAGTCCACTCGGCATATATCTTGAGCGCGCTCATGTAGTCGTGGAGGGTGAACTTCGACTCGTCCTTCTGGAATTCCCTCGGCAACCGTATCCGAAGCTGGCCCATCTCCGCCAGAATCCGGGTAACGTCTTCGACGGTGTCAGTGCTGTTCTGCCGCCTCTGTATCGTGTTCCTCTTGTTCGGTTCGACGTCGGATGTCACCTCTCGGATCGTAGTCCTGCAATTGGTAAGCCTTCGTACTTGTCAGTGGCATACAGTTAGTTACATACGCTCCGACGAGATCGAGCGCCAGTCCCAAGACAGACTTGTGAGCCTCTAATGACGTGCGGAATCTTGCGGTTTCCCATCTCCCCGTCTCGAGCCATCGCGTTCTCTTCTCTTGCTTTGACAGCTCCGAGCTGTCGAAGGCCCATAGCGATGCGTTGAGCTCGTCCACGACGCTGGAGCAATGCCCGATGACGGCAGGAGTTTGGCCTGCCAGTTCCGGGGGGAATAGCCCGGCATCCTCCTGCAGCAGGTCCAGCACACCCTCCAGCGAGTGCAGCTCGCGCGAGACGCCGTCCAGGTCGGACCGGGCCTCACGCACCTCGCGGACAAAGCTAGTTAGACCAAAGAGCGCTCTGGCTATGTTGCTGCCGAGCGCATTGCAGTCGGTGGTGATGGACCTTTGAATCATCCAGGTCAGCGTCTCGGAAGCTTCAAAGAGGCGGTCAGATAAGAGCTCTCCTGGGAGCACATACGGTGACTCCATGATGTGGTGGTGGGGGTGTTGACCTGAGGTCGGTCGCCCACGACGGTACCAAAGTCTTCCCTCTTTATTGTTATTATTATTACTTCCTTTCCTCTTTCCAGAGGGGATGGCGTAATGTACGGGGTCGACCTCGCTTAAAAGAATACACGAAGGAAGCACGGTAAGTTACGAGACAGACGAAAACCGAAAGGAGTCATAAAGGATTGCTCTTAACACGACACACGGGCCCACGTCACCTGGTTCATGGGATCAATGGGATGGCGGGATGGGTGGGTGTCAGTAATAAGATTAGGGATGGAGAACTTCAGGTTCTTGATCTTGCGATACGGAATGCAGCGGAGGTATGTATGTACAATATGCACAGAGCTTCAGACGTTTGCTGGCTTCGTGCTGGAGGCCGAGGACCAAAGTGCTTGCTTGCAGCCCGGGCATCATGCATGCAACTCCCATCCACACGGGGTTGGTGCGCCGGTCACTTGATACCACAATACCACACATCCCTCTCTGCCTCTCCCTCCTCCTCTTCCGCTCTTCTTTGCCTCGTCCTGACTCCTCCAGCAGCCGCACATCAATTGCCATCCCGGGGAGAAAGAACTCGTCAGCATTTCGTCCTGCCCTGGTCAAACAGTTCGGGAGCGGCCCCCAGGCCCACGTGCATGGTACTATTCAGACCGGGTTTGCTATGGTCGGTGCGGGGTCCTTGCAGTGGTGTAACGGTGTTTCCACCCAGACAGACAAGACATGCTGCCGATTCTGCATCACCAGTTCGGCTTTGGAGCTTACTACTTGCTCGCTTGCCGGGTTGAACATGTGACAAGATATCAAGGCAGGCTGCCTTGAATGTGAGACTCCTATCTACCTGCCTACCTGCCTACTCATATGCAACAAGTTGCAAATGACCGTCCGAAAAGGACCCCAACGACTTCGGCCATTCCCACTTTCGCGACCCCATCGACGGGGACATTATCGACGGGCAGGTTCCCGAATCGGCATTCACTTCGTTTGATAGTCCGACAATCCCTTCTTCACCAGGCTGAAATCAACGTCACCGCGTTCCTGTTCGAATTTCTGTTCCCTGCTGCGGACCCAGCCTTCCCTTTGCTCCTTGCCAATATCGGAAGATTAAGGTATATTTGCATTATTCGTGCACATGGCATGAAGGTGGGGTAGAAGGCCGACCGTCTTTTTGCGGTCGGTTTCTTGAGCTACCCCTGTCGATCGACTTTCTTCTGTGAGGACGCAAAGTACAAATATATTTTCCTGTGCACACGATCAGGCCACATAATTTCACCTCTCGGTCTTTCATCTAGTGATCCTATTTAGCTTACGCAATCAGACCTGATGTGCTGAAGGACGCCAGCGGCCATGGATGGAATGGGTGGAATGGGTTGGTTGAATACGACCTGCTTGCTTGCATATTCGATGGCTCTACCGGATTGATTGAGGATTCGGCACGAGGGTAGGGGTGGTAATGATAATAATAAACCGCGGAGGATCTCACCTCGCCTGCATCGGGCCTGGGCATCGCATCCCATCTGTCAATAGTTTTGATCCCATTGATCCCCATTCGTCCTACATTCCTGATCGGTCCCGTGTTGGAGAAAGGCTGCCAAGTTCGGCTCGACACACAAGACAGGGTGCACTATGCCGATAGGAAACTGGTGCTATGCTGCATTGCTGCCAGCACCTCAAACAGTTGAGACAGCGTCGACGTCCTCGACCTTGATCATACTGCAATGCAAAGTCCGTTCGTTTCCCGTGTTGTTTCACACCGCTACCCATATCAGCATACCCGCGCACGGTCAGCAGCAAGCCCCTATTCTGCGTGATAAGATACGCACTTATACATCCGAAGCCCTGCTCGCGCACGCGGTGTCTGCAGAAAATTGTCGCTCTCGTCACATTGTCGCCTCTCTGTGACAAGATCACCGGCCAATCCTTCGCGGCTGTGCCGCCGCCACGTTTCGAGCTGCCGGGGGATGTGTTAGCGCCGGCAAGTGGCACGAACTGCCAACGGTCGCGCTCACCGATGATGCTTGATTCGGAGTCTCGCCCGAGTGGCCCCTTGACCTTCTCACCTCTTCTCAGTTCAGGTCCCGGCGTGGCATGCAGCTCCATGACCTTTTCAACCTCACCACTTGTTTCTTGTAATTTTGCTCGTCGCCTCGATCTGAGCGTGCATTGATTGTGCAAATCGTCGCAAAATGCCAAGCCATGCAGGTCAGCCCGTGCCGTCCAAACGTGCGGATAGCTTGGCTCTCGGACCCCCATCACATTTGTCTTCTGAAACAGCAAGACGAGGCTCTGTGCATGAAAGACGGGACGGCTCGATCGGATGGATTCGCCCCGTTCTGCCCGTTCGATCAGTGATCTCGGACTTGGTCATCGGTGACCAGTGGCCAAATCATATATGAGCTCCGTTGTATTCCTGCCTGTGCTGCTGTTGTGGTTCCGCAGCAGCCGTGTCACTCTTTTCTTTGAGATATTCCTACGTGGTTGGATATCGAGCTCTGTGCCATGGGAGCTGCTTCATTGGGCGAACCAGCTGACTGATGATATCACACTCTTGGGATGGTGTCAGTCGGGATGGCTCAGCCACCACACCAACGTTTTACCCTGGATATTTCTGGCCTGGTATGCATTCATAGATCACTACATATGTTATACCAGACCTTGTACGCAGCCTACCGTATTGGCTCGATGAAGATCTGATCGAATATGAGGGCGAAGCAATCATGCTATAAGCCCAGAGCAGGGTTACTGGAGTTGAAATCTGATTTGAGGATGCCGAATCTGTGCTTCATCCTGCCATTATCAGCTGTACGTCCAGCATCCATCGAAGTAGCAGCTTTCAGCCATCTTCCCACTCTCTTGACGACGCACATATACCTCACGTGCCGTGGGCCTGCGTTTCCGCCTGCCAATGTGCCCGCGAAACGAAATTCCACCTTGGCTCCGCCATCTGTGCATGTCGTTTCGGCTCTGAAAACGTGGCGCATCACACTGATGGGATAGGTCGGAGATCTGGAACCGGAACGCTGCCGTGTTTCCGGTTCTCATGACGTTCCAACGAGAACAGCCATAGCACAACGTCCACCCATTATGAGGGTATCTAGGCTTTCGCTTTGCCGCAGACTCTGCAGTGTTGTGGCGAAGCTCGACTTCATGAAGCCATATTCCGCCATGATCACCGATGCGGTATACCATGCAAAGGTCAACCGTAAGCCTGCAGTTCAAGGCTATTGGAAGCCATGGCAGCATGGATATCGTGAGTGCTAATTGCTAGCAGCTCACTCAGCATGTCTGGTTGCGAAAATGAGGTCACCTATCCATGATTGCTCGCTCAACGCTCGGCACCAAGCTAAGGTCTGCAGTTTCACAGTATTTACTGAGAGCCCGGTACATGGTCGAAACTGAGATTCGAGTCACGCGGATCTTTCTCCTCAGCGGCACTGGCAACCATCGAATCCCTCGCTCGAGGTGAATACGTTACGACCTTCTACTCCTGCACCCAACTGGCGGCCGACCGAGAAGTCTGTCATAGGGGGCCCGTCTGGACCAGATTGACCGACTACACAGGCGTCGACGGCCTTGTTTTCGACGGTTCCAGCACTTCACTTAGGTCTCGAGCATCACCATGTGCCAGCAGCCAGAGAGGATGTCTGCGGACAGCATCGACGCAGTCGGCCGAGATCTTTGTGAGACAGCTGGGAAGAAGTCGAGAGCGCCCAACTTGCTAGGTCGTCCCGGTGTCAGCAATCATCATGGGACCGTGTGAAGTAGATTACGCGGTTCAGTTCACCGCATGCCTGAATGCTGGTACTGAGCAGAGTGAGCTGCGCTGCTGCGCTGCTTGCGGTGCCGAGCACCATGAGTCGTGCTGTAGTCCTGGGTCTGGGTTTGTTCTGGTTGTTGTATAGGGTACTTGGGTTTCGATGTTGTAGAGTCAGAACCAGCTCTAGCTCGGGTGTAGATTGCGAGCACATTTCCTACTAGCAAGTCTGATACTTGATATCAACGTGCCACGACGGCTAGAGATAGCGCCCCTCCACACCGATGCCCCTTGAGACTCTACTACAACATCTTTGGCAGGGAAGCAAATCAGTAAAGGGTTTTTTCTTGACACAGACCTCTTCTCATACTTCTCTTTAGTCTGACTGACTGTTCCTCTCGGTCTCGGAATCACCCTTCAGCACTGGATGATGGTGACAGTACCAATAATCGTGGTAGCGCTCAGGATATCTTTCCGACCTCTATCGACCATCCTGTAGTGCCTACATCATCGGAGAACACAGCGTCGGCTTGCCCGTGATGTACGTCGAGATGCGTATCTAGCAAAGGGATGAAACATAATCCGAAGTAAGTCATATCAATGGTTTGTGAGACGCACATTGAGTTGCCACAATAGTATATTGGAACTTTGAAGTATTGCCGTGGGTGTGAGATTCCCAACACACTGGCCGCGACGACAGTCATTGGAATATCCATCGTCGGGTTCAGGGGCGAATACGCGAAGAATATGCCAGTCGATTAGGCACTGGCACTTTCCACCAATCTCCTTCCTATTATATGATGAGAATCAGGCAGACTCGCCGTGCACAAACAGGCCGCGGAGATTGACGCAACAGAAGTTTTCTCGTTGGTAGCATTGTAGCGACTTTACGGTGATTAGGGTAGGCTTATCATCTTGCGACGGACTTCCCAAGAAGTGCAACCGACCTCTCTGCCGGAACCGAGGATATCACTACTGAAGAGAATGGCGAAAGCAGCTTAGTTCACTACCTGGCGTGACATGCGGTCAAAGTTGACTGATGCGACTCCATGTTATTTGCCGGTAGTGTTCCAGCCTCTGCCTCACAACTTGAAGCCCGCGAAGATATCCCTTCATCTGGAGTGGGGATTTCCAGATCCGGGAGATCCCCACTCCATATGAACAGATTGATTGGTCCTCCCCCGTGTCCGCTAACACGGAGTTAAGCCTAGTATCCTACAAATATTTCTGATAAGATAGAGGCGCTTGGACCAGATAAGAAATTCTCTGCAGCGTGGGGCAGAGATTTTTTGCGACTCTCAGCAGCTTGAACATCTGCAGTCTTTCTACCACCAATCCGCGATCCAGCGAATTCGACACAGCGACCATGGCCCCCTCCAAAGCCATTACGCGGAGCGACACTTCGGTGTCTGCGTCGCTCGTCGACCCCAATCAGGTTCGTCAGAAATGCCATGGTCCATCATCCCCAGACTGACACTTGTGGTTGCTAGACCCTGAAAGCGACTAAGGCCCTCCTTAGCCACATGCAGAAGGCGTCGAAGGAAAAGGCCACCAGCGCAGACAAGAAGACCCTTATCGAAGATGAAGAGTCCAACACCGAAGCCATCTGGATGACCTTGACGACCAAGAGACACATTGTAAACTCGAGAAATCTCAAACCGAACAAGATCGTCCTCCCGAACTCGCTCAACACCGACCCCGAGATGGGTATCTGTCTGATTACGGCCGAGGTTAGTAGGGAGGCATCCGTCGCGCTTCTGCCGGCACAGGACCAAGAGCTATCGCTGACTCGCATGTTATAGCCCCAGAGACATTACAAGAACCTTGTAGCATCGGACGATTTCCCGGCAGAATGGCGAAAGCGAGTCACGCGAGTTATCGACATTGCCAAGTTAAAGTCCAAGTACAAAGCATACGAGGCGCAGAGAAAACTGTTCAGCGAACACGACATCTTCCTCGGCGATTCCCGTATCATCACAAGGCTACCAAACATAATGGGCAAGACTTTCTACAAGACCACCGCCAAGCGCCCTATCCCCATTGAGATCCAGGAGCGCGTGCCAAAGGTTGACGGCAAGAGAGTAAAGCGGGCGAACGCCGCGGGTGCCATCAACGCATGCACGGCCCCGCAACTATGTGGCGAGATCGAGAGAGCCGTTGGAGCAGCGCTGGTCAACTTATCGCCGACTACGAATACTGCGATCAGAGTGGGTCACACTGGGTTGACGGCAGAGCAGAGTGCAGCAAACATAAATGCGGCAGCGAGGGTGTTGGTTGAGAAGTTCTGCCCCGGAAAATGGAAGAATGTCCGGAGCATATACGTGAAGGGCAACGAAACCGTGGCTCTGCCTATATACCAGACGGACGAGCTGTGGTTGGACGAGCAGAAGGACATTGTAGCCGATGGGTCCGAGGAGGCAAAGGCTCTGGAGGCCAAGGCATCAGGAGAGAAGGCCAATGTTGGAAAGAAGCGGAAATCGCTCGAAGGTGCGGCGGAAGAGACTTCACCCGCCCCGAAGAAGGTGAAGAAGTCCAAGGCTGCCAAGTTGCCGGAGAGCGACGATTCCAAGCTCAACAAGGAGATTGCAGACCGGAAAGCGGCGCTGAAGAAGCAGAAGAAGGCTGCAAAGCAGGCTCTGGATGTCTAAGCACGTCTCGATCCGTTGCATTCTGTACATGCATATCACGAAGGTGTCTGGCGTTGAATGAGTGCTACTGGTCACGCCGATCTTCCTGCGGCGGCGCTTTTTGCTATTCAATAGAGAATCCGGCAAATACCCATTACAGACCACTTGAGCTCTATACCGTCATTTGTGCTATGCAGGGCTATGACTGCCCTCTTCCATCTCCGGTGTCCGATCAGAAGTGACACAATTGGTATCCTGATGATGATTGTGGTCGGATAACCCAAGGTTCTGGAGTGATTAACCACACGCAGTCATTACCCCAAAAGCTCACTTGATGAAGCATCCGAAATCACGAAGAGGAATTTTTAGGCAGCAGTTGCAGACAAAAGTCAGCAATCTCGGTATACGTCAAACCCCAGCCTGCTATTGATACTTGTGATAATCCTGAATGCCTTCCATCCCAATGAAACTCCCTAAACGTACAGTAGCCAAACCCATGCTTCACAGGTCGCCTACCACCTTCGGCCAGGCGGCCAACCTTGCGAACTTCTTATTGTACGGCCCGAAGAACTCGCTGAACGATTCCGTCAACGCTTCATCCTCGAGCTGCATATGTTCGCCCGGCGTGGTTTTGAACTTCAGCCCGCCCTTCCTGTCGAGGGCCCTCAGGCCGATCCAGTCCTCGGAATAAATCTTGCGGGCGCGCAGGGGCGTGGTCTCGGTGCCGTTGACCTCCTCGAACCAGCCGGTCTCCTTCGGGATCACCGTGGTGTCGTCCTCGAAGATGTACATGACGAGGTTCTCGAGCGCGGCGATGTTCTCGGCGTACGTCTCGTTCTTGAGCACGCGCTCGTTGTTGATGTCGGCCAGAAAGTTCGAGTACTCGAGGTAGCTGTCGAGGTCGCGGGGGTCGCGGAAGTACTGCGCCGGCACCAGCCGGCTCTGGATCCACGAGCTCCACGTGTTGCCGTGCAGCAGTGCCATCGCGCCCTTGCACAGCCAGTCCGCCGACGAGCATGCGCGGTAGTCGATGATGCCGTTGTGCTGGCTGCCGAACGTCACCAGGCTGCGCATGGGGGGCGCGTTGCACCGCTCGACGTACCCGCGCAGGAACTGCCCGCCCTGGCTGAAGCCCACGGCGTCGATGGCGGGCGCGGTCGACAGGATCGGGTGCGAGGCCAGGTCGGCGCACACCTTGTCGAGCTGCTCCGTGACGTTCCCGTAGAAGGTGGCGGTTCGGTCGTTTTGGGCGTTTTCGTCTAGTCGCACTATGTACACAAACGTGCCCGGGTTGACTTGTTGGACTAGCTCCCCGACCGACTGGATGCCTTCGGCCGAGTAGCTGTCGCCAAGCCCATGCCAGATTACGACCGGTAGGGGTGTGTCGTCGTCCTCATTGATGTTGATGGAGACGGGGTGTTGGTCGGTGGGGGTGGCTAAGACGGAGGCGATGGAGCTCGCGAGCGTCGCGAGGACGGGGAGTTTGCGTAGAGAGGGCATCTTGCGATTCGATGAGCGCATCGGTTGTAGATACTATGAGTGCTGTGCTATATACGAATAGGATGTTTGATAAGCTCACCTCTCGAAGCTGGATGTTCTATCGATGATTTGGAGGTCAGGAGGATTGTTCGCTGCGAATGGCGAGTTGCAGTTGGGGGAGGGAAGCAGCTGTGTCGTATGTGGTAGCTCGTCTGAGCTGAGCTGCCTGGAACTTCAGTATCTGAAGCTCCTCATTGGATGCATTGCCGCGCAGCCCCGCCAGCTAAGGCTAGGCCCAGTAGAGGCGATTGCAGCTGGCTTGATGGCGCTTATGACTTACACCAGCATCAAAGTCAGGATATGGAAGTTGACATACAGTCGCGAGACAGCAATAACGTGCTTTAGTTGTGTAGGGCGATGGACAGAGTCCCGTCTCTTTCGAGTCGCGTGATTGGCCGGCTCAAGCTCCTGGTGATTCACAGACCAGTGAGTAACAGGATGGATGTGCAAATATGTTGATTCCTCAATTCAAGTCGTGACTTTTTCCTCTTCAGTGCTCCCATTCTCCCAGGTCTTGGTTCACCGACTGCAGCACCCTCTTTCTCTCCCTTTGCGCATCACCAACACCATTCCCATTCCGAGTTCTGAAATCCTCAATCATGCAGCCTGATCGTGATTGGCTGCCGTCCTCCCGCTTGCCCAGATCCAGTACTAGCGAGACGCTAGACGATCCGCCACAACCGCCGCAGGCGCGTTACCCGCGCCCAGCCCAGGCGCTAGCGCCACAGATCACTCGCCAAGCGCCGGCGCTAGCGCGAGAGCCGGCCGGAGATAGCAGCCCTGGGGCACTCCCTGGCGGCCCGATACGCTTACGCGCAAGCCGACCATCAATTCTCGAGCGCGGCGTCTTCAACGATCCTGCTCCACCGGCTGCACCCCAATCCCTTCCTCCCGCAACACCACGAGCCAGATACGTTAGTACTGGTGGTTACCGTGGAACTACACTCGCCGCTGGTAACGGCCCAAGCTTCAATACCGCCGAACAGCACCCAAACCCTCTTTCTTCTAATCCGACAAGACCATTACCTCCTCGCCCACAGGCCTCGCGCCGTGGAGGTGCAGGAGTTGCCCAAGCACACCGCGAGAGCTTCGGTCACAGAACCTCAATCTATCGCAATCAGGTTTCCAGCCAAGATCCCGTTGACTCGGATGATGAGAGCGAAGCGTCAGACGATACGATCACGCCCGAAAGATACAAGCAAATTGTCCGCCGACAGAGGGACAGAGAAGTGTTAGAAGCGTACAATCGCGAAGCCAGAGATCTCCTCGACCAGCTGCATAGAGCCTCTGCAATCTAGGAGCCTGAGGTCCCTGAGGTGCCTGTGCACAGAGAGGGAACCCGGCTAGAGCGAGTGCCTACTGTGCATAGTTCTCTGGCGAACCTGGGGAGCGACGCTTCTTCTTCTTCAAGCAATTAGGGACTCGCGTAGAGCTTCGGATCGACTACACCCTCTCGATACCTCTCTCGACAACTCCTTCCCAACACCTCTCTCTACCTCTCGCGATACGTATTCTCTTGATACCTCAATCTAGACACCTCCCTCATTCTCTAGCGCCATCAACCAACATTTGCCCCCATCAGCAGCATGGCCCCCGACAGTCCTGTCAGGAACACCTCGCCTGGCATGGCTGAGGTCGACACTGAGGCTCCTCCCTCTCCCTCTTCGTATCCACCCTTGGGAGCAATCAAAGTTAGCAGACAGTATTTCTATGAACTTACTATCCGACGGAAGCTTGCAAACCATGGAAACGATGCGACGAGAGAGACCAACTATCGCCTTCAAGGCATAAACCTGATTCAGGAGGTGCGCACGGCTTTGGGAATGTAAGTGGTTACTCTGTCTTTTGCTCACCCTACTCCTGTCCTATCGTCTTGCTATCTTTTACCTGTCCGCGAGGATTTGTTCTAATTCATGTACTAATTCATGTACTATTTCAGGCCCATCAATACCTATACTGCTGCTTGCACATTCTATCATCGCTTTCGCCTCAAGTACCCCGGAAGCGAGTACAACTGCAATGACGCTGCGCTGGCTTGCCTCTGGGCTGCATGCAAGTCTGAGGATACTCTGAAGAAGTCAAAGGAAATCTTGTGTGCTAGCTACAACATTAAGAATCCGGGCAGCCACACCCATCCCGATGACAAGGTATGTTTCCCTGCTGTATTGTGCGGCCTTTCTAGTGCTAAAACCAGACAATAGATCTTTGAGAATCAGGCCAAGATGCTCATTGGGCTCGAGCGGCACATTATCGAGACCTTACGATTCGACTTCAGAGTGCGGTACCCGCAGACGATCCTCTGCAAGCTTGTTAAAGAGATCGCGGGATCTGGAACCCTTGCCAAACAATTCTACGGTATGGCCTTCCAGATGTCGGTCGACATGTACAAGACATTCGCACCGATGAAGCAGACCACGTTCACTTGCGCTGTCATGGTGGCTCAACTGACCTCACTTATCACCAACCAATTTCGTGACAAGTTCATGGCCTTGGATTTCGCGAAGTACCATACTCGCTTGCACTTCGTCTCTGAAATCATGCTTGACGTCCTGGATCTCTACACCGATCATCACAACTCCACCCTGCTCGGCAAGGTTTTTGACGTGCAGGTCTTCATTAACGTTAAGATCCGCGTCAACGCAAAGCTCGAAGAGTCTCGTACTGCCCGCTACTTCAACTATTGCGCCAAATGCTTCAGCAACCCTGCCCCCCCTTCTCCTTCCGACGGCTCACCCGCGTCGCCCCATAGCACTGCAGGCACCAACAGTACCATTAAGCGTGGGACTAGGAGACCCGATGAGACTATACGTTTCCTCTTTGATGCTGCTGAGGCTCGCCACGAGCACGAGACTTACGAACATCTTGTTGACGACGAGTACGAGGAAGTGCAGGTGGAAGTGGAGGTGCCGATTTCGGACGACGATCGGGAGCGTGACCCTCGCCCGCCTCGAGAACCTCGTGGACACCCTCGAGAATTCCCCCGAGATGCCCCTCGCGAACCTCATCGGGACCCCCCTCGAGACGCCCCTCGTGAACCCAGCGGACCTCCTCGAGACGCCCCACGCGAACCCCGTGGACCTCGTGAGATTCGTGGTGGGCCCCGGGGCCCTCGTGGAGATGGTCGTGGTCGTGGTCGAGGTGGATCTGGCCCTGGCAACCGTGGCGGATTTGGACCAGCTCGTGGAGGTCGAGGTGGATTTGACCGTGGTGGTTTTGGACCAGCTCGTGGAGGTCGTGGTGGGTTCGACCCTGGTTGGCACCCTGGCAACCGCGATCGCCGCCGAGGTGGCTGGTAGTAACCTCCACGATCGCTTGATCCTTGGTTTCCCAGTCTGCACACCACCCTGATCTTCAGGATGGCAGTTCGATACAAGGCCTTAGCAAAGTTGGCATCGGAATGGAGTTCATGGAAGATACCCCTTTGCATTTCCGGCCAGAGGATGGCCTCTATATTGGGCAAGATGCTCTACGTCTACGAGGTGAAAATCTCTTGCTGATACAGAATGCAGCTAGTTCATAGTCTGCGACGGGGCGGGTTGTCCCTGAGATAAATAAAATCTGGTGTTGATGAAATAATCGGACTTTGGTAGTGTTGCCGTGATACAGCCTGGATAGTACACTAAACCCTCATAAGTCTCCGTACACCCCTCATACACCAAGTGAAAGGTAAGTTCAGCATAAATGCAATAATCAGGCTGGAATAAGCATCGAAGATAACTTTAGCTATGAACTGCTTATTCCTGTCTGCTTATTCCAGTATTTTCAGTTCTTACTTGTGATGTGGAATTCTTCCAACATGGCTCGTACGGGGACTTATGAGGGCTGAGTGTAACGTCTAAATGATCCAGGTGATATCAATTATGCAACGAAGTACAACGGGTATGTCTGGCACTGCCTTGAAGATACCTATGAAGTTTTACGCATGAGCGCCGTCAGATGAAAATCATTACAGTATCGGAATCGGGTTCACACTGTCGAAATCAGAATTGAAGCCCCGAGTCACGTACTGTCCCTACACCTTTGCACCTCAACACAGCGTCCCGAGTAGGGTCGGCAGAAGCTGGCATTATATGAAGGATATGTCCTTTTAGTGACATACGGATTGAGCCAACACCCCGGACGCGTTCAGTCATCTACCGCGAGTGCCGTGATCCATCCGCCAGGACTACTTACCATGCCCCGCAAGGTTCATCCATCCCCCTCATCCATCCATCCATACCCCAAAGTCCAAGTCCAAGAACTGACATTCGAACCCCCCGAACGAACAGATCAGAGTCCCCGCCGACGCGGCCCAGAACCGCCAGAACCAGCAGCGCAGCCGCGCCCGTCAGCGCGAGTACGTCGCGGACCTCGAGCGCAGGGTCCGCGCGTACGAGGCCCGGGATGCGCGGGCTACGGTTGAGATGCAGCGCGCGGCGCGGGAGGTCGCGTGGCGAAATGAGAGGCTGGTGGCTATGTTAAGGAGTAGGGGGGTGTCTGCTGAGGAGATTGAGAGATTTTTGAGGGCGGGAGAGGGAGAGGGGGCGGCGGGTGAGGGTGAGGTGGGCTTAATGAGAGCTGGTCGGGGCGTGGAGGTCGGGAGAGGCTCCGATGGCCGGGCTGGAGCTGATGGTGGCGAGTCTCGGGCTGGCTTGGGTATGGATGTCGCGGTCACACCGCTGTCTCCGCCGAGGGTAGCCCAGAGTTCGTCTGCGGTGGATGTGGTTGGACGCGCAGCCCGGCAGGCCATTTTCAGTCCCGCAAGCCCGGAAGCGCAAAGCAGTGTCGCTGATCCTGCCGCCGCCGCGGAACCAATGGACAACCAAGAACTCGCAGTGTGCAATGGGGCATTGAGTGTGTCTGGATCGCACGAGAGCGCCGGTACAGATTCGCGAGTGCTGATGACGTCCTGCGATGCCGCGGCTAGCATCATCGCCGATTTTCATGGACATGGAGATGCTACGGAGGCGCGGATGATACTGGGCTGTGGCAGCAAAAGCAACTGCCACGTCAAGAACACGCGGTTGTTTCAGCTCATGGACGAAGCAGGTTGAATCACACTCGATTACTTTGCGACTACATGCAGGCCCTGATACTCCGCGTGGTCTGTGTCTGTCGAGGACTTCCCAATTACCAGAAGACATAGTACAATTACGCGCAGTTGGTAGCCATTTCAATCTTTCCAGGCCAATCTGTTTCCGATCCACTTGACGACATACACCAGCCCAAGCAAGACGGGCACTTCGATCAGAGGCCCAACCGTGGCCGCCAGAGCCTGATCGCTATGAGGGCCATAAGTAGCGACGGCGACCGCAATGGCGAGCTCGAAATTGTTGCTCGCCGCCGTGAAGCTCTGCGTGGCACCAAGCGCGTACCCGAAGCCGCACCGGTATGTCGCCCACAGAGTCAGGAAGAAGATGGCGACGAAGTACAGAAGCAGCGGCACCGCCACGCGCACGACAGACACGATCTGGTGGACCACCTGATGGCCTTGGTACGCGAAGAGGACCAGGATCGTGTACAGCAGGCCGATTAGCGACCAAGGCGCTACGAAACGCAGGAACACCTTCTCGTACCACGCCGGCCCGGCCACGGCACGGATCCCGAAGCGCGATATCACCGCCGCGCCGAGGGGGATGCCGAGGAATACCGCTACGCTGGTGGCGACGACGTCGTAGGGGACGTCGAGCTGTCCGGACTCGCCGCTGATGACGCGGATGAAGAAGATGGCCAGCGGGGCGAATAGGATCATCTGCAGGATCGAGTTGATGGCGACTAGGATGGCGCAGTACTCTCCGTCGCCGCCTGCCAGCCCGGTCCAGATCAAGACCTGTGATCGCGGTTAGAAGTCGAAGATGGCTGACTGACTGACTGGGTGGGGATAGTGACAGCTTCTTACCATGGCAATGCAGCGGCCTAGTCCTACTAATATAAGACCCGTCCGGAGCTCAGGTTTGTCGGGCAGGCAAGCCCACCCGAGCGCAAGCTGCCATCGAGTAAATACGTTAGTCATAAACGTGCCGTACTGGCAAGAAAGAGAAGAGAGTCTAGTGGATTTGGGCGAGAACGAGAATAAGCCACGAACCATCAAAAAGGGCGCCACGACCCAGTTCACGAAGACGCTAAAACCGATCTGCTTCCAGATGCCCCGATGAGAAAAGACCTCGTGTAGCGTCTCGTACCGGACCTTGCACAGAATCGGATACATCATGACGAGCAGCCCAACAGCTACAAGCCCGTGTCAGTTCACGGATCTATAGCATATGCCTCCCTCGAACTCACTGATGGGCACCGAGACGCCGACGAACCTCCCCTGGTCCAGGGCGTCGGATATTCCTGGCACGAAGTTTCCCAGCACGACGCCGACGATCATGGCGAGCAGGATCCAGACGGCGAGGAAGCGGTTCAGCCAGCCGAGCGACTTGAAGGCGGATTGCTTGGGGTCGTGGTGGGCCTGGGGGACATCATCGTTTTGGCGTTCGAGGTCTGGCTCTTTTTGCTCGCTGTGAGGTACTGCCGAGGAGTCGAGGTTGAACGAGTCCGTGGTCTGTACCTTTATGCTCTTAGTCTCCATATCCGGGTGTTTCGTGGTTGTCGTGGTTGTATCTGGCGCCATAGTATTAGTTACACACGAGAGACAGTTCAGCAGTGAGCTCGCTTGACGACGATAAGTAAGGGTGGGATCAAGTGAATATCAGGACCGATATTATCTACACAGAGTGTCTGCAGTTGCTTGACCACGGCGTTGTCTTGACTTATAAGTTATACCCGCCTTGCACGGTATCGAACACGGTACATGTATGTGGACAGGCGGCCGACCAATCAGGTTAGGGGCATGACAGTTTCCCCAATTCCGCCCGCCTAGGTAGACAGCCCTGTGGCTCCTCAACCCATTTTCCAGCCACAATGACGGATGGGTCACGGGCCAGGGTACAAGGTACCTTGGAGCCCAACTGGTACCCGTTTGTACCAGATTCGTACCCAACTGGGATGATAGCTACTTCTGGGATGGGGACACCACCCATCCCTTCTTTCAATCAAGCAACTTCCAGAATACAGACCAATAGCCACCATTCGCGACCCTGGTCCTTATTCTGGATACCGCTACCACAAGGCACAGCCCTGCGAAATAAGTGTGGCCAATCAAGTGAGGGGCATAACAGTTCCCCTTCCCCCCTTTTCGGCCCTCTGGTAAGGACGCTGGCTTCCATTGTCGTCTGGGTATATCGCGCACATACCTACACCACAAGTCGGGTAACAGTCATCAGCATCGAAGGACGAGAAATTCATATCAAACCCCTGACCACGCTATAATAGCTGTATTCAGTGACTAAAGGGATACGCTACTGTGCTTTAACAAATGTCCAAACCGGATAATCCCCTCCTCCACCCTTGCATCAGCATCTCAGCAAGGCTCGAGCCAATAAACTTGACTCTCTGGTCATTTCGTATTCCGACGACCTTCCTACCGACCTTCCTACCGACCTTCTCACCTTCTCCAGACTAAGTAGAATACCGTTCAGCTTCCGACTGATGAGGTCCTTCTCCTCGTCGTCAGCCCAGCCGATGATCTCAATGATTTCGGGAACCTCAGCTCCCCACCGCCTCTGAAGCACACCGCACACGAAATCCACCTTGCGGCAGCATCCCATGGGACAGAAGCATGTCTCGAGACTCAGCTGAAGACGCTTGAGTGGTCCGTCCCGGTACATGATGGTGTTGAGGTCCAATTCCCAATCGGTGCTGATAGCCTCCCATTGGTCATCGTGAATTCTGGCGAGTCTTTGCTCATGAGGGATCTTTGTGGCCTGGTCGACTGCGTAGAGGCATCCAAGCTGATGTCCGTCTTTTAGCTCCCCCCTGTCAAACGTGAGGCTGACATCCCACGCTAAGTCTTCGTGCCCCCTCAGGCAAGGTGCATAAGGTAAAACGAATCGATTATGTGACCAGAATATCCCCTCGGCTTCCCTCCGCACCGTCCTGCAGACCCCCCACACAAGACTGGGGTTGTACGTAGCATTTTCTCCCCCGACCGCCTAGGAAGGTCGTTAGTCAGACGTATTAGGTTGGATGCATCATCATGGACGCGTGTATGGCTCACGTTGGTTAAACGGCCTACATAGTGTGTGTAGCGAAGATAGCGCCTCCCACTGAAGTCATACAGTTGGGAATCCTCCAATTTCTCGGGTCTGTAGTCGGTGCCTTCATTTGGGATGAAGAGGTCACCCACAACAAGGAGATGCTTGTAGACCATATTACGCAACTCTATCGGCAGGTCCAGGAAACCGAAGAACTCGTGCCCTCGGCGTCGCAATCGCTGCACTTGCCGGTGATCTGGTGGAGTATCTGCAGCACCATCACTAGCCTGTTGGGACCCCAGATCCTCGTAGTATAAGGCAAGACGCTGATGCCATCCTATGAAGCGTAGATACAGGAACTCACGCACCACGTGTGGAGGAGCATTGTCGGAGGGGGGGGCGAAACCATGGGGCTTTCTACGCCTTGGCTATCTTCTTCCAAAGGACCATGACTGCTGGCCAATATCCAGTCGCGGCTGGTGGTTGATGGTCTTCGAAGGGAGTCTCGTCGGGGGTAGTTTCGTCGGAAGGGGGGAGAAACCATGGGGCTTCCTACGCCTTGGATATCTCCATGTCGAGCACCTTCACCTGCATGACTGCTGACCAATGTCCAGTTGCGGCTGGTTTTCAATGGTCTCCGAAGGGCTGTCTGGCGTCCGAGAACGATATTATGTGGAGAAAGACGACATCGTGAAAGTGATGATGGCTAGCACTGATGGTGGTTGGGATGGGGAGTCTGCAAAAGCAAGGAAGAAGAGCTCTTTGCAGATGGGCAGACTGTGGGATTGTTGGCGTGGGAAGTCCCTTCATGTGAGGAAGGTATGACCTAAGTAGCCATACCTGGCTCGAAGAATCTCGAGACTGATGAGTGTGCCGGAAGGTGGCCAATGTGGTATTGCAGTGTTGCTCCTGCCTCTCGTACTAAACGATATGTCCTATGTCCGCGTTCCATTCGTGTGAAGGCAACTAGCCCTGCAAGTGCCCCACGCCCCTGCCTTGGTTGCCTCCAATCTGGAAGTGAGGAGGCAAGAAACTACAACTAGGTACTATAAGAATTGTCACAACCGAGTCACAATCACCCCCGGTAATATCCATATAAACACGAGCTACCTACTACATGTACAACCCAGCTCTCAATGAATAAATGGTCTAGCCGCAGAAAACACCTATATGTTAGCTTCTTCTCCGTCCACCGAAACTTCCATTCGCATTGCATCTTGTGGCATTGTGACGTGTGTTGTCGCTCGCCGCCGGGGAAACAATTATCACTGTTGTCCGAATACAGCGATCCCTTTGCCCCTCAGGGAGCAGCCCTCGGATTTGCCCATGTGTGTAGTTTGGTTGTCCGGCGCATACTAGCATCTTACCTGCTGCCGTGCGTGCTGCCAATCCATGCGACACCAAGACCAAGGCGAAGAGAGGACGGGACACTCACCAAGGTGCAGCAGGCGTCGTAAGGAGGGCCGGGCACGTATTGGTTTCCCCCCTCCTTGTAGCAGTAGCGGTACGAGGAGCCGGAGGCGACCCAGGCGCCAGTGCAATTAAAGCCGGTGAAGGTGTCAGGTCCGCTGGGCTCGTACGGGTAACGGAACACAGCAGCGTTCAAATAGGGGTGGTTCGCCGCACAAAACCCATATGTCATTGGATTGGGCCTGCACCGCTGGCCCGAGAACCAGGGTCGCGGCGACGAGACTGCGCATCAAGGCGGACGACACTAATCATGGTGGATGGGATTGGCCGGATGAGTGGACTGGTTGGTAATTGATGATTGATACTGGCGGCTATCTGGAACTCGTAATGAATACGGATCGGATCGCTGGCACACGAATAAAATGAAATGCCCTTTAATAAGAAAGCCAGTCTTTTATATAACCAGCATCAGGCTTCTAGGACTTATTTCCTTACAAACAAATACGAAGTGATATGCTGTAGCCTGTAAGCGATCAAGTTGTATTAAGTAGGCAGGTCGATTATATAGACGAGGCATGCATGACATGATGCATGAAGGATACATGAGGTACTTCATATAATTAATCTGAAGTCGTCCGTGTTTCTTTTCTTCCGTTACCTGATATTGAGTCGTGAACGTCTTCGACGTGCTGTCGGGATCGCTACACGAGCGCGGGTCCCCAATCGTGTCAAACGCACATGCTCAAATCGGCATCTTGTCTCTCCTTTTCCGTCATCCACGCCAATTCACTACCCGAATATAAAATCCGGCCGGCCCTGGAACCACTCATCCCAAGTAACACCCGTCCCCTCCAGCGCCCGCGGCCGCATCAGCCGCCCACTTGCCCCTGAGCTCATCGACGGCGCTGACCGGGCCAAACGTGCCCAGCATCCGGCCCAGCATCTCCAGGCCGTGGACGATGAACTCCTGCAGCGCCTTCTCGCCCTGGCCCGCCTCCATGCCGCAGACGAAGACGGGGAAGAACACCAGCTTGCCCAGGTGCTTCGTGCTGGCGGAATCGGAGAAGATCGGGGCGAGGGCGCTGGCGAGGACTCGTCGCGTCTCGAGTCGGAGGGTTGCGATTTCTAGGGATGGGTTGGCCTCGTGTAGGTAGCTCTTGTCCTCTGATATGTCGAGGACTAGTGTTCGGAGCATGTACAGCAGGATGCCGGCGCGGTATATGATGCCGACGTTGAGCCAGAGATCGGCGTCCGGCACGACTGATGACAATGTAGTGGCGTGGGAGGTTTCGGCGGTAGAAGGGGATTCTGACCTAGCAGTTGCCTGGTCCTGAGACGTGAGGGACTTGTCGAATTTTACACCACTGCCAGTCTTCTTCCAGCCCCTGAATCCCCTCAATTCGGAACGCCCACGCTGCCGGGTCGAAGGACAGGATCTTGGCCAACACCATTCGAGTTCCTGCCCTCCTCCTCGAGACCAGGTTGCGTCTCCGCGATAGGGGTACCAGGTTAGGAGCGAGCGAACGTGATTCCCTCTTGCATGGCCCGGTGTAGGGTGGCCGACGTGACAACAAGAATGATATATATCCTGGGTATCATGTCCATCCGATTCACATTGATCTTGTAGGGGTTAAAATGTGACCCGATGGCGATAAGGTCTCCGGCCACACGTTCGTTGACTGTAGCTCATATTGGTTAGTCATTCATGGCAGACAAGGTGTCTTACATAGGTATCGGGTGAGACTCACAATATTGAAGCCCCTCGAAAACTATCTGCGCCTCATTATAGAGCTCGGGTGTTGGATCCCGAGCGATGATGGCTGGCTACCGAGCGCAACATTACCATCAACGCCCCCAGAAACAACCGAACTTGCACTATGCCCAATGGAATCATAGCTCGTGCGACATGTATGATATCGCAGGGGGAGAAGAAGAGAGAAGGAAAGACATGGTCGATGACCAGCCATCAGATGCACTCGACTCTGGCCGCAGCTTTCCCACCAACATATTCATGTGGTCGTGATTGCCGGCGAACGGCAGGACGATAGCTTCATCCATTCAGACCCGGATCCTATATAGGTTGGAAGATAGAGAGCAATGGGCTTGGAGAGGACAGAAGAAGATAGGACCAACAAAAGCTCATTAGGCGCAGCTGGCAACATGAGCGCCACGCAACGGGATGCTACCGCACCAGTTCCGGAGCATGGGGTAGTAGGGATGACAGTGACGACTCAGGCTGAAAGTACTGTCAGATCATCATGGAAGCACTCGCTTACATGGCATATAGAAGGCTGAATGGTAGGACACATCCTTCAAGTTACATGTGTTACTTGGGGCAATGTATAACACGGAGAACGCAGCTGCACATGATGCCGCATGGGTATTTCTACAGTTCCAGCTGTCAAGCAGCGAGGTTGCATTCTGATGTTCTCGAAGTCTGCAGTGTTGGCGGTTGCAGGTTGGCGGCCTCGGTTCGAGATGTGTAGATGTGCATGTAAGATTCAACTTCATGTCTGTTTCCTTCTGACCGACTGGAGGTTTTCCTCACGCCAAGCACCATTCATTACCTATTCAACTACGTCGAGTTGGTGGCAGGACTTGAGTGTAAGTGTAGCAGAAAATACTGCAGGTATTCCTGAATTTCCCGTCGGCAGGGCTGACGATGATGATATAGCCTTACGGTTTTGCCGAGATCTCAGCGCGTCCCTGGTGGGGACTGGTCAGTCCCCGCTCAACTTCACCTTTCTGCGCAATGGCACAGTGACCCAGATGGAGACTGTATCCAGACTTCCTTGACCGCATTCGACACGGCCTTTCCGGGTTTGATCGTGGAACAGCGGTTTAGTGACTCTCTGGCTACTCGTCTTCTGTCTTCGACTACTACGGAGGGGTGGACATCGGAGGACGTTTGATCCCGATAGGCCCAATGCTGCTGATGATCAGGTGTACTGGGCCGGTGCCCCAGGGGTTCTTGACGATGGTTGCCATGGGATTTTGCTCTCGTCCCTTACCAGCAAACCCTAAATGCTATGTTTGACTTTTCCGAGCAGGTCGCCTCGCGGGTACCTGCTCAAGACAGTGACTATAGTCAATACCAGAAAATAGGAGTTCTTCTAAGAGCCCACGAATTCGCTTCACAATTTGTCAACAAATGGGCAATGTCGTTGATCTCGATCAGACTGCTTTCTCGCAACCAACTGTCTCGCTCCTGACCTATCAGGAGCAATTACCATTCCAACTGGACTCAATTGGCAGCTCGCCGTTGTCTGGGCTTCTTGTCGGCGACAGTGACCGCTCGGGGGCCTCTTTCGCAAGCAGGTCACGTCTGTTGTGTTGTATGTTCTGAACAGGTCTCCAAGCTTGCCCAGCTCCCATGTCCCCCACTGACCTCTTTCAGGCAGCACGAACGCCACCATGTCAGGCCTTTCATTTGTGAAGAACCAGCATGCCTGCAGAATGACTTCCATTTTCTTTCAAAGCGAGACCTCGCAAGACATCGCAACCAGATTCATCGACAATTGTTCCTCGAATGTCTCCACTGCACCAGGAGACTTGAGCGTAAGCGAAGCGACAACCTGAAGAGATATATCAGGAAATTTCATGGGAGTGAACAAAATTAGGGGTTGTTGCGGCACGGGGTCGATATCCTTCCATGTCGTAGATGGTGATCGAGCGGCTCAGCCGCATAAGACTGTATATGTTATGAAACCAGAGTATTGCACAACAAATCAATTACTTACTTCCCTACCTGCCTCTCTATCTTGCTTGCTGATATGGCATTATGAAGTGACAGTGATCATCTGGTATAGTAGGTCCATAAGAATGGTACGGTTAGGATTGAGTGTTGTCTCTACTGGAGTCGATGTTCCACGAGAGTACGGGTAATATGGCCAGCTAGGGGGAAGCAAATACGATGATGGTGACGATAGCCAGCAGATGTATGGTGGTTTGTGACATAAGCAAGCGGGCAGGGCTGATGACCAGCTGGCAGCAGATATGAAAAGCGACTCCATGCAGAGAACATCAAGGTTCGCTGGCCTTAAAAGAAGGCGTTCGTCTGCTCAAAAAGTGATGATGAAATGGTCACAAACTGGGTGGTGTGAATCGCGGGCAGGCAGGTTTGGCAAGCTGAGCTAGCGCCGCCGGCGCTCGGACCACCAGAGCTAAAAGTGCAGGAGGGGAGCCCCGCGGCGACGAACAAACAGTGCGCCGATCCCCTGAAGCCCGCCTATGACGCACCGGCCACAGCCCAGAACCTGCCAAATCCCCCAAATCCCCAAGACCCAGCCCGTAGTGTCAGTGCGGAAGTGCACAGAGGCCTGTGACAAACCCCCGTCGTCATTTTGTCATTATTCCCACTTTGAGCCTGATCCAGCCACCTCACAACCCAGACAGCCAGACTCCATTCTCTGCTATCCGGGTCCGGCGTCGTCACCGCACAAAAACCACCGCCCCTCCCTTGCTTCTACCACCTCCGCCTCGAGCACACGACACTGCGAACCACTCAAGAACATTCCAACCAAGCAAATTCTTAGTATATACCGGCAATCCTCATTCTTGTCCTTCTCGCCGCCCTCCGCTCAAGAAGCACAACAACAGCCGATATGGCCCCTCCTCCTAATGCGAACCTGCCGCTCGGCGAGAGGATTCTAGCACTTGTGAAGACCCTACAATGTAAGTTCTCGTGTGATCACTTCCAGTTACAATGCGAGATCGCTGCTGACACCCTTATCCTACAGTCGCTTGGTTCACCGGGTACGTGAAGCTCTGATCTACCTTGACCGACTCCTAGACTTGCTGCGATGCTCCGCACCCTGCCTTCGGGCGCCTGCTTTCGCGCCTGCTTTCCAACCCTCTACAATAAGACTCGAAAGCGCAGCAATGTGATGGCCCTGGCGCTGACTTGCCATCTTTCTCTAGACACTTGGTGCTGCTCCTCTGCTTCGTCCGATATGGCCTTTCCTACGTGACCATGAATTATTACAGTCGCATGGCCCGCTTCACCTACCGCACCACCTTCCTCTCGGCCGCTCTGACGTACGGTATCGTGGTCTACAAGACTTGGCGAGCTCGACAAAAGGTTGGGGCCAAGCAACCAGGCGGTGCTGTCGGAATCCTCTCTGATGAGAATGTCCAATATCTCGGTATGTCTTCCTACCTCTCTCCTACCACCGGTCCTGTCAAACGTGACCTCACTGACCACTCTCCGAAGCTATGGCGCTGGTCTGGCTTTCCACCCCTCAGTACCCCCTCGCCATGCTTCCCTATGCCATCTACTCGGTCTTCCATGTCGCGACCTACACCCGCAACAACGTCATCCCCACCATCCAGCCCAACAAGGCTGCCGCTAGTGCCTCCCCCGGTGCCAAGCCACCCGGAAACCCCATTGCTGAGTCGATTGGCTCTTTCGTCAAGGCTTACTATGACACATCCATGTCTATTGTCTCGGGTTTGGAGATTCTTCTCTGGGTACGCCTGCTCCTTGCTGCTGTTCTCTTCCAGCGCCGTTCATGGATCTTGATTGCCATCTACACGGCCTTCCTGCGAGCCCGGTTCTCTCAGAGCACCCACGTTCAGAACTCCTTCAGTGCGTTCGAGTCTCGTGTGGATAACTTGGTTGGCGCTCAAGGCACACTGCCGGCTGCGCGATCAGCCTGGGAAGGGGTCAAGGGCGGTGCTCGTCAGTTCCACGCTGCTACGGATCTCAGCAAGTACATCAACAACGGATCCGCGGCACCCAAGAAGACCTCTTAAGGCAGTATGCGATGATACCACCTCGATCAGATTGGTTACAGTTGGACGCCTATGGTGATATGGTATGAAGACGTATATGGGCCAGGACGGAAGGGGTAATGAGAGTCGGCACAATGATGATGGCAAAAATTTCCGTTTCGGTGGACAGGAAAAACGAAGCCAGGAGAAATTGGACTCTGGTTGAGATGCGGACAGCAGCCAATGGTTTCCAGAGTCTACCCTGGATGGCAAAAAGCTTTATGCGGTTCACCTGGTTTACTGCTTCTCCAGGAGTTGGTACGGTTGGTCTGGCGGTATGGAGAAATCAAGGGACTTGTATTGCACTAAGGTCATCGCTTTCCTGTCTACTGGTTTCAATAATTCCTAGCATGACACGCATTTTGTTCCGCAACACGAGTTTTGAAGCATGTGATGTGACGAAGCAAAGTATACTAACATGACTATCTAGGCAGTGCTGGCCTATACCCCTAGCCGGCGTCTCCCAAGCACATGCGATCGGATTCGTCAAGACGTTGCGCACAAAACTTGCCAATGCGAGTCTGACCCGCCTAGCCATTGTCAGGCGGCCGTGATGACGTCTTTCATGAACCAACACCAGCATGCCAATCCTCGGACCCGTAACGGCGCGGTGCGATCAACGACTAGCATGTGCTGAGGATCTACAGTAGATCCAGTAAGGTGGGCCAAGCAACATGCATTATCCCGACAGCAACGCGGACCTGCACGCACGTTGGGATCAATGGGATTGTTTATCGACATCTCAAGTACCTACTCATCTGCTCCCGAGGAAAGGATATTCCACTCCTGGTTCTACATCTTTTTTTACTCTTGCCACGAGTTGACTGTCGCTGACAAGTGGTTTGATCTCACCCCCTTTGTTTCAGTATTTGCTGGACGGGCATGCTGCATGGTCTCCTCCCCTATCTTCCTGGTGAGATCTGCTTCTGTAAGGGTTCTGACCTGCTTGTCGGCGTCCTACTTCGAGGCTTTACCCTACCATCGTGTCTTGGTCTCCGCTTTTAACTGATGATTATGCAGCCCGGTCATCGGAAATGGGGTTGTTATGTGGGCGTGAGCAAGCTGCGAGATACTCTTGTGAGAGCGCAGGCTTGGGTTTGATAGCGGCACGCGTCTTCGCATCGTTCCTGTCTTTGGCACCGCAAGCATCATTGACTCTTTGATCCGTCAAACCTGTGAATTTGTTCTTCAGGGTCGGGCAGTTTGATCAAAGAGCCAAGGGCTATGAGTCGAGTGAAGTTTACCAATTGTCTAACATGTCTCAAAGGAAGAGTCATGGTGGAAAACACTCTGTGATATGTGATTGCATACTGGGAGTCTAACAAGGAGCGCGTAGGCCGAGGGAAGTAACATGTCCAGGAGACTGCGGATCCCCAGGGCACGTTAGGAGCCATACTCTACCGGACTGAGCCACTTACGGTTCCTGTGATCTAGAGATTCTGGGGATGACAGCTGCAGCCATAGCGAGGAGGGGTCCGTTTCGACCGCGGAAGAGGGAGGCGCAGATGATATTCTGACAACAGAGTACGACGAGGACGCCCTAGGAGACGAGATATGGGACTGACGAGGACCACAAAACTATGGTCTACAAATATCTGGCAGTACCGCAGCATCGGGCGACTATGCGAGGGTCTTAGCGGGCTCAAGGAGGAGCTGCGCCAGCCGTGCCGGCCTGGGCTGGTGTGGCGGCAAGCACACGAAGGAGCGCACCGTCTTCATGAAGGAGATGTAGACGGTCGAATTTCGCGTCATGCAGGGCACGCTCGACGTCGATCCTGTTATCCATTGGATCACGGTGCTGAAGCACGTCGTCCGCGCCGCGCGGGATCTGTCGGCGGCGGCGTTTCGGAAGCTGCTTGCAGACCATCTGAGGACGAGGCCGGAGCCGCGGTCGAGGTTGCTGCTTGGGTTGCTAGGAGTGCCGAATGCTAGTGGGGACCGATAGTTCAGTCCGAAGAGGAGAGATGCTGCTTTGCAGTGATTTGAGTGCTGGATATGGATAGGGTGGATTGGGGCCAGCCGTTTGGGTGCCTGGATCTAGGGCGACGCATGGTGCGGCGTACGATGATTAGATGTATATCTTTTGAATGTATCAGATCGGATCACTCCCTTCTTGCTCGAGACCTTGAACTCTGGAATATGGAAATCGTGTGGTCAGATGAATAGAGGGGAGAGGTGGGACCGGACAGGCCCTTTTTATACTCCAGCCCTGATTTGGAACCTGTGACCACAGGGTCAAATATTCCTCGAAACCGACGAAGGCTTAGTTTTCCAGCAAGGAGTTTCAACTGTGAAAACTAGTATCGCTCTTCTCGATCTTATCTGTCCGCCCTGAGTAGAAAGGGAGCATCGGACTTAGCTGCGCAGAGGACACCACATGCATATCTGTAAGAGCAGCTCAGCAGGCAAGAAAGCCCCTTAATACTGAAGAGCGTTCACTCAGACCCAAGACTGCAGGGCAGGAGCCGCGAGAATCCACTTCTCTTCCTCGAAGGAGATTTCGGCTGTCACATGTTACTGCCCTCCATAACTTTGTTCCCCCATGGGGACCTGCAAGCTACGAGCGAATCGGGCCACGTATATGTCCCGAGCGACTCGGTTCGCCGCGACTCACGCACTTCTTTTTCTGAACCGACATCTATTCGGCGCTCCAAATGGACTACCCTTCACTTGCTTAATGTCGAGGGATGTGCGTTGGACCAACTCTTGCTAGGCACACCGGTGGAAGGGCCGGATCATCGACGACGAGTTCTTTGTGTCCTGTGACCATGAGCTCGTCCAGTGGACCAAGACTACCCGCGAGTTCCGAGAGCAGCTCGACTCGGGTTGGTATGATATCTGTAACCATATCGCCACAAACAGGGATCCCCATCTTCAACCTACACCTCTGCCAGGGCACCGTAGGTTTCTGCGCTCACTGTCCGACAGACTACACGACGAGGGTCATATGCTACCCTGGGCCTTGGTGGATCGTAGCAGTCACTGCGTTCCATTTAGTTGGGCGGGTTGACACTCGCCGGTCGTTCCGATATGGCATGATCTCGTGGTCGCTCTGAGCATGTACGACGTACTCGAGCGAAACGAAGCAGAGGATCCAAGGGGCACAGCATAAGGAAGAGATGGACTGAGCGAGCGGAACCGCAACTAGTAATCCACAGCACAGCCACAATATGCCAACTCAAAATGCCCCGCCGTACCTGCAGCTTCCCGTCACCAGCCACACCTCAGCCCATGACGTACCATCCAACGGTGCCCAATGTCCCGACTTCCTGCAAGCTGCCAACTGATGATCCCGCATTGCATATGCCTTGCTCAAGGCAAGTTTCCGTGAGATAGCCGGCCAGCCAAGTTTAAGCCAAGTGGGACCTGCATTCCGATACTCGACTTCTTCTCAACCAAGTGGGTTTCGTCCTTCGCGCGCCTGTCCGTCTATCCCCTAGATTAGTCCGGGTTTTTGACCAGCGCAACAAACTCCAAGATCTGTACTGGAGAATGGCGTCTCTGCTTCGCCAGATCGTTGCAGGGCCCCGCGCCAGACACCCCGAGGCAGGACTGGACTTGTGCTATGTCACCGACAACATCATTGCAACGTATGGTGATTTCTAAGCGAACAGTCTACACACTCCCTATGGCACTGGCCAAGCTGACCACGTCTGCGATCGCAGTTCCGGACCCTCCCAATCATACCCCCAACGAGCCTACCGTAACCCGCTTGACCAACTCGTTGCATTTCTCGACTCGAAACATGGGAAGGACTGGGCAATATGGGAATTCCGTGGCGAAGGTACGGGGTACCCGGACTCTCTGGTCTACAATAGAATCCGCCATTACCCCTGGCCCGACCACCATCCACCACCGTTTCGACTCGTACCCATGATCGTCGCGAGCATGCGGAACTGGCTGAGCGGGAACGACCTGGCTGCTGATGGTGTCGGTGCAAGTGATGAAGGCAAGAAGAACATTGTGAGCAAGGTGCTGGATACGTGGAAGGACAATAAGAACGGCCGAGTGGTAGTTGTACATTGCAAAGCTGGCAAGGGCAGGAGCGGTAGCATGGCATGCAGTTTTCTCATTGCCGAGTGTGGATGGACACCAGAGCAGGCACTCGCACGATTCACAGAGCGGAGAATGAGGCCTAAATTTGGTGCTGGAGTTTCCATCCCCAGTCAGCTGAGATGGATTGGCTATGTCGACCGCTGGACCAAGGGGGGAAAGAAATATACCGATCGCCAACTAGAGATCGTCGAGATCCACGTGTGGGGACTGCGCAACGGCGTCAAGCTTTCCGTCGAAGGGTTCGTGGAGGAAGGCAAGAAGATCAAGGTTTTCCACACCTACAACAAGAAAGAGCGCCTCGTCGTTGAAGGCAACCCGCCGGGTAGCACTGGGATGATGGACCAGCTGTACGACATGGCTGGCTATGGCACTAGCCCGACTACAGAACAAGAGGTATTGGACGAGGCGAAAGAGGTGGATGCGCAGAATGGCACCGACTTCGTGGCCAACTCTTCTGGTCCCTCTGGCGGGCCAACCTCGACTGAATCGAAAGGCGTCAATGAACGAACTCCCACGCTTATATCAAAGGTATCACGAAGCGCATCGACCCACTCTAAGACTGGCAAGCCCAAGAAGAGCGTCAAGTTCGAGTCACTGAAATCAGCCAACTCATCGTCGTCTTCACTCCCCAATAACAAGGAGAAGTCCGACCCAGAGCCTGGCGGGATGGCCGTCATATTCAAGTCCCACAAACCAGTCCGGATACCGAATAGCGACGTAAATATTGCGATTGAGCGACGAAACCGGACGCCCAGCACCATGGGTTTGACCATGGTGTCAGCAGTTGCCCACGTCTGGTTCAACGCTTTCTTCGAGGGTAAAGGTCCTGAACAGGACGGCATACCAAATGAGCACGGTGTCTTCGAGATCGAGTGGGACAAGCTGGACGGTATTAAGGGATCTAGCCAGAAGGGAACACGCGCTTGCGATAAGATCGCCGTCGTTTGGCGGTCGGTAGCGCCCGAGGACGGCGCGAAAGAGCCAATTATCCATATACCCGGGACCGATTCATCTGTTCCGCAGATGAAGCCTGCGGACTGGAAAGGCGGCAACGATGAAGATCCTGATACACAGAAACACCTGGGTTTACGCGTGCAGAGTCCGGACAGCGCGAACGTAAGCCAGGCAAGCAGTATAAGGGACGAGCCTCTTGGCGAGAACGAGAGCAAGGAGAAGGAGATTGAGGAGGCTATGGCGGGCCTCCGGACGGATGTGCCTGGACAGGGGGACGACAGTGCAAGCTCAGTTGGCTCTAGCGGCCAGGAGAAAGGAAAGGGAGTAGAAGGCAAGAAGAGTGACGAGGAGAAGCTAGATGCTTATGCTGAGAAGCTGCCTAAGCCTGAGGGTAGTGGGGAGCTGTAACGGCTCGTGACGATCGATGATGGGAACTCATGATAGTCCATTGGCCCTTGGGTTGGAGGTTACAGCTAATGATGGATACCAGAGTTGGGTACCGCATGTGGGAGGCTGGGTATACCTATACAGCATGATGACTGATGGCATGACGATACGAAGCCCCAGAAGGGCCAATTGAGAGCAATTACTTGCAGTGTTGCTATATGTCATGTTCTGGTGAAGCGCTTGGGATGAGCTGGGTAGACAGATGCACTGGACTCTCAGAACGACGACGACGTTACGAGTCTCGAAACCGATCATCGAATAACAGCAAGCTGTTGCAGGATATGGAATGGATCTAGCTACTGTCACGCGTTCTCAGTGGGCTTCGACGATGGGTATCATCTTGGATCAATAATCGATGTTGGGAATGAGGTAGCCCACGATCGACTCCGATTACTTGAGGAGACGTTCCTACCGAGAGATAGGCCTTTCGAACGGGACAGACCCTGTGGTCCGTGATGGGATAGTCCCACCGAGGCCAGTGGTCTCATCTACAAGCTCTATCTCAACCTCTCGTATTGATCGAGGTCGATCTCTTCCAGCTGATCCTTATACGTTCGCCGCGGAAGCTCACTGGCCTAGGGGACGATCCCACTCATTGGCGTCACTGATGATCTTCTGAGGAACGGTCATCCTTACTTATGTGGTTTACGGAGGCCGCGAGCGCTGCCGAAGGCTTCGTACGTGGACCTTTGATGTCCGCTGATAACGCTGATGACTGCCCGCTCAAGATCAGTCGTTTCTCTACATAATGTGAATATTAGCATCGTCGCCTAGCATCTGGCAATGGGATATTCGGCCCCGGGCCCGGTGTGATATCGGCAGGATCGACAGATCACAACCCCGAGGACAGTCCGGCAATATGTCGCCGCGCGTTGACTGGCTATATCACAGCTTACCTGGCTGCCGTGAAGTTTTGTTGAGCTTCTTGGCTGCATCTTCATGCATGCGGTATCACCAAGTGCTACAGCAACCCGCTTCTGCGTTCATGCTTGGGGGTTTTTGAAATCGCAGCCGCTTTCTGGTATATATTACCGTCGCGCTGGCCCGGTTGGCCTGCCGTGACAGCAATATGCGGCACCTGCTTGACGTGCCGGCTAAACTCCTCAACCGAGAAATTTTATGCAAGAGATTATCGGAATTCTGTTGTCGGAAAGTGTTGCTGCCCTGGCTGACCGTCCAGGCACCATATGGCGCCATCCACAACCACCTGTAGCTGTAGCCTCTCCCATCTACTGAAACAGAAAGTCCTTTCGGGATCCTGGCTTGCCTGGATGCGGCAGACTCAGATCACTCGAAGTTCGAGAAGCCACGTCTTCGACTTTTCCTATTTGGAACATCGCAGAAGCTCCCATGCAGTTCGTATGCAGGGCACTGATAACGGGCAAGATCAGCCTGTGACGAGTTCTTCAGCGATTGCGTGCCTGGCAGATCAACAAGGTTTTCGGCCTCTCACGCTGCCACGCACCCCTGAGCATAGGAAGACGCCGAGAAGCACAGAAGGGATCTTGCGCCTTCTCGTCCGCGTCCTCGATTGTCGGGTTGTAGGATCGCCAGGTTGCAGCCCAAAACGTGCTGCGATCGGCACTGCTGCTTGCCCCTTGTCGATGTGGCGGCGCCCCCACCGACCTGAAGCACGGCGGCTCGACGAAAATGGAAAGTCAATGTGGAAGATGTTGCACGAATGGGGATGGGAAGTGGGAGCACGTCTGCAGCCGCAGTGACGTGTGTGATTGGGCGTACGTCGGCGACAAGGACGGCGACAACTTACAAGGACAGCATCGAGTATCTACTGCGCCAAGACAGCCAGCCTCCATCTCTAAGCCGTGGGTAAAGGAGCACCTATGCGACTTGCAAGTGCTGACCGGTTCACGAGAGGACGGCTGTTATCTGAAGACACCACCACCACGTATGCATGCCTAAGCGACGGCGCCGGCTTCCACTATATATCCTGTCGTGACAGCGTCGTCAAGCAGAGCCCACAGCGACGCCAAGCCCGTGATCTACCCGTTCCCTGGTGGACCTATCTAAACCCGCTGCCGGCTTTATTGTTAATATAAATGGAGTGGGAGGGTGTAACGGGTGCATCTAGCCGCGTTGCATAGAGCTGCCAACCTCTCAACCACTCGTGGTAGTATCACCCCACTTCCGATGGACCGCTTCCTCCTCGTCGACAATGCGACATCCCTATCTTGGATGTCAAGCATCCTGTCATCTAAACCTGAAAATTTGCAGCATGTGAAAGAGACGACGACGAGTCAGTGCAGTAGGGTTCGGCATTGATGTCTGCTCAGACTCTTCTGCTCCCCGACTGTGCATAGAGGTATAGCACACACTCATTATGACCAGACGGGCATTCGATAATCTGTCGAAAATTGACACCACCATGCTCAATGGCATTAATCACGTACTGCTACTCTTTGAGTCAGCCCCAAGAACGCCCCACGAGTTCCTACGCCCGCCATACACGTACGCACGGCATACGCCTTCAATGCATGAGTAAGCTAGCCAGGGATGTTGCGAGATGTCACGTCGCTTAGCTAAGGTAGGTAGGTAGGAACAGGGTCCGCTCGTAAACTCTGTTCTGCCGCCCTGAATCGGTATCGGACGACTCCCCATCACGTCAACAAACTCTATCATCGCTTCTCAGGGGTCATGCCCTATCAAGTCGCGGGAAGACGGGGTGTGGTGGTTAATATACACCCTAGCTCGTCCACCCACGTCGATATCTCATCGACGCAAGACTCAGAAGTGCGGCTACACCGGACCCCTGGTCCAATGCCGATCGATTTGTGTGTTTAACCCCCTGACTCGCTTTCTCTCGCTTTCTCAGATAGGCGCGCCTCCGGCCGGGATGAATATCAGGCACACTTGTCAGTCTTGGCTTTGCGATGGTGACTCAAGCTATCGGGCTTAAGGAAACATAGAGTCGAGACTACAGTAAGACGGGAACGACCACCCGGAGCACGTAGTATAGAGAAGATACTGCGGTGCAAGTGCCGATCGCTGCCGTCTGCCATCTGCCGCAAGCAGGGGAAGGCATATAAGGAGGCGTCCCTTTTTTCCTGTGGTCGATGATGATTCCTGAGGTTTCAGTCCGCTCGCCTTCTCTCACTCTCACCACAATCGATCTTCAAGCCACCCGACTGTCGCTATAGTCCCGTATCGTCAGCCATGGCTCGATTCTTCGCTGCTCTGCTGGCCCTTGCTGCCATGCTCCAAGTCGGTGTCGCTGTCCCATTCCCGATCGCCAACGGTACTGTTCCTGAAGCCCCTTCCCCGACGTCGACTGCTACGGCCGGCGTCATCAAGCGCGCCGACTACTTTAACACGACCGCGCGCGCCATCAACTTCAACACGACCTCACCCACGATCAAGTACGAGACACCCACACGTGGCCTGCGCAACTTTCCCGTTGCCCTCCCGCGACCGGCGTAAAGGATAGCTTCGCTCCCATCTTTTAGCAACTCTTGCGGCACCCAAGATACTACAGCTGGCTAGACGGCGGCTATAGGCCGTGTGAAGCCATGCTGCTATAGCACAGGCGCCCCTGAGTCAAGTCGACATCCCCACAATCGACTGACTTGGGGATAGTCGGGTCTGCATCATTCGAAGAACTCAAATCCAAGTCAAGCGTCAACCGACATCTCACTCCCGCAGTCTCGACTTCCGCGAGCTCTATTTTCCCTTCATCTGCGATAGACTACTTCTCTTCACGACACCCGAGGGGCTTCTTAGGGGTCCAGACTTTGGAATAGTCTGGCATTGGGGAAGCTGCTCATTGGCAACCCATGTTCGGCATCGTTGGCTTTCGTTCACTATAGAGGCGCGCTTGGACGGCGGTTTCTATATACCTGCTCCGCTAAGACGGAGTTGAGCGCAAGATACCATTCTGAGGTTCATATAAGCACTACTATCATTCATGTCCGAATATGGCTCCTGACTTCAAATTTATGAACATTTTATCATACAATTTACATGGTCCTCTTCTCGTGAATATTTTATCTGACTTATTGATGCTGCCCCCTTCAGGAGAATCCCCTGTGCATCTTGTTGGGCATTCACTGGAACAATCTCACGATATCAACCCGCATGGTATCATTTCCACTGCCACTCTCGTCACTCTGAACACGGAGGTGAGCGCACGTGCAACCGGCGACGGACTCGACGGGCTGTTCGTCTCATCGCGCTTGGGAATCCTCGACTATATGGACTATCGAAGACAACAGCTTCCTCCCACGGTGAAGACCCATAACTTATATGCGCGTAATTCCATTCAACCCCGTCCAAGTGATGACGATCAGGAGCTGCCCATTCCGAGTCCCCTCCACTGCCATCCAGACTGGCGGACTGACGGAGCTGCCAGTCGGAATATCCCATAGAGATCTAGCTACCTAGGTAGGTACACACGCGTCAGAATCGTCCCCTTCACGATATCTTACTCAGTCGCCTAGCCCATTATTCCCGACACCCCAAGCTACCTAGGTAGGTTCCCGTCCATCCCGCCGCGCCGTCTCATTGACAAGCCCCTGCATGGCCAAGCACGCCACAATCGGACGGACGATCGGACGAACATGTGGAAGTTGAGGATAAAAACGCCACAGCGCTGGGCAGTTTGGTCCCGGTTTTCGATAGTCTCCAATAGATTATGCAACATTCGGAACGTCGTTCTCGCTTCGCGTGGTGTGGCTGCACGGCATGGTTGTGCGGCTGACGACTGCAGTTCGGGGCTTGGGTCCTGTCGTCATTGATTTTGTTGGTTAGGGAATGCAGGATTGTTGGTGATGGCTGCGTCCATGGGAGTTGTTTGGGTTCTCGTGAGGTTGGGCTTGCGAGAGGGCGCCTTGCCATGCTTGTTATGTAGTGTGCTGGGTTGTGGTTCTCGTTGATGAGGGTGTTGTGATACCCTGATCGTGTGCCGGGGACTCGGTTATCTCGATCTGTCGGTTGATCACGTTACACTCACAAAAGAGTTTCCGTTCCGCATATGTGGAGCATATTTGGGCAAGATGGAGGGATAGTTTGATAGCCGAAGCAGCAGTCCAGATCAAAGGGGAAAACAGGGCAAATATACCTCGAAGGTCTACGCCAGTCATCTGGATCTTGTGGTTGAAAAGCCTAGGGTGCGAAGACATTATCAAAGTACATTCCCTGCTTCCAACTGCATGAGCTTCTCGGAAGAGCGTGGGACTACTCACTGCTTGACAACCTAGAGATGGATGCACCAAAATGTGAAGCCACATTAGCGCTATTAGGATTCGAACCTAACACCACATATATGTGATATCTTCAACTAGGTCTTTGCAACGTTTGGCAACAGCTCCTAGGTCGCTTCTCAAGCGTCACTGCCAATCACAGTCGTGGGTAGCATCTTATCTGAATATTTGTATTGCGGAGAATATGATTGTGTTCTCTTCATATCTGGAGGGAAAAGATCCAGAACGCACAACTGGTGGTGCAAGTGATGTAGATACCCGATGTGTGCCTGGAAATAGCCAGATCATCAACCCTATTGCAGCTAACCAATAACATATGCATGGTGTTGCAGTTGTTCGGTGGGAGTCCAGTTCGCCAATGATAAGGAATGCTCTCTAATCTATTTGAAGTTCACACATCTAGCGAACACGAAGCCCATCGCGAGACCCATCACCAGGATGACCGGTTTGTCGGGAGATGCCGAATATAGCCGTGTTTTCTTGTCCGCTGGGGTAGGCTCAGTCTGTGATAAGATTCGATGAACTCCTTGGCCCGGGGACTGAAGAGCCTGGCCTGTGTGCGTCTGGCTTCCTTTATCTAATCCTCCGCGGGGCGGCCTTCTTGTCCCACTGCTTCGTCCAGTCTGAGCTGCATGCTTTCCGACTTGTTGATAAGGTCTTCTCGGAGCAGCATGCTGAAGTGAAGCAAGACTTTCAGCCACTCGTCGTTAGGTGAAACGTCAGTGTCGAACCTTCATAGTCGCCACGGGTTGCAAGGAGAAAGCCTCTTTTGCAATCAAGTGGGAGTTTAGAAATACGCTTCTCGAAGTCACACATGAACTCGTCCAGGGACGACTTGGACGAAGTGTTGTCTGATTGGCTAGTCGTCATGGCTTGCAAACCTACGGAAGCGACCAGATGGATTTTCGTCGTAATCTGTTATCGAAGCGGTGTCTTGATGTGTTGATGGCCGGGATTCGTCGCTTGCAAGAATAGTGGTCGTAATAGAGAAGTGGAAGAACTTGAACCACGTTCTGACTGTCTAATATAGCTAAATTTAAATTTCCCTTCGAGACGACGCCTAATGAAGGGGGAAGAACCCAAATGTAAGACACTAAGAATTACTGGGAATGGAAGCTACGAGGGGCTTAAAGATTGCGAGCCGTGGCTGATGAATTAGATGAATCAAACATACATACAAAGGATGTTAGGAACAGTCGAAAACACGGGCTCGTGAAGGTTCTGTTGAATGGCGCGCAAGCCACCGTGGCGTTCAGGGAGGTGGCAGTGCACCAACAAGGCCAATAGGGCATTTTTGGGCCACTTAGCCCACAGAAGGATTTTCAGAGAGATACAACAACAACACGGATTACACCAGAATATACGTTTTCACTCATCTAAAAGCCCCCACGCTCTGTTTGACAGGCTCCAGTAGAGAGAACCACATAGCTCTGAGAATATGTGTCAGTCAACAAAGACTCCATAGTCATACGAAGAGCCCAGCTTCAGCCGCTGCCCCCTATTCGTTTCACTAATGTAACTTGTTAAAGGTGTCCTAGTTTCGCATGTAAAACCGTCATGACTAGTGACATATCGCTCGAATTTTGTCATAAATCTGCCCACAACACGCCAATCCAGAGGCTCACTCCCGTCACTGTAGCTGAATCTGGATGACCTGACCGCCCTCTCGTGGCGTAGCCCTGAAGTTCCCACCAGTCGAGACGAAGATGGACTTACCATCGTTAGCCAGGGCCACGGAGGTCGGCTCCTTCAGCAGCGAGCCGGACCCGTCGCCACCGACTAAGGTCGTCTGTACGCCATCCGGGGTAATCTTGACGACCGACGACGAATGCACGGCGACGTAGGCGTTGCCCTCGCCGTCAAAGGTGAAGTTATCGTAGATCTGTAGGTGATCAGGGCTCCGCGCCAGGACTTCGAAGTCACCGGCGGGGTTCCCGTGCTCGTCGACGCGGATACGCACGAACGTGCCCTGGCTCGAATTGGTGAAGTACAGGTAGTCCCCACGGGCACGGAGTCCGTTGATGCCTATGGGTGGAATCCTAGATGTAGAGTTGTAAGCGCCTGGGCCTAGGGCGTAGTCTTCGAGCAGGACGCCTGTCTTGCGCGTGCGCGTGTTGATGGATAGAATGCGCCCGCCAATCGAATCGGCGCTGAGCAGCAGGTGTGGATGGAGTGACAGGGCGGTCATGCCATTCATAGTGGCCGTATCAGACACGGGAATGCTGTCGACCACGGTGCCCGTCTTGAGGGATACTATGTGAACGCCGAGGCTTCCCCTCTTAAATGCAAAGGACGTGTGCCGACCACCGCTGACGGCATAGAGGTCGTCACCGCAGTCAGGCAATGGAACAATGCCCGTAAGAGCCGTGATATTGCTATCAAAGCTAGTAACTAGCTTCGCCTGAGGATCCGATGCCTTGGGATCCAGAGTGTAAAGAAGGCCCGTAGGTGACTTCAAGGTGCTGAGAAGCAGATTTCCATTGGGGAGGACGTGGAGGTTCTCAATAAACTCTGTCTGAAAGCTGTAAATCAGACGTGAAGCCGGTGCGTTGTCCATGTCGGGACTGGATGGTAATAGCGACTGGGGAGAGTTCGAAAGTAAGCTGAGTGAGTTCTATGCGTGAGCAGGCTACCAAGGTCAGCGTAGAAGGAGGGGAAAGCGTGGAAACAGGCACGCTGTACCGTGAACCTGGTCAATCTGACCAGAGACCCCTGCCACCACCTGACCAGACACGGACCACCTGGACCCACGATGATTGTGTTGTTCTGAACTTTGAAGTCTCGGTTGGTGGCTAGGTCGTCCCAAAATGCCCTAATGGCCCCTGATCAGTGCACTGCCACCTCCCTGATATACCCTGACGCCGCCACGGTGGCTTACGTGCCATCCAACAGAAGTAGGTGGACGCTTCATGCAACGGCAACCCTTGATTTGTGCATATATGTTCCAGTGTAGTTAGACGAGGTCGCACCTAGTCTCCAGCTGGTGTGTTACTGTATCACCGTTGTGGCCAATGAAAAGATGCAAAGTTGCGTGTACGATCATAGCCCCCTCACTCTGGCCTTCGTTTCTCGACGACCCAGCTGTTTCACCTCGCTGTGACATATCAATTATAACATTCAATCAAGCAGCTCTCCTGGAATGCACGGGAACGAATCATGGAGTACGCCTCCAGTTCGGCTTGTTCGACTTGTTCGACGGTGTCGAACCAACTCGATCCTGAGTTATGCTTCTGGGATGAAGACTCGGTCCCAACTGAAGACGACAAGGGGTTTCAGGATCTCATTCAGCGTAAGTTCCCATTTACCGCTCCAAATGAGTCTCTCCCATGTCATTCAGGTGCTCATTCATTCTGCAGGAGATGCCCGGAGTCCAGATGCTACAATCTTCAGAGCCGAGGATGGAGAATGCAGCGAGTGGCTCTCACATCCTGACCGCTACTGCACTTCTTTATTTGGGGACCACGTGACTACTGCAACCACCAATGCGTTCGGGCATCTCATCCAGTTCGGCACTTATCTCGGTGCTGGTAGGTCGGGAATGTTCTGTGCTGACCAAGAGGACACTGCCGAGCCTTGCCTGGTAAGGAGTAGGGCCATTAAGCTGGACGAGTTTTCGCGAGAATGTGACGAAGGTGAGTTTTTATACGGCCTCCAGTTGAACTTATCGTACCATCCGACTTTAACCTATGTTAATGGTCGATGACCGCGATATGAACACAGAGGCATGTACGCGAATGTCTCGGTCCAATGGATGATCCACGACGGAATAGTCATGCAGCAATATATTGTGGACAACCTGGGCACTGGCGACATGAAAATGCTAATCAAATTTGGACGAGACATGTGCATCAGAGACCTCGACGTCGAAGACTCTGATTACGGTTTCAACGAGGATAGCGTCGACAAGAACCACATGCCGCCTGGCCCAAATAGCTATAGCTGGATATGCGTGCACACGATGACTCCCTCCGGCGATGGTGGAACAGGAGTTGGCTTCGAATCTATCGCAGTTGTCGTGTCAATTTTCCTGAACGGCACTGCAGTCAAGTGGAATAATGGACCAGAATGGCATCACGCCATCAAAGGGAGAGGAAGCCAAGACTCGTCCACCATCATGGAAGTCGTCGTTGCTTACAGAATGGTGCGATTGACAAATGCGAAAATAGACTGGACCAGATTCTTGATACCAGTTAAGGCAGTTGGAATCAACCAGCTACTTTGAGAAACAAATTTCAATGCCATGCCTCTCAGTATGGCAGATATCAATAGTGGCGACCCGGACGGCAGTCTCGCGACAGATTCCGAAAAAGTTGTCTCTCATGTGGGGTATCCGACGAGATCTCCGAGAGGCCTATCTAAGCATCTTGACTATGTCTTGTTGCGGAATCTGGATCACATTCTTTCCGTGTGTGCTATCCCCGTCAGCGTTCACGGCACTTGGGAAGTCGGATCTGCTACAATGGCGCCTGCTATTGCACTTACATGTGGCAACTTGCCCAGCCACCGAATTTCTACATCTGCTAGCTTGTGAGTATCTTACCTAGATCCAATATCGACAGACACTAAACATGGATTCTACAGTTTTGCATTTTGCTTCCTTTTCAAAGCAGCTGACAGACTACGTGGCATGAGTTCCGATCATCCGTACGTCCACTCCCTCAGGACCTGAGTACGAGACGTCTGCCAAGGGCATATCAAATGGTTGATGATGGCAGAGCTCACTCCCACGAAACAGTTTGGTGCAAGATACACAGTCTTCTGAAAGATCTGGGACTGGCGAAGACCATCGCTCATTGACACACCCCTTCAACTCCTAAAAGCTGCCTACTTTGCAGATACATGTCAACCCGAAGATGATCAGAGGCTAGCTTTGGGAGTGATCATGCGTGTTTGCGTCTCGTGGCTTGGACAACTGGTGAAGCTCGGTCCGCGAGAGAAGTTTGCGTGGCCCCATCACAGTGGCAGATTCAATACATTTCGGCTGGATGATCATGTCTGGATACTGAAAGTTCTCAAACATGTCGAGGAACTACACGTTTGGGACCGACTCCACGAAAGTATCGATCTTGCCGCCACCAAAGGGATCATGAAAGAACCCGAAATAATGGTAGAAAGACGGCATATCGGCCGACTGGAGAAGAAGTTTACCTTTAGTCGTGTCCGAGACGAGGTGCTAAGGCGTTTCACTGCTGGATCCGACGAGCAAAAGTCCGGACACATGTTGGCCTTAACTCGATCACCACGAGAGACTAGATTCCTCCTTCACGCGCGAGATACTAGTCTGTTCTACGGCATTGATTTTGCCACCACGTCTTTCCACGAGATGTGGCAACGCACCATTGAAGCTCAAGCTCACTATACCGATAACAACAACGTCAACTGGAACAAAACACTTCGCTATGGCCTTGCTATACTCATGGTTATTTGTGAGCCACATCAATACAGTATCAACACGAAGTCGCCTGATTCTATGGTTCACTGTGCAGTCGACGTGCTATTCCGCAGCATTCGTCCCGATGGGTCTTCCCTGGGTGGCTGTATCAGAATACCAAAAGGCCATTGCTTGCATACATGGAGCCAACTGTTGATGCTTATTTCCATGCTAGCTTTGAAATCCCATTTCTATATAGAAAATGCCCGGCGGCTCTGTCAGGTCTATGAGGAAGGGGGCACTGGACGGGATGGTCTACCTCCGATCGGGTCAGCCGTTGACCCAATGCCAGACGTCGATGGACAGTTCAAACGCCAATTTTGCTTCAAACCTTCCATTACGACTGGGGCTCCTTCTGGCATGAAAGAACCTGAAATATCGGAGGCGGAACAAAAGCCGATGCAGGTTGGGAAGACAGGAAAAGCCCTCTCATTGGGAAGGACCGTACCTTTCAAAGAGGACAACGACAACGACAACGACAACGACAACGACAACGACATATTGGACAAAGGTGAAAGCAAAGATTACACCCAAGAAGAGTGGATGTATGATTTCCCTTCTTTCATGATGACGAAACTCGACGTAAATATCCTTCAATAAATATCCTTCAACATATCCAGTCGTGCTGAAAACATGTTAAGGGGGATCCCTCGTCCTGTGGAGCTGTCGTTGCCAAACAGCTGGAGAGATGGTCCGCTGAACAAAGCCCTTCAAGTTCACGGGTGATATCGATTGCGGCGTCACTGGCGTATTCGAAGGGTCGAAAAAGAGTGAACGAAGAAGGCTGGCAATATGCGCCAACAACCACTCGTTGTGGAAGGCTCTGCGAAAACCGCGCATGCCCAAACTCTCAAACAAGCGTATGATTACCATGATGAAGGCTGACATGCAGGTAGCCATCTTATGCTATCTTGCCAGCTACGGCACCTACAAGCTCAATGTGTCCCTGTTCTTCGATCGCCACGCTAGCTACGAGTCCTATTTCTATGACGAGGTCGCTATTCTTGCCAACACATAGGTGACTGAACTCCACCTAAGCTTCTACGTCTTGGTTGACCCAATTGACGAGTGGAAAGGGGGCATACCGAAGTTCAGCGTTGACGAATTCCCGGGATCTCAGAAGAAAAGGATCGCACGTGGCACAATAGGCTTTCGCTTTGACGGCGACGCTTTTGACCGATATTGGACGTTCCACTTCATTCAGTACATCCCAGGAGGGTAGCCTCACATGAAGAAAACCTACCCTCACAAGAACAAGAAAGTTCTTAGACTTGACGAAGATGGATCAGATGAGCAGAGGAAAGTGCTCGAGTTGAGATACTTCTCGTATATTGTTCAGTGGACTCTAAACTGCGCTACGGAAATAGTCAGCCAGATCGAAACGGAACTGGGGATAAGACATGGAGCCATGTCTTCCACGATTCTGAACAGCGATGATTATTTCTCATCGAGAGGCGATTGGCAGAAACAAAAGCATTTACTACAAATGATCCAGGAAAGCCTGTCGACTACAATCCGAATCGCCAAACGATGGGAGGAAACAGAGGAGGGAAGAGGCTCAGAAAAGCCTCGTTGGACACACAGGGATGAAGCATACCGAGCCACCATGGATAAGATCAAGGTACACACGAGCAGAAAGATTGCAGCGCTCTCAGATCTCCGAGCGAAGTTAGCATCGCTGAAGGAAACGATTGCATCGTCACAAGACCAGATTCGCAGTGATCTCGCACTCATCGGGTCAGAGAACATTCGATTCTTCACCTACGTCACTGTCGTGTTCCTTCCTCTTGATTTCGTGACCAACCTCTTCAGCATGAGCGCACCACCCAACAGCACACTGCTCATCAACATGATAACCGTTGCTGTCGTGGCTGTGCTTGTCACGGTTTCTATACTGCTGAACGCAAAGGCCATAGGCAGCGTCTTCGAAGACATCTACTCGATGTTCAAACAGCGGTCACGAACTACAATGCAAAACAGCTTCATGATCAAACACTCAAAGAGGGATGGAAAGGACAGGGAAGTCAGAGCTCTACCAGACCCTCCCGGACAGACGACGGCGGCAACCACGATAGCCAGGTGACTGCCACTGCGGCGAACGACGTGAAGAGGAATGACGGGGGAACACATCCTGCCAGACCATCCGACTCGAAGAATCCTGGGAATTCAAGTCGACCTCCCCGCCGCAAAGCGCCCAAAATCGAAACTTAAACGCTGCTGTTCTAGTTGACATACATCACCATCGAAGTCCCAGCATGGCGAGACCTCGTGGCCTACCGTTCCTTGAAGAGTGGCAAGTTCACTTTTCAGGCTTCTCTACGGGTAGCCGGCGTCGTCGTGTTCTTGCCAATATTCGCTTTCTTTTGGACTGCCCGCCTAGTCTGCTACAACATAGTGGATGCTCTCCAGCTACTTAGGGGTAAGTAAAGCACTACCACCTCCAAATTTTCTGTACATACACTAACGCTCGCAGAAGGATTCCTCGCACTGTAATTCACGCCGACTACAAGAAACGGCAATGAGGAGTATGACGAACGCATGGGCATATTCCTAAACCCGACCGAGGAGCTGAGACCTTTCAGGGGTTACGTCGACAAGATGAAATCTGAGCGAACGAGGAAAGTTGAAGAAAAGCCTGAGACTAGAGAGGAACCCATCACGAGTCAAGAGTCTGAAAGCCCAGAAAAGCTTCCGTGTAGATAGACGGCCTCCGGCGACTGACAAGATCTCCGCTATGGCCGAGTCTTTTGGATGTTTGTTATTAGATTTTGGCGATCGCTCGGGTCAGAAAGACACTCCCGTGACTCCAACTGGAGTTGGGTTCAGATGTCATACGCGAAGGATATACAGCACTATATCAAAAGAGGTGGATGAGGCCGGAGAGGCATGGACAGAGGCGAGGATATGGTACCAGTATTTTGCAGTAAATTGCACGACATCCCTAACACTTCAGTGACTTCACGCAGCCCCAGGGTGCGTTTGGATTTCCCTCCCGTTATTTTCTATAGATCTCAACTGTTCGTCACTTTTCCGCAGCTGAATCTTGTCCCACCATTTCAGATCGCTTGCAGTCAGTTCCAAGGTCACATATCGCACCTCTTTCCTATCGCTGTCCGTATAGCCGCCTTTCTCGGCCGGCCCTTCTAGGTGGTGGCCATTCTCCGTTGCCCACTCTGCTTCTGAGATGATCCTCACCGGAGCTCTGGTTGTTTTGGTCGCCGTTATTACGACCTTCTTGCTTCTAGGTTCCTCAACCTCTGGCTTCGCTGAATCATAGCTGTCGACCGGGCCGCCGTTCGCAAGCAGCAATCTGATAATGCCAGCATGGCCGTTCCGGACCGCACTCCAAAGCGGCGTCGGCCCGTTGGCAAACACCCCATTCCCTAAGTGAATGTCCAGCTGCTCACCGTGCTCCGAGAATAGGTACTGGACCACTTCTTCGCGGCCTTCTGCGACAGCGACGTACAAACTGGAGCAAGAGGCTGGACTGACATGAGATAGCTGACTGACTTCGAGGCTCTTATGCATCGAATCTATCAACTTCACCGTATCGAGACAGCCCTTCTGACACGCCCAGAAGAAAGCGTCCAGGAGTACGTTGTCTTTCTTCTCCTGCAGAGGAGGGCTTGTAAACCGTGAGTCCGTGTTGAGGAGGATGCCGGAAACAAACACGAACGCATCGCGGTGCTCTTCATCGTCGCGGGTCGCGAACTCTAGCATGGCGTCCCTGAGAGCTTTGAGCGTCTCTTGCTTCAGATTATCCCAGTTGTGGCCCCCGTCTTCGCCACGGCTGTCGATGTATGCGAAGAGCGGCTTCAGAGATTTGCACGTCCCTTGTAACAATGCGCGCCGGAATGCGCCTTCGATGCTGTCCTTCATGGACTGCGTTAGGACCAGATGACCGCGATCTTCAATATTGACAAGCGGGTAATTGCCGAGGCGCAGGATTAACTCCAGCATCGCAAGGTTGTCAGCTTGCGCCGCAACCGCCAGCGCCATGGCATTTGCCAAATCCGCTGCGTGAACCCCCGGCTCCTGGGCGCGCGCCACGACCAACTCGGCGCATGCAACACACCCACTACCAGCAGCAAACTCGAAGGCGTTCACACCCTCTTCGTCCGGACCAGGCGCCGCCTTCTGCCTAACCATGACATCGGCGCCTTTCTCGATCAGATACCGCACAACATCCGTCTGCTTCCCCCAGCACGCGCGCATCAGGGGCGTACCCCCCATGTCATCACGGGTGTCCGGGCTAAGTCCGACCTCCTCGATGAAGATCCCGACGCATTCCAAATGTCCCTGATAAGCAGCCGCGTGCAACGGCACGAGCGTCATATCATCGCCGTCCGCCTCGTTGGCCGTGCTCTTTACGCCTCGCTCCAGTAGGAACCTGATCACGTCCGCCTTGCCCTTGACTGCGGCGGCGAACATCATGTCCAGACGACGACTTGGGTGCTCGTCAAGCAGCGCTCTGAAGTGGCCGATTTGGGCCTCGTTGGTCTCTGCGGCCCAGATTCTGCGCTGCGCGATCATGTCTTTCCCGGTCACGTCGTACCATTGAGGATCCGACATGTATAAGTCGTTGGGCGGCCATTGCGTCCACACCATGTCCTCGGGCAGCTCGGGGTTGACTTCGTGCGGCGCGGGCATGTATTCCTCGCCGTTGACGGTGATTTTGGCAATGCCTTGCGCTGGGAGTGCGGCCATAGTGATCAGTTTGAGGAGGTGCATCTGGGTGGGGTGACATATGAGGAGAGGAGTGCAACGTGAGACCTAGAAAAAGGTAACAGGAGTGAATAACTCGTCTTTATTTAGTCGCGTCACGCAAAGCGAATCTTGCCATTGCTGCCTAGACCAACATTGCACTGCCTGCCTGTCTACAAGTTAGTTGTGCGGCTGAGATAGTCCTGCTTCATGCTGGTGAGCGGCCCAGCACAGGAGGTGTGGTACATCCGAGGCAGGATCTAGAGCATACGCTAAGCCTATGATGGTCTGGTTGGGCGTATTATTCGTGTCGGTGGTGACGAACATGTCGCCGTGTAATACTTGCCGGATTTTGGGTTTCACCGACGTATTAGGTAGATCACGTAGATATAGAAGAGCGAACATACGAACATATTTCCAGTTTAGATGCAGTCGATGACCGACGTCTCGCGTTTAATGGCACGTAGCCTAAGCCACCGTGGCGTCAGGGAGGTGGCAGTGCACTGAACAGAGGCCATTAGGGCATTCTGGGGCCACCTGGCACGCTGGTCACCAACAGAGACATCACAACAACAGATTGATGAATAACAGCACTGAATACACGAATCATCCACATACATCACGTGGCCTAGTATGTCCCGGTCATGACAGATAGGCGACCACCATCAGTGACGAGAATAGACCCGTTGAAAAAAGCTTCCAGTCCTGCTAGTGAGGTAGAGGATAGCGCCAGCCATCTCCTCATCACCGCCAAATCTTCGGGCGGGAATGAATCTCTGGTCATCGATTGACTCTTCCTCCGGCTTCCGATCTTTCGTTAGCACCGAGGCAAGGTCCGAGGGGTACACTGGACAGTCAGAAATCAGTATGCTGGTATTTTTGACTCCGACTCTGCTGCCGTCGGATCTCTATTAACGACTGATGTACTTACCACCCGGAGCGATGGCATTCACGCGGATCCCGAACCTAGCCAGCTGCTTGCTGGCGTGCTTGGTCACCTGCATGATAGCGACCTTGCTCGTCAAGTACGGCGGCGAGGACGACCAATGGCGACTGAAGGCCGAAATACTAGTCGTGAAGATGACCTGACTCTGGATGGCCGGTACGACGCCGCCCTTGGCGATGGGTCTGCCGAAACCGCCTTTTAGCGCGTTCTGATTGCCCGCATCGAGTAGTTCAAGAAAGGCGGTCATGGTGAAGAAAGCAGCCGTCACGTTGAGGTTCAGCGTCTCGGTCATGTCTTCCATCGAGAAGTCGGCGAATAAGATCTGGCGCAGTTCCGGCAGCGAGTGCGATGGGTTGAAGCGTACGGATGGCCTGATGCTGCCCGAGTTGGCAACTACGAGGTTGACATACCCGACCTCGGCAGCGATGTAGTCGACGGTAGCTTGTAGGTCGTTCTTGGAGGTCACGTCGCATTTGAGCGGAGAGATGCTCGAGTGTTCCTTCGCTGCGGCTTCGAGAACGTCGAGGCGCCGTCCTAGGATTCAATGGACCGGCTGTACACTCCAGTAGGAGGAGGCCTGTATGTCGGATGAGGAATATTGGGGAAATTGGCAGCGGGTTTCCCCACATACCGCGAACTCCAATATTCCTTGTACACATTCTCGTCGGTCTCTTGTAGGTGCCCAATGAATCGGGTGAAAGGCACTTCAGGCCCGGAGATCTCGCCTCGGTAGCTCTTCGCAACGGCGTTCAAAAACAAGGGGATCGAATGTCCGTCGTACAAGGCGTGATGGGAAGTCCACAGGATGAGATTCATCGACGACGAAAGGCCAGCTGCCGGCTGTTGCTCTTCCTGAATGAGAGCAAAGCGTGTGAGTTGCTCCCCAAAATCAAGAGGCTCTCGCATATCTTCCCGTACGTACTCCTCTGTATTTTTTCTCTTCTTCCAGCTCGGGCCCCTTTTCAGCACAACTTGATATGTGCCACTGGCTGACTGGGTGATGCGAGTTCTCATGAAGGCAGATCGGGTGACTACATCGTCCCATGCTGTCCGGAACCGCGATACGTCGATACCTTGTCGCAATCTGATAGGGAAATGGGCGACATAGCTGCCGTTGCTAACCAACGACAGGGCCCATAAGCCCTCTTGTCGAAGTGTGAGCAGAAACACATCCTCTATTTCCGACTCAGAGACCCGGCATTGGACAGCTACATCGCGCAGAATCTGGCTCTTCATCTTAGGAGGGAGGAGAGAAAAAGCCTCAACGTTCGCGCTCGTGGTGATGAGGATCTTTCTCGCGTTTCTGGCCATCTCAGCAACTGAAGGGCCCTTGAATATGTCGGTGTAGGTGAAGAGAAAGGCCTTGGTCTCTGGCTAAAGCGACTAAGCGAAGTACTGCGAGAGATGAGACGCCAAGGGCGAAGAGGCTGTCTCCCACTTTGATTTTCTCTGAGTTGATATTCAATACCTCTGCCCAAAACTGTCGGAACTGGAGCTCTGTTGGTGTAAGGCCATTCGCTGATTCCTGCAATTGGGCTGTGCTGGTGGCATGCTTGGAGGCACTCAGCAACTCGTCGATCGTCAGTGCAGACGCAAACTGCCTTAGAACTTTCCGGTCAAGTTTCCTAGAAGCGTTGTATGGAAGTGAATCAATCGGGTAGTATATGTGAGGTACCATGAAATCGGGCAGGTCCCTCTTCAGCTGCTCACGCCATGACGGTGCCAATCTGAGCACGGAATCTGGGCCTGCGACTCTGTCTCGCGAGCAGACGAAAGCAACGAGGGCCTTATCGCGATTCTTGCCTGAGGGTATCACGAGGTCCACGGCAACGTCTGCGATATCGTCTACGCAAGCACGTAACAGAGACTCGATTCCTTCTAGATCGATACGTTGGCCACGTAGCTTGACCATGGCGTCTTTGCGGCCAACATATGTCATCTCACCATCCGGTAGATATCGGACGAGATCTCCGGATTTGTAGATCCTGCTCGTACAAGGGGCCCCAATGGCTGTACGCCACGGAGGCGCCTCGATGAAAGAAGCTTCCGTTCTGACCTTATCGTTCAGGTATTCGATGAACACACCTGGGCCCTCGATGAGTAGTTCACCCACAGCGCCAACTGGAGACAGACGTGCCGGGTTCTGTGGTTCAACAATCCATCCGTGGACGTTTGTCGGCCGTCCAAACGATATCGTCTTTGGTGACGGCGCGTTGAACGCCTTTAGTAACCAGGTGACACACTCGGCAGGTCCATAGACTTGGAGCACCTTGACGCGGTGTACCCAGGCGTTGATATCGTCGGCTGTGGCAGCTTCACCACCCATGGCCAGGGTTTTGAAGGACGGGACCTTGTATCGGCGGAAAAAGCGAGCAAATGTCGGGGTGAAAAACGCCCACTCGCACTTCATTCTGTTCATGGCCCCCTCCACGTCGTTCAGGCGCTCTTCTTCCGACGGAATGCATATGCACCCGCCATGGATGAGAGGGGCGTAGATTTCCGTCAAAGCTACGTCGAATGTGTAAGCTGCCCACTGAAAGACTCTGATGCCTGGCCGGTCAAGGCCCTGGCGATGGGCACCCTCGACGAGACCAGTACACACGGTGCTATGGGTGTGAACGATCCCTTCAGGAACGCCTGTGCTCCCTGACGTGAATGCAATTTTAATTTGTTAGATTAATCCCTGAGTTCGTGTGCAACCAACACAGTCGGGGCGGTGCCGCGATCCGAAAACTGCGAGACTTTCATTGGTCTCGTAACGGGCGGACCCTTGGCAGCGGAACCAACACGCATGAGACCACTAGCACACGTCGTCCTCCTTGCATTCGTTACACGGCCTTACCAGTTGTCATTCGTGATTTCAAGGTAGGACCATTGCACTACCTCCTAGCGATCTTTTCCAGAAACATTAACATACCATCGACCAACAACATGCCTGCCACCACCAACCCATCATCTGGTGGCGGCCTCGTGGTGATTCACGTCGCACTATTCCGAATAGCCACCAAGTCGATGGCGGAGGCTTATAGCATCCTCGGTTACAAAGTGCACCACGGTCGCGACGACGTGTTCAACAACCCCTGGCCACAGATCGAGGCCGCCGCCGAAGCCACTTGGCCCAGCGTCCCTGGGGCGCGTCCGCGGGCACCATTCACCAGGGCTGACTGGGACCGTCTGTGGGGCAGCGAATTCGACATCGTTACCGACATGGCCTCTCCGTTCGTCCGGCAGCTGATCGTCGCCTACCCCGACGCCAAGGTGGTCGTAGTGCAGCGGGACTTCGACTCGTGGTGGCCAAGCTTCACGTCCGAGCTGCTGGACAGCCTCTTCACGCACGCCGGGCGGCTGCTCACTTTCGTGGCCTGGCATGCGGCGAACATCCGCTCAGGAGCGGCGATACGCAAGGTCCATCTCGGGTTCTTCGGAGCCCGGTCCCTGGACGATATCCCGTCCGGCGCGGGCGAGGCTTACAAGCAGTATTACGCGAATGTGCACGCGCTTGTGCCGCCGGAGAGGAGACTTGAATATAAGATGGGGGATGGCTGGGGTCCTCTGTGCAAGTTCTGGGCGAGGTACCGAATGTGGATTTATCGCGATTGAACGAGAGAAAGGCGCACGCGGACTGGTTCCTCTTGGCAGAGAGGGCTCTCTACCTGAACACTATGTGGAGAGTAGGACTTTATGTTCTTGGTATGGTTGTGGCTAGTGCTGCGGTTTGGTATGCGCAGCCCTTATGAGATCTGCAGTCGACGCTCTTGGTCATGATGTTACGTGGGAGGATGGGACAATGTAGTTCAATCAGCGCCAGGTCGTGACCCTGAGATCGAACTTATATAACAGGCCATAACGAACCTGCAGGCGTAATTTTCTCAAGGTCGTCCCCAGGGGTTGTTCCCTAGGCTCCGTAGTTGCCTCATCCGTCTGCGTGATACTTATCAAGGGCATCATCCCTCTATGTATTAGTTCTACCTGTTCTCTGCAGTATAGATAAAGACATACACTACTTGTCGATTTACCCTCGAAATTTCGTGATGAATTGTGTATTGTTTGATGTGTTTCCAAGCCAAACTAAAGGCCATACATGAGCATTATTTACTCAAGCAAAGCTTAGCCCCACCAAAGCGGTGTGGTCTTAATCACCAGTATACCTGGAATTCTCCTCAATATTGCAACCGCTTGTTGACTAACATGTTGATTTTTCGTAAGCGTTCTGCGTGAGTGTCTTGGCATGCGATAGCAAGAAAAAGGGGGAAGTGTGGAGCATTCACTCAATTCTATGCTCAGTCCGAGCGTACCATGGATATCACCACTGCCAGCAACCTGCAAGCACGCGCAATAGGTTCCAACCTGGCTCGTCGATATCATCTCTCAATCTGCTGGGCTGGGAACACAAAGTCTAACCTGGCTCGACTTCAAGTTGCCTTCGAGGCTGTCCTAAAGTCTGTCTTTGTCGCAGCATGTAAGTTATGTACTGTGGTTGTCTATGCAGCATATTATACGGGCCCCATACAAGCAAGCAATTGTGCTTGCGTGGCGCGTATGAAAAGCCGAACTGGTGGACACGTGGTAAACGGGCTGCAGACTTTGTTGGGAATGGGATACCCGGCGTTGCTTTAGAGTTTACTTAGGAGACCCTTAAGCAGCCGGTCAGATCATGGACTCTGGATAGTGGAGTGTTCCATGAGCTAGCCAGTCAGCTGCATGTCTTTGTTTTCAGCTTTCAATCAAGACAAGGCGGAATACCTTAGTGAGGGCGAAGTTCGAGGACAGGCATGCTGGATACATGGGCCTTAGGCAGACCCGACTTCCATGGGTCGACGTACCTGGAGTCCAGTGGTTCAATGTTCTTAATGCTCTCCCAGACGCAGGTAGCCTACTTTCAGCAGGACACGTGCGCAACGTCTCAACCTTGATGGCTACGGTGCTCAGAATAGTACTTAAAAGGGGCACTCACAAATGAATATGTGCATATCATAAGGGTAAACCTTCCATGTTGAGGGGCCTGCCGTATGTACCCAAGAGCTGTTTGATGCTTGGGTTACACAAGGCAGGCTACATATGCCTGTAATGGGTGCATTAGGTAACCACCTCCACAGCTACATGTAGGTACATATGCAGATGCAGATGCAAGAGCACATCATGCTTGAATGAGGCTGCTTTCTGACTTTCTGACTTCAATGTCCCAATTGCAGGAGCAGGTCAGGGCCGGCAGCCAATCAAGGCACGGTGACAAGGTAGTCGCGGACCTCTGATATCGCACCTCACACCTCTCTCTTGTGGCCGGCCTCCTTGTCACCCGGCACCCTGCAACGTACCACCTCATATGCCCAGCACTACACTGCCCGTGGTCATTCGGGCAGGCTCTCAGCATCCAGACCTACCTGTCCATCATTCGGGGTCTGCGCCCGACCTCACCTGCACGTCTCTCGCGCAGCCCCGCCGCCTAAGGCACTTACTTACCTACCCGCCTGGCCTTGGAAGTAGGTACTGCGCCATTGATCTGGTCCCTCTTCCACACAGGAAATCCGACTCTCCCAGTCAGCCCTTCCTTCTCATACCGTAACTAGGTAAGGTGCCTTGCGAGTCCAGCGCTTGTTCTAGTAGCAATCACTGCTTATCTCTCTCTCCAGGCTGTTGGTGGCTTGTTTGCCTCCACAACCGCGACCGCAACCGCAACCAGGCAAGCTCTCCCATTCTATCTCGCCATCCGTCATCCGCCATCCGCCCACCTGGCGCCTCAGCGGCCTCTTCACCAACTCTCGATTGATTCGCGCAAGCAGGTTCAATACCCCGCCTACCTTCGACACCCTCTCACTTCCCTTTCGAGCCACCCTCCCCACATCCCATTCCCCGGCGCTGGATCGTGGCTACTGTCATCTAACTAGGTAGGTACTGTGCATTATTCGTCTTCTCATCTAGCGCTTTTATTGACCATTCTAGGCTGATTCCGCTGCACGTCGCCTGGGACCTGGTTACATAGCCCGTCTTGCAACAAATTTAGAGGTTAGCAGCTAGTCATCAACTGCAACGCAGCGGCATGTGCGAAACGACGACCTAAGTTCACCACCTTCATCGAGTGGCAGGACCAGCCCGGAGATGAGGGTACCTTCTGAAGCACCGCGCTGACTTCAGACACCCTGGCAGAGTTCCTGACAGATATTGCGACTTGTCATTTCCTGCAACAAAGGCCGTGTTCTTCCCGACACCGACACTGACCCTTCATTTCGTTGTCCTTCTCACACAAACACAATTATTCCAGCGAATCCTATCTGCAACATGGATCGTCTCCGTAGTATGTTCAGCGGTAGATCCTCCTCCGAGTCCCCCCAGCTAGGTGATGACCGAACAGCCGAGGCACCACCGGCAACCCTCCAGCCGCCGGCAACCATCCAATCCTACCCACCTGGCCGGACAGCCATGCGACGCACTTACGCTATCACTGATGTCAACCGCCAGGACGCCCAAGCAGAATTTACGCGACGACGAACGGCCGCCCGTCAACGACGCACTGAAGGGGACGAGGCCCTGGATTTCACAGAGGATGTCAGGGCGCCAGCGCGTGACACAGACCCTGCCGTGGTACGATTATCACGGGCTAGAATGGAACGCGCGTTGCTAGAAGTCGAAGAGACCCGACGTCGACTTGATTTGGCCGAGCATCGCCGCCAAGAACAGCCAACAGTTCCTCAACAAGCCACGCAGGCGAGGATTCCGGTCACGGCCTTCACTCTAGGCCTACAACAGTGGCAGCAACAAGGGCAGGGACTGGATCGACGCCTCGATCCCCAACCTGATGGTGGATTGATGTTCCACGCATCATATCGTCCGCAGACGCTCCCAGCTCAGCTCGAGTGCATCGTCTGTGAAGAATCATTCCCGCGCGGGGAGTTGCGACGTTTTCCGCTCTGCAATCATTTACACTGCAAAGACTGCCTCCGCAGAAATGCTCATATCGCCCTCGACTCCAAACCTTTCGCTCCTGCAAAATGCTGTGAGGTAATCCCCAAGGAGGTGTTCGGTACCATGGGCATCTTCACACCCGACCAACTCAAGCAGTACGAGAACAAGATGGAAGAACTGACGAACCCTCACCACAAAGTATACTGCTGGGGTGAGGACTGCGGAGCTTTCATACCTGCTGCGAGCCAGAAGAAACGCATAGGGGTCTGCGAGCAATGCAACAAGAAGACTTGCAAGGCGTGTCGGCAGAAGTCTCACTTCGGTGCTTGCGACAAGGCGAAGCTTCAGGAGACCCGTGCGAGCGAGGATGAGGTGTACAAGCTTGCCGAGTCCAAGGGCTGGAAGCGATGCCCCAATTGCCTCAACCTCGTACAGAAACATGGGGGCTGTGATCACATGATGTGAGTACGGAATGCCCGCATTTCAAGGTCAATGCAAGGGATCTGAAACTAATGCAATGTGATATTTAGGTGCAACTGCGGCCAGAATTTCTGCTACGCGTGTGGACAGGCCAACTCGGAGGGTCCACACAATTGCCCCAGGCTGCAGAGGTAGAAGCGTCGAGACGTCCTCGCATGAACGACGATACACTCCGATACACGGTGTAGTAGTTGGAAAGGACTAGGTAGGGGAGGCGTCTCAAGTGTGCATTCGCACTAAGCCTCGGACTTTATTCATTCGCGGCATAGCCTTACAGACATGGCGAGGCAACTTCGACAGGGTCTCAACTATAAGCTTGCTGTACTCGATCGGTCATATGCGTGCTCACGGAAGGGAGGATAATCGGCCACGGGACAGGCTGTGGAATTGAGCCGACTGGCTAGGCTGAAGCTTGGAAGCTGGTAAAGTCTTTTCTTTCATAGATACCCAGACCCCTTTGCATCTCTGAGGCATAGCGTTGGTGGTGCGAAGTGTTTATCCGGTAGCAGCGGAAATGAGTTTTAACATTATTGCTAAGTCAATCTGATGTGCTACCTGGATGGAAGACAAGATCGCGAATATATCCTATTAGCCAAGGAAATCCTTTGAATTGTGCATCACTTGCCTGGTTGTGGGGCTTCCTGCGCTCTTCTCATTACCAGCTCGCTGGCAATAGAGTTAAAATGCATCCGGGACATGAGGTAGAGTAATGCGCCGGGTCGCATCTCCATTCCACGGGCACGGCAAGCCTCGGGTGGCGATGGCATCATAGACTCGGACCCCGGTCAAAGCGGCGACTCCAAGCCACAATTACAGGTTACAATTAGTTCTCCCGCCCTTTCACAACATGCTCACCGAACCAACTCAATTACCAATCTATCCACGACACCTAGACAAAAATCAAAGCACTGCAAAATGGCAATCACAACAACAACGACCCCGCCCTCCAAACCCAAACCCCGGACAATCCACCTCGGCGACCGCGCAGCCCTAGCCGCCGCCCTCCGCTCCCCGCACCCGGTGCTCGTCCACCTCAACGCCGACACGACCTGGCTGCTGCAACTGCCGTACCCGGCGGGCGTCGCGCCGCCCGCCGGTCGCACGAGGTTCAATATCTTGATTGACCCGTGGCTTACGGGCCCGCAGTCTGACGTCGCGGGCTGGTTTTCGACGCAGTGGCACCTTATCGCGCCTAGCGTGCAGACTGTCGCGGAGCTGGACGCGCTGCTGGCGGAAGCGGAAGTGGGGCCGGACAGTGGCGGGGCCGGACCACCATCGGGGCTAGGATCGGGACAGGGCCGGGAGGGACATGAGAAGAGGTCGTATATCGACGTCGTGGCGCTGTCGCACGAATTTACAGACCATTGCCACGAGGCTACGCTAAGGGAGCTACCGCGGACGACGCCCGTGTTCGCCACGGAGAAGGCGGCGGAACTGGTGCGGTCGTGGCGGCACTTCGACACCGTCGTCACGACCACGGGGTTCTCATCCGAGACGGGCGACTGGCGCAAGACGCTCAGTCTGGCTCCGCTGCCGGACTGGGTTGGGATCGGGAGGGTCATCACGGCGGGGAATGCATTGTACTATCACTCCGCCATTATGGTCGTATTCGACACTACCACCAGCGCGGCATCCGGAGCCGGGAACGGAAACGCGGTCGTGTACTCCCCCCACGGCATCAAGGGCCCCGACCTCCAGTCCGTCAGCGGCGCCGGCATCAGAACGCTGGCGCTGCTGCACGGGCTGCACGACGTGCGGATCTGGATGACCAAGCAGCTGAACCTGGGCGCCATCAACGGGCTCGAGGCCGTGCGCGCGAGCGGGGCGCGGTACTGGGTCGCGACGCACGACGAGGTCAAGAAGGGGGGCGGGTTCATTGCGCCCTTGCTGCGCAGGACGGCGTATACGCTTGCGGACGCGGTGAGGACGGAGACGGAGAGGGCGGGTGGGGAGGTGCCGGATTATGCGTTTGTGGAGCTTGGGTCTGGGCATGGGTTGGTGTTGGTTTAGGTGGTTCGGTAAGGTATGGTAGTCTTGGTGTGACAGTGTGACAACTGAACCACTATGCTAAGCCCTGAAGTTTTCCTAAGAGGATATTTAAATATCATGCGTGGCAACTTGACATTCTGTGATGGTATATATATGGCGTCCTCAAGACCGTCACACTTCGCTTGGTCTACCTACTGTACTGGGTTAGCCTGACGGGTTTAGAATTTTGTCTGCTGGCCGGCACTCTGCGAGCATACTGATACGAGATTAATAGGGAAGTAAAATGGCTGGTGATCCTGCATCTTATGCGGTGGGCTGGTGGTCTCTTATCTGTCATTCACAGGCTGCTTCAAGTATCATGGTAATGGCCGAGGCGGGAAGTTAGCATTGCGTGTGCTTACTAGTGGAAAATCCTTGCCTTGCGAGAAAACAATAATGGCTAAAAAAGACTGGGTGAACCGCATGCGGACTCGAACCGTAAAGCAGCTCCTATCCTAATTGCATCCACCCGCCATGCTGCAGAGGCTCGGCACCCCGAGCATGCATTCGGAGTAGAACACCGTTTGCGTTGGAACCCACAAAGGATTAGTACGGACCCCCGTATGCCCACAGGTAGCTTGCCCCCATCCGGCAAGCATTTTGTTTTCTTCAGTGCAGAGTGGATTTAGTACATGGCGAGTGGAGCAAGATAGGAGGAGGCAAATGTCGAACCAACTTGACTATCCGCGGCTGTTAAACATTTTCTTCTTGTTTGGCGTTTTAAGTCGTGGGCCTGGAGCATGCCTGAGACGGGACATCTTTGGATTGTTGGCCCAGAGTATAACCGACGGCCAGCCTAGGTTGGTGGTGGTATCTCTAAGGCATTACAAGCATGGACCGGCATGGGGTTGACTGCTAGGTTGATACCGTTGCCTTGCATTCGCTTCCTTAGGCAGCACGCCATGCACCTAGGTCAACGTCGTAGGCTGCTCCCCAGGGCCATCACAAGTCGCCTGCTGTTAGTACCTGTTGCATCAAGATTACTATGTAATCACTGTCTAGGGACACCTACTTGAGAGCAACTCACATTACTCATGCCGCCATTCACAGCTTTCTCTTTCAGCTCCGTCAGCTCAGCTACCCTATCCTTTCAAGCAATACCCAAACGACATTAACGCAGTTAGTGATGAAGGTCAAACTTAAGTGACGCAATGTTCACAGGTTAAAATGTAGTTTATTCCAGGGCACGTTTCATCTGATGTTGGTATCTTGCTTCTTCCCAACTGTGCCATATCGGACAGCCCTGTCCTACACTAGACTCCATTCAAGCCCCATGTTTCACGGCCATAATGCTCTGCCTCGCAGCGCTAATGACGTTCACACTTTTTGTTCCTTCCTCTGCCTTTGCGGCAAGCTTGGCTGGTATCATACTCAGGTAGAATGTTACTACAGCTGCCGTATTAATGCTTTTGGCTGCTTCTCAATAACACACACACTTGCCAAAAACAACTATTTTTCTTGGCGCCCCGCTGTTAGGGCGCAACCTCGATATCTGTACTAAAGCAGGCACTTCTTTCAGTAACTGACTATCTTTACCAAGGCATAAGAGAATTTTTCTTACAAGCCGGATGGCACCCTTTCATGACGGCCCCCAAACACGCCCGTGGCCGTCCCAAAGACGACCACTGGCGGCGTGCTCAAATCCCCGGCCCCTAGAAAGACATACCGCCCGGCAACTCCGAGCAGGCTCCGCCAGGCGCTGTTTGACGACATCAGCAGCAGCCCGTCACAGGTCTCCGAGGCTGACTTTACCGTTGTTTCCCCTCTGAAAGGAAAATCCCGAAATGTCAATGACAACAGCACCACTGGAATGAAACGACTCAATTGAACAAAATCTCTACAGACTAAGTCATTAAACGCGATACAGGGAGTAAAGCCTCCTCCTCGGAGTGCCAGGACCAAGTTACAAAGATACTGGATAAAGACAGGCATCTTTATGAAGCCAAGATGACAATATTTCAAGAGTGTGCTACAGCAGTTGACAAGACACATGAGAAAGCCGGAACCGAATTATACTCACATGCCAAGGAATTCAGCGCCTTTTTCTCTAAATGCCTGAGCGAGTGGCTGGAAACCCGAGATTTAACCATAAGGAAGGCCACTTCCGGGGGGATAGTGATGGGGAAGCCCATCATGACTTTTGCCCAAGCTGTCTCTTCTAACCACCGACAGCATCCACTGACAGTCAACACCACCATGAAAAAAATACAGCCTGGCGCCCTTACTGCTGCCAATTAACTAAAAAAGAAGCAGGATAATCTCTGGGTCTTTGTCCGCATGGAAAATAGCTACTTAGAGCCTTATAGAATAAAGTCTACACTGAACAGAAGACTTACGCTCTATCCCCAGGAGCTTAGAGAGGTAACGCGGTGCCCCTCCGGATTTACCTTACACCCAAGGGACAAGCCAACTCAGACTAAGCTCCTGGCCTTCCAAGAAGAGATCGCAGACATTCTTAAGGCATAAAAGATCGAAACCTACACGGTCTGGTATCACTACAAGGTTGATGGATGCCCAAGGAAGGTCATCAGTGCGGAAGGGTTTATAATCGACATTACTGACACTACTGTCACTAATAAGGTTAAAGCCCAAACAGACGACAGACCTTTAAGGTACATATTCTCAAGGAACACGATTGATCCAGATCCAGAGACCACATGGGTGATCTCTCTGCCCCGTGCAGCAAAGAAACCATTCACGCTTTTTGCTCACTCAATGACCTCAAGGCACATTCAATACACCCTCAAGGTTCACCAGTGTGTGAGCTGCTTCAGATACCATGGTAGAAACTACCAATATGAAAAGCAAATATATGCATGTCGCACCAACACAGTACACCAGGGAGAGTGCGGAAAACCAATCCTAAAGTGTGTCAACTGCAAGGGGACTCATGCTGCCGACTTCGATAAATACCCTGTACGCCCCAAGGTCGTGAAAGGTATCATCCACAAGCACACATGGGAGCAAATCCAGGAAATAAGGCTGGCCAGAGAAAAAGCCAGATCCAAGGCCTTCAATAAAACAGGCAGAAACCAAGCCGGGTCAACACCTAACAACAATAACGAAGACACCACAATGCAAATCAACACAACAAATACAGCTCATCTCAGAGATGCCGGTACCATTATTATCTATTAATGTTAGGTACATCAAACGAAATACATCGACACGGGCACCAGGTCATCCATTCCATGAATGCGGCAGGAGGACAAAAGAGTGCAGGCCCTACAGAGTTAGTCATTAACCTGGCTGACTACAAAGGAGAGCAAACAGACATCATTCTGATACAAGAGCCCTAGGTTGGCGCACCACCAGGCAGAAGAATGAGAGTAAATATAGACCCAAATTATGATATATATTCCCCGGTTGATTCCTGGGATAGCGACAGTACACGATCCAGATCTCTCATCTATGTGAGAAAACATCTTTAAGCGGATCAATTTCGGCCTTACACTACACGAGATATCACCTGGGTTAAGGTATAAGGCATTACATTTGTCAGCGTCTACTGACCATGCGACAACCCGCAGGAAGTGGATGACATTCTGGAAGTATGGACTCCACCATTTGGCTGCGTCATAGCCGGAAATTTCATTGCTGGCGACACATCCTTGGACTCGAGCAATCCAGGATATCATGGTGATGTCATACTTGCACAGACTATGACAGGCCACGGACTGGATCTGATTTCTGAACCAGATGTCCCGACACATGATAACGGAAATGTACTAGATCTGGTTTTCTCAGATGTCCTTATGACCAAAGCCTCAGTGAATGATGCACTCCAATACACCTCAGATCACGAGACATTACGAATAGTTGTCCCAATTCAGGGAGACCTGGACCAGGTCCCCAAGACTGATCAGTAGATAGTCCCGGACAATAAACTACAAGAGCTGGTAGACAATGTCCAAACCAGGATTCACGAGCTCTCCCGGCTGGGTGCATCCCCTGGCCAGGTAGATGCCTTTATGCAGAATTTGATCAATATAATCCAAGGCTGTGTCAGAACAGTAGGCAAGAAGCCCCGACAATCTAGGCCCACTGCTTGATAGAATGATGAATGCAAAGCAGCTATTCAGGCATACAGGGCCTTGTCCAAACAGACCGCAAGCCAAGAAAGGCGGAATTCAGCCCGACGGGACTTTCACCGTGTGGTTCAGAAAGCTAGGAGAGAGTACTGGCAGACTCTAATTGATTCAGCGACTGAACCAAAGGACCTGTACAGAATCGTTTCCTGCCACAAGCTGTCAGCAGGATTGCGTTCCTCTCCAATCACCATAGGAGACCAAATATTTGAGTCACAAGAGAGCAAGGCAAATGCACTACGCTCAACCATGCTTGAACAAAGTACCCCAGACAATGATATCATCGACCCCTGGTCCGCTGAGATCACACAACCCAAGCCACACATCTCCCTTGAATATTATGTCGGACTGGAAGAGGCTGAAGGGTGCACTATAGGGACCAAGAGCAACTCCCCGGGAGTACACCCTCACAGTACGGATTCTGAAAGCTTGCTGGCCAGTCATTTGGGAACATATCAGAGCCCTTTTCCAGACCTGTCTACAGATCAGACACCACCCTAAACTATTCAAAGTAGCTGAGGTAGTGATGATCCCAAAACCAGGCAAGACAGACTATTCCAACCCCCGGGCCTACAAACCAATATCGCTGTTATCATGTCTTGGCAAAGGCCTAGAACGACTCATTACAAAAAGAATTACCTGGTTTGTTATTAAACTTGGAATTCTAGCTCTACAATATTTTGGAGCTCTACCAAAGCGCTCTGCCACTGACTTGGTAGCTGCACTCATACATGATATTGAGCAGGCCCTTGACCAAGGCCTTGTTGCAACGGTAGTCACAGCAGATGTGACAGGGGCCTTCGACGCTGCCCTAATGGGACGGCTGGTGGTTCGCATGAGAGAACAGGGCTGGCCAGACTTTCTCATAAGATGGGTCCAGTCATTCATGTCCGAGCGGTCCGCAAGTGTTCAGTTTGAAGGTATTGTGACTGATATAAAAGCTCTTATTTGTGGGTTATCACAAGGCTCACCAGTCTCTTTAATCCTTTATATGCTGTATACAGAGCCAATCTGTGCCCGACTCGGTATAAAAAAGAGACGCTTTGGATACGCAGACGACTTAGCGACTCTCTGTATTGGAAAAAACCTTAAAAATATAGCCATAAAGACTTCTAAAAATCTTTATTTGCTTAATCATTAGGGACACAACAACGCTATTGAATTTGACCCCGACAAAACCGAGATCATGCATTTCTCGCGGAAAAATAACTCAAACAATCCTCCAGTCCGCCACGGGACAATGAACAAAACAGCAAAGGACACCATGCGATGGCTAGATATCCTCCTAGATAGAAAACTAAACTTCAAAGATCACGTTTCCTACTGGGCCAAGAAAGCTAATAAGGTAACAAATCACCTTCGAGGACTATGTAACACAGTCAAAAGACTTCCAGTAAAATCAATTAGGAGGGCTGTGAAAGCTTGCGTTATTTCTATTCTTACATATGGCCTGGAGGCTGGTACCTTAGAATCAAAAAAGTTGGGAGCTTAGGTGGGACATCAGCATGTCGCATTAAGGGGCTTCTTGAAACAATAGATACTGTATTATGAACGGCGATCAGGGCTATCTTGCCGGTCTGGAAAATACGTCCTGGACATATCCTACAATTTGAATCACAGATTCGTCCAGCAGGAGTTCTCACTGAGTCAATAAGACGACATCATGGCCTCTGACTAGGACGAATAGACCAGAGATACCCTCTTATTGGCAGGCTCCAAATACAAGCTTGCAAGGAACCAACAAGGCTACAAAGGAGCTTCCAGCTAGTCCCTGACTTTTAGAAACCAATACTCACCAAACCATCATAAAAAAAGCCCACTTAGAAACCAATACTCACCAAACCATCATAAAAAAAGCCTACAATCCGTAAGAATAAAGACAAAAAAATAGAGCTCTTTAAACAATGGCTACGGGAGAGAAACGTGAACACTGACCTTGTCATCTATTCGGATGCATCACAGTTGGACGACCAAGGCACAACCTGCACTGGATGGGGTTACACCATCAGGAAAGGCGGCACTACACAAGAAATATATCAGGAAAAGGGCAGACTTCTACAAGCAGAAGTAATAGATACTGAAGTCCATGGCGCTCTCCAAGGTCTTGCAGTAACCAGGGCAATTAGAAATAGAAAATGGCTATATGTCTGCCTGGACAACACGTCAGTGGTAGATGGGCTCAATGGGACTCCACCCGAGACATCACAGAACATTTTTCTACAATTCCAAGAACTCGCCACAGCACACACGCCTAGAGTAACCGTTAAATGGATTCATGGACACAGAGATATCAATAGCAATAAAGCTATTAACACACTAACAAAAGAGGGTGCCATGCTAGAAACGGACGCGACACACCTTCCCATAATCTCTTAGGTAAAGAGAGATCTCAAAAAAAAAAGATAAAAAAGAATTCAATCAATGGTAGAAAGACCAATCAGAACCTAGATATCAAGAAGTATACTCATATACAATAACTAAAAAGGACCTTATATCTTTTGAAAGGAGCACTCTACACAGACTTCTAACGGCCAGATCTGGACATGGCGACTTTACTAGATATGATGAACGTTTTGGGCATACAGACTCGAATAACCACTGCAGCTGCGGTGAGAAGAAAACATCACAACATATTTTCTTTTGTAAGAGGCTTAGGAAAAACTGACTGCTGCCCAGGTACTCTCCTAGGACAGCCTGTTTACAATACTTGGGAGAGAGGAGCGCAGAATGGGCAAGATTTGTTGAGAAGAGCAAGTTCTTTTCATCAATCTGCCCCCGATAGATAGCTGTTCTTGAAGGACCAGATGGATGACCCCAAAGTCATACAGCCGCAACAACGCGGATGGGCTCGTGAGCGGGACTGACTGTACTTATTATCTTGATACCTCCACAACCCTGCGATGCAGAGGCTCTGGGAGGCGTGGTTTGCACTACTGACGGAGCGATCCCCCACGTTAAATACAATCAATCAACCAATCTGTTGGAACAGGCTTGAACGATCAATCATAATACTCGAGTATGGGGTCAAGGTCATGATGTTGCTGATGGTTGGATTGAGAGGAATCTAGCTGGACTCGAAGGTCTGGCCAAGTGCCCTCTCAATCCACTATCTTATCTTATCTTATCTAATCATACATGTGGGTCCTGGTATAGATGGTTTGCAGTCTGGAATCGCATGGATCCAACACAATCAATCAATTTTGGCTGCTTCTAGCATCAAGCAGGTATGTCGGCAGACATGTTATGATCCCAATACTCACCGAGTCACCTGTGATATCGCCGTCCCTCCAAAGCCCACATTATCATCTTCACTTCATAGCTGCAAGTCGCTACATCAGCCCAACAAGCTGCTCGAGCTTGTCAAGACAGCCAGCCCCAGAATGCTTACATGAAAACCCTGGTGCAGTACTTCCCGAGTTTGGGGATTGTCCCCTTTTGGCCGTGCCTGAGGGTTATATATGAATAAGGAACAGGAACATTGCCAACCATGTTGTGTATGAAGCATTATGGCAGGTCGAGCCGATGCTCAGACCGTTTTCCAGGCAATTCTCGGTGCAACATCTGCTACCAGCCATAGAGGGATGAGTATCAATCCCACAACCGCATCTTATGGTACACATTTGCATATGTTCTTCAATATTTGTGACGAAATGCTTTTATGCAGGAGTAGTTTTCATTGAATATCATGCTCCAAGTCATCAGCCTATGGAATACCTGACCGCCAGCATCCACAATCAAGCCCTAACGCCAATGTGTATCGTCATAATAGTCAAACAAGGCCATGCCCGTCGGTCGTCCCAACATTAATCCTAACAAAATCAGATGCTCCTCACAAACGTCCAAACTCATGTCCTCTCCGGTCTTACTCGACAACAAGCCCTTCCAGGCACTGCATAGCCCTTGTTCCCTCCTTCTCAAAGGCGGTCACAATGGCCTCGCATTCATGCTTCAACTTCTGCTCAGCTTGCCCGGCGTTATAGTGAATCCACTCTTCCACCGACATGCGCTTTTCCGGGCTGGTAAGATCCAAACCGTTCTTGGAATAGTTGGAAGATCCGGTAGCATTCTCCTTGTCCAAATCTTCAAAGATCAGATCGAGATCAACCGCTGTCCAGGCAAGACTGCTCTGGAGCCCAGCAAACACATTACGCTTGGAAGGCGATGTTCGTACAGGTGTGGCGGCGATAGGCGCCAATGCAGTTCGATTACTGCTGGCTGTATTCGATGGCTTTGAAGAGGGTGGCTGGTTTTCCGCATCAGAAGACTGTGGCGACTGAGACGGTGAAACAGCCGCCTGCTTCGCGGCGGGGGCTGGAGAGATGAAGGCTTTTGGCGTCGACGGAGGTTGAAGCTCATCAGACTCGGGAGGGGGCGGTGGTAAAGATTTGTTACGTGGAGGTGACTCGACGGTACTTGGTGATATTGCAGCCTTCTGACTGGAAGCCAGCCGTGCAGGTGTCGGCGGGGTCTTGGATACAGACTCTTCCTCGGGCTCTGCTTCAGCTAGCACAGCCGCCTCCGCTTCCTCTGCTTCCTCTGCTTCCTTCAAAGCCAATCGGGCAGCTGCCTCCTTCTTGCTAGGTCGTCCCCGTTTCTTTGGACCTGAAGTTGAAGACAAGCTAGTTCGAACAACAGTCGAGGTGCTTACAATGCTGACTTCGTGACCTTCAGCTAGCTCATCTACCGCCTCGGCTTCAAGAACGGTTTGGGGCTCGTGTTCTGGTGTCGGTTCAACGGGTGCCTTCTCCTTGGCTTTAGTGGTCGTCTGTTTCGAGGCTTTCCTGGTACCTGGCTTGCGACCTTTCTTTGGGATCTGGAGTGCTTCGCCTTGTTCTGCCTCCATCTCGGTTTCCAATGCTTTCAACTCTGCGTCGATAGCAGCTTCATCAATCTCGGGAGGCACATGATCGAACATGGCATGGTCGTTGGGTTGGTCTTCAAGCTGAGATGAAGTACTCCGCTTGGCAGTAGGCTTTCTGCCCTTTGCTTTTGCCGGGACCGTCTTTCGCTCGGAGTCAGAATCAGCAGCGATATCCTCAGTATCAGACAATGGGCGTTCCATATCAGCTTGCAATTGTCGGTCAAGCTCCTCGTCATCCATCATGTGTCCATCCTCTACACGTGGAGAAGCAGCAGACACTGTCGATGCCACGGAAGCCTTCCGTGTATTGCGGGTATTAGTGGATTTGCCCTTCTTCCCTCTCGTCTTTGGAACTGGTGCAGGCTCCGTATCAGCAATACTGACGTCAGGATGCTGCTCAACGACAGATGCATCAACAGTATTGCTTCTTCGGCCACGCGTTGCTCGTTTCTTCGGTGCAGGCGCTTCGGCGTTGATCAATACGGAATCCTCGACGGAGTCGCTGGCTCTTTTCCGTCCTCGAGTAGGCTTCGGTGGCGGAGGTGGCACCACGTCTTGTTCATCTGGCGGGTCCTCGAGCACCTCGACAGCTTCATCTTTCTTTGCCCTCGACTTCTTCCCTTTGGCCGTGGTACCCTTCTTGGCTCTGCCCCGTTTGGTACCACCTTGCGTCATCACCGAGGTTGTGGTTAAGACACTATCTTCATGGTTGGCTGGGTGATCAAGCAGCGATGTCATATCGGATGTCGCCGTCGCCGCAGACTGGCTGGAAAGACGGGATGCTTTGGAGCCCCTAACTCCTTTCGCCCTACCCTTCTTCTTGGCTGGTTCTGACTTGTACTGGCTGATCAGACTGAAGAATGGGCAGTCCGGAGACCGTCGGTAATGTTCATCCCTGTGGTGCGTCAGTAATTGATCAAAGCAGACGAGGTCGCGTAGGGCTCACATGGGGTTATCCTTGGGTTCCCACCCGTCCAGGGCGAGCTGGCAGTATGTGCATGTCGCCATGTCATCAGAGTCAATGGTTGGCGTGTACTTCCAGCCCGCATCCGCAAGCTACAACACTACGGGTTAGCCAAAGCAAGTAGGGGCGTTTTGCACTGGGTCCATACCTGCTTGGTCTTGCATTTCCATCCTTTCTTCCCTTCGTGTGGCCATCTCTCCGCAAAGGTAGCTTTGCGCGCGTCGAGCATCTCTGAACTCGTAGGGTCGTCCATGCCATAGTCTCCCAGTCCGATCTCAATGCCGGCCACAACAGCCCAGCCGCAGTGCGGTGACAGTCGCAGGTGCTCCTCGAACGGGTTGTCGTTCTCTTCCCATCCACCAACATTTTTATGGCAGAGGAAACATACGGTGTTATCGCGGAATTCGGAGGTAGGCGCAAAGAAAAACCCAGCTCGTGCAAACTGTTTGACGATGTTAGCATGCACTTAGGTGTTCAGCAGAAAGATGCGCGTAGTTACTTACGTGTTCTGGATTCAGTTGTCTATGCGGCCATGAGAACAGCGCCTTTGGCGCTCCTCTGCCTTTCGTGCTCGATATTCGACGCGTGACTGGTTGCGCGGAATAGAAGGAGGCCAATCGTCCATCGTGTGTATAGTATTGCTCGGCTATCTCATCCGACTCCATGACTGCGAAAGCCGTCGCGTCGCGTTGTTCGTGCTACGATGGGGGACCGTGTTCGGCGTCGCGTCCAGGTTCCGCAGAGAAGAGGAGGGTGGTTCAAGGCGCGGTGTCTTGTTCTGAGGAGCTGCGCGAAAGTGCGAGGTGTGTTCAACGTAAGAGTGCAAGATGGAAGACTATGCAGCAACAGTTGCTTCTACTATGGAGGCTGGGAGGTTGTCAATTGAAGGTGGGATGCAGCTTACAGGACTGGACTGGGGAAGCAGAGGGTTGGCGGGTTGCTTGGTGTTCTAGGCAGGGTCATCTCATTGGTTGCTGGACCGCGTTCTGTTTACTTTCCATCACGACCCACCCAACCACCCTGGTGGAACCCGCGCAGCCACAAAGCCACATCAGTACCCACTTAAACAGCGATATGGGGGTTGCATGAGCAGATCTCGAACTCCCTCTTTCCGCGAGGCAACGAATCTTTCTGCTCGACCTTTGGGTGAACACTATTTCTGGGAAGAACCTCCACCTTTAATGCTATTCACCCCTGCTTCATATTGTTCTATGTACCAATTGATCTCCGTTGCCAAACGGCTGCGATACATCTAACCCGATACTAAGGCGTATTATAGCAAAAAAGTAAAAAAAGATAAATAATTATAAAGTCAACGGTAACAAGGTAAAAAGAAAAAGTTTACTCGTACCAAGCCTCATGCATTAAGACGGTGTTGAAGCACCATCAGTGCCGAAGACTCTCTCACGTTGCGTGTTGGGTACTGGGCATTCCAAGAAATACTGATGTATTTTGAAGCCATGCTTTCCGTTTTGCCGCTTGCTATGCGTGTTCGGGAGGCAGAAGAAGCCTCAGACGTGGGTCCTGGCCTGAAAGCAATATCAAAGCAATCAGATGATGCATAAGACTACCATATCCTAGATAATTGAAATCGCAGCTAGAGCTAGCATAGTCACCGCCACTACTTTCGAAGCACCATATGCTAATGGACCAGGCCGGCGTCGTGAGGAAGTTGACCGTCGTGAATGTTCAAGTCTCGAGGGAGAGAGCACGGTACTCAAAGATGCGGAACCAGAAACTCTGTATAGGCCATGACCAGATTTTGAGCATCTGGACACCTGCTCCTTTTAGAGAACGTTGATGAATATGAACCCGTTTTTTAGGCACCATATGATCATTGGAAAGATCTCGGAGATATTGCAGGATCCGTCGTGGAACCAGTTTACGAAATTTGCCTTGGTCGCCGGCTATGGCTTCCAAAGTGCAATCCATATGGGATTGAAGCCCACCTGACTGTGTTTTCGCTGCTCCACACCTGTTAGTAATGTCCCGTCTCTCCCAGTTCCATATGCAGGTGCGGGCAGGAGAAAGTACACTGACATCAATTTGTTCCTGGCGCGGAATGACGGGATTAGGTAGGACCAGTGCAACGCGGCCATAAATGCTGTATCATAGCGACGAAGAGGTCAGATTATGCAAGATATGGAATATTATACAGCAACTTAGTCAGACTACTGTCCAATTCAGCTTCTTCGATCAAGTCAGTCGGTGAGAGCTGAGGGGGAAGTTGCACCTCATGTAAGTGTTCCTAGCCGCCCCAACTAAGCATGGTTACCGCTACTTCAACGCAATACTACTCTAGATCATGGGATAGTCGGCAACAGTACGGTTCATGCACATCGCGAAGTACTGCCTATTTGCAGTGGGCTGACATATTCTTAGACATGAAGGCAACCACGAACGAGGTGATCACCTCGCATGGCTCACTTGGTCATCGTGGAGGCACTCGTCATGCCAGCATTACTGAGGAGCTGAGATAAAGCGTTGTTGCATCCAAAGTCTAGGGAAAAGTCCTGTAGTGTGGGGCTCAGACAAGCCGAAGTACATGAACGTGTGAACTGATGACCTTTTACCCCAAACGGGACACGTTGGCTTTCTCATGATGTCGTCAGTCAGTTTTTGTAGGTAATCCAACGGCTGATCTCAACTCATGTACCCCAGGGATTGCGGTAAGGCTGGGAACGTCCGCCACTGTCCGTCAGCTGATAAACTTAGCCAATAATAGCACCACGTTTCTACCTTGAGTAAGCGACCACGACAGTCTATGACTAAATCCGGCTTGACACCGGTTTTCTAATCCCGATCCGGCCTGCAGGTCGAGTCTCGCTTATCTGTGTATGATGCTGATCTCATCCAGCCAAGCTTCATAGCATAGCCCTGTCCCAAATCGGCACACATGAAGGGTAATCAATCAGCTGTACCCATAGACAGCAATCCTTAACGTACCAATGCAACCTAGTCATCCCCAGAAGTAGCATGTGTGGCTGAATGCTAGACTGTATTGCTGATGCCATCTGGTTCACAGGGCTATGTGCGGAGTTTCTCGGTCTCCACCATACGTGCCAGCTAGAGGTTCAGCTCGGCCGTTGACGCGTATCCGCACCAATCTGGACTTGTCCAGTACCATTCGCACTCAAGTCCTAGTTACGGGTATGATGTATCTAGTAATGACCTACGTTGCTGGGACGCTTTGAATGGCAAGATCATCTAGCTTGAAAACATGAATTGCTATGGTACATCTTGTGTATAGGCATTGAACGACCTCTGTAAGCGTCTGGCCTCTGAGTGATAGACATTTGAGGAAGAATCAAGAAAGAATATCGCTGATGTAAGCTTCGACATACGGCATTTCCGCTACAATGCTGTGAGTCAACGATTACTGGCATCTCCATGAGGCGGTAAGGCTGAGTATGCCCCATCAGGTGTCAGCGCAATAGGCAGCGAGGCGAATACATGTCAACAAAAATCATTCTCAGCTCCATCGTCAGCTCCGCAATAGGGGGCATTACGTGATGTGGGCTTCTCGGACCACAATCTGAGCTCATCAGGTTTGGTCACACGCTTGTTTACGAGGTAGGCTCAAGCTCAGCTCCCACATCACACATCGACAAGGGGGTGAGGATGCCGAATGAGGCAGAAGAACGTGGACAGATGTTGTCAATGTGGCGGAGCGAGAGAAACTGGGAGATTAGTATAAAAGGGACGCACCGGGATGGCCAAAGGAAGAAGAAAGCTACACAACAAAACCACCAACCTAACAACAGCAACTCATCCAACACACAACACACAACACACAACACAACACTTCACACAACGCATCCCTTCTTCAGACCAACTTTACCAATCCTTCAGAATGGGTTTCACCAGCTACTCCGGTCCCTCCTCGAGCTTCCCTCCCATGAGCCAATGGAAGTCCTTCGAAGAAATTTTCAATGCCAACAAGTCTGAGATGGCTGCCACCGGCGACACCGGCGAGGACATCGGCCGCATCTGGAACGCCGTCCTCGAGTGCGCCAAGCTTGGTGTCGAAGAGCGGTAAGTCGTACCCTTCCCGTTATCCTTATCTGACATTGAAGAACGCATATCTGACTGACAATTGCAGTGTCATCTTCGCCATCATCATGCAGGAGAGCACCGGCAACGTCGGCGTCCAGACCACAGTCAACGGCGACGGCCATGGTACTGCCGGCCTTATGCAGTGTGACGGCAGCCCCGGCTTCCCGGGCCAGCACGGTCTCTCTCAGGTAAGTCGCAGCAAGACTCGACGCTTCTCACGAGAACGATCTCAGCCTCTGACAAAATTTACAGGACCAAATCACCTCGATGGTCCGCGCCGGAACCCAGCACTTCAAGCTGAACCTCCAGGACTTCGGGAACACCGACACGGCCGATTGTATCTACAAGGCACTCCGAGAGTACAACTCCGGCTCGGTCAACCCCGACAACCTCAGCGATGGCAAGGGTGCTACCCCCAGCTACGTCAGTGACATCGCCAACCGTCTCCTCGGCCGCGCCAACTAAGGATAGTCATTCGGAGTTTCTCTGACTAGGAAGATTAGGAGGGAATATTGTATATTGGGCAGATTGGTAATTGGACATTCTTTGGATAGACGGCTGTGAATACGAGTAGGGGTTATTATATATTAGACAGATGGACAATTGGACATTCTTTTTTATAGACGGCTGGGGCTCATTTCGGTTTTATCTTGTTGTAAAGATAGGGGGTGGACGTTCCTTACTTGCTAGCTAAAACTCATGGGTCGTCATAGTCAATATCATCTTCTAGAACTCTAAACATTGCTTTACGAAGCCAACGCTGGAGTGATAATCTCTCGTCCAGGGAGGTCCGCCGACCCCCCTCTCTACCTGACAAACAGTTCATGTCCAAGGATACTATCCTTACTATATACCCACGAGGCCTCTTGTCTTCGCCATCACCGTCGTTGGAATATAGTAGCCCATCCCAACCTAGACCCTTCACACAGGGGTCTGTGATCCAGTTCCAAAACCACTCCGAAGCCGAGGTATTGCCAGGAATGCAATCTCCCAGCCCAACCAACCTCTTATTTCCCAACTCCACCGCCCAACCGCCCCAAAAACGCCTCAACCCCATCCCTAACCTGCGCCTCCATATCCACGCCATTAGTAAACGCACCCCCCTCGCGCATCTGCCTCCGCATATCCTCCACATCGATATCCTCCACATCCCTCGTATACAGCCTCCCAAAGCGTCTCGTGATCTGGACGACCTCCTGGCTCCGCGGTCTGCGCACGGCATCGTACGCGCCGAGCGCGGCCTCGATCTGCGATGCGGACGTCACGAGCGCGAAGATCCCGGTGAGCACCGCGGCGTCTTCGAGGGCCTGCGCGGCGCCGTTGCCGGCGTGTGGTGCGGTGGCGTGGGCGGCGTCGCCGAGCATGGCTACGCCGCCGCGCACGTATGTCGGTGCTGGATCGTGGTCTTGGATCTTCCAGTCTTCGCTGGGGTTCTTTGCTAGCAGCTATGGAGGTCCGCGTTAGAAAGGGGTCTCGGACAACCGATTGTCAAATCTCGTAAGGCAAGAAGTAAAGAAAGAGACAAGGCTAAAAAGTGGGAGAAGAGGAGAAGGAATCGGGGAAAGGGATGAGGGGCAGGTGGAAAACGTAAAAGGGGTATCTGAGAATAGGGGAACAGGGAAAGGGGAAAGGGGAAAGGGGCAGGTGTAACGCAGCCACCCCCTGAGTGAACAGCAACAGCCACCACCACCAACACCAAAACCGCAAAAAGCACAAAACACAAATCGCCAAAACGCACCTCAACCAACGCCCTAGTATCCTCCGAAAACTCGCTCCACTCGTCCTTATCAAACGCCTCCCCCAACCCCCAGCCGCCAGCAGCCGTCCTCTTATCATCGCGCAAATAGCAGCCCACGGTATAAGTCCTCCCCAGATCGACCGGGATGCCGTTCACTGCGTACCTTACGAATTAGTCGTCTCGTCCATTACAACTTGGTGGGCCTTACCTCCAGCAGCGGAATAGGCAATGACAGATCAGAATTTTAGCAACCCCACCCGAGGAAACGAGGCTTTGTGGTCTTGGAATGGGAATGTTCCTAAAGCACCGGTACACGTACCATACCCCAACGGCGTGCAAAAGCACCTTACACGCTCAATAGAAGCCCGCGGCAGCGCCGCCGCCGCCTCGGCCATCGGCACGTGCCGATAGATAGCGCGCCAACTATCGTGATTCACCGGTTCCACAGCCGGGTGCCCGGGCCCAAGCACATAACGCCGGCTGAGACTCTTGACGCCCTCGGCGCCGAGGACGACATCAAAAGCAGCGGTGGTGCCGTCAGCGAATTTCACCTGCACCTCTCCCTCTCCCTCTCCCCCTCCGTCCTGATCCTGATTCTGCGAAATCTCCACAGCCCTCATCCCAAACCCCACGCGCGCCTTCAACCCCGGCGTGTCCTCCAGCAAACCCTCGATGAAGTGCGCGCGATGGACGGTTCTGCGACCCCGTGCGCGGCCGAGCTCCGCGACCAGCGTGCCGGCGTCCGGGCCCGCGCCGAGGATGAACTGCGTCGCCATCTCGACGGACTCCTCGCCGGCCATGTAGTGCGACTTGCGGAAGTAGGCGGCCTTGATGAGGGGGGAGATGGTGTCCATGGCGCGGATGGCGTTGCCGCTGCGATTCCCGGTCAGTGTACATGCCCTCTGCTTGCTTCCTTACTTCATGCGAGAGAGTTTGGGATTGGGTTTGGGTTGGCTTGGGGGCTCTGGCCTTGGCTCTGGACGCAGGTTGAGGGGTTGAGTATGATGACGGGTCTCATGGCAGTGCACGACAGTCAAGGGGTAAAAGAGGAACCCGGGAGGATATAGGTACTCACTGCAGCGCGAGACCCGACCCGCGCACCCCAATGCCGGGGTACGACTCGAAGACGCGGACGTCGAGACACGGGTTCTGGAGCAGTCCGATGGCGAGACTGGTACCGGCGATGCCAGCGCCGAGGATGCCAACACGGATCTTCCGCTCGCCAGCGCCTCCCCCGGCCATATTCGGATTCGCAGGTGTTTCCATTGACGCCGACTACCTAGATTATCAGATTCGATACGTAACTTCAAAGTATGTGTTCTGATTATGCTAATTTAAATTATGCTGTCGAAAAACGAAAAGACCGGAGGGGGTTTCGGTCTCGTAGTCTGAGGTTCTCGGGAGGTTAGGATTATACACGAGTTAACTACACATATACCCGAAATATATTTACGAGGACAGGGATGCGCATCCTATAGCCCTGCGTCCCTTTATCTTCCCATGTCCAGTCCGTCAGGTTATGCGAGGGTGAATGTCCAGGCAGGCCGTGACTTGTATCCACTGCGGATTTGCATCAGCCCATGAGTCCTCGATACCCACAAGGAAAGGGCCCAAAATAGTCATTGGCGTCGTCGCGTGCTACCATGTCATACGACCCTGGACGCACTTGATGGGTAGGGCTGACTGGAAGTTCCAGTCCGGAACTTTTACGTGGATACTCTTCGAGGAAGACCATAATATTATCAGAGTTGACCTGAAACTGGCCCGGTCTGAACGCCATCGTCGGGCGTGTGAGCCCCAATTAGAAGCCCCTGGACACGGCCGGACCGCAATTACGGATCCTACGATAAGGTAGGTAGCGGCTTTCTATTCATATCGTGAACATGGGAACTGGCCGCGCACCTAACTTCAACCCCAAGCGTTACAAGGCGTTCGGGACCGAGAAGCAGCTTTTATGCTTATGAAGCCTAGTCTCATCATTTGGCTCCTTTGCCTGCATGGGCGACCATCTCTCTCCGTTGAAATGTAGGACGTGGGATGACTGGCCCACTCGTAGTTCAGAATGTAGATAATTGTAGGGCTATAATATGCCTGTGAGTCGTGACTGATTCACGATCTTTGTTCATCTGCACACCGAGTAAGCCGTGAGATTCCCATGACGTTTCATTTACGGTTCATATATATCGGGCGAGTGGAGTTTGTTTCATCCAACAAATTCCAACAAATACCATCAGGCTACTTCAACTTCGCAGCCCAATGTCCGTACACTGCAGCACCGTCGCAGGAACAGATCCCACGTGATACTCCTGGCAAAGAAGTCACCCTTTCGAAGAAGCAGCCCTAGACTCATTGTCTAGCCCTGCCCTGTCCGCCGTCAAGTCATGCAGAAGTGAGGCCCAGTTCGGCGTAGAAAGCGTCGCTGCTCGGTTCACGGCCCAGGAACTGCTTCAGTGTCTCCATCTCGTCCTGGCTTCCACCACGTTCCAACACGGTGTGGCGGTATCTGCGGCCCTCCTTACCATCCATTGGGTTCTTCTTGAAGCTTGAATAGAACATGTCGGCACTGTATACCTGAGACGACAAATAGCCGTAGTAGCCAGCGTCGTAACCGCCGATGAGGTGACCAAAGGTAGCTTGTCCGTGGCCCCATGTGCTGTTCGGCGGTCAGTATAAAAAGCATCAGCTTCCAGCGGTGACAATTGGGGACATACCTGTCCTGGCCGAGAGCCTCTGGGCCCTTCAAACCAGCAATCTGGGTTCGCAGGTCATTGAACAATACGCTGGCGTCCAACTTTTCCAACTCCTCGTGGCTCGCAGGCGAGTGGACGGTCATGTCGAATATGCCAAAGTGCAATTGTCTCAGATTGAACAGACTGTCGTTGACATGCTTGGTGGATATCTGCTTCTCGATCAGGTCATCGGGGATCTTCTCGCCAGTTTCGTAGTGATTCGAGAGCGACTTCAGCTGACTAGGCGTCCAGCACCAGTTCTCGAGCATCTGACTTGGTGCTTCCACAAAGTCTCTAACGGTGGAGGTTCCGTGGAAACGGCTGTAGGTGCATCGGCCAGCCAGGTCGTGGATACCGTGTCCCAGCTCATGGAACAAAGTTACGACCTCGTCGTGCTTTAGAAGCGAAGGTTTCGTCTCTGTGGGCTTGGAGAAGTTGCAGACCAAGGCGGTTGCGGGATACCGGCGTGAGCCATCCTTCTGGAGGAATCCAGGACTGATACTGAAGTTGGCAGCATGGCCATATTTGCCTTGGCGTGGGTGCAAGTCCAGATACAGGTAGCCGACAAAGCCGTCACCCTCGGAGCTGTCGTTCCAGACCGAGAAAATGATCACATCCTCGTGCCAAGCAATATCCTTGGCCTTTCCGGTCGGTGATAACCTCTGTCGCTCGTCCTTGCCCAGCTCAACGAAAACCATCCCAAAGAGCTCCTCGAAGATGTGCAGCATGCCCTGGATTGTGCTTGTTAGAGGGAAGTACTCCGCTATCTTGACTTCGTCAATGCTGTACTCTTGCTCGACCATCATACGGTCATAGTACCGATGATCCCAGAGGTAGTAGTTTCCGTCCGGCTTCAATCCCCGCGACCCCTCGTCCTTCTTCTTGAGCTCAAGCAGATGATCTCTCTCCTTCTCACCTCCTGCCACCAGTCGTTTCCGAAGATCGGAGAGAAAGGTATTGACGGTCTCGGGTACCTTGGCCATCTTGTCTTCTATACGGAAAGCAGCGTGGTTAGGGTAGCCCAGCATCCGAGCAGCCTCGTCTCGCAGTAGGATAGCTTCTTTGAAGAGTGGGATGTTTTGATTGCACTGCCGTGACATTTAGCTTCATGTCCTTCAGAATTACTGGTGTTAGTTCCAATTCGGCGCTCGCCCCAGTCACATACCTTGTTCTCATTAGAAATGAAGAGCTTCTTCCTCGTCTCGGGGTTCTTGGCAAACTTGAGAGTAGGGAATAGATCCGGGTACTTGAAGCTCAGCTTGACCTTGCCCTCGTTCTCACCAGTCCCCTTCTCCAAACCGTCCACCAAGTCACTAGGCACACCATCCAGCTCCTCCTTCGTAAACCAGAGCCCGCCGTCTTCCTCGTTCAGGTTCTTCTGGAACTCAATGCCGATCTGGCTGAGCCGCTTCTTGATCTCCTTGAAGCGATCCCGTTGGGGACCCTTGGGCAGACCGAGACCGTTTCGGATGTAGCCCTTACGTTCCTTCTCGAGCAACCGCAAGCTCTCGGCATGGAGGCCATGCTCCTTGCCGCTCTGCGCCTGGAAGGCAGCCTCAACCAGAGCGTAGACATCCTCCCGCATATTACACTCGATAGTGAACTCGTCCATGATACTCTCGGCCTCGCTCGAAGCTTTGCGCAGGTCGGCGTCGGCGGAAACGTACTGGTAGAAGCCGAGTATGCGAGAGCTCAGCTGGGCCTCGTTCTCGTCTTCGACCATAGGCGCCATGACCGAGGCGAAGGTGGACTTCTCGGCGGGCACTCCGGCAACGACCTTGTCGAGCAGAGTCCGGGTGGTGTAGCAGAGTGCTTTGGCATCGTTCACGATGGACTCCTTGGTGCCGGTGAAGGTCGGCGGAGCTTGTGGCGGGTTCTTGTACTTCTCGGGCGCCATGACTGCCGTCACGACGGGTCGACTGGGAGTTGGAGATGGGCTGAAGGGGGATGTTGTAGTAGACGGAGAAGGCCTGAGGCGGATCTGGTTCAGGTAGGAGGTGAGGCGCGAAGCAGCCCTTGGAGCAGCCAGGTTGAAGGTGATGGCGAGGAGAAGAACGAGGAGGGAGATGACGAGGAGGAGGGGCCGGGAGCTTCTTGTAGATGTCGTCGTAGCCAGGATCAATGATGGCTGAGGGTCTGTCCAATGGGATTGTACAAGGCGACAGAGTTGGGCAGGTGTACTGGTGGACGTCGTTGAGTCAATCTGGAATGTATGGATGTGCGTGTGCAGGTCTCGGGGTCAGATGGGAGGTCGGCACGGTCGGTAACCTGGTGAGCTCCAGTGGTTGGTTGTGATAATCGGTGCAGGTGTACAAAGTGGCCTCGAGGGATGTTCCTGATGTGGTCACTCCACTGGAGGTGCTCGCCGGCCACTGAGCTTGGAGCTACCTGGTGAGCGGGGGAGGCCCCCGATCCCTCCAGCTGGAGCTCCCCATTGCGGGGTCCTCTATGGGTCTCCAGGGCATCCACTTGCTGCTGCCGACCTGCGAGGTTGAAACATTGCTACATCGTTTCTCAAGCTTCCAATCTAGGACGATCCAGCAGGAGGCCAAACCGGGTGTAAATCTTCACATACCTATCACGAGCAGTCATCAAGTAGAGCACTGTCTCACCTAGACAGTTAAGTCATCGCGGAGTCACAATTGCAAGACATCGAAGTAAGGGGGACTTATTTGGGTACGGGCCGTACAGCATATTCATTACGAGGAACCGGTGTAGCCTCCTCGTCTATAAGGTATCCCACATGACTACAACGCAGGCGCATCTACCCAATCCAGAGGGGTCCCATGAATCAATGAACAAACGCCAGTGTCATCGCCGAGCCATGCAGTGCCATCAAGTCCAGTAGTGTAGTACATTCCGTATTGCGAGTGCGTGCGTGCGTGCGACACAAAGCACCATCCCTCCAAACTCCTTGCATTATCCCATATCGTGGGTCTTTGATTTCAGTTGGCAAGGATAGTCCGGACAAGATCTGTGTAGTTGACCTGTCCAGAGCTGGTGTCTACCGCCTTGAGCAGCTCGTCCACCTCCTCGTCCGTCATCTTCTCGCCCAGATTCGTCAGGATGTACTTGAGCTGTCCGACGCCGATAAACCCTGTCATGTCCTTGTCGAACACCTGGAATCCGCGGCAGTACTCGTCGGGCTCGCCAGGGTCGCGGAAGCCGCCCGGTCGGTTCAGGATCTTGGAAAACGTCTCGAAGTCAACTACAAACGTAGAATTAGATTAGCCACGTTTGTCCTCTGGATGCTTCTATGTTGTCCGTCGTTGTCCTCGTCGCATTGCGGTATCAATTCGCGTTTGTCGATGGCGCTTGGATACTTGGGCGCACGGGAAACTCGGGGGTAAACAAAGGGTGCCGCTCACAATCACCACCGACATTTCTCTCCAGGTCGCTGATCTCGGACAAGGTAGGGTTCTGGCCACAGGCGCGCAGGAGGTCACCTAGACTGTCGAGGGTTACGCGGCCGTTGCCTCGCTTGTCGAAGAGACTGAAAGCCTCCTTGTAGTTGGTCGAAGCCTGCCCGGTGTTCTCGTAATTAGTGGCCATTCTGGCTGATTATAGTAGGTGTGATGCGGTCTTGTAGCAAATGCGCGTGTAGATTGGAACAGAATGAAGGATTGGAGAGAAGCAGAATCGTTGGGTACACAAAGGATCGAGGTGATTGGTAGGAGTATGTTGATGAAAGAAGAAAAGCATGTGCCCGAATGCAAAGATCGATTCGTCAATTCTCGTTGCCAAATAAGGCGATGAGGTGATCGGAGGTGACCAGGCACTGGCGCTGGCGCAGTCACACCGCAGCACACCAACAGGATGTTGCCATTCCCCCGAATATTGCCATGCCTGGGAATCTGCTGTCGCCACCGCCGCCTCCAGAGAGTGTGCTGACTCGCTCTTTTCAGCTGCCTACAGGGCGCTAAACCGGGGATTAGGGGGCTCCGAGGGGCTCTGTGTTTACTTCCACCGACAGTGGACAACAGGGGCGAGGGAAACAGTGACAATCGGTGTAGCATGGTGGAGGGAGGACATAAACAACGTACCATATTGACAACTGTAGACTGTAGAATACGTGAAGCAGAGAGTGAAGTCGCAGAGCAGAGGCGCCAAGGTTCGTGATGGTGTTTTCTGGAGGAGCGGTCGCAGTCTGGCTTGTCTTGAAAGAAAGATGGTGGAATGAATCAGGTTCTAAAGTGGACTGGACCACTGGTGTGTTGCCTTATTACCCCCTGGCCAGTGCAATTCATGCGCGACCGCACCCGCCTGTCAATGCCTTTTGTAGTGGGGACAAACGAAATTGGCAGGGCAACCAACGGTCACCAGCGAGGGGCAGAAGAACAACATCAACATCACCACTCGACGGTCTTTGTCCTACTCAGTTGGTGTCCTACTGGAATTGTCCAGATGAAAGATATCATGATGTTGCTTACTTCTTGGAGTTCTTGGCCGGCCAGGCTCTACTTTACTCTCATTAGGGCAATTAATGTACCCCTGAATCCAGGAGTCGCAGGTGTCTTACAGTACTCCCAGGTAGCATCGTCTACAAGCGGCCATACTGGTCGCCGCTACATCAGATTCATAGACTACGGTACATAGACTACGGTACTTGGAAGGCATATTTACTGCATCATCGAAATTCTAGAGTATGAGCGACTGGCAATCGCATCACCTACGCCGGGCCATCAGTACATACGTCCCCCAATCACTCACAACCTCCGCCTCCCTCCACCGCTCGCCCAGGGCCTTCCATTCCGGCACAGCATCAACCATACGATCCCACATGAAATCAACCACATCCCCATCCCCACCATCCGCCCTGCTCTTCGCCTCAGGATGGGCATCCCTCCACCCACTGAAGCAGCTAAACGTCCGCGTATAGCCCTCCACCTCCCCGAGCTTCATCTTCTTCCTCAACCAGCACGCCTCCTCCCCCGAACCCTCCTGTCCAGGCTCATGCTCCAACCTCGTGACGTCCGTCCAGTCCTTCTCAGGCGCCTGCACGCTGCGCAGCAGATCCCTTAGGATACTGCGGCCCGGCTGCTCCCAGTAGGGCCCCATGCCCTCGACGCCCGGCGCCACCTCGCCGAACCCGTAGACGAACTGCTCCATGATCTCCGTGGCCTGCGTCGCGCCGAGCAGCACGTTGTCCTTGTAGCCCCAGAAGGCCAGCGTGCCGCCGGGGCGCACCACGCGCGCGAGGTTGGGCCACACCTTGCCGTAGTCGAACCAGTGCGCCGCCTGGCCCGCGACCGCCATGTCCACGGAGCGGTCCGCGAGAAACGAAAGGTCCTCGGCGCTGCCCTCGCGGAACGTGATCTTGGTGTCGTCCGTCGTGCGTTGCGCCTGCGCTACCATGCCCGCTGACGGGTCGATGGCGACTACGGACTTGAATTGGGGACTCAGGCCTCGGGCGATGAGGCCGTGCCCGCAGCCCAGATCTAGCAGGGTGCCGGCGCCATCGGGGGTCTGCTGTGGGTGCTGTTGGTGGAAGTTCAGCACGGTCCGAAACAGTGACTGCGGGTATGTTGGCCGGAAGGCTGCGTAGGCCTTGGCGGAGAAGGTTGGTCGGCTATAGAAGTATTAGCGATGTTGACGCCCACGTAAGCAAGAGCCGTGGTGGTGGGTGGGACACAGACGCAAATGTCGCCATCTCTGCCACTCAAGGCGTGTCCAGGCCGGGCAACCGGATCAATGTGTACAAAGGACTGCAATAAAGTGTTGAGACGCGGTTGCACAGGGAGAGTATTGTCGAATAGTCTCACAGGTGAAAAGAAGCGTTTGGGGATTGGTGACAGGGGACGGAAGGTTTCATCCTTCCTGAATCCTTTGAGAGGGAAACACCGGGCCCGAAACTGTGACCGATCGGCGGTATCGGATGCCGCGGGCTGCCTCGGCTCAACGCAGCCCAGCGGCGCAAACGGGATCAGCATCACCACCTGCAGCTCAACGATTCAGAAGCCTCCAGCTGTTTGTGTCCTACTGTTTGCTCAATGATTTATATATATCCGGGACAGGCCCAGGCATCTAGAGTTAATTGCAACCTTTCTCGCCATCTTCAAAGCTCAGTCTCTTGGGCGTTGATATACCCGAACCACCTACAGATCAAACGGGCTCATAGACCCTTGGCACATCGTCCCGGATTGTCATCATCAACCCATCACATATCCCATCCACGACATCTCCATATGTTCAAAATGACGACCGACGCTACCGTCAAGGTCTTTTTCGCCTCGCCGCAGTTCGCCGTCGTCGGTGCTAGCTCCAACCCTGCCAAGTTCGGCCACAAGGGTGAGTTGTTGCATCTCATCTCATCTCATCTCATCTCATCTCATCTCATCTCACTTCATTCTGCGGGGCATAGATTCATCTGAGCATTGTCATCCCCTAACATATACCTGGGTAACCCCACATCATTATCATCATTTAGAAGCACTGAAGACAAGTCCTCAGCGTCGGATCTCGCTGCCAAGTGGCGCGAACTCAAGCATCAGCAAACGCGGCATATAATATCTATCACACCTACACACTAACAATTACACCTCCCAGTCTTCGTCTGGTACCAAGACCACGCACTCTCCGTAACCCCCATCAACCCCATCACCCCCAGCATCAAGACGCGGCACGGCACCCACCCAACGCTCAAGTCGCTATCAGACCTGCCGGAACCGACCAACACCTCGCTGTCCATCATCACGCCGCCGCCCGCGACCCTGGAGGTCCTGCGCGAGGCCCGCCGCGTCGGCATCCCGGCCGTGTGGCTGCAGCCTGGTACGTGGGACGACGCGGTCATGGCGTTTGCGCGGGGCGCGGACGGGAAGGAGGGAAAGGAGGGAAAGGATGGGGAGGGGTATCAGGGCGCGGTTGTGGCCGGAGAGGGCGGGGGTGGGCATGGAGGGTGGTGTGTCCTGGTTGATGGGGAGGAGGGGATGAAGGAGGTGGGACAGCTGTAAGGGTTAGGTAGACGCTTGTTTGTGATGATCAGGATCGGAGTTGAAGGGAGGAAGGAAGGCCGGCGTGGTTGGGAGAGTGGTGTTGTTCTGAGAAATGTACTCGTGGATTACAGGTACAGTACTTTGCGGGCTTCAACATTGAGGGTCTTTGCCTTGTTGGCATTTTGTGGGGTTTTTGGGTATTGACATTGTATGTTTGACTTTTGGATTGTTCTCCAGAGATAGTGGCTCTTATCCAGGTGGAGTTGAAGGGGTGGAACATATGACAGCAAGAGTGACTTTGTCCTTGGTCGACAATATGATACAATCGGTTTGCCCTCAAAAGCAACTACCTCCTCGGCCTGTCCCACAAGCCCTTGGGATGGACATGGTGAATTTCTAATTGATGCTAATCGTGATAGCCAGACAGGATTCTACGACCCACCCTGCTTCCCAAAGTAATTCATCAAGGTATTCAACTGTTTCGGACCCGCCTCCTTCTTAACTTTCTTCGGACTGTCCGCGGGCGGCTTCTTCCCAATCTCAAGGATATCCATCAGCTCCTCAAACTCAGCCTTCGGCACAATCCCACCACTGGCCTCCTTATGCCCCCTCGCAAACGACTCTCCAAGCCTCTCACGCAGAGTAGGATTCGGCGACCTCTCCGCTATATCCCTCAGCACCTCGATGATATTCACCGGTGGATCGCGTCCCCTCGCGCTTCTGGGCACCCGACACGAGAAGTTGACCATGCCAGGCAGGTAGCCCTCGTTGGCGACCAAGATGACCTCGAGCTTCGGCGACTGCAGGTGCCCGGCCCACCTCGTGGCGATGACGGGGTGGATCTGCGCGGCCGAGTTGATGCGGAAGACGGCGATCTTCCCGTCACCGGAGAACCTGGGCGCCGTGTGCGTGCAACGTTCGACCTCTGCGTTGACCTCGGCCCTCGCCGCAAGCAGGCTGCGGTTCTTGAGTAGCTCGGCGGGTGAAGCGGCGGCCGTCAGAGCAGCCCAGGCTGCTGGGACATCGTATGTGGCCGTCCGACGTGGTGCGTTGATCAGGGAGACGGCGTCGTTTATCGCCTTCTTGGTATACGTCTTGAAAGCCGCCTTCATGTCTGGAAACGGCGGCTCCCACTTCAGCGTGTTGCCCAGATCCCCATGAGTGCCCATCACACACAGCCAGTCGCAGGTGCGGGCTACGTCCTCGTGTAGCGGAGAACAGATATTATAGGTGAGTAACGCACTCGTAGCCACAGGCGGTGAGTTGCACGCAGTGACGTGTTCCGACCCTTCTGGGAACTCATCATCAAGAGCCCAATGGTGATCCATTACCAAGGCCTTATGAGGCGCATCGATGACTGGGGGTGCTTTTCTCGAGCCCTGGTCAAGGACGATGATGTATGCTGGCTCATGAGACTTCATGGCCTCACGCTCGCTCTTTTCATGTGGGTTGTTGCCCTTCTTTAGTAGATGGGCTGATATGAGATCAGGGTCGAGCCCGAGCAAGACCAGTGTCTTCTGCAGAATTGCTCCTGAACTCAAGCCGTCAGCATCTTTATCGGGGACGATCAAAGTTCTCTTTTTTGCCGCCGCACTGATTGGCAGTTAGCCCGTAGCCTGGTGTAGTCACGTAAATGGTACGTGCCATTCGAGGATGAATTCTCTGGCTTGTTGGATTTGCTCCTTTGGGGCTGGCCAGATGGCTTCCCCGGACTCGTCCCTTAATGAAGGGGTCAGGTGGTACTCGGGTACTTCCGGCCGGGGCTTCTTCGCTCGAGGTGCTCCTTTGGCGACTGATGATGCGTTACGTTTCATTGTCACATTTGAACCACCAAAAGAGTCAAGTTGTGGTAAGGTGAGTGGCTGGCGTATTGACGTTGGCGCATAGGTGAGGTATTGGCGATGGACCTGGCTCACACTCCTCGGTGCGATTATTCGAGGTACCGTCAATGAAAGACATGAGCTCAAGGTCCTCTTCATGAGGCTTTCAGGGGCTACTGACTGTATGTAAAGAGAACTTCGCTTTGTTGTATTGATGATTCGGTACCTTGCAGGTGGTCATGTCAAGGAGTTTCGTTGGCAGCTGGTGACGTCAATGACAGAGCGCGGTCATCTCGCTGAACCAGACGCGCTTCAGCGCTTGGTCCTCCACCGTGGCGCGACCGCGACCATCCGTTCAACGCTGATTGAATTGAGGTTTGTGCCCATTCGAAAAATGTGTCGACCGCGATGATGTTGACTCGTTGAAAATAGATCCCATCCTTCTTCCCATCGACCTCAAGTATGACGTCGGAATCTGACCTACTCGGTCCTCGCCATCAACTTGTGGCGCTTAAGCATCAACGATCCGGGAGGCAAGAACTCCGCCATAGGCGAAGTCGCGTCCTAACTCCCATCAACTGTTCGTTCGTAGAATATCATAGGGCACTATTGTTGCTACCTCTCTGACTATGAGTCCTAGAACTTCCATTACACTGGCCTGGTTGCTGAGGAGGTGCTCACCTGGGTCCCACCGAGCGGTCGAAACGAGAATGTGAAATAGGCTACGACTGCGCGGTTGTCCCGATCAATTGCCCCTGAATGGATACTCATCTCAGGTTATTACGCGATTGCCATGTCAACCGCCTGCCACTGGGTAGGAGAGTCTTCTTCAACCCAAGCCAACCCCATGCTGTCATCACAGTAGAGAGAGCCGTGTGTGGCTTTGTGAGACAAGATAGCCTCGAACGGACGAAGTCAATGATATGGGTGGCTGAATGGCTCTTCGGCTGTCTTGGTGCGTGGTTCAGATCAGACAGTTCCAAAAAGTACCGACACTCGCAAGGAACTGTGTCGGGAGAAGGCTCTCTGCTTCGGACTTCAGGGGCTTCACATACGCTGACAGGCTGTCCGAACGGACTTCCCTGAACACTCGCAGTAGGTAAATATTCAACTGACGTGATCCGTACAGTAACTCGAATGGGTCATGCTGAAGCAGCATCTCGTATTACACGTCAAGGCATCCTGTTTATCGTCTGCCTATAGAGGACTGTCTACCTTTTCTCCACAACTCCACCATCGCTCGCCCAGGTTATGTTCCGGGAGGTGCCATTCGCCGCCAAACAGTGCGGGGAAGCGACTCAGGTACCGACCCGGTGGGATCAATGCCGTTCGTGGAATCGTTCCGACCGGTGGAATGATACCGCGAGAGTGGCCTCACCAGGCCTCCAGGGCCCCTGTGCCGAAGCGTTGAGATGCCATTGGAGAGGCTAGAATGTCTCCATCCCGTGATAGCTACCAAGAGTCAGGACCCCTCTATTCTTTGGACGGAAGATCTGGTTTTGGTTGTTGCCACTCTTGTCTATATAGTCAGCATCGGATGACCGCTCATGGTCCAAGGAATACCGCCTGCAATGAGATATCGCTATTACGTCCCGACTGCACTTTCACCTCCATATTACCAATCGTGGCGACTGAGGAGGCATACAGACTTCTAATGGTGTCCATTAGCAAGGGCCATGATGGCCTTCGTGGTGCTCTGACTTCCAGTCTTGTTCTTGCCGGAAATCTGCTCTTCAACGCGTTACCCGTCCAAGGCCAAGCTGTGCTTCCAGCCCGAAACGAGACAGGGGTTTCCGCATATCTGTTCGACTTGAGCCAAGTCCAGCTTACCGACAGTCGCTGGCTGGATAACCAAGACCGCACTCTTGCGTACCTCAAGGCAGTCGACGTCGAGAGGCTTCTCTATAACTTTCGGTCAAATCACAACCTGTCCACGAATGGCGCTTCGGCAAACGGAGGTTGGGACGATCCAACCTTCCCCTTTCGATCCCACGTGCAGGGACATATCCTGACTGCCTGGGCCCAATGCTGGGTGACGCTCCAGGACACGGAATGCCGGGACCGGGCTACATATTTCGTCGCCGAGTTGGCCAAGTGTCAGGCCAATGATGCGAATGCTGGCTTCGCCACGGGGTATCTGTCAGGCTTCCCAGAATCCGACTTTACACTCTTGGAGTCCGGGACGCTCACCAATGGCAATGTCCCTTACTATGTGATCCACAAGACACTAGCCGGCCTACTCGACGTCTGGCGTCATATAGGTGACACGAATGCCAAAGACGTCTTGCTGGCGTTGGCAGGATGGGTGAACACGCGGACAGGCAAGCTCAGCACCAGCAATATGCAGAGTCTCATGCAAACGGAATTTGGTGGAATGAATGATGTGCTCGCGGAAATCTACTACTGGACAGGAGATAGTCAGTGGTTGACTACGGCCCAGCGATTCGACCATGCCGCCGTATTCGACCCGCTCGCCTCTGATGAGGATCAGCTCAATGGATTGCACGCGAACACCCAGGTGCCAAAGTGGATTGGCGCAGTGCACGAGTACAAGCAGACCGGCACTACACGATACCTCGATATTGCCAAGAATGCCTGGGACATCACTGTCAACGACCATACCTACGCCATCGGCGGTAACAGCCAGGCCGAACATTTTCACGAAGCCGACATCATCGCGGGCTATCTTACCAACGACACCGCTGAGGCGTGTAACAGCTACAACATGCTGAAGCTGACGAGGGAGTTGTGGACAATCGACCCCGACGCGAGCTACTTCGATTTCTACGAGCGAGCCCTGTTGAACCATCTGCTTGGCCAGCAGAATCCCAGCAGTAATCACGGCCACATCACGTACTTCACTCCTCTGGACGCGGGCGGACATCGTGGCATCGGCCCAGCTTGGGGAGGCGGGACATGGTCGACTGACTACGAGTCCTTCTGGTGCTGCCAGGGGACGGGCGTGGAGACAAACACGAAGCTCATGGACTCGATCTACGCCTATGACGAGTCGTCACTCTACGTCAACCTGTTCACCCCCTCCAAGTTGAACTGGATCCAGCGCAGCACTACCGTCACACAGACGACGACCTACCCAGTGGGCGACACGACGACCCTGACAGTCGTGGGTGCGGGCACATGGGATATGAAGATTCGCATTCCATCCTGGACATCAGGTGCTGCGATCGCGGTCAATGGTGAACAACGGACCACCACCACGACCCCAGGCTCATACCTTACCCTCTCGCGGACCTGGGCCTCGGGCGACACGGTCACCGTCGCGCTGCCGATGACACTGCGACTCATCGCCGCCAACGACGACCAGAGCCTCGCCGCTGTGGCGTACGGACCGACGGTATTGTCCGGCAATTACGGCAACAGTTCGCTTAGCTCGGCCCCGACTTTGACGTTGAGCTCATTGGTTCGAACGAGTACCTCGACCTTGGACTTCACGGGCATGGCTAATGGGGAGAATGTGAGCCTGGGTCCTTTCTATGATGCGCAGGGGTTCAATTATGTTGTGTATTGGTCGGTATCGGGCTCCCTTCCTTCATGATTGTAACGATATCGTAGTCGTAGCAAGACAATCTCAGTATGGCGTCAGGTTGTGTGCACAATACGACTAGATGACCCAGACCATCCCGCTGTGTGCTCTCGTGCTCGGCGTTCTCGTTTTCTTCCAGCCTAGGGTTGCACGTCCATGCTTGCAGCAGACCAGACGCGTCCTTCGTGTGCTCCGGCATGAACGAGCATAATGAGAAGCCAGGATGGGTACTGTTGGTACTGGTAGCGTATCGCACAATGCCCCTGGCATATGTACAGCACGGGACCTGTGAATACGATTCGTAGCATTATTCCAAGCGGCATACTCCTCCTCACAGCGTAACCGGGATACTCAGCTGCAAGGAGACTGTCCGCAATACAGGGAACGCTCTACGGTTCCGTAGGGTGCTCGGTTTGGGTGATTATTAGGGTTTATGGCGACATCCCCTGCCTGCAGCTTTCATGGTTCAATGAGAGACCCTTGTAGTGAGGTGGCCATGATATGCAATCACGATCCTGGCGTGGAGATATGGCAGGATAGAAGTCTAGTAGTGCCTGCAACTTCGAGTGTCTACCGGTAATACCTAGGTACCTCAGAGACGGCAACGTGGAGATCACATGTCCCTACCTTAGTTTAAGAACTTATCGAGGTAGTTTGCACCTAGTCACAATCGCGGTCCCACGGCAACGGTCGAACGCAAAAGTTACAACACAAAAGTTCCAACCTACCGTATCGCCGGCCGATTTGTCATCGCCGAGATAAGCATGCGGCTCTGAACCGAAATGCGCTGGGGGCTTCAAGCTTTCCCGTATCAACACCCATAAGCCATTGAGACATTGAGGCATTGGGAGAGTACTCGGCGACATCATGTCTGGAACCGAAGCAGCCGGCCCTCTGAGCAAGGATGTACTCCTCGTCTTTCTTCCCGGGGCGGAGGACACGGAATGGACCGGGCGCATCGCCAAACGGCACCCCGGCCTCGAGATCATATGGTTCAACGCCTTCAAACCCGGCAATGAATTTACCAGGCCCGAGGAGTTTGACCAGGAAATGTGGCATAGGGTTACCATACTGGCAACCTACCTTCCACCTCCTGCGCATCTGGTGCCCAAGGTCCGCTACATTCAACTCATCTCCGCCGGCGCCGATAAGTGGCCGAGCCACCCGAAGTATCAGGACGAGAGAGTGCTCTTCTGCACGGCCAACGGAGCCCATGCGTGAGTACATCCGTGCTTGTCTTGATTCCCAAGGCCCGATTCCCGAGCCAATGGGAGCTGACAAAGTGTACAGACCTCAGATCGCCGAATGGGTCATTGGCACATGGTTGTCGCATGGCCATAAGTTCCAGCGGTATGCCAGTCTAATGGAAACGGGCAAATGGGAGCAATCCTTCGATGTAAGGGTCCAAGACTCGCCTGGCTTACGGATGTGAGTTTGTTCCACCACTCCAAGGGGTTCAACAGGCCTCGGCTGACAGCACGCACTTGTCCTAGGGGCATTTTAGGTTATGGTGCTATCGGCAGACAATGCGCGCGCTTAGGCAGTGCGATGGGCTTGGAGGTCTATGCGTACACGCGAAACGAGCGGACCACACCTGAGTCGAAAAAGGACGACAGCTACTGCGTCCCCGGGACCGGCGATCAGGATGGCCTCCTGCCCGCGAAGTGGTTCCACGGGCCTACCAAGGAGAGCGTTAACGACTTCCTCGCGCAAGACCTGGATCTGTTGGTCATCAGCCTGCCATTGACGCCGGAAACGCAACAGATCATCTCGGAGGAGCAGTTCGAGATCCTCAGCAAGAAGAAGACCTTCGTGTCCAACATCGGCAGAGGCGGCCACATCAACCAGGAGGCTCTGATCAAAGCGCTCGAGACCGGCCAGATTCGGGGCGCCGCGCTAGACGTGACAGATCCGGAGCCTCTCCCGAGCGATCACCCGCTCTGGAAAGCTCCGAACCTTCTCATCACGCCCCATATCAGCTGGAAGAGTCTGAGCTTCTTCAGCCGGCTGTTGGCTATCATCGAGGCCAACCTGGAGAATCTGGCTACCGACAAGCCTCTGATTAATGTGATCAACCGCAAGCTGCACTATTAAGCACGACGCTACAGCTTGACTGCTGTATGTAGTACGGGATAGACATTAGACTTCGGTAGAACGGCTACAACTTCAGTTGGGCTACATCTATAGATAAGATGTTGATGAATCATCATTCTTGCTGGTAGGTATCTGACCATTACATGGCACACCACCTAGCAAACGCCTTGTCCCACCGTGCTTGTGCTCGCAAGCCCTTCCAAACATAGCGGGAAACCAAATCCGGATACATCAACAAAAGTACGGACGTCCGGTGCGGCCCGTACATGGCGAAGAACCAGCCAATCACCAACTACCGACGGAGTGCACTAGACCTTCAACGACACCAGGTATGTATCAGACCATTATAGTCCGACCGCGGTGGTTGAGATGCCCGAATAATATCAATTGGGCTTTGACCCCGATGGTACTGCTACCATACACGACGAGCCCATCCGTAGATCCTCAACTACCCCGGTCCAATGGACGGGGCCGGATACAGTTCAGCCATGCCCAGTCGTGAGTTCAGTGGCACAGGCAGAGACGTGATGTACGGCATCAGTGTCACCACGTTGATGAAGTCGTGTTACATCACATCGGGTGTCCCCTCCCGCCACTGCACAGATGTCTGTACCGGAGAAAGCGGATCAAGGAGGATGTGGTGTTTATAAACGCATGTCTCGCCCCTGAATGCATGACTGCAGCACCGTTCCTGTATCACGGATTGTTCTTCTTCCACGCAAGTGCAGTGCAGTCACCTTAATCATGGCGTACAACGAGAAGCATGAGATGATCCCCGGCACGGACATCATCTTCACGGGCCGTAAGGATGGCGAGAGTAACACGACCCAGGAGATCGTACTCGTCCCACAACCCACCAGCAACTCGGACGATCCCCTGGTAAGATCCTTGAGGACCTCACCTCCTCCTCGCCCCCCTCTCACGCAGATAGATGGTCATCCACCCGCTAACACAGCGTCCCAGAACTGGAGCAAGAAATGGAAGACGATCGTCATCGTCAACCAGTTCGCCTTCGTCTTCGTCAGCATCATGACGCCGCTGGCCATCGCGCCCTTAACACAAATATTCGAGGCCGAGTTCCACAAGACCCTGCCCGAGGTCAACATGCTGTTCGGCGCCGCGGCCATCACCCTAGGCTACGCCAACTTCCTCGTCGTGCCCGCGGCCAACGTCTTCGGCCGCCGGCCCGTCATCCTCGTCTGCAGCCTCGTGTGCATCCTGGCCAATGTCTGGCAGGGGCTCGTCACGTCGTATCCGAGCTTCATCGGGGCCCGGGTCATATCGGGCCTGGGCGCGGCGGCGAACGAGAGTGTCATGCCGATGGTTGTTGCCGATCTGCTGTTCTTACATCAGCGAGGGAGCAGTATGGCTTTATACTTGTATGTCAAACATCTTCCACGAGGTTTCGAGTGAGACGAGCTGACTTCCGTAGCTGGGCGTACTTTCTAGGTCTTTTCCTCGGACCCATCATTTCAGGCGCCATCGCTGTGCAGATCTCATGGAGATGGTTTGTAAATACACACGCTGATGCGCCATACATCGTATACAGATGACTGACGTTGCTCACAGTTCTGGGTCTGCACCATCCTGCAGGGGGTAAGTTGCTCTTCATGTACTTATCTCAGGACAGAGCTGTATGCTAACAACCTCCCAGACGAGCTTCATCTTCATCCTAGTCGCACACCCCGAGACCAAGTACGACCGCCCAACCCAAGCGATAAGCCCAAACATAACATCCCTCTCCGTCTCAACCGCCGCCCTCGTCGACACCAAGAACCCCCACTCCGCCACCACGACGCACACGCACATCACCACCGGCCGCCCCTCCCGGTCCCAGTTCTCCCTGCTCCCATACCGCTCGCAACGCAACACTTCCGCCCTCGCCACCGCCCTTCGAGATGTCGTATCTCCAGTGCGGATTCTATTCTACCCCATCGTGATCTGGGCCGCCTTCACTATGGCATTCGCGGCCAACTGCCTGCTCGCGCTCAACCTGACGCAGGCACAAGTCTTCGGCCCGCCGCCCTATCTCTTCACGCCCGACCAGATCGGGTACGTGAACTTCGCCTTCGTGGTCGGCGCTATCATCGCGCTCGTCACGGCGGGGCCCTTCTCCGACTGGATCGCGCTGCGGCGCGCCCGGGCGAACGGCGGCGTGCTGGAGGCGGAGATGCGCCTTCCCGCTTTAATCCCGTATGTGGCAGTCAATATCATCGGCATGGTCGTCACGGCCGTCGGCTACCAGCGCAGCTGGCCGTGGGAGGTGATCGTAGTGTTGGGGTACACGCTCGTCGGGCTGCAGGTCGTCGGGATCCCGGCTATCGCGATCGCGTATGCGGTGGACTGCTACAAGGCGCTGCCTGGGGAGATCATGATCGCGGCGACGATCGTGAAGAACACTTTCGGGGTGAGTTTGTCGTCTTATCACACACTTACTCTCACTTGATGCAGATGAATGTAGGTAACTTAACTACTAATCATGGACAGTTCGGCATGATCTTCTACTACAACAACTGGGCTGCCGAGTCTGGCTACCTCGCGCCGGTGCTGATGCTCATGGCGTGCACCGTCGGCTTCTGCGTGGTCGGGCTGGCTGTCTTCATTCCGTTCGGGAAGAAGTTCAGGGGATGGACGAAGGACTCGAGTTTGCACGCGCTGTAGGCTAACAACGACATATCACGTGGCCCTTTCATATAAAGCCTATCGTACTAATTGTTTCGGAAGACAATATGCATTTATTTGGGCATGCGGAGGCTTCGGTACAGCAGATAGACAGGTTGACATAGATGGTGTCTATTAATAGAGGTTTGAGTGAGTAATGATCAGGGTAGATTGCATATAATATGACATGATTGATTATCAGATCACCAGATCACCAAGTTGTGATGTGATAGCAAGAATTAGGATCAAATGGGATTCCTGTGTCGATCTTGTGACCGACCCCTATTCCTCTTGCTCCTTCAACTTTGACATCATAAGTGCCCAAAAGGACAAAGTTTTCTGAAAGGCATTTATGACCTCATAGCTCCGTCTCGATCTACACCACAGGGGCTAGAAGAAACAGCCAACGCATGGGTTCTCGTGGGCCTCCGATGTGGACCGAGGAGTGAGACTGAGTATTCTTTCCTTGCCATCAGCTTTACGAATGGATCGAGTAGATATACTACTTCCTACAGATGTCGGGGATGGTGACTGTTAGCGTCTCCATATTATGGCTTCCTACTTTGCCTGCTAGATGCGCGCAGAAATATACATGGTGATCGACAATATTCTACAGCGCTGTAGAGAGTTCTATCGGATGGTTACTTCCTATTGTGTTATAGCATTCAAAATACCATCATGTACGGAACCCAGAGGCCCCTGGTATATGGGGATGCTAACAGTTACCATCCCCGACATCGGTATGTACTTGTGAATCTTTGAATATATACAATACACCGCGCCAAAGACGACCACTAGAGAACCCGAGAACACTCGAAACCAACACCATACGCCGCGACGAGCAAAGCCCAAGTACTCAATACGACACAGACCGCCCACTGATACTTAACTCAGCACTATACAACTCCCTCGTGCCACCCCCACCCTGATTCCCCGCCAGCCGTCCATGGAAAACGACCGACCGCCCATTAGGGTCCAGATCCAGCCCACCGGGGGCGTATATCCCCGTATTATCGACCGTGCGCAGCAGGATCCCGCGGTTCGTGTAACTCCCATCGATAGTGCTCGAGAAAGCATACTCGATGTCGTAGTCGTCGCCGGCGTAGCAGTGCGCGCTGTAGAAGAGCACGAAGTCGCCGTCGGCGATCTTGTACAGCGCGGGCCCCTCGACGACGCCGTCGTTGGCCGCGCCCTCGTTGTCGAGGATCGTCTTGGCGCTGTCAAGCAGCGTGACGGCGTCGCGCGCCATGCGCTGGATCCGGATCGGCGTCGATTTGTAATCGCCCGACGGCGTGCCGCTCTGGCACGTCGTCGCGCCGCCCAGGTTGTTGCCGTCGACCTTCCACGCGATCCACCGGTCGACGCCGTCGTCGTAGCCCGAGGGGTCGATGACGCCTCCGCCGGCCGCGTCGCAGATCAGCGGCGCGCTGTTGGCCGTGAAGGGCCCCACGGCCGTGGGAGACGTCGCCACGCCTATACAATGCGAGCCGCCGTCTTGTTGTGCTGTATTTAAACTTAAGTCTTTTGATATAGAGTGCATACTGTGGAGACCAACCGCTATAGTACATCACGTAGACGCCGGCGTCCTACGTATATGTCAGAGCTTCGTCATCTCCCATGGGAACGGTAACGAGAGACATACGTTCTTCTGGACGTCAGGGGCCCAGATAGCCTGGTCACTAGACGAAACCCACGAGCCCGGGTTGGGCAGGGCATCGTTGCCCGTGAGGGTCCAGGAGACGGAGTCTGACGAGGTCGCAACGGGCACATTTTTGCCGCTTGACGACGTGGCATACGCCTTCCAAGACCCGTCTCCGTATATGATCGATGGGTCCGGGAAGTTTACTCCCATGAAAGGGCCAGATAGGCTGCGGCCTTTTATGTCGCCCATATCGATGCGCGTGATATTGGTGAGACCAATAGCCGGCAGGTCTTCGGCGTCCCGTGAAGACAACTGAGACTTCTGCAGGGTCTCAGTCGGCAACGCCGTCGTGAGACTGGCGCACAAGGCAAAGAGGACGCTCTTCATGGTGCGTATATATGAGGGTACGGCCGAAGGGGGAGGTGCACGACAACATCGTCGCGGCAGCTCGAGGCAGGGCGATCATGGGCACTTATAAACTGGTCGACAAAGACAGATATCCCGCCACCCACACCAACGATCCTACCGACATTCCTTTCCGTAAAGAACTTTCTTTCGCTAAGGAGCCTTCCACGATAACATGGAGCTACCCTGCCGCTCCCGCTCCCACGCCAATGGCAGGCATCCACGTTGCGCCGCCGGTAAGGCCGAGTCTCAGACAGCTTGCCAGTACTGGGTCGGGTGCCAGGCGCGTCTACGTCGAAGGCGTCAGAAGACCTGTTCGGAAACTTGGTGCTGGCTTGCTGCCCGATACCACCCAGTGTTTTGAACATCAACGTTGCCTATCCCAGTGCAGTACGCAGTGCGCAGTGGGCGTGCAGACGCATACAGATACATCGCGTTGTGCAGCGACCTCTCTTCGCGGCGCAGTCAGTGTCTAGTGATAACGTTACATGGTTCCAGGATGGAGATACTCAGATGGGTACCTATCCCGAAGGCAAGAGACACAGTCAGGATACCTGCCCTATTCGCTCATCTCCGGACGCCTAGATCACAGCAAACGAGACCTGCATGAGGATGGTCTGTGGGGAACTTGGGGTATGCGGCAGTGACATGCTCGAAGAGCTTAATTTGACAGCATTGAGAGTGGTAGTAGCACGCCAAGAAATACGAGCATGCTCATCTACGCACCAGCTGAAGCAACGTAATGTGCGACCAACTATAAATATGATGCCGATTATGTAAGCCCGGTGGGATGGCAGGACCCGACTGCAGGAAACGGTGGAGTATGCATCGGTACTTGAGGGCATCACCTAAAGACGAACCCTTCAGGATTATGTGAGCTGCTGCCTAAACTCATTGAATTGATGGAAACACGGATAATCAGCAGGCTGTGATGGCACCCGCATCGGTCGCTGCATCCCAAGACGGACTTCTTATGCCATCAGGGAAGGCTTTCGGTCTTTTCACGGGTCCAAGTGATTGACGGATGACACTTGACCGGCTTCCTTGCTTTCTAAATGAACAGTCAGCGATAGCTTCAACTCGCGATGTGGGATGCGACAGTAGCTTCTGCACTCAAGTACTCAGCCAGGCGTCATGAGCTTTCACACGCAAGTGTCGTTCATTGCCTTCTGTGCGCAGTAACGGTGGCCGTCGAGAGACACCGTCGTAGCAGAGGATTTCTTCCGAGCCATGCAGTCCAGCTGATTTGTTGGCATTGAAGTCTATAGCTCAGATTACTATCGCTCCATCCCGGAAACATTACCTTGGGCACTAGATCTTCTTTTTCAACAAGCAGTGCTGTCCCCATTTTCTCCTGAATCTCTCGGGGATGACCTCCCAGTCTGGCATCCACAGAACTCTGGCCAAGAGGTGTGTTTTGCTAGCGTCGAGGAACGGCTCGCATTTGACTACTTCCCACTTCTCGTCTGCGACGTAGTCTGGCTCGTTCGGTGGCAGTGGATCTTTGTTCTCGGAATACTGAGTATCCACCAAGAATGAGCATTGTCTGATGTCGACGTATTTCGCCATGTCCTCCTGGTTCATGTCGTTCATCCCATTCGTCGGTAGCCATGTCCCGCTCCAGAACCCGAAGCCAGTTCGCGCCTCAGAGAACTCTCCAGGAAGAAGCCCACGGAATTCAGATCGAATGAATTTGGCGTGCATGTCGCGGGGGAGGAAGTAGGAGCTGGGGAAGCGGTACCATTCCTTGCTGAAGCAGACATTGTCGCCACGGCTTCCAATACCCTGCTGACCATTTACTCCAGATCCCAGTGGTTCGTAGATCTTCAACGGTGCCGAATAGGCACTGTAGAGGCCAATGATGCGGCTTACACCCAGGTCAAGCGACAAAAGCATCACGGCCGTAACACCCAACAGTTTGAGCTTTGCTGGGATCTTGCCAACTAGTGTTTTCGGGTCCGAATTGCCAATGGCTGACAGGATGATATGTAGCGCCAAAGCACCATTGAGGGCGATGAATGGATACATCGGGTACATGAATCTCTCTTCCTTGTGAGGTTGCACAGTGAAGATACCGAGCCACATGTAGAACGGCGAGAGAAACACGATTGTTCGCATTCCAGACTGGAAGCCATGCTGCTTGGTGGAAAGTGCCTTCTGTAGGAGGAACAAAGGCATAGATAGCAGGGCGAGGATGAACCAGAGGTTGAAGTTGATTGCGAGATTGCGAAAATAGAATGTCCATGGTTCTGTGCCGTAGAGGTCTGGACCGCCTGTGGAGGAGAAAATGTTGTACTTGACAATGTTCCACGAGACGAACTCTGTTTTCTTGTAGAAGAAAGTGTTGATTGCGGCGTCACCGAGCTGAAAATCGTCAACTATGACCTTCAAAGGGGGTAACATTCCTTACGATCAGGAGCCCGCCGGCAATAACCCCGCGAGAGACGCGAACCAGGGACTCGATTAAATGCTCAGTATCACTGAGCATGGCGAAGATGGCCTCTTCTACCATGAAGGGCGCGCAAAGAGCCGAGGCAAATGGCCATCCCAAGATGCCGCCGACAGCAAACCACCAGATACCCCATGAGGTCTTGACCCCGCCCCTCCAGTTCATGAACGCAGCAGTCCCAAGGAGGACAGTGTACATGGCGAAGCTGGATGGTAGGTAGGCGGTGCTCGCATGAAAGTTCCCAGGAGACATGACAGTCGCCATGAGGAAGAACAGTCCGATTCGGGGGTTTAGGGTGAAGCTGATGACGCGAAACAGGAGCACCTGGCATAGGGAACAGACGAATGCCAAGGCGTACCGTACGAAGTAGAACTCGGCCACCTGGTATTGTCAGACCACAGTCAAGGGAGGAATCGAGGCTGGAGTTGTGTTTACTTTTGTAGATCGGGGCAACAGTCTTCGAATGTTTCCAGCTATGGCATGCAGCCCGACATAGAACCAACTTCGGATGGCGAAGTCTGGGGAATATTCCCAGGTCTGTAAGCCGTAGCCATGGGAGAGGTAATGGGTCGGTTCCCAGTAATTGAAGGTCTCATCGCAGTCTTGGATCGGGGCGAACAGGGCAGCGATGATGTTGGCTGCTAGGAAGACGTAGAAAGCAGTGATCGGTTGGATAAAGAACGGCGAGGGAGCCCTACTCGGCACATTTCGTTAGTGGGGGTTCGCATTCGGTGCACATCCAATTCACGTACTTCTTTTTTGCATGCTGTGCATCAGGGTGAACATATCGTTCTGTTGACTCGGCTTCTTGGGGAGGCATCATCGCCAGTCAAGACTCGACAGCTGTACTTGCACAGTCAAGGGCTTGTGGTGAGGAGGCACGAGGAATGGGATCGAGGATAGTTGGAACGCGAAACGGGTCGGAAGCCAATTGGAAATGACGTTTTCTCAGCTTCCATTGGCAGGACCCGTGGACCTGAGCTGAAGCGCGGTGCGGGTCCATCATAACTCCGAAGAGCCAATCATACGGGATCATCACTAGCACAGCTGCAAGCACGACTGCCCCACTATTGACCAAAGAATTAAGGCATGCAGTCTTCCGTCCCCACTATAATTTTCTCGAGGTCAATAACTCTCAAAGATTCAAGTATTCTTCAAGATACCTGACATTTGACTGCTCAAACCTGGTCGGACCAGCAAAACATCCGCCATTCAAGCTTGGGATCTATTCATCACTTGTTTTTGATCTCTGGCACCGCTTCCACAAACACCTCAGTCCATCTTCCACCCATCTGTCGCTAGTCGAGAGAAAAAGGCACCGCGGGCAAGATTATCTACACCCACTTGCGGCGCATCTACCTCGAGAGCGCAAATCTTCTCTTCCATCTTCTGTACTCCCGGAGCCCAGGGTCGATAAATTTCAAGACAGCCACCCTTCAAGTTCGTTGGTTTCAAAAACACCATTGTTAGCCAACATGGCAGGAGGATTTCAGATTCCAGGTCTCACCTCGCTATCACAGCCTGCACAACCTCCCCAACCTGAGCAGCCTGCACAGTCTACACAGTCGATACCGTCTGCAGAAAGTGTTCAGGATCAGGCTTCTGCTCATGACACTGCACCCGATATGATGCATACATCCGTTTCCCAAGACGCTTCCGAACAGAAGGAGACTGAAGACTCGGTTCCCCAGATAATCTCGCAAGACACCGAGCCTTCGGGACAAGGTGAGAATGGGTTGGATGAAGCCGCTGAATATATGGTCCTCGACCAGCCGCAGGTTGTGGAGCCTCCAGCAGAACTTGATGTTACTATTCCCGATGCACCACCCAGCCCGCCTTCTCTCACGTCGGGTCTAGAGGCTCTATTGGGTGGCTTGGAGGACGCTGTACCTGAGCAGACAGGCAGCTCAACTGCGCAGCCAGAAGAAACCAATGGAGTCGGACAAGTTGGAGAAGTCCATGAACCGCACGATGGACAGCCTCCTAATCAAGAGGGATTGGATGGCGCAGCAGAAAACCCCGAATGGGAGGAAGATTCCTCTCCTTACGAATCTTCCTCTGACTCTAGCAGCTCTGATGACTCCGACGACGACAGGTCTGAAGATGAGAAGAACTACAAAGTCCTCGGTCCCGAGGAGACAGCTCGCATCCTTATGGAAATGGAGGGTGGCTCGGACGACGATGGAGAGGGAAAGGCCAAGGGCAGCGGATCTGGTGGCCAAGTGCGCACGAAGAACGAACTGCCTGAAGAAGTCATTCCCAAGCCTGATGTAACGATCACTCCCGAGATGAAGATGATTGAGCTTGGCGTGATCGAGCATGTGGTCCAAAGCACGGTTGTCATCAAAGCCAACACGACCGGCGAATACCAGGTACTTGACACAGGCTCTGTCCTCTGCACCGAGGATCGTACAGTCATTGCCGTCATTGCAGATCTGATCGGCAGCGTGCGGCAACCGAGATACACTGCGCGCTTCACAAACGACGAAGATATCAAGGCGTTAGGGCTAGAGTTGGGGACTAAGATATTCTACACCCAATCACACGCGTCGCCTGTGTTCACTCAAGCACTTCGAGAAATCAAGGGTACAGACGCTAGCAACTGGCATGACGAAGAAGCTGGCCTCGACGAGATGGAGTTCTCGGATGACGAAAAGGAAGCCGAGTACAAGAGGCAGCAAAAGGCCAAGAGGAGAGGTGGACGAGGGGGTAAAGATGGTCCCGGCGGACGAGGCGGCCGCAACGACACTTCCAGCAATGGCCCTGCTGGACTCAAATACGACGACGAGGATGATGATGGCCCCTACAAACGATTGACGAGACCGGCTGGATTCGGACAAGGCCAACCGCCGCCTGCCAGCACGGAGGATCCGAATGGTGCCTCAGGCCATGGCGGCTCGTACCGGGGAGGTCGTGGCGACTTTCGAGGAAGAGGCAATCGGGGCCGTGGGCGACGTGGTGACCGCGGAGCCCCTCGTGGGGGATATTCACTCCCGCCGAGACCTTCAGGAACACCCGACTTTCAGCAAGCACCGATGCAGCAATACAACACTCCTCCCGTTCCTCCGCAATTCTCCAATCAAGCGTACCCTCAACCACCTCCTCAGTTCAGCGCCGCACCTCAGTTTCATGCTGCATCACAGTTCAGTGCTCCGCAAAATGCTCAGCAAGCGCCGAGCCCCCAATACCCCTTCTCCTGGCCACAAAACGTACCCCAAGGCTTCGTTCCGCCCCCTCCACCCCAGTTTAGCGGCCAGCAAGATGGGAATGCTGGCTTCTACAACCCGGCGTTCCTCGCTAGCCTGCAAAACCAGTTTCAGGGACAATATGGCCAGCAGGGTCAACAGGGCCAGCAGAACAACAATCAATGGGCCGGTCACGGCGGTCATGGCGGTCATGGATAGGAACCTGGCGCCATGTCCGGTGATGCAACGGCAACGTCTTCGGACAATACGGGAATGGCTGGTATGGGTTCAGTGGCGCCGCTGCCTATGTTCCCGGCTATGGGCATGATGGCCCTGTACCAAGAGATGATGGGTAAGATGCTGTCCAACAGTAACTCCAACAACCGCGAGGACATAGCTGAACAGATGGTGACGGAGGAAGGAGAGCCACGCGAGAAGGGCAAGGTTAGAAAGACGACGAGATGACTGCACTTTCGCAGTAAATATATCACACAAGCATCGTCCCGGTAGGGGTGTAGCTATGGGAGGGTAGAAGGCACAGCATGGTGTAGTAGTCTTACTCGCCTTGCTGTGTTGCTACCTTTGCCCGCCTCGCGTCACGTCGCGAATGATCATAGACGTGTACAATTTTTAGTTGCAGCATAGGCACTGTATAGTGTACATAGTCGATGTACCCAATCAATGCGGATTGGTATTGCCGACGATCGTGTCGCGTTGATGAACTTGAACCGTGCCGCCCGCCTCAAGCTTCAACAGCGGCGGCAGGGTGCATTATTATGTAGACCGATCAGTACACATACCATTAAGTTAATGCAAACAAATGCTACTATTACTAGAGCTTGTGCAAACGGGCAGTGGCGCCCAGCCGCGCCGTCGTCCATAACATAATAACCGGGAGATGAGAATGGAGGGAAGTGGGCTGCAAGTGCCAGCCCAGAATAGCCCGGATGAAACGAGCCTCATTTCTACTGGCAGGGAGATCCCACGATGGCTTCGTCGGCCGTTGATTCTTGAATCAAGGCACGAGCGAGGGACGCTTGCGTGCCTTTCATTTGACGATTGAGAGACTTTACGCAGAACATAGAAGGAAGATGAGGCATTGTTATGATGTATTCATGACTGTGGCATGCGGTATTTCCTACCTAGGTAGCTGTCGGTGTGTCGTGTATGTGCCAGACGGTAGACTGGAAGCTGAATGGACCAGGACCACATGCACGCCTTGCACCAACCGCGGTCATAGATCTTGGTTCATCAGATGACACTGCTTACAGCCTTGTGGGTCAGCGCGATTTCTGATACTTCTTACCAAGTCGCCATTGCAATACGGTGGTACTATGAATGCACGTCTCAGCTCGTCCCAATCAACTCGTCAAGATGGACTGCAGGGAATGGAAGGAAGGATGCGTCAGAAGTGACAATTCAGAAGTGAGTCGTCATATCGTGACATCGCGGCATTTGTTGCCATCGGTACGCGCAGGTTGGCTCGTGTGAGGTTAATTTTGGAGATGGGGATCGACAAGCGAGCTGTAATGAGGGACAAGGGGTCGGCGAGCGAACTCACTGCGGCGACAGCGCGGCAGATGTGACCTGTTTCACCAACGACAACTCACTTCAGCCAGCGGCGCTTTGGGCTGCGGACGGACGGACGAGAATGTGAGGAGTAGGAAGTTGAGATGAAATGAATCGCACGCGCCACGAAGAAGGATCGAATTAAATGCAAGGCGTTTGGCATACGACATCATCATCATCCGCCGTTGCACAATCGGGAAGTGTTCCTATCTGGGGGGACTGGAATATCTCGTCTTACTGTACCACCGAGATACACCCTCGGTGTTAGAACTTGGCACAGCCCGCTACCCGCTGTTGAACGGGATGGGATGCCAGGCTCACATGAGAGAGTTGTCAGGCAAAACCAGCCAACACCGACAGTGGCTGAATGCGATGTGATATGGAAAGGACCTGCGAGAAAAAGGAGACGATGGTGTAATAATCAGATGCACAACTATCACCAGCAGCCCCAGGCGCCAAACGGTGACACGAGTTGGACGGGATGCATTGGAGCATGGCAGTGGACAGGGGTGGCGGCTATGAGGGCCGGGGCCTGGAGAGACCGGCATGCACACCGTTATCTGGGTGGTTAACCGCGTACCCTGAGCATTCCAGAAGAGAGGCGCGTGTTAGTGCACCAAGTATCTGACGAATGACAGTTGGGCCGCTGGGAATTTTGGGCAGGCCACCCCGGCAACCCCAATTTCGTTTCGTCTGCATCTCAGAACAGCCGGCCAATGAGCGTCTGCCGGTCCCTGGATGTGGCGCCAGCGTACCTGGCTAGTCACCGCTAGTGGGCCAACCACTCCCCCGTAATAAGAAAAGATCAACATGGTTCATCGGCCTCCCGTTTGGTCTCGCGGCGTCTCGTCACCGAACGGCTCTTCCTGGATTCATTTCAATGTGTCTGCTTTGTTGAATCTTGACTCTCTTCACATTCAGTCTGCCCATAACAGTCATTGCTGCTGTTACCCTCTGTAGGGATACATATATCATTGATGGTGGAGATATGTCTTCGCGCTTGCGGATAGGGGCCAGAAGAACTTGAACAAATGTCAGAGACACAACACAGCAGCAGTGTCTCGCCCGGTAAACCTACTTGCCTACCGCGAAGGACGCGGGATGACAGGATGAATACCGACGAACATTAGGCGTCAGTTCCACTCACTGTGACTGTTGGCTCTCATTTGCCCTCTCCAATGCGTTTGTAGGCATGGGATTGTGTGCTTCTACATATGGAAACGCCTGTCAGAGTGTCAGTGATTGGTGATGACCCTGGCCGGCTGGTACTTGTTGGTTGACAAGGAGCTCCCTTGTGAATGCCAATTACAATTCACAAACAGCAGCGGGTGCCTGGAGGAGGAGAGCCACCCCGGCCGGCTAGCTGATCTGGTCGGTCAGTGGTGGGACAGACGGACATCGGACGGACCACCCACACCACCACACCACCACACCACAACATTGGTACTCCTCTCTCTTCTCCCTCCGTCTCCGAGGTCCTGCTTCTTTCCCTTCTCCTCCCCTTCACCGTCGCTCGTCCAGTCCACGTTGCATCCAACACGGCCTCTCCCCCCCGCGTCACGAGAGTTGGACATCCTCTCCTCCACCGGTTCTGTTTCCAGTTCCGTTCATTCTTTTCACCACCAAACCCGACGGCTTCCCTCGAGGATTCACACCTTCTTTCACTCACACCACCCAATCGACTAGTCTCGAATCGGCTCAACAACTCGACGCCTTGCAGGTCGAACCGACTTCAATTCGCATTCACAAAGCGCCAGGTGGACATTCATTTGCCACCGTTCGTTTCCCCGCCGACTCGACATCTAGCTTTCGACGACGCTCTCGAGCGCATTACATTCTTTACACGCCAATACTCGACGCGAACGCGCTCATCCACCACTGTATCGGAGTCATAACCCGGAGTCATAACCGTCAATATTAATTACTGGCCAAGCGAGGCGGATGCTCTAAAGAGCATCCCACAGGGAAAGAGGACGGACTGGTACATTTCTCCAGTTTTGGACTTTATAGGAATATCAGCATAAGGACAACGACACGATGCCAAACCACCACAAACACCTCCACGCGAGGCAGGCCAAGAATAGCCGGGATGACCTTCTTGACGGCGTCGACAGTATCGCAAACGATTTGAACCTTGTCGTCGACGCCACCCCTACCTTGGAAGCCAGGTCCCCGAAGACCGTCTACCAAACCGTGTTCACCACCCTGGCCCCGACCTTCGAAGGTCCAATAGGTGGATTGTCGACACAGCAACCAGGTGAAGATACGACAACTGTCGAGGCCGCGACCACAGTTGCCCAAACCACGGTAGCCGAAACTAGGGCAGCCGATACTCCAGCGGCAGCCGAAACCACGGCAGCCAACACTCCAGCGGCCGAAACTACGGCAGCCGACACTACAGCTGCCGAAACCACAGCTGCCGCCGCGGCAGTAGCCGTAACTTCGGAGGAGGAGACTTCAGTGGCCAAGACGACGGTCAAGGGCACCGCCGTGCCCGAGTCGATCGCGGCTACAGGGACGGCTAGTGCGGACGACAAGACGCTTGCTTTGGCAACAAGCAAGCCGACTTCGACTCAGCTGGAGACTACTCACGCTCTCGCAAACTCTGGACCTGCTACCGCGACTGATGCCACAGCCTCAGCATCTCCGACTTCTTCAAGCTCCTCAGACAGCGGAAGCAGTGCTGCCTCCAAGGCCGGCATTGCTATTGGAGTCTTGGGTGGACTCTTTGTAGTCGGCCTCTTGATCTTCTTCCTATTCAACAAGCGTAAGAGGCAGCTCCAGAAGCAGCAAGTGGAGGACGATGAGAAGATCAACGGCGCCTTTGTCGGCCGCACCGAGTCTGTCCACACTGCGCGAACCAGCGTGACGCCACCCCAGTTGAGCCTGCGACCCGCTTCCCAGTTCAACCCAAGCTTCAACGAGCGACGTTCAAGCAAGGGCGCTCATGTCCTGCTGGGTTCGGCCCCCAAGGGTTCGAACCAGCAGAGCGCGACCCGAGGGGCGGGTGGCAGCCTGTGGGAGCGGCCTTCAACCGGCCAGAGCCAAGAGCACGAAAACCCCTTTGGTAACGATGCGGAGCGTGCCTACACTGCCACAGGCAACGAGTCATCAGCTACCCACGACCAGCCCAGCAACCCGTTCAATGCTCCAGAGAATGTCGTCGGCGAGGCTCAGACCACTGACTCGGCAGATGCTACTCCCAGCGCTGCTGCCGTCGCTACCGGTGCTGGTGCCGGTGCTGTTGCTGGTGCCGCTCTGGCTCGCAAGGCTTCCACGCGGAAAGACTCCCCGGCGCCTCTTGATCTGACCCTACCACCCACACCTCCGAGCCCTGCAGGTACCGAGTTCAGCATCAACTCTATCGCCCCCGGACAATCACCTGGTCCCTCGAAGAGTGCTGCCGCCATTGCTGAAGCAGGTGGTCCCGCCTCGACTGCTGTTCACCGCGTGCAGTTGGATTTCAACCCAACCTTGGAGGACGAGATGGGCCTCACGGCTGGTCAACTGGTCAGAATGCTCCACGAATACGATGATGGATGGGTAAGTTTGCAAGTTCTCGAAACAAGGAGAATCACTACTAACGCTTGACATTTCTAGGCACTTTGCATTCGTCTTGACCGTTCTGTCCAGGGTGTTGTACCAAGGACCTGCTTGTCCACGCGTCCTGTGAAGCCTCGCCCTGCAACTGGAGGACCACCTGGCGCTCGCCGTGGTCCGCCAGTTAACCCGAACGGTCAACGCGGGCCTCCTCGAGGTCCTCCTCGCGGTCCTCCTCGCGGTCCTGGTCCCAACTATCCCCAGGGACAAAGGCCAATGACCCCGCAGGGTGGTCCCCCGCATCCCCGACCCCAGTCACCCGCACAGATGCGACCCTACTCGCCAGCTGGCGGACGACCAATGAGCCCTCACGGTGGTCCTCCAGGAGGTCGTCCCTCTTCGCCTGCTGGCGGTAGGCCGATGAGCCCAGGCCCTCGAGCTCAGTCTCCCGGACCTCGACAGCAGCAGCAGCGATCGCAGAGCCCGAGCGGCGGAAACCGAAGACACACCCCTCCGGGCCCTAGCCCCATGAACCCAAACCAAGGTCCCGGCTCTCCGCCCCAGCAGTACCGAGGACCCCCTGGACCTCCCCAAGGTCCCGTTGGCCGGAAACCCGTTCCTGGCCAGGCATACTAGTGCGCAACCAAGACCGAGCGTAGTATAGCGCGAACTGACTGAACGATATACTTCGGCTCCCTTTCCCATCTTCTTGAGCTGCACATTGGATACTGGCATCCGGTTGATACCCCCTCCCTGACGAACCTTGATGAACACCGGAACGATATTTAGCCCTTCTCTACACTCGCTTGCGACCTTTTCCATTTGCGGTTCCCAACTTTTTGTACCATTCAAACTTTCCACTTCTTTCTCGTCAACCCGCGGCATACCCTACCGGAAAATGCTGCTGGGTGGATCTCGACACCGACAGCGAACCAAGTGATTATCTTGTCACTCAGGTCGTCATAATCTGGTAATTTCTTGTCGATAATTTCTAGCCGTGGAGGAGCACTCTTGTGCCCCCTGGCTTCGAAGCGCCATCTCGACCACACCGGGCACGCACACCAGGAACGACCATATTACTCTTCTGTGGCTATGTTGATCGATGGTGCTTCATTAATTTACATTCCGAGCGATGTCTGATTCACGACGCTGGATGTGATCAGAACATCGCTCTGCGGCTCGTTATCGGATCATCTGTGGATTCGAGGATCGAATCGTTGTCAACTTGTACCTCTCTCATTCCGATTCCCTCGAATGATGAGCTTAGTCGGTACCCTTTTTTTAGGTTTGAAAAGCTACGTGTGGTGGTGGCAACATCAGCGGCAGGCTTGTTGGTCTAGACGGTTCTCATTGCTTGGACAAAAGGCCTCTATCTCTTTCCGCGGACGACGAAGACGATGGCTGTGCCTCAAGATTTTTGGGGTATGAGGATGTAGATGATGTGCTGGGGTCTGTGTCTATATGTAGAAGTTCGGTACGAGCGCGTAGCTTGCGCGGCTACTGTTGGTATGACCTGGTGGCCCGGAGGTAGCTTGTATGTAGATTATGTGATAGTTCAATCAAGTCGATGGTTGGAGATTCAATATTGGTGCATGCTATCAGGCAGATGTTGTCGTGGGAGTGATTCGTACTAGACTGTTCTCTCATGTCCGTGTAATCCCAGCAACCCATGCTGATGACATGGAAGAGATGACACTGTACTTTAGACGACACTATGTTGGGTTGGTGACCTCCCACGACACGCTCTTCACATCCACCTCTCCGTCTCCCCAGAGCTGCGTACCTGCTCTCTCGTTCGCATTCGTCTTCCAGACACCAAGTCGCCTCTACGCCCGCATATGAAAGGGGTGATTGGCTACGCGTACTTGGCGTACTCCAGGTCCGACTCCTCTCCATGTGCCCGGGACTATCGTGGTTCACGTCCAATCGTAACCACATGGTGCCATGGCAGGCAAGAGCCAGCAGAACAGAGTCCACGGCAAGCTCCCCAGCTCTTGCTGCTCTGCAGTCAACTGCTAGTGTCGTGTCGGGTGGGTTTGGCGTCATGTCCTACTTCCGCGCTCTCTCCCGGTCGACATTCATGAACGCAAGCAAGTGCGTTCCCTTATCTCGACAGTAGCTGGTTCCAAGCCGGCCTTCTCACGTCATCCCTGAACTTCACATGCTGCCATGACGGCAGGAAACGTATCACAAGCTCAGAGTCGGCGGCGAGCCTGTCTCGAGTTCACTGTCAGCGCAACGTGTGCAACGGCAGGAAACAGTCCCAGCAACACCCAACTGTACATTCAACCACGCCATATCCTACGTCGCAAAAGCCCTCAGTGCTATGTCCCTTCCCAAAGACTCCCTGGTCTACCCCGAACCACCGTCATGATCTGCCCCTTCCCCGCCCACGAACCCTACGCCTTCCTCCCCTGAGCCTCACGACTGCAAGATCCAGCCCATCCCCCATCCCCAACGCCTTCCTCCTAGTACCTCCCAACAGCAAGATCCCACCAAACCACCGTCATGATCTGCCCATTATCCCGCTCACGAGCCCAACGCCTTCCTCCACGAACCTCGGAACAGCGTACTCACGTGAAAAGTGTATTTCTGAAGCAGGGACCTAGTTCTGCTAAACAGAATGGGCCTCAACGAGAGCCAATGCAGCTGGAAGTGCGCGCGTTGCTGATTATGTTGTTGTTAGTTTAAATGGCAATCTGTTCTCACAATGAATCTATGTGGCTGTCCCTTATCAAAGTTCACGATGGCGTCAACCGTCGTGGGAGCCTGGATGGCAGGAAAGCAGTCGTGGCCAGCGAAGTCCGAACTCTGATCCATGTCGGCAGAGTCCGCACCACTAAGAACTCGCTCAGTGTTTGAATTGTGTGAAGTATTATGTACATGGAATCAACTACTACGACACCGTTCCTTAGGATGTGCTCATGGGCAAATGACCGGACCTGACCCTGACTGTCCACGCAAGGGGGGCTCACGACTGAGCTGGGCCGATCGGGTGTGTGACCGCCATGCACCACTCAGAACGTGAGCGTAGCACCAGCCGTACCAAAAACAGCAGACGCAACCTCAGCCGAGCCCATAAGCGTGTACTCGTACGGCACTGAGACAGACCCAGCCGAGGCCGTGTTCCCAGCGCCGCCAAAGTCATTATCATTGTCCACAGCGAACCCATCGCCATCAACGGCATACAGCGGCTTCCCGACGTCGACGAAGACGTTGCCCTCGACCAGCAGCTGCGCGCTATGATGGCGTCGCTCACGTTCTCGTAGCAGTTGTTGAAGACGTGACCCGTGCCAAAGCGATACGACGGCGCGCGCGAGTTGAGCTCGCTGAATAGGTTGTTGGCGTACGTTACTGTCAGTGGCCCGTGTCCTCGTCGCCGTTGCTGTCGGAGTGCCCCACGAGGGAGGCCTTCTAGTGGTTGTGGAGGAAGGTGTTCGTGAGGGTGATGTAGTCGGATGCGTGCGTGACGTCGAAGAGGCCGTCGCATAGGTCCTTGTCGTCCTGGGTGCGGTCGCCTTGTATGTCACAATGATCGACCCAGACGTTCTCGCTGCCCGCTATGTGTTTAGCGTTTGCTGCAACTCAGGCAGTGGATGTCGAGCGGACTATATATACGCGTATTGGATACCGATGGCGTCGCCGGTCGAAGCGAGGACCTTGTCGATGGACAGGTTGCGAACAATGACGTTTCTGACCCGTTCGCCACTCTTGCCGTTGATCTTGAGCCCGACGCCCTTGAGGATGGCGTTGTAGTCCTTGCCGAGGATGGTAGTGTCACTGGTGACCTTGACGGCCTCGGCTCCCTCGATGGTGCCGTCGACAATGCAGATGGCAGCACCCTCCTGCTTGGCGCACTCCAGAAGCTCGTCGAGGGAGGTCAAGGTCGAGGGCAATGAGAGTGGAAGTGGTCTCCATGCTGACAGGTAGCTGGTAGTCTCAAAACCTGCAGCTGCTAGTCTTTCGAAGAGTGAATGAACATGAATAACGACTGTATAACTGTCATCGGGACGAACGAATGTGAAGAGTAGGATGAAGGAATGAACGATATCGAGGGAGGACAACTCAAGACGGAGGGAGGAGGTTGAGCTGTAAGTGATATATACGATCTGGCCCCCCTATCATGACTAAATCCGTCGCTTTCCAGTCCTCATCCCGCCTCATCCTTGGCTTTGCATCCACTGGGAGCAAGCCTTGGGATGGATCGTTCCGAATAAACATGAGATGACAGGACAGGACCAGGGAGGTCAAGCGCGGTCTGAAGATGAGGGGGCAGCTAGTGTCAAGGCCTCCTCAGGAGAAGCCCACCACTCTGGCCCACGCTGGCTACGGGCCTCTGTCGTTGACCCGAGGCAAGCCAGTTTGACACGTTCGAATGAAAAGCTCACTGCTACTCAAGCTGCTTCTCTTGTTGACTGTTTGGGCGGTATATCTGCAGCACGTTGGAGCGGGCGCGACATTGCGGTGGCGGGAAATATTACCCCAGGCTCCGGGTAATTGGCAGGTTATGGCGCCTCTGATGAACTGAGTGGAGCGCGATATCAAGCCGCAAAGTGTGCTAGAGACTGAACCGGCGGAATGAAGAGGTAGGACGAGGAAGTTGTGTCCTTGGCCGGTTACAGCGAGGTTCGTTGAGGGAGACGCGGATAACCGGAATTCCTACGTCTGTGAATAGCGCCAACGATCATGGAAGAGGGTCCGTTCCAGCCGAAGAAGGTCACAATAGTAGGTTACAGTGCTGAGACCTAGGTAGAGACAACCATTGACTGTGGATCAATATACCAGGTGAGTATATACAAAATGGCCTCAAAATGTGATGCTGATGATGGAACCCCGCGTGTATGGCCCCGAGGTTCTAGTCACGACAGACGTGACCGTGTTCACTGTTCCCTCCCCTATCCTCTTCGGACAGTATCGAGATGAATACCAAACCCTCTAACCTAGCGCCACGCGATCTGCATATCCTAGCATTAGCATTCTCATCAGTGTCCGTGGTCCATTATCTAAGCCGTCAACTTGTCCATCCTATCATGCCGCCGATGACGGACTCCACGCGCCACGCAAAACTCCCATCGAAAGGTAGACTCCAGGGTATCATAGCGTAGGTGAAACAGCAAACATTTATAGCCCTCTTTTTAAGAAGGCGGTTAGCCGTAGCGTCTTGGTATCAGACCTTGCCGAGTTTCGCATGTGCAGAGGGCCAGCCGTGGGGGAATTTGGGACCGCTAGCGAACCATTTAGGGGAGTTGGCGCGTGGACCGACGAGGTGGATGCCGCCGACATGGGTTTCGCGTCCAGTTCATCCAAGAGACTGCCCAGTATCATCTTGTATACATCTCCTGACACCGGTACAGTATCGATGACATCTCTAGCACCTAGCGTCAGCATGGTCTACAGTCCATGCAGGAAGGGTTTGGGGCCCGACCCACGGTACTGAATACTTCTTCGCCATCTCGTCGTCAAGGCTTGTAAGTATCTCTAGCCCTGCATTTCCAAAAGAGATGAACTCGATGGTGAACCACCGTTTCGTCGACTTCTCCGTGAATAATCTCTTTCTGAGGAACTCTGCAATGGCCAGCTCGACCTTGACCGGGTTTGGTGTACCATCCGAGTTCACCGTGCCAACCCAGACTCCGTCGGTCAGTACTATCAAGGTCATCGGTCGAGCTGGGTTTCGCAGGTACTCGTCGAATATGCGCGTGAGCGAACTCATCATATCCGTTTGGAATTGCACTTGCCTGGCCAGTGCTTCTCTCTTGGCCTTCTTGAAATTTGTGAACAGTTGCCTTTCTTTAGCATTGTAGGCGTTGTGGTCGGTCCCGATCGTGAACTCTAGGTCAAGTGCGTCGTCGTCTAATCGACCAATCTTTTTGACCAAGGTATCAAATACAACCTCCATAGCATCCCAGAAGCGTACCATGGTCGTATCGTTATCGATGAGGAATTTCTGATTGCGCCTGTTAGTTGCCGTTCTATGTCCCTTGTATGTTACTAACTTACTATGTCGCGATCTTTCAGAAAATTCTTCAGATATTCGTCCGATGGTTGTTTTCCAAACCACCGTCGTACCTCCTGTCTTTTCATCGCATCCTTCACTTTATATACTGGCCATGCTGGATCCACATAAAAGGGTTCCGCGGGTTCAGTTGCAGTTGTTGGGCTCGAGAAGGGGCCCAATGAGTCAGCGGGAGATTTTGAACCAGCATTTCGACTTGGCGACTCTCCTTGAATAAGACGTGGGCTCGAAGTCAGAGGAGGGTGGCCGTTCATCGGTGTCACAGGTTCAGTTCCGTGGTGTAGACTTACTCCTGGCATATGTACAACTTCCTTCTCCCGCGTGAATTCACCCTGTGTAGAGCTCGCTCTTCTTGGCGTAACAGGGTCTGTGGCTGTCGAGGTGTTTTCAGTATGAATTCCAAGAGGACTCTGAGTGCTATCAGCCCCTTGTATATCGCCGGTTCTTGAGTCCCTCTGAAACCTGAAATAGGTCGACACTGGACTCTCGTGAATATCCTAATTCAAGATTGTCTGATCTTTCGGCGGAGAGGCAGCCAAAGCCCCAGGGTGAAGGTTCGGTTGTACAGACAGACCCTCCAACTCTGGCGGCGGGTATGATTTGCTCAGGCTAGGGTTGATTAGCACCTCCAGAGTGTCTCTTCGATGTGCAACGATACCTTGGACTGCCTTGCTTATCTCCTCAGCTTTGTTGATACGACTGTACTTGATCTGGAGTGCCCGCCTGGTCTTACAGCAGAGGTTGAGGTAGCCCGGCTGCTGCTTGCTGTCGTCGCTCCGTTCACACCACCGGAGCTCACTGTCGGCCTGTTGTCGACGCTTAGCAAAGCCTCAACAATCGACTCGGCCACAGGCTTGATAGATCCGCCAACGAGTAGCTGCTGGTAGTGCCTTTGAGCCAAGGCTAAGCTATCATGCAACTGGCTGCATAGCTGTCTCGAGTCGAGTCGAAGTGGAGGCTTCCCTACCAGCATCTTGTAGTCGATCAGGTCAAGAATGAGATCTGTTATGGTATCAGACTTCCTCAACACGCTCCTGAGGTAGTTGTGCCAGTCTCTGACTTCAGAAAGGACAGCCAAGCCATTATGAAAAGCATCGTCAGCCGCTGGGACCCTGATCTTCTCGCCGTTCTTTCGTCTTTTCCTGAGTTTTTGGATGGCGCCTTGTCGAATTAAGTGGTAGGCCAACACTCCTTGATATCCCAGAACTACCCAGGTAGCCGAGACTGACAGTACGCAGCCAAATGACCACGTATCGATCTTCTGAGTGACGCTCGTCATGGTGCCTCGGCCTCGGCGGTTACGGTCGCACTCAGGCGCACCTGCGATCATGTTATAATTGTGGCATAAGTGAAGGAGAGGGTCAGGCTACCAAAGACATCCTGCGGTAATAGAAAATCTATACAGAAGTGCTTGACAATGCGAAACCTCCTGCGAAATTCTCTTGGGATTCACCAGGCAGATTATCTCGTTCGGCACCAGGGGAAGTATTCACTATAGGTTTCTGTTCCCCCAATCATGAATTCTTCCGCGATGCTGTCAAGGTCCCTGTTTTTGAACTTTGCGAAGCCAAAGCCGGCCAGCTTGAACTCGCCATGGACACGGAGGATATTGTCGGGCTTCAGGTCAGCATGCCAGCTGATACAGTTAGTTCGTTCTGACAGCCTGCCTGTGCGCCGATACTTGACTTACCCGTAGTACTGTTGCGATTGCCCATCTTCTCGTTTCACATCCAAGTTATGCATCCGTTCGAGTGCTTCCGCGACATTAACCAATCCGCCCCAGAACTTTATCGTTTCTGCATTCAAGATTGGCGGGTAATGCAACGGTGAAGCAAAGAATTCCTCAAGGTCTTCGTCTCCGTATTCCAGCAGTATGTTCCAAGTTCGCGCCACAGTCCCATCTTCGAGTCGCTCGTCGATTTCATAGTCCCCAAGGTAGTGGATCATGCCGCGTTTCCCTCGCAAAGCAAGATATGCCCCTTTCTCAAAGTGGAATATCCGAGATATATCTTCGGTGAATGTTTTCAGCGCAAGCGTATAGCACTAACACGTCAGTGTTCGTCGAGTGCCTGAGGACAGTAACTTACTATGCCATGTTTGTTATCAGAGTACCTCGAACGCTCGATGGACTTGGCCAAGTCCCCAGGTACGAGCGCTTCTGGGACGCTGACTTTCCATACCTGAGCTGTCCCGCCCGCGTTGATCGGCTGACGTTTACAGAACGGCATAATCCACCTGCCCGTTCTGGGATCTTCGAATGTCTGCTGCATTCCGAGACTCAGGCGACAGGGGCAATAGTGCCATTTCCTCTCCTCGAATCGTTCTATTATACCCCTTGCATCCTCCACACCTTCGATTTCAAGATCGTGGACCAGTTGCTCTGCGTAGAAATTGAAATGCATTTCCAATGCGCTGGTCGATGATACGACGCCGCTGAAAGGTGTGTGTCAAATGATCATATCCGAGTTCCACCAGTATGGCAAACACGATCAAGCAGCGGCGGTCGGCGACTAGGAGGTCGTAGGATGTCGGCTTGTATATCTGATTCGGTTTTCTGTCGTAGACAGCTATGAGCAGGAGACCGGCGTTGGTCGCCACCCCGTCCGTATCGGTTCGCAACATCCATCTCTCGATCTCAGCAGTCCGAAAGTATTCACGTTGGCAGTACGCTATCCCTTTCCATTCGGTGGCCAGTTTTTGACGAAAGGTTTCGAGCGCACGGTGGCTCGGTTGCGCGGATGTGCTTGAGTCGGCCATTGTCAGCTGGCGGTGTTCCTCGTGGAGGAATCGCTGGGTCCTTATGCCGCGAAGCTGATCCACGCGCCAATACAGGCACAGGAGGAGGTAGATAACGTTGTGTGAGCAACAAACATGTAGAAACTCGGCTTCACAACAGCCGGTGACATGAACTGACCACTAGGCGTCGTTGTTGATTACACAGGAAGCAGGTCCAGCGACTTTTGTCCACTGCTGACAGAATACTATATTGAAGAAACCCTCAAGGGCCGCGGCCAGCAAGTGAGAGCATGGGAAGGACCTTGCTCTGCGATCCCAGCCTACAGCCTGCCTCTCGCGGCGTACGACGGAGCCGGTCATCCAATGGGTCGTCCCTGGAAGGCATACGACAAGGGCTTAGTGACACAGTGTGCCGCCGACGAAGTAGCATGGCTCGAGAATTGGCGGCCTCCATGGAAGGTTGCCTCATTTCTGAGGCCCATGACCAGCAACGGCCTGATTGGCAGTGATGCGAAGGACGGAAGTTAAAATAGACCGGAGGCGTGCCTGTGTGCATGAAGAGAGAGCTGCAGGCGAACCGTTCGGGCGATTCCAGGTGATCATGCGGTGAACTTCGGTGCGTAGAGGCATCTGCTCTCCAGACATGGGCATAGCGAGGCTCCGAATACAGTCAATGGCTCCATGTTCGACTTGAGGCATGTTCTGACAAGGCTCTGAAGCTTTTGGCGGGGGACTGACAGCCCGAGGCGACGACGGGAGGGCGATGTGAGAAACAAGTGGATAAACGGTGACAGGACAATAAGGGGCCCACAATACGGTACGTTTCACGTACTGAGCAGTATCAAGAAGCTCGCCGTCGCATTAGCGTACTGTACTGTGTTACATACCCGCTTTGAGGCTGAACGTGTTTTTTTCAGGTACCGTCGCAAGCCCCCCTTTCTTGTCTTACTTGTCTTTCTCGTAGTGCTGCCATGATCGACTCAAAACGCCAGGACTCCAGATTGATGCTACGTTAGGTACTGGTACATGACCGACCGCAAAATACAAATGCCTTATGCCAACTGAGTCGCCTGGACCCATCAAACGGACTCATCGACGTTCCGTGCTATCATGACATCACTTTGCGCTGCAAGCATGTAGGGAGGGATGTGGCTCCTCAACCCATTTTCCAGCCACAATGACGGACGGGTCACGGACCAGGATACAAGGTACCTTGGAGCCCAACGGGTACCCGTTTGTACCTGATTTGTGCCCAACTGGGATGATAGCTACTTCTGGGATGGGGACACCACCCATCCCTTCTTTCAATCAAGCAACTTCCAGAATACAGACCAATAGCCACCTATCGTGACCCTGGTCCTTATTCTGGATACCGCTACCACAAGGCACATGGACATCCTTCGCCTTCCACATCTTACGGCTTCTCATAAAGCGGTAGGAGTGTACGCTTCACACCAGAATGCCATCTCAAGGAGCGATGCTTCGGCTGCATCTCGTCGCCTTCCCGCTGATCCTGCATCCATTTCCTCGCGAACCAGGCAAATGCGCCCGTCAACAAGGTAAGCGGCACTGTGACCTGAACCCACCGGCTCATGGCCGTCTTGGAGAATGTCCCGTCAGGGTTATCAGAGTCCTGGTACTTGATGACATCGGTACTGAAGAACGTCTACCCACAAACGTCAATTTGACTGCCTCCCATCTCGAGCGGGGGACCTACCGAGACAAAGGTTGCTGGGAGGTAGACCAAGGCCACGACAGTCACGATGAGCATGATGATCTGCTCCTGCTCCATGTTGCGACTGAGTCTCTCGTTGCGGCTGGCAGACTAGCTTTGCAGATGTTGAATGACCTGAACACGGCAGCCACATTCCACCAATTCGAAGAGAGGAAATCTTACCAGCTCTCTTCGGTCCGACACTGTTCTGACCAGGAACTCGGCCCTTTTGATCTGCATTTTCAAAGTCGACTATGATGTTTCCGACTTGAGTGGCAAAGTCCGTGATGTCCGGTGCATACGACGTTCTTGGGTGGAAGTCTCTGTGCTTGTTCAGGCGATCATAGAAATCCACCAGGGCTGACATGACATCCACGTTCCCCTCCAGCGCCATGATGACTTATCTGGCTTTCTCTTCCCAGATCTGGAGGTCCTGGATATCTTGGGGTGTATAGGTCTTGTGAGCATGACCCAATCCAGACGGTCCGAGAACAGGCATGATGCTCTGCGTCAGTCAGCAAGACTCCTGTCCTTGATGGTCAATCAACACGACGTACCTCCTTATCTACAGCTCTCTCAAGCCAGCTGATGTGCCATCTCCAGTCCTCCGCTGACCAGTGGCAGTACATCAAGTGAGCCGATAAGCTTGAGCGAAAGCACTCTTCAGGCATGCCAAACGACTTGTCTTGTGGTCTCGCGTTCTTGTCCGTCAAGGCTTTGAAGCGCTGCTGTATCTCGAGGTTCCCATTGACGACTACCCACACAGTGTTTCCGTTGATGACGTCAAATTAATGGTGGAAGACTGCCTGCCGTATTGACCACTGATTCAACATAAAGTCGTCCTTGTCCTCCGTGGTGAGCGCGATCCCTTTCAAGTTGTAGCAAACCTGATACTGGCTTCCACTCCTGCCTAGGCCCGACATTGCCAGTCCATTCGAACCTGACAGAACTACTTGTTCACGGAATGCGCTGAACCTCAAGTCTGTCGGCTCACTCCGTTGGCCGAATACTGATACGAAGTCGAGAAATGCGGGCATGACCTGATGAAAGGCCATGATGCAGGCAAACATCTCCCGGCTGAGCTTGAGCTTCGACCTCGAATGTCTTCCATATATGCATCTGTAGTTGTAGTCAGTTCTGTTTGCACTGCATCAAAACCACGTCTTCAGGTACTACTGACATGAAGCGGCACTTTGGATCCTTCTTGGCTGCCACTACCGAGTCCATTGGTACGTTACCAACTTTGGCAGTGTAAGCTAGTCCGAACCATTCGAGCAACCTTGCCTGGTCATGGACATTGCATTTGTCGACGGCTAGCAGTCGTTAGTATGGCCATCATCGCTGCGGGACCACATGGACGTACTTGTTTCAGACCCAGCATCGAGATCCCGGATAGGGACCTCCCATTCTGACGGGCAGTCTTCAAACAACTCTTGCTTTATGTCACCCAGTCGGCTCTGAAGCTTTGCCAGGGTCTTTGGGTATGTGCCGATTGTCTTGATGATTGCATTGCGTGGCCATGATTGCGCGTCCAGTAAAGCATCTTGAAACTCGCGGGACAAGTCGATATTGAACATGGTAATGGGAATGAAAGGATTCTCGTGAACTTGAAGACGAATTCACAAGCCATGAATCACGATACAAAGGCAAAGGGTATACACATCAATTAAATCAAACTCTATACCTTAATGGCTTCAGAACTCGGTGGCGAGGACAGAGCCCGGAGAGCCCTGGCAAGAGCCTTGCTGGCATATCCGAGGATCAGCTGTACGACATGTCGCAGTCCAGTTGAATGTCACACGCAGGTCCGGCCATGCATCGCCACGTCCTGCAAGCTGGATAGGCAGCACAGTCTGCCTTGGGGGCCAAGATGGTCCATATATTTTTTGTAGTATCACACTGTACTCCCTACATATGTTCTGACTCATTTCGGACACCAGCTCATGCACGTCTTTTTCGTTTCCAGCCAGCCTGTTTCCACCCATTCTGCCGAAAGATTTGGCCCCCCCGTGAGAGCCGCCTCAACCAGTCCGATCTTTCAGGGCTCGGGCGAAACCGAATCCCGCTGACCAGTGTGCTGAGCGCAATTCTGATCTCTCAGCTTCGAAATGGCTCGATCATCCTCCTGTCGTGGACCCATTAGAGCGATACGAAGACGACTCCTGACATGTTACTTACTGCCGTCAGAGGCTCCGGTGTCTCAAACACCCAGTGGTCTTCCCTCTGTGGTTGAACAGTCAGGAAATCCCTCACGCTGTAGTGTAGGGCAGACTCGTCCACTCACTCTGACTTCCTCGAATACTTCCCCGGGCCACCTTTTAAGCAGATATCCACGGAGAGCCTTCCAAGTCAAGTCGTTGTAGACAGAAAATTTCTGCTGGTGGCGCTGGGGCTTCGCTGCCTCCCTTTCCTGGTGAGCCTGCGCTGGGAATGACTTAGATTGCCTGGGCCTGCGTCCGTGGGCAGTGCTGTAAGTCGTGTCGATTGTTCTATTTCGCCTGAAGGACAGACTCGCAATCCTAGAGCGAACACCTTGTTCGGGCGTAATGGGATCTGGGTTGGATGACATGGTGTACGTTGGGGGCTGTTTTCCAGACGTGAAGGCTCAAAGCCACCATGGCAGAATGGAGCCGTGATCTGGAAGGGCGAAGAGCCTTGAATTTAACTATTTACAGATCTTGCTGGCGATGAGGAAGGCTCCCTCTTCGCGGTCTGGTTGCCTCGCTTCTGCCTACAGACACCTCGTCGCAGCACAAAGTTGCGCCCTAGATCAGGCGGACGCATGGGCTTGTTCGCCTGCTTCTGCGAATTGATGATTGGTTCGCCAACATGCTGCGACTAGGATACAAGCTTCCTAGATCTGAGATACTGACCCTCCCGCCCGCTGACTCACGAGGAGCTCCGGAATGGACTACTCCTCTAAGATCTACGAGCATTCGGTGTTCAGCGCTGAATTAGGGGAGATACAGTATGCCGTTGCAGTCGAGATAGAGTTCCTGGCACAAGTCTGTGGGGAAGAATGCGCCAGCTCGAACGGATGACTCCATCACACCAATATCCACCTACCCACCCGTCATCAGCACATCTCCACGGCCCGCGGGGGGTCGGAAGCTATGTGATGTCGTCATGACGAACATTGTCTTTGAACACGGCTCATTGGGTCTTTTGTAAGATCCCTTCCCCAATGCAATCAATCCCACCGCGTAAACCGAAACCACTATGGCGGAAGACGAAGAAAAGACAGCAGGCGGTTACATGCCGGCGGCAGTGCCAAACACCAGCCCCAGTCACCACAATGAGAACGCAAGCGACGACACATCAGACGAGAAGTTGTTGCTAACGGAGGACGAAGCTTGGTCGCGAGCGAGAAAGAGGCCCGATGTCGCGTTACCGATCTACCTCATCTTCTCACCCGACGACAAGGACAATCCGAGGAACTGGCCAGCTTGGAAACGATGGTACATCGGCTGTTTCGTGAACTGGCTCAACGTCCTGACCTGTTGGTGCGCCGGCAGCATCTCGTCAGGAGCTGAGGAGATCCAGGCCGATTTCCACGTGTCCGCAGAGGTCACGACGTTATGTCTCTCGATGTACATCCTCGGCTTCGCCGTCGGCCCACTGCTGCTCGCTCCCCTATCTGAGCACCTCGGTCGGAGACCTGTCTACGTCGCTTCATGGTTCTGCCTGGTCTTATTCAATATGGCAATCGCCCTCGCGCCCAACATCGGCACGATCCTCGTCTGTCGGTTCCTGGCCGGCTTCGCAGGCAGTGCGCCTCTGACCAACACCGGAGGATCGATCTCAGACCTCTTCAAACGAGACGAGTGCGGAGGCATCATGGCCGTGTATGGACTCAGCAGCACCCTCGGGCCCCCCTCGGCGTTGCCTATCAGCGGCTACATGGCCCAGAACCTAGGCTGGCGCTGGATCTTCTGGATCCTGATGGCAATCACCGGTGGTTTCTGGATCTTGCTCTTCTTCACGGTTCCCGAGACGCGGCACTCCATAGTCCTCCGGAAGAAGGTTAAGCGAGTCCGCCGAGAGATGAAGAAGGAGGACCTTGCCACGGCCAATTCCATCAAGGATGTCAATGCAGATGAACATGACACGTTGGGTTCGGTTGCCCACAGGACGCTGACGCGACCTATACGCTTTCTCTTCACCGAGCCGATCACCGTCTTCGCTGCCGTGTATAACGGCTTCTTATTCGGTCTAGTCTTCCTGTTCAACGAAGCTTTCCCGCTGGTCTTTGGACCCGGGGGTCATGGGTTTGATACCGGACAAGTCGGGCTTTCCTTTTTAGGTCTTACCATCGGACCGATTATAGCCTTCTGCTTCTACCCACTCCAGGAGCGGTACTATCTATCTCGTGTCGCTGCGAACGCCGGCAAGGCCGTACCAGAGGCTCGTGTGTGGATGGCGCGTGCGGGGGCCTTCCTAATCCCCATCAGCCTGTTCTGGTTCGCCTGGACCTCGTTCGCCAGTGTTCACTGGATCGTCCCCATCATCGCGTCTGTGTTTTTCGGCGCTGGGATCTACATCATCATCCTGAGCATCCTCAACTACGTGGTAGACGCGTATCAGACCTATTCCGCCTCGGCCTTGGCAGGGGTCATCTTGGCAAGAAACATTACTGGTGCCGCCTTTCCGTAGGCTCCCTCTTCCAAATGCTTCCCATGTATTATCATGTTAACACTGAAGCAGACTATTCGCCGAGCAGATGTACAAGAAATTGGGCCTTGAATGGGCTTCAAGCTTGTTGGGATTCCTTGCTATACTCTTGATTCCGATCCCGTTCATTCTGTTTTACAGAGGAGAAGCGATCCGCCTGCGAAGTCCATGGGCGAGAGAACACTTTGAACAAGACGAAGATGTACCTCATTGAGTATATCTACGATGCAGGCCAGAGGGGTCTCTGCTCTTGCTGGTCTTTGGTCGACGATAGTCGAACATTGCGATGAGCAGAAGCATTAGGAATACTGAACACATTACTTTATCGCGTACCAACCTTTGTTGGTCAACTTTAGGTCATAGATCCAAGTATAAGATGACTTGAAGTTGATACTAAGTGAAAAGTCACTGTAGCTTCTGAACCACTTTTGTTATGAAGCTATTCGACGAGGCATTGTTCACTTGCATTGAGACCACCGTAAGCTTTTGCGTATCTCACCCCAAGAACATGGCCAACTAGAAAGGGCTCGCACTCGCCAGCGGCACAGAGCACGTACTCGCAAGCGCCGCCACCGCCTCCGTGGTGTTCGACCCGATACAGGCCATCCCAATGTCGCCCTTGATGCCGTTACACAGTATCACGGGCTCATCGCCACACGGCGATGTGATGGTGAAGTTTTTGAACGTGATGTTCTCGCACACGGCATCCGGGTTCGTGGAGCACGTCAGGCTGGCGACCGCCGTGCCGTACTTGCCGCTCGTGTAGCCCGAGAAGTTCTCGAAGAGGATGTTGGTGATGTTCATCTGCGAGGGGTACTGCTCGCACGTCGCCGTGTCGATCTGGATGGACCTCGTTAGCTGCTGCTTTTACCCCTATATAGGGAATGTGGGGTTCAAAAGATAAACTCACGTTGAAGTAGCAGCTGTCGAGGAAGGCGCCATATTCGTTGTTTGCCTGCCAGAAGTTGCGAAACGTGATATTATCGATGAACCCGTAGCCGACGTCAGGCCCGGCCCATGTCTTCAGCCGCGCGCCATGCTGTCCATTAAGCATCCACACGTTCTCAATAACAACATCGCGAATGAAGCTCATCTCGCCCGCGTACTGGCCCACGGACCCCACCGACTGCCCGTGCGTGCCGTTGCAGTACATAGTGTCGACGTGGACATTAGTCGCGTTGGACTTGGGCGAGAAGCAGTCGTCGCCGATGTTGACCCAGACGCGCTCGACGCTGACGTCGGCCACGTTGAGCGAGTCGAAGAAGTCCGTGTTCTTGGGCAGCGCCGTCGCGTTGTTCGACTCGGCCGTGCACACGACGTCCCTGAACGAGACCCCCTCCGACGTCACCACGAAGTTGGTCCAGCACGGCGAGTCCTTCTCGTGGATGCCCTCTATGGCCAGGTTGGTCGCGTTCTCGGCGTAGAACAGTACCGGCCGCAGGTACTGGTTGTCCGGGTCCAGAATCTCGAGGCCGGCGAACTCGTTCCACCACCGTTGCCCGTTGCCGTTCAGGACACCCGACCCGGAGATCGTGATGTCGCTGCCGCCCCACTTCCAGAACATGAGGGTGTTCTGGAACGGGTGCGTGAAGGCGTTGGCTTGCCAGAACGGCGTGTCGTTGGTGAACTTGACTTCGCCGTCCCAGTGGACCTGCACGTCGTTCAGGAAGGTTAGGTCGAGCGGCTTGCCGATCATGTACAGCTCGTCCTTGGGGAGGTACAGCGTGCCGCCGTTGTTGGCCTTCTCCAAGCCGGCCAGGAACTCTTCCGCCACGTCGTCGGTGTCGTTATGAGATGACCGAATCTTTACAATCGGCCTTCCTTCATCACAGCCTGTTATCGGCTTATAAGGGTGCTTCGCGCGGAAGTCGTCCATGTTTTGGGGCACATTGGCTGGCAGGTCGACGTGACTTGAGATCGCGCTGGCGATCCCTGACAGCGCAACGAATAAGCTTGAGGAACGCATTTCGACCGCGAAGCCGCTCGATGACTCTCGGGACTGGTGAAGGGCTGGATCAGCAGTGATGGGAGCCGAGCCCGTGAGGTGGGCTCGATCTTCTTATGTCTCCTGGGCCATATTGAAGCCGTGATACCCCATACTTCGGGGATCGGCTCATCAAGACCCTTGCTGCATAGTGATATAGTATTTTCCAAGTCGCGGAGCCGAATATGACCCCGATGACGACCATAGCTTTACCGCCTATGTTTGTCTTTGGTTTGTGATTGATGGAAGATCCAGGAGCTCAGACGGAATGGGAGAAGACAACTCCGCATCTGGTACTCCCCTTCTCCCCCACAGCGTAACCCAGCATCCCCCGCATGCCGGATCCCCATATCGTCAGCTGTGGGACGCCATGCCAAGGTGTAGGGGCTGGAGGTTGATGAGTGTGACGATAACACCCAGTTTGTCTTGTAGGACCTTGCTGCGTGTGAAAGACTCAAGAATAGACATAACTCAGGTTCACACTGACTTGTACATAAGAGTACCTATGTATGAATGAGATGGCATAAATCGATGCCCTGCCTCAACATGGTAGTCTCATATCAAAGCACGAAGAAACAATACTGCCATGACTCCTGAATGTAATATAAAATAACAATAAGAGAAAACCATGACTTCCAACCTCACGCTTTGAAACATTACCACATCCCAAGCTCCAGCCTTCCACTCCCTACAACTTACTATCCTTCCAAACCGGCTTCCGCCTCTCGATGAAACTCCTCACGCCCTCGACCATATTCTCGCCCTTCTCAATACGTCCATACCAGCCCTTAATCACCAGATCGGTCCCCTGCTCCGGCCCAACGCCCTCCCAGCCCAACTTCAGTCCCTCCCGCGTCACGATCACCGCATCCGGGCTATTTCCCGCGATCTTCTCCGCCCACCTCAGCGCCGCCTCTACCACCTCCCCATTCCCATCCCCACCCTTCCCACCACCCTTCTCACCACCCTCATCATCAACAACCTCATTAACAACCCCCCACCCCAACACCTCCCTCGCGGTGTAAGTCTTCCCCGTAAGCGCCATCTCCGCCGCCCGCTGCTTCCCCACCGTCCGCACGAGCCGCGGTAGCGCGCCCGCCAGCGCGATGACGCCGATCGTGACCTCGGGCAGCGCAAAGGTCGCCCCCGGAGCCGCGATCACGAGGTCGCAGTTTAGCGCCATCTCCATGCCGCCGCCGAAGCAGATGCCGTTGACGGCGGCGATGACGGGCTTGGTGCCGCTGCGGTTGCTGAGCCCGCCGAAGCCGCTCTTGGGGAAGCGGGTGCTGGGTTTGTCGTTGTCGGGTTGTGCAGTCACGGCGGGGAGGGAGGCGGATGCTGGTGCTGGCGTATGATCGTTTATGACAGCCCGAGACGACGGTTTGCTTCCGGCCCCGACGAACTGGGCCTCGATTGGACTGCCCGCGACACCAGCGCCAGCCTTGGTGATCTCAGCTGATGAGGGGGCAACGTACGTCGACGATGACGATGATGGCGGGTCCGAAGTATTGATGCTATCCCACTCCTTCAGATCCGCACCGGCGCAGAAGGCCCGCCCCGCGCCGGTGATGACGGCGCATCGCAGCGAGGGCTCCTCGTCGTACCAATCCCACAGACGCTCGAGGGCGAAGTGCTGCGGGCGCGGGATGGCGTTGAGATGTTTGGCGCGGTTGAGGGTCACGAGGAGGATGTGCGGCGACGGGAAGGCGACGAGGACGTCTGGGACGGGCGGCGGAGGCGTGGTGAGTGAGGGTGGAAGCTTGGTGTATGAGGGGGCAGTCATGATGGCGGATGAGCGCTCAAAATCACCTAGCGATGACAACCTTCTCAATCGATATCAAGATCAAAGGGGATCACACTCAATTGGCCTGAGTGATTCCGAACTTTGCTGTAATAAAACAGAGGCAACACTGCAAAACAGAAGACAGGGCGAGGTGTGTTTCTTGAGAGTTGTCATAAGAACCGGTCAGCAACATTGTGGCGGGGTTCCGCTGCCTCGGCAAGCCGGGGTCCCCCGCCCGGCACCCGTACCCCTTACCGCCGGGCATGGACGGCTTTACTTCAACCAACACATGTAAGACGGTATGCATGTGAGCAGCAACAATGCATTATCCTCTTCCTACGACACCAAATTGTTCACTGTACAAGTCTACCGATTGGCGGAACGATGCTCAACGGCAAGCACATTATGACAACCACCCCGCTCATTGAACGCATGAAATTAGTAGAACGACTGGCCCTTGCCGACGTCGCCGAATGCCAACATCGTCTATGCGTCTCTGGTCTGCCAAGCCATATGCCAGCTTTATAAAAAGGGGGCAGGGACTCTCCAGCGAAAGCTCATATACGGATTCACCATCGTGAGCCTCCAAGACGCAGTGCAGATCTGACAAGATCGATTCCGTGTCAGGACAGACAGGGCTAGGTAAAGATTTCATGCCGAGAGACCACGCTTCTCACTCTCAGTGTAGAAGATGACCATACGCCAAAGTTTCTTCACCAACGCTTCGGCCTCATCGTCCAGAGCCTGCAGACTCCGTTAGTAATCAACGACACAAGAACGTGCAAAGATGGGACACATACCTCGGCCAGCTCCTCAACTAGCTCTTGAGGCTTAGCATGCTTCCGAAGATGCTCCTCGACCACCTCGAGAAGCAGTTGCTCCTGTACACCAAGATATTCGACCAGCTTCTTTTCGATAAACGGTCGAAGCTTGTCTCGGATGACACCCTCGTCGAGGTAGTCCCACTTGACCTCCCATGTCCAGAGTTCTCCCCTCTCACTGGGAATCTCCTGTGCCAGCGCCCGAACGGCTTGATCACGCTCTTCATCAGACATGCCAGCCGCTGCCGCCGGCTCGAATTTGATAGGGATCAACTGGCGTCTGGTAGTCGAGTCCTCTTCTTCGTCCTCAAGCAGACCCTCGACCTCGGCGATTGTTTTCCGCTGAGGAGCTGCACGCTGGGCATTCTTTTGCGCCGCAGCACCGAGAGACAGTTTGAAGGGTTGGGGTGCAGCAAGACCAATCCTGCTAGGTTGGCGCTGTTCCATCTCTTGAGCCTGTCTCTCGAGGAATGAGTCAGCCATGCCTCTGGCTTGTTCGCGTTCAGCTTCCTCTTTCACCCGCTCCTCGTCTTCTGCAAGTCGGTCGGCATCATCCGCGGCAACCTCCCTGGCCCTGTAGGCGGTACGATTTCGGAACCACAAGCTCCGATCTCTGTAGTAATCCTCCTTCTTTCTGGATGACTCGTTATCGTCATCGAAGTGCTTCAATCGGTGCAACATCGCGTCCCGTTCTGACGTGTCCGCCCTTACACCTGTACTGTCACGGGTCTGCTCACGTTCAAGAGCAGCACTACGCGACTTTTCTCGATTCAGCCAGCGTCGCTCGGCGTCCAGGTAGAGCTTCTCTGTCTCGGCGTTTTGCCTGGCAATTCGTCGTTGCTCCAATTCCTCATCACTCGCAGAGTCGTCCTCGTCTTCTCTGTTGTACGACATACCGCCATTGGTAGTCCCGCCATTGACGAAGCTCATTGAGCGACCATAATCCTTCCCAAGGTCTGTTTTCTGGCCTTTGGGACCTGAAGGAGCGTTGAGAGCGGCACGCGGACCGAGCGGAATGTTGTTAGAACTAGTAGGCGGAGGTGTTGCCAGCCTCGATGGTCTCGAAGCTCCGTTTCTTTGACGTTCTGAGGCCTCAAGCTCCTCCTCTCTCTTGAGACGTTCCATGTCGCGCTTGATACTTCGGTCTCGGAAGGCAGCAATTTCTGCCGCAACAGTCTCGCGCATCTCCGCGGGGATATCTGCAAGCTCATCCTCCTGGGCCAGAGGGATATTAACCACCTCGACATTATCGCCGTTCTGCCCAGAGGAATCACCCATGGTCACATCTCCATCGGCGTCTGCTGCTGCTCGCAATGAAGGATAAAACAGGTTCTTGATGGTCTGCTTCAACGCACCTCTTGCTGCTTCAAGTCTTGCCTCTGGGCCGGATTCATCCGTTCTACCCTCCTTGTAGGCTTCCAGGTAGTTGGTCGAATTCTCGTCGAGTCGAAACTGAAGGGTCGACTTTTCGAACTCCTCATATGTTTCGTCATCTTTGGCCGGGGCATCTGAAGGTGCCTGTTTCTTTGTAGGGACCTCAACATCGCGCAGGATTTCTGAGGCAATCCAGAGAGACTCGGCATCCTCAAACTCGGCGAAGGCGAAGGTCAAGTCCTTCCCACCCGCGTCTCTTGCCCGGTCCCAGCGCCGCACTTCGCCTACCGTTCCCAGGATGTTTTCGATGCCCCTGTTACCGCCGACACCATCTGCAATGCCGTTGACGAATATCGTTCGGACGATCTCTTCTTTCGTAGGTGGTGCCAACGATTGCATATTATCCCTAATAGCCTGCCGTGTCTGATCGAGGCCTCTATCCATGCCTATGCCTGCTCTCGGACCAGCAGAGGTCGGGGTCTCGCTGTCTTTACGACCAGGCAGTCCAGGGGTAGCGGGCTTTCCTGACAAATTTCCAAGCCGAATCACGGGGGCGTTGAAGTTGATGTTGGGCATGTTCGCAGGTGCTTGGAAACTGGAGGGCAAGCCGCTAGGTCGATTAGCTTGATGCATGCTGGGATGCTGAACGCCAGGTGGTGGCGCCGTTCCCGGGGCAGACATGCCTGGAGGAGGTCCTGGACACAGGTCAGTATTCAGTCAGCGGGCGAAGAGCATGTCGTCGAGCTCTTACCTAGACCAGGAGCGGACGACATTCCCGGAGGGCCATTGGCACCAGGGTAAGAATTATAGGTGGGAGGCGGGCCGAAGCCAGGGACTAGAGTGCAAGCATTAGCATACTCCTCACGAGGCAGTCACCATGCGCCTTGGGGTGGTCTGGTCTTTGCAACAACATTGAAGCTTCTTACCTCCGCCGTAGGGGTTGTACGCCATGATCGAGATACCGATATCGCAACGTCACTGTTGATATAATAGAGAGTAGTCGTTTCTTTGTGTTGGCGCGCAGAAAGGTGACGGTCTCGGGTGTCGCAAAGCTGCTGGCAGGAGGTGTTTCAATGTTGGTTGTAGCAAGCAGAGATGCGGCAGCGTAGGCTGTGGAAATCGAGGACTGATAAAACGCGATTCGCATTTTGCGATTGAGCCGGCCGCACTAGCCACTCAAAATCCACCACATGAGCCACAATTGAGCCCCAATGCTACGGCCACTCAGCCACTTGAAGTCGAGGGAGACGTCCCTTAGCCCCCACATTGATGCACAATGCACTGGTTCCCCCTTCCACGCCTGGGCGTGTCCGGAAGAACGCGAAATTATTGAATCGTCCTGACCCTGACCATCACCAAAGTCTGGGAGCTTCAGTAGCAAGCAGTCACAAACCGCGGCACCTTCAATTGGTCTATCCTGTGGCGTATCGACCTCGATTGATTGATTGCCCATAATGTACGCCACCTGCTTGACTACCACTTTCCATGATCCGATTACTGACATTCTTCCCAGGGCCGAGTTTGGCCGGGCTGCTCAAGCAGCATTTCGCACGACGTCGCTGCTCCGAAACTCCGCCGTGCGGTGTCAGCCGAGCCAGGGCTTCACGCTGGCGACTTCTATGTCATGTAGAAGACATATCTCTACGACTTCAAGCCTGCAAGCCTTCAACAACAGCAAAAGCGCCCCGAGCCCGTTCTGGTCGAATCCCACCCGCGAAACACGGCCGACCCAAAACGATGACACAAACATCCGAAAGCCCAACATAGCCGCGTACGACGACCCTCTGGCGGGCCTTGATACTCGGGTGGGCAACCAGAACGATTTGGACGAGAGTACCTCCATGTCGGACGGGATCGACCTCGAACTGCTGGACCTTCAGCAAACCAAATATTCCAAACCCGCGACACCCCAGGAGCGACCAGCAATGCGCCTCGTACCACGGACTGGTCGCACTATCAACGTCGGCCGAAACGTTGATGTTGCCAGGTCGTTCAAGCTTCTCGCTGTGCAGGTGGCCCAGAACAAGCTTCGACAAGATTTCCAGTACCAGCGATACCACGAGCGTCCCGGGCTGAAGAGGAAGAGACTGAAGAGTGAGCGGTGGCAGAAGAGGTTCAAGAGGGGGTTCAAGGCTACCGTCTCGAGGGTGAAGGAGTTGACCAAGCAAGGCTGGTAAGAATATGTACAATATACCGAGGCTATCCTACACCCGAGCATCAGGGTAGCTTTTGTCACAATATAGCTCGCTTGTACACCTACTCGGTTCTCGAAAGACTTAGCGGCAAGTGCCCAACACGCAGGATCACCGAGTGTCAGCGACTGCGATCCGTTGAACACACTTCTCATGATGTATGAAGGACCACATCGTATGCAGTCATCCGGATCATCATCACATCACCTACTACAGCGACTTCATTTTACTATCATTTTTCCCCATCACGCATGATGGGCGGAATCTACCAATTGGTCCCTTGTCATGCTCGACTGGAATTTCGGAGGGCCGCTTCACATCTAAGGGATGGCTTGCCATATTTTCGATTTCATACTCATCAACGTAAGCGGCGATTGCTTTGAATACAGTCTTTCATTGACAACATCGAGTAGAAGTTTTCAAAGCCCACCTTTCACCGCGTCTGCCGGATTAGTCTGTCCAGGTACCAGCGTCATCACCACCTAACAAAGGGGAGCCGCCGAGTCATGCTAGTGCTTGTAGCTCCCAGGGACACAGCAAACGCAATCATTGCCACCTTCTGGTTGGATCACTCAACCGGTGGCCGCAGCCATGTTCTTCGCGCTCAATTGGGCGTACGACCCCAGCGATTCGGCCGCGTCCAAAGACCAATCAGCTAACGCGTCGGTACCGAAACCATCGCCGCTTGCTTCAAAGTCTTACCGTGATGCTGTTGTTGGGACCCCGAAGCGATCGTCCATCATGCGGCGAGATTAACGGGATGCCGGTGTCGGCGCGGCCCAGCGGTCGCCGTTCTACCCACGTCCCTATCGTGACTTTGGCCCCGGTCACCTGTGGAGCCCAAAAGATTCGGCAGACTTCGTGCGATGTCTACGCAGTCCCTGAGTGCCTACCCGTTGGCCGAGAGGCGTAATGAAACCCGCGTCAGGGCTGATTGTAAGAGCCGTGCCTTCTCAAGTTACAAAATAAGGTACATTACGTTGGAAGTCTGACAATCGGCGCAGTCCCCCATGATGCTTACAGCACAATCGGCGCCTTCGAAGACAGAGTCGGTGACATTGGCCGACAGCTCAGTGTCATGCAGAAGCTTGTCATCGAGACCTTGAGCGACCAAAAGAGACTAGAGAAGGATATCGTCTCATCCAACGAAACAGGTGAGTGAGACAGCGTGTCATCTAGAGGATGAAGCTTACACATCGCAGCTCTCAAAGCGAAGGCTTTCCCACCTGTCGAGAAGAAAATGAGCCCCCTCAACAAGCTCTGCTGCTGAAAGCGCTTGAAGAGAACAACACCATCTTCCGAGACCACCTGACCGAGTCGCGCGCCGACATTCGGAATGTACTCAACCGTCACCAACAGGAGGTCGTGGATCTCGCGAAGAAGCACCGAGCAGCGCAGGAGTCAGAGGCCGCGAAACTCCAGGACGCGTTGAGGCTGGCCCAGAACGCCATCGAGACAATCGTAGAGACTCATGCGCAGGAGAAGAGAGAGCAGAGGGACGCCTATAGAGAGATGATAGTCTCCAAGGAGACCCCAGACAAGACCAGCGCACTAGAGGAACTGTGCGAAATGTTGAAGGCCAAGACGACAGCACTCGAGACGATGGTAGAGAAGGAGGCCGAGAATGCCCAGAAGAACATCTACCAGTACCAAACGAAGGAGTCGGAGCTTTTGAAGAAATTTGAGCAGGAGATGGGGTCGAAGACGATGGACTATTTCAAGGAACTCCGGGACGCTCTGCACGACAACTTGACTGGATGGGACTCCCACATGCAGCAGAAATCTTCTCTCAGCGAAGAACTCGACCGCGAACGCGAGAAGGTGCAGAAGGCGCATACGAAGAATCTGGGGCTCTCAGAGACTCATGGCGGAAAAATGCAAGCATTCGCGACCAAGGTGGCTGACGAACACAAAAGGGAGATCGAAGAGTACAAGGAGAAGAACAATAAACTCCAGGAAGAGATAGACGACATGGCAAAGAAGCATCGGGAGAAGCTGGACATCCGTGACACTGAACACCGGAAGAAGCTGGTCAAGCGTGAGACTGAACACCAGGGCAAACTCGAGTAAGCGGAAGAGGAGCTCAAAGCTAAGCATCGCACCGAGGTGGGAAATCTTTTGGCTACAAACGAAGAAAACATGCGTAAGGTTTCAGACAAGCACGAGAAAGAGAAAGAACAGCTAGAAGGGCGGGTAGCCAGCCTCCAGGGGGAGGTTGGGACGAAAGACAGTGAGCTGAAGCAGCATACCAGCCAGATCGTGCAGTTGGAGGCCGGCATTGGAGAGAAGACGACGAAGGAAGCGGAACTCCAATCCGAGAATACCAGGATACAAGCGCTCCAGACTGAAAATGCCAGAATCCTCCAAGAGAAGAAGGCAGCGATAACGAACCTGAATGATGAGAAGAGAGCCTTGGAAGCGGAGAACGAGAGACTAACGCAGTCATGCAGCGATCAGGAGAAACGGCTGCAGGGACATCAAGCCGAGATGAATGAGCTACTGGGGCAGATCGAAGACACATCGAACACACCACATGAGGCAACCGATCTGAACCAATTGCGGCATGAACTGGAGAAAGCCAACTCGAGTATCAGTGAGAAGCAGACAGAAATCGAGAGGCTTCAGACACAGGTTCAGGCATTGGAACGCCAGCATAACGAGAAAGCCAGTGCAGCTGTTAAGGGGAAGGATCAAGCCCAGGCCCTAGCGGATGCTGACAGGATCAACAAACTGGGGGAGCAGCTGGATAAAGCCTCGGCCAATAGCACCGCGCACCAGAGCCAAGTCAAAACGCTTGAAGAAAGGGTTGAAGGGCTACAAGACAATCTTGAAAACGAACGAAGTGCCCTTGAATCTAAAGGCGAAGAGTTGGAGACTCTACGAACCGACCTCCAGAAAGTGCAGGATTTGAGAGAAGTTGCCGAGCGGAATGAAAGACAAGCAAGGGCAGCACTTGACGAAACGAAAGAACAGCTTCGCTCTTACACCAGAGATATAGATAACAAAATACAGACTTTGTCTCGGTGTAGGCCGTATGGCGCAATGGTCAAATGCGCCTGGTTGTGTTCTCGTTTGTGCGGTGGGCGACGAGAACAAGTGGGTTCGAATCCTGCTATGGCCCCCTTTCTGACCCGGCTTGTGCGAGTCGATAACCAGCACACGACAGTGGAGAGGCCCCATTTTATCGCAGAGCCCGATAGCCAAGCAGCTTGTCTCCACAATACCCACTCCTGCGAGGTTTTCCCCCTTGTGGTTTCCCTCGCCAGCAGATAACAAACACCTACTCCACCCACCAATGCGACATATATCGAACGGCTACTGGAACGATATGTACACCAGAGAACTGAGGTTCACTGGGTCGCTTTGTCACTAGATAGGAGGTTTTTCTGACGGAATCGTGCTTGGGTATTGACTAAAACCATCTGAACACTCCAGATTGGTACCGCTACAGCGAGGATAGGCTCGTGCGCGGATCTGAATGTATCTAATTTGACACCTCTACAACCTTGCGATGCAATGGCTCTGGGAGGCGTGGTTTGCACTACTGAGGAGCTACCCCCCACGTTAAATACAAAACAAACAAAACAAACATTTGTCTCGGTGTAGAGACTCAAGCTGCAGAGGTCGGCAGATTGAAACGAGAGGTTGAGGGTAAAGACCAAGAGGTCGACGAGATACAACAGCAGACAGCCGCCACGATTCGCGACCTCAACTCGAAATTAGCATCGGAGGAAGGCAGAAGGCGAAGAGTGTTCGAGGAACTGCAGCAAATGCGAGGAAACATCCGCGTCATGTGCCGTATCCGCCCACTAAAGGACGAGAATGTCAAACAGCTCGGCATCCTGACTAAACCATCGAAGACCCATGGCAAACCTGCTTCCCTGCAACTCGCTCAAAAGTTAAAAAACGTCGCGGGGTTCCCAAAGACTGACCTAACTGTTGAGCAAGTATTCGAGAGAGTGTTCCTGCCTACAGAATCCAATGATGATGTCTTTGTAGAAATTGGTCAATTGCTGCAGTCATTCTTAGATGGAAACAAAGTCTGCATATTCTGCTACGGCAAGACTGGTACAGGCAAAACCTACACCATGTGCAACGAAGACAACAATCGGAATGGCAGCGAAAGCGGGACTCACAAGAACGATGGGATCATTCCAAGGGCAACGAAAATGGGTTTTGACGAAGCAGCAGAGCTCCAGAAGATTGGATGGACGGTGAAGTTAGAAGGCTGTTGCTACGAGATCTATAACCACGAGCTCTATCCGTTACGGAGCGGCAAGCGTAAAGAAAAACAGTTGGACGAAAAACACTTGGAAGGAAGAAAGAATTTTCAGGTCAACGAACCCGAGTTCCAGCCACTAAAGTCAGCGAGAAATTTCGAAGACATGTATAATGGAGCCATTCGCAGTCGCAAATGTGCGAAAACGGGAAGCAACGACGAATCCTCTCGTTCCCATTTGATATTGCAACTCAAATTTACAGGCCGTCTAAGTCAAGATGGCGAAAACGAGTTCCGTGAAGGAATGCTCAGCTTGGTGGATCTCGCAGGCTCTGAGAGAATTGAAGAGTCTGGGGTGACAGGCGCAGAACTCTTGGAAGCCAAATGTACCAACCAGTCACTATCTCACTTGAGAGGAGTTCTGGCATCCATTGGGTCGGATAAAACTCCAAGATGGAGTGAAATGAAGGAAAACAGGGAAACAGGGACTCTGTCACAATTGCTTCAGCCTTGCCTGGGCCGTGGATGCATGACACTCATGTTTGTCATGATCTCTAACTTGGACAGTGACCTCGAGCAAACGAAGCGCAGCATAGAGTATGGACAGGAAGTAAGCTCGACGCAATAACACATCCTCCCTCCAAACCACCGAGTAAAATAGCGGCTAATTGGCATGACAGGCAAAAAAGGTCAACCAACCACAATCCTGGTGCTGAACAACAGGGGGTGACTGAGCAAGAAAATAACACTGTTGATAAAGATCGAGTCAAAGGTGGGAAGGCGGTTCAAAGCTCCGCCAAGGTCAGTGAGAGTGCACCAAACAACAAGTTTGGATTTTCGGGGAAGCCTTCACAGGGTCTCAGTAGAGGCATCCAACCAAACGCGAGAGGCAGAGGGAAATGACGACAAAGCTGAAATGAGCTAGAATCAGCCAATTCCTCGCCTTGACTTATCAGAGTTCACCATGCCATGTCAGCGATTAGAGGTTGTTTGTTGTTACAATCCGGTTTCGAAAGGGGACTAAACCGTTGTTACATAACTCTTTGCGAATATCCTGGCTGCTAAATTATTCGCTCCGTGAAACAACCGTCTCCTCTAGACTATTTGTTCCAGCTTTCTTTTTACACCATCCATTCCCTATGTGATTTATACGTCTTCTATTTCTTTCTGCCTCCATCTAAGGCTTACGTCTACCCTCCGGATCCGACTCTGGAAGAAAATTCTAAGGCATCCCAGCTTTAAGTTGTGATAAGCTTCCTCCCACCTAGAGCCCCAGCCGTAAAGAAATTCAATTCTCTTCGTGAGGTCGGGCTGGTCCTTCAGAAACTTTCCCGGATGTTCTGCCTTGCTTGTCCGGAAAAACTCGAGTGCGGTCTCTATGAAAGAACGAAGCGTTTCGGGGTCATCAACGAGGTCCTGACAGTGTTCGATTAGTAGACAAAAAGGGACTATTGCAAGGTTTTGCCCTATTGCGTCATGAAGCCACCGCGTCCTCTTTTCCTGGCTCTGCGAAATGCCGTAAGAACTCCTACATTCCCAGTGGTTCTCATGGTACTTTGTGCCCTTTCGGGTCAGTTGAAAGAATATAAAATAATTGTCGATACACGAACTTAGTTTCCAAAAGAGCCGCCAACGCGGTCTTCCAGTCATGAGAATCGAGGGGAGTTGTCTTGTGCTGCCCAGCTACATATCATGCTGCAAGCAAATGTCCAATAACTGCTCCCCATAAGCCTTTGTGATGGGTGATAGGCCGTGATCAATCATTCAAAGGACATTCTTCGGAACTCCCCATTCGATTGCCCAATCGACAGGTTTTCTACTACGATCATCCTTGGCGTACATGTCTGCACCATGTTCAAGTAGAATGTCCAGGCTGCGAGACACGATACGCATAATTGACAGCCGCCAGATGCAGCGGTGTGTATTCGTGAAACTGCTTGCATGTGTCGTTGGCCCCATCTCCCCTTAGTAATAAAACTTTCATGACTCTCATTAAGCCGCACAGTGCGGCCAAGTGTAGTAGGGGTATACATCGGTTTTGTATTCTGGTATGTTTGTTGTAGTATTCGACCAGCAGCATTGCCACTGTCTCGTAACCATGCAAAATGGATAGTCCAAGTGCATCCACAAGAAACGGGAACGCCTTTCGCTCAATGATAAATGCTGTCGTATTGATATGATCCCATTCGTGCTCTGATCTTCTCACTAGATTCGCTGGGGAAAAGATGCCAGGATTGATAGCCTGGAAGGCTTCCAACATCTCGCACGAAGCAGGACATTGGTACAATGAAGCTGATTGTACGGAACATCCACCATCTATCAGTCTTTTGATGATCCGTTGACGCCCATTGATAGCAGCTAGGTGGATGGCTGAATGACCGATCGGGTTGACAAGATTGAGATATGGCGGCCAGATAGTGCGTGCAGCATCAATCGACTTGCGGGCTACCGCTATTCTACCGGTTTCTGCTGCCCAATGTAAAGCTGTTCGTCGACCGTGTATACCCAAGCGAATGGGAAATTCCCAATAGGTAGACTCGGGGCCCTTATAAGGTGCATCTGGAAATACTCCATGAAGTTTGCTGGTCAGACGCAGTGTCTCCCATTTGGTTCGATTGACACAGTCCTTATCCGCAGCATTGTTGCTTTTAGTCTCCTCAGCGTTTTCTTCCTTTTCCTTGTGTTGTTCGTGTTGTTCGTCTTTCTCATCGTCAGCTTCGTCTTCGACGTCTTCGTTGTTATCATCGTGATCGCTATAGTAGCAGTCTTCATTGCTGTCATCGGTCGTGCATTATTCATCACTGTCATCAGTCCTGCATTCCTTCATCGCTGTCATCGTCGTCGTCTGCAGTTGTTTCAGTATAGTTCCACCCCTTGTCCACAGGCTTGTCGATCTCGTCATCTTCTTCCAATATGTTCTCTACATCGGCAACATCCGAGTTGACCAAATATGGTTCATCAATCCCCTGTAAAGGTTGTTCCAGCAAAACATCTGTGTTGTACAATTCATTTGCCAGGGCCCCATTAAGCTTACGGCAAGTTTTCATGAGAGCTAGTACATCTTGAGGACGGTGAAGGTAGGATACTGCGACACGCTCGAAGATACTGAGACTCAACTGGGCCCCATCAGTCAGTCAAGAGCTTTGGGGCTGGAAACACATGGGACATACCGACGCTCCAGGTATTTCATCAGGAAGATGCACTGCTTTGGAGTAGTTTCGGCGCTCCATGATTCATGTCCGTGGACTCAATGCTAAGAGACGCAGAAACCACAGAGTCCTTCTAGAGATATAGTCGCACGCAGCTGGGGCTTTGCATCAAAACTATAGCAAACAAAAGGACAACAGCCCAAACATAGAGCACCCTGCATTCATCGGGCATGTTCTTTGGAGGCTAGGCTTCTTTATGTTCTTACCGAAGCGATTTAAAAGTTGCGCACATGATAAGACCAAGAACTCCCAATTCTATGATGAAATCCAGCCCGAAGTCCACCCCTCAAATGACGGAGCTTCGTCGGTATGGTTCTCGTAGACTCCAACGGCCGCCAGAGGGTGTCAGCGACACCTTCTTTGTTTTACCAGGCCATTGCGTCATTTCGATGAAGTTGAAGAAGCTGGTCTTGAACTTATGCAGGGAATGCTGCCGAAAGACAAACAGAAGGACAGAATGGTACGGTGCTGAACATGTAGGTAGTCTTTGTGATCCGAGAACAGACCTTCCCACGAGATAGTACCAGTCCCGGATTGGAGTATCGGGTCCAGGGACCGGTCAGGGGCTGCAGACGTAGTGTCTTGTTGGGTGCGGTGGCACCATGACCGAGGCGTAAGAGAACCTCTGGTTACGCAGTACAACAATTGATGCGATCCGCTATGAAGTTCCTTTGACTACGATACTAGATAGAGAGATGCAAAGCCGGCCAAATCAGTGAAGAGTACAAGAAAGGAAACCATGGCAGCCTTGACATCATATATTATCCTCTGGCGGGGTGCTTCAACGCTCTGAGGTAGTCTTGTAACCAATGAGTAAATATTTGAGGCCTGTGACTGCAGAAGCTGGGCTCGCGAGGGCCGAGAACTGATGCGAGCATTGCCGCGATTTATCAATTTAAGCAAACTGTGTGATGTGTTAGGGATCGAAGCACCACGTCCTTTGCTCGGACCGAATGACATCAAAAGAAAACACGTTCCCCTCACGAAGTAATACTCACGAGTGAGATTGCGTAGCAAGCGTTCTATCTCTGACTTCTAAAGATCCTGAATTGTGGCTGGGCTCCCGCCAACTGGGTGGTCGGGGATTCCCCTGAGCTCTCCAAGCTGCGCCCTGCGTGGGCAAGCACCGGAAGTAAAAATGACATGTGACCTGTCGAATACCTATCCACACCGGCTCCCTCTGGACTTTGATACTAGAGCAGCACTCCAAACAAGCTGCCGCCCAGTGATAATCAAGTGGCTTCAGGTCCACCAGTGATGTGTCTAGCAGCTGCAGGACAATGGCCCGACCGATAAGACCAAGAAGCAAGTTTCAGATGCTTTTTGTGAAAGCCCTGCGAATCCAGGCCAATCTGGCCTGCCTCGCCTGCACCGAGATAGGAGCCGATGGTACGATCCTGTCATATCCGTGGGGGCCTCCCGGCCACACGTGTAACTCGGCTGCCACGCCATCCTCCCAGAGCTTTGATGCAAAAGCAACAATCTCGTCTCGAAAGGGGTCCGCAGAAGCACAGTCGATGAAGGTAGGGGGCAGCCCGGCAAGGTCGAGGGAGCGAGCTGGAGCTTCATACTCGGTGACAGAACTGGTCCCGACCCGCTCGCCAAGGAGACAAGCCCAGGCAAACTTGTTCAGGGTTGAGTTGAAAAAGGGGCCCGTCGAGAACTGCTGCGTGGAGACCGCCTGATTCCTGTCGTCCAGCATAGGGCACTCGAGGAAGAGGCCGCAGAGCTTCGGGCCACCCTTGTCGCGCGCCATGAGCGCAGTGGCCGCGGCCAAGCCTCCTCCCGCTGAAGTCCCGTAAAGAATGAGGCGTTCAGGGTCGATCCCAAGCTGTGTGAGGTTCGAGCCCACCCACGTTAAGGCGGCATAGCAGTCCTCAGCGGGTTGCTGGCCACTGTTCTCGGGCGCCCGGCCGTATTCGACGCTGATACTAATGGCGTTGAACTCCCTTGCCCATGTCACACTTGTGTCGAGACCAGCGAATCGATTGGCTGCGACCAGGGCGCCGCCGTGAATATAGACAATGCATGGTTGACTACCACACCGGACTCCGATTGGTCGAACCACCGACACCGTCAGACCCTGCCGTGGTCCAGGGATGGTGACATCCTCGACGCAGACGCTCTTATCGGCAAGCAGGGCGTTGGTGAAGGGTTGTATCCGAACGGCCGCGTCCTTCCGTAGCTTCTCGACCTCGTACCGCTCAGGCATTCCGCCCAGGGAGTTGATGATGGATTCGATCTCCGGGTCGTAAGGCGGTCTCGGCAATCGATCACTGGCACCAGCCATGTTCAAGACTTTCCGCATTGTTGCGGGTTGACGATGATCGGCGAGGCAGGGGTCGCAGGGGAAGGTTGGATTTTTGGGAGATCTTAGATAAGATCAAGGTTCGGCTTGGGAAGTTTCTCTGTTTGCTCGGGACATGTGCATGCAACTCGCAAGCAAGACATCAACCCCGTTTGCCCGGGAAGTATGTCGGCATTTATGGTGGTGTCACTTGATTGGGCTTGGCAGAGGCTGACCGACAAAGATGCCCGCGAGCAAGGGCGAAAGGGGAATCAGTCCATCATGACATTGAAAAGCATCTTGCTTATTTGGCACATTATGGATGAGCCCAGTAGGAAGAAGGAAAAGCAAGGGACGTGATTCTCGCGGTTTCGGGCTTCAAATCGAAGCGAATGGTTCTCCTCACCGAGTCTCACTCTGCATCCGCCAGGCCCGAGACCACGGCACGAAACAGAAAGAGATGTGATAAGAGTGGCTCATTGGGCGGGAAGGGATCCTACCCAGGACCGTCAGCATTCGAAAACCCCGTGACGAAAGCCGTATGCATGCAAGCCGCGCTCTCTGTAATGTTATTCGAAGCTGAAAGCTCAAAGACGAAAGAAGGACCAAGATCCACCAATGTCTGGAACGGAGGAGAGCGGCGATGCACCAAAGCCTACTTGCGTATAGCGAGGTGGGTATATGCGTAAACCGAGTCGTAGTACTTTGTCCAGTAGGCAAGTTTTCTCCAGCTGTTCCAGCTTCTGCAAATCTGCCAGACTCGCCACAGACAACCCACAAGCTTGCAGACGACGACATGGCTCATCACTCCGTCCCCAGAACGACTGAGGTCGTTCCTGGGGCTCTCGTGAATATTGTCCTCAAAGCCGACCAGCGCACAGGCCGCCAAGTGCGGGGGACTGTCCGTGATGTTCTGACGAGGGGTGATCATTACCGAGGCATCAAGGTGCGCCTGGCAGATGGACGGATCGGACGTGTTCAGAGTCTAGCTTCGGGTACTGTCGAACCGTCTCCGCCTTTAAACGAGCATAACACATCCCCAGAAAATGGCCCAACGCAGCTACTGCTGGATATGCAGGCACCTACTGCAGGTGGGATGCCATCATCACGAGACCGCGGGCAGCAGCCTCGTTATCGGGACGTCCGGCTCGATGAGCCGCTTGATACGGCGCCGGAGCAGATCGATCTTGCTGCATATATCGTGCCCTCTAAACGCAAAGGCAAGGGCAAGGGCAAGAAGGGCCCTAGGGTTGAACCGACAGACACGTCAACAAGCAGTGACGCTCCCGCTCAGGATACCGACCCAGATGCAGCCGCCACGGACGTCACGACAGCAACAGCCAAGTGCCCTGTCTGTGGTGCTTTCGAAGGAGACGAAGCTGCTGTAGCTCATCACGTCGCAGAGCACTTCGAATAACACCGCAAGGTATGCGAACAGATCGGCGGCCTTCGTAGCCTGATGTATGAATTCGAGACGTCCGTCTATCGGCGAGTCAAGATCATTCTGCGTCAATCCCCGGCTGTGCTGGGCACAAGGCCCTATAGAGGGCTTTGTTTGCACACAAATCGCCTTTGCCAATGACCAGGAGCCTTACTTACTAAGTACCTACTAGTAGTCAGGGTCGTCACTGCAGACGAGTGGGCTTACGGGTACACCATAACGCACCTTCTACCCTGATGGGTACAAACTGGCACGATGTCCCGACCTCCTGCAGGCGAGTCCACGTTCGCGTGGTGTCACGAAGACCTTGATGGACAATGGCCATCAAGGTACTTGACCACCAGCCATTGGTATTTGCCTACCAGCCATTAGTGCCCTCAAGGTTCCCAACAGGAGCTCGCTCACATAAAAGGGAGCAGAGAACTCGAAAACACACGCTGCTGTAACGCTCGCCCGGAAACAGACCACCATCAGCACGATACTGCCGAACGTAACATTCGAAAATTACTTTGAATAGTTAATACACGATCAGCACGATGGTAACCGAGCCGCAAGCCGTCGTTCACGTCCATGAAGTCATGATTATTGGCGCCGGGCCTTCTGGTCTTGCGCTTGCTGCGCGGCTATCTGAGCATATGCCGGCGGCCAATTTTACAGACGACGAGCACCAAAGGTTCCACTGGATCAACCGACACAGAAACCAACCGAGTGTCAAGCATTCCAAGACAGGAGCAGAGACACGACGGGAGTCGCCCGCTGTCTCCTCGCCCCACGCCAAGATCGATCTACTGGTGCTTGACGCAACCGACAAGCATTGGATGGCCCGGTGGGATGGGCTTTTCAAGATGTTCGATATTTCTCATCTTCGAAGCCCGATGTTCTTCCACGTCGACCCAGCAGAGCGCGACGGTCTGCTTTCCTATGCGCATATGAACGACAGAGAAAAAGAACTCAACGAACTCCGAGGCTGCGTGGGCAAGGAGTTGAGCAAGCACCAGAGGAAGAAAAGGGAAAGATCAGGCAATCAGTGAGCTCCTCAACACACGCGTGCATTACTGGCAGATGCTAAGCTTCTGGAGGCCTCGAACGGAACCCACCATCGACGAGCGCGATCGCAATGACTACTTCGTCCCCTCTACGCCCCTGTTCTCTTCCCACTGCAACTGCATCATTGACCGCTACAACATCCGTGATGACATCGTCTCGCACGAGAATGTTGAAGACATTCGATATGGCATCTTGAAAGAATACTCGGATACTGAGAAGGTGTTTACTGTCAAGACCGATAGCAAGATACATCACGCCAAGATTGTTGTCTTAGCTGTTGGGGGTAATCCAGCTCAGATACCCTGCAAGTTGTCAGCGGAAGAGATGGAGGGTGCAACACACGCCATGCACCTCAAGGAGATGCCATCCCCACATATCCGACGAAAGCTCGCCGACAAGATCCGAACGAATATCCTAGTAGTTGGAGGAGGCCTTACCTCGGCACAATTGGCCGACTTGGCCATACGACGAGGCGTGTCGAAAGTTTGGCTCATCATGCGCAGCAACCTCAAAATCAAGCATTTCGACATAGGCCTGGAATGGGTGGGCAAATTTCGGAACCACCAGCACTCTCGGTTTTGGTTGGAAGAGAAGGAAGAGGAACGATGGAAGATGTATGACACTGCGCGAAAGGGCGGAAGCATTACACCAGCATACAATAAGGTGCTTGAACGGCATGTCGTGTCGGGTCGTCTCAGTATGCTGCAAAAGACTACCATCAAGAGCAAGCAGTGGGATCCAACCTCGAAGACATGGTCTGTGTCACTGTGCGGCGACGAGCAGGAGCTTCCTCCCATCGACCACATCTACTTCGCGACCGGCGTACATAACGACTTTGAATGCCTCCCTTTCCTGCAGTCTATGATATCCGACTTCCCTATCAAGGCCTGTGGCGGCTTTCCTTGCATTACACAGAACATGGCGTGGAGAGAAGACGTCCCTCTCTTTGTGGCTGGTCGATTTGCCGCGTTGCAGCTTGGTCCAGGGGCTCCGAACCTGATCGGTGCCAGGATAGGGGCGGAGAGGATTGCGTGGTCCATCCAGGACAAACTGGGTTCGGAAGAAGGAGGGAACAGCACGGGCTCTCACCGAGACAAGTTCAATTACGCCACTGGTAGGTGTAACAGCTTTGATGCTCTTGCTGACCTCGACGAGTAAGCCAGGCTGGGGATATCGGGAGAACACCTATCCGTAAGTAAGGGCGCATATCCCGTGCAGATATCCTTCGTCTCTTGCAATACAGAACAATTTGAAATCTCATAGTTTACGCTCTATTCTATACAAAACTAGGTATTCATTACAATGTCGATGCCGCGTGAGTGGTGAGATGGTTCGGACGGTGCGTACCGTCACGAGTTGACGCGCCGGAAGTGTGCTTCCCCACGGCGGAAACGCGGGCAGGCCCTGAATTTCATAGACTCCACTCCCACCAACACCCAACCTCTTCTTCCCGTGATGATCATGCTCATAATTTGAAACCTCACTCATGAATGTCCTGGTTACCTCCTCAGAGCAGCAGCCAGACTTCTCACAACCCTCTTGCTACTCCCTCCGACCAAACTGCCAACGCCATCCAGCAGCCCTGCGCTCAGAATTCCCTTGCTGTTCGTGCTCTTTCCGTCTCCACACAGCGAAGAACTCGTGGTCACGTTCGTCACGTTATTATTCTGCTCGCAGGCTGCAGAGGCTGCGGACGCGCAACCGCCGAGGAACTCTGCATAATCCGTCGTTGTCAGTCGTCTTATTACTACCTGCGGTAATATTATCGGAGGGAAGAGGGAACGACCTACGGCAGCTTGTACCGGATGTCGCGCTCATGCCCCCACTGGCCGACTCGGAGGACTCGGCACAGCCCGTCAGCCCGCAGGTGCTAGAGGAACTTCCGGTGCCGCTGGTGCTCTCCGAGGACGAAGTCACCGCGACGAGCGGGCCGTTGACCGATACGAGGTCGCGGGGGAGCAGGTCGACGAGGTCCAGCTGTCTGGTGATGAGCTGCCGTGGTCGGAGGCTGCCGCGTCGCGTGATTTCGGTGCGGCCGAAGAGGGGGGTGGCCGCTGCCGTGGTGGCGAGGGTAACAAGCAGAATGAGAAGCTGCATGGTGAGGGGAGAGGTTTCCTGCTTCTTTGATTGTAGAAACGGGCAGAGGAAGGGGAGATGGCTGGACGAGGAAGGAGCTGCAGAAACTGTTTGCACGAGTGGTCGATGGAGCGAATGGTTCTAGCACTGGGCAGTCGAGGCATGAGAACCCCGACTGACTTCCATATATATACGTCAACCGAGGATTCGAATCTGACGTCGATCGGGATAGATCTTGGTGGTTGAGACTCCTCGATACAAAAACTACGCTTGCCGCCGGCCGGTCTCTCCGGAGGCGTTGCGCATGCGAGTGCCGGATCGTATACCGAATCATGGCTTGCATTAGCACACCACAACTACCGCGCATTTTTTTTTCGAAGCAAACCTCGTTACCGATAGCGCGGTAGCCATTGCCGACTGCGCACGATGGCCATTATGTCGTTCAAGATGGTAGTCCTGCGCTTCTCATAGCCTCCAGTGGGGCTCTGGCGTTGTGATGACGCCGTGGACCATATGGTGAGGTAAGTGGCTACATATAGCGAGCGACATACGGGTCGATTTCTATGGAAGCCAGGGAACTCGCTTGCAGAACTACCAGTGGCGTCTTCAGATTTCCATGATTGAGGTCTTGCAGAAAGAGCTTGATGTGCCTGTGTCTATACTCATCCTAACGTCGACCCGCGTCGGCTGTCCAACCGCATGGGCACGATGGCTTATCAAAGGTGCCTTTCTGTGCTGGTGTCACACTTTTATTCTTGCCAGCCCTCTTCGTATTTCTTCATTCGGCGTCCAGCTGTGTTGGTGGCATATATGAAATCGTGCTGTGTGTTCCGGCCAGCCTGGTCATTTCAACCTTCGTCATCATCGTCAATACTGGCTTGGACTTGCGAGTCATGAACTTCTTCTTCGTGACGTCTTCAGTATCCAAAATTCGAGATGCTGCCTTCGCTAGGTGCTTCTATTCTGCACCAGCAGACTGTCCGAGCAGTGGATGACAGCAACCGCCGTGGGCTCTAACCTAGCTTCAACGTCTTCCCGGCTAATTGTCACACGGCATCGTCTGAAGACACCAGTAACTAGCCGAGTTTCCACTTGAACAACCTGTTTCACGTAGGAAGAAGTCGCCCCATTTACCCAGCTCCTCTTTCAGTCCCTGTCATCGTATGCTACGCGGCCGAGCTCGTCATCATCCCGCATTCGAGACCGATGAACAGCAAGGTAGGAGGTGCCGAATCGACGATTCTATCTTTGAGCGAATAATATGTTGTGTGCATCTCTGCTCCAGCGTGCCAATATCGTGCCCACTACATAGGGCGGTATTAGAACGGTGTCAAAACAAAAGCACCCACACTCACTTGACAGCACGACTACTTCACGATATGATTTTCCCGATACGATTCAAGGCCAGAAGCAAACGTCTTTCCATTAAGAACAAGTTTGGCGTGGTATGATAATATCAGACAATCTTATCAATGCTGTCGCCCCTTTGGCAGTCTGTTTTGAGGCCTGTCGAGTACCGTAAAGTCCAGACGATGAACGAGTGTACAATCTCGCACCCCGCTCTGATACAACCTATCTCTCTTCTTGCATGAACGGCTCGTCATCCAGTGGAGTGGCCTCGCTGGCTGCCCTCCCACCATTGTCTACCCTATATTTTATATGCAGCCTCCCAATGCAATGCCACAAACACATCCCCAGGCCAGCCCCTCCCCTCCCGACCGTCCCATAACATTACACCAAACTCTTCTCAAAAACGCGATACTCCGTCGGCCCAGCCAAGAACCCAGCCAGATGCGGATACTCCTCGCCGAAATCCTGCAGCCGGACGACCCGATACCCCATCCTCTCATACCACCCCTGGATCCGCACCTTGCTCGCGTTTTCGTAAAACGTCGGTACCAGCAGCTCGAGCCGCATCACTTTGAGCCCCAAGCCCCGACACCGCGCCTCGGCAAATTGCGCTAGATCCCGGCCAAGCCCGCCGCCGCGGTGCGAGGCGGCTAGGGCTAACATTCCAAATTCGCCGTGCGTGTCGCTGAGGCGCTTGATGCAGACGCAGCCGATGGGGCGGCGGGAATCATCAGATCCGGACTCCGAATTGGGAGTTATTGGCGAGGTTGAAGTCTTGGGCTCAGAGAGAAAAGCGACAGCCAGCTGTCCCGCGCGCAGGAGGTCCGCGATGCCGGACGCCGTGGTACGCTGGTAGCCCTCGTTGAAGATGCCGGCCTCGGCCTCGAGGTAGACGACGTTGACGACGTCGGTGAGGGCTTGGACAAATCTGGCGTCGTCAGCGTACGAGGCGGGGGAGATCTCGATATTGACGTTGTCTTTGGATTGAGGTTGAGGAGGGCCGTGCTGCTGGGTCGTGGGCGGCTCCGGGGTGAGGGAGGAGGCGGGCACGGTGGTCGCTGAGATGACTACGCCGAGCGTCTTTTCAGGGTCCATCTTGACGGTTTGGTGCTCTCTTGATATCGGTCTAAGGTATGGCTTGCACTTGAGCTTGACTCGACCTGCAGTAACTTAGAGTCTAGTAGCTACGGTAGGCAAAAAAGGCGGTGTGGACGTTCCCGTTGTATATTTATAGCGTCAGGCAAGGAGACGGAGTCTAGGCAAACAACGGAGACTATGGAAGGTAGCGCCCTATCTTTGACATCTGAAATGGCTGGCATCAGCATGACTAACAGCTCCCGCTCTCGCTCTTGCTCCGTAGACGGTCGGAATTAGGATCGTGCCCGCTCAAGTGACCGGGTCCCTTCCTCTTGCTAGTCTTGCTAGAGGTCAACTTCTCGAAGGAAGGGGCACAGGCTGGATATGCGCCGCAAACCAACATGTCAATTAAGATTATCAGTGGGTATGATATGTGACCCGCCAGCCAGTGACTCATCGATAGTCCACCGAGTATATGCTGGACATCCACTTCCCCCAATTGTATGCGTAGTCCCCGGCCCAGATTAGAGAGCGGCGACGGCCGCCATGAAGCCCGCAGCCACAACCCCGACCACCATCACAAACCCAGTCTCGCGCGCCGCCGCGCCCTTCACGACAGACGACGAAGCGCTCGCAGCCGAGTCGGTGGCGCTTGCCTTCGCACCCGATGCCGAGGATGCCGCCTTCGAAGTAGCGTGCGAACCCGCAGACGAAGTGGTCTCAGTGCTGCTGCCGGTAGCATTGGATGTCTCGGCCGAAGTAGTAGTCATCCCTGCGCCGGCCGCCGCGACCGCCGAGCTGCAGATGGGCACGGCCGACGCGTACGACGCAAGATCCGAGCACGAGGCCAGGGCGCCGTTCAGCTTGGCGCTGTTGGACGCGTACCAGCCCAGCACCTCAGACGTGTAGAAGCTGTACTCGGCGGCGGCCTCGCCGGTGAAGGTCGGCGTGGCGCAGGGGTGGGCGTCAATGGTGACGCTCAGCAGCGCCGGGGGAGGTGTCGGCAGCGAATCGTAGAGCGGCAGCACCGACGTGATGGCTGATTGGCACTTGTCGTCCGGCTGCTGCTGGTCCTGATCCTGGCGGTCCTGCAGGAGGAAGTCGCGCTTGGCGAGGCCGGGGAGCTGGGCGCATGCTATGCTGACGGCAGCGGCTGCGAGGAGGGCTTTGGAGAACATGGTGGATGTGGATAATTGTGATTGGGTCGGCTTGGAGGATAGTAGTGACTGTGACGAAAGCTCAGCTGAAGGTTTGACGATGCTGGTTGGTTGGGAGGAGGACTCTTGTCTGCGGGAGAGGAGGCAATAATAGTTTGAATTGATCGATTAATACAATGAGAGCGGCTCTTTCTCACGTTCCAGTCCGGTCCATGGGGCAACCTCCCACAACAAAGGGGGCCAGTTTGTTCGAGAGGTAGCAGCAAACTTGGACACCAATCGGATATTAGCTTGTAGCAAGTAAAGCGACGACGGATGAGAGGACCGCTGGAATGTGATCATATCGAGATGGAATGAATTAGCGAGCTGAGCATTGCCGCTAGATTCCTTTGTTACTCTAACATCAAGACGATCATGCCCCAATCGCAACTCGTCTGCATGCTCACCCCACACGTAGGAAATCCTGACAGCTAAACCGTTGATGGCCTTGTTAATGAGTTTGGATACGAAAAAGCCTGTTGTACTGGTATGACACCAGTCCAGACGGCACAGCTACCAGTGGGCATGTCATAGAGAGTGAGTGCTCTAGCTGGCTCTGAGCAGACCAGATTCCATCGCCGGTTTCGCTGCTGCTCGACTCCTTCAGCAAACCTCTTTTCGCCTTGGATGGTGTCTCGAGGCGTTCTGCTAGACCCTATGTCGCTATACCTACAATTCCCTCCATAGGCCAAACAAACCTCTGGGTCAATGGGAAACTGCGGGTGACTGCCGGCCCAAAGATGAGACGAAAACCAATCCCTGTCACATTCGAGATCTGACCTGTATAGCCGCGAGAGCTCGTTGGTAAGATCATGGCTATAGTCACTGACTTGAGCCATCATTGACGGCCCATCAGCGACCCCAGGCACATCCAAGACACCGGACGAAATCGCACGGGGTAAATGAGAGGATAAGTCATGATCGCATTACTCATTACTAGCCTATGAATATTACCATGAGATGCCCATGGCACCACCTTGGCACTGGATATATAACCGACAAAACGTTCCCTCCTATCACCCATTGTCCGGCCTCGCGAATCATCCTTCTGCTCCTCTCCCTTCTTATTATCCTAGTCCATATCAAAGAAGCTCCCCTGCTTCTTCAGGCCCAACAGATCTACAAGTCGCATCACGCGCCCATCAAGACGCTTGACGTTCTCGTCCCAGGACCACCACACGCCGCAGGCAGCAGCAGCGACGAACAGCTGCGCCGCGCCCATGCCGACCGCGACGGCTTTGAGGCCTTCCCACTCCCAGACCATGTTCGGAACACCAAGGATGAAAGCGCCGGCAACCAAATTGCGCATACACATCAGTCCAGCCTGCATATCAGCCGCGTTGCGCAGGCCAACTTCCACGTCAGCAGATGTGAAGTTCGTCGAGCGCTGGATGACAGGTTGAATGCACGCGTCCAGAGCCAGCGACCCGGCCGCGAGGAATCCCAGCAAGAGCGAGACGATGGGGAAGCTGAGGCGCGCGCCCATGAACGACAGGCCGTACGGCGTGCTGTTGGGCTGGCCGGAGCCGTCGGTCGGCATCTGCATGCTGCCCTCGAGATACAGGCCGAAGCCGAAGATGCCGACGGCGGCGAAGGCCGTGCCGGTGGCGAGGAGGGTGTAGTGGACGGTGGGCGTGAAGCTCCCCTGGAAAAACGGGAGGGACGACGCTATCGCTACGGCGGTCGCTAGTATGAATGGGCCGGTCATGAGGGCGCCCGTGGATGCCTCGGAGAACATGAAGGGCATGGGCGAGAAGAGCAGGGAGAGCGAGCTCGTTAGGCTCCAGAGTCCGACGTAGGGGAGGAGAGTTACCGCAAAGAGGAGCAGTGTCGATGGTGCGAGCATGGCTCGTGGTGCCTGCGTGAGTAGAGCCGAGTCGACTTGCTGCGCCTTGTACGATAACAGCTTTATGTTGCTGAGGTACCCCACGACGGCATCTTTTGAAAAGGCAGACTTGGGGCCGAGGGACTGCGATCGGGTAATAGTAGGTGATGCTAAGCTGAAACTTGAGCGAGCGAAGCTGGTCTCGGGCACAGCGAGGACGAGCAGTGGGGTCAGCACCACCAGAAAGCAGGTAACGATCTCAAACTGCAGGGCGAAGCCCATCGGACCATTCGAAGCAACGCCGCCGAGTAATGGCGAGCCCCAGGTCGTGCCGACCGATACGGCGTGGTAGATCAGAGTGTAAGACTGCCGCTCATGTTCCTTCGAAAGTTAATATGGAAGATCTCCAGCTTTTCAGAGAGGCGAACATACGAAGTAAGTGTCACGAATTGACGCCACGACCAAAGTGTCGAAAGCACCCCATCCCAAGCCCTGCAACACCCTCGCGCCCATGTTCTGGGCCAGGTCGCCCCTCACCATAATGTTCCAGACGGCGCCGGCGAAGATCAGTATCGAGGAGACCAGGTAGATCGGTCTTTTACCCCAGATCTTTGCGACAATCGTACTCGTCATGCCCGTGAGCGCGGAGACCATCAAGGGAACAGCAGTCAGACCGACTGCCGCCGTGTACGAGACGCCCTCGTCGATGGCGACGAAGCTGTTCACGGTCACAAACGCCGTCTTCATCGCCCCGACGAGCGCAACCATCGAGAGCAGCGTGAGGAAATTCATGTGCTTCTTCCACATCGGCCAGTTCTGTATCATCGAGGTCAGCACATGTCCTGCTTCAGCTCGTCATCGTGTCATCTTACCAGCGGGTCTTCCGGGTTATCACTCGGCTGCGGCGACAACTCGACACCTGCGTACTTGCCCGTGCCATACCTGATCCTCCGCTTCGGCTCCGGTATGCTCGAGAACGACAGCCGCCTCGTAGAAGCTGTCATGGGCCTTGGCGCCTCCTTGGATATCGGACTCGGCGGATGCACCTTCTTCAACTGTATCCCAAACGGCGGCGGCAGTTCCTTGTCCTCCGGAATTTTCAGTGACGGCGACATTATCATGCTACTACTGCTGCTACCGCTGCTGCTGGGCGTCGATGTTGAGAGATCATCGCTGGATGCCGGGCTCTCGATCTGGCTGAAGCTTTGGATCTCTGCTAATAATGGAAGCTCGGGTAGAGACTTGCGATCGCCGTGGCTTGATTCGGGTGGCGCTGGGAAGCTCTTTTCCAATTGCGATATGTCCATCGTCGATCCGCTCGACTCGTGTCCGGCCATGGTGATTACTTCAGCTCTATATCGAAACGCTCTTTTCGGCCAGAGTGTTTCCGTTACAATATTCAAGATAGTCCTGCTGTTGATTTCTCCCAAATGACTGGCCGAGACCAGACGAAATCGTCTTAGAAGGTGACGAGTAGCGAGTGAATTAATTAAGAGCTGAAAGGACCGGCCAAGCAGTAGGGTATCAATAATTAGAAAAGAGACACGAAAAGGCAACCAGGCCACGAAGGTCAACTTCAAAGAATCGAAAGAAATGGTAAGGGTCGGATGTAAGGTAAAGGAGACGAGAAAGCCACGTTTACGACGAGAGACCGGTAAAAAGAGATGGCTTGCAGACGGCTTACATGCCGGTGTGCGGTAGTGGTCTGGCACGGATGCCACGTGCATGAGATCATCGCAGCACACCGGTGTGATGGGTTGCGGTCAATGGTCATCGCGAGGCACGTCATGGCGAAGGGGGTTTCATTCGCTACATACCGTTACGACGGCAACCCCTCAAACAGCATGAGTGAGGTTGTGATTAGGGCCGTCGCAACTTGCCAGGTTCTGGTCTAGATTGGGCATGGCTCACCCAAAGCAGGCTTGAGCCATCTCGCGATCCCAGGCTTCGTCTGAAGCAGAGATATCTGCGAGGTTCTCCTAGGGCAAAGGCCTGAACTGTTCGAGGTCCGTCTGAGCTGTCATTGGCCAAAATGTTCGCAAAAGCAACGTTCGCAGGGCTGCCAGGGCAGAACCTGGTCGGGGACCGAGCACGAGCCGAGGAGATCCGTCTGATTGTTCACCCTTGGAACCATGCAGTGATGGTGTCACCGGGCCGCTGTGGACGTGAGAGCCTCTTCGGGGCAATGGTGAGACAGCTGAGTGCGCAAGCAGCGGTCGAGCGGCACATCGACGCCCCAAAGTGATATCGCGGTGTGATGTTGGGGTCAGGGGCCGGTGAAACAGGCCTGAGGCGGGGGCTGCCTCGTGGGAAGGGTAGAGCGGATCATCCTTGAGGATTTTCTCGACCCCTGAAGGTGGGGTAAGTAAGCTTGGTCTTCTTCACTTCACCTCAACAAGATATGCTTCGTCCAATCTAGAGGAACGTCAACGAAATAGACATCTTGACAGCCCTCCCTCCGTGTTGCAGGCTTGGAGCTGAAATACCAAGAGGCTGGAGCGTACTTGCAGCTCACTGCCGAAGTATTGGCAATAGTGTGGTGGGCTCATGCAGGAACGTTGTCGTCGTCGCAGGTTCGGTTGGCAGATGCAGTCAGCATCACAATCGGGGACCGAACACGACTCCTCCTGAAGGTTGCAGGAGCCATGTTGTGAGACATCAAGCTAATAAACTGCCTATTCGTTGAGTCCATTTCGAGCACACCAGCACATTGGAACTCTTTGGCCAGCTGGCTTGAGTCAAAAACATCTTTCAGCAGGGCTGAAGGGGTTGGCTCCGAGGTGGGTGATGTGCTATGACCGAAACCTGTCATGGGAGATCCGCGCTGTCGTGCGACGAAAACTGACATGGCCACTCGGCCACTCGGCCACCAGCTTTGGCGATCACACTGCACGCTGCCATCTGTCAGGTTGGTAGGCAGGGTATTTATCGCAAGTCCCAGTACACACCTATTACCAGTCAACACCTTGAGACTGAAGTGGCGCGAACACGTAAATCCCAGGAACATGCTTCACGCGTTGAGAGCCTGGGACGTCGATGTGGGCAGATCTCATCAATGCCGATGGCCGGAACCAAACTTCTGGGCTGCCGAGTTCTGAGTGAAACGTGAAATCCAACTACCCATGGGAGGTGTTTGGCGAGGCTCGTGCGCAAGAACCCTGCAAGGATATGAGATACTTGGCAAGGAAATTTGAAGCAACATCATGGAAAGGCCCTGTGTTCCCATCGAATGAACATATCCCAGCTGTGTAATCCCGTTCTTCCAATATCTTTTTCGCCTCCTACATCCCGTGGTGTCTCCTCGCCGAGTGCCGTGTACTAGCTCGCTGCCGACAGAACGCTCGTCAACCCAGCACGTTATGAGTAAGACGCTCCAATCATCACGATATTCGGGTCGTCTGCCCGGATTACCCGGTATGTCCACCACACCCGTTGACCGCCCACTCGGCCTCCATGCTCAAGCCGTGCCCTCAGAGCATCGATTGGCGATGACCACCAGGTCCCGCTACCAGACCAACGAAGCAGCCTTGTAGTGTGCATGCGCAGGCCTTACCGACGGAATGGCGAGTTGGACGACGGCGTGACACGGTTGCCGATCGGTGCCAGCAAAGTAAACTGCTTCTGTGACAAATATTCAACCAGGTTAGTATCTTCTCCACGAGAGACCCGTTATTCTTTCAACCCGGAGCGTCGTTTGTGACTCCTCCCCGGTCCGCAAAGCGAGACGAGCATCTCATCTCGATGTTATTTTCGTCCGTTGGGGTGCAGTGAAACCAACGCGTGTCGATTAATGGCGGGCGGTGGTGACCTTCGTTCGCTCTATGCCGTCTCTCAGTCCAAGACACCGGGCTTAGAGCCCTTAGGCCTAGGCAAGAGCATGGTTTCTGTGCAGCCTCCATTCAAATGAACAGCAGCCAGGTTCATGCCAGTGTTGATGAACCGTTGAGCATCGATTGAAGTTCCATCCCATGAGGTGGGAACCGTCTCATGCGACCGGGTTGCAAGTCTCCCTCACATAGAAGCAATGACGAGTGCTTTACCTGCGTGATTGACTTGATGAGCCTTGGAGGTCTCTAGACTGAGAACCAACTGGTTCGTCCGGATGATCAACTCTGTAACGAACAGTTAGTGCCGGGGAGATGGCCATTGAAATATGGGATCTTGGACTCATAGACATACCTTGGTACTCCAACGTATAAGATACAGGCAACTCGTCGTTTGGGCCGATGAGTATGGGGGCCTGGCCATTGCCATTGTTGACGACGCGGAACCTAAGCCCGACGTTCTTGGATGAGTCAGTCCACAACATGGACGAATCATCCAAACTCGGACTCGCTTGCTGCTGCTGCACTGCTGTTGACTTGGCAGCCTCGTTCTGGAGCCAGTCACGCCAGATGCGGATCACCCCGTCGCTGATGTTGGCTATACTTAGAAACAAGCCCCGCCGCGGTCCTACCTTGACCATATTGGTGAGGGTGCAGAGCTGTGAGAAGAGCTCGCCTGATTCAAGGTTGACATCGTGAGATGGTACCTCGACCTGTGGCTCCTGTGTACCCTCATGAACCTCGAGGGTAGGCCATCGAGAACGCGGCCGTCTGTAATCATCGCTGACGTACGGTCGAAACCGCGTGTAGAGGCGGTTTAGTTGTTCAAGGCTCGCATCCTCGCCAGCTTCCGACAGACCATCTGTGCCAAGGAAGGCACATAACAGAGATGGGGTCGAGATCTTGTTGCTTGGATGATAGGACTCGAGAATCACCTCATGGTCCTGGAGCACAGTAGCCTCAACAAGGCGGTAATAGTGAAGACGGCCAACGAGTCCACGGAAACGTCGGCAAACACCAGCATACGGCAGCAGCGAGCGAGTCGAGAAAGAGCTGAGCGCTTGGATGAGGACCTATCCGGTTTGTTAGTAAATCGAGGCGTCGCCATGAGCAATATGGTTGCATACCTCGTTTGGGAGGGAATCTATCGAAGCTGAGGCTAACGCCATGACGTGCGACATGGGTGAAATATGCAAAGACGTATAATGAAACGAAGGATACAAAAACACGTTGTCGAGTACAAGCTTCTGAAGTAATAGGTGGCAGTTGGCCGTGTTTTGTACGAAGTGACTGCGACTGTGCTTCGGATATCCTTCGATAGACTCCCCCGGGCTCTGACCTTGAGATCGTAAGGTGTTGTCGAATGAAGAACGTTGGGTGGTGAGACGTATTGGCGTCGTATGTCGATCCTGGCTGGAATATACGGCTGAGCACGGCGGTGTGTTGCTTTGCGGCTCAATCCGGCAGTCAGCTAGCCCTGTGCCAACCTCTCACGCAAAGTCGAGTACACGACTGGGTCGATTTATAAGTTGGCCAATCAATGCACCCGGCATGAGCCGACTGGGCTGGGATGGGCCGAGTCAGGATGCAAGATTGTGATGATGATGAAGCTAAAGTTACCCGTGGGCTTCTGGCCGTCACGGAAGACTGGTGGTCTTAGGGGTAGTAGAGTTAGGTTGATAGGATGCTCTGTATTGAAGCTCTGTAAGTAGATGTTGCATCGGACGTGGCTTTTCAGGGTGATGAAAAGGCAGATGTTGGTCGTTGTCATGACTGACTCGATGGGTCGTCAACAGGCTGCCAACGCTGCCTACGATGCAGCCACCGTCATACAGTGTACTTATCAAGACTCGCACAGTCCTATCAGCACTGTCTTTATCTCCGGCCCTCACCATACCGTCTGACCGTCCAGCCGTCCTCTCAACTCCCTCCCTACATGCATCAACAATCGACGTTTCTGACAGCCAGCACAACAATCACCTTCATGCCGTGGTATAGTCCGGAACCAGTGGCAGAAGGTCACTCTGATTTAATTTTGATTTGATCGTTACCATTCGACTCCGTCCGTTTGAAGCTGTGTAGTCGATGTGCCTGAGAGTTTGCTGACATTGGGACTGCTGTATTGCCCACAGCCACCTTGCTTTCAGCTATTCAGGCCACCAAACACGGAAAGCAGGCGAGACATGTAGCGATGAACGACCTCAGCATTTTTCTTTTGAATGAGTACCGGACGGGGCCGATAGGGTGCGGTGGAAGTCATCAGATAATCCACCAGATTCGCCGCCCGGCGACGTGGGCTGATGTGTGGATCGGCACGTCTTTCGATCAGTCCGGCATCGGTACCGGTTCACCACGCCCGTTTCGTTCCGCCTGGGACACAAAAGACAATACTTGAATTCTCATCTGTTGAATCATCCTTCTCGAGTGGCGCATACTGCCAGCGTCAACAGCTATATCAAAACCATGCTGAACACCAAGTTACCGACCTCAGCGCAGACGCATGATATTGAACGTATCTGAACGCGAATCGGACAAGAACGGTTTCTTTCTCACTTTTCGCGGCTTTGAACACAAGACATAGAACCGGACATCTGACTCGATAAGGTATCCTCTGCTGCAGCTCCCAGCACACCCGCTAAGTAGCTCGGGACCAAAGTTTGGACCTCAACTCCGGTGCGTATCTGCCATTTTACGATATAATGTCAAAATGCTGGACGGTGAAGGGCGCGTCAAGGCATAGCAACAAGACGCGAAGCCTCCATGCAAGTGGTAGTAGGCGGCTAATGCCTCGATGGTATATTCGTGCATTTGCGCGACTGACAGCTGTGGGATGGACGAGTGACTTCCACGCATCCCACCCGACAGGGCAATCACGATGTAGTCAAAGATCCACGACACGTGTCTCATTTAATCGGACTTGCTTGGTAGAGTCTTAATCATGCTCGGCTCAAGAGTCCACGACTTCGATAGCCAACACTATCCAAGTCGACTTGAGCAGCGGAGTAACATTCCGGATATCGGTACCCTCAACGATATTGTGCACTTTACGGGAAGAACGGCATGATACTGTATTCATTTACCATACTGGGCACGTCCTTGCCAGAGTCCTTGATACCGCCAAGTCCCAAGATCTACGTTAGACGTGGTACGCTTTCAGCAGCATGGACACAATACTTGTTCAAGTTGCCTCCCTGCGAGTCCCATGCAGACTATCGCTGCGAAGCCCGCGGCATCATGGCTGGCTAAAATCGTCGCAATCATGGTTGGAGATGTAGCAGATCCCAACATTGGACTACTAGCCATACAGTCACGCAAAGAGTGAGTGTGCTCCTGTCAGCAATCTTCACTTGTCACATATATATATATATTTGCGAGCTCACGTTCAAGCTGGGAAGACCGCGATTTGCTTACTCATCGGCACTGCCAGACTTGGATGGTCCCGCGGTACCACTGGTCCCCCGTAGCCTTATAAGGCCAGAAACCGTGGTGGATGGGGCATAGCTGCTGATGATACCTCAAGCATGGTACGAATTCGCACCACACCAATGTCAAGCTTCCGTAAGGTAAGCCTCGACCAAGATGGTGGACCGAGCGGCATCTGACATTTTCCTCCAAGACATGATCTCATCTCGCCCTTTCCAGCTTCGGGACGAGCGTCCGTTCATCAACGAAGGGCTTCCAATCAACATCACTGTAACCCTAGTCCACAAGCAGCATATCTGTACAGATATCCAGACGGATAGTCTGACGCCGCTCGGGCATAGGACTGGCTGCAACATAGCCGTAGGACCTTGCGCAGGGGTTCGACAAAAGACTTCTTACAGCGTGATGACAGCATAAGCGACCTACATGATGGGGTCAGCCAACTGTCCACAGGAGGCAGTCTTGGGGTCAGACTGTAGGTCGTGTCATGCCAATCACAGCCGCAGGCCAGATGCCGGTCAGGGACCAAGGCCGGTCTTCAATCTAATGAGAAAGGTGCCAGTGTCAGATCCCAAACCCCACGAACAGGCCTGCCCACGAAGCATGGGATGTATTCCCCAGAGCAAGGGTAGCATCGCATGGCCAGCACGGAACCTTTGTTGCACTTCTCGGCTGCTCGTCGAAGCCGAGTGGAGACGTTTCGAGTGGGTACTGGCAAGGGAGAGCACTCCCATGTTCGCGGACTCTTGCCCATCTTTCAGATGGACGTCGGCGCTCCATGGTCTGGGCCTGTTCCCCGAATACCACCTATGCGAGCGCATTTCCCTCGGCGAATTGGATACTGATTGCAAGCTGCGCTTGGCCACTTGATCGATCCTTGACAACACGCTCTCCAGCGATTCGTCACAGACGCAGAACTTTGGTCTTTATCACGCAGGCCTCCGCTGTCAAGACTCGGGACGAAGAATGAGTTCGTATGCGACGGTACGGCATGTGCCACACTCTATTCCCGGTATGTCAGTTGCCGCAGGAATCACCAATCTTTGAGACAAATACCTTGGGGTTGCGTGATACTATCGCGGCCTCTGTCGCTGTAGCCAACCTGGGGGTTTGGTGTTGATAGGGGGCGTAACTGGGGGCGTAAGAGCTAGGCGTCCCAGCGAATCAGACGTTACATTCCAGCCACTGAGCCGCAGCTGTGCTTTGGGGCGTTTGCGGCGCCTTTTCACCTATGACGGACTGGCTCACCGCCTGAGATTCTGCCTATCTTGATCGCATTCCAATCCCGACCAAGTCGGCATCGACGCCGAGGACCAGCGAAGAGAGAAGTCCTCCTCTTCCCGCACACTCCCGTCTGTACCATCCATTCACTGTTACCGTTATCTCAGGCGATGCAGGCGGCTGCAGGCCCGGCCTCTTCACATGTACCTCATAGCAGGACCCCTATCGGGGACCGTCCGTGGTACGCCGCCGCTAGTCCCTGGCCCACGATGAGGGATGAGGGGCAGGAGGGGGTCTGTGTTCTTTTTGAGTCGTGTTGGATCTGGTTTTCTGTCGACTCACTTCGCATTCGTCTCATGCGAATAACTCATTTCCTACTGTCATTGATTGGCGCAATAGGGATCCGACCGGCAAAGATAAAGAGCCAACGCGAGCGCGTGTCATTCCGTTGCTACTACCTCCCTAACTAACTAATCAAGATCGACAAGTGTTGACTTCTCTTTCCTTTCGACATTCTTGTTATCTCCACCTCTCTCTCTCTCTCTCTCTGCTTTCTTCTCCGCCCTCGATATAGACCTTGAACTGGTATCATTGTCCCCAATCAACTTGCTCGAGGGACACAAGGCTAGTGTGGCCAAGAGACCCGGCCATTGACCACGCGAGCGACCGACCAAACCGCCCAACAGCCCACCGACGCGACCATGGGTTCCGAAAACACCATCGCCCCGATCCGCCTCGCCATCCTCGAGGCCGACACGCCCGTGCCGGGCATCCAGGCCAAGTACAAGTCCTACGGCGGCGTCTTCACCTACCTCTTCGAGCGCGCCTGCGCGGCCCTCGACCCGCCGCAGCCGCTGCAGTCGCAGCTCACCCTCTCGTTCCACGACATCGTCAACGACCCCGCGGCGTACCCGGACCCGGAGACAATCGACGCCGTGCTGATCACGGGCTCGAAATACAACGCCTTCGAGATGGACGAGTGGATCGTGCGCCTCGTGCAGTACACCAAGCGCTGTCTCGAGGGCGGCCGCGTCCGCGTCGTCGGCGTCTGCTTCGGGCACCAGATCGTGGGGCGGGCGCTGGGCGCCGAGGTCGGGCGGAATACGCGCGGGTGGGAGCTGAGTGTGGTTGACCACGAGCTCACTGAGGAGGGCAAGAAGCTGTTTGGCATGGACAAGCTGGTTCGTGCCCCCTTTTCGCATCTCCCCTCCCTCACCTCCCAACCCCCCCCACTACCACCAGACCTTCTCGACGACTTGGACGCACCACCACTAACGAACCCACCACCCGCAGTCGATCCACCAAATGCACCGCGACGCCGTCCTCACCTTCCCGCCGGGCGTCGCGCGCCTGGCCCAGACGGACATCTGCCCCAACCAGGCCATGTACGTGCCGCGGCGCATGATCACGGTGCAGGGCCACCCGGAGTTCACCGAGGACATGGTGCGCGAGATCCTCGAGATGCGCAAGTACGGCGGCATCATCGGCGACGACATCTTCCAGGACGGCATGCGCCGCGTCGCCAACAAGCAGGACGGCGTTGCCGTCGCCAAGGTGTTTTTGAAGTTCATGCGGGAATGAATGAAGCAGTATAAACTTGGTCGGGGCCAGAGGAGGGATGGGTGCTCGTGAGTGAAGCGATTGGGAGATGGGCGGGGGAAGTGGAAGTGGGAAGAGGGAGAGAAAAGAGGGGGATATACCATACCAGAGAACAGAGAGTGACAGAGACAGGACGCGGAAGAATGGGAGGTAGCGTGAGAAGAGCAGAGACCGATATGCCAGCAGATTGCACGTCGATCCCTAGTAAGCGAGCGACTTGGCGTAAGACTGGGTTACTGCAGCAGTCTGGATTAGCCAACAAAGATGGCTGCACGATGTCAGACGAGGCAGATCCCACGGTGTGTGCTGACAACCAAACCTTCACGTTTGGTGCTGACATTGACGTTGTCTTGGACATTATCTATTAGAGATACTGATCGTGGTTGGTTAAGTAATATTAGAACAGTCAACCCCTGACGCCGCCCAATGCTATGCTTGGATGCTCGTGGGACCGACCCGCCGTTGTATGAAGCCTCCAGCGCCGTGTACGACAAGCACGCAGAAATCCGTGTCTGCGCCTGTCCAGATGCACTCGTGTCCACAATGCTGAATGCTGTATCAAAATTGCCCTATTACGCGCCGTGCTGTGCCGTGCCGTGCCAAAAGTCCTGTCGTAAGGGGTATCATGCCAAATGCGCCGTGCTCCCAATCTCAAGATCCACAACATCCCACCACTCCCTCGGCCTACTCTCGGACCTTGTCCGCGCAGACGATGCCTCGGTAAGGCGATCCAAGGTCTCCTGGTCGCGCCGGGCCTGTGCCGTCCGCGCATCCACTGTCCTTTCCTCCCTCGTGCGGCCGCCGCCGCTCCGCAGGCTGCCGCCGATCGCCCCTGACCCGCGGTTGATCTTGAGCCGCATGCCCAGACCCTCCCAGAGCCCGCCGCGCAGGTGCAGCCACGGCTTCTCCCACGTGCTGAAGAAGCAGCAGTCGACCGCCGCACCTATGCACAGCGACGCCATGCTGACCACCTGCAACGCGAACGGCGTCGCCTGCTGGCCATCATCCGTGTTGCGGAACCGAACTTGCGACACGAACGGCGCGATCCATGTTAGCATGTAGATAGCCGGGTACACGAACAGCAGGGACAGATGCCGCTGCATGCGCTCGCGCGAGCGCTGCATATATTCTTCGGTTTCTTCGGCGGGGAGGTGGACGGAAGAGCAAGAGCTGATGCTGTTGGGGGAGCGTGAGGGACCCCGCCGCAGGATGGTGACGAGGTTGAGGAACGAGTTTCCGATGGTGTGCGCACCGAGCGAGAGCGGGCGTCTCCACGATGGCACCGTCGACTGGAGGGAGTTCATGGTCGTTGAGTGGTGGACAGGCTCGGGCGCGCAGATAGGCGCCGTGTCGAGGTCGAAAGACTGCGTCGTTGGGCTCACGGGCGCGTCTTCGGCTCGCGGCTCCGCGTGTGTATCGGTTGGTCCATCTTGGTTGAAGCCCCCGAGGTTCCACGTGACGGAAGTCCTTCGAGACGGTGCTATTCGTGGCGGAGTCGACGACCCCTCGCCTAGTTGCAAAGTGCTGATTGTGGAAGCGGCGGAGAATTGACGGTCTTTCACTATGCAGCTATTCGCTAGACTGCTTCGGAGTGAGTCGAGCAGGCCGTGGTCGAGTATGGGGGGTGTGTGCGGAACATCAAGACTGCGACTCTTGTGCCTCCGCCTCTGCGTGGAAGGATCGCTCAGAGTACTCGCCCTTCTCTGGTCCCTCCCGAATTTTCGGATTCGGGTGTAGACAAGGACGTAAAGGTAGCTGTAGGTTATGATGATGAATCCGAAGATGATGTATCGGGGGATCCAGCTCAGGGCACTTCGGTACCACCGGGGCTGCATGGGTAAATAGCAGTAAGTGCCATTGTCTGCGAAGCTGCCCCCCGTAAAGGGGACGATTGACGCGAGTGTTATGGGTATGATGGCCCAAAGACTGTACGCATATCGTCTGTATGGATGCAGCCCAGTCGAGCCACCAAAAGGCTGAGGTTTCAGGATGAACAGAGCTGTGTGAACTGCGATCATCAAGACGGCGATATCGGATGCCTCGATGGTGACTGTCAAGAAGAAGCCTGAGACTTGGCAGAATGTCGAATTCGAGCTTATCGAGGAGTTCGCGAAGAACACGATCGGGTTTATAACAAGCCACATAGCCTTCATCATGTCGCTCTGGATTAGAAGCATGATCAAGCTAACCCTATGTTAGTCTTCCGCCCATGTAACTTGTCCAGTGTGATGTCACTGACTCTTGACGAAAGCTTCTCCTCATCCGAACAAACCAATAGAAGGCATACAGAGCGGCCAGCACGCTGATCGACGCCAACGAAACGGAGATACACATCAGGGACAGCAATTGGGAACTGGTGGTCGCATCACGGGTCTGACTGAATTGGCGCGACATCAAGGTATTGCTGGGGGCAGGTAGCCATTCGACCAACTCCCGTAGGGGAGCCATTTTCGCCGTGGCCCGGAGGAAGATTGGATTCGCGACGGCAACGGTGGAATGGCTGTCATTATTATTGCGGTGCTTGCCGTACGCGTTGCGAGTATCTCGTTCCTGTCGCCTCTGAGGCCGATGGTGTAACAACAGGTGTTGCGGCGGGAAGAATGCGCTTGAGCACCAAACGACAGGACCAAGAGGTCAAGAGGTAACACGAACCCGAGGAGGAGCGCGGTGGCACCTACTCTATCTATTGACTTCAAAGATGTCGGGAGACAATGCCGGAACTAGCTCTGTCCACGGGATTCAAACGTCAATAGACGAGTGTCGCCTGCCACTTCGGTGGTCAGCAACCTGAGCGCGAGACTGGGCAAGAGCAGCACGGCGCAGGAGAGTTCGGATTTGGCCTTTCAATGTCGTGCTCTTGCTCTTGCTTTGCTTTCTTCAGTTACAGCAGCCGCACCAGCATCCGCACAACATACAACAACTGGAGGCCAGATGCCGATTTTGAGTTCTCAGATGAGGCAGATGATTTGTTGAGGAAAGCAAAAGGGCAAGCCACACCAGACTCAAAGACGAGTGTGACAAAATTCCCGAGAAGTAGCAAGCAATCTCTTGCTTTGGTAGGAAAACACAGAAAAACAACAACCAAGCTGCTGATGGATGACTGAGGAATGAGGAAATGAGGAATGTGAATGTGAATGCGAAATCAAGACAAACCGATATCGACGCAAGGACGCAAGCGCTGCCCTAACGCCCACCGCCCACGGCATGGACAACGCAGGCGGACAACGCAACCGCCGGGGCAGCATTCTCCATAACTAAGGTTCATATTGACAGCATTCATCCGTCGTCCGCTTTGGTGGCGGTGAGCGAAGCGCCGCTAATAAAGGCTGCCTCGAACTCTGGCTTGGAGACGTGCCGGCGTCAAATGTATAGTCGGATGATTCGTCGGGCGGCAAGCACCAGCCCACAGTCCGCCGCCAGCTGCACATCATCCATCACCAGCTGCCGGGACAGCCACCACCACCTGACTGACCCACCAACCCCCCAATAAACACCGAATCTCCAGTGGCCGGAGCTGGAGGTGGTTGACATCGAACATTCAAGGTGTGGCATCCCGGAATCCAGTCAACGTTTATAACCTTAGCTTCGATTAAGCTCAGATGTGCTACATCTACACGGATGTGCGTGGCATGGACGAATTGCATGCCCGGATATAGCACATGACAAGTTGGATGTTATGAGTAACACGTCCATGTCACAGCAGATCTGTCCAGGTGTTGTCTCCTTGTCTGGTGGTCTTCCTGGCACAGGTCCTCAGCGTCAGGTCTGAACAGCCATTCGGTACACTCGCCGACATATCGCGGGGGTCGGCTCTTTCTCGAAGCATGCACCTGGCTCGGATGGAGAGCAATCAGATGGTGATGAAGCGCGAAAGTGCACACAGTCGGTTCATTTGGGCAAGTAGACCCCTGAAACCATCGTTGATCTCAGTGCAGGTGACTGAATACCTGATTTTCTCATGTGACTTGTCCGACGTCCAAACACACGCACTTCCTCGTGGGTGACTGTCTTCGACAGCCCCGGCCTTTCGTAGTCGAGGAAGTTCAACCTATGCGTCACTTGATCATCCTTCACTGAAGGAGTGGTCGGAGTCTAATGCTGCAGCGCCCGCTCTTGTTGGTCAAGCTACCTTCGCAGGAGTCGATAATCTCGCTCTGCCGTTCTCGGCTCCAGACGTTGTGCATGCACTCTATGTTGTTTTGCAGCTTGGTCGCACCGATGGCTATCCTACGAGGACTCTTCGAGTGGCGGTTGCTCTTTGCTGCTGGCGCCGTCCTGGTTGCTTCCAAATCGTTTTCTCGTGTTCGAAATCCAGAGGGGTTGCCTTTGCGGCTTGGATCTACACCAACAGCTGCACTTCCAGGCATCCCGAGTTTCGTGCGGCATCATCGGGTGAGTTAGAGGTATGTTCTTGGACTTGGTCGGAGTAACTTTGCCCCGTTGGGACAGTAGGATGTCGTCCTTCGAGGTACGGTGTCTCCTGAGCCAAACGGTGGCTACATTGCTAATCAAAGCACAAGTCGCCGGTTCTCTTGAAGACGTACAGCAGCTCGACGCTATACTAATTTCCAATCGACAAACGCCGGGGTAGTGGAAGGCTGGACGGGTAGGTCGAGAACGGCACATTGGAAGGCTGAGAAGTCAGTGAGGGCCGTGGAGTCTCTGGAGGTGATAACGAGCTCGTCGCTGTTGACGTTGGCCCATAAACAATACCGGGTTTACAAGAGGCGGCAACAGCCGAGAAGCAACTGTGCAGTAGCACAAGGCTGGGAATCAGCTGGACGGCGTACGGGAAAGTCAACGCAGCAGCCATTGTTGGTGGCCCTCTGAGGATTTACAGCCGGTTCTGCTGCTGCCACTGCTGTCGATAAGGAGTCTAGGAGAATGATCCTTCTTGTTCATCGGTCTCTTGATGGTCACGGATCTTTGGCCCTCTGAACGTTTCATAATGATGCCAGTTTCATCTAAGGGGCCGTTGACGGTTCGAGGAGCTTACTGATGGTAAATGAGTCGGTCGAAAACCCAGACCCAGATCACAGACTAGGCATGATACAGAAGGGACGACAGCCTATCTTCAATGCATTGGTGACAAGCACTACCAGAGTGAGCCTCCATGTAGGAACCAGAGAAATGCCACCAGAGACAAGAGCTTGTATGACCCTCAAATCCGCTCTTCATGTTTTGATTCATGGCACGATCTGGTGATGAGGCGGCTGGCAAAATCAAGTCCCGTCTTGACATCATGAGATCTCATCCTGCTTCTACCCGCGCACCTACACCTCACCACGTTTAACAGCCCTGTAGTACAATCTCAATCCATCCCTTGTTGATGGCAGGCATGAAAGAAGCAATTGGCTCTTTGCCGGCATCCCGCACATCGTCGGCTTCTCGGAAAACAAGTTTGCGGACCAGGACAAGATCTTGCACGCACACTCGTCGATCGTAAGGTCCGGGTCGCCTTGGACATGGGCACAAATGCCATTAGGGAGACGCCCGACCTCTGCCCTTGGGACAAGAGCTGCAATTTCGTGTGCATCAGCATCCAGAAGATCCATAAGTTATCAACCAGGGCGACCTCGCAGACGCTTGGGTGAAACACAAAAGCGGATACGAGACCGCGCAAGCACCATATGCCGCCTTCTCGGCCAAGCCGATACCATCTGTATTGCCTATAGCGCCCTCGTTGGCCCGGAGGCAACCGGTACATGTGGCTTGGACACTGAGGTGCAAAACGCCTGCGGCTCGTGGTCTCAAGCTAATCTCTGATACGTACTCTGTGAGATTCTAACCTGAAGTCCCCTCTTGCTTAAAATGGCACTCGTCTCCCGCCTTAAACGCTTTCCGATATCTATCTACGCCCAAGGCCCGGGCCATCGTTGGGTGCGGCTGACTTTTGAGTCGTATAGCGTGGAGGGCACAGACTTCAGGTCCAGATGCCTCTGGATCGACAAGAACGGAGATCGACCCGGGACGGGATTGCAGTTGCATTGGCCGGAATTCATCTGGATCAAGGATAAACCTCTGCCGAAAGATGAAGACCTGCTGAATGAGATGAAAGACAGCGTTCGTGGGTGGTCCCTTAAGCCCCCTTTCCTGTTTCTCCTTGCTTCGCCACTGCTTTCCGATTTGTATGGAGCTATTCGAGTCTTGGTTTAGAAACATGTATATATGGCCTGCTATGAAACGTGCCCCCGCTTCTTACGACCCTGAGCACGAAAATGATGCTAAATACAGGTCTCTCTAGTACACGATGACACAGTATTTCGTCTTCTACACGACCATGATCCCCGCGGAATGTTGTGCCCCAGAGCCACTCGGCAGCCCGGATTTGACACGGAACCTCGAACAAAGCCCAGCGGAGGGCGTAATCAACGAAGAGTGTTTCACGATAACCCTATCCAGCCAGCCCAAGATCTTTGCAACAGTCCAATATCCCCCAGCACGGATTTCCTGAACCTCGCCGAGGGCATGAACGACAAGACTGTCTGGCCTCTATATAATGCTCGAATCACGAGCAGCTGCTTTAATGCGGACAGGGAGCCTCTCCTTGGTAACGCTTCTACTAACGGTATTGAGGGTCTTTCTGCCTACAGCATAATTGTGTACTGGATATCTAAGAGCCCTGGTGAGTAGTAGGACGCTGCCAAGGGGGTGCGGGATACATCTCGTCTCGTCTCCATTGCGTGTTGTAGGCGATGCCCGTGTGAGGTCTAGCATTCCGCAGCCGCAGCGTTCTTGCATCCATGTATTCTCCTGTATCCAGATTGGGACATTGAGTGTGCTCAATTGCACATCCTGGGTAGCTTATACGGTAGTTATCGATATGTGTGACGTACCTCTATTATATTGAAAGGGATCGCGGCCAGCTGCCAGAAGGAGCACGGCGGCAAGTTTATTCTCACGGCTGTCGAATAACAACTGAGTGATATATGGAATGAGGAGTGACGGTCAATAGCTTTACACGCACTGATGTAAGAGTAATATCTGTCATTCTCACTTCTCACCGAGCATAACCACCATACCAAGTATTGCGAAGCCCAATCCCAAACAAATAGCAACACACAGGATACGCTCATCACAGGCTCGGGTCAGTAAATTGATGTTGTCTCCGTAACGCGCCGAATTTTGTCCGCCATTCCACGTTTCGGTGGACGTCTGCCAGAATGTCCACAATCCACAACCCCCCCTAATCATATCAACACAACGTAGATCGATACGGCAGAATGACAGCATATTTAGTCGTCAAGGATCGACAGTTGATGCATATCATACATACGAATTAATAGTTTACGGTGAGGATACTCTCGGGTGTCTAGTCTAACATGTACGTATCCAACAGCTGCTCCAAGCTTCGCCCAGCAAAGCCATAAATCTAACCATAGACAACCACACCTAGTAGTTGTACCTATAACACATGTGCCCCTGCAGGGTGTTAAGGAGGTCTCGGACCTTGAGATCCGGGCACTTGGCGCCGCAGAGATTCCCCATGTAGACCATCGTGTCGAGGGTCAACGGCGAGCAGTTGACGTTGTCGGCACATCCGCTGATGGTGGTGCGGCGCGAGATGTCATTGATCTGCCACTTGCGGAAGACGTAGTCGACATACAAGTGGTGCATGAAGAAGGTCGGGTCGCCGGGACTGGCGATCGCGTCGGCCATGGTGGCGCCGACACCGTTGTGGCCCTGCGCGTGGAATCTGTAAGGCGGTTAGTAGGGGGCCCAGGGGGGGTTGGATACGAGATGAACTTACGAGAACTCGACGCAGCTGTGGAAGTCTGGGTACGACGTTCGCGCCATACATGTATCATATGAGCTCTGTCCGGTCTGGGCGGTGATGTCTTCGTTGACGGCACGCTGGAGACAGTGAGGGTTGTTGACAGTATATCCGGGCCCGAGAGACAACTGCCAGCCGGCGAATTTCTGGGACTGTTAGCAAATGCATGCCCTCACGCCTATCTGGCGCAGGTGACGCAGGGGACTTACACCGGTGGTGACACATGTACCGGCGTTGTTGGTAGGCCCGGACATGATGCCAAAGTACTGGTCCGTGAACAGAGTCGACTGGGCGAACTTTCCAGCCCACTTCTTCTCATCCCACCACGGCATGGCGCGGTTGAAACCGCACTCATCACGTAGGATCTGCTCGAAGGCCCAGACGTAGTACCGATGCCACAAGAGGAATTTGTGCGTCTGCTGCGTGGTGCTCTTGCTGTGGATGTTGGGCGCGTAGCTCTGATGTATGCGGACGATGTCCTCCCATCGGTTTTGCGACGGGCTCCATTGGCCGGACGCCGGCTTATTGTGCAGGCACTGGATGGCGTCGACGTAGGCTTGCTTGTCCGAGGCCGAGTAGTCGTCCCATTCGAAGCGGATGTTCGGGTTGGCGCAGTCGCCGGTATCTCGGGGAAGGATGCTGGATATTTCGTCCAGTAGTCCGGTGACGAGGGGCTTGAGGGGATTGCCCGAAATGGGCAGGAGGGTGAAGTTGGTTCCTATCAGGTCCACGCCGGCTTGGGCTTCCTCGAGGGTTACCGAGTGGACAGTGCCGAAGCTGGACAGCGGGAGTCCTTGTGTAGCCCGTCTCTCCAGCGTTGAGAAGTCAGTGTCAAGTAGGTCGGCTCCGGACTTGGCCTCCTCGGGCGTTATGGCGGCGAACGTGCCAAACTCGGACAGCGGAATTCCCTCGGCTCGGCTGTGGACGTTGGACGGGATCGATGTGGCTGACACCACGGACAGGAACAAAGCACTGGTTACCCTCATGATTTCAGGTCCTACAGGCGAAGTTGGCTTGGCAGGTATATAGTTGCAAAAGAATGTAGGCTGCCAATGAACGAAAAACGAGGGACAGTTGGTCAGCTAGGGAATTGAGATCAACATCTTCGAGTCCCCCAGCGCGGCCCCTGATATTATATATCACTGGCATCCATCTCGCTAGACAGCTAGACTATCGAATCTGCACGATCCAGCCAGCCCTATCCTTACTTCGTACTGGCCGTTTTCGGTGGGAGAGCCCGTTGAGCGATACGAAGTAGCCTAACAATCAGCTAACTCCCAATGGAAGGTATTCCGATCTGTAAGATTGCTTACCGACGGCGCCCACCTGCAAGCCGGCTGTGTTATCCGCTTTTCGTCCCTATCCATGTCCGCCCCCCTGCATGACACTACTAGTAGCAACTTTGGAGACAGGCACAACTACATAAATCGAAGGAATGGGTAGTTCATTCATATGCAACACAACCAGCAATAGTCCACAGGGCAATGGCGATGTCAATTTAGTATCCGATTGACGTCTCTATCGGTATAAAAACTGACTCAGTTGAGCCCCTATTGCGGTTGTTCTTGGCGTCAGCAGTTTATCTGAAGATCACCACTACGATTAGTCGGCTTGTCGGCGTCGGTCGGTCAGACATGCCCGACCCCTGACCCCTAACTGCTCCCTTAACCCTGCACTGCGCTGCCCAATCAAGTATCGGAAATTCTCGAGCAGTCCACAACTAAGCTTTTCTGTCGATAGTCTCGATACGAGGTAATACTGGGGTAATGCATCTCAGCTCGCCGTGTTGGTCCTCATTCAGCTGGGCCTCCTGTCGAACGGCGCAAGGCAAGCGGCGCGAGGCTTGAGACAGCGGTAATTTCGCAATCTGAGACCCGGTCCGAGAAGTCCCGTCATGTCAACGGATGCTGTCAATGTTCGACGTCTGTCATCACACATGTCAAACGGTCAGCAATACGAGCGGCCTCACGTAAGATGTCGAGCCATGGACGGGGCCAAGTCTCCGCTTACTGTATGTGACGGACTGTTGTACTCGACGATATCAGAATTCACCGCATCTGTAATCCAACAAGGACAAGGAGACGAGATGCGACTTCGCGCGCGCGCCATTTCCAATAGTGTGACCAGACCGCTCACTTATTAGCAGTGACCTATGTATGCAGACGCCCGCTAGCCATGCATCATGTTAACCGCAAGCGCCCGGTGTCTTGGCATCCTTGCTCTCGAGGTTGTGATGCAATTCTACAGTTTGCGGGTATTTGTGGACGTGCCCAAAACAAGCTGCCCACGTGCTGACCCAGTGTACCGGATGAAGGACATCAACCGTAGACAACGGCGGGTTTGGGTTTGGTGAGTTCATGAGAGGCATAACACACTACCTCCTGAGTGGACCATGTCACTGGAACGAGCACGACGAGGGCTATGCTGGTGGAAGCACCACGTACGGTCGTGGGGCAGGAACCGTTCTGGTATACCCATGCATAATAGCCTATACATGACTACGCAATTGACACCTTCCGAGTTCCGAAGCAATATATCGGCAGACAGTGCCGGTGTTCAAGGGGAGAGGGGAGAGGGCAGCCTCACGTAAAGGTGTGACGCTAAACGCGTATCTTATGTCAGTATGGAATAAAGTACTGTTATTGATTGATTGATTGATTGTATTTATCGTGGGTGCAGTCCCTCCATAGGGCAAACCACGCCTCCCAGAGCCATTGCATCGCAAGGTTGTAGAGGTGTCAGTCTAGATACATTCAGATCCGCGCACGAGCCTATCCTCGCTGTAGCGGTACCAACCTGGAGTGACCAGATGGTTTTAGTCAATACCCAAGCACGATTCTGTCAGAAAAACCTCCTGTCTAGTGACAAAGCGACCCAGTAAACCTCAGTCCTCTGGTGTACACATCGTTCCAGTAGCCGTTTGATATATGTCGCATTGATGGGTGAAGTAGGTATTTGTTATCTGCTAGCGAGGGAAACCACAAGGGGAAAACCCTCACAGGAGTGGGTATTATAGAGACAAGCTACTTGGCTATCGGGCTCTGCGATAAGGGGCCTCTCTATTGTCGTGTGCTGGTTGTCGATTCGCACAAGCCGGGTCAGAAGGGGGCCATAGCAGGATTCGAACCCACTTGTTCTCGTCGCCCACCGCAAAAAAAAAGTACTGTTATTGTGTCACCAGGGCTAGTATATATTGCTGTGGATTACTGCGAAGGGTTTACTCTGGTGCTCAGAAAATAATGAAACCGAGTATCGTAAGCGTGCCACGTGGTCCATCCAAACTTTGGTAGGTGGTGGATCGGGATTCTGAGAGAATTCTTCTTGCAGCCTCGGTGAGGTATCCAGGAGGCAGGATGTAGCTGCAAATGATGACGTCGCCCGTGGGAGGCTTGTTTCGTGTAACTTGGCCTTGAGCTGCCTCTGTCTGGCCTGGAGGAAGGTTACTGGGGATCGACTACGCCATCCATTATAAGCAGTGACAAGGCCCTGGACAAGGGGCTTCGGGCTAAGGTCCTAATGTTGATTTCAAAATAGCCGAAAGAGAGCGATGCAGCAAGATAATTAGACGAGTGGCGTGACTAGCTAGTCAACCCGATGTACATGGGAAGGGGATGGAGGGAAAGGAGGGATGGTGAGGCATCATGAAACCAAACACGGATATGAGACACTATTCGGACCAAACGACTTCTTGCAACCTGCCACGCAGTTGGCATGGGACCATATGTCAACGAGAATGTGATGTTCTATATTTGTATGCCATCTTTGCATGAAAATCAGCCATGTTGGTCGTCCAACTGATTGGTACGGCCAAGCGGCGCAGATGAGACCAGTAGTATGGAAAATGAGCAAACGGATGGAGGAACAGGAGCTCACTGCAAAAGCAAGCGCTGACAGATCTTGGACTTGTTCCCGTGTATGAATCGTCGTGTGTGTCCGCCGTGTCTTCTCTCTCCAGTAGTAAGTACAACCTACAGCAAATATATTTGCACAAAAGATACAGAAACCTCGAGATGCCCTCGACAACAATTTAAACATATCTCGAGTCGAAACCATAGTAAACACTGGAATGGAATGGTTTATAGGCAAAATGAAAGCAAAAATCTCACCAAATGAGGCGGGAGCTGATAGGGTGTGAATTGGCTCACGTACCCCAGTTACAAGGCCAGCACTATGGATGCAAGCTTCGGCGGAACTCTTTCTACACCAGGTAGAGGGTTTGATTCTAACCGAAGCAATTCCCTTTTATTTATTCAGAATACCTAGCAACATTTGTTGTTTTCCTCTTTTTACACCACCTTGCACATGTCCATTACATAGATCTGGTCGTGTAATTGTGTGTTGGTCAGCAGGCAGATGAGAAACAGATAGTCCCAGTCTCGGCATACTGTGACATAGCTCTTGCGGTCAAGGCGAGGTTTGTAGTGGCGTATGTCCTCTTCTAATTGAACATTCTGCTCAAGACCATGGCTACGAACTTGTCCGCTTCTATCATCGATTGCCTAGCGAACCGTGAGGACCGTTAGATGTCCTCTAGGATATCTTTGCTTCTTTAAAAGTCCTTCCGAGAATGCTCATGTGAGTCATCTCTTAACCAACTTCACTCGCGAAAGAACGATGAGAACACCCCCTACAACTGTAAGCCTCCAGCAATCGGGCTGCCGACCAAAGTGCCAAATGCGGACAACGCAAACAGCGTCCCGACGCGGGAACCCCAGGTCCTGGATGTCCGAGATGGAAGCCACCAATGCAGGGACAATCGAGAGCATCAAGCCTGACGCAAATCCGTAAAGCACGGCGTAGATGATGATCGAAGTAGTCGTGGTGGTGTGCCCACCTCCTTGGCCTGGACGATCGTGAAGTTGAAAGGTACGAAGGCACCGACGTAGACGAAAAAGGAGCCGAGGGCAAGAAACAAGGATGGCAACTCCGTGAGGTACGAAATACTCCTTCAGCGTGAAGGGCTTCTTCACAGGCGGCAAGGGAGACTTGACGGCGATGTTGCCGAAGATCAGGAGCCCGACGAGAAGAAACGCAGTAATGCGCATGGCCGACCCAAATCCGACAGACTCAATCAGAAGCTGGACCATGATGGGGAGGATAACGCCTCCGACACTAGATCCGGAAACTATGATAGCGTAGGCAAGCGCTCAATGCCTCTTGAACCAAGTCCCTGCGGCAGCAACGGCTGAGCACAGTTAGCAGTCGGACTACGATGATCGGTGTAGGATTCCCCTTACTGGGATAGAATGGAAAACGGATCAGAATACCGCTAACGATAGCCTAGACGAGAAAGAATTAATAGGATAGTTCGCGATGTCAAGAGTTCGCAGGGTCCCGACCAACTCAATCCACGTCAACGAAGGGGTCTCGTTGAGTTGAGTTGACACTATCTACGACCACGTCGTCGCTAAGTTGAGTTAAGTGTATCAACGAGGGGTTTCCGTCAATACTAATTAACATCTGTTAATATAATAAAATATTTAAAAATAATAAGAAATAATAGGGTGGCGAAAATACCTCGGCATAACCTACTATAACCTGGATATTTTAAAATAGTTAAAAAAAAACAATATTAACGATATTAACGTTAATTTTTACTTACCATGCTTTTATCGTTAAGTTAGTTGCAAAAACTATAAAGTCTTAGTAAATTGAGTTGACATAGATATTGAAGTTAAGTCAACCAACATGTTAATATCCGTTAAGTTGGTTAGAACCCTGAGAGTTCGTCGCCAGCAATGAGGGAACATCGACCGAGCACCCTCAGGCTCGAACTAATTTAAAACAATTAGCCATTGGCACAATCCCACTTCATCACAGAAGCTGGCAGCGTGATCGATGCATTCAGATATGACTAAACATAAGCGTTTCCCCATTTAACCCTTGGATCCCCTAGGATGCGGAACTCGAATTGCGAGAGGTACACCAATGGTAGTAAACTTGTAGATTTCGTCAGATCAAGTGACTACTAGTACCTCACACGCTAGTCGTCAATCTCATTCCAGGTTGTCTACGAATGAATGCGAGAAGCCTTGGTCCACGAACAGAAAATCTGGACCGAAGCGTCAGACTGTCTAATAAGCTGGGAGTGAACTTACGACGCCCCCTACGCTTGCCCACCAGATGGCAGAGCATCCTCACAATATTTAAGCAGCGAACTATAACGTCGCATTTCTTATTCCATACAAACACGAGCGATATGTGGGCATAACTCATCGCATTTTCATGATACTAACTAGAGCCACAGCAGAAAGATAGCTTCGCGTTGACTAAGCCGAAATGCCGACCCTGCGATATGATCATCGCGTCCTATTCCTGGGCGGATCGTGTCGATTCGTAAATGGTAATGGCCGCCCATTGGATGCGTGATTAGAGACTGAATCATTGGGCGGATTGTCGAAGGGTGCAACGAAGTGACAAGCACCAGACGCGACAGGGAAACCCCCCTCCCCCCTATCACCGAACGCCGTAGCCTGAGATCAGGCTTATTCCACCGCCTCAACGAGGCGTGTGCGACAGCGCAGCATCCAGGTCGCGGACCACGTCTTGTATGAGGTGTGCGTTTCTGTCTCGTTCAGCTCGCAAACCATCAGCACTTCTCTCAGCCTCGTGGGCTCTCTTGGCCCAATAGTTCGATGATCGATGGGCTGCTTCCACTTCCCACTTCAGGGCCGTTATCTCTCGACACGCTTCAGTGGGAGCATCGGCTGAGGCAGTACGTTTCTGTTGTCCTGGACTCGGGAAACCAGGCAGCTGCTGCCAGGCGGACGAAGAATGACCTTGCTCAAGTTGGATAGATAGAGCATGGTGTTTATTAGGTCGGGAAGTCTGGCGAGCTCCTTGTAAAATGCCGGCACTGGTGGCGTTGTCAAAACGACGCACTGGTACAGTACCGAACTGGAAAGCCGGAGCAGGCTGATTTACGGTCGAGGCCTGTGGATACAATCCACGGCTACCAGAGTTCATCGAAGGACGTGAGAAGTCCAATGCCGGCTGTACATAGCCGATACGTTGACTTGGATCAAGTGGAGAGGCATTGGTAGGTCGCTTCGTAGGTCGGGTATCATTAGTGAGCTTCTCGCCGTGACGCTTTCGAGGATCCATTGAAGTCACCTCGGGATGCGGAAAGTAGTTGAATCCCCGGGTGGCAGGTGGCAGGGGCGAACCCAAGCTCATGTTAGAACGACCCAGAGTCATTTCAGCGGGCATTCCTGCGTATGACCCATAAGCATCGGTGACTGGTCGTGTCCAGTTTCCAGTCGCGCGTCCTCGGGAGAAGGAACGTGCATCCGGAATATCCTCTGGATGCTTCGGGAAAGAAGCCGTGTTTATAAGCCACTGAAAATAGTACAAGGATTAGTATGGGGGCAGACTCAAATCAATGTAACGGACATCTTCGAGGAATGACGAGAAAGGACTTACCGAAGGCAGATGGGCCACCTGGATGCTCGAGGATCCTAAGAGACGCGGATTACGAAGTCCGATTTGAATGAAGGCTCTTGTCTGAGTTTCGAAGTAACAGATGCGGAATGCGAAACTCGAATGAAGGCTCTTGTTTATGTTCCTCAGCCGTTGATATGGCAGGGCTGCCTTGTCAGTTGAGGAGATGAAAGAAAGGGAGTGAGAAGTTATGTTGGGATCGACTAAGATGTTCTTATAGGAGAATATTGTGTTGAAAGGCACGCAAGCCACCGTCGCGTCAGGGAGGTGGCAGTGCACTGATCAGGGGCTATTACTAGCCACAATAAAATCAGCACGGAATACACATTACCAATAATATGAACCATCTACGCACTATTGACATAGTACTTTATTGGGCCCTGTAAAGAACGCGGCCTAAAAGCAGGGTGGAGCGCTTCTGGGCGGTTCTACATCCACAGCATTGGCTACGTGGTGAGAGAGGATTACATATATTGGGCCTGGGCGTGACGTCTCTAATGGGCCTGGCCAGCCGAGGTGAAGAGGAGACGCTAGGGAGTCTGGGGGATGGAGCGTCGCCTATAGCGACAGAGTTTATAGTAAATACTGTCGTAGATAAAAATTTTCTACTCATTTTAAAACAAAGCTTTCTACAAGTTATAACACTCCTCAACCCTAAACACCATACAGTACCACATCACATAGCGGTGTTGCATTCAAATAGGGGCGTGCACTTAAGGTAACCTACAAGTATCATTGATACGGTGCACGCAAACCGTTGCTCGGTCTCAAGAAACATGTAAATTACATTGAATTGTCCTCACATACCTACCTCTATTGACGCCCTTGTAAGGATTGGTTCTACAGTCCAGCTATGCCTAGGGTAAACTTCCCTTCTTCATCTAACGAGCGTTGTACATGGCACCGGCACACAACTGTCATGATTCAACCCGCCCGCCGTCCCTCGCGCGCGGTGACATGGCATGGAGGGATATCAACTTGATGGTATATTTCTTGATTTTTCTAATACGTTGGCAGCTTCAAGGAGCCCGGCTGCAGGCTTCAATCGATACGAGAACAATTGGTTGGGGCAATCTACCTCCTGGTATTGAAGCGTTTGGTTAAAGAGCTCTTTGCCATTGCCAATCCCACGTTCTGTTAGAACTCCACACCACCTCAATCAGGAGGTATCAACATGAAACTTGAAGGCAACTGGTAATGCTGATTTTACAGGAAGGAGCTGGGTCAAGAGCACTGAACGAAGGTTATACTGACACTACCACAATTCGACTGCTTGCGGGTCCGGATTGACGTTTGTTGTTGTACGCGAAGAAGAAAAGCAACTATGAAGCTAGCTAGAAGACTTGGGCTGTCTAGTGCCGTGACAGACACTTCAAGGGCATGGCATGTTGAATATTTTGACTTGGTTCTTTTGATCAAAATTCTTGTGTTACGGACGCCTTTTAAATAGGCATAAAAACTATATCGCGAGGTGGTATACACGTGAGTAGTATCCACGTGACTAGGCACAGGGGTTCGTCTCTGGCCAGCTCTCCATATATAAGGGAAAGCTTCCCAGCTCCGTTTCATAGATCCTAGAATGAACAACACTTCCTTCTATGTCTCTTTCGATCAGCTGTACGCTATAAACTAACAGTCTTTATAGAAATTGTAGTCTGAAGTTATTGTTGTGGCCAGTTGTCCCCTCATCAGTGAACCATCTCCCTGACGCTACGGTGGCTTGGGTGTCATTCAACAGATGCTCATCTTCCATCATCATCATCTACCTCTCTTTTACAACCGCTTCCTGGCCGTAGTATCCCTCCAGGCCAGACATTCCACGAAAGATGGCCGAATCGACCAATGAATTCACTGACAGGGTCCGGTGTGCTGGAGCTTACAATCAGCCGTTCAACCTCGAAACATGAGTGGCGGATTCTCTCAGAACTGGACCGGAAAGTTGACAGGAATCCCGAACGCGCGGGCATTCCGCTCTGCAGCCTCTCCACGCAAATTCGGACCTCCCAAATCAGACTGGGACTCTGCCCTTAGAAGTATCTGTCGCAGAATACAAAACAAGCTGGCTCGTAATGAGATCGGTCGGGCTTCGATGGAGGCAACTCGGCACCGCTTGAAGCGCGCGCTTCAGGAGTATACAGCTCCCGGTCCGGACCGCGAACACGCTGCGAGTGAACAAGACAGCCTGTTCGTAACCAATTCTGATGCGGCCATCCGAGGCACAATACAGAGGGCCGGCGGTCCAGCATCGGGCGGGATTGCGAATGCCCAGGTACATAACCAGGGTGGCCCTCTTTGGGCTCCGCGGTCCAGTACTCTAGACCAGCACATACTGCGATCCCCAGGCGACCGCCAGTCTTTCGAGGCTCGCGTATCACAAGTATCAGCCCCAGAGGGCCTTGGCCAAGAGGAAATTTCCCAAGCTGCTCAGACTCGAGCACCGACTCACGACAACGAGAGACTCATACTTCCCGATGACAGCGAAGCAGTCAAAGCTGTCAAGCTTCGAATTGCGAGCCACCACTGCTTCGAGGCCAAGCAGTATATAGGATACTTGATCCGCGACTCTAAACTCCAAACGATCCCTCTGGTACCAAAGTCCCAAATCAACTTCCTGGTTCATGTCCATCACCATAGACCTGATATTCACAGGTCTAACGACGGGTCGAGACATATACTCGGAACCAGCGCATGGACATGCAACAGCTGCAGTTTGAAGCAGCATTGGCCTACCGAAAAGCTCTACAGGCTGACTGTCCCTTCTTGAAGAAACCCCGCAGCGCTGGGGATACGGATCGAAGCCGATACATCTTCGAGCAAAGCCCGGCTGTTTATGGCTTCTTCGACACGCTCACTCGCGATAACGTGGACCAAAAGAGAGTGGAGGTCCGACGGCTGCGAAACGTTGTTTTCGACGATGCCATCAACGCGAGTCTGAATTAAGAGGTTTGTATCACCCGCTTCCACCCATATCTGTTATCTGCTTACCTGACAACTTATAGCGCGCCCGGATGATCAACGACAGTGGTCAAATCAAGGAATGCTTTCGCTTCACTCGCCTGTGGACCCATGTCTGCAAGCTTTGCGGAATGCGGATGCGGAGCACGCTCGGATGTCTTGATAGGGAGCCAGGGAGCTAGTGTTGAATACACGGATGTTGATTGATTCTATTGATTGTTCAGCTCTGCGTGCAGAGATTGATCATCTGTCTTCTTGGTGGGTCAGATGCCCTGTGCGTCTCTGCCCCACTGGAGATCTTCTGGTGTCTACCTCCGGCTCCCATTCAACAGCTAGGGTTTAAGGTTTAATTTCAAGTCCTAGTTGACATCTCTAACATTTCACATATTTTCACTTAATATGTTATATAGAATGCGATTTGGTTTTAATTTTTTAAGCTTTTTGACCAAAAGAAAAGTGAAACATAAATATCTTAAAAGATAATAAACAGTAAAGTCTTTGTATCATACGTTAGGTTTATTAAAATAAAATGCTATAAATTATCTTAATTTATTGAAACCTTAATTATAAATAACGTTTATAAGCATGGGTTAATACGTTATACGTTATATGACATACGCATAAGCCTTACTTATAAAACTAGACCTTGTTTAATTTTTTTTATCTTTTTACACATATTTAACCTAATAGAATATCGTTAAAACGTGTTAAATACTATATGACGTTTTGCGTTATAGCAAAGAAATCTGTTGTTAGCTTTTAAAAGATTTTTAGAAGGTCACTTAAAAAAAAAACCTCTTATAAAAACTTAGTTTATTAAAAGTTTATATCGAAATTATTCTATATCAGTGAGAGACTAATTAAGCAAGTTATTTCTACACTTGTTATTATAACGATCAAGAAACGATAGTTAGATTATTAATTAAAGTATAAATGATTTTTTTTTTGAAACGTACAATAACTCGACGCTATATTTACGGACGTTAGAATTAATTAGAAAATACGCTGTAACGTAAATAATAAGCGCGCTGTAAATATAAACAAGCTGTAAGCTATTACAAACCTTTTAAATAATATATTAAATGACTTAATTATAACGTCTTTAATATAATGTAATTAATCAGATTCTTTTTCTTTAAACATTTTTGTTTTTATTATATAACTTCGCGTATTACGGCCATTATTGCTGCAAACGCTACAACGTTGCTTACGCGCTGCTACCCTTTTTAAACGACGATTACCTTCACCTATTTGTTGTCTTGCCAGCTCACTACCATCATTTATAGCCTGAAGACCTACTACATTTTTAACGGATAGTACTTTTCTTTTTATTATATGTTTGTTTTTATCCTCTAGCGTTTATTTAGTAGGTAATTAACTTCTTTTAGCTCGCAGAGCTGGGAATTAAATAAAGCGACCTTATATATAAGACCGTATATAACCTTTAAAAACGAGTTTAATATATTAATAATAAACCTAGGCCAGCTTTTTGAATAGCTTTTAATTTGGTTTCTAATCTAAACCGACTCGGTTACCGCTTTATTAAAAATAATAATAAGCGTTTTTAAAGTATACTAAGTAGTAGATTAAGGTTTAATAATAATATTCATACAATAGTATGAACATCTAGCTTTAAAATGACAATTTTCAAGTTAAAAAAAGGTTAGTGGTATTAAAACCTGCTTAAACGTTTTACAACGTTATAATCGCGTTATATGCTTTATAAAACGCTGTAAAAAGGTCCTTTTTGATGGCGTAAGTTATATAGCGCTAGATAAGATCCTTAATTAATCGATTATAAGCTCGTTTGAATGGGTTAAAACAACTGATATTTAAAGGCTAAAGCCTGTATAATAAGTAGGCAGGCATATAAAGGGTAATTGTTGGAACAGGCTTGAACAATCAATCATAATACTCGAGTATGGGGTCAAGGTCATGATGTTGCTGATGGTTGGATTGGGAAGTCTAGCTGGACCTGCAGGTCTGGCTAAGAGACCTCACAATCTGGTGTCTAATCTCTTATCTAATCATACATGTGGGTTCTGTATGGATTGTTTGACTATGGAATCACATGGATCCAACAATTATTATTATTACTATTATTATTATTATTATTATTATTATTATTATTATTATTATTATTATTATTATTATTATTATTATTATTATTATTATTATTATTATTATTATTATTATTATTATTATTATTATTATTATTATTATTATTATTATTATTATTATTATTATTATTATTATTATTATTATTATTATTATTATTATTATTATTATTATTATTATTATTATTATTATTATTATTATTATTATTATTATTATTATTATTATTATTATTATTATTATTATTATTATTATTATTATTATTATTATTATTATTATTATTATTATTATTATTATTATTATTATTATTATTATTATTATTATTATTATTATTATTATTATTATTATTATTATTATTATTTTAAAGTTCAAATATGTGATATTGTATATATGTATAACAGATGGTTTAAAAATAATAATGATTTTTTCAAATATATCTTTAGAAACATATAAATACATGAATAAAATTAACTTTTTAATACATATTTAAACTTTAAATTAGATTAATAATAAGTGATTAATTCTTTTCAAAAATTCATTATTGCACTTTATAATATTTCATGAGAATATTTAATATACAAAGTAAAAAAATTAAACAGACTTAACAATATTTATAAACAATTTTAAAAAGCATATCGCTTTATTTCTTACTACCTTAAACAAAGAGACGGCGAGTGCGCTGCCTATTTCGGCATGTTCTGCCTCTAAGTCCGACAGTGCATTTGCCAGCGATCTGACGCCGCTTTAAGCTGCATACCCCACCATGCCTAACTATGCCTATGGGCCTTGTACTTCGATGTATCGTTCAAAGTACGTCATGACCCAAATCCTGGACTCTTATTCAGTTCGGTATCTGGCACCGATATTGTGTCCTTTCCCTTCCCTTGCTTGCTCGGCCTGTCAGCAGCATAACCAGAGATAGCTCATATATTCCTTTTAAATACCAGCTCTCTTGCTCCAGTTGGTCAACAATTTTTTTGCGTTTGCTCTTCCTCTTTACCTCCAGTTGAGTGATCGCAACCTCTTCTGATGAACTGCACTTATTATAATCAAGTATCCCTTATAACATTACTAGCATGGCCCGCCAACGCGTCCACGATGACCCATGCAACTCACAACTCACCCACGACCTGTACAGTACGGACGCATCTTTCTCCGTAGTAGGGGATGCGGATGCTGATGACTTCCTTGACGTGGACGAGAATGTATCCAGACTAGAGAGCAACGTGACGGACGTAGAGGACTTTAGTAACAACAATTTCAATGTTACAGATCAAGTTCATCTCTTTGCAGGAAATGTTTATCTGCCGGAATACTAACAGAGGGCGCTACGAGAGTTCAACGAGAGTGCTTTTGATGGCAGAAATTAAAGTCCTAAAAGCACAGTGCTACTTGACGTAATCGAGAAGCAGTGGCAGACATAAGTCATTTGAGTGCTTTATTTCTTCTCATGCTAACGATATTTTTTTTGCAGGTTCTGTACCGACATAGTGGGACGGGATCCCCAGACTTGCTTCGAGTCTATTGATATCTGTCTCCTCTACAACTTTTTTGATTGGTCTTTGAACCAAATGGTTAGTAAGAATGGACAGAAAAAAGGGGAACGAAAAAGAGCAGTTCACTAGGCACAAATTGGAAGGTCTTTTGTCTTGTGTATAAGACAGCCATGGGTGCGAAGCTTGATCCGAAATTGAATCGCAACATGCATATAGTAAGTAGGAATTTGATGACCCACCAAAGACCTATTTCTAATATTTTCTTTGGTCTTAAGATCACTAGCAAAGAAACACAAATTGAGCGACTAAAAGAGGGAAAACCGCTGTATGACCATTGACGACCTTAAAGCGTAAATTAAGACAACACTGAGCACGACAAGGAAGTTGTTTGACCTTAGGGAGCTCCGGATTCTTACCGTTTTATTTCTTCTCTTCCTGGTTTCTGCCGGCTCGCGCCCAAAATCTATCTTGCGGCTCCGATTTAGAGATATTGGGTTGTATTAGCGAGAGATCCAGACGGCGGGCCATATAAGCTTTTAATCAAGTTTACTCTCAAGTTTATTAAGACATACCTTGGGACAAAAGATGCGTAAGTGTTTTATCCTGGCAATCTGAGGCTCTTTGATATTAATACCACGGGTGCTTTAGTTAGACGTTCACGATCCCTGAAACCATGTTTGATCCATCTTTGCTTCTTAGCCCTCATGTCTTCCTCCTTGGCATCTTGTTCCAATATCAAGCTTTCTGGGCTCCTAGCCTTGTCTGTCCTCACTATCTAGACAATCTTGATATCCATCCCGGCGAGAAGGAGTTGCCTTTGTCACTCAGAGATGACATCAAAGACGTATACATATTCCGCCGAGTTATTACAACCGCCACCAGGCTGCAGATATCACAGGCGGAACCCATCACCTATGGCATGATGTTGGGGTAGATTAAGAGGATTAGAGAGATTCTAGGCCTTCAATACCCAACTATCGCATATCCGTTGCGCTATAATACAGGCAATGAATTGGACAAGAGCCGTACGTTCTACCTTTACTTCTAAGGAATCTATTGTGCTGGCGTTCCAATGCAGCCGACGTTAATGAAGCACTCCGTAACCTGACGCTAGACCACGCCAACTCGACCCCTTTCTAAAAACATTACCTTGGTCGCGCTGTTTGCGCAGACCTATGGGGAATCCTTTGCGGCCAGAAGCCCCAACAAGCGCTATTAAACAATCCTGTAGTATCGGTCATTCGATGAGCAAGCGGCGGCCAGTAGATCTTACTCCTGAGCAAGCGGCGTCCGTTAACACAGATCACAACATGAGACGGCTTACAAGACAACTCAAGAACCTACGACTAGGGACAAAATAACAGATCAATGCACAGCGGGAACTTTGAAATCTAAAGCAGAGGCTAAAGAGATTGCTCCTCCAAAAGATCTGAGAAGACTGGACAGACGAGCAGGCCATAGATGTCATCAAACACCAATTGCAAGGCGTCACATTCACCAAGCCCGTACCAGTAGACATAGCCCATTGTCCGCAACTTCCAGCGTAGATATGACTAGTTAAGGCCCTGACTGCGCCTGTCGACCCTACCCTCCAAGGCCAATATCAACGAAGGGACGATGCCATCAATGCAATCATTACCTATTGTAGCATTGAAGAAAGACAAACTTCATGTCGCAAATTCACCTCACTAACCAAGGAAGCACAATCCAAACTCACACATGGCCCCAAGAGGATAGCCCCGTGTCTATTACTAGGCTGTCTATGTTTGTCCGCAATAACAGAGAAAGACCTAAGAGATGCTTCCTATGCATTAGAGCCGCGCTTTATTTGTAGCCTGATGACCCTCGTGTAGAAGATCTTATGTATGAGTTCTATACCCCCAGAGATCTGACAAAGCACTTTAAGCGAAAACATTTATCCCTTTTGGCACAAGATTCGACACCAGAATATAAAGTCTGCGACTTCACACTGTCTTTTAAGATGCATCTATAAAACCATGCCTTGCGAGTTCACGGCACTGTGTTATAGGGGCTTTCATGTATCCAAATATAGTAAAGCTGGGAATTAGGTAATGGGGACATACAGGGGATACGGGGTCTTGGAAACAGCGGATAATAACTTGGATTTACCGAAGTGCGTCTTATTAGATATAGTCCTACTGAACGATTTTGAAGATATATTATATTATGTATATGTGAGGTTCTTTGTCAATCTTGTGATTTCTATCAGTATGTTGATGGCTCGGTCCACCTGACCCGCTTCGCCCAACACCGGCTACCTGATCAAGACGCCTGCTCAATCCAGAATCCGGGCACCGCATGCTTGTCCAGACACCGCCTGCTTAACTCGGACACCGCCTGCTAAGATCGGACACCGTCTTTAAATCAGATCAGTGAGGAGTAGGCAAATCTAGTAGGCGGTAAATGAGCAGAATAAGCGCTAAGTAAGAGGGCAGGCAGGCAGTGAGAAGAACAAGCAGGCGGTGAGTGAATGGGTAGGCAGTGAGATAGATAGATAGTCGGTAAGAGACAAGGGCAGGCGGTAAGAGAAAAGAGCAGGCAGTGAGCTATAGGTAAGGATAGGGCGGGGTTTAGGTAGCTGGCCACACCGACATGGTATGGGGTCCACGCTTCCTTTATCTGGTACGTGCGTAAATTTGCGTTGTGTGCCATTATCCTCTTGCGCATCGCCATTCTCGCGCATGACATTGCCCGTCTCGTAACCTCGAGTCCTTGGCTAAATACTGTTAAGTAGGTATATATCCTTCATTCCTTAATCTATGTGATACTTTGAGGTACGACTCCTCACACGCCTTCACCCATACTTCACAGTGACAAGTTACCAATACAATCAATACAGCCACTGCCACCGATTCGGCGCCGTTGTTCACACTGATTCAATACCACCCACACTCCATCATGAGCTCCGCGAATTATCAAGTTACGCAGGTCAAGCTTGTAACATTGGCTCGCTGCCCTAGATGTGCGAAAGACCATGTCCTTGCCGGCCAACCCAGCCATCGATCGGGACTCCCGACTGGGAACAAACGACTGTTTTCCCCCATAATCGATTCATCCTCTGTCTCAATACAGCCAAGTACTCAAACCGCTGACAACCCATACCTATGCACCTACACACCTAAATCCTACACTGCGTCTGCCAATGCTGCAGAAATGGCATCCAAAGCTGCGCTATCAGAATGCTTTGATACGAAGCCCAGGGCATGCATGCACTCTCCCTCGCTGCCTCCTTTCATCCTACGTATCACGCAATGCGACACGAGCTGACTCGTTCTCAGGTCAACGGGGAGAAGCTTTCCGCCAGTGTGGGCTGAAGGACGCTGCCGCTGCCCGAGCTCACTACGAACCATTCCTCAAGCCCGATGGCACCGATACATTCCTGTACATTCCTGACCGACCGAGAGAATCCCCACGGTAGTGAGGGCCCTTCCCAACAAACCGAAGCCAAGCATGTCTCCCTTGTCGACGACCTGCTGCTCCACGGCCTTGCAGAACAAAGAAAACACCGAAAACGAATGCGCCAACAGGGGAATATGCCACCAACAAATGAATCGGTGTGGGTGGCCTAGCAGACGAGTTCCAGCCTGTGCTCCCCTGTGGAAGAGTGTGCATATCAATCGGTGCTCAATATTGGCCATGTCAAGCCAAAATACGCGTGATATCTCCTCATTTCTGACTCTCACTCGATGAGAACGCAGTCATTGATCTCGTTCTATCTAGACTACCAGCAAAAATTCCCAAACATCCACAGAAGACAACCTTGACTCGGCAATCCTAGGTGTCATGTTGCATCAGAAATTTCCCTGTATCAAGGCCTTGATACGGCGCGTCGTCCCCTTGGTCTCGTACCAGCTGTCGACATTATATCGCAAAAAGATATGTATCTCCTGCGGCGATCCAGGGCCGAAGCTACCCGGGAGAGGCTGGTTCATGGTCTTTGAAGGGCTACAGAGAGCCGGCCAGAAGTATTTATTCGACTTCTGGACAGACGCGTATAGAGCCCTGATCTGTGTCTTCAGTTCTTCGATGTGAGGTCCATGGTCGTCTCGGTTCAAGATGTCCTCTCGCTGCGTGACGATGGGACCGACGCTTTCCCGACGACTGTCTAGCGATGCGCCGGGGGCCGCTTTCTGGAGAGTCTCAAGGTCGTTGAGGAGCCGCAGCTTGATCAGGGTCACGCAGACGCGGGGGGTCAGCTCTCTGATGGGCGAATCGTTGGTGAAGAGCGCCACCGGCTCGAAGACATCGGCGCCGTGGACGTCGAGATACGGCAGGCTCATGTCGGACGCGTCGTGCTCATCGTCATTTTCGATGACGGCCCACCACTTCATAAAGTCGTAGGCTTCCTGGTCTTGACCGAGTCTCAGCAGCTGCCCAGGCAGCTGGTTGCGGATACCCATGCCGTCGTTGCGCGCCAGTTGAAGCATGTCGCGCATGTGTTCAGCCGCCTCCTGGGATGCGTGGCGAGTGTCGATATTGAGCAAGGAGTCGACCAGACCCTGGCGGGCTATCATGTACGGTCTGCTCTCGGCCAGTCTCCAGAAGCGACCGCGCCACTGTGCAAAGACGTCGCCAGCATTGCCGGAAAGTCGAGATATGGCGCGCAGTTTCCGTTCTTGCGCATTGACGTCTTGGCGGTTCTCCTTTATGAGCTCGCACAGCTGCTTGTGGTCGCGTCTGTGCTGGACCTGATGGTCGCGGGAACAGTAGGAGACTGCTTTGCACGCACCGCACAGAAGCAACCCACTCTGAGCTCAACAGATCTCGCAGCACGCAGGTGGGAGCGGGTCACCAGGCTTATTGGACGACATGGCGCACCGTATTGGTAAGAAGGAGGTTTCGGTGCGAGACTCCTGGGGCAATAGGAGAAGCTGCAAGGAAATAGTAACACGTTTTAAAGGTCGAAGAGATGAGTATTCGAAATCGTGCCGGCACGTCAAGTTTGCCCCTCAGGTTTGCCCCACCCACATAGCTCACCGCCACACATGTGGAGACGATGCAAGAAATAATTATGTAGTATCAGCCGGCAGAGATGTGTATCGTCAACGTTAATACTGCTTCTATGCAACGCGTCATGTCTCACCAGGCTTATTGGGCGACATGACGCCCCGTAGTCGTAGGAAGGGGGGCTACCCTTGTCGTAGGAAGGGGGGGTACCCTTATACTCTTCTTCCTCTGCGCCTCCCACTCCTGCTCCAGCATTCCAAGCTGGACCATATCATACCATTTCCTATCCATGTAAATCGCCTCACGGCTGACGCCCTCGACCTTGAACCCCAATTTCTCATACAGCGCCAAAGCCCTCTCATTGTACGAAGCCGTCATCAATGCCACACTGTGCACGCCCGCCCATAGAAACGCCCAGTCGACTGCCCAGCTAATCGCCTCGGTACCGTATCCCTTCCCCTGATGCGCGTCTGCGATCTGGATCCCAAGTCTCGTGCGCCGGAAGTACGCCAGCGAGGCGAAGCCCGAGTCGCTCAGGAAGAGCATGCCAATCGGTGTCGGGTCGCTGACCTCCTCATCTTCATTGCCAGGCAGGCAGATGAAGACGCTGAGCAGCGAGGCCTTGAGGGCAGATTCGATGTTCTGGTCGCTTTTCTGTCGCGTGCAGGGCTGGTGCATGGCGAAGGAGGCCATGCCGAAGGCGGCGGGGTCGCTGTTCAGGTCCCGGAACACGAAGGCCTTGTCAGCTTCGGTGTCTTCGATTGCGCGGTATGTGAGGCGCTCGGAGCGGAATGCTCCTGCTAGGGCAGTTGTCATTGCAGCCATGGCGGGCTGGGCTGAGGTGCAAGACGGGGTGGCTGCAAAAGTGGCTGGGAACGATGGACAGAATGTGGTTCGAGGAAGTGTTTCCCACTTATCGTACGTGTGGGCAGCTTTGAGGTTCAAATGAAGACGGGAGGATCTAGGGGAGGGGAGGGGAGGGGAGGGGGCGCAGCTGCAGCCTGCAGACAGCCTGCCTCTACATGAATTGACAATCGACCAATACATGTACGCATACCGGAAACTGGTCACGAGATCTGTAGATAATTCACCTGCAAAGACTTATTGTACTGTATTTCTAAACATCAGCTGCAGATATGGACTTACATTGAAGTTACCTACTAACCTTGAAAGACGACCGTATCAAATTCTCCTTCGAGGTAGACTGCAAATCCAGAATCTGGCACCTACAATCCACCTTGGCCACCGGCTGCGCGACCCTTGGTGTGCCGATTCTTTGATCTGGCAACGTCGCGCGAACAGTGCCCATCCAGGAATTCTCACTCCAGGGATGGACCCACGGACCGTTTCCACCGGTCCCGTTCTCATGCTGGAGCGCTTCGTTCAACGAAGCCACGTGCTGGTCTACCTTGTGCCCCCCGATCGGCTCGAACCCGGGGATGGCTTCGCTGCTGGAATAGTCCTGGTCGGTCTGCGGCAGGGAGGCGGCCTCCAGGTCAAAGAACTGCTCGATAGCATCCTCGTTCGGCCGAGATGACTCGACAATTTCCTGGGATGTTTCCATTATCAAGCTCTTCGACCGCACGGGACGAGCCGAACCCCAATGCCCGGGTAAATTCGACATGGATGTTTCCATTATCAAGTTTTTCGACCGCACGGGAAGAGCCGAACCCCAATGCCCGGGTGAGTTCGACATGGTGGACTTACCTGAGACCTGAAGGACGTGTGGATGGTATGAGGAGAGAGAAAGACTGCGCTGCAACCTTTATATCACCTACCTTGCTGAGTCTGACACGGTTCGTAGCTGTTGACTGTTGTGATCTCAGATGCCTGGCTCATGTTATACACAAGGATACGCAGGTTTTATGGCCGAAAGAATGTCTATTGTCCTAGTTCGTAAACAAAGCTCAGAAATCGTTGAACATGGGACAATGACATTACTTCCCTTTGTCGGATACTCAGGCATCGTGGCGCACGAAGGGCCTTTGAAACTTGAAAGGGCCGTGAAGGGCTAGCCGCTAGGCAAATATACAAATGGGACAAACCAATCGGACAATGCATGCAAGGACAAAGGAGATAAGGCAAGTTCGACTACAGCCAACAGTGACGAGCAATGGCCGACGGCATGGCATGTCAAGCTCGCGGTCGTGGCTGGCCCGTACCTCACTGAGAGAAGCGTCTTGCGGAAGATCTCGAGTCTAATCATAGCATGATATATGATCAAACAAGCGTTTCTATACTCGAGCCGGGACCACCCATCAGTTCTCCATGCGAGCACCTAGTACGTTTCCTCTTCATCAAAGGCCCGAGGCTTGAGCTGAACCTCCACGTCCGTATCGGCGTTCAAACCAACCACAAAACTAGACTCGTCCTGGTCCTCTCGGAATTCTTCGTCACCCTCCCGCAAGTACAGCGTAGTGAGAGGGTCACAAATCGTCCTATCCACCGCACTAGCGATACTCCGCGCCCCCAGCTTCTTCATGTAGTCCTCCTGCGCGATGCGGGAGAAGATCGTGGCGTCGTTCTTCAGCTGGATCCGCACGTTGCCGATATACCGGTCATCGTCCTTGTTCGCGCTGAGGACGACGGACTTGGCGACTTCGGACTCGAAGTCCATAAAGACTTTGTGCGCGACGACGGCGGCCTCGTCGGGCGCAAAGGTGAGGAAGGGGATGATCTCGGTGATCCGGCCGGCTAGGGGTGCCTTGAAATGCCCGATGAACTCTTTGCGGAGCGTCTTGCACAGTTTCTCAACAAGCTTGTCTTGGGTCTGTTCCTTCCCTGAGTGGAAGAGGGCTTCTTCGTTCTTCGTACAGAACTCGTGGATGGAGGCGTCTAGTTTGTTTGTTGCTAGGATCCAGATCGTCTTGGCACAGCTCATGATCTTCCCGTTGCGCCGGTCCTCGTATTGGCCTGGTCATTGACGCCATTAGTATATCGCACTCGGAGAGCGTTAGTAGCTTCCCCGATAGACTTACCGTCTTGGAACGGAAGAAGAAGCGTGTTGTGGATCGCCTCGCTTGTCTTTTCAAACTCGTCCATGAAGATAATATGGCGACTACCTGACTTCTGAGCAATGAAACTGTTGAGCGGCGAGCCTTCCTCCCAGCCCTGGAACGGCTTCCGCGGGCCGAACAGCTCGTTTTCTTGGCTGAATATGGTGCAGTCCACCTTGTGCATTTCCAGAGACATCATCTCACCGAACTTTTGGGCTAACTCGGTCTTGCCATGACCGCTGGGTCCTGCGAATACGAGCACCAGGGGCTTGCTTGTCTGTCGCGCCAATTATCTGATTCTGTCAGCTTTGTGGTGGTGACAACTGGAATCGCATTGGGACGTACACAAGCATCTTCTTTTTGAGCCACCGTGCGGCAATCGACTGGGCAATGATTGTCTGATTCACTCCCAGAATCTCTTCCGCGTCCTGTCGAACCACAAGATCTCGTTCGCGAGCTGATGGCAATGGAATTCTGGCCCTGTGCAGATCATATCTCTGTGTCAGGTTCAGAGACCGCACCAAGTGTGGGTGAACGGATGCTGTGGTACTCAGGGTCAGACCTCCGTGACTGTTTGCGCGCTTAATGGTATGTGAGAGAAACAAGGGCGCGGGAAGGAGGAGATGGGGAGATCGTACGTATACACCAAAGCTTGTTCCGGTGGGTGATGTCGTGCAGTTCAGTTTCGCAAGGGCCGTCCTTGGGCAACTCCCGACAGTACGGCGCATAGAAGGCCTCAGGTATGACGCGTGGGTCGGCTCCCAATCTCAGTAGAGTTTTCAGAGTATTGCTGGCTTGCCCTTCGGTTCGGGCTCCCCGAAGAATGGCATAGGCGATCAAAGGAAAACTGTCGTCTCCGAATGTTGCGTTAGGTGAGCCGCCGTACTTGATCCAATGACGGATCATTTCGACATTGTTGGTCTCGACCACGTAGAATATCGCAGGATATCCTTCGACAACAGCGTTCAGATTTTCACGGCGAGTATCTTTATCATAGTGGCCGATGTAGTCACGGACGTTCTCCGCAGTCTCACCGGCCTGGACTGCTCCGATGAGCTTGCGCAGATCAAAGACACTAGAGCCATCTTCACCGCCCTTGACGAGTTTACTAGGCGCTGCGAAGCGAGGAAGCTGACTGTTCCACACTGGAGAGTTTTCGTGGTCCGACTCATCCGCGCTGTTGTCGTCCAATTCGTCGTCTGCGACGTCGGAGGCGTTGGAATCCACGACCTCCAACTCGCTTGCCGAGTCGGTTTCAATAGCCTGGGTGACATTGTCAGCATGTGTCTCCAGGCCAGGGGAGAAGACTTGCCGATTGAAGTAGCTTGTACTTGGAGACAGCTTTCTGTACATCATTTCCACACATCTGGAGTGTGTCAGCCAATGTGATTACTTCACAACGTTGGACTGAACTCATACTGAGGAGATTCTCAGCACGATCTTTCGAGCAGCCGGGACACTCTCGTATCACCTGCTGAACTTGGGTTGGGGTCGGGTCGGACATCTTGGCAGTACAGGCTGTCCAACGGAGTGATGGCTGATTTGGGACTCGCTGTGACCAAGGTGAAACCCGTTGAACTTATGGCTATTTGAGGTTGAGGCCCTGTCGCTGCATCCTGTACCTTTGGTCGTCAAGGTAGTCGTCCACGCAACCTCTAGGGACGTTGCATACGGAGGGAAATCAAACGTAGTAGGGGTGGGCAGGATGAACGGTGGTAGGATAAGCTGACATGGTGGTGAGCACGTCACGACGGGGTTGATCTCAGTGTAAATGACCGGGCCCACGTAGAGCACGCCCGGCTGGTCACACGTGCCGGCCGGACATCCGTCGTCCTCGGTAAGAATCTGCATGTCGATGGCCCAGTCACTGGTGCCAGCGAAGTTTAGGGACCTGTACAGGCCGACGCGCGCCCGCTTGGTGTCGTCTGACATGTATGCAGTCCATTGCGTGCCGTTAAACCAGTAGTAGCTAAACCTATCCCTATTATTCTTGCACATTATCATATTTAATATATATAAAATAAATTACCCATGATTAAATTAAAAAACACTAACTTAATAAATTATTTACATTTTCCAGCCCCGTATATTTTAACTCAACGACACTTAATACGAGGTAATAATTTTTCCTTCCATTTAAGACGAATCATTGATGATTACGTTTAGGAGGACGACGAGGTTCTACCTCCACATAATATAATTGACCTTTATATATTCGTATAGATATTAAATAATATATGGTTATAGAAGGTACTCCAATTATAATTCTAAATAATAATATACTTAGAATAGAAAGATTATCTATATGAGAAGTTTAAATTATATAAATATTGTATATACTTATTATTTTTAGCTTTTGTGTTGGATCCATGCGATTCCAGACTGCAAACCATCTATACCAGGACCCACATGTATGATTAGATAAGATAAGATAGTGGATTGAGAGGGCACTTGGCCAGACCTTCGAGTCTAGCTAGATTCCTCTCAATCCAACCATCAGCAACATTATAACCTTGACCCCATACTCGAGTATTATGATTGATCGTTCAAGCCTGTTCCAACATTTTGTATTATAATTTTTATTTTATTAATTCATCATAATTAACTATAATTCGTATTACATTTGTTTTATGTAAATTTAAATTAGCAAAGGTTAACTTTTGGTGTATTCATATAAGTTCTGCTACATTGAACTTTACACATAAACATCTGAATCTTTTATACTATTACAAATTAAATAAACCTGAATAACCTAAACCTTTTAAATTTATTAATTAGAATCTTATATATTTATATCTATTTTAAATTATATCTTATTGTCGGCTTTACTATAAATATCTTCTCCGATATTTTACTAAAGAGGATCTAATATTTATTATATTAGGTTTAAATTGGTTATTCTAAATATATTATACATATTTAAATATTATATACTATTGACTAATTTAATCTCTTTTCTATTTAAAACCTAAATTCTACACTCAAAGTAATTTTATACACTAATATGTTGTTTACTATAACTTATCTTAAATTGGTTTAAATTTAATTTATTATTATATCACGTTCTCGCGTACATCGTCATTCTCGCTGTGATCGTGCCCGCGGGCCATCCAGGGCCCTGCGATGCCCACAACGATGTCCACGCCTCTCTGTCATCGGTTCTGGCCAGAGGCCAGCTTGTCATTGAGTCGTTTGTACCCATTCCTCTTCTCCTTGGACAGCGAGTGTCTCCGCCGGCATGGGCTCTATTGGGTATCGAAACTCAAATCCTCTCCGTCCTTATTATGATCCGTCATCTAACACAGGAGTCCGGCGCTCCAAAGTGGCTCTTCTCGACCAAGACCCTCGCGTTCGTGGTCAGCAGCGCAGCATACGTAGGTAGCTACGTCGGCGTTGGCGGCCTCTTAACCTGGTCGCCACCAGCCTCACTGGCTCAGCTGTCGTCACTCATGTCTGTCTCCGTGTCGCTGTATATGCAGCATTCATTGTTCTTGAGCTCCACGGGACGAATCGAACACTGTCTTGGAGTTTGCGAGGTTATCATTGGCATCTGTGGCGCGTTGGGAGCCAACATGTACGACCTTCTTGCCCTTTCCTTCGTTCTGTTGGTTGCAAGGATGACTCAGGTCGTAAGCCGCGCTGGCGGGAAGAAAGATCAAGAGCCGACACGAGATCAGGTTCAGTAGAATCAGTGGAAAGATCTCGGCTCAGCAGTACTCCTCATCCCGCTCCTTATCCTGCGCAGCTTGCTAGCAACTCTGATTGTCCCAGTCCTGATCTACGGGACCCTGTTCCCCTTCTCAGAAGTGAGCGCTGGGGGCAACTACAACCTATCCTTTCTCTCGGCCCCGGCCCGTCGCGCTCTAAGTCCCGCATCTGGCATTAACGCAGGACCGCCGCCGGATCAGTTGCCGCCATACACGCTGGTGCCCTATAGTCCCATATCGCTCTACATCCCGCGTGCCGGATTCCTCTGGACAGACAATCTCGTGTGGGTGGACGCTTTCGGCGTCTTTGGGAGCCACGGCGAGTCAGCCGAAGAGGAAGAGCAGGCCCAGCGCGTCTTCTTTGCGGATCCCATCGCCCGTCGACACCCGTGGGCGTTCGAGTTGGCATCCGTTCCGGACGATCTGAACGAACGCCAGAAGGGATACGTGCACAGCCACCTCGCACCGAGAGAGATGGTGCACCTACGCAGTCGAATCACGGGCCGGTATCTGGCTCCCGTCGAGGGGCGACCGTCCATCGTGGACCGGGAACTGGGCGTAGGATACGAGCATGATGCGCAATTCCGGCGCTGGGAGGTCAGGTGAGTTGGGTGTTTTTCAAGCTATCTATCGCCGTTCTTCCGAAGATCTGACACGGCACCCGTCAGCGCCCGCGTTAATCGTTTGCCGTCCTGGAACATCACCTGGATCCTCGAATACGATCAGCGGCGCGACATGGGGCTTCGGCTGTACAATTTGGCAAATGACTGCTACCGCGCTACAAGTTTTTGCACCTATGTCGACTATGACGGAGACCGCAGCAATGATACCGTGCAGCGCGAGATGCAACGAATCGTCAAGGCGACGTGTACAACAGGAGCGAGCGCCCAGTCATCGACGCTTTGGACCGTGGACGGTCAGTACAGTACAGAAAACTTATTTCGGGGAGCTAACTCCCAGCAGGAGGCCCAAGGCTGGACAGCAACCGCCTATCCGCCATTCAGCGAGGTCAAGCCCTTGTGTTGGCCCTCGTTGATCTGCACAGGTGGCGCAGCTTGCACGGTACGACACTAGAGCTTCTGCCACGCCCTTCCCTTGCCGGCAGTCAGGTCTCGCAGCCCGCCGAGCTAGTGGAAAGGCTTGTCCTGGGCACCTTTGTTGTGCTTGACGTGCTGCGTCGCTTGCGTCGCCAGCGGCTAGGCGGGATGGATCCATCTGGTACGAGTGCGAAAAAGACGGTCGAAACGTTTGCGGTGCCCGTATGGGTGCACATCTTGGTGTACTGGGGGGCGGGTTTTCAGAGGACGAACGGCAACCAAACAGCCTTGATGCTGGCCATCTTAAGTCTGGGTAGTATTTGGCACGAGATGAAAGCTCATACGCAGGGACTGGATAGAAGAGCCAGGCACAGGAAATACCGTAGACAATCAGTGTGAACAGTGGCCATCTGTGTACCTTATGTAAGCAGTATGTGGCGCCGTGTGGCACGGGTGGCCCACACCGTATAACATTAGGGTGTTCTGCCACCAGCAAACAGTCGATAGTCTATAGACCTTTTCCTGTATACAACAACTCATCGCCGTTCATACCGTACTCATTCGACCATGGATATTGCCCTCAATCGGTTATTCCAAATAGAGCAGGTCACCATGTGCCTTAATGAAAAGGCCCACCAGCGAAATCAGCGTCCTCCAGAGTAGGCTCCCACCAAGTCGTGTACCAGGCCAGCAGCTCGACGACATTCTCAAAAGCCCAGACACTCACATCAAATCGCATCACGTAACGCCAAGCCCAAGACCGCCTGCGCTTGTCGTCTGAGTCCGGGTCGCGGAAGTAGATGATAAAGCAGTACGCGTCCGGGCCGGCGCCGCACTCCCAGCCCGCGCGCACCTCCCAGCTCTCCTCCCCCGCCTTAGTCTTGAGCTTGTCGAGGTCGGTCCAGACGCGCTGGACCGCGGCCTCCTCGCCTTCGCCCAGCCCGTCCCAGAACCGCACCTGCTGCCCGTTCTCGCGCCACAGGGGCCAGCCGGGACCCTCGAGCCGGTCCACGTGGTGCATAAGCACGGCAAAGTCGGCAGGGAAAGGTGGCGTATCGTCGTCTTGCTGTTTTAGTCCGGCGACAATCCCAGCACGGTACTGCTCACGTAGGATGGCGCGCTGGGCTTCGTCGTGCTCCACGACAGTGCCATCGAGCGCGAGCTCTGGAATGGCCACGAGATCATCCCACCGGTTTAGAACGTCGCGCGGCTCCCGGATACGCCGAGGGTCGTCCGCGGCTAGCGCATCGGGGCGGGAGACACAGAGCTGGTGAAGCATAAAGTTGCGTCGGGCTCTGGCGACGACTTCCTCGGGCCAGCTAGCGGGTGCTTCTGCCGTCCCGGCTTCATGGATGATCTTGGCAAAGATTTGCTTGTTGTGTTCGACGATGTGCTGCCTGAACGAGGTGATCGCCGCAACGATTTCGGGCTCGGTTGGTCGACTCATGTCTTGAGCGTGTTGGATGTGGTCTAGGTAATGACTTGGCTTTTATTCGTGAGTAGCGAGAGAGTGAAGACAGGATGGGATGAGGGCGGGTGCGCCAGATGCTTTAATAAGGCGGACTGGTAGTACAAGATTGACGCAGCCCGCGGAAGCTTTCCGCGATACCGGTAGGTGTCACACCCTGATTGGGCTGAAACACAGGGCATTCGTCTTGCTCCCCGTCTTCCCTCTCGGGCGCAAGCGAAATTGCGTTAAAATTACCCAGACTTCCACGACATCAACTTGACTTTAATCTTCGATCTTGGAATATATCGATTGCATGCCTCCAAAGTCCAGGTCCGTTCGCATGGACATTGATGACCTTGCCTGGGAGAAGAATGACGAAGAAGCCGACACGTGGGAGAGATCACTGAAAGGGGCAGACTTATACCGTGCGATTGTCACCCTCATCCTGAAGTACAGGCCTGGCGAGGGGTAAGAGCTCCACCGGCCGATCAGGAGGGGATACAACATCTGCTACCGACTGGAGTAGAAGGATGGTACGTCGGCAGCCATGAGGATACCGTGCAAGGGCATCGTCAGGTTTCCCGAGGAAAGAGTTCGCTACGAGGTGGCAACTATGCGGTATATCTCCGCTAACACCAGTATTCCTCTGCCCAAAGTCTACCATTCCGGAACGGCAGCAGAGAACCCTACTGGCCTCGGGCCTTTCGTCATCATGAAGTATGTCGACCATGAGAGAACCATGTCCGAAGCCCTCAAGGATCCGACGCTCAATTCCGACGAGGATCACGTACTGGATCCCGATATCGGCGAGCAAAAACTTGAGTTTCTGTATGGCCAGATGGCGAACATCATGCTCCAACTGTCTGCCCTTGCATTTCCTCGAATCGGTTCCTTGGTTCAGGACGCGGATGGACGCTTCACTGTGTCGGGCCGGCCTCATCCAGAACATGAACTCTTTCGTAGAGTTCACCGGGATCCCTGCAATACTGCTACCCTGCCAACCCTACTCCTCTGCCGATGAATGGTACTCAGCCTTGGCCGATATGCATTTAGCACAGCTCGCCTTCCAGCGCAACGATGCCGTTATCAATGAAGAAGATGTACGGGATAAGTACGTGGCCCGCCAACTGTTTCGGCGGCTGGCGTCCAAAGGGTAACTTTCGTCTGGGTTTGAGGCTGAGGACGCCCCAGATGTCGCATCTCCATCCCGATTATTCTGCGAGGATTTGCGTCCTTCCAACGTCTTGATTGACAAGGATCTCCGCGTCGTTGGCGTCATAGATTGGGAGTTCACCTACGCCGCACCGTCCCAATGCACTTCCGACCCCCCTTGGTGGCTTCTCCTGCAGAGGCCGGAGTCCTGGCCCGGCGGGTACGGTCCATGGATGGAAGCATACAAGCCGCGTCTTGAGACCTTCCTCCGTGTCTTAGACGGCGAGGAAAGGAATATGGCATCCTCCTCCGGGAACGTCGACAACGCGGCGTCACCTTCCCTGTCCCGCGACTTGCAACCTCCCCTCTCCCTCCAGATGAGGGAAAGCTGGGAGAAACAGACGTTCATGATCAGCTACGCAGCCAGAAACAGTTGGGTATTCGACTTCATCTTCTGGAGGTACCTGGATGGAAGGTATTTCGGGCCAAACGAGGATGGAGACTATCGTGCGAGGCTGGATCTTCTCACCCAGCAGGAGCTTGAGGCTATGGAAGCCCTAGTAAAGATGAAGATGGAGCAGCGTGAGGAACGCACTCTGGTGACATTGGATGATGACGACGCAGCCGCTCAACTGACGAAGTTCATGATATAGGAGAGCAAAGCGAATGAATCCAATTTAGTCTGTCTGTATATATGATCATGTGCGCACTGCGCACGACTCTTGCTGGGAAATCTGCTGACCCAGACGCTTCTCTGACGCTTTCAACCACCCCCCTAGTATTTTCTATACAAAAAAGCACCTCGCATTTCCCACGTTATAGCACACGTCGAGCTTGTGTGGTGCTGCTCGGCTTTGCATCCAGGCTTGTCTACAGTCTAGGTAGCAAGGCCTTCGATTGACCTGCACATGATCATGAATGCGGTGTTTAGCTGTCAATCGGAGTACCTTCCACCACATCTCCAACGTCCCTAGACCAGCTCGGATAACTGAGTCTGTATCATGCCCAACCGTCGTCAATGGTCATGGACCAAGGGCGGGTGGATAAGCCTGAACCAAGGGCTATTATTGTTATTAGCTAAGAACATTGAATGAGTGAGGATGGAGATGTGGGGAGTGGAGATGGGCTCGGCGCTACTGATAGCGCGCGGCTATACCAAGACGGGGAAGTAACCTTATTTTGACGACATGCTTGCCTGCAACGAATCACGATACTCCGTGAGTGGAAAGTCTTGTAGTCAAGGCCGATGTTGATCATCGGAGAAAGAAGCAGCGAGATGGGTACTCCACCACAGGTAGCTGAGCACTAAGATTGCCAATGTCACGGCGGTGCTGCTCAGTGTCTTGCTGTGCTCTCTATTCATAGAACCTCGCTCCTAGAGCTGGATGACACAGGCTAAGGACGGTGATCTGAGGTCAGGCTCTGGAGCAATACTAATCAGGCGTGGAGGCCATGTACGTACACGAATGTTCCAATTTTCCCCGGATGCTTCCTGTCAGTTAGTTCTGAGCGTGGTGGGCAAAACTTATTCTCTTCGCCCAATAGAGAAGATGCGATTGTCACAGAGGTTGAGGGGCTTTGCTCGAGGCCGCTCGGGTCACCCCGCGCCCACTGCTTATAGTGAAGGCGCAGCGAGGGGACACGGTAGTGAATGTTACCGCGGACTTCATCGTGATATTGGTGTCCTCGACGCTCTGCCCGACGTACTCGCTCTCTTTGTTCGGCACGATGTGCCCGGTGTCGGGGGCTTGAGGGTGACAAGGTGCTTGCAAAAGGGGAGTACTTAACTGCAAATGCGCACTTACGTCCAATAGATTATAGCGGTTTGACGATTCACGCGTACTCCATGACCTGCTGCAAGGTATCCTTAACCGAATCCACCGCTTGGAGCGAGTTGATGATCGCTTCGATGAAAGGTACATCTGTGCGATCTCGGAAATGAGCGTTGGGCATGGATATGCCGCTATGCGTGATGATACACGTCAATAATTCCACGGCCCTGAAAAGTCCAGATAGCCGCATCAGATGGAATGCTTGTTGTGCTCGAGGTGGATGTGAAAAAGTTTTGGGAAAGTTGTGGGAAAGTTTCGCTGGTAACATCAAACACCCATCCACAGGCCACCCCTCTGCGGGCTAGCGATTAGCGCAATTAATATAATCGTATTTTAAAGTAGATGTTTTAACAAATATAATAAAATACATTAAGCTTTTAAAGTTTTAACTTTAATATAGTTACTAGTATTCGATTTTTTACTTTTAAAATTATTAAAAGTTAATTAAGCGTTTAAAAAACGTTTTTATTTACTGCTTTATTTTTATATACTTTACAACCGCGTAATACTTTTTTAACCTTGTTTACGTTATTTATATTTATAAATCTGTTTTAAAAGCCAGTTTAACGTTTTTATACGTAATTATTTGAATTTTCTTTATAATTTAAGTTTTTAAATACTTGATTTCAACCTTTTAAAAAGCATATTTTACCGATTAATTATTAAATATTCGGTTAGCTTTTTAAAAAAGCAACCGATTTACAGGCTTTTTAAATAACTTATGATTTTTTAGTAGCTTTTTTGCGCTCGTTTAAAATTTTTTAATACTTAAATTTTTATAAGTAAAAATTTAAAGATTTTAAACAAAAAGTCCGGTATTAATAATTATGTAAACGCCGTTTAATCTTTTAAACGTATTTAAATACCTTTTTTTTATATATATTTAAATATTAACACTTACTTATAATTACGCAAATGAATTCCAACCTTATTTTTAACAATTTTATTAGATTTTAAGTCGCGGTATTAAGTGGACGGATATTTAAGAAAAAATGATATATTCAAAGTGTTTTATATAGCTAATTATAGTAGTAAATAACATTTAAATACCTTAATATAAATCGATTAAAATTATAACTTAACCCCGAACCCTTATTTAACTACTATAGCTACCGCAATTATTATAGCTACTACTTTAATACTTACGATATTTAATACGCCTGTTGGATCTATGCAATTCCAGCCTGCAAACCATGTATACCAAGACCCACATGTATGATTAGATAAGAGATTAGATACCGGATTGCGAGGTTACTTAGCCAGACCTTCAGGTCCAGCTAGACCTCCCAATCCAACCATCAGCAACATCATGACCTTGACCCCATACTCTTTCTTTTATGATTGCGATTCCACCAAACCATCCATCCAGGTGATCTCAACGTTGAACCCAGCCTTCAACTCGAACCGTTGTCTTGTTATTGTGACGGCCTGCACAGACCTTCCCACATGACAAGCGGATACTTCCCAATAAGGGAAGGATCTGACCAGAGGATCCCCTTAAAGGGGCAACCTCCCACTGTACCTATCTCTCTCTCTCTCTTCCTTTCCTCTCTAGTCTTGATATTCTCGTCAATAGAGTAATAGCTGCTTGCTGCCGGCCATGTCCCAGCTCCTCAGTATGCTCGCCGTGACAATGACTTACGTGAGAAAGGGGCGCAAGCTCAAGGCCAGAAGCGCCGGCCCATGACATCAAGGGACGCAATATGGGTTGACGTGAACGGGTATTCGTTCCTGAATATCTATAGGGACCCACGCACCGACGAGATGATCGATTACCTCACCAGCCTGCAACCATTGCCTAACCTGACGCCGGATCCTAGGGCATGACTTCTACGCATCAGGCAAACTTGTACGCCAGCAGCAGCAACCCAATATCTACACCGTTCTCAGCCCATTCGGACATCTCAGACTATCTCGATGCTGGCGTACCGGCGCCAAGATCGTATCGGGCATGCCCTTATATGGGCGCTTGCTCGAAAGCACGGGAGGTATCGGGCTAGCCTACAAGGGCATCGGCCAAGGCTCTTGGGAACCTGGGGTCTGGGATTGCAAGGTTCTACCGCGCCCGGGAACAGTGGAGCATTATGATGTCGAAGCCGCCGCTACCTACAGTTATGAGATTGAATCCCAGGGACTGGTCTCGTATGATACCGTTTATATGATCAAGACTAAGATCAAGTATCTGCAAGCCGGGGGCTTGGCAGGAGCCATGTTCTGGGAGGCCTCAGGGGATCGTGCCAACATCGGGTCATTAATTGCGGCATTATTTGAGTCACAGGGTGGAGAGGATCGCTTAGACAGGAACACCAATTGTCTCCGCTACCCAAACTCCCGCTATGATAATATCCGGGACTTGACGGCGCGATGGGTGAATCACGCCTCTCTCTCTTGTTGGTGCAAGAGGGAGGATGGGAGAGTCGGAGACTGGTAGGGAAGAGGGAAGGTTTGGGAAAAGACGGCGGGTGGATGGATTTGGATTTGGGTCGGGTTGAGGCTGGCTGTACTGTAGGCTGTGGTGCAGATGGCCGGTGGTTGCCCGTTGCGGGTGCTTGCGGGTCAGTCGGTCAACTGTAAGGCAGCTGCAACTCACTAGGCTCTGCACATCCTGGCCGACATTGGATTAAGTCCGTGGTCGTCCTATATATGGGAGACAGAGCCTCCTACCTGTACCTAGGTCTCTTTCCTCCCTTCTCCATCTTCGATGTTTTCGTCTATAGAGTCGGTATGCCCTTGTCGTCTGCTTTGTGTCGTCCAAAATGCAACTTTTCGTGACAAGCTTTTGATTTTGGCAGTTGTTCAACTTTACAAGATGTGCCTCCTGGAGGGGGAGCAAGTTATCGGCCGGCTGAAGTTCCAAGGCTCCCGTCTGAGGTTCCAGGGCCCTCGGCTGAGGTTCCAGGTGTCCCGGCTGAGGTTCCAGGGCCCCCGGCTTAGGGTCTAGGTCCTTAGCGCAGCTTGTCAGATAAAAACAGATAAGAACATCGTGCGCAGAATGACTGCACACCTTACCCTTTTGGTCTAGGGGTAAAATCCAACACAGCTTGATCACTTACGCCGTTTGACTTTGACTTAAAACCCACTGATTTTCTCCATGTTAGCCTCCATTTAATTAGTGAATCTCTTATACAAGGGATGGTTTGCTCACCGATCAACATCTCTTTCAAACTTCGGCAACATGTCATCTTCATTGTCTTATCGAGGGGCGCGGCGCTCAGTTGATAACACGAACAGACACAAATCTTCTACGCAGCGCATTGGAGATGTCCCTGTAGATCCCTCCACAACGCGGGACAGAATGTATGGTTTTACTTTTCGGCTTTTGTCCGGAGGTAGGTAGCACTGGGCTGGATAGCTTATATCGCCGCCTAGGGAGGGTCTCGTGGCTATGAAGGGTACGTCGAGTCCCTGAAGTTCTTGTCCAGCTTCCAACTCACCGTTCCCAGGGCTGCCAAGATGATCAGATTGAGCTGATAGAAATCTACTTTTTCCATTCTGATGCTACTATGATAGAAATAGGCACAGTGTAAAGGAAATTGTAACGTAGAGATACCGGTTGTAACGGTATAGTCCCCTTGACATCCTATTTCCTCTCTATATCACATTTCTCCCTATCAGCCTCCTAAGTGGCAGTTTCCGTAACCCGGACATGAAAGTTCTTGTCGGTAAAAAGCACATGGCTAGAAGAAGACATGGGTTTCTCAGGGTGCATGACCTGGAAATCAAACGCGCGAAACAACTATCATGAAGGTCAGTACAGTTCCACTCTTCTCAAGGACTCCCACGGACAGAAAGCATACCTCGAAATACGTCTTGTTCAACTCCATCATGGCAATATATTTACCAGCGCACAGCCAGCGACCGTAGCCAAACGTGAGGTCGACATTGTGCTGCATCTCGCCTCGCGTCTTCTCATCCTTCTCGAGAAAGCGTTCAGGTCGGAAGACATCAGCATCCTCGCCGAAGCAAGACTTTGACCGCAGGGCCAACGCCAAGTTCATCCCTATGGGCGTCCCACCGGGAATGAACTTGCCCTGAATGGTATCCCCGTTGGGCGGAACCATCTTGGACAACATGCCGACAGTGGCGGGGCGCATTCGGAGACCCTCGTAAACCACGGCCTGTCACGTGGAGATTTGCTGTTAGCTAAGAGTCGTGGAATCCGCGCCTCTCCGCTCGGTCTCTGATCGCGAATGATCCAATACATGGGGGCTTAGGAAAGGGACACTTGCCTGTAGATAGGGTAGTTTCTTCGACTCGGTATTAGTGATGGGAATGGACACTCTCTTCTCGCGGACGGCTGCCACGATCTCCTCCTTCAGCCTCTGGTATGCCATTAGTGCTGTAAATAGGTACAGAAGTGTGATAACGATAGCACCCGCAGTAGTATGAGACCCTGCAAAGAACAGGAGTAGCGTCTCTACGTCACACTCAGCCGGGGTGAGCCCCCTGCGGACAAACAATGCCTACATATAGTTCGTAAGCAGCCTGCAAGCAATCTTGTATGCGGTGTCTTATTCAGCACCTGGGAAACACACCAGTATATCTTGGCGTCTCTCAGCACCTGGCGTAAATCGGCTAGCCACCTCCCTGCTCGTGATGCTGTTGTTGATACATTAAACAGGCCGCCACACAAGGAGGGTACCATATGTAAAGCTTACCCCATGACTTTCCCTATACCCTTACAGTCTATTTCTTTCGGCCCGAAAAGCATCAAGGCCAACTTTGAGTAAATAATTCTGCGGATCTAGTGCACGTTCGTCGTCATTGACATCTGAGGCAAATGTTGCTCCAGTGTCCCGTAGAAGTCGTAGGGGTCCGAGTCCGAGTCCAGACACCCAAACTCCTTGCCCAGTGCGATCTTTGAGATGACATCTAGGTAAAGAGCGGTATGACTCGTGATAGGTCCAGTAAGATCAACCCGGGATCGCCATGCGGGGTGATATACTTTCTTTGGATTAAGCCTATCATGCTCATCAATTGAATGTCGATATCACCTTCAAGGCCTGGTGTGTCTCGGCCTGTGTAGCCTGGAGTTACCTTGCCCTTGAGCTTGTCATGGGCCACCGTGTCCAACATTGAGAACATTGTCGCATGGTATGGGTTGAATCTATTGCCTTCGTACCAGCCGGACTTGGTATACTGGCTCCTCGAGCTGCACATATAGCGAATGGTTTCCGGGTCATCTGTCGTAAGATCGTTGGGACCGACCCGTACAAGTCTGCCATATTGTCTGCCGATGTTCCTGAAGTTCTCACACTCCTTGCCGCTGAAGGAGAGACGAGCGAGCCAGAGGTAAGAGAATTTTGCAAGTGGCGGGCCTGGGATGTGTCGGAGGCGGTACCACACGTAGATAGCTGATAGTAGGTACCATCCGATGAATCCAAGGATGGAGATTGCTGTAAGTCCAGATGGACTGGTACCCATAGAAAGAAGGCTCATTGAAGCGGACAGTAGTCGAGTGATAATATTGTGTATTCCGATAGAAAAGGATGGCTCTCAGTGCGGTGTGAAGAAAAGGGATGCTGAACGGGTGAGCTTTAAACACCTAACAAGTTAAAGAGAGCAGAATGCATCCCAAGGAGGCTTTAATTAAATACCATGTGTACCTGTAAGCAACGGGTTTATAGCAGCATGCCCTCATTAAACATGTGACCCGATCACACCATGCCATTATTAATATACCTTGCCCTTTAATATCTTGCTTGTCGTAATTTGTAGTATTAACCTCCTTGGTGATCTTCGCTTATCTTGTTCTCTCTTTTTTTCGACTGCCTCTCCCTTCGACTGCCTCTCCCTTCGACTGCCTCTCCCTTCGACTGCATCTCCCTTTCACTACTGATCTAGGAAGGTCGGTTCTGTTGCGTGGTCAGGTGACCCACTCAGGCTGGCATATTGCCCACATCTATAGCAGCTACGCACCCTTCCAGACCTTTAACAATAACAATATAAATATAGCTTGTTAGCAAGCTTTTAGCCTTCTTGCTGTGGAAAAGGTTGAAAGAAAGTAAAATGCTTTTTTTCAAGGTTTACTTGATCAAGGGAAACAAGGACACCTGTATTTACCAAATATGGAAGCATAGTAAATAACCGACATATCCCCAGACGAAGGAGTAATTCTAAAGCAACAACCCTAAAAAACATACGATAGGTATATTAACCACTATAAGTCCTATCACCTCGACCAAACCTATTAGACTCTTGCTTTAAAGCTAGTAGTCTTCATATCGTTTAAACACCTACGAGAGACATCTCGAGGTATTATATTCTTCTTTAAAGAAATGGAGTTTTACCATTTGTAATGGCGTTAGCCGTATTAGAATGGATAACCACGGATTTACTAAAGAGGCACTTGAAGGACATGTATGTTACGAACAACCACGCTGGCTTTTAAACTTGTGAACATATCCGCTGCTTAAAGCGCGGGGAAGCATAGTTTAATGGCGGTTACGTGGTCCGTGCCCTGTAGCTAGATCAGGCCTTCCGCGTAGCTGTCAGCTATAGCAGTACCACAACAACAACAACAACAACAACAACAACAACATCATTGTTCACGGCACCTCCACGCTGCTAACACTACACGATCTGTTATAGAAAGTTGCTTTAAAACCCCGCACGTTACATTGCATCTTGCGACGTGCTTAACACCTTAGAAACCTTAGGTGTTATCAAGGTTACTGGAAGTTTTGGAGTTTATAAGTTCTGATCCGGTTAAACTAAGCTCTTGTTAGTACTGAACATTGTATAGAAAGAAGCTATAATAACCTTTGCTGCTCTGGTTTCGTCGCTCATGCTTAGTTGACGACAGTTGCGCGGAGTTTGCCCAGTGATTTCTTTTGCCATTTCGCTAAGCTGCGAACACCTCTGATAATTCAATGTTTGAATGCGGAAGCACCTCAGAACTTTGTGGTGTTTTTTGGTAAGTTTACCACCGTTAATTTCCAGAGTATGTAGGTTTTTGCAAGTTAAAAGCAGATCGAGCCCCGGGTTTATGTCGATGCCGCTGCGCACTTGAACGCATATTCTCCGTATTGACAGAACTGTCTCTTCTCGCGCGCATTGAAGGAACAGGGGTAGGTCGTACTTCGGTTTGGGAAAAGACAGCATGTTTTCGCCGTAAAACGCTTGCACTGCCCAAGCGTTAAACTGCCTATTAACAAGCGTCGCAGCAAGCTTGCCGGTATTGGCGCTTCGCAACCTTGTAGAAAGATGCGTGGAAGGGAGGCTTATATGTGGAGTACGTGATTTTTACGGGCTCCGGGAAAGAAGCAAAAAGTCTGATGATTTCCAGGCCAACCTCATTGGGAAGGGTACGCATGGTGTAGCTTGCTGGAGAAAGATGGGGTTTTAGCGTAAAGAAGGGTGAAAACGTGCTCTCATCGAGATTGAATTCTCACGAGGTACCTGGCAGTCTTATGGGATGCTGGCAGCAGTACTTGCTTTTGTCCTCTGTAGACAAGGTGGTTTCAAATGTAGTGTCAGCCAGCACGGGTACGTCAAGGTCCACTTATTAGCGACTGCTTATTTAATATCTGAGGAGAGCGGGTGATCTGTCGGAAAAGCCACAGGTGACAGGTGAAAGCAGTGATATTACAATCAGGGAGCCCTAACAAGGGCGCGAAGGCTCGGATTGCATTCACCATGACCCTATACGGTTTCTCGGTGCCGAGATTAAAAAGATCGCACGGTGCCCTGTACATGGTCCAAAGAGCTTTACCGTGGCCGCTACAGCCATTTTAAGAAGGACAATCCGTGCCTTTCTTACACGACATGGGCTCCTACGAGAATAAAGGAGGTCTTGTGGTCAAAGTGAACCTATAGCAAACGTATCGTTGGCTTATATCGGAAAAACTAGTGTGCGATGCACCATGGCATGGGGTAGATTGCTCAACACTGTCACGGCGAGTATACTGAGGAGCTGGGACATGGCCGGCAGCAAGCAGCTATTACTCTATTGACGAGAATATCAAGACTAGAGAGGAAAGAAAGAGAGAGAGAGAGATAGGTACAGTGGGAGGTTGCCCCTTTAAGGGGATCCTCTGGTCAGATCCTTCCCTTATTGGGAAGTATCCGCTTGTCATGTGGGAAGGTCTGTGCAGGCCGTCACAAACACAGACAGAATGATGCATCGAGCAGTTAGACGATGAACCACACAAAGGAATATGGGGAGCATGGGAGGGAAGAGAAAGACCTATTGGACTAGTGGAAGGTTATGCGTGCAGGGCGCAATTCGGTTTTAGAGTCTGGGGGCTCTTACATGGAACGATAGAGGGTTAGAAGTAGATGGAAGCGAGTCGACCTTATCGATTTCTCCACTCCTGCTCTACTCCGCCACCAGCCGTCCCGTGCTGTCGGGTCGTGTACTCGCCTTTTACTGCATTAGAGTCTGGTCCATCTCCACCTGACTTGAGGCGTTAAAGTGTTGTCGAGTACCGCCGCTTACCAGCGATATGAAGCCAGTCTTTACTGACTAGTTGTGGTTGAAGCAATTGCCATCCATCATTATTTACCCCTACTCGAGCTCCTAGATTGTTTCTGCGTGAAGTAGGTCTTTTATATTTTGATGGTGGCAAGGGGATGCCCCGTTTTATTGTGTGCTGTGACTTTGTTCTCTTGCTTTGTCTTGTAACACACTGCAACGTAAAGTGCTACACGCTGATTTATCCTTGCCCGGTGCAAACTAAGAAGGGCAAGGTAGTTGCTGATGACTCCGAATTCGCGCTAACCCTCCCTCTGCTATGTCCTCCTTTGATAGAACTCCCTTAGACAGGGCTCCTTTACTTGCTTTACCAGCCTTGGGTCCATTGTCAAAAGCCGGTCTATATCCGCAAAGGGAGCGGGGAGAAAGTGCAACCTCGGCAATTTACGGTTGCATTAATCGCCTTGCTGTCCATCAATTGGCAAGGGCCGCTAGTTGGGGTGATTCGTAATGGGGACAAGGATTGCATGCACTCGGTCAATACGAACTTGGCAACCTGGGTAGAGCGAGTACTGGCGAGTAGTAACCTCTATTTTGTCCCGACAGTCAGGGACCAATGATACAGAGAGGTGTCTGTGTGTTGCAGGAGCAAGGCCCTGGGTGGCCAGGAAGACGATCGTTCTTCGTCTCCACTTTTAGAACCACAGCCGGCATTTACCACGGTTTGCTGATAACCTGGCCACCTTCTTGTCGGCCCGAGATTTTTAGGCCATGGCAGAATTGCTGTCGACCGAAAAGAGCCAGCTGCATACTTACAGCTGCATGACAAAAAAGCCAAGAATATCTAGTAAAACCCTCGTATCAATGTGCTTTACCAGGCTAGGCTGTCGATCACAATAGTTCACGTATACAAGCATGTATAAAGTAACAAATGTTAATCAGCCCAACTGAGTATTTCGGCTTTAGCAAGTGAGCTTAAAGGTAATAAGCTATTTTGTAAGAGTAGGACTATTTAACGAGACTTAGTAAAAAGCTATGTAACCATTATAGTTGCTAGCTCTTTGGTTTAAACGATAGTGTCCTTACTAACGCAGTGCCTCGAACGGACAGTGTCTTTAATAGATGTAACGTGAAGGCAAGGGACGTTGAGGCTAGCACATGACGGATTCTGTATGCATGCAAGACACTTTTGTACTTACCTCTTCCATCAATCACAAGCAGGCACCGTCGGGATAGCCGCCCTGAACCTCTCTTCTTTGCCTTCAAACTACCACGGCTGGTGGGGGGATCAACCAGGCTACGTCAAGTACAAATCAGACCGTGAGCCATTCGATCTGGCTCAGACTGCTAATGAAGGACACCTTAATGACTGTAAGATTTAACTTGGCACACCTTATTGCTGGTCGGTATAGTCCTTTCCACCTCAAGCTCGGCGGTTTGGATGTGGTATAATGACATAATTAAACTAACTGTGAACCTTGAGATAGAAAATATGTGTATTCCCGCTGTTTGTTGCTACCATTTGTTGGATTCTGGGCTACGTTAGCCCATCCATAGTCATCCTTCAGGATCAACAGGCCGTATGGCGCAATGGTCAAATGCGCCTGGTTGTGTTCTCGTTTGTGCGGTGGGCGACGAGAACAAGTGGGTTCGAATCCTGCTATGGCCCCCTTTCTGACCCGGCTTGTGCGAGTCGATAACCAGCACACGACAATAGAGAGGCCCCATTTTATCACAGAGCCCGATAGCCAAGCAGCTTGTCTCCATAATACCCACTCCTACGAGGTTTTCCCCCTTGTGGTTTCCCTCGCCAGCAGATAACAAACACCTACTCCACCCACCAATGCGACATATATCGAACGGCTACTGGAACGATATGTACACCAGAGAACTGAGGTTCACTGGGCCGCTTTGTCACTAGATAGGAGGTTTTTCTGACGGAATCGTGCTTGGGTATTGACTAAAACCATCTGAACACTCCAGATTGGTACCGCTACAGCGAGGATAGGCTCGTGCGCGGATCTGAATGTATCTAATTTGACACCTCTACAACCTTGCGATGCAATGGCTCTGGGAGGCGTGGTTTGCACTACTGAGGAGCTACCCCCCACGTTAAATACAAAACAAACAAACAAACTTCAGGATCAACATCTCCATCTATGACTCTGTCACATACGTGGCCAATATAAGGCCACGTATCCTTTCCTTTAGTATCTTGGATATATAGGGCCACTCTGGCCGCTCCAGAATAGCTGGAATTCCTCTCCTTAATAGAACACTTTGAAATCTCACACCATTGAGGACCTATGGGTTGTGTGTCAATGACACGACGTAACCACTGCTTTGCTCACACGGTTCTGTCTCTCTTTGCGCTTCGCCTTTTGTTTTGTCCTATCTCGCGTTCGTACGTGGCCTTCGCGTCTGGATGAAATCCTGTCCGGGCTCTGGGGCTTCTTCCCTGACGTGTGTGCAAGACAAGATGTGTGAGGAAGTTGTCTCTGCGATTGAAAGACTTGTCGCAGAAAGGGCAAGGGGTACCGGCCAAATCTGGATTGTGGCATCTGTGATTTGATTTAGCCGAAATTACAGGAAGAATACCAGGGTATAATACATTGACATGTGTCTCTTTAAGTGCTCTAGCCGCACCCAACTAAGCCTTTCGCACTTAGGCCATGTACATTTAAACGGTTTGTCAGGCGGAGGGCTGTCTTGACCGCACATCTGGGTCTGTTTGGGTTCAAGAGGTGGTGGAGATGGTGCCGGGTTGACGGGGGCTGTCTCGAAATCATCCACACCAAGGCTCAGACCCTCTTCGTCTAAGGCAGATCTATATTCGAAAGATCCCTCTAGGGCGCCGGGAGGTATAAATGGACACATCTCTAAGATGTGATTAAGATCAGATGAACAGAGGGTGGGGAATCCAGAGAGACTCCATTCATAAGGCCACTCCTCGGAGCTTAGCCCAGAATTGGTTGAGTTCCACTCTATTCCGAACGAAGGTAGGGGAAAGGGCGATAGGTGACGAAGAGTAGAATGCTGGATCAAGCTCAATCGTCCATTCCACGGGGGCAAGTAAGATATATGATCTGGACACTTTGCGCAGAGAGCCACAGCCTAATTGATCATAACGTGCTGTTTGCTAAAACAAGACTTCACTTCTGTTGTTTTCAACACGCAACACTCCTGAATTCATTGGACACTCGGGTCCCTAGTGTGCCAGTCACTTGGTAGTCACCCCCAACTACTTAGGCGCTTATCGAACGATTGTTGACCTGTCAAGCCAACCAACCAGACGGCGAATGAGGCTGTGGTGGGGACCTAATCAGTGTTCACTTTTCTAGGGTTATTGACTCCCGGAACTAATACTGTCTCCTATCCCAAGATAGAAACTCTGACAGCTTTGCGCTGGCACGGACGACCTTGGACGACCTGATTTCTAGTGCGAAAGTTGCGATGGGCTTTAGAGGGCAAGCAAAGGTATAGGAGACTACGAGACATTGCCCCATAATGTGCCCACAGTGAGCCACCCACGCTCGACACCTCTTTCGTCTAAGAGGACATGTGCTTGAACATACTGATGACAATCCTATCCTATTATCGACCTAGTCCCGTCTGTAAATGCAGGGCGCAGTGAGATGCCATGCCCCCCTGGCGAAGCGAATCCAACGATGAGGTTAATTGACCTAGACCGCCGTTCATAGGCTGCTAGGATTAAATCCTTCAGAACCCCAACCCCCTGTCCAATGCCGGCTAGCCTGGATGCATATCGGTCCGGACATGGAGACAAGCTTGCCCTTGCCGGCTATCGTGTGACTATCGTGCCGAAGGCAAGGGCATATACTTCCCGATGTTCTCCGACTCTACGGGTGGAGTCTCGGAGGCGCCGACAGGGGGCAGTTGACCAAGGCCAATCCGCATTTTATCGGAATGTATAGTGCGAGATGTTATGTCATGATGAACGGCCGAGATAAGGGCTTGACCTGTTTGATATCGGCTTCTATCACGGTATCACGATCATTGGCTTAGACCTGACCAGTGAGAACAACTAAGCATATGCATAACGTGAGGAGGACCGGTTATGCTCTTGGTGCCCATGGCGGAGGGTGAACGGTTAAGACAACCCAAGGAAGCGGAGTCACTCCAACTGAGCGACCCCGCAGATGGAAAGGTGTGAGATTTCAAACCGTTCTGTATTAGAAAAGGGAAGAGAAGAAGATCTCTGGGGGAGAAGTCCCCATATATATGTACAGGTATGCCATCAGGGTGACCAGATAGTCGTACGATAATGGCGCTAGGGTGACCAGATAATCATCTGATAGTGGCGCCAGGTGAATGCCATGAAGCAACCTATCAGCGCATTCATCACCGAAAGCCTCAGCCTGGTACGATATCCAACAAAAGGTGGCAAAGGGCATCATCAAGAGGATGATTTCAACTGCGTGTCTCTGGGTTCTTTTCCTATTGCTCTTGGCTCTAGTTCCCCTTGGTCACAAAATACTCCTGCCTAAGGGAGTACCAGCCCGTCCCCGATCTCGACCTGTCTTATATTTAAGTAGCGTAAACCCTCATGTGAAGTAAAGTCAAAACATCAACACTGCGAGCTCAGTCTATCCAAAACATCCAGCATCGTTTGACTCTACTGTTCGACTTTTCTCCCTTGACTCGCTTCACATAACACGTCCTGATGGCCCATTCTAAGGTTGCTATAGTCACAGGAGGCACTCTGGGGATCGGCTTCGCAGTGTCTAAGAGTCTACTCGAGGATCCCGACGGTGGATGGGAGGTTTACATCCTGTACCACAGCTCGCCATATAAAGTATCCCAGGCGCTGCCCCGCGCCCATCTCAAGCAAGCCGACGTGACGTCCTGGCAGTCCCTGTCCAAGGCCTTCAGCGATGTCTTCGAGGAAACCGGCCGGCTTGACTTCGTCTTCGCCAATGCAGGCGTGCTATTCACAACCGATTTCTTTGCCGATATGACCGGCAACACCATCGAGCCTATTGACATGTCGCCGGTCGACGTAAACCTACAGGGTGTCATACACACCTCATAGCTCGCTTGTCACTATTTCAGCCTCAGTTCTCGTGAGGATCACCAGCCGACCCTACTGATCAATGCAAGCTCTGCTGCTTTCGTGAGTCTCCCTTTGTACTCGTGCAGACCAAGCGCTGAGGATATCTAGTACGCAAGTCAGTTCGCACCGGTGTACAGCGCCACCAAGGCCGGCGTTGTGCACTTCATGCGTTCTATCGCCAAGCCTCTGTTCCAGACGCACGGGGTCAGGGTCCACGCAATCTGCCCTGGCGCTGTGCATACCACGCTGGTCAGCAGCGCGGTGTGGGCTGCATTCCCTATCGAGAGTTTCATCTCGGTGAAGGATATTGTCGCGGTGGTCCGTCACCTGATGAGTGACCAGCCACTGATAGACTCGGCTGGGAGGCGTATTGCTCTAGAGTCCAAGTTCGGGCTCGCGGTTGAAGTAGGCACAACGGGATTATACATCAGGGACGAGCAGAAGTTTTCCGACCCAGTCGCGCAGTCGTCTTTGGCAGTGTTGTCCATGCTCGAGGAGTCCACGACAGAAGAGTAGTTCAGGGCAACTGAGATGATGTAGTCTTGGTAGAAAACGAGGCTCTCGGTTATGCATCTTATTCATGCGGACTAAACTGGTCTCAACTTCATTCGGAAGTCTGTGGGGCACTTATTAGTATCGCGACGATGTGGTCTTTGAAGTGGGCATGAATATCATATAGATAGGCCATAGTTAGCACACTTACTTAAGAGGGCAGCTTATATGTTGGTTATGCTATCGCACCCATCTTACTGGACGTCGTGATATCTTGCTATATCAGGCGCATTGAGAGATTGATGGAGTGGAACAAAACTTTGCGAAAACCCTGTTCAACTTCTAGATCTGATCAAACGATGCGTGCCATGTATATTGAAGTGTCCGGTCTTCATATGAGCATAGTTGCGGACTAGCTTGTGGAAGTCTTGTCCATGATTCAGACCAAGATACTCCGCAAAACTGGTTGACGTGGGTAAAGGTATGCCCCAGCCGTAGCAAGTGCGAGAGGCAGGTCGCCTAGCTCCTTGACAAGGCTTAAGGCATCGGGATCTATAATTCCAATTAGACTTGCATGTAAGATTTTCGAAAGCTCTCACCATCTATCAGGTCTTGCCGGTTTGATGCATTTGTCAGGATCTCGATACTATCGATCATATCCTCTATCTGTCTGACTCGAATTTTATGGCTCATTTTAACCTTTGACGACCGGGGAGTGATAAATTGAGCCTTAGTACGAGACTTCTCCAAGCAGAAGTGGTAGACGCTGAAGTCCACGGCGCTCTCCAAGGTCTCGCAGCAGCCAGGGCGATTGGGCGCGAGAAACAGCTGTACGTCTGCCTTGACAACACGTCGGTGGTAGATGGACTCAATGGGACTCCACCCGAGACATCGCAGATCATTTTTCTACGATTCCAAGAACTTGCTACAGCACACACTCCTGGGGTGACTGTCAAGTGGATCCCTGGACACAGAGATATCGATGGCAACGAAGCTGCTGACGTACTAACAAAAGAGGGCGCCATGCTAGAAACGGAAGCGACGAGCCTTCCCACAATCTCTTGGGTAAAGAGAGATCTCAAGAGGATGGGCAAGAGAGAATTCGATCAATGATAGGAAGGTCAATCAGAACCTAGGTATCAAGAAGTATACTCGCATACGGTAACCAAGAGGAACCTCATATCTTTCGAAAGGAGCACTTTATACAGACTTCTAGCAGCCAGGTCTGGACATGGCGACTTTGCTGGATACCACGAACGTTTCGGGCATACAGAATCGAATAACCACTGCAGCTGCGGTGAAAGGAAAACACCGCAGCATATTTTCTTTTGTGAAAGGCTTAGGAAAAACCGACTGCTGCTCAGGTACTCGCCTAGGGCAGCTTGTTTACAATACTTGGGGGAGAGGAGCGCGGAATGGGCAAGGTTCGTTGAAAAGAGCAAGTTCTTTTCATCAATCTGCCCCCGATAGATAGCTATTTTTCTTTGGAGGACCAGATGGATGACCTTAGAGTCATGCCACTGCAACAGCGGGGATGGGCTCGTGAGCGGATCTGACTGTACTTAGCTTCTGATACCTCCACAACCCTGCAATGCAGAGGCTCTGGGAGGCGTGGTTTGCACTACTGAGGAGCGATCCCCCACGTTAAATACAATCAATCAATCAATCAATCAATCAAGCAAGCATGACCGTCCACATGCGAGATAAAGGGTTGGAGTTTCGTATTCTAGAATAGCCCCCACGGCCGTTTCCCTTCTGCTTCCCTCGTGGTCTTCGACTTGTCACACCCATGGTCCTTCTCATGCCCTTTAGCTATTTCGCAGACGATATTCTCTTCGGACAACAGCGTTACGATAGAAGTGCTTGGACAGTTTCGGCATCGCCTGGTACATCTATCTTGCTTCGCCTTTAGTATGAGAATCTAATTACATGACAGCAAAGCTTGTCTCTAAGACTGTCTATCGACAGCCTTCTTACGGCGGCTTAGTAGTGCCTAGAATATTTGTCGGACATTGGTATTATAATTCAAATACTGGCCACGTTCCCACGACGTTCCGTCTACGAAATCTCCTTTTAGGGCATCCATAGAGAGAGCTTTTCGGTGACTATATTAAGCTCTTTGCGGTTTGCAATAACTTGAATGCAGCCAACCACGTTAAATGCGGTGCGCGCCTTCGATGTGAATATACCAAGGGCCCGAGTATTTCCTGTTTAAATTAGTGCTGTCTCGAATACCTACCCGGCACTGAAGTGTCAAGCCCTTGTTATTATTGTTATTGTAGCGTTTGATGCCGGGGGTCTGCCGCATAGCGGCGGCTTTCAAACAGCGTATTGATGGCTATTGTGGTGTAAATCGTTGTATTCAGAGATGATTGTGTTGTTGTAAAAAGTCTGCTGTTGGCCCTGGTGACCGAAACGGCAGTGCCAGTCTGAACCTAGCGTCAGCTCGGGCCAAACATGACTGGAGTGGTGTCCCAACACCCTGGGAGCCCCTGCGCTTGCGGGCCAGAGAAATTTGGGTCTGTGCAGTAGGATCAGGTCCCGTGGTGCCGAGCTAGGGAGCCATGGTCACTTGCCAGCCTTTGACTGGCTGGAATCCAAGTGGTTGCTCTGTATCTATGCCCTGGCAAAACGCATTCTCTGCCGCAGGCGGATAGATGCACAGTACCGCAGATCCATAACTAGGCACGTTGTTAATGGTGTCATTATATAGGCAACATGTCCCTCACCCCCCTCGCGATGAGATCTAACTGCCTTAACCTCGAAGATGTCTCTACTCTCCTTCTGCCTGTTTATTAGGGACAGAATACGCCACAATGTACACAGATTCTCTATGTATGAATAGTAAAGGCCTGGCAGTGCCACGACGTGGTTTATAGATTCATCACGTTGCCTTGCGAGACATTTCCTCCGTGGATTGTGTAATCGCCACTGAAAGTCGAGCCATGCTGGATAACGCGTAGCGGAGCTCTCTGCTTAGATATTGGGGCTGCGGGAGCTCAATGTAGGTCAGCACCGTACTGATATGCCTTGGCGGGAATGCCTGGATCACCTACGGTCCACGGTCGAAGACGCCGCGCCCGACACCAGACCCTTGATCCGCTCTTTCACCACAACATACGCATCGTCGCGCCGGGACACAAATTTGATGAGACCCGAGTGGTCAGCATCCAACAGCACGATGTCTTCCTCGGGCACCGCGGTCAGGCCGGTGCTGGTCGCCGACTTCTTCGTGACCATCCGAATGGGCGGGCCCGACTTCCGTAGCATACCGTCAGGTTGCCTCTAGACACATGATGAGCGGGAATGGACCAGCGCAAAGTTGGGATGCGAGACGTACCGCAACAGTCGCGCTCAGCTGGAGCTCGTAAAAGGCAACTACGCGCAACCGGTCTTGGAAACACCGCGCAAAGTCGTCCGCCATGCGGGCCAGGAAGTCGGACGGTTCCGACTCGTCATTCACGACCAGAGCGCGAATAAGAGCCTGATTCGGCTGCCCTTCTACCACAGAGGCGAGCTTCTCATTTCGCAGACCCAGCTGCGGCACCCCAAAAAACAGCAGGCCACAGCAGGTTCGCGAGAGGAGCCGGTGTGTCGGGTTGCTAGCAGGGCTCTTAGAAGCGTGGACGAGTGCCTGCAAAAGGTCAGCATTGACCGGCACAAGGGACCTGGCAAACCTGCCTCTTTAATAAGAAGGCCGCCCAGACTGTGGCCTAGTAAGATAATCGGACAACGTTCGGTCTGCGGTATTGTTAGCCAGTCCCGTGTCGGCGGACGACAAACCCACCTCGTCGCTCGTCCGGAATGCCGTTAGGCTTTCGAGAAACTGCCGGCCCAAGTCTTTTATGGAGGACTTGGTATTGCTCTTCAACAATGTCGTGTCATATCTGTACAGGAGCACACGGATATTCAGGATGTCGCCCGAGAACCAATCGCATAGCCAGAGATCATTCCTGCCCCGCGATTTTCATGAACTAATCGAGTGGCTCGCCAGGCCCGGCACGGCGACTACACTGCGAATGTATAGAATAATCAGTTAAAAGGACGACACTGGGTGGGAAGCGAGGTGCATACTCGCAGTAAACGCCGGCTGGGTCGTTGTAGAGCAGCGTGATGCCATAGAACGTGCAGTCGAAGCGGTACGGGGACACTGTACGAGCATACTGGAGGCGAGCCAGCAGCTGGTCCTCTAGAAGCCGCGTCTTGACCGTCGCAGTCGCGCAGGCGCAGGTGCGGTCTCTCGGCGCAAGGGAGCGCACGACCAAGCTGTCAAGTTGACCTTATAAATCCGGACTTGTAGCAATGACCGACTGCAGCTCACGTTCCAGCTCGGCAGCAATTGTTCCCATAGGGACCTTGTCCATGTGTAGCGTCAATTCGCGGAAATGCCACTGGCCGAGTGTATCGCTGCCTGGCTCAGGTCTCTGCTGTGGGGAACGCGCTCCCCAAAACAGCTGGAAGAGGCAAGTGGCCAGGAGAGCCACCACGCTCGTCCCAACAAGGAGCTGGCCGGGAAGTTCCATAGCATTGATTCTCGAGGACATTTACGTCGCGTAACAAGATTCGGCAGAGACATAAGCACTGGAGAACAAAGGTGATCCTGTACAGCCAAGAGGCGCCAAGGAGCTGACCCGCCGGCTGGGCTGACACGCGTCCGACATCAGTAATGCCTGGATGCGATGATCGTAGGGAGCCGCGTCCCATCGCCAGAATAAGAAGAGGCTTTTATTCGGCTGCCAGTATGAATTCCCTTGCCAATATGCCCTTCTTTCCGTCCGCTGCCATGGCTTCTTCGCAGCTGTCGCCGCCGTTCCGTGTCGAGCACCAGTTAAAGTTGGACCTACATAAGGACCTAGGCTCGTCCCGTCCTGCCCACCATTTGCCAGGGTATCCCCACATCGCGCTGGACGACCGGCACCGCATCTGGGGTTTTCTCGACGAGGAATTCTGCTCGGACGATCTAGACAAGATGGCTGACAGGCTTTGGTGGATGACTAAGCAGGACAGCGCAAGCATCTCCCCCCTCCATCGGCGGCAACGGGTCAAACGGCGAGCGGTCCGTTACGAGTCCGACTTTCTCCATCGCGCAAGAACCCAACCTGCAGCTCCTACCAAGTGATGTCACATGGGAACAGTTCTGCCACTTCCAGGCCGATCTGGCCTCGATCATGGATGGCGACGTCTCGACTCGTTACCGCTATGGTGAGATCCGATTGACGAGGCTCCAACTTTTACGCGCCCATCCTCCTTTGCAAATCCTATTTTCAGCGGGTTAAATACCAATACGGAGACTATTTCGCCCGTTTCTACGGTCCTATCTTGTTCTGTCTTGGTATAGTGTCCGTGGTCCTCAGTGGACTGCAAGTGGTCGTCTCCGTCGAGGACCAGTCCGAAGGAAATGGCCAGGCTCTGTCCGGATTCGCACTTGGATTTAGTATTGCAATGATGGCATGCTCCGGGGTTCTGTTCCTCCTGCTGGCATCTTTGTTAGTGCATAAGGTGGTAAAAGAATGGAGGTTTGCGATCCAGAACCGCATACAGGTGTTGAGAGAGGAAGGCGAGTGTGCTAGTCTTTCCCCTTGACTTAGTTGCAACTATACGCAGATTCTTTATTATATTTTATTATCAAGATAGTTCACATACGAGCCACCAAGTCACATGCGCCAGCTGCTCTTTATGTAGCGGCGCTATCACTAACAGGACGTGAGTGATGTATTGTCGCATAGTTGCTTGAAGTGAGGCAAGATGTCTGAACACTTGGTTGGAGTCGTGCAGCATTAACGCGTACCTAGCCTGCCCGCGACCCATGTCCGCCAAAAGGCCTGTCTTGTCGGGATGAGATGGCCCTTGTGGCAGAGCAGGCCAATGGCACGCGAACTAGATGGGTTTTCGTGGACCCAACGGTACGAGCTATCATGCGGGCCTGCTCCGCAACGACGATTGAGCCCGCGCGTATTAGGTCAGGCGGAGCCATGGACCGTCCCGCACCCCAGGCAGGCGGAGAGCTTCGCTCGCCTACCCCAGTTCTTTCTCCTGCCACAGTCCAGGGTACGGTGCAAAGCGCGTCGGATGGCTGGAGCAGCCCGGTTGGCGGTGGCTTCGAGAGATTGGTTGTCGACGGGCGACCTGGACGTTAAGGGCCCGTTAGATTTTGTGTGGTGTGCATTGGAACAAGGATAGGTACCAAGATTCTCTGTTCCATGAAGCGATACCTTGCGCTACAGAAGGACCTGCCCATCGCGTGGCATTGCGCAGTCCGTAGAAGTCACACAGTAGGGAACTTACTAAAACTCTCCGCTTGATTGGTTTATAATGATCAGATCGCCAGTTTCGCGTTCAACGATGCCAACCCGGATCCTGAACGTACCTTTGGTTGTTCACCATAATCGGAAGGCCCAACACAATCCATGGGAGTCTTCTATGGAGTTCGATCGCATTTGTTCCCATAGAAGGCACGCGATCCTTTGTTAGCAATCTATAAAGGGTCGTCACTCTCGCATGTTCCGCTACGACAGTGCAAAGAGCGTTATAAATTCATCATGCTCCCTAGGACCCTCGTTTTGCAAAGAAAGTGAAAAAAGACGAGAGCTTTGAACGGATCAAAAAGGTTTCAGAAACGTGACAAATAAAGGTTATAGACCCGACCGGACGAGCAACCAAGAACAAGGTTCGTGCCTCGCTCTGTTATAAACACGGCAGACACGTTTGGCCGGTACTCGGGAGGGAGCCAGAAAACCTCCCTGGAATGCTGTAGAATCCAAGCCCGATCGGGACTGAGAACGTAGTCTTTCTGTTACACAGGCTTTTGGGGATGAGTATCAATATCCAAAGAAATTGACTCCTCTATACAAATGTTGCCCGCGTCGGTGTGGATTAGGGTGCCGGTCGGATCAAACGAGACGGTGGAGGTGTAGCCGACCTCATACGAAGAAAGGCACGCGCCCGAGGCCGTGTCTCAGAGCCGGACGGTCTGGTTGTCTGACGCCGAGACGACGCGCTGCCCGTCGGCCGAGAAGGCTGCCGAGTAGACGGTATCAGTATGGCCCTTGAGGGTCGCTTCGCACGCGCTCTATTGTTTCGTTAACTCCGTTTTACACTCGACCCATTGCGGTGCCTTGTGCACGAATAGACCTTGCATTAAGCTCTGCGTTGGACTGAACACGAATGGTGAGATATACGCTTGAAACAGTCGGCTCTCGATTGCCGGCCTGAAGATTTATAACAGACAGTAGGCGTCTTTTATGAGCGTCTGAAGTCCAGATGCCACCGACAGCCCTTTATACTATTAGCTCTGCAAGGCCGTATAACAGACAGTATTGACTTACCTGCAAATGCCGTATTAGCCTGTCTAATGTGAGCATCCTTTCTGACATGCTCCGGAGTAAACTCAACGACTCAATCCAGTAGAGACCCTTTCCCCGCAGGAACCTGTCTGCCACCCCGTACTCTTGTATGCTGTCCATACCCGGAGCCTTGCTGGCATCAATCAAGTGGTTGACCCAGTAGACACAGGAGTATCCTATCGCCGCCAGTGGGTCTGGGTCAGGTCTCCGTCAAGGGACATCCTCAATAAGGAAGCCCAGGTCGTGCAGTCCGTATATGTCACATTTCAGTGTCTGGGATATGGCCTCAATCGACCTAGAGAATATTTGGCCATGGATGGCTACTTGCTGCTCAGGGGAAAGGATAACCGTTTTCTTTTTATTAAGAAGTCTTTTGCCGATTGGCGGATGAAGTAGACTATGTCCTTGCGTATAGTGAGGAACGAGCCGCAAAGACTGACAATCTCTTTCAGCAATTCGGCATCTCCCACCGTGCTGCCGTCTACTTTGATGAACGTGGTGGACTCGGCAAGCGAGGGTGGGCGATAGGTCGTTGCTATGAGAGCAAGCACCTGCATACAAAGCTCGGCGTCGTCCAATGCACGGACTTGTTGTATTATCTGTCGATACAGGGAATCGAGACCTGACGGGAAAGACTTGACTTTCTGTAAAGCATTCCCTTGGCTTGTCTTTGCAAGTTTCTGGCAGACTAAGGCGACCCAGAGAAAAGTGCCGTCAGCGTTCGACGACAAGTACTGGCGTACTTTGTCGGCGGTGTTGTCTCGATAACTCTTCTATTGTACAAGTTGGGACACCTTGTGCAAGATGTAGCTGTCCACAGCCGCTGCGACTGACTTCGCATTGACTTCGAGTGATAGCCTGTGCGCTACGTTGGACAGCTCTTCTTTAATCTGCGGCCAGTTGCGGCTTGAGATGAGCCACTTAGCGCAGGTTGCTTACGAGGTCTTAACAATCAACTCAAGCAGCTGCGGTAGGCCACCTATACACTCGTCCAGTGCGTCGATAACAAGGCAGACGCCCTGCAGCTTCAGGTCGCGGAGTATGTTCGTAAAGATCTCGGATAATGCATACCAAGCATTATCGCCCTGGAACAGCCCCTCGCCAGCGATATCATATTTCTTCTTTATATGCGATACAAGGGAGGCGTCTTGGTCGAGAAGCATGAAGATAAGACCGCGCAGGACAGCCGTCGCGGTGTTAATGCGCTCAATAATGGCTTGGCAGAAGAAGTAAGAGAGACGCCTTCCCTCGGCCAGTAATTTCTCCAGCTTGTCGATAATGCCCGCAGAGGAGCATGGTCTTGCCCTTTCCCGGGTTGCCCTTGACCCAGAGCAGCCGCTGGTCCTCGTGGTCGCGCCATTAGTGGAAGTCAGGGTTTCTGAGCACCCAGACGTACAAGTCCGCAAGCAGACCGCCCTTGGTGTCCTGGACGCGCTTCTTGTCATGGCGCGGGTCGGTGACATGGAGGTCAATGAGGCATCGGTCGGCCGTCTGCTGGATGTTGACGATATTGCCTTGGTGGAAGGGTCCTCCATGCACGGTGACATTCCTGCTGTAGGAAGATCCGCCTTGGTCTATGGATGGATCTAGGCCGGCATTCGCCATTGTGAAAGACCTGACGTTTGCTCTTAGAAAACACGAGTCTGGGATTTGCGCGCCCGAGAGAAGCTATGTGAGCTGCGCTAGCCTGCAGGCTAGGCTGGAATGCGTCCGACTCTCCGAGCAGATAGCCTTGTGACCTCTTAGAAATACCCGGTTGTGTGGACGAATAACCGCTGCGGAAAAGCCGATGTGCCGTGCCGATGGCGGTTATGCGAGGCGTCCTGGACCCAACTTAAACCGGCTCGCTATGGGCCTGGAGACGAGAAAGATATCATACTAGGCTGCTGCCAGTCTTTCAGAAATCGTACCAGGAACTGCGTTGCATAGTAGAAAGCTCACGGCATGATCCCAAAGCAGCATGGTGGGACAGCTTAACAAGCAGCGATTTCCGAGCAGAGTCTCTGGTTCTGCCGTGGCCAGCCGCTCTAAAACCCGTTACAGCTTGGTTGCGGTCGATCAGCGGGAGCATCAGCGGCTGCTTCTGTCAGATGCAAACGCATTCAGATTAGTCAGGTTGTCAAGTGTGTTCACAAAATGATGGGAGATTAAGCTGGCAGCCGCTGTAGGAACCGCCAAGATGCCGCTTGCGCTCAGCACTGCAGCCACATCCCACAGGTCAGCACCAATCATCTGTTGAGTGCTAACAGTTTTGGGGGGTCTCGGGTTTGTCTGTACTAACCCCGCTTCCCCAGACGATCCACTGGTGCGGCTAGCTAGCTTTGGCACTGTCCGCCCACATCATGCCTATTTGCCTTGAAATTAGCGCTGTATTAGACAACCTCGTCAATACACCATGGCCCCGTGTGGTCGCATACGCACGTGCTACAAACCTTCATATGTATCAACTATCCTAAACGCTTTGCCCGTCCCTCCTCTAATAACTGAAGCCGGTCTCGAATCGCAAATTTCCACTTCTTTCCCACTTTATATACCAGGAGAGTGCATAGATACAGAAGCATACCACAGCTGCATAAAATCATGGTTAAGCTCGTCCAGAAAGCCACAGTTGAGAGCAACTGATTATTCTCTTTATTGGGATGACCTTGATCGACAGTAACGGCAACCTGTAGTCCACTCAGGATAAGGGACACCGTGCCAATAACGAATAAAACCGGCCCATAAAATTGCGTAAAGTATGTCCCGTATTGATAATTAATACACTGGAAGTACGCCTTTCGAAGTAGGAATGGAGCGTAGAAGTTAAGCCTTATTAATCGAATCTCGTCATAGGTATAGCATGTAGGAACGTCGTGGTCAGCAATTGTGGTCAGGTCGGATACAAAACGGCAGAACTGGTCCCATGTAATGTCGGTCAGGATGAGGTGCAGGCTGGGGTCTTGAGCGATGCGAAAGTCGGACTCGTACCTCACCAGGTACAGCCATGTACAGAGATAGCCCAAGGCTGTCCTGCGGATATCGTGGGTATCTTTGCCATCGTCACCCATGTAGTCCCGCCAGAATGCATACAAGACAATATATCAGTGCAGCGGCTTGATGAAGATTCGGTTATGGATCCAGACTAGATGCAGCTTGGGATCCTCGGTGACGATAACGGTGCGCTGTTTAACCAGTTGCCAGTGGAGCGGGAAGATATTAGCGCTGTCTTGTTTTGACATCCACCACAGCCTGCTGGCCATCTGGTTTAGGTCCTTCGAGCAGAATTCCTGGTCGAGGAACTCCCACAGCTTGCGTCAATCCTGGAGCAGGATACAAGGGTAGCCGGGCAAACATTGGGTGAGAGGTCCGTTGTTGTCCAGGTCCCAGTTCAGCTGGTGCTCTGATGCAAAGGGCGGCCCAGCAGCGGGTGGTGGGCACATTATTGCTGCAGAATGGAGTACCTAGACCATGTGGGTGGTGGGTAAGGCCTGGTTGGGTTCAGGCTTGAAACTCTTCGCTTATATAGTCTGGGGTGACAACCGTCTGTATATACACACTGGCTGCCTCAATGCGTCTTTGCCTGTCTGCCTTGCCCTCTCTGCCTTGCCCTTACCCCTAACTGATCTCACAGCAATATACTCTGCTTTGATCAATCGACACCAAGCTTCTCCAGATTGAATAACTCTTTGCCGCGACCCTCTCGGTCTCTAAAGGGTCCAGATCCCCTTAGTCCGAGATGACATGACTGGTCCAGACTTGTACTGTTCTCAATACGCGCCTAGAAAGGGAAGACTCAGGGTACTCAAGGTAACCCAGTGAAAGCAATTAGGAGTACCTGCGCGGAACATACCTTGGCGCTGTCCTCTGCTTACGCGTCCTTGTTGTATTTCGATCTTTCTTACGCAATGACAACATATACCACTGAACCGTGGTAGTTACAATCTCACACTAATTGAAACAGGTACACATATATAATACATAGCCGGTTCTAGGATCTGCGTCTCAAGTTAATAAATGGCTTGGCTTACCTCGTACTTATAATTTAATAGTTACCATCCGATAACTATATAGGCCTATACCAGACAAGAGCCCTAGTACACTGGCCGGTGCGAAAGGTGAGGAAGCCTTGGGGGCTATGCTGGAATAGTAGATTACATATTGGCCCTGCTCAGCCGCTTATATAGACATATCAAGACGCAGCCGCCAAGGCTGAGCGCGCATATACTTACCTATGCTTGCCTACCTACCCCTTACCCCTCCTGGCTTTCCTGTTGTAGCCTTTCTGTCTTTGGTATCGGCAAATTTCTCTCTTTTTCCACTATTGCTTGTTGCGTTTTCATACCATCGAACCTACCGACCGAGGCAGCTTCGGTCACCGCCTGCCCCACACGTTGTTCTGCACAGATTGCCATCATGGTTAGCGTCCTTAACCGACTAGATGTTCTGGCTGGGCGCGCCTGGCCGCTCGCGGTGGCTGCTATTGCCATCCTTTTAACTTCAGCCTTTTATTGCTACACATTGTTTTTTAAGAAGATGCCGTGTATAGAAAGACCCTTCCGATACTTGACCCTGCGCATCGATAAAATCCCGATCGACACATCTGATGCGGCCCTAGACAGCAAACTGAGGGTGATAATTACACAAGGCCCAGGCTTGCAGGACACCGTTCGCAGCGTCAGCCGTATTACTCTAGCCCCTAGGGACAGCCGCTGGGCCTGCGCTACTGCCACTTTCCACACATCAATCCCAGAGATCGAGTTGGTATGCTGCCTACAACAGGCCAGCGGAGATCGGAAGTACAAGTACGACTCAGACTTCTACGGCATCACACCGCTTTACACGGGCGTGACCCGAGCCGACGTCGAGTGGGACTACCCACAATCACCACTTGACTGCCGTATTAATTGCTGACTTATCGTGTCACGCTACCAGCATTGTTGCAGTGCCCGGCCTTGCAAGCCACGCATTTGGGTTATGGACGTCTCCTAGCAGCAACGACATCTGGCTGCGAGATTACCTGCCCGCGGATATACCCAATGCGCGAGTACTCATCTACGGCTATGATACAAAGCTGTTGAAGAGCGATTCCAGGAAGTTGGTCGAGAACTTCGCTTACTCCTGATTATGAATGAAGTCAGCATTATCTCGGAAACAACTATCCGAAGTGCACCTTATACTCGGCCGTCTTACGACCCAGGGGACACTGCTCTCATGGTAGCGAGAAAGAATGGGCATAACAAGATCGCTGAGATGCTTGAGCAGTGATTATTTCTGAGTTTAGTAACTTAACGTCTTTAATAAAAAGTGTCAGATGGGCGGGAAGCAAGGAAAACGACCATAAAGTCATACATAAGTATTGCAGTGCGTGTTTAAAATAAGCGGCTTGCAGGCTGTTCATGCTTGACGTTTAGAACAGCATAGGTGACAATGGCACCTTATCCCTTTCTGCCTATGACCTTTTAGCTTTTGGGCCGGTTTACAAGGCGCAGTATTTGACGATGTGAAGAGCACCGCATTTATTGTTACATTTTACTCCGTTGTTGTCACTATTCCATGCCACGCATGCCATCATCTAGATACTGACATCTGCTATATGATTGCCACTGTCGTTGTCCATGATCCACCAGGTGATCCGGTTACAGCCAGGGTGACGGCCGTTTCTTGCAACACTATTCTGCCCTGTCTCAAATCGATGAAGCAGCCAATGCCATTACCTCGTCCATCCCAACCTCTTAGGCTTCGAAGGCCATCAGCAGTCTGGCCAGCAGCTGAGGGGCAATGTCATCCGCAAGCCCATCGCGGAAGGCAACTGCTGTCAATCAAATATTCTGCAGGGTCTCGCGATGGCAATATGGTCGTGGCGGGTACTGTCATATGGATTGATGGTCCCAACGTTGTTAGCGTATAGGAAATGATGCTATCAAGGGCTGCGTGCTGGGTCATACTTCTTACCACAGCTTAAACAGCAAGCCAAAGCGGCGACCTTGACTCTTGCCGTTTGATAGCTAGCAGTGTCTATATCAAACAGTGGCGGAGTTGTGGATGTAATGTAGACGGCAGTAGTATTAAGGGTGTCGGAGGGCAGGTCCATAGATAACGCGTCGGGTGGATCGGGTTTGATAGAGAAGGATACTTAGAGGCAAGTCTCTACATACACATCCAGTTAATAGCTGTAAGATCAAGGGAGGAAAGAAATAAAGGGGCAAAGGAGCTTTGACCAAAATATAGCTTGTTGATAAGACCGGCTGATCTGAAAACTTACCTGCCAACTGGAAGCACAATGGTGATGTAAAAGGTGGTTATGATTAAATGGGTAGCGGAGGGGTCAAAGGCAGGTAGTGAAGCCAAAGCAATAGCGCCTTCCCTCAGCCTCGCACAATGAGGTGGTGACTATATTCTGCCGATGTTGTGGAATCTGCGCTGACAGATACGTGACTTTTCTGCCAAACCCTACCAAGGTACGTACCGATTCTGCCACACCTAGCCATAGGTACGTACCTTTTCTGCCCATCCTATTCTGCCGGGCATAATGACAGTACGTACCTTTCCTGCCCATCTTATTCTGCCGGTCATAATGATAGTACATACCTTTTCTGCCCATCTTATTCTGCCGGTCATAATGATAGTACATACCTTTTTCTGCCCATTTTATTCTGCCGGGCATGACGACATACGTATCCTTTCTACCGGTCTTATTCTGCCACGGCCTGCCACGTGACCCATGATACCAAACTACTGACTTGTCTTTCCCAATAAAGTCACGCCAATTAAACGTGTATGACAAAGAATACACACTGCATAATGTCAACATCTATTAAACAAAACCGCCCTTTAAACTACAAGCAAACGTAACAAAGATAATGAAATGCCTTATGAACAAGCCTCTGACAAGATACTGTTCACCCTGTTATACCTCCCAGCCTTCCTTTGACATAATGGCCCAATGCTGTGAGACGGCCCCTTCGCTTCGGTGCAACTTCTTCGCAATCCACAACCATCCCTTTTCGTCTGCCACCCATCCCCGCAGTTGAAGTTCTTCGAGTTCTGTCCATCAACTTCTTAACCACTATGTTGTCCTCTTCTCCTGAACCGGCACTTTGGTCCGGGATAGAGTCATAGCTACCTGCCTGGCTTCCTGCATCGCTATCGCTCTCGACGCTTTTGATGCGTCTGTTTTGTATACTGTATAGAGGTATTGGTGTTATAAAAGGAATAACAGAGGGGCTGCGAGCCACACCGTCATGAGAGCGGTTCATATCTGCAGCCTGCCCGCCTTTGGCAAGTCTCTGGGTGGCATGACTGCAAATGAAACTAAGAAACAGCTGTATCATGGTCATATTGTTCTCCTTTTTATAGAGAGCTTTAACCGAGTTGCATAACTCGAGTTGTGTTCTCGTTTGTGCGGTGGGCGACGAGAACAAGTGGGTTCGAATCCTGCTATGGCCTCCTTCTAACCCGGCTTGTGCGAGTCGACAACTAGCACATGATAGTGGAGAGGCCCCATTATTGCAGAGCCCAATAGCCAAGCAGCTTGTCTCCACAACACCCATTCTTACGAGGTTTTTCCGCTTCTGGCTTCCCTTGCCAGCAGATAACAAACACCTACTTCACCCACCAATGCGACATATATCGAACGGCTACTGGAACGATGTGTACACCAGAGGACTAAGGTTCACTGGGTTGCTTTATCACTGGACAGGAGGTTTTTCTGATGGAATCGTGCTTAGGTATTGACTAAAACCATGTGGTCCCTCCAGGTTGGTACCGCTACAGTGAGGATAGGCTCGTGCGCGGATTTGAATGTATCTAGACTGACACCTCTACACCCTTGTGATGCAATGGCTCTTGGAGGCATGGTGTGCCCTATAGAGGGACTGTACCCACGATAAATACAATCAATCAATTAATCAGTATCTTTATGAACAATAATACATTATTGGTGTCCCTGGTAACTCATTCGAATAATGAAAAAAACCGTATTTCTTGGCATAGCGCACCCTTTGTGCTCTCTTTGTAGTCATGGAGTACACGAATATGACTAACAACGCCTGTCTGCTGCCAAAGCTTTACCTCCTGTATAGCTCAGGTTATTAAGAGAACAAGGACTGAGACTTACGGGTTCTTTTGGCTCCGCTTTCTATTCATAGAGCCATGGTCATAATGCCGACCTGATAGCTTACACTGATGTTCGCCGCTCACGTCTATACTAGAATCTGTCCATGGTTTTACCATCTTGTGATGAAGCATCTGGAGAAGTAAGGTCCCACGGCCTTGATCCTGGTCGTTATGTCATATAAAAATGCGGGTAGATACCAAGTAATGGTGATGAGCATGTGACACCCTTTTTTGTCCAACCCCTATTCTGTGTTGTCGTCCAAGGGGGCTCGGTTATCGACAATCTCTGATATCTACGGAGCCATTTGTTTGCCACATGATGACGAACATACCAAGGTAGACAATGGAGGAGCTTAGACCACTTTCTTTATGTTATGTCTACTAGAGAGGGCTTATTGAGGGTTGTCACGTTTGTACCCTTTATTTCCTGCTAAGTCTAAAAAAGGGGGAGCATTGTCCACTACTCTTCGAAAGACAAAGCGTATAACAGACCTCTCACAAAGCCATTGTTTATCCAATCCCCCTCCTTACTCCACTGAGTATTAAAGCGCCGAGGTCGGTGCTTAGTAGGCTTAAATCAAGACAGAAAAGGAGTAGACCCGCTCAAACACTCTCGAACAAGTACGGCAACTATGTCGTCTGTTTCTCGAGCAACCAATACAGCCACAACCGACATTGAGATGACAGGTTGCGATGAAAGTGTCATTGTGTGCAGCATATCGCGCTGCTACCAACTGCCTGTCAAAGGTTCCACAATGTGTGAGTGACACATCATCGTCGACTTATCAGAATGGGCACATGAAGTCAACAAGCAAGCAACCCCTGGGGCGTACTGCTCTAAGCGTCGATGCCTCAAGCAGCCTACCGATGGTCTCACGATGTGCAATGAACATCGCGCCACCAATGGCGCAAAACGGCAGGGAGTAACCAGCGAGAAGGAAAACCGCCAAGGAGAAACAAACAACAACATTGTTCCGAACCTAGACCGGAAAGTAAAACCCACAGCTGAAGGGGGTGACAAGGTAAGTAACATCTCCCACCCCCCTGCGGACCACCCCCCTGCGGACCACCCCCCCGCAGACCAGCGCGTTCTGACCCACAAACGCGTAATTCACCAACCACCAGGATTATGGTGATCCACCATCTACACCATCACTTTTGCATCTTTTTTTTCACAAAGCACACTATTTGAATCCTTATCCACTGTTGAATCTCATGATATCATTTTACGACCGTCAAATAAAAGCTGAAGCCGCCATTTTGGCCATCCAACGCGGAGCTCCAGTCCGCTCGTCAGCCCTCGAATGGCAAATCAGTCGCTCGTACGTCAATCAACGAATCTCTGGCACCCCAACGCGGAATGAGACCAGTGCTCTCCAACAGGCTCTCTCACTGTATCTCGAACATAAGCTGGCAAGCTGGGCCCTGGGGCAAGCACGGCTAGGGTATTCTCTGGCGGTCTCTAAGTTCCGTTTCATAGCCCAGCGGATGCTCTATGCCATCGGGGATGCTCGAGAATTAGGGAAAAATTGGGCATCCAAGTTCCTGTCTCGAAACCCGGAAGTCAAGATAATGAAGTCTCGTGTTATCGACTACAACCGAGTGAATGGTGCTACAGCGGCAAATATCAACATTTTTTTCGATCGGTGTGACGCCCCTGACGTGGTTAACCTCATGCCAGCTCGCTGGTACAACGTCGACGAAATAGGAATCGCCCAGGGGGTTGGGGACTCCCATTGGGTGGTCTCCAAGGCCTCCGGCAACATGGCTATGAAGAAAGGGGTCGAGAAAGGTGAATGGATAACTGCCCTAGAGTGTGTGAGCGGATCTGGTGAGACCTTGCCGCCGCTGGTGATTCTTAAGGGGATTAACGTACAAGCCCAGTAATTTAGCAACCAAAACGAGGGCAAATTCACTGACTGGAGGTTTATTACGTCGCCCAATGGATGGACCTCGAATTCCATTGCGTTAGAATGGCTTCAACGTATCTTTATTCCTCATATTCGGGAGGTCCACGGCAACACATGGGTGGTTTTGGTGTATGATAGCCACGACTCCCACACGAATGACGAGTTCTTAGCCATCTGCTTGAGAAACAAAGTATGGTTGATCTTTTATGAACCTCACTGCTCCCATATAGTCCAGGTGTTAGATATAAGAGTCTTCAATTTGGTGAAGAAAAGGTTGAAGACCTTATTCCAGGAGACGCCCAGCGGCAGTCTAGGACTCAGGCCATCTAAGAAGGAGGTTTTGGAGTGCTACGAGCAGGCCTGGAAGGACACAATGACGCTCCTCAATATCAGAATTGCCTGGAAAAAGACTGGGATTATTCCTCGCAATAAAACAGAGGCGTTGAAGTCAAAATATGTGATTCTAGAGGACAAGGGGGTGGCCAGGGCACGCCAGAGGGACCCTAAGGCTTCCGAGCGAGCCACAACACCAGATTTTCTCGAGATGGTAGCTAAAACCATTGTCACAACACCCTTTGGAAGCCGGGCTTTGCGGGAGAGTGCTCGAAAGCTCGAAAGAAAGGACCCTTCCTTTGGGGGGCCCTCTGAGCGCTTGTTGGTGCGGAAGGCTGGCAAGGCCATGGATGTTCAGGCTGCTACCATTACAAATCTACGGGCCAAATGTGAGCTGTTTGAGGCTCAAGTGGCTAAAAAGGCTAATACCACTCGAAAAGCAGTCAAACCAATACCAGGGGAACGATTCGTCACAATGGCTAACATAAGGGAGGCCAAAATGGAGCTGAGGAACAGGAGGGTCTATAGGGACTCCGCTACAGGCGAAGAGGTCCCATAAGAGGTCCCTGGTGAAGATTTAGGGTCGGAATCAGATTCTGGGAGCTGTATTATGGTTAGAACACCACGACCTTAGTGTATTTAGCAACTATGGTGGTTGTAGATGGCTTCATCTGAATGAGAGTGGTGTGGTGTGGAGTGGTCCGTGGGGGGGTGGTCCGCAGGGGGGGGTGAGATGTTAAAGCAACCCTAAAGCTATGTAAAGAGTTGCGATGCTATGAGCCGCCTACTTCCGCCGGCGGTCACTGCGACAAACATTGCACGGACGTTCGAACGGCGTGCACACGCTACAGCGCCGCCACTGCCCACAGCACATACTGGTGTTGTGGAGCGCCGTCTATGATCGGCAGCACCCTGTGCGAGAAACACTGGCGGGCAAATAAGGAGCATAATCGGGCCAAACGCGAGGCGTGCAGGGAAAAGGGCCTATGCCCAAAGTGCCGAACGCGAACTTCAGCAGTCGGCGGGGTGATGTGTCAGCCGTGCCTGGAGAACTTGCGAAAATCTACTCGCACACGCGTCGCGGCGAACAAGGCCAGACTTCGCGCATGGAAAGAGAAGGGCCTGTGTAGTCATTGTGGACATCGGCCCCCAGCCGATGGTCGCCTAGCATGTCAGTCGTGTTTAGACTACTTTCGCGACTACGAGAGGCAGCGGCGGCAAAGAACTAAAAGCAAGGGCGAGAACGAGGCCGACAAGGGAGCTGAAGTCTAACAACGTTAACCCTTCCTACCACCGGTACCGAGATCTCAGGTAAGAGTCCGCCGGTCTAGTGACCGGAGCATGAGACAGTGCGCCAATGCGGTGCTTCAGAGCCATCATTGCGAGAACATGATCTGTAACGTCCTTCTAGGATGTTGCGATACGGTCACTTTGCCCATAAGTTACACCTCTTCAAGTGAACATCGGTTTTCTTCCCATTCTGTATACCACGAGGTAAGTAATTGCCTTCTTCAAGTCACCAAGCTATTATTCAGCTTGGTTAGAATTTGACTTTTTCTTCCTACCCCTATCTATAGATAGCTCATAATTGTAATCGAACTTTTAACCACAGAACCCTTCAATGATCCAGTTAATAACTGTACGTGATCTTATCCTTGATGGGCTTTTAACTTTCGGGATCCTGTACCAGCTACCAGTAGACTGTCCCACAGGCAGTTGCAGCGAACACGATCGTTGGCCACGGCTTCTCCGTATAACGCACCCAGTAATCCGGGCCAGGCAACAAGGTTTTACGATAGTGAGTCAGCGGTCTCCAATCAGTTGCTGATTAACATTAAACTCATAGCCTGGTGGTGCTGCAGCAGTCTACAGGGAAGTCCTGCTTCTGAGTTCTGCTCGGTTCTATGCCGTGGGCATTCTTCCATAAATTTTCCGATGCATTTGACACGAGACGGTTCTTGCCCGCCGCGTCAAACCTGGTCGTTACATTGGCACCAAGACGTATTTATGAATAGATTCCTTCCCATAGTTGCATCTACGTAACTAAGTTGAGCCCCCTCCTTCGTAATGAACACAATCACATTCCTCAGCGCGACAGCTTTCCCGCCGTCGGGTGCGAGCCCTTTACCCCTAAACGACAATCTTCATGAGCAGCGCAGGCTACTTAGTACGCGTCCCGACGTCTCTCAGCACATATACCTGGCCGTACAAGTCTGTGACGTTGACGAACAGCTTCAACGCATCGAATAGGTGTTGCCCTCGAGTGCCCAGCTCCTGTCCGAACAGCTCCAAAGCCGTCTCTAGGCCCCGCCGCTCATACTCTGCGATCCATAGTAGCTCCGACTTGGCCTTTGTCTCAGCGGACTGCGCGTCGATGACTTCCTTTCCCCTGGTTAGTGCTGGGACGGAATGGAACTCGGGAAAGTTGACCGAGTTAAGGTTGCGCTCCTCGGCGTCTCGCGCCAGCGATCCATAGTCGTTGTACATTCGGCACAGGCTCGCCAGATGTCTACAGAGATCCTCGGATAGGTAGGCAGTCCGAGCTGACGTTGAAATGTCAGGGTCCCCAGGTCGCGCTTGTTCCTTGACCAGGCAGTTGAAAAACACGAAGGAGAATGGGCAGGAAGTGTGGTCGGCTGAGGTGCTGCGCACCCAGTGGTAGAAAGTTCGTCCTGGGTCCTGGAACTGCCGAGCTGGAGTTGACAGTTCTGGCGTGCGTTGACCATTGGTACTGCCAGTGCCACTGCCATTGCTCTGACTGTTGCTGCCATAGTGACCAGTAGAAGCCTCATCCTGGCGGCCGAAGCGACGATTGTCCTCCGCGTGGGAGACATGTGCCAGAAGGAAGGTCTTCAGCTCGAACGCCAGTCGTGTCTGGAAACTATGAGGGCACGATAGCACGGCGGAGTTGTGCAGGATATGGTCAACGAAGTCGTTCAGTATCATCCTGCAGTGCTCAAGTGAAGTCGGTTGTTCCAGCCCATCGTCGCGAAATTCGTCCAAAGGCGCCAGCTTCTTTCCATTCGGATCCAGTGGAGCTGCATGGTTCTGGACAGCAGCGTTTTGCTTTTTGGCGTTGGTCTTGTATGCCTGTCGCGTAGATACGAGATCCGCGAAAAGCTGCCCGATGAGAGGCTTGACCGCATCAAGGTCATCCCCTAATAGCTTTTCCACTACGCCTTCCATATACTCGTCGGCATGAAAGTTCAGAATGGACAGCTGCATCATCTGGTAGAGAATTGAGAAGCTGACAGGGGCCTCTTGAACTGCAGAACATGCCGTGAGTGCCAATGGTATGAGTGACATGTACTTGTCCTTTCCCTTGGCCGTGCGCGTGAAGACTTCCAGTGGTTGGCGCCGGAGCGCGCAGAAAGCGTAGCTTGCCTGCATCTCTGCGATACGGAGAACGTGGGGTTCTGTGTAGGCGAATAGCGGCGTCTGGGCTAGGAGATCGCCTACTTTCCTCATTCCGCGGATCAGCTCGTCCGGTAAATCAAGCCCATGGGAAGGAGGGATCTGTTTTGCTGGGATTGCCGGGAGAGGAACCAGAGCCGCGGCTAGGCAGTAAGCTTCAGCCAGCGTATTTGAGGCATAGGTCACTTTTTCGACCCAGATGTATTTGCCTTTGGTCCATTCACATCGTCGGGATAGAAGAAACGATATCCCCCTTGTCATCGCGGTGGATATAAAGCCAGCATCGAGCTTTCGGATCCAGGGCAGGGTCGAAAGTGATGACAACGCCAACACAGCGTACGATGTGACTTCGCAACCGCTTTCCCAACCGCCAGACTTCTGCTGATGATACAAGATATTGATAAGAAGGTGGAGAGTCACTAGGGGAATATCCTCCTTCAAGCTGGGCACCACTGTGTGGATCGTCGGCCAGATCCTGCTCTGCTGGTAGAGCACCGCGTACGCCTGGGACAGGAGCATCATCCAGTAGAGCTCTTTGATGTGCTTAACAAGCTTAGTTAGTCTAGCAATTTCAAATGCAGAGCCGGCCAAACTCACCCACTTCTCGTTGACAGGTCCACTGAACACCTGTGACGTTACATAGCTGGCAGCTTTCGCGATTTGCGACATGTGGAGCGCTGGGTCATCCTGCACCAGGAGAGCAATGAGGACGTTGCAATTAGCACTGAGACTCGGGTTGCGCTCGCCTGGATACGTCTTGAAGTGGTCATCAGCTTCAAACATCATGGTCAGCGCGTCAACCACAGTAGTCCTTCCTAGTAGACGGATGGCTTCGATACCCTTGGCTGTGTCGTCCGCGTCAGGGAAACAGCCTGGATCTTTGCGTCAAGAGTTGTGAGTACGTATGTGAGTTACGGATGCAGAGGAGAAGGCTTACAGAAGCCAAGGGTACCCCCATGGGCATTTAGAGTCTCTTGGAGAAACTTCCTCATTGCAGCGACTGTCTCCTCCTCGGGTTCAATCCCAGCTCGTACCAAGGTAGTAATAGTCTGATCGAAACGCCAAAAGTTAACAGCCAGCGCGAAGATGCCATAAGAGAGGCAAGTATCGGAGTCTTACCCAACTGATTTCGAAAACACTCGATGGCCACGCAGACGGGACACTCCCATCGCCATGTCCGGCTCCTTGTCGCAAGACATTTCGTAGGTAGGCTTCAGCCTGGTCATCCCAAGTAGAACTATGCATCAAGTATGCAGCTGTGGATGCCGGAGATCCCATGAGAGAGCCATTGGTATCTCTCCAGCACCGCACCTGATCAAAGTCGATATGCCCAATCAGTGCTTCCAGTGAGTGGTACAAAGTAGAGGGACTTTGATAGACAGACTCTGGCGGCAGTTTCGCTAATTTTGCTTCTCGCAAAGCGCGTAGGGAGATCAGCTGTGGAGAGTCTAACTTGACGCCCTCTTCTTCAAGTAGAGACAGGTGTTGGATGATTATCATCTCGAAGCCGACCTGGTCGCTATCACCAGTGTCCAAGTCATCTAGCATATGCCTCAAGGCCGCCTCGGCCTTCTGGCTTCTGAGCTCCCAGTCCAATCGATCGGGGCATGTCTTCAGGTGCTTCTTCAGAGCTAGAAGAGATGCAGCTGTGTTAAGTATACCATCAACGGGCGAGGAGTAAGACTCCCATGCTCCAGAGGGTAACTGGCAAGTTAGGATGAAGTCAAAGCATTCTGGAAACAACCACGGGTCCACGGTGCCTGGCTTTGGGTTCTGTACCATTGAAACCCAGGCAGTATCGTATATTGACGAGGACATGGAACCAAATCCACCACCGCCAGAACATTTCTCTGCCAAGGTGGCAAGGAGAGATCGCACTTGGTCGTGGAGAGAGGTTTCCATTTTGGAGTTCGAGGCAAAAGCGTAACACAGTATTTCGGTTGAGGCAAGCGAGCCTTCTCACAATCGAGACAATCGAGACATCTACTCCTGGTTTCCGGGGTACCCTATCTAACTACAACCTCATTATCCCATCTCTTATCTCTTCGCTGCATCAAGTCAACATCATCTTGAACCTTCCGGTATGGAGCCGCCAACATCAGGTGTGCCTTACTGGGTCAATAATCCAGAAGGGACACGGTTAGTGATGACAACCGCAGCGGAGCTACTTTCCCAATGTAGGGTGGACAACGATATTTGGTCTACAGTACCGAGCAGGTACCAGCTTGCCGTATGCGAGCGGCGTCTGTGTTGGTGTACGCTGATAAACGCTCGCCTGCGGTGTAACCACGGATGTTCGCGTATGCCAGCGATACCTTAATGCTTGGAGGAAGCACAACCAACTATCCCGGGTGGGTCGCATCAAGGCTACAACAGGCAGGCTACGACAGGGTTACCGCCGGGCTGCTACGCTGGATCACGCCATTCAATGTTCAGTCAGCTTATCAATGCAACCCCGGGACCCGCAGGGATCTGTTCTGCGAGGTTTGAGAGAGGGTAGAGTGGAGGAGTGCGGCTCGGTCTGCGGGTAAACTCTCCCGAAACATATGACACAGCCGGCTCCCCTATCACTGTCCCATTCCGAGCGCCCCGGACGAGCCGAAGTGCCGTGCTGTTGGGAGATACTTTTGCTAGGCTTCAAACGAAATGATCCGGGGCTCCTCCAGCGGTGTTTGCCATATCAAACGGTGGTGCGGGGCTCTATTGGGTGTAACTATTGCTATCGCGCGCAATACTGCAACGGCTGGTATGTGACTGTCCATTGCTCCGAGACCTGCATACGCCACCAACCGTTGTTGGGGCCTTCAAGCGCCTCAAGCGACTGCAATTCCAAGTAAACAGGTACACTGGGGCAGGTTGTCGACTTTGTCCGTTTTTGTGAGCTGAGAAATGTGAAGGTAAGACGTCGTTAGCTGTGGTAAAATGTATGAATCCCCCCTAACTAACCAACGCGCCAGCCTCCAGGGTTACGAAGTCAAGGAGAGATCACCCAACCAGCGGATTTTATCCCAATAGCATCCTTGTGATGGCGAGAATAGTATCCCGTTCGACTGACCAATTTTTTGCCAACTGCATATGGGACAGCCCTAGCTCCCAACTTCCAATAAGGGCTGCTTGTTAACGCCTATGGCAAAGTACTTCGCAATACTTGCAGTTGGATAAGTCGGGCTTCCGGCCGTTTGAAACCGTGGCGGCCTCGCCTTGACCCCTGCGCTTCTTTCAGCCCCAGTGATCATCTCGGCCGCTTTCTTTGGTGTATTGAACCGACATCGCATCTGGCATTGCAATTCGGCGCCGCGATATTTGATCCCAAACCGGGGAAGCGGAGGTTGGTGACATTGATGTACCCCATCTGCCAGTGTCAGACGCATGGTGTTTCGTAGCCTGCCTAACTGACTACCTATCGGTACCCTGGTGGTACCTATCATCGTTCATTTTGAGGAGACTCAGGAGAGCAGGCTGTGCTTCTGACCCCGCAGTAGTATCCCGGCCATGTTACACAACAGGCCAACAGAGCACAGCCCGACCGGCTGCAGTTGTAGAGCGGTGTAGGTACTTGTTGAGTCTTAAAATCACCCGGGGGGTTACGTGTTTAGGGACGTAGGCCTAGAGGTGTCACATAGATATTCTCTGGGCAAAAGGCTGAGTTGTACCCTGCCTGAGCGCCCTTCTTTGTCAAAACATCTCAACGTCTCTCTGGAACTCCTTGACAAGAACTTCAAACCCTGGGCAATCGGCCTTCATCTGCAAAATTGTCCTTCGACAGCATTACGTCCAAGGCAGCTTCATCTGGGAAAATGACGGCCAACCCCTCCAAGCCAATCCGCGTGTGGATTACTCGTAGGTGACCCCTAAATTGACTTCTAGGGCTGCAGTGCTGACAGTCGTTGTCAGCCCCTGGTCCTAACTCGTGGAAGGTAAGTCAAGAGCAACTAAGCATCTACACCATCAATACCTTTGCTGACCTCCATTCAAGACCATCTTCCTGCTAGAGGAGCTCGGCCTCAATTACGAGTTCAAGTCGTTCCGCTTCGATGACGTCAAGAAAAAGCCATTCATCGACATCAACCCTAACGGCCGCGTTCCGGCGATCGAGGACCCCAACACGGATCTCACTTTGTGGGAGTCGGGCGCCATCTCTCAATACCTCGTCGAGGAGTACGACTCAGATAAGAGATTGACATACACCTCTTTGAAGGAGAAGAACCTGTGTAACCAATGGCTACACTTCCAGATGAGCGGCCAAGGCCCCTACTACGGCGTGTGCAGCTGGTTCCAGCACTTGCATCCGGAGAAGATCCCTTCCGTCATTGAGCGATACGCCGATCAGATCAAGCGCGTTCTCTCTGTCTTGGAGACTGTGCTGGCAGCCAGGCCGGCGAATGCCCAATGGCTGGTTGGCGACAAGATGACTTATGCTGACATGGCCTTTGTACCATGGAACTTCCGCCTCGGCGAGGTCCTGATGCAGTCATGGGACGAAGTGTGGGAGGGCACGCCGCATGTTCGTGCTTGGCATGAGCGAATGATCGAGCTGCCTTCATGGAAGCGGTCCATGGAGCACCGCGCCCGCCTCATGGACGAGCAGGGTCTTCAGTGGAATGGTGTACCCAAGGGCATCGAGACTTTCACTGACTACGAAGCCAAGATAGCCGCTGGTGATGACACCACGCCGAAGGAGTGAGCGTACAGGGAATTATTTACTGCTGGGTCTTCTCATAGCCGAATGTACTTGTTCACGATAATGCGTACACTGTTTGCTTGAGTTCGTGGTCTTGGTGTATGAATGAATAACAACGAATGGTGCATTTTCGCCGATGAGAGACGCATCGTGACGTCCCCCGACACCAAATTGCAGGTTTGGCATCACATGAGAGAATACTACGTGTCTGGAGCACGATCCTGTACAGTGTTTTGAAATACGCAATTCCCCCATCAGTATGTCCCCCACATATTAAAGGTCGGATGGTAGCCAGTCTGCTCTACATTACACTGCTGATATATTCTAGCCCGTTCCATCATGGATACCTTGTGCCACCTAATGCCAGGATGGGTCCTAATATTGGCCATTCTCAACGCCATTGGAACCAAACCAAGCGTACCTAATCCGCATTCTTCGTTTCGCCAGACTCAGCCACCACCGCCGCGCTTTGCTTACTCTTCGTCGAGATCCACTTACAACCAAGCAGCAGTATGAACGCGATGGCCGGCGCAGATGCAGGAATATACTGTGTATTGTTAATCACAATGCCCAGCAGATGACGATGAGGTCGGAATTGATACTCACGAAGACTTGTGTGACGGATTTGCTATACATGTGAATGATTGCGGACAACTCAGACGCGTCGACGAGTGAGCCGATGTTTGTGACGCCCGCGTCAATGATCTTCTCTACCAGATCTTCTGATACAACCGCACCCAAGTTCGCCTGGAGTTGTTTCTGGAAGACTGTCTGGCCGATAGCCATGAAGATGGCGCAACTGGTCGATATGACGGAAAGCAGCGTCGAGGCCCCAAGCGGAACAAGATCCTGTGGGAGTGAGGACTGCATGGCGAGGTGCGACTGCGATCCACATGGGTATCAGTATGTAACAGCCCCGAAGCGCGCGGGTTGCCTACCAAGTTGGATGCTAGCGAGTAGCCAATGCCTCCGAAGATCTGGTACCCGATCCAATGCGCCGCTGATATCTCAGGGTATATGGTCGTCAACAGTCCACCCCCAATGCAGACGAAAGCTTCTGCGACTATCAGGAAGGGGTTCCACCAGCCAATTTGCGTGACCATTGCCGATCCTATGAAGGCGGCTAGGACGTCCGAAACCACTGTAGGAAAGAAGTTCACACCGCTACGTGTTGGCGACACGCCAAGGACGCCTTGAAACCAAATGGGCAGCCAGTAGATGATGACTTGGAAGGGCCCATTCACGAAGAACGCTGCTGCACAGAGTAAAGCCGGATTTCGGTTCACTGTGAATATCCGTGGCGGGATCAAGGCGTTCTCTTGTCGATGGAGCGTCCAGAAGACGAAGAGGATCATAGTCAATCCAAAGGCCACGAATAGGCCAATGATGACTGAAGAAGACCAGGCGTATTCGACATCACCCCATTGCAGCGCCAGCAACAGCATGGTAATCGACCCAGCGAACAATGCGAGGCCCAGCGCGTCTAGGCTTTGCAGTTTGGCCGCGATTGGTCTATTTGCAGTTTCGGCTGGGCGAATATGAACGAGAAAGAAGAAAATGGCAGCGGCGGCGCCACCGATAGGCAACTGTGGCATCGTGTCAGCCTCCATAGCCTCACTCATTGGATATCGAACGTACGTTGATATAGAAGCACCATCGCCAAGTGACGTTCTGGGTCAGCGCGCCGCCCAAAACGGGACCCACGATACTGGCAATTGAGAAGGTTGAGCCCATCACTCCGGTCTATACGGCCCGCTTGTGCAGTGGGATGATGGTGGTGATGATGGTGAAGGCGCCGGCAAGGAGCCCGGAAGCACCGAGACCGGCGACAGCGCGGCCCGCGATCAGGGCGTGCGAAGAGGGTGACAGAGCGCACACGAGGCTACCCAGCTCAAATACGAATAGGTACATGAGGTAGGTAGTCTTCTTGGGAAAGAGGGTATATATCTTGCCTGCGAGTGGTTGGCTCGCACACATTGCGACCATGAAGGTGGCGCCATACCAGCCGATGTCTCGGGTCGAACCGAACTCAGTCGTGATGACGGGCACAGCAGTCGCGATGAGGTTGAAGTCCTAGTTGTTCTTAGCAAGTGTCCACTTCGGCCCAGAATCGCACTTACTAGCCCAACAAGAAAGGTGCAGAGGCAGATGGCTAGATGGATCACTACCAGTTTGAGGCCCCGAACCTCATCCGCGGGATCAATGTCGTCTCCCATGCTAACTTCAGTCTCTACAGCATCATTGCCGCCATTCTTCTCTCCAGGTATGGTTCTTGCTGTAGCCTCGGGGGATGCCGCGGTGGCAGTTATGCTGCTTTCCATTATGAAGTCCCTGGTAAAGCACCAGATAGACGGGAAGCCGTACGTGAGCAGGGCAGCAAGGACAGAACTATCGCACAAGTCACCAAGTTAGACAGAACATGAGCAAAGTCTGCGCAGCTCGACGTTGAGCAGCGCCGGCTGTGTGGTCCTTGGTCTGCCCTGCCCAGCCCCAGAAACTCGGAGGTCGTACAAGCGAATCTGTTCAACCCCCCAAATTACAATGGACGATTAGGGGGCTACGCGGGCAGCGCAATTTCGGTGACTGCTGCTGCACGTCGGCTTGAAGGGGGGTCGGAACACGGAGAGATCTCTTCAATCATGTTAATACCACAACATTCCTGGTACAGCCGGTGAGATGTGCATGTGCTTGATATAAGGTAGGATTGTAGGTACAGCGTAGCCAACAGTCGTATTCGTGCTACCCCATGTAGGCTGATACCATGGAGTACCGCGCATGGATCATCAACCAAACAAAAACAACTATTTTTCTTAGCGCCCCGCTGTTAGGGCGTAACCTCGATATCTGCACTAAAGTAGGCACTTCTCTCAATAACTGACTATCTTTACCAAGACATAAGAGAATTTTTCTTATAAGCCGGATGGCATCTTTCTATGACGGGTACCCAAACATGCCTGTGGCCGTCCCGAAGACGACCAGTGGCGGCGTGCTCAAAGCCCCGGCCCCTAGAAAGACATACAGCTCGGCAACTCCGAGCAGGCTCCGCCAAGCGCTGCTTGACGACATCAGCAACAGCCCGTCACAGGTCTCTGAGGCTGACTTCACCATTGTTTCCCCTCTGAAAGGAAAATTCTGAAATATCAATGACGGCAGCACCACTGGAATGAAACAACCTCAATTGAACAAAATCTCTACAGACCAGGCCATTAGATGTGATATAGGGAGCAAAGCCTCTTCTTTAAAGTGCCAGAACCAAGTTGCCAAAATACTGGCTAAAGACAAGCACCTTTATAAAGCCAGGATGACAATGTTTCAGGAGTTTGCTGCAGTAGTTAATAAGACACTTAAGAAAGCTGGAACCGAACTATAAGTATAACACCACCATGATATCCTGGATTGCTCGAGTCCCAGGATGTGTCGCAAGCATTGAAATCTCCAGCTATAACGCAGCCAAAGGGTGGAGTCCATACTTCTAGAATGTCATCCACTTCTTGTGGGTCATGGCATGGTCGGTAGACGCTGGCAAATGTAATACCTCGTACCTTGACCCAAGTAATGTCTCGTGTAGCGTAAGACCGAAGTTGATCTGCTTGAAGATGTTTTCTCACATAGATGAGAGATCTGGGCTGTGTACTGTCGCTGTCCCAGGAATCCACTGGGGAATATATATCATAATTGGGGTGTGTCTTTATTCCCATTCTTCTGCCTGGTGGAATGCTGACCCAGGGCTCTTGTATCAGAACGATGTCTGCTTGTTCTCCTTGATAGTCAGCCAGGTTGATGGCTAACTCTGTAGGGCCTGCACTCTTTTGTCCTCCTGTTGCATTCATAGAGTGGATGACTAGATGCCTGGGTCGATATGTTTCATTTGATGTACCTAGTATTAACTGATAATAATGGTGTCGGCATCTCTGGGATGAGCTGTATCTGTTGTATCAATTTGTATTGTGGTGTCTTCGTCCTGCCGGTCTAGAAAACACATCCTGGACATATCCTACACTTTGAATCACAGATTCCTCCAGCAGGAGTTCTTACAGAGGCAATAAGACGGCGTCACGGCCTACGACTCGGACGTTTAGACCAAAGACACACTCTTGTTGGCAGACTCCAAGTACAAGCTCACAAGGAATCAAGAAGGCTACAAAGGAACTTCTAATTAATCCCTGACTTCCAGAGGCCAATACTCACCAAGTCATCATAGAAAAAGCCCCCAATTTGAAAGGACAAAGATAAAAAGACAGAGCTCTTTAAGGAATAATTATAAAAGAGAAATATGAACACTGACCTTGTCATTTACTCAAATGGATCATAATTGGACAACAAAGGCACAACCCGCACTGGATGGGACTACACCATCAGGAAAGGCGGCACTACACAAGAAATATACTGGGGAAAAGACAGACTTCTTTAAGCAGAAGTAATAGATGCTGAAGTCCATGGCACTCTCCAAGGTCTCACAGCAGCCAGGGCGATTGGGCGCAGAAAACGGCTATATGTTTGCCTGGACAACACGTCAGTGGTAGATGGGCTCAATGGGACTCCACTTGAGACATCACAAAACATTTTTCTATAATTCTAAGAACTTGCCACGGCACACACACCTGGAGTGACCATCAAGTGGATTCTTGGACACAGAGATATTGATGGTAACGAAGCTGCTGACACACTAACAAAAGAGGATGCCAAGCTAGAAACAGACGCAATAAACCTTCCTACAATCTCTTGGGTTAAGAGAGATTGTCACGGAACCAGGTGCTGACCACCATACCAACAGTCTGTTTCCCACACAAAAGGACGTGGAATACCAAGCTGGCAGCTGGTATTCTATGGTGGTAGATGTATCTGACGTCTGGTTGCTGGGCTCCGGGCTCACCACTTCGGGCTACCGTACCGTATGACCAGAACGTCACAGAGATCTCAAAAAGAAGGGCAAGAAAGAACTCGATCAATGGTGAAAAGACCAATCAGAACCTAGGTATCAAGAAGTATACTTATATACAGTAACTGAAAGGGGCCTTATATCTTTTAAAAGGAGCACTCTACACAGACTTCTAACAGCCAGATCTGGACATGGTGACTTTGTTAGATATCACAAACGTTTTGGGCATACAGACTCGAATGATCACTGCAGCTGCGGTGAGAAGAAAACACCACAACACATTTTCTTTTGTAAGAGGCTTGGGAAAAACTGACTGTTGCCCAGGTACTCGCCTAGGGCAGCCTGTTTACAATACTTGGGGGAGAGGAGCGCGGAATGGGCAAGATTTATTGAGAAAAGCAAGTTCTTTTCATCAATCTGCCCCTGATAGATAGCTGTTAAAGGACCAGATGGATGACCCCAAAGTCATACAGCCGCAACAACGGGGATGGGCCCGTGAGCGGGACTGACTGTACTTATTATCTTAATACCTCCATAACCTTGTGATGCAGAGGCTCTGGAAGGCGTGGTTTGCACTATTGAAGAGCGATCCCTCACGTTAAATACAATCAATCAATCAATACATGCTATCTCCAGAACAGCAAGTATAAAGAGGAGAGAATTGCGTTGTCTACTCATTACGAGGCAGATAGAAGGTCTTATGCTCTGGATTATCCTCACCCCTGGACTATTTAGTTAAAGTGGAGCTTTATACATTACCACCTTTACCCACGATTAGTTTAGTTTAGTTTATTTAACGCCATATGGGCTCTAGACTCCAGATCCTTGTGGATGTTTGGCGTGCAGGTGACTATCTCAGGGGCTAATATACAAGCCTTACTGTACAGGAAGCAGGGCATGACTCCCTCTTTCCCACGATAACCTGGAAATCGAACCTCAAGGGCACACATGTTATTCCGTCAGTTTCCGTTGGCCCCGCCATTTGGGCTCGTGCTCTGTGATATCTGGTTCGTAGTCGGTAGTCCGAATAGCGTCGAGGAGCTCCTCTCGCTTTGACAGTTAGTGCTTTGCGTTTAAAAGGCTATAAGCTAGAAGAAAATAAAAAACATAAGGAAAGATAATAAAAGTAGTAAGGAGATATGGTAACAAGCGCAGTTATACCTGGTGGTCGATGAACTGATGTTCTGTAACCCTGGGACAGACTTTCGTGTAGAATTCTGTCCACTTGCAGAAGTCTCCGAATTCCTTTGGGTGCGTTATCAGCCATTTCCAATAGGCTCTCCCTTCTGGTTTGGGTTCTCCGTTGGGTCCGCGGTTTCTTTGTGGCCACCTAGACCGTTCCGTAAGGGCTCTGTTGCAGAAAGCAAAGTGGGCTCGCGTTTTGATTCTCCCGCAAGAGCAGTTGTAGTGTTCCTCGTGCTTGAACCTCCTATGGTACCAGCTAAAGTCGCCGTGACCAGTTCTAGATGCAATAAGCCTGTGGAGCATTGGCCTGTCAAGCTTGAGCTTTTCTGGGCATTTGAGTGTAGTTTTCTGAAGGTTGAGACTTTTGTATTTGTTGGTGATGTTCTTGTCCCACCATTGCTGGTGTTCTTTTTGAGTCTTTTTATTGAGAAGGCCTAAGATGCCCACAAGCATGGGTTTGGCCCCGGTAGGGATTGGCAAGGTGGTGCCTTTCTTTGCCTTTTCGTCGGCCTCTTCGTTGCCTTGGATGTCTATATGCCCTGGCATCCACCGGACCTGTACGTCAACGTACGTGTCCGAGATTTCGTGGAATTCTAGGAAAGCTTCTTGGGAGCTCTGAGCTGGTTCCCCCCACAGTCCGGAGATCACTGCTGTATTATCTAGGCACACGTGGATGGTGGCGTTGCTGCTGAGCCTCAGGGCCTGTCTGAGTGCGTGGCGGGCCCCTTCAACCTCACTGTCAAAGACCTCAGCTGGGTGGCCCAGTCTGTCACAGCCCGAGGCTACGTTTGTCCGGCCTCTATAGATCACGTATCCATAGCGCACCGCCCCCTCCAGGGATTTCAAGCCATCAGAATAGGCGACTATGTGTGAAGGCAGAAGCGATTTTAGCCAGTCTATAAAGACTTTGGTTTCTTTGGCTTTGCTTCTTGTTATAAAAGCTTTGTTAGTGTTCGTTGCATATCTGGGTTCCATCGGAATTGGTCTTGAAAAATCCGGTGTGAGTTCATACGTCCTTTGGAGCCGTGTCCTTACGGTTATCCTAACTAGACCCCTCAGGCCTCTGCTCACGGGAGGGTTCCGGGCTGTGACACATCGGATTAACGGATGCATGTTATCCATAGCTCTGATTCTCAGGCTGAACTGTATCTGGATCTTGCTGAGTATGGTTTGTACTGTTTGTAAAGTTGATTCTTTAAAGAGTACCTTTTTTGGTGTAGTTCTCTAGACCGGGAGAATCCTTTTGATGGCCTCTGTAAGGACTCTTTTGAGGTCGTCTGAGTGGCCGTTCTGGCGGGTGCTCACGTCCTGGGCCTGACCGTTTCTTGCTCTCTTGTAATCCCCGGCCGCCCAGATCTCTGCCCCATAGGTCATGGTAGGAATCACGCATGCAATTACCGCTTTGCGGAGGGCTGCTGTTAGGAGCCCTCTGACAGTGTTTGCAAGACTTTGAATATGTCTGGCCACGACGAGGCCCTTGGCTGCCCGTCTTTTGACATGCTCCCAGAACTTCAGGGACCTGTCAAAGAAAATCCCCAGCCAGCAGACCACCGCCCCTTTCACCGGCTGCGCTGGTTTGATGGTGAAGCCTCCGGGGTGACTATTTCTGGTGTGAGAGGTCTCCTCCCAGTATCAAAGTAGATGGCTTTAGCCTTGGAGTCTTCAAAGATGACCTTATTGTCTAGGCCCCAGCGTAGAATATCGTCTACCATGCTAGCTGCCTTGGCTGCTAGCTCGGTAGTGGTTTTGCCCGTTATTCGGATGCCGACGTCGTCTGCATATCCGAATCTGTTATGCTTATCCTCTAAGAAGATATCTGCAATATACAGCAGGAAGAGGATCAGGGAAGCTGGTGATCCTTGTGGGAGCCCATAGCTCAGTCCAAATACCTTAGTAGTAACGCCTTCCAGTCTAATCCGAGCAGTTCTGTCCGATAAGAAGGAATCTACCCATTTTACAAGGGCTGGTGCCCAGCCCTGCTGGCGGAGCCTGAGGATCAATCTCCGGCGAAGTACTGCATCAAACGCCCCTTGTACATCCAGGGTGACAAGAAGGGCACCTTTACCTACGATTCTACGTCGCAATACCAGAATGGCATCGACCGGCGTAAGCGATGTCTATGACACCATCCTTAGGTTCGGAGATTACTATCAAAGGAGGTACTTCCTAGAGACGAACTCGATGAAACCTGTGTATAAGACGCTCAGCGTAGAAGACGTTGCCTATTATCAGCAGATACTGGATAGCCCCGACCTCTCAGCAGTTTTTGAGAAGAATCTCCCCCTCGATCTCGGCTTTTTTTATGGTGTGCGGGATCAGATTCAATCCATTTTGCGAGTCTGGGATGCCGTTCTCATGGAGAACATCCACGATCTTGTGAAACCTGATCCCATGGGTCCGAGCTGCTTTGACCGACAGGTGTAGGGGCTCCCAGAGAGCTGGGACAGCACTGCAGCTACGATTGGCCCTGCCAGAATCACAGGCATACATGCAGGAGAACTCAGGCGATGCCCTGAATCCCACCCTAATGAGCTCAAGGTGGACGTTACGGAACGGCGCTACAGGCGTCATCAATTGGTCGTCTTTGGGACGGCCACGGGCGTGTTTGGGTGCCCGTCGTGGAAAGATGCCATCCGGCTTGTGAGAAAAATTCTCTTATGTCTTGGCAAAGATAGTCAGTTACTGAGAGAAGTGCCTACTTTAGTGCAGATATCGAGGTTGCGCCCTAACAGCGGGGCGCCAAGAAAAATAGTTGTTTTTGTTTGCTTGCGCAAATGATGCAGTACATCTACTGATACCTGTATGTTCCCCTGCTAAATGAGCCACAGGTTGGCGGCTCGAGAGGCGATAAGGGGACGGATACTGCGAATTCTATGGTGAGCAGTAAATTAGGCAGGAAAAGTCAGCTGGTGTCATGCTAAGTCACTGGAAGCTGGGAGTGTTTCGGCAAATGAGGCTTCGGATGATGACGATGAGGAGGATGACGATTCGATGCTGGTGGGAATCAATTAACCAAGGCACAAAAGAAATGCTCCGGCCATCCAGCTTGGCACCTTATGTGTCGTTCATTGTCTGCGTAAGTAGCGCATTTGGGCTCAAGCAACACAACAACGGGGGAGCGCCGCAATGTAGCTTTGTTCCACGATATACAGTTACCGGATTCGGCTTTGTCTATGTCAAGTCAGATGAAGTTGCGTTCGGGCATGCGTTTCAGACTCTCCACAAGTTTTCGCTCTCAATATTTTGCAAAGTTCTTGAGCAACAGGATGGAAGAACGAGGCTTGAACGTCCCGGCGGCGACGCCGAAGGCGATTCCAGGCACGGCAAATGTCTCCTCGGAGGCGCAGAAGGTCGCGAGGGAGCTCATGACGAACTTCTCAAGCGCGAAGGAGAAGAGATTCGAGCTTGAAAGGGTCATATCGCAGGGCTCAGTCGGCGTAACGTTCAAAATGAAGATGAAGGATGATTCCCCAGAGTCGCCATCAAAGGAAGCACGAAAGGCAAGGGATGTGAGGAGATTCGTCATGAAACGAGCACTGACTCAGCGTTCGGAGAAAAACTTGAGACAGGAAGTCTCGGTTTTACGGGTATGTAAAGACTGTCCGTACGCCGAAGCGGAATATCTAACAGCCTATCCAGCGCTTTGCCGCAGCCATGCATATTTCAAGACCATTCCTCACCACGGAAGGCCAAGAGGGTAATAAGGTGCCTTACCTCCAGGGGCCCACGCTATTTACTGAGTGGGTTGACAACGGTCTCCTTTTCGACTTCATCGAAAGGGTGGGCGATTGGGACCAACCCTTACCTAATAGGATTCTATGGAGGTTGTTCTTATGCTGTAAGTATCGATCTTGTCGCATATATGTACCTTTTCTTGCTGATAGGTCTATTCAAGTATGTCGAATGGTCGTCGCTATGGCTTGGCCCCCGGCCGGTAATGAAGCCACAATCGAAACCATACCACAGGCTGGTGCGAATGGCATCCGACCAGCCATGTCGCGATTAGTCCATGGCGACTTGAACATTCGAAACAGTAAGTCCGCCCTCCTAAATCGGGATCAGGACCCATTCAAGTGATCTACTCACACTCGGTCTAGTTATGATCAACGGGATGGAACCAATGGAGCATGATATGGTGCCGATTCTAAAGCTCATCGACTTCGGCGATTCTCGCGACCTACCTGCCAACGCGACGTAAGTCACCGAGGAAAATACACTTGGGTTAATAATACTGAAGCCTATGTAGTCAATCGCCGGATATAGCAGTCAAAACCAACATAGGCTACATCGGAAGGGTCATGCTGGCATTGGTCGGTGGAAGCCATCTTGGCGGCAACGCAAACATGGAGGTCACCGATCGAGGCACGACGAAGACCATAAAGTCCTTCGCGCGCGACCTCGATGGCCTGAACGCGGCCTACTACAAAGCGCTAGCGAGCATCGTGGCTCGACACAAGGTCAAGCTAGACAACCTGGACCCCGATATTAGAGATCTCGTGGCGTTGTGTACGGCGTTGAGACCAGTGGACCGGCCGAGTATCGAAAATCTCGTGGAGGATGTTGAGAGGAACGTTAAGGACATGAAGGCGGCAGACTATGCCAGTTATAAGTTTTCCCAGAACGAGACGGATCAGGCGGTGAGGAGGATAACGCGGGAACTTATGCTCGAAGGACAGACCACATCGTCACCCGCACCGCCAAGCCTCGGCCTAGCAAGGTTAACAATCTAGAATAGAGGTGGAGATTCATCAGTTTGAGTCTGCTCGTGGCTTAATGTACCATTTTATTGCTCCAATCGACAGTACCGCACAGATTGCACTCAGCGGGATGCACGTGCTGAAGTCTCGAACAGTCTACAGAAACGATCCATTTGGATGACTACAGTGAGCCACAGCAAGGAATCATGAGTTGCATCCATTGAGATAACGAGTGTCCAGTCTGCATAGGAGAATGTCGACCTCAGTCAAACCGCCATGCCCTCGCTGTCCCACCAAATTCGAATCCATTTCTCCATGTCTGGTGGGATGACACTGCCAGCTTCCTGTAGCGAGTGGCTGGTAGAGATGGCATTGGCCATCTCCCACTGGGGAAACACTTTCTCTCTAAGTTTCTCCTCGTAGAAGTCTACAAGCTTCAATGCCGGGTTTACGGGCGTGGCTTCCTGTGCGGAGCCGAGGTCACCAAGGTTGGTGGTGACCGCGCGAAGCTTGTTAAGCCATTCCAGACGTGGGCCAACTGCGACTGGGCGTCCATCACGACTCTCACCCAGGGATTCCCTTCCACTCGGGCCCCTAAGTGCTTCCACGATACTAGGTAACACAACTCTCCAGCTAGTTCGCTCCGGATTCATCAGGTGGTAAACGGGAGCACCAGTCAGCAGCCGGCCTTGGGCCAGAGCAGCCCGTTCCTTCATCGCGATTTCGACAAGGACATCGGCGAGCACGTCTATCGGAAGCCAGGTTACGTCCATAGTGCCCGGATCATAGTCACCCAGCGAATCCGGTATGACGCCTAGGCTGAAGGATCCCATTATGAGCCGAGGAAGCCATTCCTTAGGGTTCCAACGTCCGGGGCTGAGAGTCGCCCCACAAACCGAACCTATTCGCACCACAGTGGCGGGTATGTGTAGTTTCTTGACAGCATGGTCTAGCATGCGCTCGGCCAGATACTTGCTTTCGCCGTAGCCTGCCGCCACAGGGGCGGACAAGTCTTCAATGATCTCCTCAGGGAGCACAGTGCCGGGGCGGAAAGCCAGGTTCATTACGGCGCTGACGGAAGACAGGAACATAAAATCTGGGCGAAGGGGGCATTGTGCAGAGAAATTGCATAAGTTCTTAACGCCTACGAGGTGCTCGATGAAAGATGACAAGAGGAGGTTGAAGTCAACTGGCCAGGCGGTGTGAATGATAAGCGTGGCTGATGAGGACACGGCTTGGAACATGCCTGGCTCAAGGCCGAACGTCTCGTGGGTTAGATCTTCCTCCAGGAAGTGAACGGTGTCGGCGAACGCTGTAGGCAGTTCTTCGTCAACCTCCGCGTTGTGGATGCGCTGTCTTGATGCCGAGTCTGAGCCGCGGTCGAGGCAGTAGATAGTCCCGACACGTGTGCTTTGCATGAGTGAGCGCAATATGTAGGATCCTATATAGCCTGTGGTTCCCGTGATAATGCAAACGTGGGGGTCAGTGTCCCTTGACTTATGCGTGCTGACAACGTGGGACTGAGCCTCAGCGAGTTGATCGATGCGGTTGATGAAGAGCCCCAGTGTTTTCTCTACTTCTGACTTGCGCCTGGCCTCATCATCCGCTGTCACAGGTCCTTTACCTCCAGCTAGTTATGGATGACTCTGGCGAGCGCAATGGGTGTCGGGTTGCGGTAGATCGTGGTTGGCTTCAGGGTATCCAGAGACAATCTTGACCTGAGATCACGACACAGACACAGAACCTGAAGGGAATCGACCCCACGAGCCAGCAGCTCTTCGTCCATATCCACTGCGCCGACAGTGGTGGATTCCTTGCAAGCGGTCTGAACAGCCTCAACTACGGATCTCAGGCGATTTAGGTTGACTGTGCTGTTGGACCCAGCGGGTGGTCCATCATGGGCAAGTTCGACTGCCCGGTATAGATCGTCGATCTCCTGCTCGTATATCTGCAGTGTGGCCTTTCTCATCACTGTGCCTTAGGGAGTCCGTAGAAATGCCTTGGCTGGGTTTGTGAAAAGGATATGCGACTTCGCTATCCGAGCATGTGCTGGCGAGGTCTGGTTGGCTTGCTGGATAGTTGGCCATACCTTCCGGTAGTCGATCTTGTCTTGATTCGACAATATGTCTCGAACTTTGAGCTCTATAAGGACACCGGCTTCGAACCTTTAGCTTCCAAACATCAGCGCCCCTTCGATGTCTGGGTGTTGGCTCAGGCGGCTTTCAAACGAGACCGGGTTTGTCTTTTCACCATTGAGGAGGACGATTATGTCATCTGCGCGCGACGCGTGTGCCCACGTGTCCTGTTTCGTAGGATGACGCGTGAAAAGGTCACCAGTGGCGAACCTGTCTTGGTCGGGATATCTGTCAAAAACAGGCTGATACAGTTCGGTGGACGGCGATCTCGCCAAAACGAGCTCGAAACTTTGCTCGTTTTGAGGCTCAAGTACGGCACCCGCCTTAGGATGAAACGCCATCTATTCCCAGTCCTTGTAGTAATCCATGGCATCAGGGTAGGTAATGGGAAGACCTGCGGTCTCACCTGAGCCTAAGAAGCTTGCAAGTCGGATCCTTTTGGCGATGATATCACCTAGCGTCTTAGGTAGGCTTCCGCCAGCAAACACTGCCATCTTAATCCGTGAAGCAACCTGGTCGAGCATTGCCTCATCCTTGGCAAGGGCTTCCAAAGTGAAGGGCGCTGTCGTCACCCAGTCGGCCGGTGTGGTGCGAAGGATATCTATGATGCTCTCAGCAGAAGGCGGGGCTGTCCATGACGGCAGTATCACCACACTGCGATTATAAACAGCATTCAGTATGCCCAGTTAGACACCACCCGGGTGGATGAGAGGTAGCAGAAGAATATGTTCGTTGCTGGCGAGCTGCGACTGCAGTGACGTGTAGCCCTTTGGAGGCTCTAGCGAGAATGTCCTGGCTACACGAAGAATGAACTCATGCGTGTATATGCAAGGTTTGGGGATCCCAGTGGTGCCCGAAGTGTGGCAGACGAAGGCCCCAGCCCCGTGGGCTGTGTCCGTTGTCTGACGGTAGAGATAGGGCAGGGAAGGGTGGTTGATCAGGTGGTCCATCTCTCCCATCCTCAGAAGCCGCATCGGCCGTTGCTCTAGTATCTCATTCAACAAAGGAGTTGTGGGCCCTGCTATAATGATTGTAGTGCATTTCAATTTCTCAAGAGGATCCAAATAGGCCACGAGGCTGTTTCGTGGACTGGTCAGAAATAACTGCGAAAATGTTATTGTCAACCCGTCAACCGAGGCACTCGGACTTTTCCAGGATATCTTACTTTATATCCAGCTTTTATGCCACCGACGAAGGCGAAGACATCACGGAACTCATTAGGCCTGAGATATGCGATGGCCGGCGTTCGCTCCTCCTCACCTCGTCCTATCTCAGTATCCAGCCATTGCGCGACTCCGATTATGGCATTGGCCAACTGGCCATAGGTGACGCATTGGAAGCCGAGAGCATAGTCTGTTGGATCAATCATATATCTGCCTTAAACCGCCTCCGGCTCCCGGTCGGCAATCTCGTCAATGGCGAGAGGGAGAAGTTTAGGATTCTCGTCGCGTGCCATGACTACCTTGTCCCCTTTCTGCTTCGGTGCAAATGATGAATGGTCCTGCAATGCTGTTGCTTTTTCCTGCTGTTGTGGTCAAATTAGACAGACCGGGCAACATCGGAAGTGACTGAAAGAACGAGTTTGCGGCGAAGAATTGGGGGATAGATATAGACATGACAGGCGGGGATCATGCAGGGTGCCTTGACGGTTGGCAGGACACAATACGGGGCTGTGCAGGCACCAGATCCAACTGCAGGAAGCTCTGTCTTGCGACCCCCACAATGTTGTCACTCTCCCCTTGCGTTGGCTGTTTAGGGTCGGGCAGCGTCCCGGCTGATAGAGTCATCGCTGCCATGCCAGATCCACGTGGTGCCCTTTTCGAGTGGATTAGCACCCCCATGTTGATGGTAACTTAGCAGATTATACATTGAGGTGTTACGCCTCCAAATTGCCAAGATGTGTCCCTATTCCCGTGTACTCCCGTATCCTCTCGAACACCACTTGCGCGCTTTGCTTTTGCTGTGGCGTCGTACGTGCCAGGTTTCCCTTTATGACCTTAATGGGCCAAAGCAGTAGATAACCCCCTATTGCGCGCGACCGCAGTGGCCCTGATGTAGCATCATGCATGCAGCCCAAGTGGTTTATATCACCAAGAGACTGAGGCACAGTTGCGAGAATATCATCGGCGAGAATATGGATTGCGGTCGTAGATTGCTCCGACATGACACGTAACGTGTCGATTGCTGTGACATCCAGGTCGGAGGAAGTCAAGACAGTTTCAAGAGCTTTGAGCAGGTGCTTGTGAGCAATGATGCGTGCTGTACGGTGGTAGTTCCATTCGTATGCCATCCAAACATCCGCGTGAAGCTGGATAGTGTTCGTCAAAGACCGAGGGGACGACTCAAATGCTGGTAAATCAACTACGTTCAAGGTTGTATACGACCAGCGCGGGGTTTGCCGCCATCTGACGGTCTCTCGGTCGAGCTCGAGCAGTTCGTTTACCACGTCGAGGAACTGGGCGACTGGTAGACTGCCACCTGAAAGGGTTTGCTGTAGCTTGCGAGCACGTTCGCAGGTTTGGCTGATGCGTAAGGCGCTTTTCTCTAGACGCACAAAGGGGAGGTCCTCGTTCAATTGATCGATCCAATGACCTGACTCCACGAGTGGCGGCAAATTGAATGCTAGCTGCTGCTTTTGCTAAATCATGTGTAAGCGTGTGTGAGGTGGTAGTAGATGTCTACTCACAATTCGATGATGCGCAAGTCGGAAGAGACTCCAACCACGCGGACTATGAACTTGCTCATGGCCTCGAATCCGCAAGATCTGTGCCATTCCCTGTGCATGTGTGCCTCTAGAGGCAGAGCCCTCGACGAAGAAGGTCTGCGACACGTGTCAGTAAAGAAGGATGAACAACAATCGCGGACCTTACCTCAAACATGTCCAATATAACCACGGTCATTAAGTCAAAATCATCGGGAACTTTGCCTGGTGTTGATAATGACTCACCCATGGCGGAGAGCGACATTCCATAGCACTGGTACGCCTTCTGCGCCAGTGGTTCACTGTCCTGGCTCTTGGAAAGGTCGGCATATGCAGCAGCTTTGACTGCCCAACGTAGCGCGAATCGACCTTCTACGTTCACCTCCTTGAACAGGCTTGGGAGGTGTTCGAGGAAGCCAGGCGACGAGCCCTCGGTACATGGGTACATGACATATTTTTCCATGAATCGGTCGACAGCATCACACTTGACGGCTTGCCTTGGAGAATCTTGACCGCGTTTGACCCATGGTAAGTCTCCACGAAGTTGAACACTTGTAATCTCGCTCTCTGCCAAACCGCACGGATCGAAGCGCCGCGACATCGAGTGACCGCGGCCCCGCGGTCTACCGGCAGAACGGCTTCTCCCTCGACTACTGTTCTGTTGAGATGGGATATTTGATGGAGTCAGTGTCGCAGGTGTGTTGGCATTCCCGATCACCTTGTTTGTCTCGTGCCGGAAAATGAGAGACGCTTCATCACGATACCCCTCGCAGACCTCGTTCCGCTTGGTACACCGCTGGCAGGCAGGCTGTCCCTCGTCGCATTTAACTCGTCTCTGGCGACAGCGCCGGCATCCACGACTGACGCGTGACATCGGATAGCAGCGCGCGGTGTGAAAACGTAGATATCCCAGGGGTATCCAACACGGTTTCGCAGGCGCCCGCCTTGGGCTGCGCGTCTCTATGTCTCCGCACTAGACCTTCGATGGCGGTCGCAAATGATCAATGAAGTAGCTGGAAGATGGCGAAAAGACATTCCCTAGGAATCTGATCGGAAGCTCGAGGCTTGGACGCGGCCCTCGGGATGATTGCAGTCTGGCGAGAGGGACTCCGACATTCATCATCGTCGGGAGAAGCAGTTGGGTTCCAGTTCGCCGCCGATCAATGGTGGGGCAGCTGCGCGTCCGCCGCCAGCTGGTCGCAGCTGAATGCACAGATATAGGGGAGTAGCTTACAGAATGCGTATTGTTGAATGGGAGCCGGAAATAGACACCGGAAGATCTCCAGTGGGGCAGAGACGCACAGGGCATCTGACCCACCAAGACAGATGATCAATCTCTGTACGCTGAAGAAGCAGAGAAGGACAAGCACAACAACAGAACACACTTGACAACCTGAATAATCTGAACTCGCTTGCATCTAACACGTATATACCAATGTCAAAGCGCTCCCTATTCTACTATCCAGCGGCCACGAATGGGTTGAAACATCACCTGCGTATGTAATTCAACAGTACAAAAGATGTAAACGAAGATTTTATGTAATTAGTGCTACTTCTTAAGGTATGGCTAAACCAAGGTCACGAACAACTCAACGGATATCTACGGTGGACTGATATTAATGTAAATATCTACGTCAACTTAATTCACGGAAACCCTGCAGCCTTAGTAACTAACATAACGACGAGGCCTTTGTAAATTGATATAAATTAATATAGGTTGAGATCGAGATTTTAAATTCTAACTATATCCCAAAAAAAAATTCCTGATAAATCGTGCCGAAATATTTCGAACTTTTAGTGGTTTTTATCAACGTTAAAAATACTTATCATAATAATTAATTATAGTGTTATTAACCTAATTTTACTAACTGTTTTACTAGGTGTACTTTAAATAAAATCTTTAGGTATACATGGATTTCTAGCTACACATGCAGCCACCTGCTAGGCTTAATAGCTTTTACGATCGGATTTTATATAATAATGTTACATGATTTTAAATTATTATAACCGTTACGATACGTCGATCGCAGTTAAATATAATAAAAAGCTAATTAAACTAGATAGCCGTTACGATCGGGTTTCGTATGATAGTAATATATAATTTTAAATTATTATATTTATCGGTCGCGTTTAATTAAGCTAAAGACAATAGCTTCTACAATTAAGTTTCGTATAAAAATGCTACATAATTTCAAACCGTTATATCCTTTTAGTTAGATACGGTATTTGCGATTAAATAAACTGCTTAGCCGAACTAAATGGCTATTACGATCAGGTTTTATCTGTAAACGCCATACAATTCTAGATCACCATGTCCCTAGCAGCTGGGCTGTTAGCTGGCTGACTGGCTGGCTAGACCTGGTAGTAGTAAGCTTGATAGCTGCCAGCTGACTAGCAATTGGCTGGAAATCAATATACACCTAAGGATTTTTTTCTATATACACCTAGGAGGACTGTTTATTAATCAACTTGACGGAAAGCCTTTATTAGTTAACGTTAATTAATTTAAATAGAAGATTTTTGAAAAGCTTAACAACCCACTTAACGAGACCCCCTCGTTAACGTGGATTGAGTTGGTCGGGACCTTGGGCTAAACTATTCTTCCAGTAGTTCCTTGCTTCTCCAAGCGTCTCATGCACCGGTGTAGTAACTGTCTTCACATTCTCCTGGAGCTGTCTCATCGGCCATATAACGCGTGACTCGTCGTCTTTACTCCAGCATCCTCGCCCTCCGCGCTGGTACACATCGACTCTGGAAGCCCAGGATGCGCTCAAGTCTGCAACCCCAAGTGGCGCAGACTCCCTTTCAGTAGCAGGTTTCTGTCAAACAGTGCGTGGGGGCTTTTAGATGGGTGCAAACGTATATTCTGGTGTAATCCGTGTTGTTGTTGTCTCTGTGTGAAAATCCTTCTGTGGGCTAAGTGGCCCAAACATGCCCTATTGGCCTTGTTGGTGCACTGCCACCTCCCTGAACGCCACGGTGGCTTGCGAGCCATTCAACAGTTTCCACGGCGGTTTCAAGGCCCCTAGAGCATGTAGCCTCTCAAGATCCCACATCACATACCCCCATTTCCGATGATTCCAGTCAACGTCGTCATGAACGGACTCTAACAACAACCTCCATATTGTTGCAGGGCCGTTATCCTCATCGCTGCAGTATGGTCGGTCCTCAACATTGCCTCGGACCAGTTATCGGGACCCTCGTGGTTCATTATTTCCAGTGTGACGGACAAGAAAGTGTCATTCTCGCCGGGGGCATCTCATCGACTCTCAACGTCTTCTCACGGTCCGGTTAAGTCTCGCACTCGGATATATCGAGGACCTTTTTAAGGCCAAGGCTCAGGAGATGTTGTATGGTTTCGGAGTTGACGTCTGAGCCGAACCTGACATGAAATTCGCCCCACACAATAGCGTGCTCCGCAACATCGTCGAACATTTTTCAGGTAGTCAGCTGGAATCCACAGTTCACTGGACAGGGTGGTGACCTGGGATGACTTCTCTGGCTAGGAAATCATTCATGCAACCGATCTGCGCGATTTCCCATGGGGGATATCTCGAGAGAAAGATGGCAGCATAATCCGTAAGCATCTGGCCCTGATAACTCAAGCATCCGAAGAGTTCACGGAACGTTTCGAAGCGATATAACCCACGTGCAATCCTATCCTTCTCGCGTGGGGTCGCCGGGCTTGACTCGAAGCTTTGCTGTAGCGGGAACTCGGATGTCTGAGAACAAGCGCGGAGGAAGCGATCTAGAAGCCTGGAAACGACATGTCGGTGGAAGTCGTTAAGGGCAAGGGCATCTAGTGATGTCCACTTGGTCGATACAGCTTCTCGACGGCGGTAGTCTCGGAGGAATCCGGAAATGAAGTTGTAGAGTTGATCTTGTTCTCCATCATTCGGCACCATCGGGTCCTCAACACGGGTACTGAGGTAGGGAGGCTCACATCGGTAAGCGATGGTGGCTTCAAGCAGAGTGTCGTACCCGACGTAGTTGATGAGAACCTCTCGAACCAAGCTGACTTCATTCTGCTTGAAGGCAACATAGTACGCGTGACAGCTAAGGGTAGCGCAGCGCATGGATCGAGGATCCGGTATAGATGCCAGTATTGTTTGCCTGAGCTCTGTAGGGAGACGCTGGAGAGGATCATGAGTTTCTCTAGAGGGTCCCTCAGTAGGTACCTCCATACTGCCAGCTGTCTGTCAGCTTCTCTGCGACCTGGTGCCTAGGTCTGCTAACGCTTGGACGGTGTGCTTCTGACTGTTGACAAGTTGGCGCGAGGAGGATTGAATCGCCCCAAAACATGATGCATTTGTTCTCGGTTCCGGAAGTCGTGTGCTATTGGCTTGGTGGTTCCATTTGGTCATGAGTAACTCATGCAAGGTATAATTGTGCGCGGCTGGACATTCCGTGCCCCTGGCGCAGGCACGGAAGAATGAGGCCTCCGAGCGCCGACGTGGCCCCTGACTTCGTAGCCACATTGAGGAGCTGATAGGGGCCCCCCACACAGAAGGTAGAGTTGTTCAAAAACGCCTGAATCAGCTGTGAGGCGTCCCACGTCTTCTGTTGCGCCAGCCAGTAGAGCCCGGCAGCTCTCTTGCGACAGCCCACGGCCACCGTATTGAACAGGAGTTTTTCACGAGTCCAAGGGGTCAGGATGATCCAGGTAGCGGGTGTTTGCGTCGGAGTTCGCGTCCTAGGTTGGCTCATGGTTTCGACGAACTGCCCCCATGAACCACGGCGTAGGTCTCCCACCCACGCGCAGAACCATGACTCCGGCCCCGTAGACAAGCGGATATCCTTCTGCTCTCGCATGCTGATATCCTCTTGGTGGTCTTTTGTCATTTGGGCCAGCTTCCCTTCAAGATGCTCTACGGCGTTCACTCTGCCCACCGTCGGTCGAAGAGCTTAAAATTTTTTTTTACCCCAAAAAAAACCCCTTTGAGTTTCAGACGCATGATTTTGCTCGAGGTCCTATCCAATATTTGTTTCGGCCATTTTGGTTACCTCGCTGTTTGGACGCTTGAAGGTAGACATATCCTTTTGATCATTCTCCCAATCCATCAGGAGACTCTGCGACGAAGGGAAATTCCGGTACTGGAATCTTGCGTGCCCAGCATGGTGCAGTGTCTGGCTGAACCCTTGTTCCCCATTGTATTGGGTGGCAGTGAGATCAGCCGTAGTGAAATTCTCGGGTAACATCTCCCACCCCCCTGCGGACCACCCCCCCGCGGACCAGCGCGTTCTGACCCACAAACGCGTAATTCACCAACCACCAGGATTATGGTGATCCACCATCTACACCATCACTTTTGCATCTTTTTTTCCACAAAGTACACTATTTGAATCCTTATCTATTGCTGAATCTCATGATGTCATTTTACGACCGTCAAATAAAAGTTGAAGCCGCCATTTTGGCCATCCAACGCGGAGCTCCAGTCCGCTCGTCAGCCCTCAAATGGCAAATCAGTCGCTCGTACGTCAACCGACGAATCTCTGGCACCCCAACGCGGAATGAGACCAGCGCTCTCCAACAGGCTCTCTCACCGTATCTCGAACATAAGCTGGCAAGCTGGGCCCTGGGGCAAGCACGGCTAGGGTATTTTCTGGCGGTCTTTAAGTTCTGTCTCATGGCCCAGCGGATGCTCCATGCCACCGGGGATGCTCGAGAATTAGGGAAAAATTGGGCATCCAAGTTCCTGTCTCGAAACCCGGAAGTCAAGATAATGAAGTCTCGTGTTATCGACTACAACTGAGTGAATGGTGCTACAGCGGCAAATATCAACATTTTTTTCGATCGGTGTGACGCCCCTGACGTGGTTAACCTCATGCCAGCACGCTGGTACAACGTCGACGAAATGGGAATCGCTCAGGGGGTTGGGGACTCCCATTGGGTGGTCTCCGAGGCCTTTGGCAACGTGGCTATGAAGAAAGGGGTCGAGAAGGGTGAATGGATAACTGCCCTAGAGTGTGTGAGCGGATCTGGTGAGACCTTGCCGCCGCTGGTGATTCTTAAGGAGATTAACGTACAAGCCCAGTAATTTAGCAACCAAAACAAGGGCAAATTCACCAATTGGAGGTTTATTACGTCGCCCAATGGATGGACCTCGAATCCCATTGTGTTAGAATGGTTTCAACGTATCTTTATTCCTCATATTCGGGAGGTCCACGGCAACACATGGGTGGTTTTGGTGTATGATGGCCACGACTCCCATACGAATGACGAGTTCCTAGCCACCTGCTTGAGAAACAAAATATGGTTGATCTTTTATGAACCTCACTGTTCCCATGTAGTCCAGGTGTTAGATGTGGGAGTCTTTAATTTGGTGAAGAAGAGGTTGAAGACCTTATTCCTGGAGACGCCCAGCGGCCGTCTGGGACACAGGCCATCTAAGGAGGAGGTTTTGGAGTGCTACGAGCAGGCCCGGAAGGACACAATAACGCTTCTCAATATCAGAATTGCCTGGAAAAAGACTGGGATTGTTCCTCGCAACAGAGCGGAGGCATTGAAGTCGAAATATGTGATTCTGGAGAACAAGGGGGTGGCCAGGGCCCGCCAGAGGGACCCTAAGGCTTCCGAACGAGCCACAACACCAGATTTTCTCGAGATGGTAGCTAAAACCATTGTCACAACACCTTCTGGAAGCCGGGCTTTGCGGGAGAGTGCTCGAAAGCTCGAAAGAAAGGACCCTTCCTTTGAGGGGCCCTCTGAGCGCTTGTTGGTGCGGAAGGCTGGCAAGGCCATGGATGTCAGGCTGTTACCATTGCAAATCTACGGGCCAAATGTGAGCTGCTTAAGGCTCAAGTGATTAAAAAGGCTAATACCACTCGAAAAGCAATCAAACCAATACCAGGGGAACGATTCGTCACAATGGCTAACATAAGGGAGGCCAAAATGGAGCTGAGGAACAGGAGGGTCTATAGGGACTCCGCTGCAGGCGAAGAGGTCCCACAAGAGGTCCCTGGTGAAGATTTAGGGTCGGAATCGGATTCTGGGAGCTGTATTATGGTTAGAACACCACGACCTTAGTGTATTTAGCAACTGTGGTGGTTGTAGATGGCTTCATCTGAATGAGAGTGGTGTGGTGTGGAGTGCTCCGTGGGGGGGTGGTCCGCAGGGGGGGGTGAGATGTTAGAGCCATAAGTAGACGCTCCGAGGGCCTTTGAAGGTCGTGAGGTCACAGTATCAGAACACCACCAGGGCCCTCAAATATAAGAACCATCAGCCATAGGCTCCCTTCGACAATCGATCGTGAGAGCCTCCCTTCGAAGGACTTGGCGAGGTTCGCCATATCCGCCTGTCGCTTGCCGTAAGCTTCCACTTTCGACAGCGTATTCCGAGTGTTCTTCGATTTCGAGCGATTTGTCCCTTAAGGAAGGTGAACTGCGACTCGTGGCCGTTCAAGCAGGCCGTTTCCTAGTTCACTCTTTTTCACATATCAGTGTCGAACATCTCCACTTCATGGCGTGATCACTGCAATAGGTTATGGAGAGATTCGTACTGGTTTTGAAGCTCCTTTGCTCGTTTCTTAGCTTTCTCTATGTAGGCGCAGGGCAACCCAGGTAAGGTTCCGACCAACTCAACGGATATCAACATATTATTTAAGTCAACGTTAATATCTACGTCAACCTAATCTACGAGGACCTTTATAGCCTTAGCAGCTAACTTAACGATAAAGCCTTCGTAATTTAATATTAACATTAATATGGTTAAAAAAACTTTTTTTACTAAATTCAAATATCTAAGTTATAATAAGTTATATTAAAATACTTCTTATGCCTTATAAAACCTTATTAGTTATAACTATTTTTTCATATTAATAAATGGTAATTAATATAAACTAAAACTCCTTATTAATCAACGTTAGTCCACTCAACTAAAATTTCTTCAAAAAGCTTAGCAATTTACTCAACGAGGAGGTCTCGTTAACGTAGATTAAGTTGGTCGGAACATTAAACCCAAGGGGTAGTTTCTTATAAGCAAAGTGTTGCCCCTGCGAAATCTCATTTATATTTTCCTCTACCTACGCACAAAGTGTTGAAACTCGTCTTAATAAATGCCAGTGTGGCTAGAAAGGGGCGCTGCCTTTATCGATTCAAGCGACCTTATGTCCATTGATTGGCCTGGAACTCCTACTTCCCACGCCATCTGACAGAGTTGTTATGATCTCTCTCACGAATGTATGCACTGGGCTGAGGGATGCGTGACAAGCAACTTATTGAACCTTAACTGTCGATGCGACGAATGATTCTGGGGTGAAGCGTCTTGGCCAAGCAGACCCTCGAAGTCAACCCCTCTCCTCCGCACCAGCTCACCAATAATCAACCGGTTGACGAAACTATGACCCAATGTCCTCCTCGAGAGTGAATCGTGTCTCCACGCGGAGAGCTTGGTGGTATATTGTGTTATTGCCTGACATCAAGGCTGAGGTCATTCGCGACCATCGCACACGTGGGAATAGGGGGATGCCCCAGTGCGGTCTGGTGCAATGCGGTATAAAGAGAAGGACACCCCGGGAGACTGACGCCGGCCATTAGTATCCCAAAACCTGTAAAATCTCGGGAACTCGTAACGGCAGCAGCCTACAATCCTGCAAGCGAAAAAAGCCTACACAGGTCATCCCATATGCCCATCTACACCCAACGTCTACCCACCCAAAATCATGTCAGCGGACGGCCACGGACTCCCGGACGACTCGGTGCGGAGTGCCCACGACATGATCCACCACGCAGAGCAGGAAGAGCACGAGCACGAAGCCGCCGCCAAGCGCGGGCTACCCGACTGGGCTGCCGAGGCCGAGTACGACATGATGCACGGCGCAGAGGTGCAGCAGGAGGCAGGTACAAACGCTCTTCAAGTGCGCGGCCATGTGCTATGCTGACTGTTACGCTTTAGGAGAAGAACAATACCACGGAGGGCAAAATTAGGAAGACTTTAAGGAGAATGATGTCGGGAGGGAAACATTGAGGGGGTAGGGGGTAATGGCGAGTCATGACTACTGGTGGGGTGAAGGATGATACCGGATGTGTGTTTCTACTGTTGCGATAGGATACCTCGTTAAGAAAAAGCTCATGCGACGATATCAGGTCATGTATAACGACGTTTCGTTCAATCTTCTTACACCTCAGTGGCTGCCAAGTCGTGGGATGTGCCTCGTAAGTTTAGCCGCCATGCCCTGTGGCATCTTAGCCAGTACAGAAAGAGCTGTTCGTATAGAAAGCACCATTGCTGTTATATATGTCGCGGCATAATAAACATGCAGCGGTGACAAAGAGGCAGAACAGAGGGGGAAAGAATACGTCGGAGTGAAGACTGGTGTGGTGTTGCTTTGCTCAAAATTAAGTCTGCCGTGTCTGGACTCTGGAGCACTTCAAAATGTCCCCTGAATGTATCGCGAGATATGGTAGTTCCAATAAACGCCGACTCGTAGCCAATGTGTCTCATAGGCACATGGTTTCACATAAGGGGCCCCGCCATGCCCTCAATACCGTGTTCAAGATGGAACCACTGATTTCCATCTGGACACATTGGGGGTGGAAGTTTCAAAGGTGACGGTGGGGTTTGCTACTATCGCGAGACCTTGGCTTAGCAGCTTCCGCTATGACGATGTCACCAAGCACAAATTCACGACCCCGCACAAGGGATCGATATATAGCTGACGGGTAAAGTGCTCTTCAGGCTCAGATGGACACTGACGCCTTGTCGAATTCGGCTGAGATATTTTTGACTTGTTCTCTGGATGTCTGACAGACTGGCCTCATCACTCATCTAGGAGACGTTGAAATGGCGACAACCGTAACCGTCGAGGCTGTTCGCCTCGTAGAGGTGCCGAAATACCACGAACGGAATGACCGCAACCCAAAACCCCACGATGTGTCGACGTTCATCAACTACTACCGTGATCCAGGCGATGGAACTCCTCCAATGCCAATCAGAATCTCCGAGTGAGTGGTGACGACCCATATCCTCCCTACCCGGGTTGACGGTACTAACAAGAGATATCCCTCGCAGCAAAACAGTGAAGAACGAGCGCCCAACAATAGCCCAACGCACGATTATCCACGACATCACAGGAGAAGAAGACAAGTACACCCTCGACGCGAACGGCTTCCAGTTCTGCCGCCGCGAGACCCAGCTGCAGGCCGCAGACTTCCACGACGCAGACAAAGTGCAGACAGACTACTATCCCGAATCGGCACAACTGCTCAAGGACATCACCGGAGCCCCCCGAGTCGTAGTATTCGACCACAAGACGCGGTCCGGGCCGTCGAACTGGCACAAGCTGGGCGAAGGCAACCGCCAGACGCGCGGGCCGCTGCTCCGCGCGCACGTCGACCAGTCGTACGACGGCGCCGAGCTGATCCTCCGGAAGTATTCTCCCGACGACGCGGACGAGCTCATGAAGCGGCGGTACCAGATCATCAACGTGCGTGAGGCCCTGCCCCTCACCCTCACCTACCCCTTTTCCACTTTTCATCACGTCTGAGAAACGACTAACAAACCTCCCAGATCTGGCGGCCCGTCAAAACAATCTACAAAGACCCCTTAGCCGTAGCCGACGCCAGCTCCGTGCCGGACTCGGACCTGCTCGCGGCGGCGATCGTGTACCCGAGCGGCAAGAAGGACGAGACGTGGACGATGCTCCCCAACGCGGCGAACCGGTGGTACTTCAAGTACGCGCAACGGCCGGACGAGGTGCTGCTGATCAAGTGCTTCGACTCGCTGGAGAGGGACGGGCTGGCGCGGCGGGTGCCGCACTCGGCGTTTGAGGATCCTGAGATGAAGGACCGGGAGGATCGCGAGAGCATCGAGACGAGGGCTTTGTTATTTTACAAGGATTGACAAGGTTCAACGGAAATTGCGTCTTGCTGAGGTTCATGGACACCTACTAGTACTCTGTGAGACATATAAGACAGATTTGGCACATCAGTAGAATTTGGTACAAGCGGGTGCAAGCTCTATCACCAGGGATCCACTAATATACCGCGACTGTTTAACACGCAAGCTGAGGGACGATAAGACAGCACCGAAATACAGTGCTCATTCATGCCCCAGCTTGCTTGGACTGGGCGACGGGCTCGTGGCGATGCGTGGTCTGCTCTTAAAGATAGCCTCGTAGTCCTCATGGCTAGCCTCCATCAGCTCCTCAGCAACCGATGCATCGCCGACATTTTCCTCGTCCAGGGTGGGGAAGTAACTGTCCTTCCTCTGCACCACTTTGCTCTTCCTCTGCGACCTTTTTCGATCTAGCTGCGCCTTCTGCCGTGCTGCCTCAAAGCCGGCCATAGATCGGCGAGTACGAGCAACCAAGTCCTCATATTCCTCACCCTGTTCAGGGATATCATTCACAGTGATTGTTCCGCTGGCCTTGATGGGGCTGGTCTTCGACGATGAAAGTTGTGGAGTCACATCATCTGCGTCGAAGGAACTCATTCTTGTCATAGACATGCGAGTCCTCTCGGCCAGTGACAGAGTGTGACGTGATCTCTTCACCGGCGATGGTGATGCGTTGCTCATCGAGGCCAATATTTCGTCTGCGAGAATTTGAGTCGCTGACGACGGACGAGGAGGCGGAGGTATAGCATCTTCCGCTATGTTTTCCCGAGGTGCAAGTCGACCAGGGGAAGGGTCATGAGGTGAGTCACCATGTGGTTTGACCTCATCATGTGAAAAGTTCGGGGTGGCAACAATGGGCTCTATGGGCTCCTTTGGCCCATTCTGAAGCTCCTGTGTCGTGGGTGGAGATGGTACTCGACGTTTCGGCCGCTCCAAGGACCGAGTCGTACTTGGAATTGGGTCCTTGCTATCCCTACGATGATCCTCAGGGACCGGCGCTTTCGGTATTTGCCTTTGGGACAAGCCACGCCCACCAGAGATGCTGATTTGGCGTTTGTGGTGTCTTGTCGAAGGCTCCGCAGGTTTCGGGGGCTGAACTACCTCAGGCTCGTCTTCCCATTCGCCTAGGTCGGAGACTGGCTCTACAACAGGCTCTGGCTTGGTGAGGTATTGAGAAGCGTCAATCCTGGGTACTCGCTTGATGCCACCAAGCAAGTTCGAAAAGTTCGGAAGAGGTATCTTGGCAATACCACCGAGCTCTGTCTTCATCCCCTGGAGTATTCGCGCATACTCAGGAGGTGGAGCATCGAGACTGGGAGCCTCTTGGGTCCCTGATTGGTCCAGGTTCAACTCAAGATGTCCATTGAGCCCCAAATCGAGTCCCTTGGGTTTCTTCTCTGTCCTCTTGTCGTCATGTTGCGGCGATTGGAGATTCCGGAAGGTCTTCTTGCGAAAGTCATCCCACTTCTCGAGCCTTCGTTTCTGGAGACGGACGCGATCGTCGAGCTGCTCTAAGAGACCAGCACTCTGATCTTCGAGGTCTGATATCCTTCCAGCCTGTACACCTGACCATACTTCGTCAAAGCGACTGCCCAGAAGACCCCCTTTCCGTGGCTGAGTGTCGTTGAACAAGATGCTGTCGATCCACTGTTCGTTACCGGTCCAGTTATTTCTCAGTATTCTCCGAACCTCTGCTTTAATTTCATCCGACGCTTCAACATCTTGATGTCCCGCCGAGGGTTTCGCTTGTTCTCTCCTTCGCGAAATCCCTCGCTCTTTCAATGCAAGCAATTCTTCGAAGTCGCGGTATCGCTCTCGTGCTGCACTCTTCTTTTCCAGCAAAGATCGCAATGAGGCTTTATGCGCGAGTAGTAGAGCATTGAGCTCGGTCCGATCGCCAGAGTAGCCCCAGTTCTCCAAGGCCACGCTTTCCGAGATTGCAGGCCGGTACTCGGGGCCAGAATTAGGTGCTCGCTCAGCCACCAGCCTCTTCAGGACTGCCGAAGAGAAGACAGCGAGAACCTCCTCCAATCGTTCGCCCTTGCATTCGTCCAACATTGTTTTGCGTATGACAGCATCGCGACCGAGGACTCCGTTCTTCTTGGCTTGCTCGAGGCCTCGAAGGAGGGCTGCGCGGAGGTTAATCGACTGGACTTGGTCGAGGGGTGGGTAGAAAGGACGGAGTTTCTAGCAATTGTCAGCAAAGAAAGAAGTCATTCGGTCTATACATCGTAGCAACATACGTTTTGAGCCTCATGATAGTCCCACAGAAGGAAGAGCTGGTACAGCGCCCATTCAACACATTGAATCCGCCTCTTTTGCCCACCAGCAGCATCTCTTGCAGACAAGGTAGCAGGAGTGATGGCAGGCCAATCGGATTCTTTGTCAAGGTCTAGGAGGCGAAGATTTGTGAGGAATAGCAGGACATTGGAAGTACAGCAAGGGACCTGGGCCGCGGAGGTCGTAGACAGTGCTGGCTGGGGGGCGGTCAGTGCTGCTTTGGCAGGGACGCGTAACGATCGCGTGCGCGCCATCGATATGTTGGCCTGCTGAGCCGACATGGTGGCATCGTTGGGGTTTCGTATTCCTGTCGAGTATCAGGTCATGGCTGTCTGGCAAGGTTGGGACATGCAAGCAGGCGGGAACTGAAGCCGTGGACTGTATTCGGTGCGAAGTTGCATGGTGGTGTGTTCGGTGCCATTGTTGACTTTCAAGTGGATTCGGCAGGTCGAGTCGGTATCCATAGCGCTAAACAGGGCCTGTGCCGGGGGCCCGTCAGTGGGGCAGCTGGGTAGCTGGGGCGGGTCACACCCCCGCACGCCTCCCCCCTTAACGTTTAAGCAGCCCCTGACAGTCAGAGCCTCCCCCCTTTTCATGTATCGGCAGAGCCAGCACCGTGCGCTTACCCTCGCCACTCTACCAGAACCGCACGATATTGGTCGTCATAATTCATTCAATACTGCCTTTAGCTACTCTGTTTCATACGCAGTGACCTGATCCCTCAACATATCTCCTCTTGCAGACTCCAACTCGTTCTGCTCGGTCCTCGAGCATCTCATTACTTGGGGGCCTTTGCCTGCTTATAAGGTTGGCAATGCTCTCTTACACCTGACTTCGTCCCCGCTCGCTGGCACCGCGAATAGCGGTACTGAGATCCCCAACAGGCAACGCAAACGGAAAGTCAACAGATGCCAGTAATATGGTGAATAAAATCCACCACCCAGCCGCCGTGGCAACGAAAGCAGAGGCACCAGCTCCCTTGAGTAAACTGTCAGAGATATCTGTTAACTACGGTTGCTGAAGATGGGGGATCTCACCACCAGTAGCCTGCTGGCGAAATGGGCGTTGCCGGCGTAGTCCGCACCCAGGGCCCAAAATGCACCAGTTGCGAATCCAAAGTGAAAAATGAGGGCGAAGAAGGTAACGACGAAGACGATATTGGTACGCAGCGAGCAGATGAGGAACACGAAGCACAGAAGAGCCATCGAAAGGGTCCAGAACCCTAGGCACCTACTGTCAGCAATTATGTCAATCAGCGATACCGGCATTACTTGCCTATACTGGCGTTGAAACCCTGGGTTTGTAGGCCTTCAGCCGGGGATGAGGCAGTCGGCGGTGCGTAGGCTGCGTATGCGTTGAGCTGGGGAAGAAAGGTGCCGCCATAAGACAGCCAAGTTGCCCCGAAGGCGGTGAATACCACGGATGGAAACGTGTTGCCCAGAATGAACTCAAGCAAGCCTCCGATTATCATCAGAATACCGCCAAAGAATAGGTAGACCGGTCTGTGACGGTGTCAGTATGTCCTTGGCGGCTTTCGCTGCTCATATTCAGGTACAACTGACATGCTCGCGGCACCATTCCCGCCAGCTCCTCGCCAGCCCATGAGATCACAGCTGAGAGGACCGAGTGACATGACAAAGCCACATATGGCACTATCGTGACGGCGTCAGTACGGAGCAGCCAAGATTCGGCTTGAGTAGTCTTGGCTCGACTCACATTGGCGTCGGATTGGCGAATTTCTTCCTCAAATCTCCTGGCACCTTGTTCTGCGGGGATAGGTACATCTTCTCGAACAGTTCAGGTGAGATCGATATACTACCAGCCGTTCGCATCTTCTTCAGTGCGCTCTCAGGATGGATGTCGTCGAGGTGCTCATGGTAGCCCTTCCGATGGCTGTCGTCGGAGGACCCATCTTGCATGCGGTAACCTTCCATGGTTGCCGCTACGAATGGTCTCGGTAAAATCTTCAGCGAAACGGTTGGATAGCAAGAGCTCTTTTTCGAGACGGGTTACTGTGAATCTCAGGAAAGTGTGAAAAGCGAAGCTCTCCCTCTGAACGGGCAGCTCGTGGGGTAGCGGTGTATTATACTGTGGCAAGCCGTTCTTCCGCTCGGCACTAGCTATCTCCTCGAATCCCGGTTTCGAGCGCATGACTCAGATGAAGGTCAGCCAGGTGGCACGCGAGGATGCAACAAATGCGGAGTATATACCGTCATTGGGGATACTTGTGTAGGGCCAAACCTTATTGCCTCCCTACCCCATACTAGTTCTCGTCTTCCCCACACGAAGCTAGTCCTGGTTTCCGGGGACTGCCAATCGGTCGAGAGGGGTGCGGGAGATGGAATCGGATGACGGCAGTGCAATATGCCCCTGTCCACGTTATCGTTGGGGGCCAGACACCTACCTAACAGAAGGAATGGCGGGGAAGGACATCAATGACACCTTCTCTGGGGACCTCGGCAGCAAGGCCCTGCCAGTGGTCCAATGCAACTCCGAGGGACGCGATGGTACAGATAGGACGGATTCATGTAACCGGAGCGAGATTCGAGTGGGATTGGAGATGGTAGAGGTTGGCTATGCAAGCAGAGGTCTTGATGTGCGAGCTTGTAGTATCTAAACATCCAACCAAACTCTTGCTCATCTATGTGGCACTAGAGAGAATTCTTGTCCAAGGCAAGCGTATAGCCAATGACGGACAAGATTCCACTCAATCGTCTGAAGGGCAACAGACTTCTTCCCCATTTCCCCTCGGACACAGCCCCAGTCATCACAATGAGGGCAGTTGGGGACTTCCGACGCTGAAGCCAACAGAGTTGCTGATTACACTAATGATATATCATAATGATCCAGCTCTGCGAGAATTGCGTACACCCTCTTGATTGTACTCCAGATTTTATATGGGGATAGAATACGATACACAACGGTTACAATCTAGTTCTAGTTTCTTCTCACCTCATCACTCAAAAGCAGCTTAACCTGGCCGTCCGAAGGCCTACTAGCCAACAGTACCATAGCTGCCTCATACTCACACTCTTTCATGTATTGCTGTGCATTTTGCATAACGAGCTGTGTCACTCGGAGTTTTCACGGGGTACCACACCATCACCCTTCTACTGCGTGCCCTCAGAGCTGCAAGAAGCTAAGCTCCTAGATCGAGCTCCTGGCCTGAATTTGTAACCATCTCACACTCCATACACATCCGGCTCGCCGCTACACAGGCTCCACTCACTGTGCTCGACTCTCATCTCGCCACTGGCTTCTTAGTATTGGAAGCTGACTCGCGCATCACTGACTTGAGCTAGGGGTCGATACCTAGGACCTCGGCTTGTGGACACATGATCAATGGACACGAAAACACCCACGGCCCTCTTGTGTCACGACTACTGCAAAGCACTAGCAGCGGAGCAGCCTCTTGAAGACCAGCGCAACGTTTCGCACCACTTTATCCTTCAGAGCACAGATGAGCTCTTACCGAAGGCTTCCAAGTTGGTGTGCGAGTCCCGGGAAGCACGCTACTGATCCAAGCAACTTCGAATGGCGATGGTACGACAGGGCCGCATGGGAGGTCACGACGCGAGGCCGAACCGGCACTCAAGCAGCGTGATGTCGAGTTTGGCTGTGTGACATAGATCTGCGTAGCTTTGGAATGGCGGTGAGGGCATATCATGGATCGCGAGATCAAGTTGTGCTTGTAACGCCTAAAATAGTGTAGCTGATAATCTTAGAATACCCCGCTGCCCTCGAGAATGGCGCCTACTACCTCATTGATACATAGATGCCTAAGGTAGAGTATCCACCTACTGCTTGGAGGCCTTTCTCGCGGGCTCAATCCAAACCAAAGACTCAAGGCTAGTAGCCCTATCAATACCCAGTTCGTGGCCCGAGTGTTCGTTATAGAACACCGCTTGACGCGGTGAATTCTTGTTTCATTGGTGGTGACTTTCATTCCTTCCTCTCGTCGAGTTTATTGCGTGTGATACTACTATTTGAAATTCGAGTACTAGTTGTTATAATTTCAGCGTAGTAAAAGACGAACCACAAAGTTTGATAAAACCAGTCAATTCACTGAAGATATTCAACGCTATCAAGAGATTTTCACTTCGCATTTCACAGGTTCCCTGTTGCACAGCAAGAAGGCCAAAAGGTTGCATATCTGCTGTATTGGTGTTGCTGTTTTGGTCTGGAGGTGGTGCTCAGCTGCAGTGGATGTGGGCAATATGCCAACCGAAGTGGGTCACGTGACCACGCAACATTCCCCATTTTGTGTAATTCAGTAGCTTTTATTGATCGTAGTTCTTGAGAACCTCGAAATAGACCGCGAGACTTTGCAAAAGCAAATTGAAGAGACTACCTATGGTCCACCCAGAGACAGTGACTGGAAGGTGACTAGTCATCTTCGGTTTTGTGCGAAGTGCGATGATGTGAAGAGCCCCGTGTTTCCATGCATTCCTCCCAATTTCGGTTGACTGTGGGGGCTTGTGCCGAGATGTGATGAGTTTCGTCGTTGAGAATGTGGTGGAACACGCCGGGTGTCGTTGCGATTATCATTGCTCTGTCGTGTCTAGGCCGTCGATGTGTCGTCGCTTAGCCAGTGAGCTTCTTCATCGTGGACCGCATCTTGCAGCCCACACAAGGAGTCGAACAACGCGTTGTTGTTCTCGATGAGAGCCAAGTAACCGTCCAACTTTTCCACGATTTCCTTCGCCCACTGAACATCGATGTTCTGGATGTCCTCGTCGGTGAACGATTGTAACTGGACCAACAATCGCTTGAAGCCGTTGGTTGAGGACATGGATTCAAAGTCATTGTAGTCTTCCATGGCAACCTCCCGTTTCTTCAGCAGCCGTAAAGCCTCGGCCAGTTCCTCCAACGCCCAAACCCAAGTCGGGTTTACTGCAATAGCGGCCAGGTTGTCTTGGATCCATTACAGATCATCATGGTAGGCCTCGTCCATCAGATGACCCTCGTCGTTCGGGGATTGGGGACGGAAGTGATCAAGCTCGTTGTCTCGCAGATGAGTCTCGTTGATCGCGGATCCGGGATGGAAATGCTCATGCTCGTCGTTTCGCAGATGAGGCTCGGCGATCGCGGAATGGGGATGGGAAGGTTCGTCGTCGGCCAGACACGACTCATCGCTAGCGGAGTCTTCCATTGTTCGTGATTGGGGTGGGTCGAAGATCGGGGAAGGGTATGATCAAAGTGGTGGTTGTTGATGTGTGGAGAGAGGAGGGTGTGAGAGAGAGAGAAAAGTGTGGGAGGGTAAGGTCCAGAGATAAAAATGGGTGGAGATGGAGAGATGTGAATGGAAAGGTCCATTTTGATCTCCTTTCCATTGAATTGTGTTAGACCAGGTTGCGGAGGGCCAGGTAGCGGAGGGCCAGGCTGTCATCCCAATACCTGACCACTAAGCGACAGTGAATAAGTACCGTGAGGGAACGGGTTGAAATAGTAGTTTTATAAGCAGCTCGAGCTAAGGCAAGAGCGTACCTTTTGCATAATGGGTCACCAAGTTAACATTAGATGCGAGCAATTTGCGTAGTTAAACCGATGATCAAAAATGAATTAGTGTCTAAAGTTAGACCCGAAGCTAGGTGATCTTACTATAGTCAGGATTATAAAAGTCCGAACGGGTTATCGTAGCAAAGATATCCGAAGAACTATGGTAAGTATAGTGAAAGACAAAACTGACCTAGATAGCTGGTTTTCTGCGAAACCTATAATAGTAGGCAATTTAAGTAACATCTTAGCAGGTACAGAACTTAATCTCAGGCAAGATGTTTAAAATTTGTTTAAAAGTTGTAATAGACTTTTAAATAAATCTACATTTTAGTTTGTACATATCGGGGGGTCGTAGAGACTTTATCGGTGAGTATGTAGACTCGGAATGGCAAAGATGAATCTTGAATTATCAGACATAGAATGATAAGGTTGTATGTCAAAAGGGAAACAGCCCAGAACAAGAGTTAAGGTTCCGAAATTATTATTAAGTGAAATTAAGAAAGTTTTTATTCAAGTCGACAAGGAGATGGGCTTAGAAGCAGCCATAATTCGAAGATCTCGTAACAGAGCGCTTGTTAATTTTTAAAGGCATCTAAAATTTAACGGATCTAAATAATATACCGATACCTTGTCCATAATTGATAATAATAAATTTATTATTGTCATTTACTGGGGTAGCAGAACATTGAGTAAACCTGCAACATTTTTATTATTTTTTTAATAGATGTGACGGTGTTAAAGTAAAATATAAAATACTTTACCCTCAGTATACTCAAGAGAGAATGGTGACATGAGTAACAAAAAAGAAGTTCGGTTGGATTAATTTCTAATCGAGCGCTCGCCTAAAGCTTATGGTTTATTTAAAGTAACGGCCTCTAAGTTTACAATCCCAAAGGTTGAAACGATGAGAAAATCTTATTACTTAAAGGACAACATTTTTAAAGTGAAAAGTGTGCTGGAAAAAATAAGTAATATATTAATATTATACAACAAACTAAAAAGATGAGTTAATATTGATGAAAAAATAACCGTACCTAGAAACTGTGACAAGTAAGCTAGTGTAGAATACGAAGGCGTAAATGAGCTAACAATCATAAAGGAACTCGGCAAATTGACTACCGTAACTTAGGGATAAGGAGGGCTCATTTGTCCTGATAATCTCAGGTAAGAAGGAAGAAGCATGAAATAGTGTTGTACGACTGTTTAATTAAAACAAAGCACTTTGCATAAAGACTTAAAGTCTAAGTATAGAGTGTGATTTCTGCCCGGTGCCGGCTGGCTAACGAAAATAACTAACTTTAAAAGGTTTGGTACTGTAGGAACCCCCGGTTAATGGCGGCCTTAACGTGAGGGTCCTAAGGTAGCGGAATACCTTGACTGTTAAATGCAGTCTTTGCATGAATGATGTAACGATACAACAGCTGTCTCTATGATTGACTCAGTGAAATTGGCATAACTGTGCAGATACAGTTTACCTCTAGTTAGACGAGAAGACCCTATGCAGCTTTACTGTTACTAATTATTAGGTATGGTTGGGGACAAATTTTAGTAAATAAGGTAATTGATAAGATACAAATGTAATACCTTTATTTGGGGATCGTATTGTATGGGTTAATTAACCCTCTTCTTGTAAAAGAGAAAGTAACCTTAGAAAGGAAAAATTGCTAGGAGACAGTTTATGCGGGGCACAGACCCCACAAAGAGTAAATGGGAGTGTCCAATTATGTTTTATGTCTGTTTAAAAACGGATGTATCACTAAATAAAATTTTAAATGTAATTTTTTGTTTGTAATAGTAGATAGCAATATGCTATATTCTATCTTATTTATGTATAGATGTACAAGCCTAGACACAGCGCAAGCTTGTGTCTAATAATTATTGCTTATTTGTATCTAAATACTAATTTAGTATGGATTTACAAAACTTTAATGAGGAGCAATTTTTATCGGTCAGGTAGGATTTTGATTATGGTGAAATTAGTCGTAGTTAAAATATTATGATTTAATCTAATATTTTATTAGCTATTGCACGGCTTATAAAAAAGAATATTTTTTTATTAGAGCGCATGTGTAATGGTTATGTATAATACTTATCAAGTTTAATGGCTTAATCCTGCCTTACTGTTTGACCACCAACAAGTCTTACAGTCGCGTAAGCGGGGCATAGGATCACGAGACACAAAAAGGAAAGGTCTTGGATTATTGGAAAAGCTACGCTAGGGATGTTTGTCCTTCAATGTTTAAAAATCATTGTAATTAAATTGGGTTAATTTCAAAAATTACTTCGTCGCGGAGCGGTAAGTAAGTAAATTTGAAGCGAAGTTTATCTTAAGATAAAATCGTTCAACGACTAAAGGTGAGTTCTATAAAGAATAATCCTTATTAACTCCCAACATTTTTTAAACTATGTATATAAAAAATTTGGTAAAAAAAAAATATTTGCACAAAAAAAGTAATAATAATATAAGTCCTTATCTTTTTACCCAAAAATTAAATAGTAATTATAAATTAGTGCCTTTTAAGATATCAGTTAATGATATAGGTAAAACGAAATACCTTCCTCCTGTAGCTAAAGAATGAAAAAATAGTGTTTATAACTATAATTTTAATAATACAATTAATTACCCTGTTTATGATTTAAATATAAATTCTTTAATAAAAAGTTATTTTAATATGTATTTTAATCATAAATTTATAGAACATAAGTATATTTCACGTAAAAAAATACGTAGATCTCTAAATAAAATTTTTGTAAGTAAGGCAGAAATAAAACATACAAATTCTAAAGCTATAATTACAATTTATGTTTATAATAGAGAAAAATTGACTTTATTAAAAAAAATAAGAAGGTTAAAAAGAATATTTATTAAACTTATGGCATTATTAGTAAATAAAAATAAATTAATAAAATGACTATCTTTACCTTGAATAATAAATAATCAAAATTTTATTAATTCAAGTATTTTATGAAAATTCGCAAATTATAAAGTAAAAGATGACTTTAGAAAAGTAGATAGTATTTTATATATTCGAATGAAACGTTTAGCTATTAAATTATATAAGATATTCTCAGTTATTAGAAGATATAGATTAAGATTAAGTTTAAATAAGTACAAGTTTGAGGAAAAATTTTTATATAAATTAAGCCAACTAATAAGTAAATACTACGGTAAAAAGGTAGAATTTAATATAGTAAATATAAAATCTGTAGCATATAATGGAGATATATTTACTGAAATTTTAACATCAAAAATAAAAAAAGAAAAAACTAGTCCAATTTGAAAGATAAACGCTTTATTAAGTAAAGTAGTCTTACCTAAAGTAAATACAATTATAGAAAGAGGTAGAGTAGAAAAAAATGTGGATTTAGAATTAGTGGATAATAAATATAAAAATCTTAATGTAAGTTCAATAATTAATAGTGAAGATTTATTTAAAGATAGTTTAAATAAATTATTATATAATTTACATAATAAAACTACTTTAAGTTCTTTCAGTCCCGAAGGCAAAGGAAATTTAGATGTATCTTCAAATAAAGCTTCTTACTTAAAAATACGGGATATTATACTTGATAATATAAAATATAAAAATATGGGGGGTGCTAGATTAATAGTTAAAGGTAGATTAACTAGACGTTATAGAGCTGATAGAGCTGTATATAAATTAAAATGAAAAGGAGGATTAAAAAATATAGATTCAGCGTTTAAAGGATTATCTTCAGTAGTATTTAGAGGACATCTTGATTCTAATGTAGAAAAATCTAGGTTAATTTCAAAACGTCGTATTGGATCTTTTGCAGTAAGTGGTTGATTTAGTGGTAAATAATATAAAAATAGCAATAAATATACAAAAGAAAAAAATGAAGAAATAGTCTGAACCATTTTGTAAAAGATGGAAATAATAATTTTATGATAACAAGTTGAACAGGCTAATTTGCGCAAGAGTGTGCAAAATGAGTGCGCGGTTTGGCACCTCGATGTCGGCTTAACTTATCCTCATGGATGCAGAAACTATGTAGGGTACGACTGTTCGTCGATTAAAAAGTTACATGAGCTGGGTTAAATACGTCGTGAGACAGTATGGTTTCTATCTTCTAGAGGGAATTAGAATATAATAAGGAATAACCTATGTACGAAAGGAACTTGGTATATTAATATATTAATATTGAAATAGCATAATTATTAATCTCTGGTTTACCTGTTGTTTATATGTCTTTAGTTTAATGTAAATTAAATAGGACTATCCTACTTTCACTTGAGTAGTTATATAGTATAGGCACGGCAGGAAAGCTAAGTTAGTCAAAGATAAGTGCTGAAAGCATATAGGCACGAAGCTTACCTTAAGATATTTCTTAAATATACGTAATATAACATTACGAACATAATTATTCTCCGTGATAAAAAAATTCATTTTTTTTTATCCTCAGAAATGATAATTATTGATATAGGCTTTATTTGTAATAATCTAGAGATTTTAAGGAATAAAGTACTAATTTTATAAATAACTAAATATTTTATTTATATCTTACACTTTTTGGCCTGATTAGCATAAAAGTAATGCAATTGTTTTGTAATCAATAGAAGCAAGTGCGATACTTGCATTGGGCTATTATTATAAGGGTTAGTAGTCAAGTGGTACGACATGGCTCTTTCAATGCCACTATCGCGGGTTCGATTCCCGTCTAACCTAATAGAATATAAATTGTTATTATAATTTATGCGGATTAGTGTAATAGTAACATATTTGACTCATGATCAAATGATAGAGGTGCGAATCCTTTGTCCGCATCTAGTTAAGAGGGTAAGTACTAAAAATTTAGAATAATATAGATTAACAAGCTAACTTATTAAATATAATTTATATTATTGTATAATATGTCTTAAAAGTCTTGTTATATAAGTTATTTAAAATTAAATGGTTTTTAAGTCACTTATGAGGCTATAACTTAATTGGTAAAGTGTACTGCTCATAACGGTGATTATAAGTGTTCAAGTCACTTTAGCCTTAATCCGAGTGCTGGAATTGGTAGACAGTGCAAACTTAAGCTTTGTTGATGAATAATCGTGGACGTTCAAGTCGTCTCTCGGATAATAAGGGGGTATAGTTTAGTTGGTAAAACTACGATTTTGCATATCGTTATCTTAGGTTCGATTCCTAATATCTCCAAATGCAAATAATTATTTATATTTGTTCAGGTATAAACTAGAGTATAGATTTAAAGGTTATAGTATTCATGTAAGCTCGGGAAGCTCAATTGGTAGAGCGGAACACTGAAGATGTTTAGGTTATAAGTTCAAGTCTTATGCCGAGCAAAGGTAGTGATGGAACTGGTAGACATGGATAGTTTAGGCCTATTTGATTAAAAAAATCTTATCCGTTCAAGTCGGATTTACCTTATATGTTGTGGACTAATGGGTAAGTCATAAATTTTTGGTATTTAATATTGAGTGTTCGAGTCACTCCAACATAAGTCTATCAGATAACCAATTCATACATAATAAGCTAAAAGTTTTATCCTTGTATAATAGAGAATTTTGTATTATAAGGTGGATATAGTTCAATAGGTAGAGCGACTGTATGTGGCACAGTAAGTTCCCTGTTCAAGTCAGGGTATCCTCCCATCAGGGTAGTTTAATGGGTTAAAACTTTAATTTCATGCATTAAAGATGAGAATTGTGACGGCCTGTACAGACCTTCCCACATGACAAGTGGATACTTCCTAATAGGGGAAGGATCTGACCAGAGGATCCCCTTAAAGAGGCAACCTCCCACTGTACCTATCTCTCTCTCTCTTCCTTTCCTCTCTAGTCTTGATATTCTCGTTAATAGAGTAATAGCTGCTTGCTGCCGGCCATGTCCCAGCTCCTCAGTACGCTCGCCGTGACACAACCCATCAGCAACATCATAACCTTGACCTAATACTCGAGTATTATGATTGATCGTGTAAGCCTGTTCTAACAATTTGTAACTTAACAAAAAAAGGAAAACAAAATTCGTATACAAGTAATTTATATATAGTGATATTTAAAACATTTAATAATAAACAAAAAGATAGCAAAAATATTCATGTTTTGTTTTTATTATAAGTTATTATTTATAATCGTTTTTAAATTTTTAATTTTTTTTTTGCTTAAAAACTTACAAACTAATGTATTATTGATATAAAATTATATTATGGAATTACAAAAGATGGAAACATAGCTTTTAAATGTAAATATAGATAGTAAAAATTTTTTTTTTTCTTTTCTAAAAATTTAATATATAGTCTTATTCTAATTGAAATCATTATATAAATAATAGTTAGTTAATATGAAGTTATATATATATATTAAAAGTATAGTTTTTGAAAAAAAAAATTCATATAATGTTTATTATGTACCAAACTTATTATAATTAAACAAAATGAAATTAAAATATATAAATTTACTTAAAGGGGCTATATTTAATAATTCATTTAATTAAAAACAATTAAAGTTCATATATTTAGAGTTTAATTTAAATATTTCTAAAACATGGGCATGAGTTCTTGGATCGTAGAGAGTTTCTTCTCGAGTACGTGGAAGAAAAGCAGCCAGGCGTACGCGTGAGTGAGCGAGTATTGCGTGACGATTTCCCAGAACTCTCAATCGCCGTCATTAGGATGTTGTCGTCGATTTGGATCTCGGAGTCTCTCCGGTCGGTGATCCGCGAAGTCGGTCATGCAAGCCAGAAAGTATCCGGGATCTTCTCGGAGATCGACGATGTGATCAATCGCTGCCGCTTTACGACCTTGAAGGACCAACCGCAAGCGCTGAAGATCCAGATGGGCTGGCACTCAGTATGGCGCCTCAGCCGCAACAGTCGACATTTGGGCGTATGTAGTGCTCTCGCCACCTGTGTCGGATGGCTGGGGAAGCGAAGGTAGGTGTTCATCAGCAAGTTGGTCCCTGGGTATATCGTGGAACATCTGATGACAGCATTCCACGAGAACTTTGAGCAGTTTGTCCTATACATCCAATACCAGTAGACCATCGCCGGGCGAGAACTGGATTTGATTATGCATCAAATCGAATGCCTGATCATTGTCGTCCCATGAGACAAGCTGGCCGTAAGTTTCCGGAGAAGTTTGCCGTGCCAAGTACATTGTATGATTTTTCAGACGAGTTCGATGAACAATGCGAATGGTGATCCCGGCATGGAGGGCTTCGAGGTCGGCGTGAGCGAAAGCTTCAGGTAGATTGCGTCCACGGGAGCTGAGCATCAGGGGCAGAAATTTGTTATCCGACAGATCCTCTAGGTTGATGTATGGCCACATGAAGCTGGCTTTGGTCTTTCGCGCATTTGGTTGGAGGATAAGCTTCATGTCAGGGCGATGTGATACGGGCATCACAGTGCCACTGCCTCCTATGCATGGCCAAGCTGCCAGCAAGATCTGGGCTCGCTGATTCTTGGTCTTCTTAGTCCATCTTTTCTGCCGCACCTCTTCGCGTTTGTCGAGGATGGTACTCAATTGCTTCCACGAGCTGAAGATGGATTCACTCAGTTGACGGGCCTCGCGTCGCGCTTCAGTAGGGGTTGTCTCCTTGGTGGCCTCTCTCATAGCGTCGAAGAAATTTTCGGCGTCGGCTTCATCGCCCTTTCTAGACTTTTTAGGACCAGATCGTTCCATGGCCTCAACGAATTCTAGGGCTTCCTTCTGTTCGGCTTCTGATTCACCAAACCGAATCTTCCCGCAAGCACCCATCTCTTGCATAGCATCGAAAAATGCTCGGGAATCGAGAATCGGGAATCCTTCGGGGATCCATCTTGTCGAGTTCAGCGACTGCAGCGGTTGAATATCGAGTCGAATTTGTTGCGACTGGGCTCAAATTGAAGTGGTCGACATTATGACGACGTGTAATAGGAAAATAGCAGGGTCGTCAAATCCTCAATGAGCGGACGTCGTGCAGATTATTCGGTTCATGCAACTTGATTTGTGGATTGTTCTATGTCTACCGAGCGTGGACGTATTTGTAGTAAATTCCTGGTGCAGCGCGTCTATCTGCCGTGGTGACGGAGCTGTGGGGCAACCATCCTACCCGCTGGTGCACAGACCACCTAGAGACTACAGCCCCTGAGCCACCAACTCCCAACATAGGCTTAATAAGAAGTTTCGTGAGGCTACCTAGACAGAGGGACTTTGAACTTATCGATTACTAGCGATATTCTACCTAGAGCTAACGTTACCGAAGGTTCTATATATTTTAGCAATTTGGATCTACGAGCCAGATTTATAGCACGTGATATATACATTTTGAGCATCATTTATTTGCTGTTTGATCTATGGAGACTAGAATGCTTGTCAATCATCCAATGAAAAACGTACATAGGGAATATAATCCTACGAGAGCAATCCTGGCGGAAAGCGGGCTTGCCATAGTACCGAAACACACAAAACGTTCGGTATTCCCTTTCTGACCCCCTACTAGGTCTGCCTCGAACGACTTCCACACACGGTCATGTTATGTTGTGGCCACCTTGTTCTCCCGTTCAACATTAATGAGCTCAGTTACCCTCTGACTCGTACGTCTAGCGCAAAACTCAGATGAGAAGGCAGATATTGGCACGCGAAGAATGAGGAATGCACCCATGGAAACATCTACTCGTCCGGGTATGACTCAGGCGAGTGAGAAAATTTTGGGCTGGCGCTACAAGTTCACCCTAGACCTGGACATATCTTCCAGGTCAGAGGTGCTCCTGGTGTCCAAGGGCTGGTGCCCCAGGGGAATACACAGGAGAATTAGGCCTGCTTTATATATGCAGAACTGGAGCTGGCCGTCATCGGAAGTTCGCAGAGGTCTTCCTTCACATGGTCGCGCGCGACTAGGTCTGTCTTTGAAATGGCCGAGTTTGTAACGAGCCAGCGAGGATGCCATGCTGTAGCGCCACGTCAGTCAATGCTGAAGATCTGGAAGCTAGATCTGGAAGCTGGGTTGAGGACGGGTCCGAGAAAGGAGACAAATCATATCCACACTAGGACCTACGTTTATATCTTCCTGAAGCAAGAAGCTTTGTCGTGCCTTGACAGCAGCCGGTTGACGCTCATGATGGCATCAAGCTCAAGGGTGGCACGACGTGGTGTAAGCATTGACACGACAAGCTGTGGAGGGTATGAAGTCAGTTGAATATGTCAGTACACAATATACACTAACCCCACACAAGTCTCCGTACGGCGCCCTCTACACACCATTACCACCACATTCACTGCTCAATTGCGAAGGCATCATAAGGCCGAAGATTATAACAAAATATGCATTCGATAGCGATTTAGTAGTGGTTATACCAGCCGCGCGCCCGAATCACTACCGCGATCTGATCGGGGAGAGATTTGATGAGCTTCTTCGGGAGGTCGGGATCTAACTCTGACTATGCAGCTTGGATTATCTCTCTAGCCCATACCTAGTGAACGATATTGTCCTTTAGGTCTTAAAACAAGGCTCTATTTCCCTTATCTTTTTTTTAGAGCTGCCTAAACGTGCTCAATAGGGTTCAAATCGGGGCTGTGAGGAGGCCAGTCGATAGTCCAGATCCCGTGATCCTCTAACCACTCCGGTGAGCCTCTTTTGATGTGTATAGGAGCATTATCTTGCTAAAAAGGGTCCTTTGTCTCATAAAAAGGAAGCAGACCTTTCTCTAAGACCTGTTAATAGCGCCTGGCAGACACTTTTCTGCATGGTGCATCCGGATCTCCTTTACAGAAGACCAATTTGCCTAGGCTACCTGTAATATTGCGTAACCACATCAAACCCCAGATTATTATTAAGTTACGGGTTCTCCTGTGGCTCTGTGGGTTCATAAGATCCTTATAGTACCGTTTTTTTGAGAGGTGGATGACCTATTCGCCAGGTCTATTGGGATCATTTTGGATGGTATATTTGTCGGAGAAGAGGGCCATTATTAGCTCCCTTTGAGCCCGTTATATGCAGTATTTTCACGCCCAAGTAAGCCATTTCGTGGCGTCATCCTTTGTGAGAGAGATTCGCTTCACTGCGCGCCATTTCTTGAGGCCATGGCGGCAGAGCCCTCATAATGGTCTCTGTGTGGCAGGTGATGCGTGCTTTGGCTTTGAGCGCCTCTCACGAGAGACAAGGAAACCTCTGAGCCAAATCAACTAAATGGCGTTCTTACCCATGCAAAAGAAGCCTAGGAGTTCCCTTTTGTTGTGCAGCGCGCGTGGTTTTAATGGTATTGGCCCGTGAACAAATCTCAGAGATAGTTTCGACGCGTTCTATGCCATAGGCGCGTGCAACATCCCTATGACCGCAGCCCTCTGTGCACGCCGTGATAATGCCTGTACACGCCTCCGAAGTGAATTCACCGTTCGGCTGGCGAGTGCCGCTCAAAACCGTACCGATTTGGTTGATATCCATGGTTAATTGATTTTTTCATGATTTATCGCAAGATGAGGGTGTCACGTTGTTTTCGTCAGAAGATTGAATCGGGGCTAGCGTACGGAGACTTATGTGGGACAAGTGTACCTAGCCATCGTGCCAAATGCATTTCCAATCTGACACCCGAGCCCTACAACTTCGAGAACACAGTAGCCACACTCCCACCCATCTCAACCAGGGTACTCTTATTCCTGACCCAAGCCTCGAGCCCCCTCCGGCCATTCTCAACACCAACACCGCTCTGCTTCCAGCCACCGACGGCCATCTCGGCCGGCGACTCGCCCCACGTATTCACCCATGTGATGCCAGCCTCGAGCTTCGAAATGACGCTTTGGCAGTGGTCGATGTCCCTGCCGACGACGCCGGCCGCGAGGCCCATCTCCGTGGCGTTGGCGCGCTGAACGGCCTCGTCGATCGTGTCGTAGGGCAGGATCGCCATGACGGGGCCAAAGATCTCGTTCTTCACGATGGCCATGTCGTCCGTGCAGTCCGTGAAGACAGTCGGCTGGACCCAGTATCCCTTTTGCAGATTGGAGGGTAGGTTGGCGGGAGCGTCTATCCCGCCGCAGAGCAAGGTCGCTTTGTCCTCATCGATACCCCGACGGATGTACTCGAGCACTTTGGCGTGGTGGACCTTGCTGTTTAGAGGTCCGAGGTTGGTCGCAGGGTCCGACAGGTCGCCTGCACGTACAAACGGCACCTTCTCGAGAAGGTTCCTCTCAAACTCCTTATTCATGGCGCGCGGGACGAACACCCGCGTTCCGTTGGTGCATACCTGTCCGGAGCTGAAGAAGTTTGCCATCATCGCAACATCTACCGCCTGGTCGACTGTCGCATCGGGGAGAACGACCAACGGACTCTTCCCGCCAAGCTCCATAGTCACATACTTCATGCCCCCAGCCGCAGATCCAGCCACTTTCTTTCCTGTGCCGACCTGTCCTGTGAAGCTGACCTTTGCAATAGCTGGATGTGTCGTCAGATACGCACCAACGTCGCCAGCGCCATAGACAACGTTGAAGACACCCTCGGGCAACCCAGCCTGCCTATAGACTCCAGCGAGGTACTCGGCATGCAGCGGTGTGAACTCGCTGGGCTTGTAGACCATGCAGTTGCCGGCCGCCAAGCACGGCGCCGACTTCCACAGAGCGATCTGAATGGGATAGTTCCAGGCGCCGATGCCAGCACACACGCCGAGGGGCTCCTTGGTGGTGTAGACCGAAGCGGAGGGCCGCAACCGGAAGTGCTCGCCGTTCAGCCCGCCGCTGGCTACCAGGTTGGCGAAATACTCGAGCACGTCGGCACCCGTGACGATATCCACCGTTGACGTCTCCGAGAAGGGCTTCCCGGTATCCAGGGTCTCGACGCGCGCGAGCTCGTCATTGTACTGGTGCAGGAGGGCCACAGCGCGCTGGAGGATCCGCGCCCGTTCAATCGGTGGTGTGCTTGACCATGAGGGAAACGCTCCCTGGGCGGACTTCACGGCGGCATCGATAGATTCATGTGACGAGGTGTGTATCCTACACAGGGGCTCGCCGTTTGATGGATCAATCGAGTCAAAATGGCCTGTTGACTTTGACGACGGTTGGGGTTTCCCCGCGTAGAAAGTATGGCGGTCTTCCTCTTTCTGTGTCATTTCGTCGGTCGCTGTTGAGCTACGTGAAATCGATATGATATTTTTGAGGCGCTCAGCACAGCAGGTGCTACGATAATGCGGGTCTCAAGCTAAAAAAAGAAGACCGATGATCGGAGCCACGTGTGCCGAATGGGTCGCGCCGAGATTTTATGCTGAACAGCCCCCAAACGGGTTAGAGAATGGCAGTTTAAGAAGCAGCCAATCGACGTCATTGATTGATTGCTAGGCCAGACCATTGCGTCAGGGCTCGCAAGCCGCCAGCCTTACAGCAAACAGACGGGATACTCGTGGACACTCACCCTTCCCTCCCTAATAAATACCGCATCAGTCTACACCGTACCAAGTCAGCAGGAACGCAGTCATCACGGTCATCACAGACCTCACATAACTCACAGACCTCATATTCAGAATGGATCCCTCAGGCCCAGCACAACCTCCTTTGAACGCCGCCTACAAGACAGAGGGCAACCCCGTGACGTCAAACCCAGCTGAGAAAAGTGCCGCTCAGCACCACCACCAGGGCAAGCCCGTTGATGAGCGCCTTCCCAGCCAGCCGTCCGACATCAAGGATGCCACACCATCCAGCCTAGGCCGCGGAGTTCGGGGTGCGCCCGCAGGAGAGGAGAAGTTTGGTCGCAGCCATGAAGACGTGGGCCGGCATAACGAGTTGGAGGGTGAGCAAATGCGCGCCTCGGGCGAGGGCGATGTCGCCAATGTAGTTGATCGCAAGCCGGGAGCAACCGGCTCGCAACCCGACCTGGCGAGCGACCTTGACCGGTATGTACCGTTTAAATCGGATCGGATCGGATCCCACTTCATCGTCTTGCTAATACCACCAACAGTAAGAAGCATGAGCAGGCGTCTGCGAGAGAGGCGATCAAGGAAGACCGAAAGCACGGTATGGCCTCTGACGGGGGCGATATCAGAGCTGGCGTGGACACCTGAGAGTGTAAAGCTCTCGAGGCTACCCGGTTGGTTATGGATAGGACATGGGGAGGTACTCCTTGCCTCGATGCAAGCTTGTCCTTTGTATCGATGCGATCCCGTTTGTACGTCTGACATGGGAACGAACGAGCTCAGACACGGTGCGTCGGCGAAAGCGCGGCTCGTCACAGCCAACATTGGACCAGCGTTGACGCGGTCAGGATCTACATTTAACGTATACTGGCAGTGGTCTGGTCTCCTTTGGAAAGCAAAATCTCGCGATATAACCCCGTTGCAATACATGGATCTTCACCTGCTATCCTGGGCACTTTTCGGACGCCGCGCCTCGTGAACACAGTGCATCCCGCCGCTCGGGCCCTATGAATCGACTGCCTATAATGAGCAGCTAGAAGTCACCAAGTCTCCAAAGTCCAATGATGGTGGCTCGCTGATGGTCTTACCGCGATAAATTAAGCTTTCGGCGAGAGAATGCGGTTTGGTATGGAGCAGGATGCGTTGAGCGAAAGGGGCCCAAGAAGGAAGGGGGTTCTGGTACCGTGAGACTCCTGGGCATGGGAATGGAGTATGACCCTGCAAGAGCGTAACATTCGATCACCTATCATCCTATAGTGAATGCTGAGTTGAGATAAGCCTACCACCCAATGCTAATGCTAGTGGTCCATCACACCAGCCATACCGCAGCGTATCATGCGTCTCACAACCTTGATCGCTTGTGGTATCGCACACTACCACTTGACCAACCGCACTTTCCCAGCTTATATGGAAACTAATCTGTGCCTTCCTCCCTCAGGCAACCCCATCCAATTTCTGCGCTACAGAATTCCACTGCAATCCACCCCGCCATCCCACCACGAGCCAAGCCCAGTGCTCCCCGAAAGCTTGATCAAGTCCGATATAAGACCCGAAGACCTCATCAAGGATGATGCCAATCCGGAGCCAAGCTCCATCAAGCGCAAGCGAGGTCGACCCAAGGGCTCTAAGAATAAGAAACGCCCAGAGGAAACGGTCGAGGTCAAGCCATCCACTTTCCCAAAGCCTACAGCGGGATATTCCACGGACCATCACACGTTCGACTCTTTCCTTGTAGCCACGGCGGGAAACGCCCCTGACGATGGCGCTGGGCTCGTTTGGAACGATGATGACGAATCAAAGTTGACGATCAAAACTTAGTCCGAAACGTATCATAAACACTGGAAAATGACTATGCACATTTTACAGTCGACTCCCCATGATCTGTTTACTTGGGGATTGCGCCTTTGCCCTGGAGAGCCACTAGAGACTTTGAAGGATCTGTGCGAACTCCTGCCCCACAAGATTTGGGATGGGAGACTTGCTCTTCTGAGATACATGTTGCAGATGGCTATATGTTTGAGGACCAAGAACCATGTTCCGCCGTTTGGCCCACTGAGCTCGGACATCATGGATCTGGTACTGCAGGTGGCCGATAGATTACCACAGCAGGAGCCATCCCAGCGCCGAACGACGCTGGTCAACGCAGCATACGATTTCTGGGTAACGAGCAAGCCAGATATGGAGACAGCCGTATCAAGGCTGATCGAGGAGCTCACAAAGACTGTCGATGAATGTCCGGTCGAGCCATCTGTCGCCGAGGAGAATTCATTCGTCTTACAAAGGATCGACGTTCAAACCCTCCGAAGAAGCCTGGACAACTTGAACTGCAATGGGGCTTTCGAACACACCTCGGACGCATACTACCTTGGATACTTCGTCGAAAACCAAGCGGTGTGGTCGCAATTGGCACCGGCCAGTTGAAACGCTTCAGCGATGGGAAAAGCTCTCCCTTCTCAACACCAAGCGAGACAGGCTAGTTGGGGAACCAGGCATACCGCTGAAAGAGAGACCAAGTGATAGTAGAGCTCCATACTGACAGAGTGAAAAGTGCGATCCACGGTACCAAAAAGTCTTGTTCTGGGATTGCAACGCCCAAGAAGAATCAGCAGAGCAAGTTGAAGATTCGTCACATGAGGATGGTAGCGACAAAAACATCGAAGATGGACGCGAGCCCAGCCAAAGTTCGAGGCGTAGAGTGAGCAGTGGAAAGTGGCTAGCAAGATATGGCTTCGATGTCAAATCTGAGGACGAAGATTAATTCGGGTGGACGACATCACTGGGTATCACCACACCTTCGCCATGCATCTAGGGCTGAGAATATCGATCGACAGCAATTGAGTATCGTGTACAACGAGCTGCAACCATGTTGAACATCTGAGGGACGCGACAAAGGCGCTTTAGCTCGAATATACGGAGACGGTACTGGTCGCTCACTTGGCAGACTTGGCCCTCAGTAAACAGCGGACTCCTAACCACTGGATGCATCCATTTCGTGGAAGTCCGTAGTAAGCAGAGAAGCTGGGGCGATGTCTGTAAGCCATATGATAGCGCAGTGCGCGTTTGGCGCGGTACGACCTCGGCTTATAGGGGGGAAAGCATAGATATAGGACTAACATCGAGAAACGCGAACGTATTCACGGAATGGGGTACCATAATTCCAACTCATCTACAGTTCACAGCATTAGGCTACCCGTGATCTGATTCAGTGATAACTTGCATGTATTGAGCATAGGCGTGAGCCACTCCAAGGGGCCTGGCCAGCCTTACGTCTTACGTCCCGTGGCCTGCAGCCAGGCTCCTTGAAGCAGTTCACACGTATGTACAGAAAACACCACCCGATTGACATCCCTCCATACCATTCCACACTATCGCGCGAGGGACGGCGGGCGAGTGAAATCGCGACCGTTGCGTGCAGTCGTGGCCCCGTACACCGGACGCGAGATGAGAAAGAGAAGTCCCTCTCGTCCCAACCTGGTCTGGCAACTGGCTCTTCACCCCGTCCACAAACCAGCTCATCTGATCGGCCGAGTGGAACGAATCGTTGTAGACGGCGCTGTGATTCAGCCGATCGCGAAATGTCCAGACGAACGCCACAGCCTGCCGCGACAAGATCTCGACCCCGAAACTGACCGCCTCGACCGCAAACCCAGCCTCTAGTGTCCCATACGACCGCTTGACCAACCCCTCGGCGATGGCGATGCTGCTGATATCGACCTCGCTCGGCGGATCGCTCCCACCCGGCGGCAGACTGCGGATCAGCTCGCCCAGCTCCGCCGCGTCTGGTACTCGCGATGCGAATCCAGGAACTCACAAGTGGCGCCCTTGCGGTATTCACTCTGGTACTTCCGCAGCCTCTGCGCGCGCTTTGGCCAAATCGCAGTCAACCAGGAGCCCAGGACCCTCGTTATATTCTAGGTCTCGTACCCAGACAAGCTCGCAGGGGTCGCCCGACTGTGCGCACTGATAATTGCGATGGCAGAGGTGTCCTTCGCGCTTTTTGTCCTTGATCAAAGTCAGGATGTCTTTCAAGTTCGATAGCAGCGTCCGGTCTGTGTCGACCACGTCCAGAACGCAGAGGCCGTTGGCGAAGGTCGGCTTGTTGTCCGACTCGTATAGCTCGTCGTCGCCTCCTTTGGACTCGTAGTCTGGTGGATCCCCGATCGCGTCCTTGGCGGACTTGCACTTGCCCTTCCGTACTACTTCGCCGGCGTGGGTAAGACCCAGGGCGAGGAGGACGGAGGCAATAGGAAACTTCATATTGGCTAGGGAATCAAAGCGGTTGCTTCTCTTGGTTTTTCTCGGTCGTGTCAGGATCACAGGTCGCGAAAAGAGTCTGGTCAGAACGTGGGAAACTTGATGTATTAGATGATGTCGGGAACGGCTGGCTACGGTGGAAATCACACCTAAATACCCCCATGTGCACCTCCAGGGGTACCTCGTCCGTTCCAGTCGAGTCCCAAGTGGCCAATTTGGCCACCGCATCCTGACAGGTAGTGACAGATGTAAGAACTCGGTTCCTTGGTGGTGATAGATGTGAAGAATTTGCCTTAGGTAATGGGTTAGGTGGCAGTTTGACAAATGCTGGGCCTCAGTGACGATGCGACATTCGACGCCGGCTATAAATATAGAATGAGATCACACGGTCCGCCCCTTGTCGAGATCTCTTATTGGCCTTCCTAAAGGGGTAGGTAGATACCTTGGGGGAGAACGGGAGGAACACCCACATCAAGCGGAGGCGGGCTACCCCGGCTGGGGCAGAGGCGAGGGAGCCGGTGGGGTCGATGGTGGCGATGGTGGCGATGGTGGCGAAGGAGTTGATGGCCCAGTGCTCGCGGTTGAGGGACAGGCCTGCGTCGCCTACGAGCTTGATGAAGGTCTCGTTTTCACCGATCGGGCGGGTGAAGGCGCCTGAATGGTCTATTTTATGCCAGTCTATCAAGGTGTCTATCTTAGGGTCTCGATTTAAAAGTTATTCTTTATAGTCCATTAGTCACAGGATAACTAGGCAAGGCCAGTTCGGGCAGAAAGGATGCTGTGATGCAACCTTAGCTAGCTATAAGCAAGCTTCGTCAAAGTGGGACGACTATGCACGGATATTTATGGGAGGTGGTCTTTTTAAGCAGCTCGACCTTGCACCTGAAGGAGAGAGAAAGTTAGCACTGCCATCATCATACTCGATCGTGTAGACCCTTTAATCAATGATCATCCAGCCATTCTAGCAGCCGCTTTTTTACACTACCATTAAAGGTAGCAATGCTTGTAAAACCCTGCGACGGGCCGCTACAGAGTCCTTTCCCGAAAGGGAGAGGGCCGCAGAGGCTGGGAATGTGGTATGTGGGCGGATTGCTAACTCACAATGGAAGCAGAGATCTTTGCATTTGCTGTACATAAGCACTGGTTTGATCACACAATGAAAAAAATTAACCTTACGGTTGAGCGATTTGCTCGATTATAGTCTCATAAATGAAATAATGTACGCTGAATAGAAGGGGGAACAAAAGAGTATTCCGGGTCCAGTTTCATCACCTCCTCGGCCCCAGAATGAAGCGTGACTTAGCCACCGTTCACCCAGATGGATGCGTCAGCATTCTGGTCGGCATCCTTACACGGGACACCACTAGAAAACGTCAGTTCAAGTGGCTAAGCACAACAACAAGATACCAGTGACTTACCATCGGTAAGAGTTCCACATATCATCATAACGCTCAAAGTTGCAGAAGTGCTTCTTGCCGTTGGTTTTGCTGGCATCTGCGAGGAGATACGGCGTCAGCACAATCCCAGCTCTTCTCGACAGTCGGGTCCTGACTGTCTGGTTCCCAACCCGGGGTCATCAACACGACTTACGGTCCGTCTCCAGGTCCTCGAACAGCAGCCCAGGCCTATCCAAGCCATCTCTCTTTTTATACTTCTGCTTCTTGCCATCTTCGTCCGTGTAGTCCTTGCCGCCTTCTGCCGTCCAGACGACCCGTACTGTCCCGGCGGATTTACGGTCCGGCGCGTCGGGAAATTCAAATTCCCAGAGCGAGTTCATGGAGCAGTCATACGATTCCGTCGTGAAGGCCTGCTCGTCGCGGTCGCCGCTCGGGGAAGGCGGCGACGCGGCCGCCTCGCAGAAATAGCCCTTCGAGTGGTCGTGGTACAGTCTGGCTTTGATCTCCACTGGGCCGCTCAGTGCGGGTCAGCGATGCGTTCCCGTCGGGATTATCAGAGACGAGGGAGAAACCGACTGAGACAGTTGCCGCTCTCTATTTCCCACGGGTTTGGTTCACCGGCCTTCTCGGCCATATATGCGCCCTCGCCGATGGTCTTGAAGGCCGAAAACCACATGAAGATAGTTGCAAGGAACTGTTATTGGCGCTTCGCGGGTGTCCCGTGTTCTTCATTCCGCTTGCTTGGGGCGTCGTCCTCCAACCCGCGCGTGTATGGGGCAAGATCGAGAAACGGGTACGTTCGACCACCGATGGTAATGTTGCGCAGCTCAAGCCCGGAACCAGCTGTCGGTCTTGTCGTCTGCCGGCTTTGATCTGGGGGCCGCCAGGGCGAGCGTGGCCAGCAGGGCTATGCGACAAGTAATAGTTAATTTCATCGTTGTGTTTCAAGATATTGGTTTTATCTGTGAGCGGAATGCCCGATCAGAAGTGCAATGGTCAAACGGCAAGGCCGAGACCCTGACACTTATGAATCTTGGCATCATCGCTCGAGAAGGCATTTGATGTGGACGCTGGCAACGTCATACGTGGCTATTTAAGCTTGAATCGAGCTGTCTTTTGAGCGGGCCGAGTTCCACTTCTGAATTAGAAGTGCTCGTCTACGAGAACATCGTATCTAGGTACCGTATTGTTCCTTCGCCCAGGCGATATAGCTAATTCGTCCTCGCTGGAAGGATTCAGGGCGAGAGGGAGGAATTGATAAAACATTAATTACGGGCCGTGTAGGATGCAGATGCTATAAACGGTGAAAGTGGACCATGGTCCTCGAAGCTAGAAGTCCGTAGTTACTCCAAATAGAATGCGGGTCAATATTGGGGCCTGACTGACCAAGACGTCCCCAGAAGCCAAGCAGGACACGCTCGGTGATCTGTCCGTAGGAAGACCTCTGGGGTCAGTAAGGTTGCAGATCTGGTGGTAGGTATAAGTTGCCTCTCTTGCGTCAAGCTATGCAAATAGACATAATGGTATTGATAGCGACGCGTGAACTGGCACAATCGAGTACATCGCGTGGAGGCAGATCCGAGTTTGGTCATTCGAACAGTTTATTTCCGTTCTGCTACATCTATGTAGAATATAGCTACATTAAACCTGTAGCGATGGACGAAACCATACCGAAGGCCTTCCGCGTCAAACATTCCCAAAGTTATTTGCTGCCGCTGGATGGTGTCGTCATTGGAGATACTCACGCGCAAGTGACATCGCGTGTCGGGTCAAGATCACCCGAGGATATTCATGGCGAAATTGTAACCGTTCAATTTGCCACACGGAGGCTTATTCGCCGTGCGTTGACCTTGATATAACATGTGTATAGATTTTCCGAAGACATAGAGAGACGTTCTATAACTGCGACAGTTCTTTAAGAACAGTCTACAAACTACGTGGACATGTTCTACGGGGTAAACCACCACCAAGCACGATGGCTAGTCTCAGACACCTGGTCGTCTGCCTAGCCGTTCTTGTCGCACGAGCGGCTACTTTCTCAACGCGACAGAGTCAAGCGAGCAACTCGTGCTACAGAACGATCGACTGTACATGGCCGTTGACAAGAGCAATGGCCAGGTGGTAGACATCGTGCTCGACGAAGAAGACTTACTGGTACCCGTCAGTGGAAGCACCGGCAAGGGGCCCTATGTCGACTGCTCCTGCATCCCCGTCCGGAGCCTGAACACCCGGAGGGACCGCCACCTTTCAGCTCTTCACTGGCAATGACACGACCGGAACACCATATGGCGGGATAAAGATGAGCGTCACCTACCAGTCCACAAACCAGAGCATCGAGCAGTGGTGGTTCTTGAGGGAAGGAGAAACTGGCCTGCATCTCTTCACTCGGGTCACCTACTTCAATCCGGAGACACCGTATCTTCGAGATCTGGGTGAGCTGCGCACGCTGTTCCGGCCAAACACTGACCTGTGGACGCACCTCTCCGGAAGCGAAGGCAACTTTGCTCCAATACCCTCGGCTAAAGCATAAAACGAGGAGGTCGTAGTGCAAGATGCCACCTGGTATCTAGGCAACACGACTTCGGATGCCTATGTGCAGCAGTACTCCGACTACTTCACCAAATACACATTTTCTGAGCTTTGGCGGGATCACCAAGCCCACGGCCAATACTCCAATGGGAGAACAAGCTCGGATGGGAACCCGTATGGGGCGTGGTTGGTGCATAATACTCGGGAGACATACTACGGTGGCCCTCTCCACTCGGATCTCGTCGTTGACAGTATCGTGGTAAGTCTTCTTTTATTCGACTATTTACATCCATCAATTTCGCGACTGAAGTCTTCCGCTTGTGAGCTATGAGCAGAACATCAGGCTTATTCGAGACACCATAGTATAACTACTTGGTCAGTGCCCACCACGGCGCCCGTGTGCCAAACATCACAGACGGCTTCGACCGTACCTGGGGTCCACAGTACTACCATTTCAACAAGGGAACCCCGAATCCCACACTCGCAGAACCTTGGGCGGATGCCGCTCAGTATGCAAATCCGCAGTGGAACGCAGACTTTTACGACAGCATTGCACAATATGTGCCCAACTACGTACCAACAGCAGGCCGCACAACCTTCAAGGCACCGATCGAGCCGCCCGAGGGCGCAGAAAGACCGATTGTCGTGCTTGCTGAGAACAAGCAGGACTTCCAACTGAACGTGTTCAACCAGTCTAGCTTACAGTACTGGGCCGACCTTGACCCTGATACCGGGGCAGTGGAGATCCCCATGGTCAAGACAGGCGTCTACAGACTGACGATCTACGCCGACGGGATCTTCTGGTGGTTCATCCAGGACGACGTAGAGGTATCAGCTGGAGCGGAGGTCCTCGCCATCAAGTGGGAACCAGAGAGCGCCGGCCAGGAGATCTGGCGGATTGGCATCCCAGACAAGTCCTCGGGGGAATACAAACACGGCTACCCAACCGACACGTCCAAGCCCGAGCAGCCCGAGCAGCATCGCATCTACTGGGCCAAGTGGGACTTCCCAACCGACTTCCCCGACGGCGGCGTCTTCAAGGTCGGGGAGAGCACCGAGGCGGAAGACTTCAACTACATCCACTGGAGCGTGTTCCCCAGAACGGCGAACTACCTGCGTCCGGAGCCGTACTACGAGAACGTCAACTGGACCATCCAGTTCGACCTGACCGGCGACCAGTTCGCAGGGGTGCAGGAGGCAACGTTCAACGTCTACCTTGCGGGCGTGAAGACGGCCAATGGCAATAACAAGTGGGCGAGTCTTCCTGATGAGAAGTACTCTAACGTTCCCTACACGGTGGCCGTCAATGGAGAAGACGTCGAGACCTGGGTCATTCCGTCCTATCGAAGCGGGTCTTGTGGTGTGCGGAGCAGCGTCGTGTGCCAGAACTTTGGCCATAAATTTGTCTTCTCGACGAAGCTGCTGCACGATGGCGTCAACGAGTTTATTCTGAGCCTGCCGTTCAACGCGACGGATGTCGAGACGGCGCCGCTGCTGGGGACGATATATCTGCAGTACGATGCCTTGAGGCTGGAGCTGGCGTAGTAGCTCAATGGGACTCGATGCCGCACCATTGCTCGTGGCGGTATTATATACCGTAAGACCAACGTGGAGGGTCTGGACACCACTTTGGCATACCGCCTTTCCCAAGCAAACTCAACTTCTCGAGACGCGAGGCTTCCCCGCGTGGGTGAAGCCAATCATGCAGCAGGTGATCCGTGTGCAGTAGGAGAGGTTTGCCTCGAAAAGGCGGTAGATAAAATCAACACATAGACCGAGTTGTCTAATGAGCCTCACCTGCAGCTGAAACCTGCACACAACGTTGGCAACGGCTCCCCTCCTCGCCGCTAATTGGTCCACAGTATAAGAGGTGTGAGCTGTGCAATAGCCTCGTCTGCAATAGCTTAACAGCCAGCGAGGCAGCCAATAGCTATCCATAGACCAAGATACACGGTCAAGCCGATGCTGTTCAGATCCCAGAACAGCGGTGGACGGAGGTACGAGGGAGACCTGTCATCGTCATCCCATCTTCAGCTTCAGCCCTAGCATTCACAGATCACGCTTGTCACGATATGTCTGTAGCACGAGGTGACTCGATATGGCAACGAGTCGGAGTCAGCAAACATCTTCATGCACCCTCGTTACACGGAGGGAGCGACGAAGCCCCAAATATAAAAGGCCATCATGCTCGCTTACCGAAGCATACTCTTCCCACCTTCATTTCCATACCTCACTCCCCCCCTTAAACAAACCCAGCACAATCCAGAACAACCCCGACAAAAGCACACACAATGGCACCAGCACAACGCTACGTAGACACGCTACCCGAGCCGCCGCACCCGCCCCTCCCCATGAAGGTCATCGTCCTCAGCTACAGCCGGAGCGGCACGCTGGGCCTGTACCGCGCGCTCAACATGCTAGGGTACCGATGCTACCACACGGTAGAGATGATGCGAGAGGGCGTATCGCACCTGCGGCTATTCAACGAGGCGCACCGGGCCCACCTGCCGTTTCCCACCTCCACCTCCCCCTCCTCCCCATCACCATCTCCCAAACCCTACACCCGCGCCGACTTCGACCGCTGGCTCCACGCCTACGATGCCCTGTCCGACATCCCGTGCCACCTCTTCCCCGAGATAATCGCCGCCTACCCTTCCGCCAAGTTCATCCTGGTGAAGCGGGACCCGGACCGCTGGATGGCGTCTGTGCGCGCCACCGTCGGCGCGCTGATGGACGACATGTCGCGGTTCCCGCTGCGCTACTGCCGGTTGTTCGACGCCTTTCTCGACGATTTCTTCCGCTTCAACGAGCAGATCGTCGCGCAGGCGTCGCGGGGCGGGAAGTGGGCCCCACGAACTGGGACGGGAGGGAGTTCTGTGTCGAGTAGTGCGTTGTTCTTTTAGTCCCTGACCCCTTTATCCATAAGCACTAGTTCCCCCTAACCCCTATCCATATTATCTCTTCATTATCCAGACAACACTCAAAGCTTGAATATGCTACCCCTCTCGTCGCTCAAAGTCACTGACAGCGTAACGACAGCATCGCATCGGTCAAGAAGCTAGTGCCCCCGGAGCAGCTGTGCGTGGTGCGGCTCGAGGACGGGCTGGGATGGGAGCAGATCTGCCCCTTCCTGGAGTTGCCCATACCGGAGACCAAGTATCCACGGGGCAACGAGCCGCTTGAGTTCAAGGGTGTCGTGTATGGTTTGATGGCGCCCCATATACGCAAGGCGATGTTTACGATGGGGGCGGCGCTCGTGGGAGCACTATCGGTAGGCGCGTGATGGTGGTTGTCATAAATGCATCGAATTCTGCGTCTAGTCAGCACGGGATGTCTGATGTGAATTAGACAGCGAGTGGCGTGAGAATGTTATCTGGCCTCTAACATGCACGAGGTTCAACGTTGACTTTGGCTCAGTGACTAATGTAAGGTTATTGTGTGCTGCCCGCCGTATTAGCAGCACATGTGCGTATAGAGGTAGGCAATGGAAAAGGCAAACTGTATTCAAGCCGTGCTATGCTGCCAGGTGCAATCCGAATCAATCTAAAGGGAATTCGTTCAGTCATCAGACCCGCTAAGTATGATCCCGCGACGAAGCGTATAAGCGTCGGATATGAATCGCATAAGACAAACAGCTGCAACACAAGCCCAACGCCTAGCTATTTTTGCAACATGAAGAAACCTGTCAAGAGTGTGAAGAACCATTCAGTGCTCCCCGCTTCCGGAAGTCCCTTCTGCCGCATGAGGGAGGTTGGGGAAGAAGAAGGCGGCAACCGCAATGGCAATGTAGATGATAACGCAGAGGAAGCCCTCAAAGTAGTCGCTCTTCTGGTCCCGTAAAAAGTTGCCCACGGTGATGATGGCCAGGATCAGCATAGCGACATCAAATATCTCAAAACTCAAGTCCATCGGACGGCCCGTGCCCCAAGCAACAATGACGACGAGCGGGGCGTTGAGCATGGCGGTCTGGATAGTGGCACCGATGCAGTGAGCCAAGGCGAAGTTGATCTGGTTATCCCACGCCTCGTCAATGGCCGTCAGATGTTCGGCGGCCTTCTCCACCAGAGGCACCAAGATCAATCCCATGAACGGATCCGAGATGCCTTGCTCCTCGACGATGAACGGAATCTCGTTGACCAGGGCAATGGCGATAATAGACACGAGCGCGACGGAGATGGCTAGAGCAATGATGCATTCAGTCAAGGTAAGCTTTGCCTTGGCTTGATCCTTGTGGCCATCGGCGTCTCGCTTTTCGTCGTGCTCAAAGATGGCATCGTAGATACCGTGATGTGTTCGCATCTGGAACCAGATATAGACACAGTAGGAGACGAGGAGAAGGACGGCGACGGCGTGGGATAGGCTGACCACCTTGTCGTCGATCTGCTGTGGGGTGAGTTCGAAATCGGTGACACTGATTGAATTCTGGAAGATGGTAGGAATGGCCAAGCCTAGACCAGCCATGAGAAGAAGGCCGGTACCAATTTCGCTGATGGCGCCGTCAAAGGTCGAGGTCTCGCGGCGTATCCCAGAGGCGAAGAAGCATAGGCCCAGGCACAGCAGCATGTTTGCCAAGATGGAACCCAGAATAGCGGCCCGGATGACCTCGTATTGGGGATTGGGTCCGACGAGGAGAATCATGAACAGAATGATTTCGACTATGGATGCTATCCTATATGGACAGTACAGTTAGCTGCTGCGGACATGACTACGGAACTAGGGTGGTGTGTGGTGTGATGCGTACGTCGTCTCGGCCAGAATACCAAGCACATGGGGCATCTTTCTGGCGAGCTCCTGGCCGGCAAAGCCAATGAGATTGGCGCAGGGAATCATGGCAATGTAGGCCAGAATGAACTTGAGGACATGATGGTCTTCGAGGGAGTAGTAGACGGCGATGGCGGCGGGGACGATGGGCCAGAGCACGTTGACAGCTCGGGAAAGGTAGCTCGAAGACTTCCAGGTGATCTTGAAGAAGTGCAGGGGGTGGATGCCGCGCCGTCCACTCTCGCCGGCGGTCTTGACGCGGACAGGACCGTTGGGACGCCTCTTCTTGCTGCTGGTGCCGTTCATGATATCCTGTCGCGTCTGAGGGAGAGCCGGGTCGCGCGAGCTCTGCTTGGATGGTCGCGGAGCCTTCTCGCGGTCCCTGAGAGTACCGGCCATGATGTCGGCGTCGGGGTGGTTGTCTCGCGTGGTAAGTGAGGTGAGTGAGGTTCTATTCTATCGGGGGTCGAAATCAGCGCGAACGATGGAGGTCACAGAGCCGGTGTTGCTGTTGCAGAGAGGAAGCAGAAGGCGGAAACACAATGTCAGAGAGTAAATGGCAGATGCATTGGTGACGCAGCAGGAACAGTGACAGTCTACAGACACAAAGTCAGAGGCACATGCAGAGTGGACGTGGACAGAAACACAGAAGAGAAACGGCATGATGGCAGTGATGGCAGTGATGGCAGTGATGGCTGGGCAATTCAGCCACGGGCCACCACTGCCCTGGTTTTATTATTACAAAGTATGGTAACGAGTGACTGCCAAGTGACTGCCAAGAGGCTCTCGCAGGAAAGAATGTCGCCAATTGGGACTATGAGACGAGTTCACGGCGCGATTCTGGTTCTAGATCCCGCCAGCCCGCCAGCCCGCCCGTGCCACTGCCGCGGCGTCGCTGCAGCTGGCTGCCAGTGGATGGCAGTGAGAGGCCGCCAGTTGTGGGGGCTGCCTGACTATCCCAGCTAGCCCACGTAATCTGCGACGGATTTGGCCCGTCTGGGGCTGGTCTGGGGTGGCCTCCAGCGTCTACGTCACCCTGCATTGCACTAGACTCGCCCCCTGCACCGTAGCCGCGACAGCTCGACCCCTTTGCTGTTCTTATTATTGCACCCCCTATTCGATTGACATCCCCGACTTCTATCCAACCCCTCGAGGGCCATACATTTGTAATGACCTACTCTTCCATATGTCACGGGATAAAATATGGATGACAGCAGATGCCTAGGTATCTGCTCGTGGGGCCTGAAGTCATGCTGACAGTTTTCATCTGATGTATGGAGATGCCAAGTCCAATGGTCGGGTCGTGCTACCCCTATCCAACGTGGACCAATCAATTCGGACCTTAGTCGCAGTCCGCGCCGGCATCGCCAGTTTTCAAGCAATCTCGAAGAACAGACAAGCACCCCAAGCCTCTTCTCATTATCGATCGCCTCGACTGAGCAACTTGGCCTTGAAGCTTGGAAGGCTTGTTCTCGCCGAGTGTCATCCCTTCGATTCATCCCTCAATCCAGATATGGAATCGGACAGGCCGTTCGCGAGTAGTTTGTACTGCACTCATTCCTTTGAGAGATCTGTCATGAGTCTATGTAACCTCAGATTTTCAATTTCGGCAGATTACATGTGAGGTTCTCGTACCAAAGAACATGTTGCGTTTTGAGAGCAACGCCACAAGAATTGGCATCCTTGGCAGCACTCTCGCTCCCTGATTTCCTCCCTGAAATGCGTGAATGTTATGATGCGACTCCACTCGATTGGCCATGCCTCTATCAGCCTCGAATCATAGGATCTGACAGCGACGAAGACCATCGACGATACCTACATTCACGCACAAGGTCCCGAACAACTTAACGGATATCTACTAACGTAGCTGACAAGCGAGTTGACATTACAAGCGAGTTGGCACTCGTCATGAACTCTCCAACTGCCATGTCAAATAACTTCACCACAACGCATTCAGTTCAATTCAATCAATCGGATTCCTTTTCCTCAGAGGTTTCTATCTCTATTGTACAAGTTCGCGCATTATGGCCAGTATTGCTGCAAACGTCACACCGTCGCCCACGCGCTGCCGCCCGCCTCGGACGACGACTACCTTCACCCATTTCCTGTTTTGCCAGCTCAATACCATCCTTTGCAGCCTGAAGATCTACTGCATCTTCAACGGAAAGTACTCCTCCTTTCACTAGATGTTTGTTTTTTGTTCTCTGGAATTTACTTAGTAGGTGATTGGCCTCTTCTAGTTCGCGGACCCGGGAATCAACCAAAGCGACCTTATGTATAAGACCGTATGTAGCCTTCGAAAACGAGCTCAATGCATCAACTATTGATGTAGGTGAGCTTCCCTGGTGGTTTCTGACTCGGTTTCGGATATAAACTGATTGGTTTACCGCTTTATTAATGGTGGTAGGCGTCTTCAAAGTCCAAGTAGTAGGTGGCAGATTGGGGTCTGGCGACGGTGTTCGTATGACAACGACAGCATCCAGCTTTGAAATGACACTTTCTGGGTCAAAAGGAACAAGCCCAGTGGCACTGAAACCTGCTCGAATGTTTCCTGGCGTCATGGCAGCGTTGTGTGCTTCACAAAACGCTGCAAGGAAGTCCTCCTTCAAAACATGGGTTATATGACGCTGGATGAGATCCTCAATCATGCGACCGTAAGCTCGTTTGAGCGGGCTAAAACAGCCGACATCTAGAGGCTGGAGCCTGTGTGACGAGTGGGCAGGCATACAAAGGGTGATAATGCCGTTGTTCTGGCAATAATCCTCAAAGACCTGGGAATAGTGGCTTTTGTGACCATCTAGGATGAGGAGGCGTTTACCGGCAGTCATACGCGGTCTGGTATACTTGTTGAAATGCTGAATCCATTCCAAACCATTCTCATTTGTGGTCCACCCGTTGTCGGACACGGCCACCTTCCAATCGCGTGGTAATATCGTGTCACGATACCATGACGCGAGGTGGGTTTTGCCCTGTAGAATGATGAACGGCGGGACCACCCAACCATCAGCATTAACAGCAGAGATTGCTGTAGACCATTCCCTGTTGCCTTGCTGAGCTTGTCTAGGCCTGCCACGTCTTTCGGCGCTTGTAACGACCATGCCGGACCCAATAATGCCCATCATAAACCCAGTCTCGTCGAAGTTGTAAATATCCGCGTCTTGGATACCATGTTTCGCGACTGCTGCTGTAACTTGGCAAAACCACGCGCGATACGCATCTGGATCCTCGTTTAAGACCCTCTGGTAGTCTATCTTCCGATGAAAACGCGTCCAGAGGCCTGGTGTACGTTTGATGAAGTTCCGCGTCCAGTTCTTTCTAACGCGTCCAGCCCCACGCGCCGCCAACAATTGATTCGCCATATCTTCAACATAACTGTACCGGGGCGGAAATGCTCGCGCATCCAGGTCGAGAATGAAGGAACAAATGGCATTCTCTTCGGAAACCATAAGTTTCAAAGTATTGGGCATGCTGTCGCGTCGTGATGGCATTCCTTTGATTCTATTGCTCAAAGTGGAACAAGGGACGTTAAAGAGTTTCGCAAGCTGAAATATAGGAATATAAGGGTCACTTCGTTTAGCTTAAACAGCTAGCTGCAAGTCTGATTTGTTATAACGCGGTGCCATTGTTGTTGGTGGAGATATGATGGTTTGAATCGTATTGGTTGGAAAGTTCATGACGAGTGCCAACTCGCTTGTAATGTCAACTCGCTTGTCAGCTACGTTAGCCGTAAAAAGTATCGTTAATATAAGGTTAAAAAATAAAAAAGTTATTTATTAGTCCGGAAAAAAAACCTTAAATTATCTTTTCCTCTCTTTATAATATATATTTTATAAAAAGCTTATTTACTATAGAATTTTATAAAGATTCTCAATTATTTAAAACGTAATAAGCTTTTTTTCATTCAAAGAAGTAATTATTATACTTTAATTATCATATCGTTAAACTTGTTATAATTCCCTTAAAAACGTAAGCTTTTATTTGCTTTTTATATAAATAAAAAATATGCTGCTTCAAGCGTTAAAAAGGGCTTAATAAATCATTTTATAAGTTTATAATAATATATTTTATAAACTAGGTTACATTTTAAATCTTTTTAAAATTTCAATCAAGTCGATCTTATGACCGATTTTAAGTTTTAAGGATAATAATTAATCAACTTAAACTATATCTTAAGTACGTTTAAATAGTCGTTGTATTAGCGTGGTACTAGTTTCTTTATTTTATATTATAAAATATTATGGTTATCGTTTAATATTAATATTTCTTTTTTTAATTGATGAGTCAGTTAACTTTAAATAAGATAATAATACCGTATTTTATATTATATTTTATGATCGCTTATATAAAGAAATAGCTTTTATTATCATCACTATAAAAAAGAGGTATTTATATTATTTAATACCGGTTTTTTATTTAAAGATCTTAAGTATCGTGTTATAATCTTATAAAAATAAAGCATTTAGAAGAAATTTAAATAAGTATATATAGCTTTATTTAAAAAACGTATTAAGATATAATTTTGGGGTACTTTGAATCAAGTGCTTTTTTAATTTTAAAGTATAATCCGGTTAACATTAATCAACGTGGTTATAGGAAGGCAATTGAAGTTTATTTAAAGCTTTTTTAATATATAACCTTTTTTTCTTCCTTTTTAACGTGAACATTTTCAAAATTCTCGCTAAAATGTTTTAGTATATCGTCGCTTGTTTTCAAAATTCTTTCTTTTTTATCATCTCTTATAATAATAGAAAGCTAACTGATTAAAAGTGTTTTATTAAAGTGGCTAAAAATGTAAATAATAATATCTTTATTACTAGTAAAATAGTCGGCGATATTTTCTAGCTTTTTAAAAGTAATAAAAATTACGTTTTAAACTTAATAAAAAAGTCTTACTAATTAAAAAAAGGTACGTTATTAACAATAAAAGAAAGGTTTTCTTTACTTTATAAATTAACGTATACTACATTTAAATAATTAAAATTAAGGGTATTCTTGCCATAGGTCTTAGCTACATTAACGATCTTATTTTTAAATAAAATAATAGCTTTATTTTTTATTCTAAGTTTTTCAAATTAATCATTATTAATAATTTTGATAAGCTTTTTATCTTTTATAACTATTAAGTTAATTAAATAAGTCTTTTTTGTTATCGACTTCTTACAGCTTATTTTAAAAGGTGGTTCAGTAAGCTTAATTTTAAGATTTATAACCTTATAGTAAACTTTGAAGAGTTTTTCAAAACATAAAGTTATATAGTTATTGTCACGGCGAGCGTACTGAGGAGCTGGGACATGGCCGGCAGCAAGCAGCTTTTAATCTATTGACGAGAATATCAAGACTAGAGAGGAAAGGAAGAGAGAGAGAGAGAGATAGGTACAGTGGGAGGTTGCCCATTTAAGGGGATCCTTTGGTCAGATCCTTCTCCTATTGGGAAGTATCCGCTTGTCATGTGGGAAGGTCTGTGCAGACCGTCACTGTTATATTAAACTGAGGTTAATATAAATAAAAACCCGGGGATTTTAAAGTGTCATTAGTAAAATTATTAATAGTTATTAAAATAAAGGTTTAAGCTTTTCTATTTTAAATTACAATATGTGGATTATCTTTATATATTTTATGAAAGTTTTCGATATTATTTAAATTGTTAGAAATAGCCTAATACATATATCCATTTTGAATAAATGTAATAAACCACATACTAGGGCTTTTTTAGTCCTTATTTTAAAAATAATAACAAAATAAATAACGAGTTAATAAATTTTATTATAAAAGTTTTTAAGATTGTAATTAAAACGAAATTAACGTGTTTATCTTTAATGTTTATTTAAAAACCCCTTTCTTATTCGTACGGTATTTTCAACCCTTTTACTAGTAAAACGTTTTACTTTTAATTTCGGTAGTAAACTTAAAGATAATGTTAATTTTGACTACGTTAATAGCTTGCTTAAATAGAAAATCGCGCTTTTTTTACTTTTTTTTATTAAAACTCTAAAAAGGCGTTTTTATTAAAGCGAGCCTGCTTTATTACGATTCTTATTTATACGTTACGCTTTTTTAAATTGCGTTATTATAATAAGTTAGTTCGTTTGTTTAAAATAATCGTTATATACCAGTTTAAAAGTGAAGATCGTGATTAAGTCTTTTATATCGGTTTTTTTTAAGTTAAGGTTTTTTAAACTATATTAATTTATTAAAATATTATTATAAAGCAGCTTAAAAACTAGGACGAAAGTGTCTATTAATATTTCTAATTGTATAAAAATATTTTAATAAAAAAGGAAAAAAGATTTATAGCACTGTGTAAATCTGGTAGGGTGATAGATCTTAAATCCCGATTTATAATTATCTATTTATCTATGTAATAATGCAACGCGTCCACCTTACTAAATTATCTAATAAGTGTTAGATCTATCACACTTACCCCATGTTAACCTACGATAATGTTAATTTCCAGAAACAGCACCTCTTATTGATATACTTAACTGAACTAAGCGACAACGAAGTCGTAAATAGTATTATCTTAACTTAACGAAGGGGTCCCCTTGACGTGGATGGAGTGGTTCGGAACCTTGTTTACGCATACGTGCCTAAGTGGTACAATCTCATTGCTAACGCTTCATTGAGCATGAGGCTTTGATGGTGTCATCATCTGCTGCGAACAAGACGGCACCGGCAAGGGGTCTCAGAACCGACAAATTCTATACCGGTAGCACGTCCGACAAATGACTTAAGGGGATGATCATTTTATTCGCCTGGGACACAGGCGAAAGAAGCTGTGAGATAATTCATAGTATACAAAGCTCCCAGCATGATTGACTTGTTTTACATACATAGGGTAACGACTCTTCACCATGGGAAGTCATCCGACACGCCCGCCCCCTAGGCAACGGTCATCCAGACAGCTACCAGCATACTAGCCAAGACTCCCATGGATGACATGCCCTTCCCCAAGGAAGCACTGCTGCCACCGTCAACACTGCTCGTCCCAGGTACTTCGCTCCCGGCACTAGCATTGCTCGCACGGATACAGGTGAGTTGGGAGGTAGGAGTAGACCCCGTTGCTATCGAGCCCCATACCACCATATAAGGCCACGCAAGGCTGCCAGTCTGATCATATGCCGTGATGTTTCCCTGTGAGGTGGGCGGCCCACCATAGGTTTGCACGACGAGCTGACCAGCACCCCAGCTGTCTTTATGGCTGGTGCTGTTACGGCTGTCGTTGAGGTCGGTGGCATTGTAAACTATCGGAACGACGATGGTTAGAGATCTTTATGTGCAACGTCCGAGAAGCTGGAAGGGCCAGTGGAACAGGAGCCCAGGACTTACTCGTGCCGCCGCAGCCTGAGTGGAAAGCCGCAGGAACCGGTGCACAGGAGTCTATAGTCGTTAGGTCCGGGCACTTGCAACGATTTGTGCCGCTTTGGGTCGACCACCCCTTCGCAACGGCGTCGGCCATATCGCTGCGACATTGGCTGCTCAACGCCGTGGAGCAGCTGCCGTCGTCCCTGCGCAGGTCATCCGTGTATGAGTTGTCCACCTCCCAATCCAAGACACACACCAGCCAAGACAGGTCCGTCTCTGCGTTCGATGGGGCATGGAGAGTAATCTGGGCGCCGGTGAAGTACTCGGCCTCAACTTCCGGCGTATAGCTGTGGTTTGAGAGGTTGATGGGGATGTCGGCTTTGACGTCGATCGTCCAGGCCCAGCCGTCGACGGTTCCTGTCTCCGAAGATGGCGCTGTCGTGGATATGTCGGGACCCGACAGTGGGTACTTGCCAGTGGTGTTGGGCTGTCTGCTGAGCAGACTCGAATATAGACTGTTATTCAATCCCCACGGCCCGTACGTGGGCCATCCGTAGTTGTCTTCCGTGAAAGTTGACGACGAGTCGGGAAGAACCTCGCTGAAGGCAAGCGGACAGCTCACGAGGAGGCTGGCGAAAGCCAGGGAAAGAGAAGATGATAGCTTTGATGTGAGGTACATGTTCAGCTCGACTGCTTGGAATTGGCTCAGAGGTGTCTCCAAAGTCAGACCTGTTCTCTTAAGGAAAGTCCGTCTGTCATGTATCGGCTCAGGAGCACCATGGACATGACACAGCTGGCTTCCTTCATAGCCATCAAACTGCAGTTGGTCCGCTTGCGAGGGCTGAAAAGCGATCACTGACATCATTGGATCCAGAATTTCCCAGCTGACTTTGCTGTTGGTGACACTGTATCTCAGGTGCCATTCTTACATGTAGGTTGGTTATGAAGTTCTGCCGCTGCCATTGGCCCAAGCTGAGCCCCCAATGGCGATCTCTGCGGCACAGCTACCAACCGCAGTTTGCAACACATTGACAAGCAACCAACTACATGCTCGGCGGTGTAGCCGTACTTGTCCTCGGCTGCGTGTGGGAAGCCTTGCGGATCGGGTTGACAAGGTTTAGATGTAGGGTACCAACCGTATTCTCACTGAATACATGCGTGTACGAAGCTGCATATTACTTTTCATATTGAAGGCAAGGTATCTATCTGTATTCATTTCCTTGGATTGACGGATATCCCCTCATCGGCCCTGGAGAAATCGGTTCACTAGGCATGCATCTCACTCCTTTTAGGACCGTAGATAGATCCATGTCTGGTACCTGCAGATGTTATGAGGCCTGATATAGTATACAAATTTGAACAGAAGACCCGCTCCCGTCATCATTCCACGGTTGTACGATCCTGGACATTGCCCCAGCTGACGCTACTTCGGCCCGATGTTGAAGCCTAGGATGTGGTTCTAGAGATGGCCAATGTCAGCCACAAACACGAATCCCGCTGAAGGTAGTTCTTACGTTCTCCGGTACAACCTGACACCCGTCCGTGTCAATCGTGACAATGAGCTCCGTACACCCGGTGTCGTTCCATAGCGTCGCTTTCATGCCAAGGCTCTCAAAGTTCGAGGTCACGATGTTGGTGTAAGGCCCGGGCACGACCTTGCCGTCCGCGTCCTGAGTCTCTGCGGTCATGCAGGTCAGGGTCTCGTCTTGCGTGCCAGGGGTGCCGCTATAGCCGTCGGTGCTCTTCACACAGCCGTCGGAAAAGAACCATATTCCCCTGGTCATATTTAGAGATAGACAGCATAGAAGCGTGTCGGCGGCGAGAACGTACCACGTGTCGGTCGATTGAGCAGCACTCGACTTGGCAAACAAGGCTAAAGAGGGCAGCGTAAGGGCAATAGGATGCATGGTAGAAGGTTAAGTGGGGGTATATCAAGGTTGGGTAGTAAGACTGTAAGAGCGTGAAGCAAAGATGCTTTCGTGAATCAGTTACGTGTTCGGGTTGCGGTAGACACTGGTGGAAGGCCCAGTACGAACATACTACTTTTATATTCACTGCTGGCACACAGTCGCTTCTATTTTCAGCCTTCAATATCGTCCAGTGGACGTCATCTTCAAGCCTGTCAAAAACATTCGTTACATTGGAGAGGACAAGATGAGCGCCAGATCTGGTCTGGAGGATTCTCACATCTCGTTGTTGGCGTGCGTTGCGTGTCTTTTCCCAGCCCATGAGGGACTGTTGGTGACGTTGAGGTTTTTCTGAGCACAAATCATCGATGCCATGGCAAATAGTAGCAATAGTAGTTTCACAGAGGCAATACTTCATAAGCGCCATTCAGTGACCCCATATACAACTGCAGCGTCTAATGCCCAGACGCATATAAGATACAGTCCTCATAGCAGATACATGTACCGACCAGGTATTTCGGTGCGCAGGGTCGTTTCTGCCACCTCAGAGGATCACTTCACCCCAGCGAGTCTACCAGCAGTTGGTGGTATTCAATGCGTCTCAATACCTTAATATAGAGCCCTGACCAGGAAGTCATCGAGAAGGATTCATATTTTTCCCCAAATGACAACTGCGATGATGCTGTAATGCATGGAATAACGCAGGTTGGTAGCAACGCGTGTTTCGGTAGCCACGGGCCAGAAAGCCATGCGTGCAGGAGCTGAGAAGTGTTGGTTGGTCCAGCCCCCAATCCTGACCCGTCACGGTGGTTGGAGCCCCTTTCCCTCTCCTTTTTTCCTTCCTTCTCAATCAGAGAACCCAATGGAATAGACTTCGTAGTATTCAACCATCAGAGGGCATGTGAGATCTACGAGAAAAGCATGGCCATCGGGCATCTATTCTTGGAACATGTCCGACCTGTGTCAGCTGGTCCCAACGGCTTGTGCCTCGCGACTCTCTCATACTCTTGATTAGTTGAATGTCTCCAAGGCTCTCTGATCCCGATCTTGAGCGTCGAGCACTGCAGTCAATCTGTGTGAATAATCTGCGGATCCCACGATGATCACCCTGGAATCGGCAGCAACGCAAATAAGTCTGACCAACAATGTCGTACGTGGCTTCCGAACTTCTTCTACTCGGATCATGATCGGTATGAACTTTTACCGGTGACAACTGGTTCTTTAACTTTTGTGTTCAGTAGCGAGACGAATACAAAAGGGCGTGATTCCGCATCTTGGGGATAGAGGTTGTCTCATTGTCTCAAGCATACATCCAGGACTCCATCATATCACAACGACTTCGTCGTGTTCCATTAACTTCATAATATCCCACCGACTTCATTGTATCCCTCCGACTTCATCATACGCCCCCGACTTCATCATATCCCCCGACTCTCTCAAGCATTTGTGCCCTTCTCTGAAACTTTGACTTGATCTACAATTCACCATGTTCTCCAGTACTGCCATGACTGCTGGGTTGTTCGCCCTCACCAGCAAGCTGGTCCATGCCCTAGGACCCTTCAAATTCTGTGGAGATAATGAGTGCGGCAGCTGCTCCGTCCAAGTCACCGATGCAGGAACTGGCTACCCCAACTGTGTTGTTTACTCCACTCAGGATGTTTTCGGTGGCCAAGATGAATTCAACGGGTCAGATTCGGGGTACGTCGAAGAATATTCGCCTAATCCTCACTGCCTGCCTCACCCCTTACTGACGGTGTGTGACAAGTGGCTTTGCCCCTTTCATGGACGTCCCCAAGCCTGACGATGGATGTGAGATCATCATCAAGTCGCCCGCAAGTACTCGTCGCGCTGGCTGTGGTCATCCCATTGGCAGCTACAAGGACGGCGTATGTGCCGCGTTGGAGCTTGATACGACATTCATGGTACAGTTCTGCTGCGGTACTGGCGACTGCCAAGCTGCTCTACCAGGCTCGCAGCGCTCCGTAAGGTTCGATCCCATGTATCTCAGCGCTCGAAGTGGCGGCGGCGGTGGCATGTACTTGCTTCGCCAGGACGGGACCCAGATCGAGCCACTGGAAGAGGGCTACGCATCACCCGCCACTACCGACAAAGAAAAGAGAGAGGACCAGCCCCCCAGTAGCACGCCTAGTTCGAGCGACCAGAAGCTCCCCCACGCCGGGAACAAGCGTGACGATGAATGTCCTTCCGGCGTCCAGGCCAAAAGACGTGATCTCCAGGGGAGCAGCGCTGTCAAGCGCGAATGCAAGCCAGACAAGAAGAGCTGGGTAGCCGATGGCGAGGACTACACGCGCCCGGCGGACAGCACCAGCATCGTCCTCGCTGATGTGGATGGCGGCACAGGCGGCAGCACGGAAACTGTCTCACACGAACGGTCACAAACCTGGACCACTTCTGCTTCGGCGAGCCTCGGGTTCGCCGACGTCCTCTCGCTCGGCGTTAGCTTCACCCAGGAGTACAGCTGTGAGATCTCGGATACGAAATCTTACCAATTCTCTATCCCGGCTGGCCAAGTTGGCGATGTTGGGTTTACTGCCTACTTGGATTGCCAGACAGGTAAGTCATCCGCGAACCTATCCCGCTGCCGAAACCGACGCCCGTGTACTGATTTATCCCGCGAAGGGACATACACCTGTGACGGCGACAAGTCCGATCCTGTAGAGTTCTGTGCTCCTTACAAGGACAACGACGGCTTGATCGCTGGGATATATGCCGTTATTGCGCATACCTGATCCTATACATAGTGGTATGGAGATGGGCTGACGGAGACCCTGGTGGTCCGGCTGTCTAACTCCTGTATTCACCAATGGTGGTGATCTTTGGCCTTACCTTCGTACATTGTACTTCGTGCTGCTCATTTGTTTCCTTGTCAGACTATGTATGAATCGGCACAGAATGGAAGGTTTGCGATCCCTTACGCATGAGATTAGCTGTTCTGTTTCGTCCACTCGCATACCTATCAGTGAACGCTTCGGCGAGCTGTCTCGATTTCTTCACTTCGTGCAATGAGTATATCACCATATCTAGAAGTCATTGTGAATATTATCGGCCTAGGCTTATCCGACACTATGCACAAGAGATTGTTCAGATGAATCGGCTGTATTGGTAGTGTGTACTGCGTGCACGGAGCTGTGGCATTGAACCCTAAAGGTGGACTAAATGTGATGCCGTGGGAGGTCACCCAGAGCAGCAAGAGAGATCCTACATCCACATGAATACCCAGGTTGTCTTCGTGTAAGTAGCAGGTTGTAGATTGGTAGATTCAGAGACTATGACACCACAAATACTAACATCTTGCCAACCGACAAACTGTGCCAGCCTCCCGGTGAAAGTAGAAATCGGTCTAATGAAAGGCTGAACATCCGCTCGCTTCCCCCCAGACCATTAAGCTGAGTATCCCGTGAGGAACAGCTTTGAAAAAAGTTATTCTTCTGTAGACCTTTGCGCCCGAAATCCAAGAGTCAATACCCATCAAATTCATGCCCGGTCCATCAGCAGAGCCCCAGCATGGTCTTAGTCCAGAGGACACAGAAGAAAAGAGATAGAATCCCATCTTCGCATCTGAAAGGCTCTGCCATCACTTGCAAAAGCAATGGGATAGCTCAATTACACCAATGTGTTGAGCCATGTCGGTAGGCAATCAAGACATATAAGAGACTTGAAGGTTCCGGCGTAAACGAGGTTGGGCGCCAACGTCTTTCACAAATCGCAGTTAACCAGGAGCCCAGTATCTTCTTCGTAGACAACCTCGCAGGGATCGCCCGACTTCTGGCAATGATGGTGAGGGTCGCAGGGAATGTACTCGCGGCCCTTGATAACTCGAACGACGAGGTCTAAAAAATTTGACTTCAGCGTCCGGTCCTTGTCGATCGCGTTCAGACCGCATGAAGACCCCCAGATCTCTGGTGGATCCCCGACCAAGTAGTTGGAGGAATGGCACGTGCCCTTCCGCATTATTTTTCCGGGGGCGGCATGGGTGAGGGCCGTGAGGCCGATGGCGAGAAGGACGGAGGAGGCAGGGTACTTCATGCTGGCTGGAAAATTGAGGCAAACGCTTTTGTCGGTTTGTTTGTGGTGATAGATGTCAGAATCTGTCTGTTGAGCTGGGTGGCAGTTTGGCAGTCTTAAGTATCGCACGGAGGCCCGTGGAGCAGCGCTGCGGCGGACTGCTCACTACTGTGTAGCAGCCGTCTCTTATGACAATGCGACATTCGACGTCAGTTCTAAAACCGGTAGTGTTGACATATCATTCGTAAGACGTAACGAGATCCTCTAGATAGTAAGGATCTTCCCTAATGGGTCCCCTCGGGGAGAACGGAGGAACAACCACATGATCGACCGTCCCACATATGGCATTTGACGGCGGTTACCTTTCGCCGATGTGGTTAAATATAGCGAGAGTGAACACCGACTTGAGCTATGTTTGAATAAGGGATGTTCTACGGGAAGTGACCCCAATGACTGTCATATGATGAGGGCCAAGAGCAGTGAGACCTCTCCCGGACGCCGGAGTTTTTGAAGTTGCGCGATCAGGGACTGGAGAATAATGGAGGCATTACCGCTGCTGTAATCAGTCACACTTCCTATGGCTACAAAAACAAGGGCTGGCGCATGCAGGGCATTGAATAGAAAAGGGTACCGTGAAATCTCCCTGTCCTGACGGTGGCCCCTTGACGAGCACCAAGTGCATCATGTTCAATGACATCCAGCTGTTTTCTTCACAAGTTTATTTCATTTTAGTCTCAAGGTAATTTGAAATGCCTCGGCAAAAACAACTACACAAAAACACCAGTAAAGCAAAGGAGCTGGCAATGGCAGCGCAGTCACGTAGATCTGGTCCTGATCGTTGAAGACATGTACTCAAGAGAATGTCTAAGGGACAACTAAAGCAAGTCCCAGTGGAGGTGATAGGGACGTCTAAAGCATCATATCTGATTGCACTGTTGGATGTGAGGCTCGGAAAAATCATTAAGGACATGAGTCGTAATTCACCCTATTCTGGCTGGCAGAGCGTAAGCCAAAGTGACGACATCAAGTGACTGTCCATCCAATGGGTGGAGTACTTAAGAAAGACGAAACGAAGAAGACAGACTGCAAGGAGCCGGATCATGATCAACAATCCTCCACAATGCCCACTTCTTATTAATCCTGTCTACCTAGACATGGCTAACTTATGTTGCGGGTGCGGCTGAAGACCTGCTTATCAATCCAAGTACATTTCCTGCGTGATAGCATCGCAGCTCGGATGATCCTCCCCGCGGTATAGGCCCCGAATGGCCAGGGACTCTCGTCACTTATTACGTTACCCGTAACGGTCCCCAAGGCGCTGGTATACTCGCGCTTGCTCTACATATGTGAGCACCAGCTCAAGCGTGTTCTAGCCTTATCGAGATATGTTCTGTCAATGTAAGATTTATACGGCCGATATATCGGATGATTGAGACCGAATGGAGGGTGAGAGAGGGGAAGGCGCTGGCTGCATATATTGAGGTTGTGTACCGACCTATGCCTTTAGTAGCTCGGTGAGCTTGTAGAAAATGCCTATTGCATTGTGTTTAATGCTCCTGGTCTCCAATACCCCGAGGGATCCCTGGGAGTTCTGGCACTTACGTACTTCAGTGTTCTCATGAAGAACGAACTCCATGATGGGAATTGAGCGACACAATCAGAGAGATTTCGACTGTATATGTAAGTGTTCCTAGGTGCTCCTCCACATCCACACGTCACGCTTGTGGCGAATCAAGGCTGATAGCATGCAATCAACATCACAGCGGAGTGTGTGTGTGTTTAGGAAATTGCCCTTCACAAAGCCAACGGACAAGTAGGGTAGCGTATGTTTTCACAAAGCTGTTACTGATCTACTGCTCATCATCATCCTCGACTCCATATCCTTCTGTCAATCGAGCGGCAAGCCCTAAGCCTCCGCAACCTTCAGCCCTCCAGCGGGCGCAACCTCGTTCCCGGGAACACTAGTTGGCTCGCAACACAGGGCGAATGGCGAATCCAACTCAACCACTCACATGGACTCCCGGGCGCGTCCTAGTCGGACAAGTCAGTGGGGCAGCACTCCTGGAACTTCATGCCCGAGTCGGTATCGCATCTGGATCCCTCACGTGAGCCATGGATCTGGTTGCAGCAGTACGTATTGGCCTGCTCGAGAACTTCGGGCGTTGCGGTGACAGATTTGCACCAGTAGCGCGAGGCGGTGGCCAAACTGGCACCGCTCAGAAGCAGAGAGCGGGAAGATGGGGTGCTCCATTGCTGATCTGTATACATTTGAAAGGTCAAATTCATAGACCAGATTGACACATGGTCTTATGGATTGGAAGGCTTCAGTTGTGGTCAAGGATTGCTTGAGGATTCTTGGGCAAGGCTTGGGCCTGCTGGTAGTACCAGAGGGTGGTGACCACTCTGGCGTTGGCTTTGAGGGAGGACAGACGAGTATTTTTTTTCGTTCCCGCCATGCTGCCCCACCGGCGGGCACGATAATTCTTATATATCAAGAGGAAGGTCAAGCCGGATACTCTTGAGTATCCGGTAGGCACGATGGGTTTGGAACAAATGACCAGGAGATCAGACTGTGACAATCAAGCCTGCAGCCGCGCTGGTCAGGGCTGATGGGATGAAATATCTAGATTCAACGATATCTAAGGAAGAAGAGGCAAGGTCGGAAGAGAGAGGGGAAGCTAGGGGTATATATGTACATAAATATGTGGAGGTATTATGTAATACCGTAACACCGACGGCCAACCTGCTGGAACATGGGAGCCATCCTACCTACCCCAGACACCACACTTGCCAAAAACAACTATTTTTCTTGGCGCCCCGCTGTTAGGGCGCAACCTCAATTCTTGCGTTAAAGTAGGCACTTTATTCAGTAACTGACTATCTTTGCCAAGACATAAGAGAAATTTTTTCACAAGCCGGATGGCACCCTTTTACAACGGGCCCCCAAACATTCCCGTGGCCGTCCCAAAGACGATCACTGGCGGCGTGCTCAAATCCCTGGCCCCTAGAAAGACATACAGCCCGGCAACTCCGAACAGGCTCCGCCAAGCGCTGCTTGACGACATCAGTAACAGCCCGTCACAGGTCTCTGAGGCTGACTTCACCATTATTTCCCCTCTAAAAGGAAAATCCTGAAATGTCAATGACGACAGCACCACTGGAATAAAACAACCTCAATTGAACGAAATCTCTATAGACCAAGCCATTAGATGTGATATAGGGAGCAAAGCCTCTTCTCTAGAATGCCAGGACCAAGTTGCTAAGATACTGGCTAAAGACAAGCACCTCTATGAAGCCAGGATGACAATGTTTCAAGAGTGTGCTGCAGCGGTTAATAAGATACTTGAGAAAGCTGGAACCGAACTATACTCTCATGCCAAGGAGTTCAGCGCTTTCTTCTCTAAATGTCTGAGCGAGTGGCTGAAAACCCGAGATCCGCCCAAAAAGAAGACTATCCCTGGGGGGATAGGGATGGTAAAGCCCACCATGACCTTTGCCCAAGCTGTCTCCTCTAGCCAGCGACAGCATTCACGGACAGTCAACACTACCAAAAAGAAAACACAGTCTGGCGCCCTTATCACTACTAATCAACTAAAAAAGAAACAGAATGATCTCTGGGTCTTTGTCCGCATAGATAATAACCACCTAGAGCCTTACAGAATAAAGTCTATATTAAATAAAAGACTTAAACTCCACCCTCAAGAGCTTAGAGAAGTGACCCGGTGTCCCTCCGGACTTACCTTATACCTAAGGGACAAGCCAACTCAGGCTAAGCTCCTGGCCTTCCAAGAAGAAATCACTGACATTCTTAAGGCAGAAAAGATCGAGACCCACACGGTCTGGCATCACTACAAGGTCGATGGATGCCCAAGAAAGGTCATTAGTACAGAAGGGTTGACAATCAACATTACCGACATTGCTATTACTGATGAAGTTAAAGCCCAAACAAGTAACAGACCTTTAAGGTGCATACTCTCAAGGAACACAGTTGATTCTGATCCAGAGACCACATAAGTGATCTCTCTGCCCCATGCAACAAAGAAACCATTTATGCTTTTTGCTCACTCAATGACCTCGAGGCACATTCAATAGTCCCCCAAGGTTCACCAGTGTGCGAGCTGCTTCAGATACCATGGTAGAAACTACCAATGCAAAAAGCAAGTATGTGCACGTTTCGCCAGCACAGTACACCAGGGGGATTGCGAAAAATGGATCCCAAAATGCGTCAATTACAAGGGGCCTCATGCTGCTGACTTCGATAAATGCCCTGCACGCCCCAAGATTGTGAAAGGTATCATCCATAAGCACACATGGGAGCAAATCCAGGAAATAAGGCTGGCCGGAGAAAGAGCCAGATCTTGTGACGGCCTGCACAGACCTTCCCACATGACAAGTAGATACTTCCCAATAAGGGAAGGATCTGACCAGAGGATCCCCTTAAAGGGGCAACCTCCCACTGTACCTATCTCTCTCTCTCTTCCTTTCCTCTCTAGTCTTGATATTCTCGTCAATAGAGTAATAGCTGCTTGCTGCAGCCCATGTCCCAGCTCCTCAATATGCTCGCCGTGACATATCTAGGGCCTTCAATGAAACAGGCAGAAACCAAGCTGGGTCAACACCTAGCAATAATAACGAAGACACCACAATACAAATCGGCACAACAGATACAGCTCATCCCAGAGATGCCGACACCATTATTATCAGTTAATACTAGGTACATCAAATGAAACATATCGACCCAGGCATCTAGTCATCCACTCTATGAATGCAACAGGAGGACAAAAGAGTGCAGGCCCTACAGAGTTAGCCATCAACCTGGCTGACTATAAAAGAGAACAAACAGACATCATTCTGATGCAAGAGCCCTGGGTCGGCATTCCACCAGACAAAAGAATGGGAATAAAGACACACCCCAATTATGATATATACTCCCCAGTGGATTCTTGGCACAGCGACAGTACACAGCCTAGATCTCTCATCTATGTGAGAAAACATCTTTAAGCAGATCAATTTCGGCCTTA